CACCCCCGCACTCGCCTCCGACGAGGATAAAGTGACGTTTGCCTGCTCGTACCTCAAGGGAAACGCGTTCGCCTACTTTCAGCCCGAGCTGATCGATGACGCCGCGGATCCCGAATGGCTCCATAGCTACTCGACCTTCGTTCAAGTTCTCCAAGAGAATTTTGGTGCGTTTGACGCTACCGCGGAGGCTGAAGCGGCATTGGACCAACTCAAGATGGGGGACAGGCAACGCATAAGTAAGTACAATGTGTTGTTCCAGCAGCACTCTGCGTTGGTATCCTGGGGCCCCGCGGCTCTCCAACACCGTTACTACCAGGGTCTCCCGGACAGAATCAAGGATGCTCTTCTGAACCACTTGAAGCCGGGCTCGCTCGCACGGCTCCGCTCCCTCGCGCAGGCCATCGACCAGCGTCACTGGGAACGGGAGGCCGAGCGTACGCGCAACACCCGCGCCTCCGAGAAATCCGCGCCTGCGAAATCCTCTTCCGCGTCCACCCCGTCATCTAAGTCCCCCGCTCCTTCGTCCTCGAAATCTTCGTCCTCGGCTCCCCGCGCAACCGCAACTTCCAAAGACTCCACTCACCTCGGCGCCAACGGCAAACTCACTCCTGAGGAATGTCAACGACGTTTCGACAACGAGCTCTGTTTGTTCTGCGGCGGCGCGGGGCACAAGGCGAACAAATGCCTGAAGAGCCAGAAGAAGGCCAAGGCCCGCGCCGCGGTCACTGAACCCGCGGAAGACGCAGAGTCCACCGCGCACGTCTCTGACGCCGAATCGAAAAACTGACTGGCGCCTCCGAGTCTCCGGCTCGTGTAGGTCGCCCTCCTGTTCTATGGCCGGCAGTTTGTAGATTAAACGGTTCCGCGCTCTCCTCGCCTTCCGCGTTACATTTACTACTTACTTCTAATTCGCTCTCGGACTCCCTCGCTCGTTTTCGTGCTCTCGTTGATTCTGGTTCGACCCATTGTTTCGTAGATACTATGTTCTCTCGTTCACATGGACTCATTACTTACCCTATAACTCCTATTAAACTACTGCTTTTCGATGGTACCTCTAACAACTTCATTACCGAAGCTATAGATATCCATCTCCGGTTCCCGTCTGGCGACAATATGACTGTCACTTGTCTTGTGACCCCTCTGGATCCGTCCTGTTCTGTGGTTCTTGGATACGACTGGCTCTCCCGCTACAATCCGTTGATTAACTGGGCTCAGAGCAGCATCATTTTCCGTTCCCCAATTCTCGACACTCCTAGTATAAGGCCTTGCGCGCCGCCCGCGGTGCGCGCTACCTCTTGCGTTGAAGCATCTCCTTCGACACCCTCGACTCCGACCTCGGCCCCGACTTCGTCCTCTCCGCCTAACATCTCACTGGTCAACGCAGCCGCGTTCCGCGCTGCGTCCCGACTTGCGGGATCGACGGTTTTTCAGATTATGATACGACCCGAGACCACCTCCGCCAGAGCCGCTAGCATAACCGACCCCGACCTATCCACGGTCCCCGAAGAATACCATGAATTCTCGGACGTGTTTAGTAAAGGCAAGGCCGACACACTAGCTGAACACCGACCTTATGACCTCAAGATTGAACTCGAAGACGGCGCCGCACCTCCGGTCGGCGCCATGTACTCGCTTTCGCAATCAGAGCAGCAGACCTTAAAGGAGTTTATCGACGAACACCTCGGACTTGGATTTATACGATCCAGCAAGTCGCCCCACGGCGCACCCGTTCTTTTTGTCAAGAAGAAAGACGGCTCCCTTCGGCTTTGCGTCGATTACCGCGGCCTCAATCGCATCTCGAAGAAAGACCGCTATCCCTTGCCCCTCATCTCGGATCTCCTCGATACTCCACGCAAAGCATCGGTATATACAAAGATCGACCTTCGGCACGCATACCATCTGGTACGCATCGCTGAGGGAGACGAATGGAAAACCACGTTCCGGACCCGCTACGGCTCCTTTGAGTGGTTGGTTGTACCCTTCGGGTTGACTAACGCTCCCTCCGCGTTCCAGCGGTTCATGAACGACATTTTTGCAGATCTCCTCGACGTCTATGTTATCATTTACCTGGATGATATACTAATCTACTCTGATAACATGGCAGATCACAAGAAACACGTCAAGGAGGTTCTCCGTCGGCTCCGCCAACACAAACTCTACGCGCGCGCCGACAAATGCGAATTCCACGCGGACACTGTGGAATATCTCGGCTACATTCTCTCCCCGCAAGGTCTTACCATGGATAATTCGAAAGTCAAGACGATCCAAGACTGGCCGGAACCGCGGAAGATTCGCGACATACAATCCTTCCTCGGTTTTGCCAATTTCTACCGCCGCTTCATCCGGAACTACTCGGATATTGTGGTCCCTTTGACCCGTCGCACGCGCAAAGGACTGCCCTGGAATTGGGATCAGGCAGCACGCGACTCCTTCAACGTGCTCAAACGAGCGTTCACCTCGGCCCCCGTGCTTACGCATTGGGTACCAGACGCGCCACTTGTCGTGGAGACGGACGCCTCGGACTACGCGCTAGGCGCGATTCTGTCCATCTACACGTCAGACGGCGAAATCCACCCAGTCGCGTTTCACTCACGCACCTTCAGCTCTATAGAACTGAACTACGACGTTCACGACAAGGAACTCCTCGCCATTTTCGAAGCATTCCGCGTCTGGCGCCATTACCTGGAAGGGTCTGGTAAGCCAATCGACGTGGTTACTGATCATAAGAACCTAGAATACTTCTCGACCACCAAGATTCTGACCCGCCGCCAAGCGCGGTGGTCCGAGTACCTCTCACAATTTAACCTCCTCATCCGCTTCCGTCCCGGAAGGCTCGGCTCCAAACCCGACGCCCTCACAAGACGTTGGGATGTCTACCTTAGGGAGGGAGGCGACGGCTATGCTACGGTCAACCCTCAAAATTTGAAGCCTATATTCTCGAACGAACAGCTGACCGCGTCGATCCGCGCGACTTACCTCTGGGAACCCGCGCTCCGCGGTTCCATTATTATGGACACAGAGAAGTTGCACGAGGATATTATTGACGCTTATCTGCTAGACCCAGTTACCAAGGCCCGACTCGAAAATCTTGAACCATGGTGGTCGCGCTCCGAAGATAATCTACTTCGCCTCGACGGCCGCGTCTACGTCCCCGACCACGGAGATCTTCGCCTCCGCGTACTCCGTTTCAAACATGATCATATCCTCGCTGGACATTACGGGCAGAACAAGACCATCGAACTTGTGCGCCGCGAATATACGTGGCCGAAACTTCGAGAATTCGTTCAACATTACTGCAAGTCTTGTACCACCTGTATGCGTAGCAAGCCCCAGCGTCACAAGCCCTACGGCATGCTACGACAACTTCCGGTTCCCGTTCGACCTTGGGACTCGATCTCTATGGATTTTATCGAGAAACTTCCCCCGTCCCTCGGGTACGACTCCATCCTCGTCGTGATGGACCGACTCTCCAAGCAAGGAATCTTCATTCCGTGCCACGACACCATCACTTCGGAAGGGCTAGCTAAGTTATTCGTTATTCATGTTTTCTCTAAACACGGAGTCCCCGCGCACGTCACGTCTGACCGCGGCTCCGAGTTCGTTTCTCGCTTCTTCTGGTCCTTAGGAAAAGGGTTGGACATGAAGCTCCACTTCACTTCAGGATATCATCCTGAAGGTGATGGCCAAACGGAGCGTACTAACCAAACCCTTGAGCAATACTTACGTGTTTATTGTAATTATCAACAGGATAACTGGGCTGACCTCTTGCCCCTCGCCGAGTTCGCATTCAACAACGCTCCTAGTGTTACCACTGGAGTATCTCCGTTCTTTGCGAACAAAGGTTATCACCCCAATCTCTCCCTTAATCCCGACCTCGACCTCGCCTCGGCCCGCGCAAGAACCTTCGTAACCGACCTCGACGAGCTCCATCAAGAGCTACGTACCGCGATGACTGAGGCGCAAGCCCGTTATCAAGGACCAGCCGATTGTCGCCGCGCACCCGCGCCGGATTTCAAGGTTGGCGAAAAGGTTTTTGTGAAGGCCAAATTCTTCCGTACCACGCGCCCCTCGCACAAACTCGCGGAGAAATTCCTCGGTCCGTTCGAAATCATTCACCAAGCAGGACCCTCTTCGTTCACTATCCGTCTCCCGGAAAATCTCCGCGGGGTCCACCCCGTATTCCACGTCTCTATGCTCGAACCCGAGACACCCAACACGATTCCAAATCGCGTACAATCCCCTCCCCCACCCATTGAAGTCGATGGTAACGACGAATTTGAAATAGCTGAAATTGTAGACTCCAAAATCGACCGTCGACGGAAAGTAAAACTTCAATACTACGTTCGATGGCTCGGCTACGAACACACTGATGAAGAATTCTCGTGGCTCTCCGCGGACGAGCTCGGGCACGCGCAGGAACTCGTCGCAGAATTCCACCTGCGCTATCCTGACAAGCCCGGACCCGCGTAATGGTCCTTCATCTCATTTTCTCTATTTTTTTCCGCGTTACCGCACACCCCACTCAACATTTCTTTCTCCCTGTGCGCACCGCGCTGGTATCGCCTGTAGATTGCTCCGCCGCGCACCCGCGCATTTACCCTCCTTTCTCTTATTTTTCCCCGCGCGTCCGCGCATTCTCCATCTACACTTGCGACAAGCCACGCGCACCCGCGCTCACCCACCCACCCATCAGCACACCCTTATTCCCCGCTCGCTCCGCGCGCACCCGCGCCCACTACCTTACGTATACTACTCTCTCCTAAAATTCTTAAGTTTCTCTCCTTTTTCTTCTCTCTTCTTCTTGTGCTAGGTTCTTCTTACAAATCACACTGGGGTCGCTGGCAGTTATAGATTACAAAAAAAAAAAAAAAAAAAAAAAAAAAAAAAAAACAACACAAGAGAAAGAACAAAAACACAAAAACATATAACGTAGATAGTCTTTTTCTCTTCCTTCTTCTTTCGTGCCGCCTCGCACGCCGACGAGGGCCCCGCGCTTCCTCCTACTCACTATCCTCCTCATCATCGCTCGACAGCACCTTCCCTGTCCCTTCCCAAGCCATCCCCTCCTCCTCCTCGTCCGTCGTGTCCGCCGGCTCCGCGTCCTGCACATCGTCAGTATCGCTGGTTGACGGAGCCTTCGCGTCGTCCACCTCCATTTCTCCCTCCGCGTCCTCCATACCTTCCGCGCTCGTCGAGCCCACCGCTTGCGGTGACGTCGTCCGTACCCCCTCCTTTCCGCGCACCCGCTCAGCCACGTCTGGTGGCGCCCCCATCGCACTGGCGATCCATGCCACCGTGTTTGCCACCTCACCAAGCCGCTCCTCCAGGCGCGATAACGCCTGCGACCGCTCGAGGACATGCACGGACATGTCGAAGACCTGCGCGGCCAGGTCACCCAGCGACGACGCCACCGTCGGCTCCGCGGCTACAACAGGCGGCGCTTCACGTGCCGTGCCCCGGACCCCGCCCGCACCGTTTCCGCACCGCACGTGTCGCACCTTGCACTCCCAGCAAGTGCGGGCCCCTTTCACACTACGAACAAGTCAGTAAGCCGCGCTAAGACGATAGAGTCAAGGGGACTCACAGGCGCGAACGACACTCGAGGTTGCGTTGCACGCACCCGAGGCAAGGCTCCGTCCGCAACGGCCCCTTGGGCTCTTCCCTTTCGTCGCCCTTGGCACCCTTCTTCGCTCCTTCCCGCGTGCTGGCACCCGTGCTGCTCCCTGCCGCCGCGCTGATGGCCTCCTCAGCAGCGTCGTCCTCATTTTCATCCATTTGCGCCCGCGCCGCGATGTACTCTGAGACGGCCGCCCGCACGCGCGCGTCCTCCGCGGCTTTCCGCGCCCGCTGTTTCTCCCGCCGCCGCCGCCTCGCCTCCTTCTCCAACCGAGCATCGGCCTCTGCGACACTCTCGTCCTCGCGCCGTCGTTTCTCCTCCCGCCGCCGTCGCTCGTCGTTGTTGGTGTTATCGAGGGCGCGCTTGTTGAGAGGTGCCATTACGGCCTCGCTCCTCCGCGCTTCCGCCTTTTATACTGCTGACACACCTCGCCCCCGCGCTTCTTCCCTCACGTGCACGCAGAGGCTGACTCACCACGGACCCTCATGACGCCCACACCGCATCATCACCATATCACCGCGCGTCATGAGCGTCTAGGCCTCTATGGGTCTCGGCCTTAAAGGGGAGGTACTGTTATAGGCGCGTCCAAGGAACCCCTTAGGGGCTACTAGGGGCGTGCCCACGTGCGTTTCCCGACTATGGGCTCGGGCCGCGCTGACACGTGGCCACGCGGACTTCCCGGATTACGGACTAAGTACATACTCGAGCACATTGTAGTTACTACGACCGAACTCATTACTGTTTCGTGAACGCGCGGACACCGCGTGTTCCTTAGTATATAGTCCTGTATCGTACATACAGCTACCTTAGTTCGAATATTAGTTCCTTCTCCGCACTCGCACCTCGCCCCTCTAGTGGGTTCTCCCCCCGTCGCACCCCTTCGCCTCCGCCCGTACCCTCGGTACCCGCGTAGGACTCCTCCCAGAAATACAGGGCACGCAAGAGTGTGGGAGGCGCAGCCAGTAGCTGAAGCCAAGCCCGTACGTCCTCGTTTTCCCCCGTTCCCCCCCACGCGTCTACGTGGAACCGCGCACCCGCGGGTCCGCATATCCCGAGCCCCCTGCGAGTGTGGCTCTTAACAGCCGCTCCGTTTCCAACCTCTGCCTCCTCTGAAGGCTCTCTCATCCAGCATCCCCATGGACGTTGACCACACCCGCTCCCGGCCTGCCACTTCGCAGCTCTGCTACCAATGCGGCAAACCCGGCCACCTGTCCCGTGAGTGCCCACTCCGGTACGATGTCCAGTTCATGACCACCAAGGAGCGGATGTCCGCCATTGAAGATCTCTTGACCGTGGCCGATGTTGTAGAAAGTGCAGGGACATCGGAAGGAATAGATGCTGAGGGAACGGCCCCGGTTGAGGAATCAGACACGGCGGATTTTGTCCGGACCAACGAGTGATCAGTGCGACCTCATTGGTGAATAACTGATTTGCTTGTCTTAGCGTAGATGAAATAGACGATTCCAATCACTCCAATGATTCGTCCGACGTTAAGCAAGCAACTCCGGTTACAATCCGCACACTCCGAAGGTTCCGCCCGCAGTGGGAACGGCGGCTACCCAGTAGCTATAAGATCTCTGCACATGCTTGCTGCTGCTCTGCAGTTTTCTTTCTCTTCCTCCTGGCTTTCTTCTGCTAATAACGCAATCGCTGACGCTGCTTCACGTTTCCAATATACTCACTTATTCACACTCGCCCCTTATCTCGACAAGAAGCCTTACTCAGTCAACCCCCAGACTCTTGGTATCAAACGAACCCTCAGCACTCACGTCTCGTCGTGTTCTACCTTTGGCATGGTCTCGCGTCCAGCACCAGGACCACTTACAGCACTGGTCAAAAATCATTCATCAATTTCGTCAGAGAACGTCCCGCGCTGGTCAACAATGACGGATCCTGCTTGCCTGCCTCCCAGCACTGCATCATGGAATGGATCGCACACCTGGGAACGCGCGGGCTCCAGCCCAAAACAATTAAATCCTACCTTACCGCCGTTCGCTCCCTCCATCTTGAAGCAGACACCCCTTTTACCACATGTGAGGCCCCTATCGTCCAACGCCTCATCAGAGGCATTAAACGGTATCACGGTGAGCGCGAACGCCGTCCCAAACTTCCCATTACATTCCCCATCCTCTTCAAACTCGCTTCTCTCACCTACAGTTCCTTCAACGATGTGGTATTCATAACGGCTGCGAAGCTTGCTTACACAGGCTTCCTCTGTTGTGGAGAATTCACTGTCGATAAGCCAAACTCATTTGATCCCAACGTTCATCTCACCCGTTCTTCGATCTGCTTCATGCCCTCCATTGAAAATCCTGACCACATTATCCTCACGCTTCCGGCATCCAAGACCGATCCCTTTCGCAAGGGAGTCACCATTTATATTGCTGCTGCTCCTAACTCCCCTTCCACCTGTCCTGTTTCAGCATTACTCCATTTATTCACCACTAATCCTCTCCCCCTTAACTCCCCCCTCTTCTCCACTTCTGATCAGTCCCCTCTCACACGCTCGTGCTTCATCAATTGCCTCCGCCTTTCCCTACTCAATGCTGGTTTCCAGCCGCATGGGTTCTCTGGACACAGCTTCAGGCGAGGTGCGGTGTCTGCAGCAGCTGCAGCAGGATTCCTCAATCATGAAATCCAGCAACTGTAAGGGCAACCTCAAGATAGCCGCACAGTGCAAGCCTAGCAGAGGGAGAATCCAAAGAGATGAATAAGACTAACTGCAATACATGAGAGAGCTGCTCACCTAGCAGAGGGAGAATCCAAAGAGAACAGCATAAGGATTCTCCATGCTAGGAAGCGAAGTATATACTGTAGTAGTGTGGGAGGAATGAAGGGTAACTGTACAGTACACCAGCCACAGGTACGAACGAATATCACAAGGTACGAGGGGGCATGTGATAATGAAGTGGAAGGGGAATGTACAGAAGTCGTGCCAGCGACCTGGGGAAGTGGGGACAAGGAGTAATGAAGTGGGAAAGGAGGATAGAGGTAGCCCGGACGAGCCCCGAAGTGTATCTACGAGTCCGAGCGAGTCCGAGGTGTCCGAGCGAGTCCGAGGTGTCCGAGCGAGTCCGAGGTGTCCGAGCGAGTCCGAGGTGTCCGAGCGAGTCCGAGGCGAGTCCGAAGCGCGGGAGGACTTCGGAGTCACCGGACGGGGCTTGGATGTGAAGGGAGTGAACGGAAGGGAAGCGGAAAGGTAAGGGGGCGAGAGGGAAGGAAAGGGAATGAAGGGAATGTAGATAATAGTCCATGGGATGAAGGAAGGGAGAAAGGAAACGAAGGAGGAAGGGAGAGGGACAGGGGAATAGGAGAAAATAGGAGTGTCCCCTTACAGCAACTGGGACGTTGGCGTAGTGACGCCTACCGTCTCTACATCAACACTCCTAAAGATAGGATCCTCAATCTCTCGTCGCGTCTCCACATGGCCGATACTCACACTTCCGCTTTCGAACCTCCGGCTCTTTGCTTCGCACCATCCCTGGCTTGAGTTCGGCCCCCTGACAGGGGTTTCTCCTTTCTGGAGTTCGGCTGTGTTCGGCATCCGGGTTCCATTCGTCCCCAGTCCGCGAGCCAGCTGCCGAACGAGAGAGCTCGTGGCGACAACGAATACATTCTTCGTTATCCCAAACGAGCTGGATGGACAGCTCATATTATAGAACTGAGAGTTGAACAGTGGTAGTAGATATGAAGTGTTGATATTGCCATTTGGAACGTCCTTCCGTGAACTTGCTCTTGAGCAGAGAGCCATGGCATTCTTCGAGTATTCTTGGCTTGAACTTCAACTTTTTGGGTGCTTGAAGTTCAAAGTGACAGAGTTAACCTGACCCTGAGATAACCACGTGTATATCACATGAGCATCGCGAACGCGCGACAGTTACTGTCACGTCTTGTCACACAAGTCACAAAGTTTCCATCCACAACTCGCACAGCTCCGTTGAAATTACCTGTGCTCCAAGGAGGAGACTGACTGCCATGTCAAAATCAAGTGGGTAAGTAGGCTACTTCAAGCATCGAACTTGAACTCAGGCTGCCTCTTATTTCGTCAGGGCCAGAAATCCATTCACGCACGACGAAGACATTCTCCTTGCAAAGTATATCGCAACTCACAACCCAGGGCGCTATGGAAGGAGCGGAAACGCGTTGTACAAAAAGCTGGTAGCAAACGTACGTTCTGGGTCTTCAACCTCGCGCTTTGTCTCAGGCTTCTACATACAGGAAGACCAGCGATGGAAGTGGAGTCAGCGACACACATGGCAATCGTGGCGTGGCAGATATACAGATCACACGGGCTGGTTTGACCAAGCAATAGCCAAGTATCAAGCGAAGAAGAACATCGCAGTCGAGGAAGCTGAAACTAGTAAATCGACGCGCACTGCAGGACGATCAGACGTGAAGCAGAAGCGGAAGCAGCAGGACGACGACGTGATTGAGACAGTGGACTCGAAACCAGAGAAGAAGCGGCAGAAGGTTGCCGCGACTACTGAAGAACGAGGGACCCAGGAGGAACTTGGAACACCACCCACGACCACGACAAATGGCCCCCCCTTGATCACGACCGATTCTCAAATCAGCAAAGCGTCGGAAAATTCAGATGTCAAGGGGAAATGGAAGCGGGAGGAGGAGGAGAATACCATGTTAGGAATCGGAGCAAAGCAGGAGGAGAAACAGAGGAACATTACGACGCAGGCGAAGCCTACTACGCCTCCGACGAACGTGACCGAGGAAGACGATCCTCTCTTCACTCCCAATGGCAGAACGAACGAGGAAGCTGAAGATGAGGGTGAAGTTGCGGAACAAGTCACACCGGTTGACGAGGGGAAGCCCGTACAGGAGCCTGGCTCAAGGTAGTTTATCTGTCTAGAAACCACAACGCGTAACTAACCCATCAACTTAGAGACGGAGGAATCTACCCCTCCTTGGATAAACTACCTTCCCCAACCCTTGCTGCGCCAATGCCTGGCTCGTTTGTCAACGGCACCTCCCGTCCTCCCAAGCCCAAGCCGCGAAAACGCAAAAGCGTCGTAGATGACGACCCCTTCGTATCATCCCCTGCACCTGATTCTCCTGTCAACGCACAGATATCTTCGCAAAGGGTTCGCAAGCCCCCGATGCTCACGCAGCGGCCATTTGGAGGCACTGTGCATTACTCGTCTCCCCGATGCAAAGAGGACGACAGTGAGCACGAGTCGGACGGGCAGACCGATGGGCATTGGCCCCCGATCAGGGCGAAAGCTGTAGAGTCTGTGGTAGGTCAAGGAGAGCTCGCAGGCAAAACACGCGAGTTACCCAAGGAAGACTCTCAGCAGCGCAGGCTGTCGCATAGGGAGGTGCAGACGGATGCAGAGATGAGCGTGCCTCTAGCATCGACGTCACGAGTTACGCTGGAGGTGATTAATCAGAGTACGTCATGCAGGTTTACGTCTTTTGAGAGCTTTGACTGAATGGAGGTTATAGCGGGAACACATCAAGCCACTAAACGTAGCACCGAGTCTCTTGATCTGAATGTGGTGGAAAAGCGCCGGCTGAAGTCAGTTGACCATCGGCGGCGGCGGATGTCTGCAATGGCCGATTTTGTTCGTACGGACGAACTGTCCACCAGGAACGTCGAGCGTCTTCGAGAACGATATGACGGGCGTCGACATTCAGCGACCGGGCTTGCCACGAGGTCGAGTTCGAAGGACTCAGACCTACGAATTAACTCGCTCAAGCGAGGAGTGCAGTGCTCTACCCGTTCACCCCCCGCCGTTCCTCCTCCATTTATACCATACAAAACGCTTGTTCCGCCATCCGCCGTCCCTAATGAAGAAAGGGATCTCATCAATTCGTTAGGCGTGAGCGCAGCCATCGCGCATCTCGCCAAAATGCACGGCTTCGGGCAAGAAGTAGCGTGGAATGTCTGGAAAGCAGCACGAAGTATTCGCCATACCGACGCCGTGCTCAAGGGTATGCGTCAAAGTGCCGAGATGGAAGGATTGAAACTGCTGGAAGAAGTCATCGACGCGGATAGGACCAGTGCCAGTGACGTACCTGAACCCCAGGCCGACAGTGACGATGCGGATGATGAAGATGACGGTACATCTGTCAGGGCTGACCCTGATGAACACAGAATCACCGCCGAGAGCACGCCCGCACCACGCCGTCGGAGGAAATCCCTACCCTTTGAATATACACCAATACGACCTGGTCAAGAGCTTGAAAATGACTGGCAACCACCGCCGAGCACGCGCGCGGCGACTCTCTCTCGGCTGTTTTTGCAAGGTCGGTGGGATGAGGCCCTTGCAAGGGAACAACGCAGAGCCAGTCTGAGCAGCAGGAGCCTCACGTACACACCGGATCTACATACGAGTGTCACGAAAACAGAACCTAGTAACGACATGCAAATGACGGGAGTCTCGTTAGGGTTGCCCTCTCGGACTCAGACCCCTGCCTTCCAATGGACGAAGAAGCACGACGACGTAATGCTTCGAGCTGGATTCGAAACCGAAACGGACGTTTTCAAATTGGAATCGCAGGTTGGGGATGTCAGGGCCATGAGGCAGCATTTTGTTCGTCTACTTGATATCCTACATCCTACTCAAGCTACTGCATAATGACATGCGTATGAATATAGGCACTCTGGCCGTGATATTAATGTGCGATGCATCCCCTTCTTTGACCCATACCACATATTGCCAATCGTCATGAGACAATCATAATTGTGCAGCCCGTCAGCTGGACTACCACTGATCCAGTGCTGCGGACCCTGTGTAACGTGTCGAGCCTTCTTCATACAACGACTGCGGAGATACTGCTTACTGCCTCCCACTGTAGCCTCCTAATCTCCGGCTGACCGAGCCTTCTCACAGTCTCTGCGCCTTTTCTCCACATATACGAACGTCATGACAATAGCGTCCGCGATATGCTCTCCATCGGGGAGTATCTCGAGGTGAGGCGCTCTGCCTTTGCAGATTCCGGGGATACACAGGCGCCGCCGATGAAACCTTGCAATTGGCCGACGATGCTCGTCGTTTGTATGAAGCTATCTCATATCTGAGCATGGCATTCGGGCGAGGCGACATGGTATGTTATACGTACTTCAGGGTAGTTGAAACCCATCGTCCACCTGTACGACCTTCCATCGGGTGCGGTGAAGGTGCGATACCTACGTGCGCGTTATCACCGCCGTTAGGTGATGTACATCACGGTCAAAAACGAAACGCACCATCCCATGAAGCCTGACCGCACCAGATACTCGTGTATATCGCGTTCAAATCCCCCGAAGTTCAACCGCGAGCTCCCAATACACCGCCAATGAATCTGTGCGAGCTCAGGTTGCCCCCTTGTGCTCAAGTCGTCGCTTGGGCTGATATCTGATTTGGAGTCGGATATCAACAGCCCCCCGAACTTGACGAAGGCTTCTAGCTCTTTGTCCGCCTTCGTGATGGTGGTGGTACGACCCGACAGTTTCCAGGGTGTATGAATATAATATAGCTCCTGCCCTAAGTCATCAACGAGCGTCGCGTTAAGGGGGCTGTTTCGAGATAGATACAGTTTCATTGATGCAGTGCGGGGGAAGGGGGCAGGGGACGTAGCGGGTACTGGGAGGTAAAGATATACACACACGTTGCTGCGGACGGTGAGCATCTTCTGACAAGACCCTATGAAATGCGGTATTCCGCAGTCGACATAGATCAGTGGGGTCTGTTCGCCTCGGGTTGAAGGTGGCTTACGAGGAGAAACGTCTCCCCACCACGTTCTTAGTACAAACGAGTTCGATATCCATTCAGATTCCTCGTCGGAGAAGCAAACACTCTTTCAAGTCGACATCGCTGCTCGCTGGCCCAAGCGATTCTGGAGCACTCTGGTTCGTAGATCGCTAGGCACCTATAGCAACCCTGAAAGATAGCGTAATGTTAAGAATCGATTCAGTCATAAGATCTGTGAAAGAACCTGAACGATCGCACCCCTGCTTGTATCCCTGCTGTGGCAATACAACTTACAGTAAAGCATTCCCAGCGTGATTGACGCGAGTTGACGTGCTGTAGTTATATTAATACGTGTGGTTGTCGGTAGTAAATAGTAGTGTGTAGGTCGGTACAGGGGATGTAGGTTTACAGTGGTATCACGAAGATAATCACGATGGCTACATGTAATTTAAGTTGAGTTATTGACGGAGGGTTATTATACGGCGGGAGGGTACATTATCGTCAATCATCTTCCAGCCCTTTGACCGGGTCACCCACACCAGCGCGGGCATCCCGATCTCTCTCCTTGCGTAACTTCTCCATATATACGAAGGAGACGATGATGGTGTCGACCATATGTTCACCCTCTGGATATATCTCGAGGGTGGCCTTCTTCGACTTGCCAATGAGTTGCGGCTCTTCTGGCTCATACCGAGCGATTTGTGTCCGATGATGGTCTTGTAATGTAAGCTACACGGAGGGGTGAGCAGTGATTATGGTAGAAGTGGACCTCCATACCAGGGCATACGTAGCGTTCATCCGCCAACGGTATTCTTGGCCGTCGAAGCTAGTAAAGACGCGATCTCTAGATACATAAGTAAGATGGCGGTTTTGGACGAGAGTCAACGCGTAGGCACTTACTTTCCCCTCCAGCCTTGCTTCCCTTTGTAAAAGAACTCGCCGATCACAACGTCCTTCTCCCTATACTTGAATCTCGACAAAGACACATCGTTCTTCCACTCTATCTCGGCGAGTTTCACGAGTTGACCTTGGTTATCCCCTCCCTTCCTGGAGATGTCGTCGGACGCAACATTATTCGTGTGAAGGACTCTGCTGACTGTAGTCGTTTTATCGGCGAAGAATTTGAAGGGTGTTTGGGTTTTGTATGTGGCTTGTCCGTCCTCGTCAGTGAATGTCGCATTCAAGGGTATGCTATTCGTTATGTAGAACTGCATGGCGGCGAACGATGCAGACCTGCAGAAGGCCTGCGGAGAGTGGGGGACTCTTAAGAACGAGGAAGCGTACAGAGAAGGAACAGGAGGCAACTTATCGGCCTCCCGTCTTGTATGCTCGGACGCATTGCTCCCTGGTGCGAATTATTCCTTTGATCTTAGAAAAAATCTTCTAGCGTCGTACTAAATGAGAAAAGCAGGGGAAGGCAACAGGGCGCGAGGAACTTGCCGGCATATACTCACCCCAGCACCCGACCTCGTGCCTGAGGACTTTGTAGTTTTTGGAAAATTTGTGCAACACGACCTCGGATACGTGATGCGTTGATGCGCGACCCTATCCATACCATCCAAGATGGAGGTGGCATTTGCCGATTCTGGAAGCGACGGCGGCCCAAGCACGGTTGCATCGGCAAAAAGAAAATGTGGTTTCACTTCACGGCCTCATCGACTGCTGCAATATTCATATTAATGAAAACATGAGTCAGACGGAGGCTAACCGAGTAAGAGTGCAATTACTTACCTGACCTGACAGGTGGGGACAGATGGGCGTACCAAGGCAACACCCGTTTATGGCTCGTTTTTGAATGCCGGGCGCCATTTGTTCCGCATGGAGACTAGCCTCATCCGACACAGCGACCGGAACGAGTGGTTTGCTTGCAACCAAGGCTGAAGCCAAAGCATGGACGCGTAAATTTCCTGAAATGGCAGCATTGAATCGATAGTGCCTGCCGCGGAAGTTGAATACAATCTCCAACGTATTTTATTTCTTAAATTTAGTCTGTATTTGACATTTGGACCTAGCCCATTTTTTACGAAATGCAAATACATGGATCAAGAAAGACTTGAAGGCACCAACGATCGTATGTAGCCCCGGAGGTCCGAGGACATACTAAGGAAAACATGACATGAACTAAGTTGCCAACTAACCGTACGTCCATGGATAAGTTTATGCCTGTTATCTAGAATGTGGAGAGCTATCGAGCCTATCGCCGGGTGGAGGACTTGATCGAGTGACCGCTGGCGCCACGATTGTGCCAAGTAAAAATGCGAGGCTCATTCTTCCTGACTCGATTTGAAGGGACCAGCACAAGCCAGTACCATTGGCAGCGGCAATGCATCTTTGGCTTATCGATAACACGTCAGATGGTGTTACCATGATGCTTGAATATTTGAATCGGGACACACTGCGGCACCATGTGATCTCTGTCTGCTAGCGAAGGTCGCAATCGAGCGTGTCGGGTCATAGACACTGAAGAACTTTGGTGATGATTAGTGTCAAGAAGTAGTTCGAGAAGCAGCAACCCTACACCGAGTTCACTCCTCGAGGAATGAAACTGAAAGGATACCATGTGGTTCTTCTACGGGGCGGACATGAAAGACATAAGCTACGAGCGTGCAGTAGAGCGATCCGCGATAAGCCGATAGTTGAATGGTGAATATCCGACCGGAGTTGCGGAGAAAGCCTGCGTTTAGCAGCGATGGCATCATCGTTTGCTTGCCTTGAGGTTGTGGGGAAGATCAGGAAGGCAGGGACGCTGAGAGTGATTGGTAATGTAGACCACTCGGAACTAACAACATATTTGTGAGGCAAACCGACGAACAGTTTGAACGGCGCGATTAAGAGGAAGGGGATCGAACCTGATAGCCTACTGTATCCTGTGGTCTCCTTGACTCGGCGCGATACGGGCATCTTCTTGAAGATCGCAGAGGAGCATCTTGCAGGAGGCTGTACCGTGCGAGGTTGCCTGATAGGTCGAAGTGGACGGGGAGAAACCTTGACAGAAACAGGGTGCTGGATTCCGAATAGCTCATGGACTAGATAGCTTGAGGCATACGCCTAACGTCGTTGACACTTAGGGTGTGATGTATGAAGAGCAGTTGCGAAAACTCGTGGTGCAAGTTGCATGAACGTCGACATATCGTCTCTGTGTCGAGAAACCGGGAGCCTATTGTTCGGCTACAGTGCACGACATGCGGTGACAGTGGCTACAAGGGGATCATGTCAGCACCCGTTCACACACCATGAAAATCATGCTACTCACTAAATAAGTGACAACAAACAAGCTAGCTGGAGATAAAGTTGACTCAGTGGACATTAGCCGGCCTGTGTCGCTATAGATATTGAGGTGTTAAAACGTAGGATAAATATTATACTTGCTTTTGGCCGGTCGTCCGAGTACGGTTCAAGTGAGATTGGCATACAAAGAGTCGCCGCCGGTCGAGGTCCTGACCTCGTGGGGTTTCGAAACGAGCAAGCCTGTAATGATCACTGTGCGGAACAAAGTGATCGAGGGTGCGTACGTACGTATTTACTTTCAAATGTGCTGCCTGAGATTCCTTGCTTGTTCCGGACTTGCTACCAACTCGTTGTCGTTAGTACGCGCATGACATTGGTGTAACCTTTGGATCCAAGAAGGAAACTTGACCGTCGGTTGAGGAGCTGTACAGCTCTAAGGGCCTTCTTTCCAATAGGTACGATGACCGTGGGAAGGAAGGTGCTAAGCGAGCCTAGTACTTTTCAGTTCGCTCAACGTAAACTCGCTTTCAGCTGCAAGCGACGAGGATTATCCTTTCCTCCTCGACAAGTAAGCCGTTCGTATCAGGTACTCTCGGCGATCGGTAGGGATATCCATTACGGCCTTACTGTGGAATGTTCATTGATGGAGAGCCGACAGTAAAAGCGACTCGGTTACCTTTTCGACCTATGGTATTCTCGTTCTCGACCTACGCTGCAAGTTTTCGGTAGGACTATCACGGTCGTGATTGGTACCAACGCCGACCTACTTTATGCTCTAAAGCGACGGTAACATGGATAATTGAGGGTCGACCTACCCATTTTATGGGCACACCCAACAGCTCAGGCCACATCCTCCAAGTATTTCAGATAGTAAGTCGACATAGAAACCGTTACTATTGTCTTATACATAATAAGACAATTTTTCTAGAGGATCGGGGACGTGCACAAGTTCGTATCGGATCAAATCTCCAAGCGCCTCCAGGGATTCGCCAATACTCTCCGTTCCCGTCGACATCTTTCGTCGGCATCGTGCAGCTGTGACAAACCAATGGAACAGTTCCCCCTCTGAAACCTTTATTATCTCACGTTGGCCGACAACGGCGCTTTCACTGAGTTCATAACGGCATCTCTCATTGACCCTCCCCCATCCTCGAACTCCTTGCCTCAGCATCTCGATAATGTGTGATCGCTGCCACTATCTACGATTGGGCCCACGACAGCTCTCTCCTTTCAAAGGCTTCTAGCTTCCGACCATCTCTGGCTCCCTCCCTAGGATGGGGCCACGACACCACACCGCTATAGGCAACAACAACGGGCTGATGCTACCCTGGAGGTTAGCGCGCCTCCAAGTGACAGCAATGACATCCAGTGGGATTATATTAACTTCAGTCGATTATCTCTTCTCTCCAGCTACACCGTATTTGGATCAATTTCTCAGGAGGTGGTGTTCGCCACCTCCCCGTCGTAACCTCCTTCATCAGTTACTGCGCGTTGATATATATGATCGCGTTGCACATCCTCCTCTCGAAGTCTACGACTCGTGGGTCGTTGCCTACTCCTTCGCCTCCAGAGTGTTCGAAACTCGAAACCGGCGCAGCACTCCTTTCCAAATTCAATGCCAGCCAAAAATATCCACATATCCTCCATCACTTCGTCCGGACTCTAGCCCACTCGTTGCATCAAGTATCGACTGATTCGTCGATTTCAACGTTCAACTATCATTGCTATATATATCATACTCCACGCCCCGTAGTACGCCTATCACATCTGTTTGAAGACTTATATTCATATCCACCTTCCGCATTTCATATAAAACTGACTTGTACGTCGCACCATCTGCAGGCCCACATTTCCTTTCTCCTCTTCCTCTTTGTATTCATCTATCCTTCGCCTCGTCAGAGCCAGGTCGCTCTTTTTTCCAGAATCGTCTACGATAATCACAGCTCTTCGCCTCCACACCGCCGTTCTATTGACATCCACCTTCTCCTTTCCAAGTATGGTTCACATTCCCAAATTCAACGCCGTCCTCGTCGTTTCCGCGCTGGCCTCGCTCATCACAGTTCCTGCGGTCCCTATCACGCAGCCTTTCGAGGGCAACGGCACTGGCAGAACCACACACCTCAAGGCCCTTGGGGGCAACATCGGCGCTGGCGCTCTCCCGAGCTCCGGGTGAGTGAGCCATTTGATACCTGAACCAAAAGACACGAACGCTTACTGGATCGCCTCCCCCCACTTCTTAGACTCAGAGGCGCAAAAGCCGCCCCGTCAGTCGCTGGTGCAGTCGCTACCGCCCCTTCGACTGCGATCAACGGCGTCGCTCCCTCTTCGAGTGTGGGCCCAGCTGCCTCGCAGACATCACCGGATGCAAGCTTCATCCCCTCTCGCCCGACTTCCGTCGCTGCGGTCGCTACTGAAACTGTCACACAAACACTTGTGGTGACGGTTTCGAGTCCTCCCCTCGCCACGGTCACTGTCACGCTCGCGCAGGTTGAGCCGCAGGCTGCTGGCGGAGTCATCGACGGCGTCGCTGGAGGAAGCGCCGGAGTCGCTGCGGTCGGCAACACCCCAACCTTCACCTCCCCTGCCCCCAATCTCCCCGTCGCGACTCGAGTGGCGGCCACAGGACCCAAGCGGGACGATACTCCAAGGGGAGGGAGTGGGCCTAAGCTCATCTAGGTCCTCATCTGGGTCCTCGCTGGCGCCGAGTGTGGTGTAGATGGAGTGTGGTTCAACAGAGCCTCAAGAGAAGAAAGCGGGTAAACAGGGAGGCGGGGAGTAGATATCGGGGACCAGTATAAACATAGGCGTCGCTTGTCGTTTTAGTATTGCAAACTCGTTTGCCGTACTAAGATTGAAGTAGCATCTAACGTTGAGGAGCGAAGGCTCAGACTGAGGTTTAGAGACCCCATATGTATGGGGGGGATCGTGAATCGTGATTCTGAGGGCTCGAAAATTGTATTAGTGCTCTCGAATACGCCTGTGAGACAAGCGGCAACACTCACCATTAGTGCCTTGTAGGACTGTAGGGTTGGCACCCTGTTCAAGCCCGGATACACGATTTATTGTACGTATACTATCGTTTCGTTTACTTCCTGTTTCGGTCCGTCATCAGCTGCGGCCGCATTCATTGTTAGGTACTAGCTTACTAGATTATACATGCACACTCTGCGTGCTTATTTACATCTACCTACAGTATATATAGTACCTACCTCTACCTATGAACAACAAGAAGAAGTTAGTTTCCCCTTCCCTCCGTTGCGTTGCGAAAGTCGAGTCCAGCAGTCGCACGCGGCGCTGCTTGGTCGCGTTTCCGTCCTCCGTTCCGTTCGCCACGTGGTGTTCGGTTTCACTTTGTTCATTCCTACTTCACTTTTGGTGGGAACACACCATTCCCAGTCCTCGCATTCACACCAGCGAATACGACTTCGCACCTACACGACTATTTTGAAGACAAGGTAGACACTTCTCTTGCTTGTCGGATGGTGCAAGCACAGGCCGCTGCTATATCGTCACCAGCCCAAGTCGAGCATCGATCATCGCAGAGCACGGTCTCATCCCTGCGTCTCGAATGGACCGCGCTACGTATGTCATCCTCTACCCTCTTTTCAGAGTTCTTGGAATTTCTGGAGTGCTTAGAAATAATCAAAAGTGAGCGGACCACGCAATCCCATCCACGGGCGTGGAACGTTTATCCGCAAATCGCTACTCTCGCCGGTAGGCGTAGGGGTTGGACACATTTCATAATCGTGAGTATAAGTGTACATGACACTATCGAAAGAGCAATCAACAAGACGCAGCATCCGTGTTCTTGGCGCAATTCGCAATTGTGCCGAGATTCAAGCGAACGATACCCAGAAATTCCCGTCGAGTGGCAACCCAACACTGACGTCCAAAACCTTCGTTGCTGCTTCGTACTCAAAAGCGACCCGACGCCCATTGACTTGCGCCACTTTTGGTGCTCTTTGAACACCAAGGAACCTAACCCTCTGCACCGCAACCCCCGTCTTAAATCCAAACGTTCCGCGAACATCAAGCCTCGCACCCCCAAATGTCATTTTCACATTCGTCGTCGACGCCGGCTGAATCGAAACCCCATCATCCACATAAAGCGCCCCTTCCGCTTTCCCATCACCTCCAATGGCCACAACGAATTCGAAATCCTCCTTCCTCAACGCCGTAGTGGTCATCGCCGACCTCGCACGCAACGGCAGCACCGCCCCGCCCTTGATGTGCAGTGGAATCTGTGTGTAGGGGATATCGTCCAATGTGATGGTGGAGCCCTCCCCTTGCACGGGTGCAAGTGTATGAAAGTCGTAGAAGGTGTCACGCGGGAGATATACTGAGACAGAAGTCGTGTTTTCTTGGGTTACGGGGGAGACAAGGACGGAGTCGCCGAAGAAGAATTGAAGGTCTAGCGCGAACGTCGCGGGGTCCTTGGGATATTTGAACCATAGTGGGTGCACAACGGGCGTTCCGTCCAGGTGGGCTTGGTGGAACGCGGTATAGAGGTAGTCCAAGAGACGGTACCTGCATCAAAGGCACGGTGATGACACACGATATGCAACGAAGATGTGGCTTACCGAATATCGATGGCGTTCTTGGCAGCTTCAGTCACAAGAGGCCAGCGGTAGTATTCTTGGCTAATTGACGTATCTGAATTGTGCTGTAAAGACATGCATGGATGAGTAAAACAGACAGCTACGCGTGTATACAGATGTGATGTCGAGCTTACGTTCCGCATGAATGGGTAAAACGCCCCCAGCATTGCCCATCTCGCGCATAATGTCTCTGTTGTGTTCCCGGCTACATAGAAAAGTCAACAAACAACGCCACCGCCAAAAGCCACAGTTTTATTTTCATGATCATGATACTCACAATACCCGCAAATATCGCTTCCGACCATCGGGACCTGAAACACGCTCGCCATGCCCAGCATCCCCGCGATAGACTTCCTGTACTGATCCCATGCGCTCACATTGTCACCGAGCCATTTCCCCACGTGGCTCCCCGCGCCAGCGAACGTGGAGCGCGTAATGACGAGAGTGCGGAGACCTGGGCGGCGGGCAAGCATGGCGTTGCGGGTGGCGGTGGACATCATGGTACCGTAGAGGTTGTGCGCATCGTATTCGAGGACACCGTTCGCGTGGATGGCGTCGACCTAAATGGGAAGTGTGATTATGAGGGATAGTCGATGGGTAGTGGTACTTGCAAACGCGGTTTTGCTGGATAGCGCGCCAGCGGCGTTGTTGATGGCATATGGCGGATTCAATACGTCTCGATCGTCTTCGGGTTGTCTGCGATTCAAGCCGATATGTTGACGGTAGATGGCAGTTTCTCCTCTTTTTGTGTTGTTATCGGCATCACCAAAGATGGGAGTATTGGGATCAGGAGGTGGAGATGATCGTGGGGGAGGCAATGCCTGCTGAACAGCTTGATCGAATATATCCGTGCATGGGAGGTTGCAGAACTACATTCATATTTGACATTAATGTTGATGTTTCAAGAGAAAATTAGAAGGCTTGACGCACGCTAGCGGGTTCATTCATATCGATCCACGCGCCGTCGATGTCAATCCCGTCCTCGGGATCATAAAATATCTTGAATTCATTGGTCCAGTAACTACGAGCACCGATTATTTCGTTAGAGGGAATCGAAATTAGTTGAGTGATCGGATAGAGAATGAGGATGAGAAACGTACTCCTGGGCTTTGGGATGAAACCAATCTAGTTGTTGGGACGCAGCGCACAATATATATTTGATAATCAGTAAATGAACGAAGGAGGGACCACAATAACGCGAAACACACGAACCTGGGTAGACGGTAACTCCCGGCCACACGAGTCCTAGACTAACACCTCCTTCCCCCACACTTCCGCTTGAGTTGCTAGTGGCCTTGAGCCAGACATCGAGCGTCGTGCCCCGCGTATACGGTAAATACCCGTCTGCGCCCGTTTCTTGAGGAGTATACGCAACAGCGGGGTCGGTCATCAAGACTGCAAACGAAGCACGAGTAGTAGGTAATAGGGGCGCCAGTATGATTCATTAAACCCCAAATGAAGACAAAGAGGTAAAATTTTCGTACCAAACTTCTGATCCCTCTCATGTAAAAACTTTACAATCTCCCTCATACGCTGTTTGGGGAAGTAGTCGGGGTCGAGCGTGAAGATCCTGCGGCCGTGCATGTAGTCTGTAGCGTATACCGGTTCAAGTTTCATGACTGACGCTGGGTTGAGAAAAATAGTAGAACATACCGATATCGGTCCACATGGTCTCAAGCGGGATCCCTGCCTCTGAATAATTGCCTATCACCTCCGCGACGTCCACAAAATCTGCACAATAAGGTGCAATATGGCATCATAGAGTCAGTAATCGTGTCAAAGGATCGTGGAATCCATTAGGGTATTTGGAGTTGGAGACGCACTTTGATACCCAAATCGACATTGATGCAACCCAAAAGACCAGTAAGGTACTTCAGCGGGTAGGCCTACGAGTTGGGCATATTGCTTGGCAAGTTCAATCGGTGTATTTACGTTGGCGCGATTCAGGGAAGTGGATTCAGAAGCGGTGGAAGACGGGTTACCCAAGTGGGAGGTAGTGTCGGGGTTCCCGGAGAGGAAGTAAAGATCTACGATCCCGCCAATTGCCGTATATTCCAAAGCCCATTTCTCGTTGGCATTGTCAGTTGAAGTCGTCTTGGATATCTTAACGTCCATCCCCTCAGAGCTGAGAAACATCACACCATGGGTCCCGCCGACTCTGTGCTCGAAATAGATGGGATGTGTGCCATAGAGGTTCGTGCCTTGCGGGATCCCAAATGCATCGCGTGCCCAGAATGTCCGCGTCAGCGTCACCGTAGAACTGCTGCTAGTATTCGATGAAGTGGAGGTGGAAGACGTGATGGGGTCCAAGCGGAATGCCTCGGTATGCTCGCCCAACCCGTAGATATTTGGGTTTTGTGGGAGGGAGGTCTTGACGCGGACGTATTGGGGGTGGAATATGAGCGGGTGGGCGCTTGTTGAGAAAATGGTTTCATTTGAGGAAGAGCGCGAGATGGTAAATGAGAATGGGGACGCGGTATACGTGAATCGGAGGTCCGCCGTACGTCTGTCCACGGGTCCACGAGATGGAGAGGGCCGAGGAAAGACGGACTCCGGGACCTCGAAGCGTTTCGTCGTTGGATCGGTGATTTTGAGATGGACGCGGTTTTCTAAGAAGATGTGCGAATAAAGTTAGCATATAAGCGATGCTAATGATTAATTAAATAGCCATGGGAAAATACTACGCAGCGATGGGTATCGGATAGAGCAAGATGGTATTGGAATTTTTGTGCAGTAGGAGTAGTCCATATAACTTAGCAGGAGGGAACTTACGGGTCTCGACGACAACCTCCAACTTCAGTCTTTCCACATCGTGGTCCTTGCCACCAGCTCCCGTGCCAGTGCCAAAAAGCGCACAGGGTGCACGAAGGACGAGGTCGGCGGTCAGCCTAGAATCTCCCACCCAGGAGACATTCTGCGCATCGTACCCAGGGCAGTCGTCAGGATCAATCTGAGTGGTCGCATCGTTATTGACAGTAGACGCGGACGCTGCGAGCGCCGATGCCGACGCGCCCAGCAGAGCGAGGGAGAAGAGCAGACGATGAATGTGCATTTTTGCTTCCTGGAGGCTGCAGCAGGAGCCGAATCTTAATATACGGCCATGTCAGCCGTGTGGGTGGATGTCATAACGTTGTCGTTGTCGCATCCGCTGACCATCGGCGAGCTTCTTGAGGTTCTGTTGCATGGCCGAGAAGCAGAGAAGGAGGTCACGCCGACTGTGACTGCATGTGGTGGTGATGTCAATGAAGACCTTCGGAGGTAAGGACCATCTAAATTCTCTCACGCAGTTACTATTGTTGCTCGCCTCGTACCATAAGTTAACCACAAGTCCAAAGATTCAAGGATCAACGCAGCTGCTAGTGCTCAAGGAGAAGTACTGCATATACCGATCATGGATTCGGCCTCGGAAACAAGTCGTTTTTAAAGCCTTCGATGCAATCATATCTTTTTGCGAAGCCAAGAATTATAGCAGGTCGAACAGTGTGGAGTAGCTTATAGTCCCAATACTGTAGACTAACATTCCTTTGTTGAAGCGTATACAGTAACTTGTAAGGTCCATGGGGAATCGGTCGTCTGACTGAGCTCTGGCCAAGCAGTGTGGGCCAAGGACATTTACTTGACAGACGAGCTGTTCGGCAAACGCAGACCACGATGCAGTTCGTGACACCCAATTTCCAATTCCCACTACATGCGTCCGGTGAAGTAGACCCCAGCAAGGGCCAATCCCAGCGCAAGAGCACCGAACACGACACTGGCTGTCGCACCACGCCGCTGCCCGTGCCTCCAAACATCTCCTCGCATAACCTCGCGGCCTCGAGACTTCGCGGCGATCGTGACTCTGTAATGTTTCCATACAGGCGCCCGGAGCCACCACCACTGCCGGGTCTGCGAACCCGGGAAGATGCTGCTGATGATCCCGTCGCCGCCTTTGCGGTACCAAGAATTGCAGTGGAGGAACACCGACCGAGACAGCCGTGCTTGGATCTTCTCGTTGTAGGCATTCGTGGCGTCTGGAGTGACCTCGAACGAGGTGGCGTTGCCGGAAAGGACAGGAGCAATCAACGCGAGGCAATAATTGACCTGGTCGGAAACAGAAACAGGTTAACCAGTCAGATTATCTGCATTTGGAGGATGCAGGCGGAAATCGAACCTGCAATTCCTCTGCGTAAAGCACCGATGTATGGCCCGTAGTTGTGTTCGGCCCAGCAAGCATGTAGAAGTTCGGGAAGCCAGGTAATGTCGTCCCGATGTATGCTCTGGGAGCTCCGTGTTGGTCGTAATACTCTTGAACAGTCTGTCCGTTGACGCCGCAAATGTTAATAGCATACTGATCCTGTAGAAGACGGGAGACCATCAACTTCTACGCTTCGACTATTTATGGAACGAAGCACGGACAGCAACGAAGCCAGTGGCCAGAATGATGACGTCTAAAGGGATCTTATCGCCTTTGTGAAGTACCCAAGTTAAGTGATTAACGCTATCAGGGTTACGGGATACTTACCGCCTTCCATCAACACGCCATCTTCCACGATCTCAGTCAGTCCGTCGTAGATCAGTTGAACGTTCGGCTTGTGCAGAGACTCCAAATACCCGAAGTTATTGAAGAGGATACGCTTACAGCCCAAAGCTAGAATCCATGCGGTGAGAAACTTGGTCAATGTGGCGGAGCAAGAGTAGCATACGGTATTTAGGAATGATATGCCTGTGGTATTGTTTAGGAGCCGTGGATAGCATGTAATGTGTACTCCACTGTGAAGGGCATACAGTATCAGCGGACTTGAAAGACTGTGGTCGGCGAAGTCACCGAACCTTTGTAACGAGCCAATGAACTAGGGAATTGGAGAAAGTCATGTACAAACCACCATACTACATCCAAGGTAAGCTACCCAGCCGGAACATCGGCGGGGGAGTTGGACTAACTTTCATGAACCACATCAGTCTGTACAGCGGCAGCAGCAGTGGCATATGGGTGAAGCACCACTTCCATAGAGGGGAATATGGCTCGCGAACCTACATGGAAGATATCATCAAGGGTCGGTATATTACTTCTAGCAGGAAAGAAGAACCGCGTACCGGAGGTATGATCCACTTGGCAGTGCGACAAAACTGGGTGACTTCAACGCGCGGCTGCTCAGCGATGTGTGGGATAAACTGCGTGCTACCTCCGATAATTCAGCGATGACGGCTGGGATCCCAGAGAAACCAGTACAAACGCAGAGGCCCCGTTCCCGATAACGCCGACTCTCTTGCCCTCCAGAGGGATGTCTTCCCTCCAACGCGCCGAATGGAAGAGGTCTCCCTTGAACTTCGACAGCCCTTGGATCTGCGGTATGTTAGGGGTCTCGAGAATCCCTTGTGCAGAGATAAGAATTTCGGCATGCGTTGAGATTTTCGCTTGGGTGACCACGTTCTCTCCCTCGATTTGATAGCGCTGTTCTGCGGCATCCCACCGAGCACCAACGACACGCGTGTTGAAAACAATATGGGGGTACAGTTCGTACTTTCGCGCCAGACTGATCCAGTACTCCTGGATCTCGGCCTGGCCTGCGTGGGTGTAGTTCCAATCCGGCTTCAGATCAGTGGAGAGCGAGTAGAAATGAATGCCGACATCCGATGCTGCGCCCTATAGGAGACGACCGTAAATCTCCACCGAAGACCTAGAGCGACTGATGGCTCACGGGATATATGTTGTCCTGGGAAGAAGAAGAATCAGAGTGAATGACTCGTGGATCAGTGGATTGGCCAAGTCCCTCCAACTTCAGAAGCCTTTTCGAAGATCTGCGCAGCACGAAATCAATATACGCCCGTAACATAGCGAGGATGTGCTAATCCGTACCGTAAACTGGGCGTGAGGTAGCTGCTGCTTGAGCTTGATCGCAAACGTAAGGCCACCCATTCTACGAAAGATTAAATAGATTCATGCTAGGAGAGCAAGCGATGGCTACCCTGCGCCGATAATTGCGATACTCTTTTGGTGTTCCATTGTTCGGTATGAGAGCGAAGGGGAGGGGGTTTAGAGAGGCGAGTTGGACTTGCATTGTATTTAAGTCTGTGACCTCAAGCCCAGACTCCCACAAAGCCCATGCGAATGTCTTTCGGGGGTAATTGTCAGTCAAGACCAAAGGTGACATCGGGAGTATAACCTCACGCGGAACACGAACCATATGTTTGTTATTTTAGGACAGACGGTACCGTGCAAACGCGCTAAAAATCTGTGGGAAGTCAGAATCGTGGTAAATGAAGCATCGAGCACGGACCTCTCCGAGAGGGCCCTGATGGACAGAGGGGGATAGCCCCCTTTTATCGTGTTGTCGGTGTGTGCATCAGTTTGCTGGCGACCTGAGGGTGGTCATATCTCGCTCCGTTAGGATGCATGCCTTGAGATTTAGGCTGCCTAAGCCAAATACTGAGGGTCCCGAGGATGCATTATTATCCTGTCCACCGAGGAAAGGCAAAGCTACTGCACCGTTCACCTGGGCTCCTTGGGCGCTTCCTCGTCGTCCAAGTGTCTCCTTAGAATGACTTGCTCAGCCGCTTGTCGGGGAACGCAACGCTTCTGCCCTTTGCGTCGAAAACCCTGATTGCATCAGGACACACCAACATCGGGACACACCAAGTTTTCGCTTCGCCATGCACGATCACTCCATTTTCCGTAATATGTACCTTTCCAAAATCTCGCAATCTTCTCCGATACAATTGACATGCTTGTCCCGGGGATAGCCAACGTCAACGATGTACTTGACATTGCGTGAACAGCCGACCATATATGGCCATACCAAGAGCTCGGAATAGCGATTACCAGTTCCGAAGAAAAGTCGGTGAAACAGAGCGGCCGTGTAGAGATGCACTCAAGGCGGCTCCAGCAGGTGGTCAAGGGCAGCGCTTCGATATGACTGATTGGAACGCATTCAAATATTTCAGGGTGTGTACCTATCGGCGCAACCAACTTGGTTCAACGTGGCAAGGAAGAGGATGCGAATCACGTACAGATATCAGAAGTCTAGATAGTCCCTAAAGGACCCCCGACCGAATAGCTTCCAATCACCCACAGAGCAGCCCACAAATGCGCAAACAGCAACGCGCCATGTCTGTCTTTTCTCCTGCTGTTTAATGTCCAACAGTATATGATGGTACGTACGCACCTCCATACACTGATGTGGCTCGGGTAATCGTTAGGGTACTTCGGCCGGTAGCTCGACGAGTCGGTCAAAAACCACAACCCGCCGGATATATATTCATTCCGCATCACCTCGTCACCCTTGGCATCGTGGTGTAGGTGGCGATGATTGACGTTTATGCTGGCCCTGTCCTCAAAGCGAAAGCGTACCGAGTAAGTGCCATACGTCTTTTGAGACGGATACGCGTCACGCGTCTCGAGCTTTCCACGTTCCACCTTCAGTCCCGTCGCTTATTCCCAGCCCCGCCATCAACGAGTACACTGGGAGCACAGAGGTCATGTCTGTAGCAGACATAGACGTGGAACAAGGACAAGGTCATATCCGACTCGCTTAAGAGACGTTGCGCGCGTCGTACTTACCCCCGAAGGAGTCCCCGATCTGACTATTGACAAGTCGCGAAGCTGCGAGCACCGATGTAGCGGGCGGGGAGAGGGAGAAAGTGGTGCATTATTTGTGGGTGATGGTCCGCGCACACTGTGGTGAGAGCTTGTTCGGTCATAGTTCAACGTTCAACGCAGAATCCGGATTCCGATGGCCTCGAGGTAGACTTTTGGTGATCCTACTGTGTGGATGGGTTGAGAGATTGTGATGGAGAGAGCTACAGCAGGTGCGGAAGTCTTTGAAGACCCTGTAAGAACGAAAATGACTCTGCATACTAGGTGTGTTCAAACTTTAGAATGTGCAGGATCGGGAACGAAAGCAGATGTCCGAGCATCACGTGATGCACGGATCGCACATGGACTCGGCAACTACTCGGCGGAACTTCACCAGATAAGTGCGTGCTCGCAATTCTGCACAACGAGGCGAAACTACTAGCCATACAATTTATAGATAATAATGCACTGAGCACTGCGCAGAACTTGAACGAAGGAGTGAAGAAAAACGAGTAATATGAGAAGAAAACGCGTAGGCTCGGCTCGATGCAGTCTAAACCATTGCAACGCTTGAATCAAATTATACGACCTTTCGAGTTCACCAACACATGGTCACAGCAAGTCAATGTTCAACGTTCAACGCTTACAGCCTAAAAATCTTACTGAAGAAGCTCTTCCCCTCATTCATTTTCCTCTTCTCTTCCCTCTCTCTCTCCTTCGCCGCCTTCTCCCTCTGCTTAACTTCCCACTCGTCAGCATAATACACCTTTACCACCCCGTACTGAGTCTCTATGCTCAGCTCGTCCCATTCCTCCTTCCTCTCTGTGTCATCATCTCCATCTCCATCAGGGTACCCAGCGAAATCGCCAACGAAGCATTTCTTCTTCTGTCCATCAGCAAACGTGGTAGTGTTTCTCCTGAGTCCGTCAGAGAATTGTATAGAGCCATGGGTCGTGGACGCGGATATGGGGCCGTGGAATGAACGGGGGACGTGAATGTAGATGTTACCGGTGCTGGTTGTTGCTGTGAGGTGGAATTTGGGGGTAGGAGAGCCGGAGACGGATAACTAAAGCGATCCGGATGAATGAGTGAATCAATGTTGGTGAGTGAAGCTAGCGTACGATCTTCCCCTTAACAGAGCCATGAGTCGAACCGAGTGTGATTCGGGCCCTTCTCTTCGTAGTACTAGTCCCACCTCCGCCGCTGTCGACGATCCTCGCGACCACATCGACCGATGCAGTGCCCGCCTTCAAATTCAGCGTATCCCTGTCCCCTTCCTGCACCTCCGCGGCCGCCTCTGAGATAAGCGAACTAGGGACCTTCAGCGACGGGTCCAAGATGTACTGGTTTTTGTTGGAGGTGTTGGGGTCGTAGGCGTTGTAAGCGTATACCCAGTTGCAGGGGCGTTCGGTGAGGAGCGGGGGGACATCGTACGCGTAGGTGAGATCCTGGCTTGAATGGGCTTCTGTGTTTGGTGTTAATGAAGCTTGCGCAGCAGTTGTACTGGTGTACGGAGGTGGGTGTATGTCGGATGCAGGAGTGCGGTCTAGTAAACCGGCTTTCTGGTCGATGTTATCGCTGGTGAGGATCATCATTTCTATAGGTGGCCCACGCAATGCTGCGAGGAGTGGTTGAAACTAATCTATCATTATAAGGGATCAAATGCGCAGTGGGGTTCAAGTTGCTGCGTGCAGCGCTGTCCCGTCAGATTCGCCACGAGTTGCCAGTCCGGAATGCTTTAGGATAAGCGGAATGCGCAGTTTGGCCTACATGAACTGTAATGCTCATTATGGACCTTCTCCGTGTAATCCAATTCTCCGAGGTCTAAACCACTTCCAGGTGAGGTGTAGTGTACTCACGACCTGTGGACGACTTGATTGTTTTGTTTGTGTAGCATCACTTATCACTGATCAAGTACACGGAGGACCACAGCAGCGTCGATAGGCACGACCCACACAAAGGCTACATAATTAAGGGCAACCCATTAGGAAATACCAAAGATCCTGCTGAAGAAACTCTTTCCCTCGTTCATCTTCCTCCTCTCTTCCCTCTCTCTCTCTTTCGCCGCCTTCTCCCTCTGTTTAGCCTCCCATTCGTCCGCATAGTATACCCTCACTGCCCCATACTGACTCTCTAGGCTCAACTCGTCCCATTCCTCCTTTTTCTCTCTATCGTCGTCGCCATCATCATCAGGGTACCCTGCGAAATCGCCGACGAAGCATTTCTTCTTCTGCCCATCAGCAAACGTGGTAGTGTTCTTCGCGAGTTCGTCGGAGAATTGTATGGAGCCATGCGTCGTAGACGCGGATATGAGGCCGTGGAACGAACGGGGAATGTGGATGTAGACGCCCCCGGTGTGGGATGTCGCTGTGAGTTGGAATTTAGCAGGCGGAGAGCCGGAAACGGACAACTACAGTGATCCGGTCAATGGATAAGAAGTCAATGCAAGTGAGTGAGACCAGCGTACAATCTTCCCTGTAACAGAACCGTGAGTCGAGTGGAGCGTGATCCGAACTCTCCTCTTCTTTGCACCATTCCCACCTCCGCTACTGTCAACGATCCTCGCAACCACATCAACCGACCCGGTATCCGACCTCAAATTCAGCGTGTCCCTCTCCGCCTCCTGCACCTCCGCCGCCGCTTCTGACATGAGTGAACTAGGGACCTTCAGCGACGGGTCCAGGATATATCGGTCTTTGATGCGGCTGTTGGCATTGTAGGCATATAGCCAGTTGCAGGGTCGCTGGGTAAGGAGCGGGGGGACATCGTAGGGATAGGGAAGATCCTGGCCCGAACGGTGTTCTGGCGGTGCTCGCGATGAAGATTCTGCAGCGGTTGCGCTAGTGTAAGGAGGAGGAGGGGGATGTATATCGGGCGTCGGAGTCTGGCCTAGATTGGCCTTGCTGTCAATGTTCGCAACGTTGTCGCTGGTGACGATCATCATTGCCTGGAAATATAGGCGTCCTGCGGGGGGCTTGCGAAGGCAACCGGAAATTCGGACTGTTAAGAGTGCGACGAAGCGTCAAGCAGTGGTACTGCGTACTGCGCAGCACGAGGACCGACGGCGAGAACGCGGCACCGCCCTGATCCATCGTCACGGGTTCGAGCCGAGTCCGGAATCCTGTATATGGGATCAATTCTGCATAGGCGGTCTCTCAAGGAGCGCTTCTACGTAGGGATATACCATCGAGCTCTCAAAATTTCCAAACAGTGAGCACCTTCGGCTTCCAGCTATGATGATTAGATTAGATTAGATTAGATAACAAGATTTGGCCGGATGTAAAATCACTCCCAACGGTTGACCAGGAGGGCTAGGGCTTTGAGAAGTTGAAACCAAGCTGAAGCGGTTGGTGATGTACATACCTATACCCCATTCTATGAGGGGGTTCAACTCGCAAAGCTTCGTATTTCATATGCACATCTACAGGCGAGTCGCAGATACCAATCAGATATTTTCTCATCGCGGACCTCATGTCACTCCCAACTTGGGCCGCTAGCACGATTGAAGATCAATCTCTACGGAGACGATAGCAGTGGCGCAAGAGCTTCCAGGCGACAATTGCCCATATATAAGTGGGCACATGCAGCCCCAAGCTTGACGTTGTGTGGGAGACAGGCGCGGCATGGGAATGAGGCTAGTGGTGTCGGATATCGAGGCCGATAAAGATTCCTGCCATCGATCTTGGCTATGTAGCGGGAACGCAGATGCTTCGACAGCGGCGGGTTGCCAGGACGACTCGGCTTGGAGATAAGCTATAAACTCGTAGACATCTAGTACCCCGGGCCGACAAAACTGAATGGTTATAACGGAGGTCGACATGTCCCGGCGCACAGAGGTTACTCGCCTTTACTCGCTCGCGACTACGCCCATGCGCCATGCGGATTGGGCGGCGACGTAACCGCTATCGCTATCGCAATGGCTCCTTCGGTGGAAACGGCTAGATGGCCAGCGGTGATTAATGATTGAGATCGTGCAGAGCTGCAGTAGTAGTCAGCATCATGGGGGCCAAAGAGGGGCATAGATGGTCACAATGCTCGGGCGCGACGCGTCCTGCCCGAGATGTTTCCTGTTTCTTGTGTCCTGTGGATGACGCCTAGCCATATCAGGAACCTCGACTGTGTTCCAAAACATACCAAAGGTCAATCGAATCGCTGGATCGCTCAGGAACGGAACCCCGGAAAGGACGAACGATGATGTACTGCATACGCCAACGGTACCTTGATACGGGAGGAAAGATGGGGTCAGGACGACGCTTCCCCGCATATAAGGGTCCACTGGGATGGGGTGAAGGGTCCAACGGACATTCCTGATACCGCCCCTGTCCAGCCCTGTCCACCCGCTGTGTCCACTCCCGAGTAACCGAGTACCGGACTACCTAAATATCTTGCGATTGTAAGCCTCGAGATAATCGACGAATAGCAAAGCCTAGAAACAGGAATCATATCGAAAGAATGTCTTCTGCCCAACGCGTTTGGTTGATTACTGGTGAGTTGGGAGGATTTCCTTCATCCATAGTGAGATGGATGGATGCCGTGACGTTACCACTATCGCTAACTTCGAAAATAGGATGTTCAGCGGGATTTGGTCGCCGTTTGGTATACTCTGCGCTGGCGCGGGGGGATAAAGTCATAGCCACGGCACGCTCTCTGGGCAAAATAGAGGACCTTCCGGAGAACACCCTCGTTAAAGACAAAGCAGAGAACCTACGTCTCCTCGCACTCGACGTAACAGCGGGGTTCACAGCCATCAAAGAGGTTATCGACAAGGCAAACACATTTTGGGGAAGAATCGACGTGCTGGTTAATAACGCAGGGTATGGCGTACCAGCCATCCTCGAGGAAGGGGGGTAAGTGATATTCTATTCGAGCTCTAGTGTGGTGGCGAGAAACTGATGGTCCGCGGATTAGTGTCGAGAGCATCAAGCTTCAATTCGCGACGAACTTGTACGGGCCGATTGATGTTATCAACGCCGCGCTTCCACACATGCGCGCCCTCAAGTCTGGGACAATCGTGAACGTTGGGAGCAGATCTGCCTGGAAGACCGAGCTCCCCGTAAGATCCAATTCCTTCCAAGTTCGCACGCAATGGTGCTCACCTGTTTGCTGCCCCCATAGGGAATTGGGCCGTATTCGGCCTCGAAGGCTGCCCTCCATGGTAATATACCCCTGTCCGTTTCTTCCAATTTGCGAAGCTGACGCCGATTGTCCGATAGCGCTTACTGAGACGCTGGCCATCGAACTCGCTCAATTCAACATTAAGGTTCTGCTCGTTGCGCCAGGAGCCTTCAAGACGGAAGGCGCCTACAATTATCCATGGGATAACCCTAATCCCCTACCAGCGTACGATAACATTCGTACGGCGTCATTGGAGAAAATGGGATCCATCCGAGATGCGATTAAAGGTGATCCGCAGAAAGCCATGGAGGTAGTTGTGGACGTGGTACGAGGCGAAGGGGTGGCAAAAGGCAGGGAATGGCCAACATACTTGATCCTGGGAGAGGATGCTGAGGTGGATATTCGGAATAAGATTGGGAAGATAGCCAAAGCACTGGATGACTGGCAGGACGTTATACGTAGTGTAAATTTATGAACCAAATAAGAGGCTCCACTTTTCTGTACTTCTAGGAGTGAGAAGGAAACAATTCTGTCCGCTCGCGAGCGGCCGGGAAACCTAGCTTGCTCACCCGTTCAACTTGAAACCAACGGCACCCTTCGACAGTCCCAGCGTTGAGACCAATAAGAACAGGCTTCGTATCTATCTCTATGAGAGACTATGTAGGGCGAGTGTTTAGATTGAGGAGCTTTGCAGAGAGTTGAAAGAAGGAATCCAAGTGCAGCCTAAAGAACAGTTGCTTTCAAAGAAATGCGGCGATCGCGAGTATAAGTGCTCGTACGTCCTGCACAGGAAGGATGCCAAGGTTGTAGCTACGGAGCTTCAAGCTTAATGCAGAAGCATCTGTATCTTTAGCAGGGGGGAAACCATAAAATGACCATGTCAACAGTAGAGTACCCGCCTTCATTTCCAGTTTGGTAATGTGGCGCGACACGACCACGTGGAATCTTAGGGATCGGCCGGCAGCCAATCACGTTCCATGAATCTGACTACCATTAGCGCTCTCACGGAGTTGTCATTTGGTGTTCTTCCTGTGCGCGTCGTATGCCCTACGGCCATGGATGTCCACTCAATCATCACAATCGATCTAGTATGTTAGTCCGCTAGCCTTTGTGTGCCTAAATCCCAACAAAGTACAGATTCTTGACCGTCAGACAGCTAGGGATGCTCTGAATGGCATCTTACACGCCATCCTATTTCACCGACTCTTCGGAACTGTTAAACCAAAGACACTGGAAGTTCTCGACGTGACTATGGTTGGTTAGCCTGCCCCATATGCAAGGCAAGATACGGGGCGATAGTCATCGTCGGAGCTGAGAGTACTGATTGCTAGATAGCCTGGCGTATCCGACCCAGAAACTGAGCAGCTTGTGGCGGACAAGGTTGCGGCGTTTTGGAAGGGCATCGAGAATGGAGCGAGTAAGCACGGCCAGGTGAGCGAAGAAGGAAGCATTGCAGGAGGTGCTCACACGACATGCAAGATAAGCGTTACGTTCTCCCACAAGCAACCGAGGAAATCGTGGTTCCAGGTCTACATGGGTGACGAGGAAGTGCCCTGGGAGCAGTGGTACATTCACTTTGTCCTTATTGAGCTCGTACTGAGCGCATCATAGGGTCATCAACGCTGAACTCAGACAACCTAAATCTGAAGAAGGTATGTGCATTCCTTGCTTTCGCTGAAGCGTTGTCCGAGACCTTTACCTCCCACAGATCGCCAGCAAGCTAATGCGCAACTCGCGAACACGCTAACGAAGGCTATCCAGACAATGCTCAGCTACACCTCGTCCGAGCGCGGGCGTAGCGTGGTTCCACCGATTACAGTCGCCAGCGGGATATCGCCTTTCCCCATCAAAATCGCCGTGAAAGTCGGTGGAATAGAGGTCGACCCTGGGAATTGAATATCTGTTATTCGAAGACTAGATTGATAGATGTGATGTGAGCGAAATTTGTGCTGTTCACCGTTTTCTGATTCCTCATGCACTTGCAGATTGTATGTACAACACCAGTTATGAGCAGCTGGAGATAAGAAAAGCTTGATTCCTCCTATCGCCTTAAGTCCCAAGATCTCACTCCCGGTGTCAACCCCCCGAGTATAAGCTTCGATTTAATGAACTAACGAACAGTCATTCAGTCGAACTCCGCGTGAGAGTCCGGCGATACTTCAAAGCTTTAGTAACTTCCGCCTTAAATACAATATGCAAATCACCGAAAGTAGGTGTAGCTTCAACTCATCGCCTCAAGGCTACAGACCCTCAGTGCTATCTACCCTCACCTTGAACAATGGAGCGACCAAAGAATATCGTCATCATCGGTGCTGGGTACGTAGCTTCCCCCCTTCGCATGAACTGGATTGCCTTTATTGATCAATCCTTCCTCCTTAGTATCGGTGGGCTGGCATTCGCGATCAAGCTCAAGCAACGGTTGCCTCACGCCCAGTTCACGGTTAGTCCTGCACTTGCGGCCGGGCTTTATGATGTATTTCTTCGTTGCCTAGATTTACGAAAAGGCCTCTGAAGTTGGCGGGACGTGGCGGGTGAGGGCGAATATACTTCCGCACTGTCAAGAAACGTAGACGCTCAACTTTTTTAATTTCCCCTTGGCAGGACAATATATACCCTGTGGGTCCACCCTTTCACTTCGATGGGATTCAATCACTCACATCTATCTCCCACAGGGGGCAGCGTCGGACATCGGGATTCATTTTTACTCGCTCTCTTCTGATCTGAAGTCAGATTGGAGCTTCACCCAGGCCGACCAGGCCGAGATCCTAGCCTACTGGATCGACTTAGCCCACAAGTACCACTTATACCCTCACATCATCTTCAACACGCGCGTCATCGGCGCGCGATGGGACTCCGACGCGCAATGCTACCACATTGACGCAGAGAACGTCAATACCAGTGAGAGAATTCCGACCAGTGCTGAAATTCTGGTGTCGGCGAATGGAATTCTCGAAATACCACATATACCGAAGATTGCGGGGTTGGGGATGTTCAAGGGGGATTTGTTCCATTCAGCGCGGTGGAAGGATGTCCCTCTGAAAGGGAGGAAGGTAGGCGTTATCGGGAACGGGTCGTCTGCGTTTGTATCAGCTTCCGTTGCTTCCTTGATGAGCATCACTGAATCATTTTATGTAGCATGCAGTTCATGCCACACATAGCTGAGCAACCGGACGTCGAAGTCACTCAGTTTTGCCGCACGCCTAAGTGGATACTGCCTCCGGTACGTGGTCCTGTTGAGTTGTAAATAGTATATTGAGATCTTCTATGTAGGTCCGCCAGCCATATTCGACTCGATGGAAGTGGTGTTTGGCTCATGTGCCGCTGCTTCTGCAACTCTATAGATTTGTGTGGTTCATGAAGGTCAGCAACCGCGAGACTACATGTAAAGGCGGAAAAGCTCACGTTGGATGTGTAGTCAGGAGGGCTGTATATGATATTCTCTAATGCCTTGTTTCGGTGGCTTGTTACAAAGGTTCGAACGTTTCACCTATTTTTGCTTTCCCTCCAATTCAATGTGCCCATATTCGCATTCATACAGCGGACTACGCAATATATGCTTTCCGAGGCGCCCGAACGGTATCATGACCGCATGATTCCTAAGTTCCGTGAGCCACTCTCGCTTTGCTCGGCTGCATAGATAAAGTATGAAAGATCTCACCGTGCGGCTTCTAGCCGTGGGATGCAAGCGCCTTCTCTTCGACAACTTCGGGTATCTGGAGTCTTTACACAAGCCAAATGTTCGACTAGTCTACGACGGACTCACAGAGATTGTAGAGGACGGTGTATTGATGAAAGGCGGTACGTACTCCATTATACGAGATCGAAAACGCTAGCGTTAAACTACGCATCCAATTCTGGTACTTCCAACCTTGATATAGGCCAGAAGATTGATTTGGACGTCATCATACTGGCCACAGGCTTCGTTGCCGTGCGTACTTCATTCTATTATCTATATATATTCATAACGTCATCAATGTGCTTGTTCTTCTCCAGGACGAATATGCGATTCCTATTCGTGGGCTGAACGGCCAGACGATTCAAGAGTACTACGACACATACGGAGCTCCGAGAGCATATCTTGGAACAACCTTGCCTGGCTTTCCGAACTTTTACATGCTCTCTGGACCGAACACGGCCACGGGGCATTCGTCAGTGCTCTACTCAGAAGAATTGCAGGTTCGTTCGTTTACCATTGATAACTGATCTCCCAAGACGCACCAGTTATTCTCGCCCTACCATAGACCGATTATTGCCTTGCATTGATTGCTCCTGTTCTCGCCAACAAAGCCAAATCGTTTGAAGTCACTCCAGAAGCAACAGACTCCTACAACGAGAGAATTCAAGCACGACTCTCTCGTTCAGTTTTCGTACACTGCAATTCCTGGTACCGCAAAGGCGGCGACGGGATAATCAGCAGCATCTTCCCAGGTTCCCAGACCCGGTTCTGGTGGTGGCTGCGAGCCCCTGTATGGTGTCATTACCGAGTTGTCACACCCAAGTCACACGTACACGACTCGTACGTGATCGGGGGAGATGTTTGGAAACAGCAGCAGAAACAAGGGCAGCGGTTCGGTACGACCGTCGGTGTGATCATGTATGGTGGCGCTCTTGTCCTGGGATTGGGATTAGCCCTCGCCGGGTTCTACTTACCCGGAGGCTTGTAAGTGGAAATGGGAAGGGGGTGTCACGAAGAGCATCATGTGGGAGGTCAGCTAACCTGTTAAGCGACGCTACCACACTCTCCGCTACACCTTGGCCTTTCTCCATTGCACGCAGGTTGTGGTCAGACGGTCAGACGACTGCCCCTTATGAACTCCCTCCTTTATAATAAGCTTCCATGCGAAACGTAATGCTAGCTTGCAATAATGTCCAACTCTATTCCTCTCACTGCTCGAGCTGCTGTGCTTGTTGACTTCGAAAAGGATGTGGTTATAGCGACCGATCACCCCGTCAGGCAGCCGTCCGAGCTAGCGCCTGGGGAGTGTCTGATCAAGATCGAGTATGCCGGTGTATGCCACAGCGACTTACACATCCGTCAAGGTGGTTGGGGAAGAAAGCTCTCGTTGCCTCTCATCGGAGGGCATGAAGGCAAGCATCCTACGTCACCTCGTACTAAGCTTCGTTTCATAACTTATCCCGCTATCAAGGTGTCGGGCACGTCGTTGCTATTGGCGAGCATACTGTCGATTCTCAAGTCAAGATCGGAGACAGAGTCGGTATCAAATGGATAGCTAACGTTTGCATGAAGTAAGCATATGTCCTCATTAAGCGGTGCACTTAATCTGACGATAATGAAGATGCGAAATGTGCCGCAAAGGGGCGGAATCAAGTAAGTTTGGGTATCTACAAGCGTAAGATTCAAGCTGAGCCTCATCCGAAGGCTGTCCTCTTTCTTTTCAAAGGGCCTCTGGGTACAGCATGGACGGTACCTTTGCGGACTACGTCGTAAGTCCCTCGGTTCGCGCGTAGTACTACTACAAGATTAAAGAAAATCAGGTTTCATATGCCAACTACGTCACACCAATACCACCTAGTGTTGGTAGTGCTGAAGCTGTCTCTATTTTATGTGCAGTAAGCCTCTATCTGCTTTCCAACCTTATATGAGGCTGACATCGTGAATCAGGGCGTGACCGTCTATAAGGCACTGAAGCAGACACGTACCATTGTCGGGCACTGGGTAGCCATCTCTGGCGCAGGAGGTGGATTGGGGCACCTGGGTATGTCCCCAGGCACTATCACTGTCGGCTCACAGCTGAATCGCATTCTCAGCTGTGCAATATGCTGTTGCGATGGGACTACGGGTGCTGGCTATTGGTAAGCTTCTACTCTGGAGCCCGTCCAAAGTCGACACTTAGTGTCATTCTTCACGACTTTTTTAGATACCGGAGAGGAGAAGAAGAAGTTGGTCCAAAGCTTGGGTGCTGAAGCTTGGGTAGACTTCATGGAATCGAAGGACCTGATTCAAGACATCAAAGACGCTACTGATGGGCTCGGTCCTCATGCCGCTGTAATCGCAGCTGGGAGCGTAAGCACAATTGACCTTCATCTATGGGTGATCGTTGACGTATGTATCGTAGAGTACACCTTTCAACCAGGCTATACTTTACCTGCGGCCTTTGGGCACATTGGTGGCTGTCGGAATGCCAAAGGACGCAGCTATGAACATTCCCATAGCGCTGTTCATCGGCAAGGTACATTTTATATCTCCTGAATATCCCTTTGATCTGGAAGTGTCTGACCTCCGTTCTAGAGCTTAACCGTGGTGGGAACCTCGGTTGGGTATGTCGCTTTCTCAATCGTTAGACACGACGTGCCTTTCCTAACGGTGTTTCGTGTTGATAGTAATCGTCAAGACGCTACCGAGGCGTTGGATCTCGTGGCTCGGGGCAAAGTCAAATGTCATTACCAGGAGAAACAACTACAAGACCTGAATCAGTGAGTAATAGACCCCTCGCTTCCAGCAAACTTTCATGAGTAAATATTATGAACGTGTAGAATCTATACTGAGATGGAAGCCGGAAGAATTGTAGGACGAATCGTCCTCAAGATGTAACTTATTAGGAAGTGGTGCCTGCAAGTAACCAATGTCACTGTTCATTATATTCATCCTCTGTATTATTCGTTAACGTCTTTGACCCCTCGCACTCAGTCCTTGGAAGTACGCAGCTCAATCAATTCACTGGGTCCCCATGGCAGTGCTTATAAGAGCTTCTTGAGCCATCCCCTGCCCTATATTAGGTGGTCGATCTCCACCGCGCAGCTTGCCCTCTAGATATGAAACGGCGGCGAGGATGTCCACAAGATTCACCATCTGTTCGTCATTCGTGTAGACCACCTCGTCTTCTTTGAATAGTTGATCGTCAATCAGTAGCAAGAGCTGCTGCTGGGCGTTTTGAATGTGCGCGATCGGTGATGCGTACTTCACATCATCTGGACGAAATAGCTATAGACCAATGAGGTGAGCAGTTCGCTATATGTGCAAAGTTGTGGGACGAACCGCCAGCCTATACGACGGGTCGCTTTTCCAGATACACCTCCCCAGTTTTGTTTCCATGAACGTCACCGGGCTAGTCAGCCATCCAATCAATTGTTGCTCCGCGGCACTGGCATTGAATACAACAAACTGACAATTTATCTGGTGTTTTCCCAGCAACGAGCCATTTGGATACTCTCATCTTCTTCCCTTCGTTTCTCCCGGAGAACTTGACTGTATCCGGGAGGATCTCGTTCCTCTCTATGTAGGCAACGACGGCGCCCGTCTGTGCATTGGCGATCGTCGTTTTGCTGTTGGACCGAACATCGGTAGAGAGTGTGTACAAGGGTTGGCCGTTCGGATGAGGGGAGAAAGTCGCGTTCCTAATGCTATTGGGTGAGAAAGCGAATGTCACCATGATGGTCACCTACTTGCGAATGACAACCGACGTGCACTTAAATCAGACATCGAAGGTCGCGGCGAAACTATCACAGCCTCAACGAGGTCATCCGATGAACGCATTTGTCAGGCCCGGAAACGCAAAAGAGGCTGTGAACCGGGATCTTTATTTAGCTGTCAACAACACGGCGTTCATAACAGCTATCCTGTTGAAGCCACGTTGAAGCAATCTTAGAAGTAACCTACTTAGCCCACTTCATCAAATTTATCAAACATCTACTTGCCGCCTTTCGTGCACCATCAGAGCTACAAGGACGGTCAGGACTCACATGTCGCAACAGGTACATATATCGAAGAAAGTAGTACCTCGGGCGCGGTCGACTCCTTACTGCCAACACGGAGCTTTGTACAGCTTGCGATCAGGCTTGTGTGATGGAAGGGGTGCTAGAGCGGAGGCCCAGCTAGTCTACGGAGAAGGATAGTTATTCCTGGAATCTAGGCACCAATGCAAGATATAAATGCGATCAAGTATTTTGCGATGCCGTCATGGATTCGACAATCACCCTCGTCAACCCATCAGCGCCCGTAACCCTCGTGTTCACGAAGGACAGCACTACGAACACGGGAATAGCTCTCAAAGGCTCGGAGTCGCGAATTATTTACTCCGTCTCGAGTGACGCCCTTACGTGCAGCAAGACGACAATTGCTGATTCCGCTGGCACTGTGGCCGTTATCAACAAACGAGATATCCTGCCGAGTACCATTTCCTTCCCAAGCAGAGATGGCCGGGGAAGTATGAAGCTAAGCAAATGGCTGAAGGAACAGAAAACCTCAGATGGCCTGTAAGCGCACACTGTAGCATCCTCTGTCTAAGATAAGACATCCTTAATATGATACCGATTTAGCCCTATCATGATAATAGAGACGACGCTGGGCCAATTCGGCTGGAAGTACAATACCACCAGGATCGCAGTAAGTATTCACCTTACGCATAGTAGACCTACGAGTCACCGTGTCCCCTAGTTATGGCCCTCAGGAGACGAAAGCGATGGGCTGCCAACTGCATGTCTGCAGCCAGCTACTTCCGAGTCCCCGATGAGTCTCATCATTGAACCATCGGGATTGACACTCGCCAACGAGCGCGCCTGGATGCGAGATGCGAAGACGAGGGCATTCGTGGAAGACGTTCTCGTCTCGGCCTTGGTCATAGAGCATAGGCTGCGAGTAAAGGAACGAATGTATCACGCAGCTGCAGACATTCCCCGGGGTAGTTTCTTTAACCCCATGGCCACTGCCACTTAATCTCAGCATCGAGTAGTTCGTCCGCTCGGATGATGGGAAATATTTTGTGAATGACTGGAGAGATGAATAACTAAACGAGGTCTAATGAGTCAAGTCAATGTAACATAGTATCGTCTGTCATCCCTCGAGCATCTATACACAATGTCTTCATTCGACTCCTGGAACTCAGTAAGGCTGTCTGCTAGTGCTGTTTCCCGATCAGACGATGGCAATTTCGAGAATGAACATTCGTGGTAGAAAGTCGAGAAGCCAACACTTGGGTAGCATTCGTGGCGCAAAAAATCTCCGAGGACAAAAGGGGCTGAGGGAGGAGCAATAAATAACACGGTCGGAGGGATAGAAGGATACTAACGTGATCTTTCCTGGTCATCGAAACTGCTACAGACACTACGCCAATTACTGTGATGGGGTATCAACTTCGATCACCCAAATGTATCTGCAGCACTCACATTGTCGCGAAGAACTTGTGTGCTTTAATCGTTGGGATATAGGGCCTCAAATCCTCCGGGGCATGAACAATCTTAAGAAATATAACTCGTCAGTGCGTTCGTGAGCAGAGAAGGCAAATAATAGAGCCTCACAGAAGATAGGAAGTCTGCAACGACGGGATCCTCAACCAACTGGTACATATCGAACATAACACCCCGATCCTCGCCCTCGGGACTGAAGAAAGGCTCGAAGGACGGTGAGCCCTAGACTTGAAGGTAAAGCTGGTCGCTTACTAGACGTTTGGACAACCACATTTGCAGGACGACAGCGCCATACATCCATATGTCTGAAGCAGCAACTAGATAGCCCTTCTTCGAAACATCTGCACGCCATAACTCTGGGGCACAATATGCGGGCGTGCCGACGGCGTCGTACCTGATCTGCTTAGTGAACGGGCGCTGGTCATCGGGAGGGATACGGACAGAGAGACCGAAGTCTGCGAGTGCGAGATGTCCATTCGAGGATATAAGGATATTGTCTGGCTTTATGTCACGGTGGGCGATATTCAGGGAATGGAGTTGCTCGATGGCGACCAGCTGTAAATTATTTCAACAACGTCACAGGACAGCGTAGAAGCGAAGCTTACCAACTCTGAAGCGTAGAACTTGATCGCTCCGGGAGTTAGTCTTTTGCCTAAATCCCGCATTAGACTTATCAAATCAGAGAGCGACAGTGGATAGGCTTTCTGTTGACATAATAAGAATTTTTTGAAATATGATGAAGCAGAGAGTGTACCAAGACGAAATAGACGTTGTGTTTGTCTTGAAAGGCTTCAAAGAGGGGGGTCAAATACCGACTCCGGCTTTCGGTAATCGCCACCAGCGTATCTCGTTCCCTAGCCAGACATTCAGCGAAGGTTGATTTTGCTTTCTTGGAGAGAGTGTAATAGGCCAATTGACGTTTGTGGAACACCTTGATCGCCACCATCTCTGTAGTCATGGGTTGCTTCTGAACAACCACTTTCGCGCACATGACATGGCAAGTAGCACCGGTCCCAAGGCGAAATTGAACGTCGTATCGAGAAGTGGGGCTATTTACTAGGCAAGGACTTGAGCACGGCCTCCCTAGTTCATAGATATAGGATGACAGCGTCGATTCTGAGCTCATGTCTTCCGCACGGCGGGGACAGGAAATCTCGAGCGCGTTCCTAATTGCGCGGCGTTCCCTGCTGGAACGTATAGCTTCTAGGTAGTTCCGAAGTAGATACTTGGTTTCAGGGCCTGGCGATGCCTCGAGACGACGGACGATCCCACTTTCGCCAACGAGGCGGCGATAGCGTCCAATATTTCGTGCATACCAAGATTGTCTTTTTTCGGCTCCAACAGATCCACTCGCAAATCGTGCTCGGCGAACGCCTGCTCCTTGGGCAGTGGGCGCACATGTGACGATCGGAGGCGACGGTGCGCCCTTAGAGCCCCGGTGGCTCTGGGATCGTCGCTTCCAGAACGACAGCCGGTTACGAAGCGAATCAGAATGTTCAGCTGGTATGCACGGTAGGGGCTTGTTTTTTATCCTGTTGAACTTGCGTTTGCGCCGTGTGGCTCGCCATTTTCGCGCGAGAGCCTGAAGAATCGCAAACATAGTCGAAAGGTGATTGTGGTGGTTTCATTTGAGTACTCAATACAACGTCCTTATATAGCCAAAGAGAGGCGGGTTATGCTGCGCCGCGAACAATGGCAGGTGGCGACTAGCGATGTGGCCATAAACGACAAAGCAAGGAGGAATGGATAGGGAGCATAAAGCAGCGCTTCTCGAAGCCACCGATAGACCATAAAGCAGTGACATAGCGACACGATATCGGAAGATGTCTAGTATAGCATCTTGCACTTTACATGAGAGGGAGCGCGATGAGCCACCAAACACGTGGTTTGTCGAGTTGGGCCCTAGTAAAGACGTGGTATTTCGATATTACTTTATCTTTCGTGATACAGCTTTATGTATGTTGGCCAGATTTCAGAAATAAACTGCGGAAAAGGAATTTGTTAGCCCTATGCATTTAAAAATTTGTGTACCGTAGATAGCGATTATTAGCGAACTGCAGTAGGAGTCTCAGGGGTAGTCCACGCGGACTGCGGTCACGTGAGCGAGAATTTGGATTCAGTTCAGATTCCGAATTCGGAATCATCGGTGCCTCCTGAGTTTGCCCATTTACCACCACCTTCTCTCGCTTCCACCAGCGAAATGAGCAGCGCGAAACATGTCAGATCCGTCTATACCCCAGTATTCTACCTAACGCCAGACCCCTCCTCTGCGTCTTCCAAACCATTCCTGAGCGAACCTAGGGCCGTAATGTCGTATCTCAATACATTATCTCGGCAACATGTCGCACTCGCACAGAACGTGAAGGAGGTCCCATCTTCGCGGCCATCGTCCCCCGAACTAGAGCTATACTTAGGACCTGATGCAGAGAAGGAGACGAGTGGGCTGTCGGAAGCCCAGCTGCGACGCGTGCAGCGGGTGGAAGACCTCCGATCCCGAGTCGTCGACGCGTTTCGGAAGGCCAAGGGTGAACCGGGGGAAGGAAAGTGGGCTCAAATTTCTCAAATGCTTCGGATGGGATGTACGGCTGGGAGATATCGGTGGATTCGTGGATGTGCTCCGTCGGGACGGCAGATTCGTGAGTTGGATCCTTCTTTGGTGTTGCCGGAGACAGAAGAAGAGTGGCATGCAATGGAGCGCAAGTTTGAGCAGAAACAACAGCTTAAGCAGAAGGTGGAGATTTGGCAAGAAGGTGTCGCCCCCGTGGAAGAACAGTTTCAAGAGACGCAAGCTAGCGAATCACAAAACGAGCCGGCCCACTCGAAGGCTGACACGACTCTCCAACGGAAATCGAGCTCAAAGAGTACCGTCGCTTCCCTCTCAAAACAGGGCTCCCTACAATTCAAAGTAGCCAAACGCGCCAGTGGTATCATTACCAGCGAGAAGCCTCACGATCCGACAACACCAAATGATGGGCCATTGCCACACGAGAAACCCGCGCTTCAGCTTGACCCCAGTCCAATGCCCGCTGACGATGAAGGCAGGGGAATAGCAGATATATCAGACACAGTACGAACTCTTGCTCTCTCTGTTGCTTATTATTCTGATTCTTCGATAGTTCCTTCCCCCTTCTTTCCCATCCCAGCTGCAGACCTCTACGCCCAGGCGCCAACGGTCAAAAGTCCCAGTAATTGACCCAGCGCTCGACCTCGACGTGTCGCTCGCTTCCGTAGAGGACATCACGCCCAATTTTTTTAGCCAGGAGTACAACCGCCGGTCGTTTGTCAACGCCCCGGAGGGTCAGAACGACCCCCAACTACCTTCGTCACCGCGACACCCCCCGCCTTCATCCCATCAGATCCCATCTTCATCGCTACAACCTTTGACATCCTCACCTTCTCTACCGTCGACCCCAGTCAAGCCTAATCCCAAAAAGAGACGCCTCGATGCCACACCCGAGGAGGCGGGCGTCTTCAAGAAGGTCAAAACTACATCAATGATCCCAGAGGATGCCCACCCACCGACCACACCTTCCAGAGCTAAAGTGAGCCCTAGAATCACCACTACCAATGTCCAGATGGAGAGCGACATCGTGGACTGGACAAAAGCGGTTGTCTCAGGTGTTTTGACTACGCCCGAGCGGAAGGACAAGAACCATATACCAACACTTACTGAAATCCTCGCTTCAAAAAAGAAAAGCTCCCCAAATACACCGAAGAAACGATCCTCTGGGGTCTATTCATCACCAACGCAGTCAAAAGCAAGAGTGTCTGCCACTAAGCCTAAAGAGGCGCAACCCGTTGTCGATGCAGACCTACAAACAGGAACGAATGATATACCTCAGGTACTGCCTGACCGGGAAGAAGCTGTCGATGTATCTATTGCCACCGTGACCGATGCCCCGCTTGATGTTAGTGATATCACTCTCGACAAGGCGGCGCTCAACCTCGATGTCAAAAGTCTCTACGACGCTTTGGATGCTTCGTATCACATCGGCTACGATATCGATATGTCATCGCCGGCGAAATCACTCTCTTCAATCGCTGGATCGGATTCTGAGGACTCTGACGACGGAGTTGGCGATGCGCTTCGCGATCCAACATTTATCGATGCAGCCAAAGGTTTCGAACCTCTAGGCGCTAGTACACAAGCCGATGGGGGTGGCGGCTTTGCGTTCGGTGAAATGAGCCAAGCGAGTGTTGGAGGTGGTATTCGCAGCTTTGGGCTGTATAACTCCCAGTTCGACGTCGAGGGTGAGGTGGATAGAGTCAGCGAGCTTTTGGAGAGGGATGTGGATTTCGACGGTTGGTTGAGAGATGCGAGTATCAAGGACGACGTAGAAGAAGAGGACGACGACGATATGTGATTTGGGAGAGTTGCCGAGTTGTTGGGGATATGATATGAGCAGGGCCCATGGGGAATATGGATATATATTGACTGTTACGTGTTTTTCTATCTTGTGTTATTTTGCTGGCTTTGTGTTGATTGTTGAATACGCCGTACGGATACCTTTGCCGCAATGCACAGTCGTTTGTGGCCCTCTGTCCAGGCTGAGCCCAGTGGTGCTGCGACCTCATGATAATCGCGGACCCACGACCAACCTCGATTCACATGGTGAATGAAAACACCCCTGATGCTGACATAGTTGTTGCGTTGCGATGGCTTGTTCCTACTTGCGACTCTGCTGTGGTCTTTGTTTTCCATCCGACATCAAGTCTTGATGTGCCCAAACGATGCGAACTCGAATATTTCGGGCATTGGAGGTAGTCAAAACTTCCCACCCATCCGTGCGACGGTGGGGCTTCTAAATCATTAAACCATTAATTCCTTGTTTCGGGCGAAGGTTCGCCGTGCATAGATGGGCTTATGCATCCGTCTTCAATCATGCTGCTGCCTCCCGCAAGCTCAACTTCTGCAGATATATAATGGGTGTTTTTTGCGACTAATGCCTTCCAGGTTGTTCATCGTCCTTCACTCCACCCGAACTACAGCCCGAAATGCTCCTCTCACTTTTCGTCGCGTTGGCTTGTACTGCAGTGGCCACAGTAGCCCAAGGCGCTGAACACAGTCCCAAGTAAGTTCATGGCCGATGATTCGTGTGTGCGATTTGACTAACTTGGCGTGCTATCATCCTTCAAGAAAATGCTCTGCGAATGCCGACGAATTCGCAATCGCTGCCGCGGAGAAGCACTTCCAGGCAAACCGAGTGCCTTCGTCGAGCTTGCAAGCCCGAGGAGCGCACAAAGAAGCGGCCCTTGACGTGTACTGGCACGTCGTCAGGTTGAACGAAACAGAGGAGGGCGGGGATACTAAGTAAGGCCGTCTTTGCATTTCCTGCCTTCGCAGAAGCACATGTTGCTGATACGGTGTACAGCCCGCTGTTCATTAACACGTCGATAGACATTATGAATTACCACTTCAAGGACGCGGGTATACGGTGGAACCTCGTTGATGTTTCACGCACGACCAACGAGGTGTGGTTCAGAAACGCCAGCGGGAACTCGTACGCCTTCTAATCACCCTTCTTCCTCGTGCGTATCTGTTAACGTGTCCTATGCTATGAAAGGACGGCGGAATTCGAAATGAAGCAGGCTCTTAAGAAGGGGGGCAAGGCTGACCTGAATGTTTATTCCGTCGAGTAAGTTGCGGCAAGCTTAACGCCATCGGGCGTCGACGCATGATTGACCTGACCTCTTAGCAACACTTATGAAACCGCGTTTGGTTGGGCGACCTTCCCTTATGAATACCCGTTGAACCCAGAGTGGATGGATGGTGTGGTAGTGCGACATACCACCTTGCCCGGCGATTTCGAGGGGAAGCATAGAGGAAAGGTGAGCTCGGGAATTCATGTCCAGCGATATATCGACATTGATTCCTTTGCTTGCTTACCCGATAATGCAGACGCTACTCCACGAAGCGGGCCATTGGTGTGGACTGTATCACGTCTTCATGAATTCATGCGACGAGCCAGGAGACTACGTCGACGATACGCCTCCTCAAGAAGCACAATACGAGTGTATCTTCCCTCGTTCCAGCTGCATCAAAGGCCAATGGGATCCGCTATGTAAGCTACCTTTGGCCGCTCTCCCCAGGCATTTAGCTTATCAACTCTGATCAGACAACATCATGGACTACACAAGCGATTACTGCCAATCACAGTTTACGCCAGGCCAAAACCAAAGGATGCGCGAGCAACTCAAGATGTATCGCGACATAGATATGTAATCGCTCCGAAAGTGTGCATATGGTGCAGTGACGGGGGAATAAATCAATCGGAGTCGTATAGATAGAGCTGATGGTGCAACACAAATGGATGTGCCGCTACGATGATTTGCGTTTTGTTACTCTCGCAATCACGTCAGATGCTCCGAACTGGAACGCCCCCAGTCCCGGACGCGTGAGATCTCTGCTCGGTTGGAGTCCTTTCCAAACGTTGTTCGCGGTAGCTGGTCCAATGGGAATCCTCGGATCTGCAACGTGCTTGAGAGGCGTGATGTCCAAGTTCGAAAGTATAATGGTTAGGATGGATTTAAGCTCAGCCGTTGCTAGATGGCGCCCTTCGCACTGTGGTTCACCCAACATTGAGCATCAGTCAAGACTCTCCGGACGCACGCTACTCACGATAGATATTCCGCCCCCAAAGCCATTCATCTCTCTGGACCTCTTCGAGCTGAGGGCGTCGCCTTGCTTTTCGGCCAAAAAGCGATCACCAATCCACGACTCGGGGTTGGCGCCCCACAGTTCATCCATGAGGTGTCCAACGCGGGTAATGCACACGACGCGCATACCAGCGGGGATGAATATCCCTCCCTCGCCTGATGCAGACAATACAAAATCCTTTTCAACGACCCTAATGCTGAAACTCGAGGTATTCAACCTGACAGTCTCCTGCACGCATGAAGCGACTAAAGGCATCGAGGCTAGGGTTTTCAAGGTCACGACCGGGTCCGATGTATCTTCGCTCTGCTTGGGTAAAGCATCTATCTCCTCACGCACTTGGTCCAGGATGTTACTTTGGACGATGTAAAGGAGAAGCGCGGAAGCAGCATATGGCGCGTTGGCCTGAAGGGCCCAAAGATCGCCCAAAAGAAGGGTGGCTATCTCTCTCGAGGTATAACCTTCCGCCAATCCCATCTGAGCCATGTCGTGAATGACCCCTTCGTCGAGACCAGGGAGGCCATCCTCGACCCACTGTGTGAGCACTGAGAACATCGCTTCTCGACCCTTCATCCCGTCTGCTATGGGCGGTACGAGCGGGTAGAGTGCCATTGGGATCATCTCTGCAGCCAGTAGGGGGAAGGATGCGTCGAATCGGTTAAAATCCTGCTGCAATCCTGCCTTCAGTGTCCGCTCGCAGAATTCCTCCCCAAACAAGCCGATTGTGGCAGCTTCGAACATCGTATCAATGACCCACTTGGTAATCGGGATTTCAACGGCCTGCTCAGGCAACGATTCAATCTGTTCCTTCAGCTGTGCTACTTTCGCCTGGACAATACGCGTGAAACGTTCAACTGGAGCATCTAGGCGAAGGTTGGCGAGACCTTTGGCGTGAACGGGGAACATGCGCGCAAGGCCAGGGCCCTGGGAAATTTTCCATGGTGAGCCAAAAATGATTGTCTGGAATTTCCGTCGTATTGCGGTGAACGATAGTGTCGAAGATGGGGCACCGTACACTTTATGAATAAGAGTCCCGTCGAGTACAAAAATCTGGTTGAGGGGCCATGGAAGATGGACGACGGGTCCGTAATCACGTCGCAGGGAAAGAAGGAAATTGTCTTCGTCCATCCCTAGCTTCGCCATGGCTAGGAATCCACGGATCGGATAGGGTAGATACCATGGACCGTAGACGGGGGGCAGGCTGACGTTGCCTGGTGGATTCGGCCTCCGGGAAGTGGTCAAAGACACGCAGAGGGCGATGCCACCAATGGCCAGAGCGTACTCAAACACCCCTACCATGGCTGATGTGGAGGTGAATTTTGAGACACGAAAGAGATGTTGAGCGCCATGATTTACGTATTGCGCCCACCAGGAGCCTCCACCAGGGCAGTGCAGGTCAGGGTAAAGTCAGGAAAAGTCGCAAGGTCGGAAAGGTCAGTGACCTTACGACCTAACCTTGACCTGACCTTTTCCACGGTCAGAGGCAGCTCAGTTAGGTGATCAAGGGAGTCCAGGGGGGGTAGTTTAAACAGTAATTATTATGATAATAAAATTGAATCTAACGTAGTATCAAGACCTCGTTGTCGACCTCGCCATCTGCATCCAAATTGAGCACGTCATACAACTCGAGCTCCTCATCAAAGCTGTGGGAAGAGCTGCGCTGATAGCTAGATATCCAATGCTTGGAGGACTATTGCCTTGGGCTTATCACCCTGAAACGTATCAGCGTGCTTCAACTTCGCTCGAGGATGGTCGATGAAGAGATCTCGCCACTAGGAACGATTGGGAGGCATGGATGGACTGATAGTTGGAACTGTCAATTATAATTCTTACCATTAGTTATTGTACCTTATTTATATCTGGGGGATGATGAGAAGTATGTATGGTGCCTATATTAGTCCTACATCGCTACGATATCGGCTCGATGATTTACAGTAGTGGTATAATCATTGGGGGACGGTGCTAGGAGGTCGTATCAGGGGGAAAAGGGGAAAGCTTGCGGTTCAGAATACTACCATATTTGGCACTAACTCCGATTCCCACACTCATCTAAGGTCAGGTCAGAAACTACGGTCAGTGACTTTTCCCGACCTTTGACCGTACTTCTGACCTTGACTGGTCACTCTTGGTCACCGACCGTACAACACTGCACCAGGGCGAGTCAACTACCTAATTATTTTGCTGGCGCCTATTTGCTGCTACTGTTTCTTAACTTGTGATCCCCAGCAGCACGGTATCAGGCGTGGCAGACCGAAACCTCCTGGATCATGTTTACACCGTCGTGCAATTCGCGAACTGTGGAGGAGATAAACTCGAAGATGGATCAGACATGAACCCGATTTCTCCGAAGAATACAGAAACATACAGTCGCTCACCATGTCCAAACTTCCGCCTGAAGAGAACTCTTGACAACCATCTCCGAGTCGCTGGCACTACATTTCTCAGCTTTTGTTCGGCTCGTAGCACGAAGGGTAATTGCGTTTTGACCACAGCATTGGCCTCGCTCAAGATGATCCGGTGCCAGCGACGCGTTTTGCTCGTTTTGCTTATAGCGGAACCCAAGGCCTAGGGCCGGCACTTTCATTCTGCTGTAAACACAAGAAGCCCTGGGATCAAAACTTTGTGGGCACCACAATTTGATTCGTCGCTACCGTGTCTAACCCTAATAGCTTATCGAGCGTGTGGAGATTGACCATGCTCGCATCATCGCTCTTGCGCGGCCAGCCGAGTATACAGGAAATAGACGCAAAGATAGAATTTCTAAACCACGAGCTTACCGTGATTCAAGCAGAAATCCGATGCCCAAAGAGCACAAGAACACGCACCTGCTCACCATATCCAAAGTTGCTACAGACATCTTACCAGTCATCTTCGAGGCGCTCACACTGGATGCGAATCTGCTTTAGGCTCCTAAACCACAGGAAGCCTACGCGCACCTACTCCCAGCCACGCAGGTGTGTCGGCTTTTTCGCCACGCCTCTGGGGCTGCATATTTGCATTTGCACCACCTCGTATCGTTCAGCTGTTTTTGGGCCGCGCCGCCTCTGCGCCTTTATACCTACGTGGATCCAGTGGCTTCAACGAAGAGTGCGTGCTGGCTGCGCTCAATCACCTCGATCGACTGGGAGAAATCACTCTGCAACTCGTGGGGGGTGACGCGGACTCGTGGGTCACGCGCATCGCATTGGAGCCAACACCGCAACTCAAGTTCCTTTCGCTCGAAGATACTACACCCTCTCCTGCGGATTTGTTTCAGTTCGCCGCAGACGGTGACGCGTCTCCGGTACTACAACATCTGTCCTTGTCTGGTTATACCTTCAAAGCGAGCACGGCGGCAACTCTGACTAACCTCCGCACCCTCAGGATCAGTTTCAACCGAGAAGCCTACCATGACATGCAACGCAGTACACAGACCCTATCAACTTCTTCTCCTTGTTGAATAATCTTCCACTCTAGCTAACGCGCTTGCGCCGCAAAATCAGTCGGTACCGCCATCTCCGTCAGTCTCCCGAACTTAACACACCTGTTTATCGAGGATGCCGACTTGTTCAACCCAGGAATGATGCATGATGTCGTGCACCACAGCGCCTCTCATCAAGACGATAAAACTGTTGCACGCAGGTAAAGCCAAGGCCGAGACTGCTACTCCCGTCATCGCAGCCATCTATGCAAGCCTTCCTACGCTTGCTCCTGACTCCCATTCGCAATTCGAGCTGTACTCTCTGTCCTACATTACTCTTGCATGGGTGCGGGTGCGGGGAGGGTGCCCCGTCGAAGGGCGAGAATCAGCATCGGTGATACCGTTCTTCGATCTGCAGGTACGCGGTACGGGAAATCCAGTTTTCGGGCTTTGTCCGCCGACCACCATCCCTCCCACTTTCCATTTATACTCTGGCGACGAGACAACCACTCAAGACCCTTTACGCGCCTACGACAAAACATGCTCCGTCGATTAAAAGCACGACCGAGTTGCATTGCGGTTGTATGATCGACATACTCCACGTCCTATCCAGGGAGACGCCTTCCCCAGATCAAGCTGACGCCACGTCATTCTCGGTACCGCCGCTCAAGAAGGTTCAGGTGTACGACTTCATGTTCGTACACAGCCGGGACATGATGTTCTCCAAGTTAAAGGAACAACTGCTCGCACGAAACGCGGCGGGCGCGGGGGTGGATACTTCCGTCGTTGGCCCAAAATTGCTGTACGCAGGCGATGTCAACGAGTTCAAGGTATCATCGATCTCGTAGAAAGTCCTCAAGTGGCTTCGTCCCGGCGGAGGTATGTAATTGGAATTCTCGGCTAGGCTAACGTGTTTTCTGTTTCTTCCAACAGTATATGCATTCCTGTACACCACACCACACTCAACAGTCGTGTCACAGTACAGCTCTTAGTTCCTCGTCGATCGATGTTCAGGTTTGGGATTAGGGATGAACAACTCCGCTTATACACGGCCGTCTGTCGCGGCGTTCAGATAAGGATTTATCGCCATGGGTACGACCTTCCATTAATCTGTATCATCTAGCGCCTATTTATCAATGATCGGTTTCAGGCGGGGAAAATCCGCATCATCAACGACGAAGGGACGCGAAAGGGCTAAGTAACGACCCCTCCCTATACGCACCGCTCTTGTCCGTCTACGATGCTCACACATCGGATCTTGTCATTCAGAGCTACGCACCATATGCTGTGTTCATGGAAGTGAATGACAGGATCATCAAGCGCGTTGAGTGAGCCCTGTCATGCTCAGGTTCGGTGCGTACCAATGCACTGGAGTTGGGCGCTTAGGGAACTGCCTCCCACCCCAATACACATATAAGCATGTTAGTACAAGAGTCAGCTGTACCCCCTTCTACTCTCTCCGACGACCCATAATCTCGACATAAATTTTCCATCTCTGCCATCGTACCTCATCGCAATGGCGCCAACATACAGTGGGTCGCCCACCTGCCCCCAGCCAACTTTGACCTGACCTGACCTTCGCGCACTTACAGTCTACTACCGCGTATACGACACAAACGGGGTCGTCAACGCCAAATACACCCTCCCATCCGAGATCTCTAGCAGCACGACACTCGGGCGCATCGTGAAGAGCTACATCGCCCCCCCCTTCAACGTGGCCAACGTCAAACTGGGCATCGCGCAGCACGAGGGGCACCAGGCCGTCTTCGAAGCCGCTGGCGCGCAGCTGTTCGCCGCCTCCTCCCAGGAAGAAGTCACCGAGAAGAACGGGCTGCTGAACGGCGCCGGTTTGAGTTTGACCAGTCCTCTTCAACTCAAGTTCGACGTAGCGCTCAAGCCTGCGCAAGGCCGATGTATGTTCCTTCGCTATTACCACGATGCGTGGGGGTGTCTCACTAGTATCACTATACTACTTAGTCCTCGGCAAATGGCAGCGCAGCGAGAGCGGCATCACCTCGAATGACAAGTATCACTACAAGTCGACGGCTCACTTCACGCTCCGAAAGACGCCCGGTGGCAAGATCGTCGCCGATGGCCACGAGCACTGGACCACCACCTACACAGGATTTGCCGGCTCCGCCAACCCCAGCGAGAAGTCCCTCCCACCGCCCCTGCAAAACAAATACGAGCTCACCGACTTCAAGGTCGGCGCGAAGTCTGGGATCTCGTTCACGCGCACCGCCGCCTCCAGTGGGGTGACCTGGAAAGTGGCGGGAGACCTGAGTGCTGATGGGAAGTGGTTGACGCTCACGGTGAAGCGCGTTGGGTCGGATGCTCCGGTATCGAGGGTGTTCAAGCGCGTTGTGTGATGGGCCGCGCGTCACTGGACGCTAATTGCACCTGTTCAGCGCCTTTCCCCTTCATGTTCATCGTATCTCTGCACAAAGTTTGTAATGTATCTACAAGTTCACCGGACCCTTGTCATTTAGACCGAAAGTAAGCGGCAGACTTGAAGACCTGTTATAACTTATGAAAGATCGCTGCCTGTGTTCGTCAGTTACTCAAACTGAAATTGAAATCGAATATCGAATATTCGCTATTTGTAACTCGATTACCATCTGCCAGTCACAAAAGTCACCGTCCACATCGATCATAAAGACAAGCCTCCAAATAATAAATATCCCAGACTGCAAGTCGATCATAAAGCAGAGTTTTAAACGGATCATCGATCGATCAGCTCCCACACGACTAATCTCAATCTCAATCTCAATATTCAATCTCAATATCAATATCAGTATCAGCGCTAGCGGTGTGCGCATTCGCTTCTCGTGCACGTCAGCTCGCGACGTCAGCGACATCTGGGTCAAGTTTGGTCCCAACCTCAACGTACGGAAGAACGAGGGCAAGATAACCAACTCCAACTCCAACTCCAACTCACTCCGCACCCCCTCTTTGCCGGATCCCCTCTCTCCCCTTCCCCTCCCTCCCCTCCCTCTCCGCCACCGCCCTCCCCTCCCGCCCCGCCGCCCCCGCCGCCGCCTCACCCTCACGCACAGCCTCCCCCTCGCGGCGCCACGCCCTGCGCTCATACGCGTCCCACGCCTCCCGCGCATCCACCCACCGCTCCTGCACATCCCGCACATCGCTCCGCACCCCCCCAATCGGCCCAGCAGCGCTCGCGAACAGCCCGTACGCGTTCGCACGCGCATCCCGCGGCGTGCCGCCCCCCTCCTCCTCCTCCGCCGCCCCGTCCGCCCCCTGGGGCACACCGGAGCCCGCGGGCGGCACGAAGACGTACCCCGTCGCGCGGTCGACGACGCGGCTCAGGTGCAGCATCGATGCTTTGTCCTACCGCGCGGATGAACGGATGAGAGGGTGAGAGGATGAGAGGGTGAACGGATGAGAGGTGAACGGATGAGAGGGTGAGAGGGTGAGAGGGGTATACAAAGACAAAGGGATGAAATACACGCACCTCGACTGCGAGCGTCTCGAAGCCCACGAGCCCGTAGTCCTCGATCAGCGACGTGATCGCCATGTTGAGCGCCGCGTAGCGGGGCGAGGCGGCGGACAGCGCGTTCTCCAGGTAGGACAGGTCCTGCACTTCCGTGTAGAAATCCAGATTAAAGTCTGCATCCCCGTCAGTCAGTAAGTAAGTAAGTTTAGTTTACAAACGCCGATTATGCTGGCGGTGGTTGCGCAGTACGTGCCTAGGTCCCCGTATTGGGCGATGAGATCGACTTTCGAGAGCACGTTCACGTGGGGCAGCTCGAGGTGCAGCATCGTGCGGAGGGAGAGCAGGAGGACGGACACATACTTCGCCGCATCCGTCACATAGTGCGCGTCGCACAGGTGCACGGCCGCGAGCTGCACGCACACCAGCACACGCTACACGTCGGCAGGGCGTCACACACACACGGAGGGGGAAGCACGCACGCGGAACCCACTCCTCGCGAGCCGCTGCACGATGCGCCGCACGCTCTCGTGCGCGGTGGTCAGCTCGACCTGGCCGGGGAGGTCGAACACCACGTACGCGTCGCGCCCGAGGGCCCGCAGCCGCTCGGCGAGCCAGTCGAAGTTCGCTTCGAGGTACTCCATGCAGTAGAGCATGCCGCCGTTCGGGCCGAGGGCGTGCGCGGCGACGGCGTCCGCCAGGGTGATGAGGTCGCCGATGTCGACGGCGCACGGGTACGGGATGTGCTCGTTCGCGGGGTCGAGGTTGACGACGGAGATCGGGCGGCGGAGGGCGGTGAAAAGCTGGTACTTGCCATAGCAGTAGGTGGATTTCCCACTTCCTGGCGACCCGCAGACGATTTCGCCAAAGGGCATGGAGATGGATGGTGAGATCTTGAGACGCGTAGCTAGTATCTTCACATTCGCAAATCGCAATCTCTGTCCCTTCCTCTGTCCTTTCCCAGGACTCGGCATGTCCCGCGGTAGACGTTTCTGGATAGGGGTGCCCTCTTCCCGACACCACTTCTGCGCTTCTACATTTCTACACTTCAACACTTCAACACTTTACGCTTCCACACTTCATGGTGCAACTGAAAACGACGTTATGAGATACGATAAACCAAACTGGAGTTCGAATCCATTACTTGCATTACTTTCTACAATTCACAATCTACAATCTACAATCTACACGAGATACAATAATGTTTCAATCTTAACGACGGCGACGGCCCTCTAGTCCAGTGCAACACTGTTACAGCGAAAAAAATGAGAATGAGGATGAGAATGCCAATGGGAGTGAAAATGGGAGTGAGAATGAGAATGACAGGGGAAGTGAGGAATCTAAGTAATATATAGATATATGTATGGCTGAATGATTGATTGAGTGATTGAATGCGTGGTTTAGATTACTTTAGATGAGTAGATGAGTGGATGAATACGTGATTTGGGGTGATTTGGAAGGTGCCGATGATTTGGGAGGTGATTTGTGATCGCCTAGACGATCTTCCCGTCATCCTCCTCCCCCTCCCCCTTCTTCTCCCCCCGCTCTCCCTCTTCCGCATCAACCAGGGTCCCCTCACTCCCCTCACTCTCAGCATCACTCCCTTCACTTTCCCCGTCCCCGTCCCCGTCCTCGTCCTCCTCGTCCTCGTCCTCGTCGTCGTCCCAACACGAGTAGAGCACCTCCTTCAGCCGACTCCCCCCACCACCCCCATTCCCAGTAGTATGCACCTGTACCTGTGCCTGTGCCTGTAACGACAGCCGCCCGCGCTCATTCGCGGCGACAGGACGCTGTGGCGAAGCGGATGCGCGGGAGGGGAGTGTAGAAGAGGAAACTCTGGGGGACGGAGAGCGCGAGGGAGCGGAGGAGGAATGCGAGTACACGCGGTGGAGCAGCATGCCCGCGACGACGCGCGCGAGCTCGAGGGACTCGGGGGTCGGCGTTTTGATTGTTTTGATGCGAGGAGAAGGTGCAGAAGGTGAAGGTGTTTTGATGGGGGGCGGGGAAGGTGAAGGTGTTTTGATGCGAGGAGAAGGGGAAGGAGAAGGGGTGGTTACCGTTGCCGTTGCCGTTGAGGGAGGCCGAGGAAGGGAAGAGGGGGACGGCGAGGGCGGGGTGAACTGCCATATATTCATATTCCCTGCGGGGGTGGTGGACGTGCCGGACGTGCTGGGCGTGTGGGTCTGCGGCTGGGGAGAGGTGGAGGAGGTGGAGGTCTGTGTGTGGGGAGAGGAGGTGGAGGCGGAGGTGTAGAGAATGGACGTCGGCGCGAGGATGTGCTGCTCCACATTGTACGCCGATGTGGATGTGGACGTCGATATCGTTGATTGCGAGAATGTCGATGCGGAGGAGAATGAGGGAGTGTACAGGGGCGACGCAGCGAGCGAGATTGTGCGCGAGCGCGCGCGCGTCGTGCGTGTGGGCGGGTGCGTGTAGGGCGAGCGGCACGATTCGGGGGATGGCGTTATGACGTTGAACGGGAGGTGTTGCGCTTGTTGCGCTTGTTGCGTGGGATACAGATATAGGGGGGCTTGCGGTGGCTGCCTTTGGGAGTGGGGGGCTTGTTGTTGCTGAGGTTGATGTTGCTGAGGTTGATGGTGTTGGTGTTGGTATTGATGGGAGGGGTTGGAAAGGGCGCGCAGGCCCGGCGGCGAGCGGTAGGAGGGCGGGGCGAAGTAGGAGTCGGTGAACGCCTGCAGTGACTGGTGCGACTGCAACGATTGGTGGGACTGGTGCGAGTGGTGCGAGTGGGAGTGCGAGTAGGGGAGCATCGGCATCGTCAGCGCTGTGGCCATCGTTTCTCTTCGCTTTCACGGGTGCTTAGCGTTAACGATGAGTGATTATGGGAGAGGAGTGAAGGGTGTGGGTGTGAAGGAGCAGTGCCGTTATGTGCCGTTATATGCTGTTATATGGGTAGGGGTAAGCGTAGGGGTACGAGGATCGTCGAAGCCGGCTAGTCGTAGAGCGTAAGAGTAGAAGAACGGAGGACGGAGAGCGAGTGGGTCGTCGACGTCGGTCGGTCTACGCTCCGTGGTCACACTGACGCTAGTACTCTAGTTGCTGTTTCAGGTGCTGTTTCGGGTGCGAGTGCGAGTGCGAGTAAATCTTCTATCTTCTATTAGACGTGTGCGAGTGGGGGATCGAGTAAAGGCGTATCGAGTACCGGCGTATCGATATCCTTATAAGACAGCCACGTATCCACGTATCCACTTGCTCGCGTACAAGTGCAAGTGCAAGTACAAGTACCTGTCCTGTAGGGAATAAGGCCAAGGGGTAGACGGAAATATGATGTATGTCGTATGATGTATGATGGGATAGAAAGCAGAGGAGGGGAGGGGGTGCCCTTATATCGTCCAAACATTGAAACAACGACGATCCCTAGTCGCCCCGTCCAAGATCCAGCCTCCGAACTCCAGGAGCTCCAGGTGCAGAGCGTGCTCATGCGCTCATGACATGCTGAAACAGGAAACAGGAAACAAGAAACAACACCTTCCCCCATCTGACTCAGTACTCCGCACGTCCCCACACGCCGAGAAAGGAAACCATCCAGGGAAGGCTTCAGCGCTGAAGCTGAAGCGCTGAAGCCCAGGGGCGTCGAGCAACCGCCTCGATCCACCTCCTCCCCTCTCCTCCCATCAGTGCCCTGCAATCGCCGCAAAAGGGAGGTGTTGGCACCGCTTATGGGGGTGCTGCCTAGATGGGGTTCCCTGTTCCCGAAGGAGCACAAGAGCATATGGCGCACACTATAACCACGACGACAATAATTACAACACCAACAACACCAACAACACAACAACTTGCACCAACGAACGACGACAACAACGATGGAGGATACGTACTCGGGTAGAAGGGGGAGGGACGGGCTCCGTTTCAAATTCCGGGTCTCACATTCACACTTCCTCGGTGACGTCAACGTGACTCGACCGGATCACTGGACGTCGACGCGAACGCTGTGCTCTGTCCATTGTCCTCTGTGCAGCGCCTTCGAGTATTGATTTCAAGTTTCGACTTTCAGCCCGCGCTCAAGCTCAAGTCCTTACTCTTAATCCACTACACCTGACTCTGACTACGCCTTGCTACACCGCTACACCGCTACACCTTTCAGCGCCTCCTTACTACGCCTTACTGCACCTTCCAGCGTAGATATTAGGCGGGTTGTTGTTCTTCGCTACGCTACGTGCCCTCCTACGTATACCTATCCTGCCCTGCCCTACATACCTACGCACCTCCGAATCCGAACCCGAATTATTGTTATTGCTATTGTTATTGTCACCACTGCTATTGTCCGGCCTCGTAATTATTAACTATGAATTATGACCAACCTCCTTCGACCAACCTCGAGCGCCTCCGAACCCGAAACGAATACCCGAAAACGAATACCCGAAAAGAGCACAATACACAACGCACAACGCACAACGCACAACGCACAATGTACAATGTTCAATGCACAATGCACAATGCACAATGGTCGTATACGTACATACGCCTACTCGCACCTTATGGAAGGTCTTACGCGTGCGCCCTACATACGAGGTAACAAGTTGAACGTTTGACTTTGAACACACACATACGCATACGCACACATAACACATACGCGGGACAATGCTCAACGCTCAACGCACAATGAACCTTCCTTCTTCCCTCCCTCCCCTCTATTCCTCTCCCCACCGCCTCCACCTCTCCCCTCCTCCGTGATCCAAACCTCGCAGTGCCAGCATCGCCGACTGCTCCCAGAATTCCCACTCTAGTTCGTAGTTCGTACTGGCCAGCCATACCACTGACGACTGACTACCACTGACCACTGACTACTGACTACCGACTACCACTGACCACTGACTTTAGAGCCACGTACGCGCACGACCACCTCGACCTCCGACTCCCCGTCTCGCGTCCGTAATGTCCTGCAGCGGTAGAGGCGGAGACAGCTGGTGAAGTCCACAGAGCAGTTCGGACAGCGTGATAACGTGGCAACGTAGGACTCCTAGGAGGAGGACAGAGGGGCGCTCGTAGCGAAGGGAAGCGCGCGATCTCAGCCCAGCCGGATGTGCAAAGACCACCCACTACAGCCGGCGCGTAGCTGGGGCATAGCTCCTTAGGTATGTGGTATGTATACATGTACATAGAAACGTAGAAGTATCCGACCTCTGCCTTTGATAATGAAATAGAGCCTACGAGAGAATGGGATACTCAATAATAAATAATACAATCAGCAGGAAGGAGTATGTCATGGTGGGGAGGGGGGGACTGAGCCTGCTTGACCAAATACCCAGTATGGGGTCGTTTCGCACTTCGTTCCATCGATCGTTTGACCAAAGGAGCAGGTTGGTGTGGTAGGTTACTCACAGTTACAGTTGGATGTACAGACTGAATCGTCTCCAGGAATGATGATTAGACGAGAGCCACACTTCTATCATCACTGGGCTAACTGATAAGAATGAGGATGACGCCCCGCGGCACAAAAGAACACTTACTTCCAGGTTCAGCAACATTTGAGACGTAGAAACTACAAGTGCACAGTCTTCCCCTCTCGCGCACTTTCTTCAATCGCATCCAACAGCCGCCTATTCTTCACCGCCTCCCCAATCGTCACATACCCGCCCTGCCCCTCGCCCCTCTTCTCCTCCGCATACCCCACCCACCCCGCCGCCAAATTCCCCACGAGCCCCGCACCGTCGAACTCGACCCTCTCTCCGCACACATACACCGGCATGTCGCAGATATTCATCAGATGGCTGCGCGGGCCCGTCGGCGGGGGCGCCTCCACGCGGATCGAGCCCCGCTCGCAGTCGATCTCCCACAGGAACGTCGTGCGCCCCGGCGTGGGCGCGTACCCCGCGCGGTAAACCATGCTCACCAGCGCCCCCGACGCGAGGAGGCCGGTCAGCGCGATGTGGTCGGGGGCGGTAACGCGCACGGTCGCCGGCGGCGTGGACGTGGACGTGGAGTCCACGACGGTGGCGGAGGGGTATGCGATCGTGGACGTCGCGGAGACGGAGGCGAAGTCGCCGAGGACGTGCGTGAAGGTGTCGAGCTGGTGGCCCAGGATGATCTCGGAAAAGGAGGCCCCTGCAGGACGAGCGTCAGCGCCGCCGACCTGGCGTAGACACCTTACACCTTACCCGAGCGGGGCTGATAGATGTAGGCACTCCCCTCGCTGATCTGGGGGCCCCAATACAGGTTGTCTCGCGACATGGAACCCATCTGTGGGATCGCTGAGTCTACGAGTGGGCTTAGTATGGGGGTCGGGGTACGTACGACGGTGCTGGACAGCACTTTCCCGAGCTTCCCACTCGCGATCGTATCTTTGATCTTCAGCCCACGGTGTGAGGGACATCCGTAGTAGTAGCACCACCAACAGCACTCCACGCACCACTTTCGCAGTCGCCGAATACCTGCCCTGCAGGCCCACCATCACTCTCACGCCCTGCGCCCTCGCGCGCTCCTCCATCTTCACAGTCTCCTCGCGCGCCGCCCCGGCCGGCCACTCCACGAACACGTCTTTGCCTGCGTCGCTGTGCGCGGGCGCCTTCACCGCCACGACCACGAGGTCGACGCGGGGGTCGTGCGCGAGCTGGGCGGCGCCGTGGGGCCCGTGGTACGGCGTGATGGGGCTCCCTATTTGCGCGGCGTAGAGGGCGGCGGCGGATGCGGCGGAGGAGGTGCAGAGGGCGGTGACGACGAAGGAGGGGCGGACGGAAGGCGCTTGGAGCGAAGGGAAGAGTGCGGTGGCCGCCCACCCGGACGCGGAAAGGCCGATGAAGCCGACACGTATCTGGGCCATACTATTACCTGGATACCTGGGCTGCGAGTGTAGTAGCAGAGGTGCGAGGTCTGCGATATTCGAGAGAGGTGAATCGCTATGGATGGATCACTAAGCAAGGTCCTCGAAGCTTCAGGACTCTGAGCTCTGATGTCCAATCGGCAAGCGTCCGCATGATGCACAAGGATACCCATGGGCGTTGATTGCGCGGGTTCTGAGGCCCGGATTCTCACAGAGACAGTTTGCTGTATGGTGCGTATTCGGCGTGGAAAGTTAATTAAAAAGGAATGTGGGGATGTCCTCTTTGACTATAATATCCGGCGCGTGGAGACCATTTCGCAGAAGAATTTCGAAGTGGCTATGGACAGAGCCTGACTCAAAATGAACAGCCAAGTAATGATGTGCGCTCAGCCTGAGATTCAGAAAAGCAAAAGCAGACGGTCCGGGAAGTAAGTTGTCCATACGCGTGACATACACGTGAGATCCCCGGGCTCTCAAAATTTTGTGCGACTCCACTTTCAGCGAAACTCACAACCCGACATCCACCCACCAGCCAGCATGTCTCCTCCAACCTCCGTCAAGGGCAAAGAGTCCGGCACTGCTCGCGTACTGGGCTCCGGAACCTCTGGTACGTCCCACACACTCCGCGTATACGGGCCCCTCTCACATTCGTGTTTTGTGTTTTGCGTTTTGCGTTTTGCGCGCAGGCATCGCTGAGCTGCTCATTTTCCATCCTGTGGACACAGTTGCGAAACGGCTGATGAGCAACAAGGGCAAGGTGCGCTTCTCTACGCAATGCAGCTGCCCATAGTCTCCGGTAGCTCACCCTTGCCTTGCACCAGGTGTCGTTCTCGACGCTCTCGCCCATCATCTTCCGCGACAAAGCCATGGCGCCGCTGGGCAGCAAAATGCTCTCCTTGTTCCCCGGCCTCGGATACGCTGCTGGGTACAAGGTCGCACAGCGTGTGTACAAGTTCGGCGGCCAGCCGTGGTTCAACGACCTGATAAACAAGCACTACAAGACCCAGTTCACGAATACCTTTGGAGAGCGCAAAGGGAAGATGATGATGCAAGCAACGGCTGGAAGGTGCGTGTCTTCGCTGCGGAGGCTCATTGTGGGTCGCTGAAACGGTGCTATTCTCATAGCTTGACGGGGATCGGTGAAGTGGTGCGTGGTTTACGCCGTTGGCCTTCGCCTTCGCCTTCGTTAGTTACTCACGCTGTGAATAGGTGCTACTCCCACTAGATGCCCTCAAAATCAAGCGCCAAGTCAACCCGGAAGCGTTCCGAGGACGTGGCTTCCTGCGCATCTTCATGGAGGAAGGCACGACGCTGTACCGCGGCTGGGGGTGGACGATGGCCCGGAACGCCCCTGGCAGCTTCGCCGTAAGCCTCCACACACACACATCCCCCACTCCGCGCGCACGCTGACAGCCCCGGCATCCGCAGCTCTTCGGTGCGTCCGCGGTAACGAAAGAGTACGCGCTCGGCGTCACGGACTACTCCAAGGCCACGTGGACGCAGAACTTCATCGCGTCCATCGCGGGCGCCGTCGCGTCGATAACGATCGCGGCGCCGCTCGACACGGTGAAGACGCGCATACAAAATGCGAACTTCGAGCAGAAGGTGCCCGGTCTGACTGTCATCAAGGACCTCGTCAAGCACGAGGGGCCGTCGGCGTTCTTCAAGGGCTTGACGCCCAAGGTACGTGTGCACGCCCCCCGCCTGCGCTCGTACCGTTTATACCGTTTAACGCCACGTACAGATCCTGGTCGTCGGTCCGAAACTCGTGTTCAGCTACACGCTCGCGCAGTCGTTGATCCCCTTGTTCGGCAAATACGTATGAGGAGGCGCTGGTATCTAGACACGCCGTATATCTTAGAGCAGATTATTTTATTACTTCTTAGAGGACCTTCACGCACGCCAATCACAGCTCATACTATCCTTCTATGAGGGATATACTGCGCATCGATTGGGAAGCGACAAGCGCAATCGCCCGACGATGACGATGGAGGGGTATACACATATCTACGAAAGTCATAATCCTCTGCGCGCCGCAGATGCGCGTTTCGTTCTAGCCGCACAGCGCCGTTCCTTCCCGCGCGCCGTCGAGAATATATCGTTCTGCGCCCCATCAACAAACCCGCACTTGCTGTTATACGCGGGGGACTTCGGCGCGCCCGCCCTATCGCGTCCCTGGACCCAGATGTTGTTGCCGTCCTGCTGGTTCCAGTAGAGCATCTGCTTCGCGCCCTGCGTGCACCTCGACGCGTCGTCTTCGCACCAGACGGGGGGTCGCCCCGGCGCGACGGGGGCAGTTGATGTAGCACCGGTGACTTTGCACCTGAATGCCTGCTGGTACATGTTCGGCTGGCCGCATCTGCGGCGCGGAGGCGTTCGTGAGCTTAGGCTAGGTTAGGTTGAGGTGGGAGGGAATTGGGAGGTACGCACCCGTTGGGAATCTGGATGGAAAAAAATAGGAGGGTGGTTAATGTTAAATGCAAGAATCGGTATTCGGAGTCGATGGTACTGACCCATGCCCACTACAACGAGGATGAGGACGAGGATGAGGGTGGACTTGATCAGGAAACGGGGTGTATAGACGACACAGAGCGCACTCACGGCACAGTGGCACCCGCCTTCGGGACAAGCTGGCAGTGCAGCAGGGATGCTGTAGGTCGTCACTCTCTTCCAGGGCGTGCTGGCGACGCCAACGAGCGTGCCTCAGAACCAGAAGGATAGCTAATATAAGAATATGTAATAACATACTGATACTTGACAGAGAAGACCACGAGGTTCTCCGGCGTGACGCGTTCGATGTCCGACTACACCGCGACGCGACGCGCCACAAGCCATTCAGACGAACGTCCGGGGAAACGACGGGGGCTGCTTACTTGATACGAGATGGCGAATGCTGTGCCAGCAGCTTGGGAGTGGTTTTGCGCGTGCACTGTTTCGAGTGGGTGCGTTGGTGCGTTAGTGCGTTCAGATCGAAGCGAAGCGACAGAATGAGTGGGTGGGTTGGACTCACGATTTGGGGATGTGATGCAAGAGGGGACATTCTGGTGCGCGGTAACCGGTAATCGATTAATCATTAATCAGTGCGAAGGGGATCGAGGGAGCGGCGCGTATAGACTGAGAGTACGTACATAGTCTTCGGGGTAGTTATTCCCGTCCGGCCAGTTCGACGCGAAGCGGCCGTTGAAGGAGAGCGAGGTCTTGCCCCGATTCGAAGCTATCTCGACAGTAAACTCCTTGCCGGCAGGGCTATCGTATACGAAGTCCGAGTTCGAGTTTGAGTTCGAGTTCGAGTTTGAGTTTGAGTTCGAGCAAGAGTAAGTTAGCTCGTATGACGACGCACAGTTCGAGGAATTTTCCGGGGGCAGGAGGGAATTTCGTGCACTGCAATGGTCACGGACACGCAGCTCAGATTTCAGAATCCACGAAAAAGCCAGGCACAGTGATAGTGCGCGTGGGCCGTAAGCTTACCCCGTCGAGGCCGTGGAGCCACCAGTCGTTCCTGGGGAGCTGGTACAGCGGTTTGACGACGGTATAGTCGTTCGCCTCGTCCGACCCGCTCGTGCCCTGTTGGTGTTTGCAGCATCGTCGCGAGCTCAGTCAGGAGGTGCGAATCGGAATTGTGCGAATTCGAAGGGACCGCGACGCGACTCACGTTTCGGCAGTACATGCCATCGTGCCAGGCTGCCAGATGCGCCAGCGTCGTCCCGGTTTGGAGAAGCGCGGCAAATGCCAGCAAGTGACGCGCGAACATGATGGGATGGAGGAATGAGATGAGATGCTGAAATTTGAATGAAGTAACGAATAACGATCCGACGAAAGTGAGTGCATAGCTGGTACGCGACCCTTTTATACCTAAACCTAGATCGAACGTAACAAGCTTATCAGTAATCGGCTCCAACTGTTCCATTCTGCCTGACGTCTTCTCTCATCTATGCCGCTCCTTCGGTGCTTCTTGATCGTAGCTCATATTCATACACCTCTCACTATTATCTCTATGGTTCTACCACATCGAAGACAACTTACCGATGGTTGACACGAACGTTAAGACTTTTCGCCTAGACGCATACCGGTGGAGCCTGCTGTCGGGGAGAGAGGAGAGGAGAGAGTGATAGTTGCATAGCAGATCCAAGAAGCAGCCGGCTTCGGAATAAGATATTGTATTTTGCCCAGAAGCAATGCAATCCAGCTGCAAGGTTGTTCACAGGTTTCCAACACGTCGACGACCCCGAATATTTGGACGTTCGGATGCCTGCAATTTGCAGGCTGAAGCCGCGCTAATGAGCGTTTACACGTTGGCACTTGAGTACTTGAGTACTTGAGTTCGGATGTATGTGATGAACCAGTTACCACGGACGCCATGTTCTCGAGATTCCATGCCAACGATACCAATAAGCTTCCACTGCACTCCGAGCGACGCGAAAGTTGGAGCTGTAGTCGGGTAGAAGGTCAATGGAGCTCCAGTAGTAATGTTGGCATTTCCATAAGTAACCACTGTATCACACCCCTCCTTTCTTGGAGGGCACGGCGTCACGGTGCTGTGATCGTACGCGCCGACGCGTAGCACACACACACACCTCGAGCGGGCAAACACAGAGCACGCCGCCTGCTTCATTTCCCCACCACTTAAGGTGTGTTAGCATCCCGGCCACTGTTCCACCACGCCAGAGTGAGTACTGAAGTACAGACTCTTCAAACATACCTGCGCTGGTACTTGGCCACCTGCGCACTCTCCACGATATCGATGATATCTTTATTTGGAGCCTCGCGAATATCGTCCCCTGGCAGAGAATAGCTATATTCCCTCACAGCAGGATTAAGCGAAGATGCGTGTAAGCGAAGGGAGCGCGAGCACGGCATCATCATCAGCGCGATCCGTATCGGGGGTAGCAGGAGCAGGCGCATCGCCGCCCAGGACGTACAGCACGTCGATCATGGAGTCGAAATGGGCCTCGGTCGTGCCCTTCAGCCCACTGCGCACGTTTTGTCGGGAGGTGGCCAGGCGGTCGCGCGCTTCTATCTCGTCATCGGAGTAGTAGTGCAGGGTTGGCGGGAGGTTGGTTGGCGGGCAGAGCGTGAACACGGGGCCTCGGTCTCGAAGTTCCCTGCGCCGTGCACTTTCTGCTCGAACAGCAGCCTCACTCTCGATTCCAGGCCCCGCCCTTCGACAGCCCCCCCCCCCCCCCCCCCCGCCCCCCAGTCCACTCCTGCACCCGCGCGAATGTGGTATATGTCCGTGTGTGGAGCTCGAACTGCGAGCGGGCGCCGCCATATCGGACATCGACCATATTAATGTATTCAAATCGAGGATTGGGTTCTGGGATTCAGGTACCTGCGATTAACTACCCGATGGGACCCATACAGAGGCAACAGTGCAACTATCCCAATGTAGGCAATGAGGCGGCATCGTGCGCAACGAGGAGGAGTAAGGTGACTGAGGGGTGGGAAGTCACATGCTTTGATGTATCGCTCACACACTGTTAAAAGAAGCCGGTGAGGTCGCGCGAATTCCGAGTGGGCAAGCAGATATATTGCGTTTGGCTGGGACTCCAGCAAACGCATAAAGAAAAGAATACATGCGCGCGAAACGATACTACAGTAGTCACGTGCACCCCTATACCCCTGTAACGCCAGATTGCTAATGTATCACTAGGGGAGCTCAAAGTTGGCGCAGAAGAAAATTTGAGCTCCCCTACTGAAGGTCTCTCTAATTAGAGGTGTTTATGTATCACGCTTGCCCTCTCATCACCGTATATGATATAATATGGATCCGCAGGCCGCACCGGCGGTAGCTCGCTTCGAAGTGCTAGGGCAAGGATTCAGTGTATATTCCTAGACTAGGTAGATGGCTAGCTATTACTTGCGTAGAATCTATGAGTTCTCATCGATATGCACCCAGTGCATACACTGTAAGCTCAGAGACTTAGGCGCGCGCCACATCAGCAAGTCTTGAGTTGATGGAAGTTGAACAACCTTCGCCAAATTACGGTCTTAAATCATCAAATCTCTACCAAAAGTGCTGCTTTCTTGGCACTAACCAACTACGGCAAGCAAAATCCACACTTCCCATGATTCAGAATTGTGGAAAAGAGGCCAGTTCAGCCAGAAAAAAAACACGACTGAGCCTCCAAAGTTCACAGAATTTGTTTGGCCTTATTTGCACGGGCCTTGAACCCCAGTGAGAAGTCCGTCAATTGGGAACGAGACAGATCATGTGAATCTGTCAAAGTAGAAATGACAATGTTTTCTACCCATATACAATGTTTTCTTTTTCTGAGATCATGTACTGTAGATTAGAAATTCATTAAAATCACTTTCAATGGATATCACAATGTTGGGAAATGTTGAAACCAATTTGCAGCAAGCGGCCGTCTGGCGGTAGTGATTCTCCTAGATGATTTCATACGATGATGCATGGTAGCATCATTTGGGTTCGTTTATTTTACACGCTGAAATCTACTACTACAGGGAATGTCTGTTTGTTTTATACATCCATATCGAGCGGGTCCGATTTGTATCCATTACTTGATTGCTCTGCTGGCTGCTCTGCTTTCTCAGTGGGCCCGAGCCATCTCGACGCTGCGTCCTACGAGTAATTGTGCTATGTGCTGACATCAGTAGTGATCTAAATATTCTGCCGGGAACTTACCTATGTTCCTTTCACTGTGTTCCAGTAAGCTTTGAACTGCTCTTCATTGCCATCGGGATGCTTTTTGAGCCACGCAGATTTACAGTGGTTCCTGCCACAAAAGGACAGGATGAGTGAAGCAGCACAAAAAAACCAGTCAGATAACTTACTTTGGATTATCGACCTTGCCAACGGTTGCCCTATGTGCCTTTCGTGGATGTGATGCCGGTGTTGGAACTTGTTGGCTTGATGGACTCGGAGATGTAAGTCTGTCATCTGGAGCATGGGACGGCACTACAACTGGGCCTGGTCCAGTATCTTCCTGGACTTTGTCAACATTGATAGTGGAGCTAATGACATCAGCCGTGGCGAAGCTGGGAATGGTAAGGGTCGATTGGCGCACAGGCGGTGCAATGGGGTGACTTTCGGTGATTGCTGCCAACAGGGCTGGTTGTTATGGTCCGGTCTGTTCCGAATACTATCTTTTTCAACATCTTATCTAAACGCGCAGGACGCACCTATTACTAATTCACATTACGGTACCTTAGTAAGATCCTCACGCACAACACATGTCCGCAGTACATTACCAAGCACCCTCATGGAATCGGTGCGCGTTCCATGGAAAGACGGCTGCAGTAGGCATGTAGTAGTACATGAGGGTTACACATGTATTTTAGTATTTAAGTACCAATAACAGGCCCTAGAACACTAGCTCGTTCTCTTGGGATTTCCACTAGTAATAGTGAGAACTAAGTCAACTAAGCTACTTCGTCTATTCCTTTGGTTTTAGTATTCTTGTAGGAGCCACGTTAGTCTTTGACTAGTGTCGCCCTAACAGAAGAACGAGCTACCCCTTCAACGTCCCTCCTACGCTCTACATTCTCATCCATCCTACTCTGCAGCGTCTAACTGCGAAGACCGACCTCTCGACCTCAAGACAGGATACGTTTCTCTTCCTCATTTTATCTACCGCCTTACTTCTTTCCAATTTCCGCCGATAAGCCCGTTAGGCTTTGATTGTCTGTTTCACACCCCTATAGCTTCCCACCCAATTCGAACCGCAGATTCAATACTCCAGCAGGGTAACGTTTAGACGACCCCCCGAGTGAATCTAAAGGCGCCGACTGATCACTAATCCTCGGAGAGGGGTCAGCGCGCGAGGTGCTGAGTAAGAAAGAAGGCTCTACCTCGTCGGTTCAGCAAGACGGTGTGAAGCTTCGCATTTAGCCAAGCCGAAGAACTCCTTCCTCATTTACGTTGTCCGCTCAGGTGCCGGCGTGCACTAGTTTGAAGTTCAACGTCAATTGACAGGGTACCTTACCAACAACCCCACCATGTCCCACTCCAGCGGATCGAGCTTCGAGAACATCGGAGACCAGAACATGCCCGGCCCTTCAGACCAACCCGCACCACCTCCACAACCATCAACACAAGAAATGATGATGATGATGATGGACCGGCTGGCTCAGATGGAAGCTCGATACGAACAACTAGCCCAATACGTACGAACCCGTCCGCCACCAACAGCTCCAGCACCAGCTCCCGTTCCCGCCCCTGCCCCGATTCCCCAACCTGCCGAACCCGCACGACCAGTAGGCCCTAAGCTGGCCAAACCCGAGATATTCGACGGCGAACGTGCCAAATGCCGTTCGTTCCTCAGAAGCATCCGGATGTACATCGCGGTTAATCAGTGGCAGTTCACCAACGAAAACACCAAAGTCTTATACGCCCTCTCGTTCATCCAGGGACGGAAAGTCGATAACTGGAAAAACGAGGTCATCAACCGAGCACTCAACTGGCGGGACCAGGGAGGATACGATCCCGTGGTCTCTGACTTCCGAAGGTTCTCTGACGAACTGGAAAGAATGTTCGGAGACCCAAACCCCAGGGAAACGGCTATCTCCACTCTATCCGCCCTCAGGCAGGGCAACGAACCAGCTGAAGAGTACGTAATGAAGTTCGAAGCGCTACGGGCGGATACCGGCTACAACGACGTAGCACTGGTGGAACTGTTCAAACGAGGAATGAACCCCGGACTGTTGAACCGGCTTTACAGCCTCCACCCGCTCCCCGCAGACTACCAGGCATGGAGCGAAGAGGCAATCCGGTTTGACAGGCAATGGCGCGAAGCACAGTCCTATGCCAAGGGACATGGACAGGGACGACAACAGGGACAGTCCCAGCAGAAGCAGCAAGGCCAAAAGCAAGGCCAATGGCAAGGGAGGGGACAAGGGCAGCAGCAACCGGCCCCACAACAGAACCAACAATCACGTCCGAAGGATCCAAACGCGATGGACGTAGACAGAACGCAGAGAACCCCGGTCAAGTGCTTTAAGTGCGGAGGACTGGGACACATCGCCCGAAATTGTCAAAGAAGATTGGACATTAGGGCCATGAATTACGATGAGCAGTTGCAATACTGGCGGGAGGAATTGACCCGTCAGGGTTTTTCCGAAGGAACTCAGGAAGCGTCGACCTGAGCTCCAAGAATTCTTTTTCCGTACTCACCCAGGAGCCGGACTCATCACTAGTAGAATCTGATGTACCAGTAGCTATTTATAATGAAGATTCGACTACTAAAGACAACGAGACGGAAACTAAGACGCAAAGCAAATCCAAGGAAGGGTACTTGTACCGGACAGGCAATGAGAAAAACTACGTCCCCATAAAGATCACCATTACTTCTCTAGACACCCTTAAAACTCTTGACCCCAAATCAATGTTGGACTGCGGCGCCTCAGACTCGTTCATTGATTGCGAATACGTCAGAAAGCACGGGCTGAAAACCAAGAAACTGACTAGACCCGCGCTCATAAGGAACGCAGACGGCACCCCCAACAACGCGGGAAGGGTAGAAGAAAAGGTAGAACTAAGAATGGGTTTTAAAGGACACGCGGAATGGGCCACGTTCTACGTAACCAACCTAGGAAACGTAGACGTCATCATAGGTCTCACCTGGCTCAGACGACATAACCCAGAAGTAAACTGGAAAACAGGAGACGTGGTAATGACCAGATGCCCAAGAGAGTGCAAGAGGAGGATGAACAAGGAAGCAGAAGACTTGCAGGATGAACCGTACCCAGGGGAGGTAGAAACCGAGGAAGACGAGGAAGAAGTGAAGGAACTGCGGAAAATGGAACCGAGGACCGAGGAACATCTCAGTGGCAGGAGTAAGACAGTGGAATAGGCTGAGAAGTGGTTATTTACGGGGCCTGGACGACTTAACCAACCAATATCACGAGTCGGTAGCCCGAATGTACATTAACCGAATGTGGAAAAAACACATGCAGGTGGAAACGGAAGACAAGGAGGAGGAAATGCATCTGAAAGCAGTAGGAAAATACGACTATGTCATTGAGCACGATCGGGAGAAAATAGAAAGCAAAAAAGAAAAAACCGAAGAAGAAATGGTACCAAACTACTACCATGATTTCATGAGAGTATTTCAAAAACGGGACTCAGAAAGGATGCCGGCGGCAAGACCATGGGACCACGCGATCGAGCTGACACCGGACTTTGTACCAAAGGCCTCAAAGGTGTACCCACTGTCGCCAATCGAGCAACAAGAACTCAACGACTTTCTCGACGGCAACCTAAAAAAGGGGTACATTAGACCCTCCAAATCCCCGCAAACCTCACCAGTATTCTTCGTGCAAAAAAAGGATGGAAAAAAACGATTGGTACAGGACTACCGATACCTAAACAAATACACCGTAAAAAACGCATATCCATTACCTCTCATTTCGCAACTAGTAGACAAAGTATCTAAGGCTCGCTTATTTACCAAAATGGACCTCCGCTGGGGGTATAACAATGTACGAATAAAAGAAGGAGACCAGTGGAAGGCAGCGTTCCAAACGCCACGAGGGGCGTTCGAACCAATGGTCATGTACTTCGGACTTAGCAATTCCCCTTCCACGTTCCAAACCATGATGAACGAACTTTTCAAAGAACTGATTGACGAAGGCCTTGTAGTTATCTATTTAGACGATTTACTTATCTTTACGGACAATGATGTACAAAAACACCGAGAAGTAGTACGACGGGCTCTGAAGATTCTTGAAGACAACGATTTATACATAAAACCAGAAAAATGTGCATTCGAAGTAGACGAAGTCGAGTTTCTAGGAGTAGTAGTGAAAGACGGAAAGGTGCAGATGGAAGAAGCGAAAATAGAAGCAGTGAAAAACTGGCCGGTTCCGAAGAACGTGCAACAAGTACAACAGTTCTTAGGATTCAGCAACTATTACCGACGGTTCATAAAGGACTTCGCCACCGTCGCTAAACCGTTGCACGAGCTCACCAAAAAAGATGAGGAGTTTGTATGGAACGAAAGGAGACAAGAAGCTTTTGAAAAGCTTAAGAAGCTGTTTACCGAGGAACCAATCCTGGTACTACCGGATACAGACAAGGAAATGAAGATCGAAGCAGACTCGTCGAACTACGCATCAGGAGCGGTACTCTCAATGCTATGTGACGACAACAAGTGGAGACCATGCGCCTTCCTGTCTAAAGGGTTCACGGAAACAGAACGAAACTACGACATCCACGACAAAGAGATGTTGGCTATAATTCGGGCCCTGGAGGCATGGCGACATTACCTAGAGGGAAATAGTCGACAATTTACAATATGGACGGATCACAAAAACTTGGAATATTTCATGACCACCAAAAAACTCAACAGACGCCAGGCGCGATGGGCACTGTATTTATCACGGTTCAACTTCTTATTAAAACACAAGCCAGGAGCGTCGAATATGAAAGCAGATGTCTTGTCGAGACGACCAGACCTTGATAGGGGGGAAGAGGACAACACGATGGTTCTACTGAAACCAGAGTACTTTCGAATCAAAGCCATGCAACAAGGCCACGTCTTGATCGAAGGACTGGAATCTACCATCTTGTCGAAAATCAGAAAATCGAAAAATTACGATGAGTCGGTGGTAAAAGCGGTAACGGAGCTGAAAAGATCCCCGACGAAGGTGCTGAGAGAGGCGGAGTGGTCCGAAGAGCAAGACCTGGTGCTATATCATGGGAAGGTATACGTACCCAAAGACACGGAGGTCCGAAGGGAGATCGTAAAACTGCACCATGATTCAACAGTGGCAGGCCACCCAGGAAGATGGAAGACAATTGAGCTGGTCTCACGAAACTACTGGTGGCCAGGAATGAACAGATTCATAGCGGAATACGTCAAAGGATGCGATCAGTGTCAACGAAGCAAAGCCTACTCACGACAACCACAGGGAAAGCTTCAACCCAACCCCATCCCGTCAGAACCATGGACGGATATCTCAGCAGATTTCATCACCAAACTGCCAAGGTCACAGGGTTATGATGCAATCCTAGTAGTAGTGGATCGCTTCACCAAAATGGTCCGTCTAGTACCAACTACCGAAGAGCTGTCATCATTAGGCCTAGCTAAATTATATCGGGACCACGTCTGGAAGGACTTTGGTCTACCCACCACTATCATATCAGACCGAGGACCCCAATTTGCGTCACAAATGATGCAGGAACTGAATAAATTATTGGGAATTCAGACACGACTGTCCACAGCCTTCCACCCACAGACCGATGGACAAACGGAACGAGTAAATCGAGAAATCGAGACTTACCTACGAATGTTCATCAACCATAGACAAGACGACTGGGCGGAATGGCTGGCGATATGTGAATTCTCCCTAAACAATAAAACTCAAACGAGCTCCAGGCAGAGCCCTTTCTTCTTAAATTATGGACGCCATCCACGAATGGGGATTGAACCACGGAGAGAGTCAAAAGTGGAAGCCGCCGATGACTTTGCCAAACGAATGACCCGGAGCTGGGAGGAGGCACGGTCAGCCTTGGTAAAAGCAGGGGAGGAGATGAAGAAGTACGCAGACCGACGAGTAGGGGAGATGCCGGAGTACAAAGTAGGGGATAAAGCTTTCATCTTCACTGATAACTTAAACACGTCTCAACCTTCGCGAAAATTGGAACAAAAGAAAATCGGGCCGTACGAAGTGGTTGCGGTACCCACAAAAAACGCAATAACCCTTAAAATTCCAAAAACACTATCTATTCACCCCACGATCTCCACCCACCGAACGGAAAAGGCCAACATGCCAACGATACCAGGGCAAAAAACACCACCACCCCCACCGGTACGGATCCAGGGCGAGAATGAGTACGAGGTCGAAAATATTCTAGACAGCCGACTCAGACGAGGACGGCTAGAATATTTGGTCAAGTGGAGAGGGTATACCGATGAGCATAACACATGGGAACCCGAGAAGAACCTCGAGAACGCACCCGAGCAAACTCGGGCCTTCCACGCCCGACACTCTGCAGCTCCACGTCGAATTGCGGCCGCGGTATTTGAGGAACTGATCTGGAAACCAAAATATGTATTCACTACCCCGACCATCAGTAGAACGACCAAGATCGACGAACCCGAGGGGAGCGCTGATCCACCCGACACACCCGACAGCCACGAAGACAAGCATGGCAATCAGGCCGGCTTGCTCAGCGGGGGAGAAACGATCCCAAATGGGGAGTTGAGGAATGATGTCGTCAAAGGAGATGTGGGACATCAAGAGGTAGTGGTTTCGTCAAGTGGAATTGACGAATCCTAGAGGGGGGGTGATGTTATGGTCCGGTCTGTTCCGAATACTATCTTTTTCGACATCTTATCTAAACGCGCAGGACGCGCCTATTACTAATTCACATTACGGTACCTTAGTAAGATCCTTACGCACAACACATGTCCGCAGTACATTACCAAGCACCCTCATGGAATCGGTGCGCGTTCCATGGAAAGACGGCTGCAGTAGGCATGTAGTAGTACATGAGGGTTACACATGTATTTTAGTATTTAAGTACCAATAACAGGCCCTAGAACACTAGCTCGTTCTCTTGGGATTTCCACTAGTAATAGTGAGAACTAAGTCAACTAAGCTACTTCGTCTATTCCTTTGGTTTTAGTATTCTTGTAGGAGCCACGTTAGTCTTTGACTAGTGTCGCCCTAACACTGGTTCTGGTTCAGCAGAAGTGCTGGTAGTCGAGCTTCGATGATTGTTCGCAGCAGGTGGGGACACTAGAGATGGTTGGAAGGTTGAAAATAGTGTAGACCTGGTGCCAAAATGCAGTAGAACGTAGTGAGTATATGCACATTGAGGGAGAGTCATATGTACAAGGGATTGTTGATAACTAGAGCATCGTTGCCCAAATTTGCTTTAGTGGTGGTGGTAGGACTGGCAGGGGGATCGTAATAGATGCTTTTGTTGGTGTTATCGTCCTGGCTCTCATTTTGGATATCGCTCTCGGTACGGGCCTTCTTTGAGGGAATGCCGTCAGTTGGTGTTGAGTTACCTCGCTTTGGCAATGGACACTTGGAATCCACCTGCTCCTTCTTGATGTCCGGCTTCTTGATGCGGATGTGATTGTTGTACCAGGAGGGGAAATGATGGATTGCGATCTGCTCAGCCTTCCAGAAGCTATCGCAATATGTTAGCTTGGGATGTACGCCACAGATCGTAAGTAAGTAGAGCTTGCGGCCGAGATGGCATATTTTTGTCCAGGTATCTGGGGCAAGCTCGAGTCGTTTCAACTGCTGGAAGGCACCACGCATTGTCAAGCGTATCTTGGCCATGTCTTCTTTGTTTAGCAGGTCACCGTCTGCTGTCTCAATGTAGTTATTTCTCTTTCTAGGCTTACTATCAGAACCAGTTGGGTCGAGTTCGAACTTTGTCTCAGATTTGAACCTGCTGTTGGTTTTGGTCCATTGAGAGCGTGTCCAGAATTTTATGTTGGGGTAGTCGTTTCTATTCGGCTTTGGTAGGGTGGCAGTGAGGCAGTTTCACACCGAAGGATCTGAGAACGCAGGTGGGCTGTTGAGCTGAGATTTGCGGTAGAATGAGGGCCATCTATCCTAGAGTTCCGAACCGCATCTAGAAGTTGGTCAAAGTTGGTTCTTGTAAGGGCAACCTCAAGATGGCCGCACAGTGCAAGCCTAGCAGAGGGAGAATCCAAAGATAATGAATAAGACTAACTACAATACATGAGAGGGCTGCTCACCTAGCAGAGGGAGAATCCAAAGAGAACAGGATAAGGATTCTCCATGCTAGGGAGCGAAGTATATACTGTAGTAGCGTGAGAGGAATGCAGGATAACTGTACAGTACACCAGCCACAAGTCCGAGTGAATATCACAAGGTACAAGGAAACATGTGATAATGAAGTGGAGGGTAGATGCACAGGAGTCGTGCCAGCGACTTGGGGAAGTAAGGGCGAAGAGTAATGAAGTGGGGAAAGAGAATAGAGGTAACCTGGGCGAGCCCCGAAGAGTATAGACGAGTCCGAGCAAGTCCAAAGTGTTCAAAGTGCGGGAAGACTCCAGAGTCACTGGACGCAGCTTGGATGCGAAAGGAGTGGGCGGAAAGGAAGTGGAAAGGCAAGGGAGTGAAAAGGAACAAAGGGGAACAAAGGGAATGTAGGTAAGAGTCCATGGGATGAAGGAAAGGAGAGAAAATAGGAGTGTCCCCTTACAGATGGGGCAGTGGAGGCGACATCCATGGCGTCCCTTGTGGCCGACCAGCCCGTTATGGAGTGCCAGACCAGGGCCATTGGCTATCCCGAAGAGCAAGAATAGATTGGAAATAAAGGTTGCATTGAGGTCGGCGTCCCAGATCTGAAGCCCCTCTAGTTGAAGGGCAGCAACATGGTAGAATGTAGGGAATAAGAAGGAATCCAGGTTCTGTGGTTTGTTGGGGCCCACAATCACAATGCCAGGGGAGACATGGACCTTCTTATATGGAAAATCGCCGTCCAGATCCATGAAAATCCATACAAAAATCCAGCAGTCCGAGGTCTTGCTTCGGTAGAGTTGGCAGCCGTCCAGAGAGTACATGAGGACTGTATCGTTGTCCTTGATTAGACCGGATTGCACCGCATTCAAGTATTCCCGCCCAGATGTGAAGTCATCATATTTGGGTAGTTCGCCGCCAGTACGTTGCAGCTTGGCAATGACTTCAGCTGTTTTCTGCTGCCTGTATTTCATTTTGCGAGCACTTGCTGCGTCACGATAAAGAGCCTGAATCTGTGGGCTGTTGAGCAAGCATCTGTCCATCAACCCTAACGGGGAGGATGAGCGTGCGCTGAGTGAAAGACTAGTGTCTACTCACTGGTTATAAAACTAGTACTACTTGTAGCTAGGTAGTCTTGATGCACACACTTAGGTAAGTTCTCTGGTAGAGCACTTTGTAGATTGTAGACAGATACAGGCTCCTTATATACTACTATCTACCTAAGATATAAATAGATGCGCAGTCAATACCTAGTCAGTATGACTCGGTATGAGTCGGTATGACTCACGTCATTAGTAAGATACTTCTATGAAGTTCTACTGCGGACTGCATGTCTGACTCATGTCCTGATGGTCATGGTCATGTGGAGGTGCATGCGCAACATGGGCCTATGGGTATTGTTGAAAAGGTTTTGTGTGGTTCGAGTGAACCGGGCTTCGTGTATCGGGGCGAGAGGCATTTTGGGCACTCGGTGTTAAGGACCATGTCAAGGGGCCTCCTGACTTGTCCGCACAGGAGTGCGGGAGCGCGGACGAGCGGACGAGCGGAGCACACGGGACTTGGCTTCAGCTTTGATGCTGCACCCTCCTAGCCCTGTGGTGTCCCGATTTTGGAGGGAGCAAGGTGAGAGGCGGGCTCCGCGGAGGAGCCCGCAGCGAAGACTTAGAAGAGACAAGTGATGGAAAAGGAACTAAGATTCAGAGTAGAGAATACATGTCTACTAATGCTACTATAAATACTAACTGACACATGTATGTAGTGAGGCTAGTATGTAAGTACACATGTACATGAAACATGTAACAGATGAATCCCAGTGCTGTGCACCATGCATAGGCTGCGAGGGCGGAGCCTGAGGGGCTCTGAGGGTCCGAGTATCTGAAAGGGGCGTAGGGGGGGACCCCTAAGGGGGCGTGAGGACTGGTATATGACACTTGGTCAAGTCTTCAAAGGGGCCAGTGAATGCAACACAAGACTTCTTGCACATATGGTTGACAATCAGCTTGACACCACTCAGATTTTTGACTCGCCATTTGACTTGATCCAATGATGGCATCTGTAAGGGGACACTCCTATTTTCTCCTATTCCCCTGTCCCCCTCCCTTCCTCCTCATTCCTTTCTCCCTTCCTTCATCCCACGGACTCTTACATACATCCCCTTTGTCCCCTTTCCTTTCCACTTCCTTTCCACTCACTCCTTTCGCATCCGAGCTTTGTCCGGTGACTCCGAAGTCTTCCCGCACTTCGGACTTGCTCGGACTTGTAGATACACTTCGGGGTTCGTCCGGGCTACCTCCGTCCTCCTCTCCCACTTCGTTATTCCTTGTTCCCACTTCCCCAGGTTGCCGGCACGACTCCTGTACATTCCCCTTCCACTTCATTATCACATGCCCCCTTGTACCTTGTGATATTTGTTCGGACCTGTGGCTGGTGTACTGTACAGTTACCCTTCATTCCTCCCACACTACTACAGTATATACTTCGCTTCCTAGCATGGAGAATCCTTATCCTGTTCTCTTTGGATTCTCCCTCTGCTAGGTGAGCAGCTCTCTCATGTATTGTAGTTAGTCTTATTCATTACTTTGGATTCTCCCTCTGCTAGGCTTGCACTGTGCGGCCATCTTGAGGTTGCCCTTACAGCATCTGGCAGTCGGGAAAGCATTTGAGAATTGCTTGCTGAGTGGAAGTATATGTGGCCTCTGAAGCAAGACTGCATGCTTTGTAAATCTTGATGCTGAGTAGGAGATCAGTGTCGTCAATTTCTAATGGATAGTCTGCTGGCTTTCGAAGTAGCTCAATATCCTCAGGTTCCATCCCAGATTTTTTGAGGGTCGTGGTGCACAGTAGCTTGACAAATTTCAGAGTGATTTCTACATCAGCAATACTCGAGGTTTCCTGTAATAAGAGTTCCCCGGAATCCCGATCTGTAATGCATATCAATAATCAGTTAGAAGGTTCGGAGGCTAGCCAGATCTTCACGTACCCTCTGGTGGTCCCCTTGGCGGTCCTCTATTGCCTTCTTCATCTTCGTCATCTTCTGGTTCATCCTGCTGTCAATCCTCGCTACGGTGACTGGCTGTGCTACCTGTGCCTTCCAGCGCCCCTCTGGCACCTCTCTCCCCCTCCCCCTGTTCCAGGTCATCTATATCACCCTCAAGGTGTCCCCCAGGCCCACTGTTAGATGTACCATTGTCCCGTTGTCCATCGGCATCGCCAGTATCGTCCATAATGCCGTTACGGTTCAAAGACCTTCCATCTCCCATATTAGCCTGAGGTCATGTTACAGTTCCTTGAACACCCTGATTGTTGTGTGAATCATCTGAGTCAAAGCCATTGGTTTAGTATATCAATATGTTGCCACAAAAAGAGGACATACCTCCCATAGAAGACCTCAACAAACTACCCCGCTCCGTCTCTTTGAGTTCCTGCCTTCTTCGCTTTGGATTCAGGGGAGGAAGTGAAGCCAGCGGCGGGAGGGCCCTATATGGTGTATGATGCTGGTAAGTACTGCGTGAAACGTCCTTTCCCAATATCGCCAACAGGTGCATCGGAAACGAGCTGGAATTGGCGCAGACATGGGAGGAGGGCCGGGGTAAAGTGGGACTTGGTTTCCAGTGACTAAACACGATTCAAAGGCAAACCGAATCTATTCTGATTATGTCAGTAGAACATACATTGTGCCAATGACTACATTGTATAGTAGGTACATTGGACAATTGTATTAGAATACAAACTCAGTCTCGTTACAACGGACTGAATATCATTAGTGTAGTACCTATTAGAATACAAACTAAACGAGCCTATGAGTACATATTAAGGAAGCATTAGATAGATACTACTCACCTCAGTCTCGTTACAACGGACTGAGGTGATACGCCGGTCTGCGCGGCCCTGATATACACATTACGAGACAGAATGAATGAAATAGGGAATGGTTGAGAATCATACCTCCCTTCCAACTAAGAAGGCTAACCAGCCTATCAGCGTAGCACGGGTTGCCTAATCTCCGAACTTCCAATAAATTGAAGTGAAGCAAAGTTGAACCCGAAGACAAAGATCGAGTCGTAGGCGCTCGATTCACACGATCCGTCTCGTTCCCAATCGTTCCCAATCGACGGACTTCTCACTGGGCTTGAACCCTTTAGAGCATGATTGCTCGCTACGCTCGCAATCACCCCATCTACAGGTGGTAGGGAGGACGTACTCAATCGACGAGACAAATATGTTGCAATCGAGTGTCAAAGAAGGGGCGGAGAGCAGAAGGCTGTTAGAGGCGAATGAATATAGCGGGAGGGATGAAAAGAGCATCAATTCATAGTCTAATGCTTGGTAAGTCGCAGGTAGCAGATAGTTTACGTGCGGCTGTTCACGTTTACAACCTCAAGTGGACCAACGCGTTATAAGGTGAAGATGATTCCGGTATCATTTCATGAATTTGACTAGACGTCACGGTCATAAACCCTGCTGATGCCTCCCAGCAATATTTTAGACAAGAGGGCGTCATCGAGTTGCTCTGGATGGTAACGAGTGGTGTCGACCATGTCGGGGATCTCGTTTTGTTTGGAAAGATCATCGTCGAGGTGTTGAAGGTACTGAAATCAATCAACAGAATGTGGGCATGACTCAAGTTTTTGATCCTTACCTTCTCTGCATCGTCGGCATTTCCAACTTGAACGAAGCTTATTCCAACTTGGTTGGGTGGCCAACCATCGCTTTTGAGTCTCTTTGCAGCTCCTGTAATCACCGATGCCAAAACATCGAAATCAGAATCTCCATCTGTAGTGTCACCATCCGTGACCACAATCAGGTTCATGCGCTTGATGGAATAACGACTAGAAGGCGCCTGCTTTCGAGCAGTGGTGATCTTAGCTATATACTCCCATAACAGAGCACCAAGCTTGGCCCCGATTTGAGTGTTACCTACACGTGAGCATCGAGTCGAGTTGCAAAACGAGTGTAATAGTCAACCCGAGTCGGCTCACCAACGAGCTCCGCCTGGCAGCACAGGTACATCACATGTTCGGTCCGCTGCGAAACCGGAACCGTCAATCAGGCTGTCTCACAAAAGCAAGCAAACAAACGAAGCGTACTGTCAATCTGGTCCCAACTTGTGTGCTATTTATGAAGTGCAGATCGATGCCATCGGAATCGTACTGGGCAGCGACTTCGGCAATTCCTTCAACGGCTTGCTGTGCGTGAGCCCAGCGATCCTCCTCGCACATAGACGAAGAGTCGTCTACCTAGCGTGAATAATCAACATCGGGTGTTGTAAGAAATCATTGCAAAGAAACTCACGATGACGACGGTGTCGTAGAGTTTCAGCAACTGGCGGCCATGTTCACCCTTCTTCGCGCCACTCGTTTTCTTAGTTAAGATCGGCTTCTTGATGAGAAGGGGGATTTTGAATCCTCCGGTTAGCCCCATGACGTTGTCGGGATCGTATTTCTTTCGAATGGCAACGAGTTTATCTAAGTTTTCTCGATAGATTTCTTCCGCGTTCGTTGTCCCGAAAGCCAAAGTAGGGTATTCCGGGGAATCCTCATAGATGTAACCCTCTCGACGAGCCACCGCCTTGATGTTATTCAAGGTTGTTTGCATCCTAACAGACCAGAATTCGTCATTCTCCTGACCTTCCCACAAGAAGTAAGCTGAGAGAGGGACGATCACGCGGTCGCGTGAATGAGGCCAGGCGGCAGGCTTGCTGTTATTGAAGATAGAAGTAACGCAAGGGAAAAAAGGAAACGAAAGCAGTTTTCCCCCACGGGTCTTCATCTCCTGTGCTGCTACCTGTAAAGCTATGAGCCAAGAACTACCGGAAAGGATATGGCTAAAAACCTTGGCTTCGCTGGCAATTGTGTTGATGAGCGCCTTGTTGTACCCATTCACCATGATACAGCCGAGTCGACCACTACATAGAAACCATGTAAACAACACGAGTAGAGAAGGGTTCGGGTCTTACCGCGTGTTATGATTTTGAGGCCCAGGGAAGGATTCGGACATCAGAGCATCGACTATAGTGTATGACCTGATATCGGACAACCGGTTGATATCATACGAGACCCCGTTGGTCTGTCTGGAATCCTTCAAGGCCCCTGCCTTTTCACTGATACCGACGAACGATGCCCACGGGTTCCTTTCTGGCTTTGGGCCGTCGTAAACACAGGTAACGGAGATATCGTGCTGCGGGTTAAGCATCAGTCCCGCATATAGTACATGGTTGGTGGTAGGTAATACCTTTAATTCACCATCAGTCACGAAAGAACGGAATGTAGCAAACAACTCTGCTTCGCGGCAGGAGGGCTCGCGATGCGTCTCTTCACGGCGCATCTCCTCACGAATGAACGTATTTATGGCGTTTGTCACTTCCGTTTCGCATTCATTTCGAAACACGAAAGTCCCGCCCTACTCATAGTATAAGAAGTCGGTTAGTCTCTATGGGACTTCGTGATGTCAAATACCAACCCAAATTGGCCCCTGATCGTGTGTCTTCAGCCTGAATCTAGTTACGACTCCAAAGTTATTTCCGCCACCCTGGAAAAGCTGTGGTTAGAGGGGTATGAGCAATTGCTAGCATGTAATGAATACCTTGAGAGCCTCGAATAAATCCGATCCTTCACCATCTTCCTTTACGGTCATTACCTTTCCATTTGGTAGAACGATTTCCATTTCGAGTATGTGGTCGATAGTGAGTCCATATTGATTCGACTTGCTAAGGGAGTAAGCGGCACCCAACAGGAAGGTTGCGACTCCACCGATACCACCAACAACATTCTTCCCGGAGTTTTCCATGGCAGCATAGACTTGGGCCCATAGACATCCTGCACCAACATCGATATAAGCTTCATTGCTGAAGTCAATTTTATCAAAGAAGGTCATGTAGATCTGCACTCCATTGGTTGAGCTGGCGCCCGGGTTCCATGAAGAACCACAACCTTTTATCTACGCATGCAACATTCATCAGTAGGATTTTAGTATTAGAGTCGAACCCTTTTTATACGCACTCCAAATGGAACCCTATTTTCCGACAAAATCACCATCTACAGATGGTGAAAGTAAGTATCCTACTACGTGAGGGGCCACTACGCACTGTCTTGGCAAGCTGATCTACGTCCAATGGCTGGACTGCGAATGCAGATGGTCGACTGCCATTCTGTAGGACATGCCTGATACTATCATTGTAGCCAGTGGTGCCTATGAAGATCAACATGAATGCGAAGACCTCGAGCTTCGGCTATCGCATACCTTTCTTGAAGACATGGATGCCTTGATCGGTGAATTTGGTGGCGATTTTCTGATAATCAATCTGCGCCAAGGGGTTGTGCGAGAGCAATTGCGTAAGTACGAGTCGGGGACTTACAAGCATGATGGAAACAGCGTACGGTGAGAGGTGAAGTGAACCTAGTCGACCTCTGCAGGCTACTTAAGTACGAATAACGAAATGGGAGGGATGCCGTGTAGGGGGCAAACGGACCGTCTTCGTTGCGGAATGCCGGATAGAAGAGACCATCGTTTTCAGAAGCTCGCGGTAGTCGCCGTCTCCGAACTCAGGAATGCTATCTTCCAACAGGCTCAGAATAGTGGCCTATCCACGCAATCTGGCTTTCAACCTTTGCGATCGCGTATCTCTGAGGGAAAGGCATCGTAGGAGAGTACGCCAACGCAAAATCAGCATAAGCTGCCTTTCTTTGAACCCTGTTGTTACTGTTGGCAAGCATCACACTGTATACGAGCGCCGACATGAGTATATGACATACGAATATGCCTTGAAGCGTCCAAAGCCACAAAGCTCGGTTCCTTTCCCATGGAAGTTTGGACTTTCTTGCGGTAGTATTTCTTCGGAAAGCTTAGTATTCCTGGTGTTCGCCCAGCGTAATCTTTGTCGCGACTATCAAGCTCGATCAAGGCTTCTATCTCTCCGTACCGCCCAAAGGCGGCGACCAAGCCGAAGTCATCAGCGTTGGTTTGTCCGGAACCCAAGTGATAAAGCGTTATCCAAGACCATCTTATAAGTTTATATCGTGCGCGGCGTACCTTGATCCAGCCTCATGTTCGCGGAACGAAGTGGCGCTGTGAAAGAGGGCTCAAAGGTTAGTTGTAGACCTTTGATGAAGTTGTCGATTCCTATAAACCACGAGGCTATTCCTTCGCGCAAGCGGAAACCGGACGCGCTCCCGGTAGTATTGAGTAGCTTGAGGTTGTGGAAGGGGGAAGGCCATGCTGGCGCGGTTTTGTGCACTTGACCAAGCCAACGTTTCAAAGATAACACCATGAATATACCCATTGACATATACCCATAGATGGAGAACAACTCTCTATAATGAATGCACATGATAGCAACAACGAAGACATCAACGCAGCACCGGCACACCTGATCACCCACATCCATATGCAATAAATCCCCCTCCATTCCAACTTCACTCCACGCTATATAGTAGTATGCATGATGAATCGATCGAACGCTAAGCAGCGCCCAAGCTGGTGAGCTCTTGTCTGATCTCAGCTTCCGCATCGATCTTCTTGAGCTGGGTGACTTCCAAACGTTCGCCGCGTTTGGCCTTTTCTTTGAGCTCCTCGATGGCCTTGAGCTACACAAATGGGGGATGTCAGTCGTAAAATCAACGGAGAACTCGTGAGTGGCAGACATACCTTCTTCGTAAGATTACGAATCTTCTTGGCGGTAGGATCAAGGGCACTATCAAGCCCAGGTGTGGTGGGCAAAATATCCGTCTCCACGGAAAGAGTAGGCGGTGGAGGTGCGACAGCAACAGCAGCAGGGACCTTCCCGTTGACCTTGGGCGTCCTATTCCCGTTCCCTTTCTGCCCACCTTTCGCCCCCTGACCCTCTCCTTGTCCTTGCCCACCTTCCCTCCTTGCCCTCTCTCCTCCTTGCCCTTGTCCTTGCTCTTCCCCTCCTTCCTTCTTAGCAGCTTTCTTCTTCCTGTTCTTCGCTTTGTCGCCGTCCGGTCCAGGGCTCGGGCTGTGGGGCGCACCAGGTACGTGCCTTCTCCCATTCCGTTGCTGCCTATCCCCATTCTGTCCGTTCACATACCCGTTCACAGGTGCACCAGGGACAGGGCTCCTGTTATACCCTCTCGACGGCGTCGAAGTCCCGCTCGGTGCGCCGCCCTCGTCTTCTCTCTTATAAATAGAAGGCGTAGCGGAGCCTCTGGCACCCGGTGGTCGGTACGCTCCAGCGGGCTTCGATGGGGTGGGCTTCGAAACGGCCGCGATCCCTTTCACGCTCTCGCTGGGCTCGGGGGCAGGCGGGATGGCAGGCGGGAATTGCGGAGCGACATCAACAGGCGTCGGCCTCCACGAAGCCTGATACAACTCCTCCACGGCCTGGAAGTGCACGAGCGGACCGCTGCAGTGCCACACTTTGAGCCCGTTGTCGACGCGAAGACGCGGGGAAAGCGTCGCCGTAAGTAGGAATCTTCCATCGGGAGACCATTCACAGTGGGAAGTGTTGGGCGCGTCGACGGTGCAGACTTTGGTGAGGGATCGGCGATCAAAAATGTCGATCTTCCCAGCAAGATTACCGAACCCAGCGAGGGCGATGAGACGACCTTGAGGATTGAACGACACGAAGTTGACTGGCGCAGCGCCAAAGTCGTGCAACGATCGGACGCGCTGGTCGAAGATCATCGTTTTCGCGGGCATGACTGCGTGGGTTTAGAAGGGGATAGGTGGCGGAACTACGGAGACGAACTTACACCCGTAAACAACACCGAACTCCTTGGAATTGGGGCTCCAAGCGAAGTCATGGATAGGGCCTTCCTTGTCAAGCGTGACCCTGCAATCGAAGTTCCCTGCGGCACTGAGCAAGTACAGCATGGTCTCGCCATAGTAGCTTTTGTTCGAGTTGTCTACTTCCGTCTGGGTTAGCAAGAGTACCTGCGTGCCCAAGGTGTTCCACTTGATCTGCGATCGATCGGCTTTGAAGAAGGTTTTCTGACATGTGGGCGGTGAATTGAGGGAGAGAAGACCGTATATTTTGATGTTCGCTGGGGCGCCCTATCATTGCAATCATTAGTATATTGGGCCGACGTTATTGGTTGTGAATAAACCCCCAAACGCCAAAGCTTCAACATACCTTTTTCTCGGCCACAAATACCGCCAGGGACGGGTTAAGTCCGGGGCTCAACGACACGCTCGTCGCACCCTCCACTTTCAATTTATCCACAATCCCCTTCGACCATTCCGCGGGTCTGAAGACCTGCACCTCTTGTCCGACAAGTCTGATCGCATGGGACTCCGAGATCGTATACTGCAGATCCCAGTTGTCCTGTGACTTTTGGGAGAACGCAATGAGTTCTTCGCCGGTGGATACGGAGAAGATGCGAAGGTTTTTGTGCTGGGAGCCGTCTTCGAACTTGACCGGCCGCTCCCAGGTCGACATGTAGGTCCCCCTCGGGGAGAACTGGATGTCGACTACGTTGGGTACTTGAAGCTCTCGAAGAAACTGGGCACTCTCTGCCTGAAAGATGCGAACTCTGCATGTCGTATGAACATGATTGCGGTGAAGTGAGGTGTCGGGGTTGATCGTTGGGTGAGTGGGTGGGATTGTGGGGCGAGTGAGACACTTACGCGCTCGGTAAGGCGTAGGCGTAGAGCCTGCCGTCTGCGCTATAGTGGTAAGTGCGAGCGGTAACCTCTGTATCGGCAAATCCAGCTACGGGTCTATAGTCGGGGGTGCCGCCGATCAGACCAAGCGACTTTTGTGCACGGACTAGAGATAAAGAGTCAGTTTACTCGTGCATCCGATCCATACGTAAACGGGGGTCAACAGAACGACGAAGTCGGGGTACCATGCCACGATCCCAGAGATAGAAATTCCATCCAAGAGCGATAAAGCCACCATTGAGTAATTGGAGTCCCATTCTCAGATCCAAATTGTCGCATTTGAAAGCTGGGAGGCGCTGAAATCAGAAAAACACACTAACATGCAATTTGCTGCGAGATTTGACTAGCCATGTTGACAAAGGCTAGCTAGACAGAGGTCGTTCGAAGCTCAGGCAGGAAATATGAAGCAAGTTAATGCTTCAGGACGAGGAGAGAGAAGGAGAAAGAAATGAGATGATTGAAATGAGGCGCGGTGCATCGCCGCACGGAAATCTGCAAGTTTAGGGCAGGGCGCAAATATACATGACCTTCACTGGCATATTCAGGGGTGCCGGTGACTCCTAGCTCTGTGACCTTGGGCGTACCAGTGCAAGAGTCAAAATAGCAACCTCATCGCTGGATGGCTTGGGAATAGTACGCAACGTTCAATACTCATTCATGTCTCAGCCTCTGCCAGCCCCCGATAACGTTGCCGCTCAATTGCCCACTCCCAATGCCCTTAGCGCGTACAACGTCTGCTTTGACTTTAAACAATCCGCCTCCACCCAGAAGAACGATGAATACCTCATCGCTGCTAGGGTCTTGGGATATTTAACTCTTCATGCCCCTTCGCATCATGCATTGGCGGAGGTTGTCGAAACAATCCATTCCTGCCGCCAAAACAACCTGACCCTCTCTGCATTGGGAGAGGCATTCATTGTGTGGTTTGTACGTCCTTGTGAGTATCATGCTTTACTCGCTCGGCTTTTGCACAGTTAACAACCGACTAGTTAAGAAATATAAGGGGCAGACCCCTGATAGCTCTTTGCACCCCAGCCGGCCATCCTCAGTCGATGAGGATGCAGCCGCGCTGAAAACTTCAATTCAGGAGGCACCGAGAGACCACAGTGCTGCAAAGAGACATGTCAGTTGTGCCCACTAGTATCTCTGTTCCACTTATCATTCTCATGCATTGGTTCTGCAGGCCCTCGTACGTGATGGCTATAGGTGTCTGATCACGAGGCGATATGACCGAGCGGCTGAAAACAACTTGATATTACGCCGGAAGAGCTTATCGCATATGGCGGCCTCATTGCCACCCAATGCGCTCACATCACCCCCGCCTCTACGTATTTCGACGTCAATATTACTACTAGGGACTCGACCCCAGACCCAAACGAAGTACGCTCTAGTATGCAAGGATGTCTGCTACAAGTGTAACCAACTGATTTGGTCAATCTCAGAAGGACTACGCAGCTTCAGTTCTAGCCGTCCTGAAGCGCTTTGGCTACGATGTCGACACATTGAATGGGGCCGGCGTGCACTCGTTATTCAACGTGATGACCTTGGAGCGCAATGTGCACGACATGTTCGATCAATTATTGTTATGGTGAGAAGCAACTGTGAGGGTTCCATCATATCTCACTATCCTTGCTAACTAGTTTCACTAGGAAACCGCAAACTCCTACCGCTTGAAGGTCGCGAACCCGCTATACCTTCCGGGGGGACCCGCGGTGGTCACGTTCAGCACCCCCGATCCAGAGCACCTTCCAGTTCCTTCTCCCCACTTGCTCTCGTTGCACGCGGCCTGTGCGAAAGTGGCGAACCTTTCGGGTGCGGCTGAATACCTCGACAATCTGGATCGTGAAATGGAAGCGACGAAAGTATTGGCGTTTGACGGGGGCTCGGCCGAAACCTTGTATTATGCGATTGCGCGGCTTGCGGGGAAGCTGAAGAATCGATGTGGGGACATAACGCATAACACGTAACATATGTGTGGTATACGTATATGTTACATTGAACGGTAGACGGCTCTACTTTACACCTTTGCTCGTGAATGGGTAAACAGTTAGGAGTCGCTCTGAGTCGATATCTATATATCAGTTACGACAATTGGTAACAGACTGCAGCCTGTCATTGAAAACAAGTACGTTCGGTTCATCTGATGCTTACTTGCACCATAGTAGTACTGACATGTCGTCTAAACCCGAAATATCAACCTAATATTCGCATCAGGAACGTCCGCTAGCGACGCTATGTGGCGGTCGAAATGGTTTGCTGTCAACCCACCCATCTCGAATTCGTCCCGTTCCGCCGCTAGCGCCCTCCCCGTCTACCACGTTCCGCGCTAATCAAACAACCAACACCGGGCCCTCTAGTCAACGTGCACTCTATGGAACTATAACGCCAGCTGCGGGCTAGTATAGTAGAAACACATCCACACCGCCACCATGCGCGTAGTGCGTCGCCTCTCCGCTAACTCTAGTTTCTCATTCTATAGCTGAGTACGCGTATAGTATGAGTAGTATATAAACCGCCCGCCGTCACCCAAGATACCTCGTCTTCCAGCAGCAGCTTTCCAGCTGTATTGAACGCTAAAGGCGAACAACTCCTTGCGATGCATCGGTATTAACTTATCATGCAGCAGCAGGGATACCATCCTCCTCCGCCGGTGACGCGACCTGTTCACTCAGGTTTGTGTAGGCGTTGGACGAACAAATCAAATAACACAGGCCGTCTTCCCCATCTCCCCTCAATTGGCGACATAGACTATGCAGCCCCCCGCTGCCACGCCGTAATAATATCCATACTCGTCCCGCGTTCAGACGACTCCGAGGTGGCTCGCACTACGCCAATAATAACCTCGCCCCTTCCTCCGTGCTCTTCATTCACCACACCCGGGCCGGTCCCCTACTCTCCCTAACTTCCTCGCCTATCCCTGCCCCAACATCCGATCACCCGCTCGCCATCGCTCACGGTGCACGTTGCCACTATCATAAGCGCTAAAGCATGATGCTCCAGAATCCGCGAACAGTGCCACCATCCACCCCTAACTGCCCCTGCGCCCTCAGGCTTTGTCCCTGTCAGTGCCACGACGAGCTGCGTCTCAAAGCTCCGTGGGACCACCAGTCCATCTGCTTGTCCCCAAAGTAGTCAACGCAGCCAACGCCAACACCAAAAGCCCACCATCCTCGCCATCGTTGCCCCTGACGACGAGGGTCGGGGACTTGTATTTCTACCGCACACACCTGATACACGTATACCATAAATCCCTACAATCTGTACAACACCACATACACCTACGCCTACACCTCAGCACATCGCGACACACTAAATACCCTCCGCACCCCCTTCCTCCTCCCTCTACCACCAAAAATCGCACAACGCATAATACGTCTACAACCATCTTACGAATATCACGCACATCATTGTATACATACTACACATGCCGTATCGCATCCGACCTCCACCGCCCCCACCCACTGTATTACTAGCCACACTTGTACTGTATCATCCCTACTCTACCACCTATACGCCATTAGTAGCGATTGTTCAACTACATTCGCCTTCATACCAGCTTGAGCTACTGAGTGAGGCCTGAGCGCTGAGCGCCAACCCTCCATTAATCATTACCCATTGCTTTTACATTCACAGATGTTGAAGGAATTGCACAAATCTCCCTTTGCTCTGGAGCGAATACTGCGCGGCGTGGTGTACAACGACGAGTCGGGATCGTGGTGCGATGTACACCACTGACAGGTTGATCAATAGCACCTTTCCTGGGACGAAGCAATCTCCACGGTATCAGTGATATCATTGAACTCTTCAAGATCCTTTGGCTCCAGAAAACGGTGCCTCACTTCCAATGTTTCTAAGCCAGCGCCTGCCACCTTTCGTGTGCATAGTTCCTGCTTCACTCTGAATATGGGTTGGTGTAGTGTGCTGTGCCGAACGAATAGGTTCGATACACGGTGTGTATTTTGAGAGAGCGGAGATTAGTGAGGGTCGCTGGACTTGCCTTGAAGACGTGACCCTTCAAGGGCAAGTGCCGCAATGCTGGAAACGCACCTGCATCTGCTGCCAACGAGAACGAATCTACTGAGGAACGGTTTTGGAGCGTGAGGATTTCGAGTGGGGGAGCTGGCTTGAACATAATCCTTTAGGGCCAATACGAGTGGACACTGTTCAGAGAGATTTCTTTCAATCTGTCGAGGTGATCTAGCGTGGCATTAACGGTGCCCACATCGTCGTGTTCCAAATCGGAGCTTTGGAGGGATATCGGCGCCGGCCCAGCGCGTTGCAAAAAGGCCTGATTCTGATCAGGAGGGTCTAGTAGCTAGTAAGAAATGGTACGCATAGGTAGATGAAGTAAACTCACGAAAACTTTTCGCAAAATTGGAGCACTGATACTTGCGGATGTGCAGAGGGTCTAGTTTGGTGCACGTGATTTCTATGAGAGGCGCGCCGCGCTCGGCTCCCGACGCCCTCTGCCCGGCGGGATCCCCGTCAAATTTGTGTTTGATGATCGGCGAAATTGACGAACTCGTGTCAGAACGACCACTAAACCGAGCCTCCTTTTCGAGATATACGAACTTGACGACCAATGGATGCAAAGTCACTGGGTAGTCAATTAGTCACATTCAATCCGTTTCTGACTAATGCCTAGCTCTTGAAATTTGCTAGCTTGAAATCCGACGCCTTTCGATCTCGAATCGAATTGAATGCCTCACCGACCTCACATCTCTGAGCGCAAGATTACCTGGGCCTCGTTCTTCCCGTATCCTGCTTCAAGTTTACCGAGGAACTCGAACCAGCACCGCATAATACTGGGTAATCCACCTTACGCTCGTTCGAGCACCTGAAGTGGCATCAACCACTGCTTCCGTCTACGCCGCAATGGGCATTATGTTCGTCCTATGCACCAGAAAGCGAGCATCATCCACCAGAACCCCGCAATGACAGATGCTGCAGACTTTTGCGTCTAGCATTGGGGGTGATAGAGTCGCAAACCCAGAGCATCCCGTTTAGGGGGGGCTAGTTGGTGACGTGGCATCGCAGAAGGTGCACTTTCTCCCATATACACCTAGAACTGAACCCAAATTGAACAAATTGTAAAGGGCGTTTAACTATCAAGCAAAGGCACAGCATGCGGCAGTTAGAAGTCAGTACCTTATGTCGTTATCAGTTACGTATGCGCTTGAACTCTTCCTCCACCATGAATAGAACATCGAAGCATCTAAGAATGTATACGCGAATTGAGGGACTGTGGGAGAACAATGTAACCCGAAAAGAAACGACGCTCCATTCGCCTCTTATCACGGACATGGGATACTGATCTGTCAGAGGAATGATCGTTGTGAACAGGAATCGTCACATCGACTTCGATACGGCCGCTTCAACGTCGATTCACCCAATAATCGTCTTCGCGATGCTAGCCATCGTACCTGGCCATGCACCATGTTCCCTTCCAAATTCTCCCTCGACGTTCATTGGCGGGTCTACTTGACGGGCTGGACCGTTTACCACCAGAAGTATGATATAGTATTTCGGTGACAAGACCTGGTGCCTTGTCCTAATTCTTGGTCCTAATTCTTGCTGGAATATAAAAGACAGGAAGAAATTTTCCTCTGCCTCTCAGGCAATTGGCCTTTTATCCTCGACTCATCGTATACGATGTCCTTGTGGGTCTTGAGCATCCTTCTTTTCTGTCACTCGGTAAGCCTGGCGGAACGCCTACCTTGGTCGCGTCCTTACCCACTTGTCGGCTAGTTTGTAACTTCACAATCTATTCCTTCAGTGTTACCCGGTAATTGGACATCTCAAGGATGCTTTGTAGGTGGTCCGCTTAATTGCATACGCCATGTGGCTAAGTGAAATCCCCATAGACGTCAGTCCGATGGAAACCCAGATAGCCACACATACATCTAACATTCGATTAGGGACATCTCGACCTCCCGCACCTTGGCTGCAGTTACCACAATCGATACCAAAAACTTGACCATCGAGTCATGTATCGCAATCTGTGACAACGCAGGCTTCATTTTCGCCGGCGTAGAATTCGGACAAGAGTGCTGTAAGTTATTGTTCGGCCTAATTGATCCTATGCTGTACATTTATTCACTCTTCCATTCGTATAGACTGCGATTCTGTCATCCAAGACCCAGGCGTCGAGACTGATATCAGTGAATGCAACTTCGCATGTTCAGGCAATCCCGCGGAGGTCTGTGGCTCGGGAGGTCACATGAATATCTTCTATAGCGGAGCGCCTCTCCCCCAATTTACTCAAACGATCGGAGAAACGGGGTGGACCTTCCAAGGATGTTTCACGTACGCGCGGAACCAACAGTTCCTCAGCGATACAAGGCTAACGGTCGTACCAGCGACGATCCACAGAATCGCACCCTGCGTGTTCCTGTCGCTATACCCCAAGGGGTGACTCCAGAATCTTGTACCGCGGCGTGTCAGACTGCGGGTGGATTTGCGCGCGCAGGCCTTGAAGTTGGGCGAGAATGCTGTTAGGCTTCTTCGTTCCTGAGACTTGAGTGATTGTGTCAACTGACGATCCCTGCTAGGGTGCGACAACCTCCTTGATGCTTCCTCTGAAGCCCGCCCGACTCGCGAATGCCGAACCGTCTGCAACGCAGACCACACCCAGTTGTGTGGTAGTGCAAACCGAGCAGCCGTATACGGATTCAACGTAGGCGGAGGTGGAACTCAGCCAGAACAATGTACCGAAGTGAACGTGAACAACTTCACGCTTCAAGCCGTATTCAAAGCCCCACCCCCTTCTGGCCCCTCGACAATTACGTTGAAGATGATCCTCGTCGAGATGGTTCCAGATATCATGTGGTCTATTTTGTCGGTCAGTACCCGGGCCGCTGCCGTTAACTTTCTTGTACTGACGGGTCAGAACACCAGGCATGCACAAACTGCTGCACCGATTGGCCCAATTTCTCTCTTACCAACAGTGTATTCCTTCCTCGATCAGTTTCTAACCCCGCACAACTAGTCTCTGCCACCCCTCGTGCGGGCGAGTCCCTCAGTTTCCTTGCCTCGAGCCCCCCTTTCCCAGGTGACAGGGGATACTGTGTGACGGTAAAGACTGATGTCTCTTTCCATCTTAGACGCAATTTCTAACAACTCTTGATTATAGAATGATATAAACCAACCAGATGGCCTCCCTCTGCTTGCCTTCAATGGGAATTCCGAAAACTGGGCTTTGTGCCCTAACAATACAGCCAATGGACGCCTGGATGTTGTCTTTTCACCCACTCTCAATCATCCTCACTACACCGTCGCGAGTTGTTTAGCTGTAGACATACAAATGATTGGAGTATGAGCTATGTCCGTGTATTTACTTCTCGGTTGTAGGCTCTGTTTTTTGCTTCGAAGATTAATGGATATTATTCCTCTGAGTCATGTGACTATTTGGCGCGTAAAATCACCGCGCGTTTACCGCGCGTCGCTTTCAAGAAACCTGCGGTGACCTGGGGCTAGAGGCTGCACCAAAGGTTGGACTTGAACCGCAACTTCCAGCTACAAATTCCACCAAGAGGATACACCTACGTTCTCTAGATTCCCATGTCGCCCGTATGTTCTTTCTACATCCTCGTCGATGCGCGAGTACTGAAGGCACTTCGCTAGCCCAAATCTCCTCCAGCCGAGCCCAAGTCTATCTTATACCGCGCTCATGCCTTTCTTGCAATATGTGGTGTCATTTACGGGCTGCTTATGGTGCTGCTCTTCGTCCCCTTCATCCAGACCCAGTTGAGTTAATTTCTACTGTCACGGAGGGTGTAATCTGATGAAACTCGTTTTTAAGCGTGCTATACATGAACGCCATCAGGATACCATGGTTTGCTAAATACGATGTACCTGAACAGTATGGCTTCGCTCGTGAGTGCCCAACGTTCAGCCTGCATGGTGATTCACTAACCTTCTTGATTCAAATAGCTGGAAAAGCAGTCAATCTACGACTGCAGGCGGCGGACAACGTCTCAATCGGTGCTTGGTTTGTCCTCGCCGACTCGTATTATCAAACCATATATCCATCCTCCCCCGAGTCATACACATCACCCACCCGCGAGGAACTCTTATCTGACCATATTCCGCGTGCCGTAGCTTCACGCCCCACCATCATTTTCTTCCACGGCAACATGGCTACCCGCGTCTTCTTTCTGCGTGTCGCATACTACAAAGCCTTTGCCAGCAGACTCGGTGCCAACGTCCTCGCCATCGACTACCGGGGTTTCGGCGACTCCGATGGCACACCCAGCGAGGATGGCTTGGCAAAGGACGCCCGCGCTGCATGGGACTGGGTCATTGAGATGAAGAAGCATGCGGGCGCCGACCGAGTTCAAGATCTCGGTGACGATGTCCTGATCGTCGGACATAGTCTCGGGACTGCGGTGGCAGCACGCCTGGCAGCAGAACTGAGCCAGGAAAATGTCAAATATCGCGGCGTCGTGCTCCTGTCACCGTTCGAGAGCATAGGAAATCTGTTGGCTGAATATCATTTCTTCGGGGTCATCCCACTTATGAAGCCCATCCACTCTATTCCAGGAGCAGGGAGTGAGTTCCGAATGGCGTTGTGGTTTGAATGATCTGCTAATCTGTTATGCCGCTTAGAAATCCTTAACTGGGGCTTGGTGCACAAGTTCGACACAGCTGCAAGACTACATGAAATCAAAGAACCCATACTAATTGCGCACGCTGGTATGTGCATTTGTGTGCATTTGTCTCGCCTGTATTCTTAGCGGCCGGACAGAAAACGACTGGGACATCCCATCCTCGCATTCCGAAAATCTTTTTGCTGCCATACTCGATCCCCATCTCCCAGCAGTTCCCGAAGTCCCTCTCGGGCCTATTTCATGGACCAAAGAAGATTGGGATGCATTCACGCAGGAGAAGGCTTTCCGCGTAAAAGCCCGTGAGGCGCTAGTGACGACGTATTTGATTCCTGATGTCGGTCGCATTGAACGTTTCGAGAAAGGTGGTAGTAAGGCCGTGTTTTTCAAGACTCTTCATGGGGGGCATGATATGATTGCTCTCCAAGAAAGCGTTCAAGAGGAGATGCGTAGATTATATATGTAGTGTTCGCTCATCTAGATTGTATATTAATACAATATAATATATACGGATCTTCATAGGGAGTTGGGGGTCGCGCATATGTCCAAATGTCTATTAAGTTGCGAGAAAGCGAGGAAAATGAGAATCGACTCGTGAATAGTCTGGGTATCAACAAGTTAAGTGGGGGTTGAAGGAAACGGATGCGGAAGAGAAGATGCAAGAAAAAAATGGCGATTATGATGACCTCACAACGAGTTCATTCAAACTGGGCCAAGCATGGCCTGATTCCCCACCTTCTCCGGCTTTGGTAACGACTTCTAACATCCTCCGAACTCGAAGCTCGTCGACATCAGCTACGAGCAAACTGCGACCGCAGGACAGGGCGCTACCCAAGGCACCGGTTATCCAAGGAAAGAGCACGCTGCTAGCTTTGGACATGGTGTCGAAGGATTGCTGCGAAACGTTGACTTGGTAACAGTTATGCGAGAAGCTAGGGGCAAGGCAAGCATAAGGTATGGGGGAAGAAGTCGAAGGACGAGCGGGGCTGGACTCCACCGGTGCGACAGCGAAGTTGAGGGCCTGTGCGGTGTCCATTTTTCCGAGGAAAGAAGTCGACAAAGTCTTGAGCATAGGCGCGTCGACGATATTGCATATACTTTCAATGTATTCGCACTGGTCGTCTGCAGCTTCTCCATTTGGCGCGCTGAGTTCTAGCCGACGGAGCTGAGATAGTGTGACGGCGTCTGTCTTCTCTCGGGTACGGCTCTCCTGATGACAGACCACCCGGCCATGCAAGCTTAACTCCTCCAACCCAGCAGCGGTTTCTAGAACGTCCCGAAGCTTCGAATAGCTCAACGGAAGTCCGGCCTCCGAGTCACAAGGTGCGTCCAAGGACAACCGCTTCAACGACTCCAATGGGGGATGGCAGTAGTGGAGGCTAATTCCATGCAGCTCGAGGGAGTCTAACTTTGGCGCACCACCGCCCAGGATACCAAAGTAGGAGTGTTCGGATTGATACCATAGGCCTTCGACCCCATATGGATCATCGAGAGACATCGAGATGTGTCGTAGCATGGGAGCATACTGGTGGCGGATAGCCATATAGACCGTCATCATAGAGCCGAAGTATTTGGCTTCAACTGAGAAACTGCGCCAGCGTTCAATTTCGGGGATAATCAAGTCGAGGCCTTCCTTGATAGAATGACATCTGGGCTTCGAGTAGTCGTCGAGAACGACGCGAATATCGAGTGGATTTGACCCAGCACGGGCTATGCAGGTCTTGATCATGGGTATAGGATGCCATGACACGTCAATCTGCGACCATATGAAAGCCGCGTTGAGCGAAAGCTGACGCCAGTGGTGGCAGACTTGGGAGACGGTTATTGGGAGAGGGACGTGACTTGGTGAACCTCTGGTCCGGAAAATCTCAATGAGTAGCTCATTTGGCAATCTTGAGATATAGCTTTGGCTCTTCGATGTCACCATTGTCTAAAATACGATCTCAAGTCAACCCACGTCTGAGTAAGATGATTGCATGACATACCTCCGAAAGTGGCAGAAGCGAAAAGCTGTCTTTCGACGTTATAGTAGAGTGTTATCGGAGTTGAACGTGGCAGCCTATAACATAAGGAAGTGGGATGTCAGACAGAATGTTTTTATACAGAAAGCAACCTGTGGCGCGATCTGAACGAGGCATCTTACCTGTGATTTGAAAATAGTGATCGACGCCGACGTTGATAAGCAACAATCAAAGGAAATAGGCGGAAACAAATGGGGCGATCGTAATGAGAAAGGTTGAACATCCACCAGTCGTTTTATACACCCAGGGCCACGTCGCCCCCTTTATGATCGTGTAGGCCGCAAGTATCGTCCCGGTAAGCTTCGCAGGTGGGACAGCGGAATCGGTAGAATCTAGTACTCGCTTGTGACACAACGCCAGAAGGAACCATCACAACCCACGATGATTAGCCGCGAGAAGGCGAGGAAGAAAGGGTAGTGTGACTCAAGTCTTCCACAAGTCATTTGCATGAAGGCGTACATATCTGGCCGATCTGTTGTTCATTTTCCAAGTCGCGCTCGCAGCGTATCTTGGCATTAGATCAACGCAATCAGGGGAGTGAAAAACGTGCAGGAGAAGATTTCGTGCGTCGCAGCAACCAAGCAAACCGGCCACCCAGATCGCTCGCGGATTGCCTAGGAGTGCGCTTCAAGTCTATCCCATCGGAGGCTATTCACCGTAGAGGACATCCTGGGGCGATCGTCTCAGGCCTAGTTCAAGAGAGGGCACGTCCTGGGCCGCTGTTGGCATGTCGCCGTCTACGTCGCATGCGCATGTGCAAGCGCCTAGAGTGAGAATTTCTCCATCCTGCGGATGCCTGCCCTAAAAATAACATATCCGCAGGTACTTCGAGCTTCGACGGCCTGTGTCATGGGTCAGAAATCGTGTGAGTCGTCGGCGTCCGAGACAGCAGCATGGAATTCATTTTCGCTGGAGCCTGCGAGCCATCCAGTTTATCCGCGTAGATCAGCAATTGGGTGTGTTATGTGGATATTGTGATTTGCTTCCGTCGGCCTCCGTGTACGAACCCGACTTCTGCCGAGGACAGCCCGCCAAGCGAAGAAGGCTCAAAACTGTTGCGGTGGGCCAATCTGCTCAGACCACGATGACCAGAATCCCCAAATGTTTCAACGTTCAGACCTCGTGTACGTGGTGGATCCAGATGTAAACGCCCTCAAGTCGAGGTGATCTCGAGACCAATTCGTGAAGACCGACACGCTGTAGATCGCTCCCAGTCTGTTTCTGATAATCCTCGGGAAATTTTAGAAAGCAGCACGATGAACGCGTATCTCTAGGCACCTTGCGCCGCAACCGCAATGAGTCTTACAGTTATCAGCAATCAGACAACGCACTACGAAGATAATTGCCGTACCTTGGGCAATCGGCCAGCTTGATATACACTTTTGGCATACCTACGCGACGCTTATCCCTGAACATTATCATGTCAGGACCAAGAAGAGCCTCGGGAAACATACATACCTCCCGATCATTCTGATTGTCCCTTCGATATGTCGACGTCAACCGTGCTGCTAGAGCGGGATAGCAAGCGCGATCGACATAACGCATCATCGGACGCCATCCGATATTGCTTCTCCCTACATGCCAGCGACGATGAAAATAGATCGTGCGCCCGTTTCGATAGGACATCCTCCAAGAAGGTATTAGCATCACCATCGCTGCGCGCGTCGAGCGTATCTAGACCGGCACAGCACCGGGATGCGCATGTTGCTGACCCTATCCTCAAGGATGATCCATGAAGCAACGCTCTTGACATCCAACAGGCCCCGGCACCCTAAACGTTTTGCTTATCTTTATCCTCGTTGTCTTTATCCCATGCATGCTGTCGCGCCTCAAGACTGCGTCTCGGGGGGCGGATGTCGGCCTTCCGCAGACCATCATCGTCAACTAATCGTCAACAATCGACCCGTATCGAGATACACAAATACCACTTACTTCAATCTTATCCCATATCTCGCTGTGCCACATCTCAAATCTAACCCTTTTGATATATCCAACGCTCCAACACCTATTCCCTCCCGCGCGCCGAGCTCAACCCTAAAACGCGTCAGACCAATTAAGAGGTAATCCACATACCACCAACGTCATAACGTCAATATCGCTATCGCGCCATCTCATCCATTTCGGTCCAAACGACTTGCCCGAATAACGATATAATAGATAGCAATGATAACACATACAGGGGACTGGCGATACGGGGTGACGCTGATACAACAATTCTTCCTTACGACGCGTGATGTTCTGTTCGTGGGGTATCGTTAGGCGGCTGCGATGCTGCGGTCTAGTACTCGGCGAGGGGGATGACTTTGCCTATGCAGAGAAAGGAGGTCAATGAAGATTCATAAGCCCCGTAGGCAAAACGTGCGTGTGTGTGTGTGAAACACGTACCGATGTTCTCATACGGCGTCCGTTTCCTCCTTCCGAGTAACTCAACATCTCCGCTATCAAAGAACGAATATCCAGCTTTTCCTTCATCAGTCCCCACTCAACCTAAATCCAAGAAGGAACTCACGTATCGCAACTTCCTCCTCCTCACTCCCACTATCACTCTTATACCCTCCGCCATTGACATTAACGCTCCCGATCCTCCTCCCGGTCTTACTATCCCTCAGCACACCAGCATGGTCGACCCACGGCTCGGGCCTCTGATTCGCAGCCCGATACACCCCCACCATAACAGCCTTCACCTCATTCAAATACCCCTCTAGCACATCTAAAAACCTTCTCGTCTGCAGATGCTTGCTGCTCGCACACACGCTGATTCCGTCCTCCTTGATGATGTACCCCAGCCCGTACCCGTCTGCGGCGACGGGTCCGAAGCCGAAGAGCCGGAGCGCCGGGTTGCCGCAGTTCGAGGTGGAGATGATGGAAGTGGAGAGGAGCTCCCAGCCCGGGTCGGTGAAGATGCGCGGGAGGGCTTGAGGAGCTGCGGCGTAGGGTGCTGGGTCATCGGGCCCAGGGTTAAGTTCCCCAGATACCAGACGCTGGAACAGGCAGTACAGAGCGTATAGATGCCTGAGTGAAGCAAAAGGCATGATCAACCAATGTCGCTTGGGCGCACCCGACGGCACTGATAATCTTTACTCACCTGTCCTGACCTAATCCTTGGCTGCACTCCCTTGTCAAATTAACGTGGCGCTCACATGCCTTCCGCAAAGCCTTGACCTTCTGCATAGCCGTCGCTTCGGAGTAGAACACCTAATCAAAGCAATAAGAATGCAACTAAACAACATGAACTTTAAAATATAACCCACCTTGGTATATTCGACGCTTTCGGGCTGCACCGTCCTAATCGCTTCGGTCCGGCCGTGTAAAAAGGCCTTCGTCATCGCCGGTTCGTATGTACACTCTGTTCTCCCTATTTACACAACATTCATTAATCATTCCCTGCCACAATGAAGGAGCGCGGGGCGACTTACCGTAAAGCCCAAACCACGCAGCCTGGAACGCCATCTGCACAAAGGCGTCCGGGCTGAACCCATGGCTCGTAATAAAGTTCTTCCCATATCCCTTAAACTCCAACGCCTGACAATCATTTTGGCATATCAAATCGCTCAACCTCGTTTCCGCAAACCTTATCCCCACCCTGACTTCGGGCGTCAGCTTCCACTCGAGCTTCTTCGGCGTCGTGTCGATCTTCTCGTGCAAGGGCGTGCCGTTGATAGAGGTGTTGGGTTTGTGGCCATTCGTGTTTCCGTTTATCGACTTCGGTGTATTTTTGGGCGGCTTGTACGATTTGGAGTAAGGAGAGAGGGGGGCATGGAAGAGCGTCGGCGCGCTCGGGTTGATTGACCTCGCTAGCAACATCAGCCCCTCGGTATACACATCCGCAGCAAACCTCAGCACTGTATGGCCATCAACACCTGTATGTTCGAAATTGATCCCGGCGGAACCGTCCGCGCAGACGATGATTTGCAGCTTATCATACCACCGGTTCGTGCAGGTGCCGATTTGCACGCCTTTGTAGAGGTTGTAAGTCCCGCAGAGGAAGTTCGAGCACAGGTCGGCGAGGGATTTGTGATCTGAGTTAGCTGTCGTGTTCATATTCATATTCGAGGGGGAGTAAGTTATTGCGTTCGCGTGCCGAGGGGGTCAACTTACCGCCAATGGTCGGATCATCATCCAAACACACGACAAACAACGCATTATCGATGATTTCCAAGCAAGATTCGTTGCTCTTATCTTGCGCGAGCGTGGAGCGGAGATGGGACCAGATCTTTCGGTTCTCGGTGGAGAGGACGCCGACGGCGTTTCGCGCGACCTGGAGCTCAATGAATACGATTGACGGGATGTCAGGGAGAAAAGCTACGCACTTCCATACGGTCAGTCTTGTCTGCATCACCCACAATAGCCTGCAAGTTGCGTAACACCTCGCGTTCAGTCAACAGCGGGCGGTTATCCTCGTCCAAACAGTCAAACCAATCTAACATACACACAAATCAGCATCGCACACCAATCCCTCGCTGATGCACCCACAAAATTGCCCGCGTCTGAGGACAACTACGTGCCTAGAATCGATGCTGGTCTTCATCTTGCATCCTCTCTGCGTAGGGATTCTCGCCGTCCCGAACAATCGCGTGTATTGATCCATATCGAGCGGTTTGCCGCGCAGCGAATCCGGCTCGAGGATTCCGGCGCGGAGATCATGGATGAAGCCCAGCGACGAGACGATAAGTGTAGAGGCACGGGGGAGTTGTGCGCCGGGGTTTGGATCATTTCTATTCCGTCATCAGTACGGCACGATAAGAAAGTGATATGGAGACGAACGCACTCGAGGACGAAGAACGGATTCAAAGCCAACACCACCGGGTCAGAATGGCTCAAATAACTCTCGTACCAAAAGTCCTCGATATAGCTCGGTTTATCCTTCGCCCACTCGATGAGTTTCGCCTGGATCTTCGGGCCGTCGTTCTTCAGGAAATCTTCAACAGCTTCGGCGGTCTGAGCGTGTTCGTGCGGATCTTGCAGAGCAGAGAGCGCGCGGAGGTAGCGGTTGCATGTATCCTCGAGCGGTGGGATGGGGAGCTTTGCGAGCTTGGATTGGCCTGCAAAGGTTGCTGAAGTGGGTAAACTGGGCGCGGGCGGGGGGAAGTGGGTGACAGGAAAGGATGCCATAGAACGAGATCAGGGGTCAGAATGGGGGTGATACGAGGGGAGATGCATGATTATATACTCACTCCTGAAGCATAGATGCCGAGCCTGCACGGAGAGCAGACGGATGCGGGGCGATGCGGGGAAGGAGTCGAGACTGGGGAACGGCAAGCCGTGTGATCGGCCCAGATGGGAGAGAGATAAGTGGCGGCCGCGCGCTCCTGTTCAAATACGTCGGTGAGCGTACTAGAGATCGTCGCTGGAGGTTGTCTGCTAGACGCGGTTAAAAGTAGACGGGGAGAAAGAAAGAAGCACCACGGCAGAAGCAAGCGAAAAGAAGCAACCGTGTCACTGTCAGCTTGGGTGGGGGTTGATCCACGTGATGCGGGGTAGGTTCCTGGATCTTGACGCGCTGAAAGTCTAGACGGGGATCCACAAAATGAGCCTGGGTTGAACGGGAGAGAATAATCTGGCAAGAAAACGAAAGGGATCCTGTGGGAGCCGTGTCCGTGTTGCTGGGACTCGTCCGATTTCCGTGGAAGCGATGATAGCATGTTCTTGCGTCAGTTAGATGCCTCACTGTTCTGTGGTGCCAGGGCATCGATAAAAGGATAAAAGCAAGGGATGGACGTAAAGGTTTAGGGGGCATATGGGAGCTTCTTCTTCGGGGATTTCGCACGTTAGCAGTTTATCGCAAGATTGCTAGGAGAGATGGCGAGAGATGACTTCTTGATTTTGTTGGCGTAGTTGGTCCATAACAAGCCGTGCAGCGTCGGAAAACTAGAGAACCGAGACATTAGATGCATGACTCTTGGTGATGGTGGTGCCAGCTCTGAGCTTACGGGCGTATGATATATCCACTCAACGAGGACGCACTGCAGTCGAAGTCGCAGCAAAGCTCCCGATTGCGCGACGTGGGCGTACTAGGACTTTCCTTCATGAAATATGCTACCTGACTGGACAGAGCCTTACATCATTTTGCAGGTCACGCAACACCTTGCCCACGAAAGACCTCCCGGCTGCAGCCCCCGAGCGTCACGAACACGCGCTTGTTCTTGCAATCCAGCACCCTTTCGTGAGGCTTGCACTGTCAGTGGTTATCCCTGTGCCTGATGACGAGGATGAATGCGAAGGCATCACCTTGCGTCGGGCGGGAGTGGGTAGTTGGGTAGTTGCCCCAGGCTTGCTGGACGCCAACGACATTGAGAGGTTCGAATGGATCATCGGTATTGTGGAATCCTCAAGCAGCTTAGTCCAAGCAAAGTTATTCTTAAATCAGCCGCCACAGCGGTGAGTAGTACTCTAGCATCCTGAATCTTCAATATTCAATACTCAGCCGCATTTCATTTTTAGAGCTTAACGCTCACCGCTGCGCTTGTGCCACATTGTCGTTCCTCTTTCAAGCTTAAGGGAGGCTTGAACGGCGCGTACTTTATGGCGTGGATCATTGGGAAGGTTGGGTGTATAACGCGCATATGGTGGTTGATGTCGATCCATGCGTCGAAGATGTCGTTCTCTTCGGAGCGGATGCTCGACGCATTCTGCGTGGCGCGGTCGACCTTCATAGATGTATGATGTATCTGGTACGGCTGCCGCCCGTGACCATAATTTGGGGCCGCAGCAGGCACTGGACTCGTGGAACAATCAACCTTTGTACTCGACCTGGAGAGATCGCGAACCCAACAACAGCGAATGGAGAAATTTGCTTACCTCCTGATCTTAGTTGGGCCTCGTACGATCATACTTGACGAACAGAGGCGTCGGATTGAACGTAATGGTGGTAAATATTCAGCTTCCTGTCAAATTAAAGGATCTAATCAATATGTACCATCTTGAAAGCCGGTATACAAGCCTACGCTACCCTTCGAGGCGTGCGCGATGGTGGCCTGGAAAAATCGCCATGCTCCAGCGCTGAGCTTGGTCGATCTCACGAGAACTTGCAGATCAAGTGGAATACAACACATGCCAACTTGCCAGCTGGGCATTAGGCTGATGGAGAAAATAACCATATCTTGTGATCAATGGGGGAAAGTTGGTCGCGTGTGAAAGTCGTATACGAAGATGAAATAGCGGAAAGCGGGTCCGAGCCATCGGGAGCACAACCGCGTCGGTCCAGGGCAGAGCACGTGATGGTGGAACACCGTTGGCCCTCGAGCTTTTTCACCACCAGCAAAAGTGCGCCGCAAATACGCACCGACACAAACTACATACATGAAACTGCACAATTGGGTCACCGATTTCCGCAACACCACATGTTTTGCAGGAGCGGTTGTCAAGATTAGTAACTAGACTGACGTTATGAGTGTGTGAATAATTTACTGACCGTGAGACAATGATGCTAGACTACCGATTCTCTCATCAAATGGCTGATCGTTCCAGCAAAAATGTTAGCTTCGGTACGGGCAGCGACACGGGCAGCACCACGATGTATTCGCACCATTTCCACAGGTTCTGCGGGGGATACGAAGACCTTTCAAGACGCGTACATGGCCTTCGGTGCCAGTCTGCCCAACGCAGTCGCGAAAACTAGCCCCGTTCCCCAACCAACTCTGATGACCTCCGGTGGTCCATCTATCATGGATATCCCCCCCGCGGAGGACCCCCTGCTGAACTACTTCACGTCGAGTATCATGCAGGATGGCAAGCGCGCTCGGGCTGCTCGTATCACATCGCGCATGCTCCTCCACATCCACGCCGCTACCGGTGCTGACCCAGTTCCGACTCTCCGCGAGGCCGTGCGCTTGGCCTCGCCCGCAGTGAAGTCTCTAATCCACCGTGTCGCATCGAAGAACGTCGCTAAACCCGTGGCTTTGGGCGAGAAGCAGAGGGTGCGGTACGCGGTGCAGTGGATTCTGAAGGCGAGCGAGAAGAAGGCCGGAAGGACGATAGAGGAGCGGCTGGCGAAAGAAATCATTGGCATTACTAAGGGAAGTAGCGAGGTCCTTAAGACGAAGGAGGAGGTTCATAGGTTCGCAATGGTCAACCGGTACGTTGCATATGTCCTTCTGCAAAGGTAGTTCTCACATCCCCTACAGCGGTAATGCACGGTCTCGTGTGTGAGCCTGTCTCATTTCATCGTCCACCTTCAGTAGACTTCATGTTGTTTCTTAATCCCGAACACTACATCCTTTTCTGAGCTTAGCTCGTTTATCTGCTATTGTACTCCAAGTCCTCTAAGCAGGTACCCCACATTCAATGTGTCTGACCATCCGATAGATATGGCGCGAGCTAATTTGGGTACTGCTTCATAGGTGTTACCGTGAGTGACTACTGGAATTGTGATTCCACTACTACGAGATGATGCAGGTCGACGCGTCGCTATCGCCAATGCTAGATGAACGGTATGATTATGTATTGTGTAGATATGTATGTACACTAGATTATAGTATTGTCGCTTGTTGCTACTATATAGGTGCTACGATACGAAAGTCCGGAATAAATGAGCGTGAAGGATTACGCAGAAATTAATGAGCTGTGAGGTAGATTTTGCGCAATTGGCAAATGACGGCGGCTTTGCGACATGAAGGGCATGTCTCGTGTTCCAGGAGTGCGCGTTTGATGCACCTAGTGAAGGAACTCGCCATTAGCACATCGTTGACAAGGGGAAGGAGGATTCATGTACGTACGGCGCGCAGAAGACATGTCCACACCGCGTCGCGCTTGCTATCTTCGGCGTGTCAAGACAAATAGGGCACCGGTAGCAGATCTTTGTAGCGACGCGCTTCAGAGACAATCATCAGTCAGACCTTGGAATGGAACGAGGTAAACGGCATACGCGATGGTTCTCTTTTGCGCCTCTCCTTCGAGTTTCGGGCATCGCTGTCGGTAGACCATTTGAGCACCGCTCCACAGCATAGTTGTGTGAGTCCTCGCTCGCCGAATGCGCAACACGCGAGCCGCGAATATTCACGCTACTATGCCGGTCCTAGTCCCAACAGTCCAAGTTAATCGGCTGCTCATGGAGATTGCAGAGAAAACTGACCTCACGTACCACTCCACGTTGCGCAACAGCACGCCCACCGTCGCTGGGGACATGCAAGTCTGGAGGGCTAACGCGGAACTCCATGTTGGCGGTGTAGGCGAAATGGCGAAATGGAGTTATGCTTGGGGAAATAACTCCGACAGCTTGAGTCACGTGGAGGGAAGATCCCTCAGCACAACTACTATTCCCCTATCACTGTCCCACCTCCTTCAAAAGCTACGGCTGACGCTCTGTGAGTACAGTTTATAGTTAAAGATGTAGAACACATGAGTGAGTACGAACGAGTTCTCAGCGATTCCGACAATGTAGTTGAAGCTCATATATTAATACATTATTACAAACCTGTAGAACACGTGAGTGAGTACGAATGCATTCTACATCAAATAGATATGTGAGTGACTTTATAACTGGGCATATCGAGTAATTAGCATACCTCAGCGATTCCGACAATGTAGTCGAAGCTGAGGATGCGGAAGTGAATGAAATGGATTTTATATGTGATCGAAAAAGGAAAGGGGTTGGCTATATGTAGAAAGGAGACTAGCGCCTGTGCGCTTTAACCGTTGAGTATGATCCAACTTCAACAAAAGACGCCACACCTCATCCTTGCGCCTTTATTTTACAGACTCCATGGTGTGCGGGATCCCATCATTGTTCTTCACTAATACACCCAATAGACAGGAAATAGGTGCAATGATGGAATTTTTGAAAGAACACATTTCCATGGTAAAGGGCGACATTCGGCGCCTGAGAGAGTACTAGAACACTCAGCTTCTTGCCGTATCAAAACTTCCATCTGAAGTCTTGTTGATTATTTTTGAGTTTCTCATTGAACTGGGTCTCAATTTTCCCAGGGGCTCCACTGCGGTGAAACAACGTGCGAGATATGTTTCAACCACCTTCTACCACCTTTGCATCACACATGTGTGCCGCCTCTGGCGTCAGGTAGTGCTAGATTCACCTTGAATCTGGAGTTACATATTCAGCTTCTGTAAGGGGACACTCCTATTTTCTCCTATTCCCCCTGTCCCTCTCCCTTCCTCCTCATTCCTTTCTCTTTTCCTTCATCCCATGGACTCTTACCTACATTCCTTTTGTTCCCTTTCCTTTCCACTTCCTTTTCGTCCACTCCTTTTGCATCCGAGTCACGTCTGGTGACTCCGGAGTCTTTCCGCATTTCGGACTCGCTTGGACTCACCTATACACTTTGGGGCTCATCCGGATTACCTCTGTCCTCCTTTCTCACTTCATTACTCTTCGCCCTTACTTCCCCAGGTCGCTGGCACGACTCCTGTACATTCCCCTTCCACTTCATTATCACATGCCCCCTCATACCTTGTGATATTCGTTCGGACTTGTGGCTGGTGTACTGTACAGTTATACTGCATTTCTCTCACGCTACTACAGTATATACTCCGCTTCCTAGCATGGAGAATCCCTATCCTGTTCTCTTTGGATTCTCCCTCTGCTAGGTGAGCAGGTCTCTCATGTATTGTAGTCAGTCTTTGTAAGGGGACACTCCTATTTTCTCCTATTCCTCCTGTCCCGCCCCCTTCCTCCTCGTTCCTTTCCCCTTTCCTTCATTCCCTTTCCTTTCCTTTTGTCCCCTTACCTTTCCGCTTCCCTTCCGTTCACTCCCTTCGCATCCGAGCCCCGTCCGGTGACTCCGAAGTCTTCCCGCACTTCGGACTCACCTCGGACTCACTCAGACGCTTCGGACTCGCTCAGACACTTCAGACTCGCTCAGACGCTTCAGACTCACTCGGACTCGTAGATACACTTCGGGGCTCGTCCAGGCTACCTCTATCCTCCTTTCCCACTTCATTACTCCTTGTCCCCACTTCCCCAGGTCGCTGGCACGACTCCTGTACATTCCCCTTCCACTTCATTATCACATGCCCCCTCGTACCTTGTGATATTCGTTCATACCTGTGGCTGGTGTACTGTATAGTTACCCTTCATTCCTCCCACGCTACTACAGTATATACTTCGCTTCCTAGCATGGAGAATCCCCATCCTGTTCTCTTTGTATTCTCCCTCTGCTAGGTGAGCAGCTCTCTCATGTATTGTAGTTAGTCTTATTCATTTCTTTGGATTCTCCCTCTGCTAGGCTTGCACTGTGCGGCTATCTTGAGGTTGCCCTTACAGCAGAACAGGATCTCCCATCCTGGCACCAGAGCCCTACGGAAAACGTCCTGCACCACTCCGGACTCGTTCTCGACGTCTCTCCGGTTTTGCGGACATTCCGGACACTCTCCTGCTACTCCCACCCACCTCTGAGGACCCAAGGAACTCCATCCCTCGCTCCCCTGACGACTCCAAAATGCCGGGCGCCTCCAGCCAGATCCCGCCATCCGAGCCAGTCGCTTCAGGACCGGACTCCGAGACTTTGCAGACCTTGTGGGCTCAGACGTACGAACACCAAACCCAAATCAGCTCCATCCAGGATACACTCGCCCGAATTGAAGGACTCCTCCTAACACCCCGTCCGACTACTCCGAAAACGACTCCGGACTCCGAGCTGAGGGGCACTGAAGCCTCCCAGCATGCCCCGAGTTGATCCGAAATCACCCCACGTTCCCGTTTGAAGCCCGCCTCTCCCCCGATCTTTGACGGAAACCGCAAGGATGGCCGCGCGTTCTACAACGCGTGCTCCATCTACTTCCAGCTCTGTCCGGACCACTTCCCAACCGAGCAGGCCAAAATCCTCTGGTGTCTCTCCTTCTTCCAGAAGGATCGCGCCAAGGAGTACGCGGACATGGTGCTCCGGAGTCCGAAGGATCCGTACTTCGAATCCTGGGCCGCCTTCGCGACCGAATTCCGGACTTGCTTCCTTCCGGATCGGGAATGCGAAGCCGCCATGCTCAAGCTGGAGTCTACCCAGTACCACCAAGGGCGTCGGACTTTCCAGGAGTACCTCGACGAGTTCCGAGACCTTGTAGACCAGTCCGGATACTCCGAGGGCTCCAACATCACGATGAAGTTCCGTCGCGGACTGGACTCCATCATCCAGAGCCGCGTTGCCGAGTCCGCAGACTGTCCGGACGAGGATGACTTCGAAGGATGGTACAAGGCAGTGCAGCGGGTTGCTGACAACTGTGCTGCCAACCAGTCCTTCCACTTTGGCGTGCACTCCGGAAACTCCGGACACTCCGGATCCCTCGTCCGACCAGCAGCCAGCTCCGGAGTCGCTCGGACTCCTGCGGGTGTACTCCCCGCACCTCGGACTCAGCTCCCGCCTCTGCAACCCCGCTTCCAACTTCCGCCTCCTCCGAAGGCTCTCTCACCCGGCGTCCCCATGGACGTCGACCACACCCGCTCCCGGCCCGCCGCTTCACAGCTCTGCTACCGATGCGGCAAGCCCGGCCACATGTCCCGCGAGTGCCCACTTCGGTACGACGTCCGGTTCATGACCACCAAGGAGCGGATGTCCGCCATCGAAGATCTCCTGACCGCGGCCGATGTTGTAGAAAGTGCGGGGACCTCGGAAGGAATAGACGATGAGGGAACGGCCCCGGTTGAGGAATCGGACACGGCGGATTTTGTCCGGACCAACGAGTGATCAGTGCGACCTCGTTGGTAAATAACCAATTTGCTTGTCTTAGCGTAGACGAAATAGACGATTCCGATCACTCCGATGATTTGTCCGACGCTAAGCAAACGACTCCGGTTACAATCTGCACACTCCGAAGGTTTCGCCCGCAGTGGGAACGGCGGCTACCCAGTAGCTATAAGATCTCCGCGCTGCCCGGCAAGCTTTCGCTAGATATACCTGTTGAAGTGCAGAGCACGGATACACAACACCGATGCACCCTGCAGGCCCTGGTGGACTGCGGAGCTACCGGAGTCTTCATGCATCCGCGCTTTGCTGATGCCCATGGTTTCACCCGACGCAAGCTGTCCGCCCCGATCCCGGTCTTCAATGTCAACGGATCACCAAACGAAAACGGATCCATCTCCGAAGTCATGGACCTTGTACTCCGGTTCAAGGATCACACGGAACGGATGCTGTTCGCGGTCACTAACATCGGACGCCAGGACATCATCCTTGGATACACCTGGCTTCGGAAGCACAACCCCGAGATCGACTGGCAGACGAAGGAGGTGACCATGAGCCGCTGTCCGTCCGGATGCGATACCTGTCGGAAGGAGTTCCGCCATGACAAGCTGACCCGACGCAAGGAGTCCATGCGACTCCAGGAGTGTCGTACGGGTCCGATGCCAATGGTCGAGGAACTGCACTCGGACGATCTCCCGCAGCTTCAGGACTGCGAGGACGAGGACGAGGACGATGAGGCCACAACTCCGGACGACTCCAGACTTGAGAAGGGCGACCGTATCTTCGCAGCCATTCCTCCTCCGACTTCGGAGTACCTTCGGAGTCTTCGGGAAGAACACGTCCGAGCTTCGGAGACGGTCTCGCAGCGCCTCGCATTGGCTTTCCAGTGCAACAAGCCCCACGATCCTCGGAACAGCGCAGTCCCGGACTTCCTCCGAGAATTCGAGGACGTCTTCGCCAAGGAGTCCTTTGATGAACTGCCCATGCCGTGTCCGTGGGATCACGCCATTGAGCTAATGGACGGAGCGGAACCAACCTCTACCAAATGCTACCCGCTGTCCCCCGCGGAGCAGAAACAGCTGGACGAGTTTCTGGAAGAAAATCTCCGGACTGGTCGGATCTGCCCCAGCAAGTCGCCCATGGCTGCCCCGGTGTTCTTTGTTAAGAAGAAGGACGGATCGCTCCGCTTGGTCCAGGACTACCGGAAGCTCAACAGCATGACGGTCAAGAATCGGTACCCACTTCCGCTCATCTCGGACTTGGTGGATAAACTCCGGAACGCTCGCTACTTCTCCAAGCTCGACGTCCGGTGGGGTTTCAACAACGTCCGGATCAAGGAGGGCGACGAGTGGAAGGCCGCGTTCCGGACTACGCGCGGACTCTTCGAACCGTTGGTAATGTTCTTCGGACTAACGAATAGCCCATCCACCTTCCAGACCATGATGAACGACCTCTTCCGGGAGCTCATTACGGAAGGTGTGGTCATTATCTATCTGGATGACATTCTGATCTACACCAAGACGCGCGAAGAGCATCGCCGGGTCCTCAGGTGTGTCCTAGAGATCCTCCAGCGGAACAAGCTCTTCCTCCGAGCGGACAAGTGCGATTTCGAGCAGACCAAGGTGGAGTATCTCGGAGTCGTCATCTCTGAGGGTAAGATCGAGATGGACCCCGTGAAGGTCTCCGGAGTTGCGGACTGGCCGACCCCTCGGACTCGGACTGAACTCCAATCCTTCCTTGGGTTCGTCAACTTCTACCGCCGCTTCATCAAGGACTACTCGCATATCGCCCGGCCTCTCTTCCAGGCAGTACTGTGACTGTTGTATACAACACAGTGGCAGTAGTGCACCACCCAGTGGTACACCATTGTGGTAAACTGCCACTGGTGACAACCGTGGAATACCACTCAGTGGCAGTGGCTGTGCCCTTGCCGGGCGTCAAAACTCGGCCACCTTCCTTTTTGAGTGGATTTCATGCTCCGCGCCTTCCAAATCAATCTTGTAAATGATTGGCATAATCAGGCTTCCACGGTCAGTCCTGTTGTGAGATAGTATTGTGAGATAGTAGATTCTTCTATCGCATTTGTCCCCAATCCGTCTACCGTCCCATCGTCCACTTTGTGGACCTGCGAGCAGTAATACATGTCTTGAGATCACAATAAAACATGTGCACATACTGCAATCTCCTTCACAAAATATCATGAGACTCATAGGCTTCTGCTAAGTCCATTCTCCAACCCTTGGCTAATTTGCTAAGTCCCATACATGAGAAATGCTAAGTCTTATACCTGCACTAACTAAGTTTCTCCAAGTCCCTCAGTTCAGTCGATCATCTCGTTAAGTTCGCAAATCTCACGTTAATGAACAAGAAAGGTTTTTAACATTGACGAATGATACATAACAAAGCTGTAACTACTAGCGACGACTGTTGGAAGCACACACAGCGGAGCTACGTGTGACGCGAGTGGGAGGGACAGTCGGAGGGTCTGCTTGTTTGCGGCGCTTGCTAGAGACACGAGCAAGAGGGGCAGCCTCTGCTTGTTTGCGGCGTCGGCCGGCCAAGGTGGAGTTTTCTTTTCCAATGTTAGTGCCAGCACCTCTGCGCTCCTTGATAGTTGAACGCCTGCGGGGATCTGTATAAACAAAATACGTTACCATTAATATGGGGTACGCACCGGGGTACAGAACCCGTCTCCTCGCAGAGGTTTGCTAGGGCCTTCAAGGTGTGCTTCAAGTCGGCTGTGGCAGTAAGCCATAAGGGAGACAGGCCGACGGCCTTACCCCACCACGCGAAAGCCATCATGACGATCAGGAGTCCGTTAGACCCTGTAACCTTGAGGACACTCCAATTCTGGCCCTCCGGCGTGTGATACAAAGGAAGCGGTAGGGGGTCTGTCGAAGTACGCCATTCTGGCTGAAGATACGCCCACCAGGTGAGCAGCTCCTGCTCGTACTGTGCTATATCAGAGATGTCGGGATCAGTAGTAAAGTTTCGCCCATAGGCGAACCATCGTGCGATCTGAGGGGGGCGGTTCACAGTGGAGAAGCGTTGCTGTCGAGTTTGTGAGCCGGGTTCATGGAGGTTGAGGATACAATCACGTACCTTGGTGCCCTCAGGTTGAGCTTTCTCGAGCTGATTTCTCTCAATACCCTCCCACAGGTCTACCGCTTCACGCCAATCAGGTCCCTCGGTGGCTCGTAGACGTTTGAGAGCTTGTTGAAGCCATGAATCTGGGCGGAGGCCCTGTGAAGCCCGAAGTGTCGTGTTGTGCTCAACGGTTGCGTCGTGGGAAGGACTCCTCCGTCTGTCGTTTGTATTTTCAGGTGGTGGTGAGCGGGCTGGTGGTGGTGAGCTGGAATGAGGGAGTTGTGGTTCGGCACGAACTGGCCCATCCTCTCGACCTCCAGATGTGCTGCTGGGAGCGTTCTCAGGTGGTGGTGAGTTCGAGGCTTGTGGCTCAGCCTGTGCCACTTCACCCTCAGAATGTCGAGGGGAGACGTTTTCGCTGCCATCGCCAGACGGAGGGGTGGGAGTGGGGGTTCTTGCCGTACCATCAGTGCCACCCTCCGGTTGGGCCATCTGAGGCGTTCTGTGCCCGTTACCAACAAGCCCTTCCTGAGGGATCGGAGGGCGAGGGATTGGGGAGCGAGACGATGGGGAAGGTGGACCAACGGAACCCTGATTGGGCACGTGTTCAAGTGTGCTCCGTTCCGAGGCTGGAACCTGGGCACCACTTTCCCCTTTTGGCATGAACTTGTGTCAGGCGCCCGTCAACTCTCAAAGTCAAACACGTACCACACAAATTCCTGACAAACGAGGTCCATGGCTTCATCACAACTTCGTTGAAATCGCTGTAAGCGTGTTCGAAATCAACACCATTCCTTGTTTGCCCGAGATGAAAGCTGTTTGTTCCCCTTAGCACAGATACCAGGTTTCTTATCGCCGTTGAAACGTACCTCGCCGTCTGGACCACACCAGCCGCACCACGCCCACCACTCAAGATCGTAAAGTACCATCCCGAAACGTCATGCATTTCCTTAGCGGCCACGTCCATGAGACGAGGAAGACGCCGAAGCCCTCTGAAATGAAAGGTAAGTACCATACTCGAACGTTGCTATAATATACTCACTCTTGTTGGTCATCTGGCATAGGATCGTTGTCCTCCTCAGACATTCTTCGCATTCGGCTCTCGTCCAGCGCAACCAATACCTCACTTGTTTGTTCTTCTGTCGCGCCCTTCCATGCCGCCATGATCTCAGCACCGTAGATCTTCATCCGACGACTCGATTTCTCCGCCTTCGTTTCCTGGATAAGCTCTCCAGCCGAATCACGAGGTGCCTCGTCTCGCAGTCGCTTCTGAACGGTCTTCTGGGTATCTGAGCCTTGGTAGAATCGTGCCGAATACATCTCTGTCGCCTTTCGAGAGCGCTTGCCAGTATTCTTCTGCTCATGCAGCTTCACAAGCTTTCTAATGTATCCAGGCGAATCCACGCGACAATCGGGACGCATGTGGTTTCGAAACCAGTCTCGCAGTTGCTATTAGCTCTAGATAAGTAACTTCGCTATTATTATCATGAACGAGCTAGCTTACCGCTTTACGTTGCAGGATGCCCTTTTGAGCTGTCTCCTGTTGTTCAGGTGACCATAGCTCGGGCGCAATGTTCACTACATCGGCCGCGACAGCCTCGGGGAACGCGATGAACCATGCCGAAAAAAGGTCGTCCCAGAAAAACATGTAATTTTTCTTTTCGCTGGCTTGTTTGTAACGCGGCCCCCATCCAGTAAGAAACTCTTCTTGGTCTTTTGTCGTCCACTTGCGGCCCATTCCTAGTTGTACAGCGCGGTGGTCTCAGGGTGGAGATTGGGTTTCCCCAGCCAATCAATCTCCTGATGGTCAAATCGCCTGAGCCAATGAAAATTGGGCATTCCTTGCTTCTGCTTCTCACGGCATTCTCATAAAGCCCCGCTACAAGCCCCGTCCCCCCCATCAGTCCCACCATGGCTATTACTACTGACTCCGAAATCTCTCGCCTTGCTGAGATGGTCGCTAGCCTCGCAGTGCAGGTGGCGGCACTAACACCTCGTACGTCTCGCCTATACTCTCGTCGTTGTTTGAATTGGCTAATATACATGATTCACAGCGGCGAACAATGCTGGCGCTGGTGCCAATCCCTCTCCTCCGGCTCCGGCGCCAACTCCCGCTCCTGTGGCTGTCGCAGCCAACTCTGCGCCTCCAATTGTCCCTGGCGACGGACCCACCATGGGTGAGCATGCCCGCCTAATTGGTTGATGATTCGTCGCTGATCGAGATTGCCAGGCTCCTCCGAAGACCAGGAAGCAGAGGCCTCGACTTGTAAGTCATAGTCTGGCAGATCGATTCCTCGGGTTTGTCCCATATTTTTAGGTTCGCACCGGCGCTGGTACGTTGTTATAGTCGGCCTCCAAGTGGGTGTTTTCCGTGGCTGGTTAGTTTGCTTTCCATTTCTTCGTGGGGGTAGACACTGATCATTGGCTAGGACGAACGCCGCCCCCCTTGTGCTTGGTGTTGCAGGCTCGATCTACAACAAGGAGCCTACCCGTGGGGCCGCCATTGTGGCTTTCAATGCCGCCGCTGCGACTGGCCAGGTCCGCCTCATTGACTAAGCTACCGTTTGTCTTGCGTACCAGCCGAATATTTGATATCTCTTAATTTCAAACATGTTGTTCGTGCGCTCTTTGTCACTCCATCTGGGAGAATATATTGTTTGTCTACATCTTACAAGCGGGATCAATACAACATTGCTAGTGAGAAATACAACTATATTCCCACAGTCAATGTAGACATCAGTAAGGTAGTCTTCCCACGGTCAGAGCCAAAGGCGCCCATATCTATCTTCTCATGGGCGCTAATTAGGCCTTCAAACATAGCCTTCGACATAGGATACACCAGGGAGGTTAGTGCCAACTGCCCACCCACCACTTACGACTACGCTACGTCTGTGGTGTTGTATTCATTAACCCTCAAACAAACTCAAAAGTTTTGAAAAAACACTCACGTCTTCACCTAGGTTCACATACGGGGTTCAAAGGTTACTACGAGTCGCTGCGCTCCGTTTGACCAGTCCGACACTATGGTGAGCCCCCATACGCTACAACTCTGAATACGCCACATATTCCCTTTCATTATCCTTCTAGATGTCCCACCACAGTACCAGCGCTCTTTAATACCTCACCACAGTGCCAATAACACTCAATGTCAAGTACGAACTCGCCACGATCACCACGAACTCGCCACGATCGCCACGAACTCGCCACGATCATTACAAACTCGCCACGATCATCACGAATTCGCCACAATTGCCACGAACCCCATCACGATCAGCGCAAACTTGCCATGCTCATCACGACCCGCCGTCCGTTTGAGTTTGCCCCATTGTCCCTCTCTTCCTCCTCCACTCCGATCTTCAAATCATGACGAATGTTCAACAAAGCAAACGCCGTAAAGCGGCCGCTTCATACTATGAAAAGTAAGCCCTTCATCAATTTATGCATAGTCTCGATTCATATTCCGTCTCCCTCCAGGAACAAGGATGCGCTTCGTAAAAAAGCTCGCTTACGAATGCGCCGCCTCCGCGCAAGTGACACTTCCAAGGACGAAACAGTGGCAGCCAATGCAGCCGCGTCCAAGCGTGCCTCACAGGCAAAATACCGTGAAAGGTGAGTACCCAGTTTTTGCAGACATCAAGTGCCATCCACTCAATCTATTCTGCAGTCGACGTGAAATTCTTCGCGCAAAAGAAGCACGCCGGCGTGTTAGGTTTGCAGGTTTCTATCGGATCTCCCATCTGATTTAACAAGTCATGTTTAGCAAAAAAGTGCTGGCCGGTATCATGGCTCTCTTTCCCCCGGCTGATCATGTCGACGCTGAAGAAGATAATGAATGCAGCGAAGTTAGCGATAGTGGGTATTTGGGCGACGGAAACCCATCGGACACAGACAACGAAAGCGAGGCCAAAATCAAAGCAGAAGCGAAGACGCCCCCGATAGTTCCGAAGGTGCTTAGTTCATCCAGGCGTCGTGTAATGCCCCGATGGCTCGAACGAAGGCAACAATCACCATTCTCTGACAACTTGGAATAGTGGGCGTATTTAATATTTATTGATACCGTTACCTGAGGCAGATTCTGTGTGTTGACGGAAGGGAACATGGCCAACAAACAAGTTTCAAACAAGCTTCGCTCCCGTCGCCTGCGCCACTGACTCCTGTAGGGCATGCGGATCCCTTCCCGAAGCCAGTACGTTTCCTCTCGCAATAACAACTGAACACCCAGGCTGAAAGAACCTACGTGTCCCCCATCGCTTGCCACCCATGCCCCCGCCCGATCCACATTCCTCAGCGTACACCCGACTCCGAAAACGCAAGCGGCACACCAGTCCCACTGCGCACGATGTTCTACCTCCAGCAATTCGCCCCCGGACGGTTGTGGAAATCGAAGGGCCAGATGTTCAGGATGAGCTGGACGTCGAGAACGATTCGGATGTTCCGAGTGAACCAGATGTCGAGAACGACCCAGACACCGAGGACCCAGACACCGAGGACAATACAACCGAGTTAGACAGCAGGTCTGCAGAGTCAGAAACAGACACTGAAGAAGAAGATAGTCGTTTCGCGCCCGACCACTATGGACCTGGTCTACATTACTTTGTAGGCGACATCCCAAAGGCCCAATCCCGACACGTACTGACCACCGCACGTAGCACAACCGTCGTTGCACAAATGCTCAATGCCGGCGGGATATCCCTCGCAAGTCATTGATGCGCTGCGGCGCGTGCTACTTGGTAACTTATTGCGTACGTCCTTTCTATTGCCGCAGGGTATCAACGCACTGATGAACCACTAGACTGTTGACTGCCAACAAGCCGATTGGAAAATGCACAAGCGGGTCTGCCAGCTCGTCTCCGCTGAACCACATGCTCGTGCAATGGTACGATTCAATTACCGATACGGACGCTACATCCACGCCCTCGCTCTCTTCATGTTTGGGTATTGCGACCTCGTGGCGGGCCCTCGACGCGATGAAATCTGGAAGAAGAGGGTCAATACCCACGCCGTTGTGCTCCACGTACGCCAACACGGTTATACGGACTCTCATCACCCATACCACGACTACCACTACTCCTCCTGCTATCTCTTCCCCATCAAACTACTCAATATCATTGAAGAGGGATGCAGAGCGCGCGCTGAAGCCCTTCTCCAAATCCGTCAGGAGGAGAAGACCTGTATTGTGGTCATTATGTTTGAGGACAAGGTCGGCTTCAGCCTCGGCGCTCGTGCCTTCCTGCACAAAGTCGACGAGTTTGAGATCAATCAATACGCCCGCACCTCTACTTACAACGCTCCTCACTCGTTCCGTCGAATTTTACTCCACAAGGCTCGGAAAGCCACACCCGTTTCTGTCATAGAATCACATATCTAGATAGAGTCGTTGTTTATTTTTTGAGCTCTAAATACATCTTTCATGGCAGTCAATAGTGAGACGGCCTTCTTTTTCTTAGTCGTAAGTTTGCCGAAGGCTGCCCTAAAGAATGGGTCACATGGTCTCACATGGTTTTGTTGGTGGGCACTGGCGCGACTCCACTGGCGCTAGCCATGTCCAAGGCAAAACGACGACGTATTACTTCGGCGTTTTCGTTATTCGTCGAGGACACTCCTCCTGCAGATATCGCGTACCGACATGTCTCATATCAGAGCCACGGGAGCTCGCTTTGCCGGTCCACAGGCTCTGTCCTGCTCCCCCCACTTCTGGATAGCCAATCTCCAGCATGGGAACCCGCTTGGAACAACGAATACACCACCTCTGAGCAAAACTCACTATTCCCCCCTGATTCCTCAAGTACCCTCCCTGATCCCGGTAACTTTGGAGACCTCGATATAGCGTACATCAATGAGCTTTCAGAGCTTGACATAGAGCTGGTCAAAAAGCGAAATCGGACAGCGGCAGTAAGTGTTTGATTTGCGTGGTAACTTTAGGGTACATGCTTATCCAGTAGGACGAACCCCTGGCCAGTTGGCTACCGTTTAGACAGCAATATCTACTGCAGCTACTTAGGAAGGCCGGTCGTGGTCGGGCGGCTAGTGCCATTGTCTGCCCCGGTTGTTCAGCCCCCTCCACCGATACTACCTTCCGTTGTCTCAACTGCCTCGATGAGGCACTCTACTGCGAGCAATGCATCGTTATTAATCACCGACGGACTCCTTTCCATCGCATAGAGGTACGCGAAGTGTCTCTAGTTCTTAACCCACAAATTCACAATATCCCTTGAAGCGTTGGACTGAAGAATCGTACTTCGTTCCTCACAGCCTCAAGGCGCTGGGCCTACGGATCCAACTCGGCCACGACCTGGGCAAGATATGCCTGAACCCCACTCGAGCCAAAGCTGATACTTTCGTGGTCATTGACGTCCAAGGCATACATGAAGTCGGTCTCGATTTCTGTGGCTGCCAAACAGCTCAGCCGCTTACCGTCCAACTTCTACAACGAGGACTTTTCCCCTCTACTGTCTCGACTCCTCAAACGGCGGCCTCATTCCAGGTCCTCGACCTTTTCCAAATGCTCTCGGTTGAAGGGCAGGTTTCCGCGTTCGAATTCTACAAGACACTGGCTCGATTAACCGATAAAACCGAAATTGATGCACCCCGAGTTCGTCCATTTGACAGTGCTACCCATGGATAAAACTGATCGTCTTCTATAGGATCGATATACGCAATTCCTCCGCATGAGCCGCGAATGGCGGCACCTTCACCAACTCAAGCGCGCAGCACGAGGCCATGACCCAGAAGGGGCCGATGGAACCCAACCAGGAGAGCTGGCCGTCCTATGCCCAGCATGTCCGCAGCCTGGCAAGAACTTACCTGTGGCAACGGAACACGATAAGTGAGTACTGGGAGTACGTATGCCGCAACACATCTGATCTATTTTTGTTAGCTGGTTGCATACGCTGTTCATTGGCATCGATGCCAATTTCCGTCTGAAACGGAAGAACGTCTCCAGCGACGTCCTGGATCCTGGCCTCAGTCAGGGATGGAGCTACTTTGTGGAGGACAAGACATATCAAGCCCACGTCACCAGCGATGAAACACCGGTGGAGAAAAGTTCCTGTGTGTCACACAAGGCCGTCAACGACGCAGACAAACGCCCTGCGAAGGGCCTGGCCGTCAATGGGGTGGGGACGGTCGAGTGCACGCGACATGATTTCAAACGCCCTCTGTCAGTCGGCGATCTCCGATATGGTGAAAGGTCAGTGGCAGTTGTTATAGGTTTCTTCATAAACTAAACACCTTCGCTAGATATGTAAATATGGACTATATTTTTTTCTCAAGCGTGAATTCCGTCGCATCCAAAGTTCCCCGGATTGTAGCCTCGTACGACATTGCATGCCAATGGCACATCCATCTGTGGCGTCGCATGGAATCTCTTCCACCTCATCTTCAGTATGCCGCCCCTCACGACTCTGTGACAATGTTGGTGCCCAAGTTCCATCTCCCAGCTCACATCGCCATGTGTCAAGCACGGTTCTCTTTTAACTACACCCCGGGCGTCGGGCGAACCGACGGTGAAGCGCCAGAACGTGGCTGGGACTACCTGAACCCAGCAGCCAATCAAACGAAGGAAATGGGTCCAGGCTCGCGTCGTGAGCTTCTGGATGATCTAATGGGGGACAGAAACTGGAAGAAGACTGTCGCGCTAGGTACGTTCGCCAGTTTCTTTCTACAAGGATACACATGGCTAATGAAACATTTGTAGGCAATACTTTACTTCGGCGGTTGAAGGAGGCTATCCCCCAATGTAGTACGCATGTTGAGAATCACCGCGAACTGGAAGCGCACCTGGAACCGGCGACAATTCTGGAATGGCGCTCGCTAGTCGAATCATGGGAAGCCGATAATTCAAAACCCAACCCCTACATGGCGGAAACAACAAGTAAGTAGTTATTACATTAGCTTTTGCTTTCACGCTAACATCCCCTAGCACTATCGCAAGATGCCGTTCGCCTTCAGCTCGCCAACGAAGAAGCGGAAGCCCTCGCAGCTGGCACGCTAGAGCAGCTTCATCTCGAGATGACGCCCCTCATGTATATTGCCTCGGGATTGGACCTCGAGCTGCAACAGTAAGTAGTGGCATATCCGCTATTTACTCTACTCAAATCTGCGTCAGACACCAGCTCCTCGAAGCTGTGGCATCACTCGGCCAACACGCCACCGACCGACAACGTCTCGCAGTCGTCAATCGTGCAAATACTCTGCGTATGAAAATTTCGAACTTCCATGATGTCCAGAAGCTATACTGTCCGAGTGCGTTTCGCATTGTCACGCAGGCAAACGATGCCAACGAAACATCATCTAATCCCACCGAGGACGTCGCTCGACTTCGGCTCTGTCTCCCATCTACCTTCAGGACACCACTTGGATGCAGTGAGGAACTGCGCGCGATCGAATGGCAATTACGGTACGCGCAGGCCCTGGACGCTCTTAATGCTCTATGGGTGGGTCTTCATCTACGGGTCTCTGTCTTCCACTACAAAGATCGCTTCGATCGTGGCCAACGCGCTCTCACTCGATCAATGGGCAACATCTCACGCGTCCAAGGCCAAATTGATAGAGCATCCCATCGCTACCGCGTTGCTCGTGCGGCTCTCTCAGTACTGGCCCGATTTCTTGGCAAGGACGACAGCTGGCGCGCTGAGCTCCAGGAGCTGAAGACTGAGGATATTCGCGGACTCGGCGTGGCGGATATTGACAATCTCGGCGAAGGTTACCGCACGATCTCGTGGATTTGGAGAACAGCAGGAACGGCGGGTAACGAAGAGCGCGACGACGGACTCCACAGCTCCTTGTGCCTTGAGTGGTGCAAGAGCCGTGCTCGAGCCTTGAGATGGAGTGAGGAGGTGTTGCTGCTGCAGGAGGAAATGCGGCGTGTATTGGCTTTCTTGCGCTGGCAAGCGGAGTGGTGGAAGGGCCAGATTTGTGACGACGAAAGCATCCCTGGTCCTGAGGTCCTGAGGGAGGGATTGAATGCCTATGCGCGACAGCAAGCCAACGTTAGGACTCGTTTAGCAGGGAGCTTTGAAGCGAGGTGGGCCTGCGTGCCTCAATTTCTCGAACTATACAACCCTCTCCACCCCCCTGAGGGGCCGCCAACCTAGATATATACATGTATTTTTGCTTAGTCTGATTGGAATCCATTCATTTTGCGGCCATAGTATTTAAATATGAGTAAATATGAATAATTCTCCCTTTTAGGCAACCTGTGAGTTTGGGGTGGGCGCTGGGCAGCGGAATTGGAACTCCCCAATAAGGGTCTCTTGCCTTATGCAGTAGGTGAACCCAGTGGCAACTTGGTACATTGGTGTACTAATGGTTGTGTGGTACCATGACTAGTGGTATACCACTGGCACAATATCTAGTGTCTCTTCGACCTCACTTGCGCAAAGGAATGGCAGTGGAACGACTCCGCTCAATCCGCATTTCTTCGGATCAAGGAGCTGATCACTTCGGAGCCCATTCTGGTCTTTCCGAAGGAGGACCAGCCTTACCGGGTTGAAGCGGACTCGTCGGATTACGCTACGGGTGCGGTCTTGTCGCAGCTGGATCCGGATGATGGTAAATGGCATCCTGTCGCATTCTACTCTAAAAGTCTACAGGCTGCGGAGCGGAACTACGAAATACACGACAAGGAGATGCTTTCAATCATCCGGGCACTCGAAGAATGGCGACACTACTTGGAAGGCGCAGAGACTCCGTTCGAGATCTGGACAGACCACAAGAACCTGGAGTACTTCATCAAGGCCCAGAAACTCAATCGTCGTCAAGCCCGCTGGTCGCTATACCTCTCCCGCTTTGACTTCACTCTCCAGCACCGTCCGGGTCGGACAATGGGTAAGCCGGATGCTCTCTCGCGCCGCTCAGATCACTCGGATGGTAAGGATGACAACAAGGATGTGGTTTTACTTAAGCCGTCCTACTTTGCCGTCCGTGCCACGGGTGTCACTCTTGAAGGGGAGGAGAAGGATATCCTCACGGCTATCCGGACTGGAGTGCAGAATGCGAAGTTTGAAGATGCAGTGGCAAAGGCGGCGGAGGAGCTGAAGAAGACCCAGGGCAGTCGCAAGACAGTTCGGAGCGCGGAATGGTCTCAATCGGACGGACTCCTGATGTTCCGGGGTAAGATCTATGTTCCAGACTCACCGGACTTGCGTCGGACCATTGTAGCCCAGCACCATGACACTAAGGTCGCAGGACACGCTGGCAGATGGAAGACCCTAGAGCTCGTTTCACGCAGCTACTGGTGGCCCAACATGTCCCGGTACGTCGGATCCTACACCCGCCATTGCGACCTCTGTCTCCGGACGAAGGCCCAAAGGCATCCGCCCATGGGTGAACTCCATCCGCTTCCCATTCCGGATGAACGCTGGGATCGCCTGAGTGTTGACTTCATCGTCGAGCTTCCGGAGTCCGATGGGTTTGATGCTGTCATGAACGTGGTCGACTCCGTAAGCAAACGCGCCCACTTCATTCCGACTCACACCACAGTGTCTGCCCTCGGATCCGCAAACTTGTACCTGCAGAACGTCTGGAAGCTGCACGGACTCCCTCGATCCGTCGTGTCCGACCGGGGTCCACAATTCGTCGCAGAGTTCACCCGAGAAGTCTACCGGATGCTCGGAATCAAGCTGGCTGCCTCCACTGCGTACCACCCTCAGTCCGACGGACAGACGGAACGGACTAACCAGGAACTCGAGTCCTATCTCCGGATCTTCGTCGGAGAGCGTCAGGACGACTGGGCTCGCCTCCTACCTATGGCGGAGTTTGCGTACAACAACCGGGTCCATGCGTCCACTCAGCAGTCACCCTTCCTTCTGGATACCGGCCGTCATCCTCGTCTCGGGTTCGAACCTCATCAGCCACTGTCTCGGATGGAGTCCGCAAACGAGTTCGTAGACTGGATGAAATCCGCAGTCGACGAGGCTCAGTCCGCATTGGTCAAGGCTCAGGACGACATGAAGCGCTACTACAATCAGTGTCGGACTCCCGCTCCGGAGTGCCAACCGGGTGACAAGGTCTGGCTGGACTCGTCGGACATCAACCTTGCCCGACCCTCCCGGAAACTCGGACACGCACGACTTGGTCCTTACAAGGTTGTCTGGAAGGTTGGCAAGGCAGCGTACTGGCTCCAGCTCCCTCCGGGCTTATCCCGTCTCCATCCCGTCTTCCCCGTGGTCAAACTCTCTCCCTTCGTTCCGGACCCCATCCCGGGTAGACGCCCTGTCGCTCCGCCACCTCTGCAGCTCGTTGACGGAGAAGAGGAGCATGAGGTAGAAGAGGTCCGGAATAGCAGACGGTTCGGTCGGGTCCTGAAGTATCTGGTGCGCTGGCGAGGCTATGGTATCGAGCACGACTCCTGGGAGCCCGCGAGCAACCTCCAGCATGCCGCCCGGAAGGTCAAGGACTTCCATGATCGTCACCCGGACGCAGTACGCGTACTCCGGACGAGTCCGATGAATCCGACAACTGCTCTACCTCTCCGGATGACTCCTGCAGCACTGGACCAGTCCTGGGAGCGTTGGCGCAGTCGGAAGGCTCCGGGCTCCACGCAGTCGTACTTCGACATCTTCTCGCAGCAATCCGGAGTTTCGAGGTTGGTGAATTCATGGCGTGGCAGGCAGGAATCTTCGTGTCGGGTCGCCGCAACCTTGAAGGGGGGGTGATGTAAGGGGACACTCCTATTTTCTCCTATTCCTCCTGTCCTGCCCCCTTCCTCCTCGTTCCTTTCCCCTTTCCTTCATTCCCTTTCCTTTCCTTTTGTCCCCTTACCTTTCCGCTTCCCTTCCGTTCACTCCCTTCGCATCCGAGCCCCGTCTGGTGACTCCGAAGTCTTCCCGCACTTCGGACTCACCTCGGACTCACTCAGACGCTTCGGACTCGCTCAGACACTTCAGACTCGCTCAGACGCTTCAGACTCACTCGGACTCGTAGATACACTTCGGGGCTCGTCCAGGCTACCTCTATCCTCCTTTCCCACTTCATTACTCCTTGTCCCCACTTCCCCAGGTCGCTGGCACGACTCCTGTACATTCCCCTTCCACTTCATTATCACATGCCCCCTCGTACCTTGTGATATTCGTTCATACCTGTGGCTGGTGTACTGTATAGTTACCCTTCATTCCTCCCACGCTACTACAGTATATACTTCGCTTCCTAGCATGGAGAATCCCCATCCTGTTCTCTTTGGATTCTCCCTCTGCTAGGTGAGCAGCTCTCTCATGTATTGTAGTTAGTCTTATTCATTTCTTTGGATTCTCCCTCTGCTAGGCTTGCACTGTGCGGCTATCTTGAGGTTGCCCTTACAGTCTTATTCATTATCTTTGGATTCTCCCTCTGCTAGGCTTGTGCTGTGCGGCCATCTTGAGGTTGCCCTTACAGAGGTGTTGAGTTGGATGGATGGTGCCCGTTGGGCTGTCACTTTTTAGATTGTCATACCGCTAGCTTGAAGTGTTGTAGGGGGGAGTAGGTAGATGTTCCTTGTGAGTTGTGGCAGCTTCATATGAGCAGGTAACGACAATCACAAAAGAGGTCATTGTTCCGGATGACGGCGACTGCGACTTGGCTGATGGCGAGGGGCCACCACGAATGAGTGCTAGCACTGAGCGGCAACGTCAAAATAAATGCATGTTTTGATCGTGTTGTGAAAGAGGTGTGAAGCTGTAAGGGCAACCTCAAGATGGCCGCACAGCGCAAGCCTAGCAGAGGGAGAATCCAAAGAGAACAGAATAAGGATTCTCGATGCTAGGAAGCGAAGTATATACTGTAGTAGCGTGGGAGGAATGAAGGGTAACTGTACAGTACACCAGCCACAAGTCCGGACGAATATCACAAGGTATGAGGGGGCATGTGATAATGAAATGGAAGGGGAATGTACAGGAGTCGTGCCAGCGACCTGTGGAAGTAAGGGCGAAGAGTAATGAAGCGGGGAAGGAGGACAGAGGTAACCTGGACGAGCCCCGAAGTGTATAGACGAGTCCGAGTGAGTCCGAGCTGTCCGAGCGAGTCCGAAGTGTCTGAAGTGAGTCTGAGTGTGTCTGAAGTGTCCGAAGTGCGGGAAGACTTCGGAGTCACCAGACATGACTCGGATGCGAAGGGAGTGGGCGGAAAGGAAGTGGAAAGGAAAGGGAATGAAAGGGATGTATGTAAGAGTCTGTGGGAACAAGGAGGAAGGGAGAGGGACAGGGGAATAGCAGAAAATAGGAGTGTCCCCTTACAGAAGCTCCGCACATTGGGGCACATTGAGTCCACTTGAATGAGATTGGTTGTTAAGAGCCACACTCGCAGGGGGCTCAGGATACGCGGACCTGTGGAGGAAACGGGGGAAGCGAGGACGTACGGGCTTGGCTTCAGCTACTGGCTGCGCCTCCCACACTCTTGTGTGCCCTGTATTTCCGGGAGGGGTCCTACGCGGGTACCAAGGGTACGGGTGGAGGCAAAGGGGTGCGACGGAGGGGGAACCCACTAGAGGGGCGAGAGTGCGAGTGCAGAAAGGAACTAATATTCGAACTAAGGTAGCTGTATGTACGATACAGGACTATATACTAAGGAACACGCGGCGTCCGCGCGTTCACAAAACAGTAATGAGTTCGGTCGTAGTAACTACAGTGTGCTCGAATATGTACTTAGTCCGTAATCCGGGAAGTCCGCGTGGCCGCGTGTATGCGCGGCCCAAGCCCATAGTTGGGAAACGCGTGTGGGCGTGCCCCTAGTAGCCCCTAAGGGATTCCTTGGACGCGCCTATAACATTGGTGAAACTCACCCAGCCAGGTCTTTGGAAGCAGTGGGAAGTCAATGTCGTCCATGCAATTCTCATGATTGCAAATGGATAAGTTAAATGGAAGGGATAAGGCTATCGGGCAATACTTACCAATCCACACCTTGCGTGCAACCACCAGTTACCCAGGCATAAGCTAGTTCTACTGCAGCGGCATGTATAGTATGTTGTTCATTTGACGTCAGCCTGTATAGTGCTGAACCAAAGCTGAGCTCAACGATGCCGATATTCCCATGACCACCACATCTGCGATGGGGTAATACCCCCCACCAAGAGCACAAGTTGTTGAACCAGTAATTGATGTCGGAGTCCGGACCAACCTGGGAGGTAGGCTCAGAGCTGACATAATGCGGAGGAGTTCTCATCACGTGCTAACTCAACGCGCTGTCTGAGTTATGTCTGAGTCTGACTCTGTCTCAGGTTCAGAGTCAACTCTCGTACTCGTCCCACTGAGTACCACCAACAAGTTCGGTAGAAGGCTTCCGCGCGTGCACTCTTTCTGGCTTCCTCCTTCTCTCACTCTGAACGTTCCAAGTCCATGGCCACATCATCCGAGTCGTTCTTCAGCCATTCGCCCAATATAGAGGAAATAGACACGAAGATAGAATCCCTGAAACATCAGATTACCCTGATACAGGGGGGAATCCGTTTTCTCGAAGAATACAAGAACACCAGATTGCTTACCGTAGCTAAACTTCCTCCCGAAGTCTTGTCAACAATCCTCGAGTCACTCGCGCTCAGCACACCTCCGCGTTCCACCTACAGGCAACAAGCCTATAGCCACATTTTCCTCGCTACGCAGGTGTGCCGCTTATGGCGTCAGGTGGCTCTCAGCTCCCCTCGAATCTGGGGTTGCATCAATGGATTCGCTTCACATCGCATCGTTGAACTGTTTTTAGAACGCGCTAGATCTGCGCCACTGTATCTGTGGAGCCCCGGATACCCAGATGAGAAGAATGTGTTGGCTGTGCTCAACCACCTCGAGCGATTGAAGAAAATCATTCTGAAAGCCCAACCCAACTGGGTAAAACGGATTGTATCCGAGCCAACCCCCCAACTTGAAATACTTTCGCTCGAAACCACCTCCTTTGCTACCATAGATCCGTTTGTATTCTGCGCAGACGCATTTCCATTGTTGCAACACCTATCCTTGACAGGCTATGTCTTCAAAGGCAACATGACGTCCCTCAAGAATCTCCGTTCTCTCTTGATAAAACCCAGCGATGGTCCACGGCAATACAGCAAATTAAATCACGCAGACCCTGTCAACTTTTTCGCCACGCTAAATGATCTTCCCTTCCTATCTTCCCTCACTCTGATCGATGCGCTCGCGCCGCTAAACGGATCAATCCCACCGCTGTCGGTCATCCTTCCCAGCTTGACGCACTTGCTCATCCAAGATGATGATATATCAAATCTGGGTATGATGTCATGTATCACAGCACCGTTCATCGAGGTGAAGCTCTCGCATACCGGTCAAGCCAACGGCGAGACTGCTTCCCCCGTTATCGCTGCCATCTACTCAAACCTTCCCGACATTCCCCGCTCCCACTCCAAACTCACCCTCCGCACCAAAGCGGTCAGCTGGTCAGATCGTCCTGGTGCACATGTACAGATTTGGACGGGATGTGCCGTTGAAGAGCAAGAAACGGACATCCCATTATTCGACCTCAAAGTCTCTGGCACAGGAGACCTGGAAACAGAAGGTTGGGCTTTGACGCTCTGCCCGTCAACTACACTCCCTCCCATCCTTCATTTTCATTCCGGGGTCGAGTCATTCAATGATGATTCTCTGGCCACCTACCGAATCTTCCGCCAGCTGAAGGACGTAACACAGCTTCATTCGGACCGTCTGATCGACATAATCCTTGTCCTATGTGATACGCCGTTAGAACGAAATGAAGCTAGGTCGCTGCCGTCACTACAGAAGATCGTCCTCGGCAGTGGGATTATAAAGTATAAGCAGAGGATGTTATCCAGGTTGAGGAAGCAGCTCGGGGCACGAATGGCGGTGGAGGCAGGAATTGAGATTTGGCAACTTGGTCCCAAATGTCTCCCTCCCAGCGACCTTGAGCAATTTTCAGGTATTATCAATATCGTAGAAGTTCCGACTCGTTCAGAAACATCCAAAAAGCCGGTATCGACATTAGACCAACCGCTAATGTGGTAGTATAGACGAAATTTGTCCTTCTTCCGCTAAGGGGATATCGTTTACCAAATCATGGTACAGTGCGAGACGAGGCCCCCACCTTCTGGTCTCAGGCAGCTGGTTCGCATAATATCCGCCAGCGTTTCCTCTCATCAGACCATTACCTAAATTTGCACAGGGTGGCTCACTATGCCATGCGGCCTTCTCGCCGACACATTCGACAGCGGCGTCTGTGGATGCCCTTTAGAAGGCAGCGATCAGTAATCACATCAACTCGAGGCTCAGAACCTCAGGATACATCACTTCGGCGACCCCCTTCAGCGAGCCTCCCTTCTACCGAGATGATCGGCCGAGATGCTTATACCCCTCGAACCAGGTTTCTTGCTTTATTTAAACCCCCTCCTAGCACACGATACCTCCCCAAGTATGACCACACCCAGTACTCGCATTCGAACGAAGCAAGCTCAGCCAATTTCTTGCAGCCCCCTAAATTCGCTCAGCAGTATCTCTTATGTTCCTTACGAAATCCGCGACAACATTGTTGCCCATCTTCAAGACGACAGACTCGCGCTCGCACGATTGAGCCTCGTCTCTTCAGCCTGGCTGCAGCTTAGCAGGTGGTACCTTTTCGAGGTCATCAAGGTCAATCAGGCAAACGCCTTGCGGCTCGAGGAATTATTGGCCTCGCCGTACTGTACCATTCGACCATACATTGCGGGATTAGACCTCAACAATCCACCATTCGTCCCGAAATCGCCGGGAACCATTCTTGAACTAGAAAGCGTCTTTACTCCGCAGAGCCTCCCCAGACTCGCTGCGGTCCTCGCGTCTAGCCAAATTCGAACCGTTTGCTTGGATGGGCGTTCTTCTCTGTGGATAATGAGCAACAGCGCCATCGCAGCTCAGTCCTTCGACAACCTGCCCATTCCACTCAACGTTTCCTCGGTTACCTCATTAACTCTTCGCTCTATGCAATTCTCTTGCATTTCCGAGGTCACGGCCATCCTCCAAGGGATACCAAACCTCCGCTCCCTGTCACTGGATAACACTTATTGGTGTCGACCAGGACCATTCGAAGTTCTCCCGCCTCCAAGCCTGGCGCTTGTAGACAAGCTCAGGGTCTTGCGCGTCAGAAGTATGTCTGTGGAGAATCTCGTCGAGTGGCTGCTATTAGCCGGTAGACCGCTTGGTCTTGTCGAGATGGATATGGGACTCGTAGAGGCGGCAACTTGCGAGAGGCTCTGCAGGACAATCGATCCAGAGATGCTACGAACCTTGTCAGTGCATAACAGCGCGGATGCTTGTGAGGTGATCTCTCTAGCGTTAGTATAACGGTCATTGACTATCTGTGCTTGTAGATGCTGTTGAAAAGTTCAGAAACCTACGCGACATCGACATTTCTATTCATGCGGCCGACGAATGCAAGCCAGCCATATCTCTCCTGAAACGCCTCGGCTCCTTCCATATGCGCACAGTGAAGTTCGCCGTGCACACCCGCTTCTTCTCGTCTCCCCAAGAATTTTTTCAGTGCTTCGACTGGAAAGAATTCATCGCAGTCCTTGGGGCAGAGAAGTTCAGATGGTTGGACAGTATCGAGTTTGCGTTTGATATAGAGCATAGCCAAGCAGAAACGCGGTTGACGGAGAAGCTGTCAGAGTTACACGAACAAGGGAAGTTGTACATGTCTCAACTATAGATACATACTCCGGGTGCGCTCTGGTACTTACGTGTCGGAAGTAGTACACGTCCCCCATTCTGTACAGACTAGCTAGACGCTGAACTCAGGAACGGAGGTACTCGATCAAGCGGTAGAATTTCTTACTGCAGGTAATCGAGGAAGGTGGTAAGCTTAAGGTTCGCTGGGTTTTCGCTGGGTTGAGTTAAGAGTCAGTCAAGGGGTACATAGGAAGGAAGCTAGAAGTGTTGAACTCTGCTGGCAAATGCCGTCCAGAAAGTAGATTACACTGGGTCCATATCATTTTACAATAACCATCGCCATCGAAGACATGCTCTAGGGCTTCCCTATGATATCCTCGGTATGGCGCCATAGCTTCTCCTGCGCCTCTGCTCCACTGTCGGCTTTCACTTGCGCAACCTCCTTGCCATCCGAATCGATAAAGTGGGCTCCTGTCTTCATGGCATCGTTCCACAGAGGGTCAAACAGGTATTCCGCACAGTCTTCGGCGCTCCTTGCGAAGAGCATATTGAATATCGCTGCCGGGCCAGCTACATACCACGGAAACGCCCGGGAAATCGAAGTAGCGACGATAGAAGGAAATGCGTGTTGGAAAGACATCGATGGGTGAAGGCGAGCGAAGCGTTGAATGGCTATATCCGTCATTGTGAGGCAGTGGTAGGCCACTGCGCCGACACCGAAACCCTTCTTCAAGTCCAGATCGTCCCAGTCAAGTTTACGGAGATCGCCACGCTTGCTGTCTAGGACCGTAGATACACGAGCGTTTTCCCCGGCGTCGGCAGCGGCTTGCAGGTTTGGGAGGAGCCTCTGAGCGAAAAGCATGCGACTGTAGTAGTGGAGTACCATCTTGACATCGTGCCCTTCGGTAGTTTCCGTCCGTCCGCTCATGGAAAACATGCCTGACGTTAGAACAAGAAGGTTGACCTTCGGAAGGGATTGGGACAATGACGCAGCCAGTGTTCGTGCATTGGCGAGGAGTGAGATGTCGCACCTGGGCGCGATAAGGTAATAAGAGCAGCTTCTTATATACATGGATGATCAGCAACTTACTGATGGAAGTGGTATTGGCCGCCTGGGTTGGCGGCCTTGAGCCCGCTAAGTACCTTCTCCGCCGAAACCTCGCTACGACCAACGAGGTGGATTTCAGGATTGACGGAATATCTCGCTATCTTCTCGGCGAGCGCAGCGCCAATGCCTGCTGTCCCGCCAACTACAACCTGGACAGATCCTCATCAGCCCCAACTACGCGCCAGGCTCAGATACCACTCACCGCCACTGGCGCCTTGAAGGGTTTGGCTGCGTGCGCTATTCGTAGGGCATTCAAAACAGTCATGGTGGTGGTCCTGATTTGAGTTTAGAGCGAGAGCTTTTATTACTTCCCGAAGCTTCAAGTTTTTGGCCCCGTGACCATTAGGATTTGTCTCTTAGCAGGCAGTGGTGCACTGGGGCGTGGTTCACGCCCAAGATTGTTTCCGAACGCATTACTGCAGGGCGAGATCAGTCATCAAATCAGAAGAATGCAGGAATTGTAAGTTGAACGGACTGACTTCGAGGAACTTGGTATAATTGTGACCAGCGACCTTGAAGCTCCTTTGAGCATTTTGCAGACCGATGAGCGGGCCTCGCGTCGTTTCTCAGGTCCCAAGGCCAACCATCAAGGGGAAGTCACGTGTATACATTAGGGGTAAGATCTAAAGTGAGCCGTTTGCTCGTTCCGTCTGAGACAGCGGACTTACTAACTGAAGACTTTGGAGAGATTATTTACGAGCATATGTTATTTCTTGGAATCTCTTCTCCGTTCTTGACACTGCGGCAGGCTCTGGGAGGGTTTGTTGACTCGGAAGGCCACTGCCAAACACGTCAGTCAATGGACGCCGATCCTGCACGTAACGCACATCTTCGGCAAGATGAGCAGTTGAACACCGTGGACTCTGGCTGTAGCGCTCGACGGTGAACAACATGGCGTCAGCTAAACTCGGCACCCTAATTATACGAGTAAGTTCTCAGCCATTACTTATATTTCCTTCGACCTTAACCGCGAACTTCCGGGAAGACGTTAGCCAAGCCTATAAGTACACAAATCAAGCACCAGGCCAAGCAGTACGTCTTCGTCTTTATGCTTGAGTTGTTGTTGATGTATTTATTCCAGACATGAACGCTTCCGAGGGATGTGCGTAGACCTAGCGCAATGGATGTATCGCATTGAGGTGCGAATGCGGACGAACTTACTGGGTGGACCCGCAGTCAACATACGTCCGCTTTCGGAGACTCGGTGCGTTTCCCATGCTTCGTGATGCTTGGGCTCGTGCTTGATATCATGTATCCGACGTATAGGGCTATCGAAAACGGGGCGAACGCCCTTGCTGAAGGTTTCCTATTCTCCGTTGCTGCTGCTCTGATCATCGGCGAGACCTGGCGAACGTCACGAAATACCTCCAAACGGAAGGACGATGTCGACGACAAGCTGGAAGGCTTAGAAACCAAGGTCACCGAACTGACAACCAGGGTGGACTTGCTGGCGCAGAAGTGGGACGACCAGTTGCAGGAGGAACGCCAGAGGAACGACGAACTGGCGCGGATATTGGAACGTGTAGTGGAGATTGGGCTGAGGGGCGGCTGGGCAGAGTTTCAAGATACACCCCTTCCACTACCTCGAGTGCAGCTGACATCCCCGCGGCCACCATCCGAAGCTACCGAGGAAACAGCAGCGGACAGTCCCCCCGGCGAAGGTGCCGAATCCAAGAGCGAATGATTCGTATACGGCCACCCCTCATCCAGAGAAAATAATAGATCGGACGCGTTCGCGTAGACCTTGCGTAGACTCCATCATAATATAACCCGAAATACGCATACCAAATTTTCGCATGGCTCTTGGCCATGGAACGGTTCTCATCGTGGTGGCTGCCGTAACGTGTTATGACACCCGACCCCTTTGAGCTTCAGAGTGGATACATACTGTGTACATAGTTGGGCCTGAACGCGTGGACCCGCCCTCCGAGTCTAGCCACGATGCACTGATGCATAACAATGATGAAAGCATCATCATGCTCATGCACGCTTCGCTAAAAACGGCGCCCAACTTCGCCCATGGGGCTGTTTGTGATGCCCGGTGGCCATATTATTTTTACTTTCCTGGTTGTGATTGTCGCGTCACGCGTCATTACTGGCTGTTTGACGGGAAAAAGTTACATATATCCAGAAATTACGAAGACACATATAATCTAGACCAAAGGATAAACATGTACGAGGGAAGCATAGGCGTTATCATTACCATTGATACCTCAGTTGACCAGGCACGGCGACGACGTGCACGTACTCCCCTAATGCCCGGTCGGCGCGTCTGCAATCATCTTCGTCTAAGCACCCCATCAGTTCTACCACTTTGATCGGAGCAAACGTCGCGCGCCGTTTCACAAGCTCGACGAGCGAGGAAAAATAATGTTTGGCGAAATTCAGCCAAACGTCGCCCAGTTTACTGAATGATAGGACCTGGAGAAGGGGACATAGAGGGGAGTTCGTCCAGAGAGGAGAAGGGTCTGATAACGCGTCGAAAAGGTGCGTAAGCACGTTGAACGCGACGCGGATGGTCGAGATGCGCGGCATGTAGAGAAGTAAATGTTTTAAATCCGCCCCGTTACCTGGCGAATCGAATCCAGACAATTCCAAAGTCGAGACGGACGAAAAGTCCAGTAGACCCAGAGAGAACTGGAGCCAGGACGGGTGGGAAGGTATCGCCGGCATGCTGCGACGGATGCTCAAAGCGACATGATCGGGTGATGTTGACCATGGCTCGGCATCGGCGCGAAGACATTGAATTGCAAGTCGGGAAAGTCGGACAACGCGGAAGTCGCCTGCGGACTCTAGCGCTCTCTGGAAGGGCATCGAGACAAGGTTGAGGGAATCAGAGGCCGCGCATGTGATGGTAACACGGGCTGAGGGTGGGATCCATATCGTTTGCATGATTGTTGAGACGAAATGATTGTCGTCAACGTTCAGAAATACATCACTGAGGCGGTCGAGGTCAATGCGGTCGAAGGAAGTCTCGATTTCATCGGTTGGGCATCGAATATTCGTAATTTCCAGCTTTTCGAGCTGAGGAGAGAGCCGGAGAATATGGAGTATATCGCTAACGGTGGGCCCGAGCTGTCTCAGGTTGCTAAGACGCAACGTTGTGAGATTTGCGACGCGCCTCCATGCAACAGCGACCCCATCTAAAGCCAAGTGATTGATAGTTGGCCACCATGGAACAAAAAGTTCATCTGCTGCGCTGTTGACAAGGCGTAGATGGCGAAGCTTCGGAAACTTTAAACTATAGTCGAGGAAGAAGAACCACGCAACGTGAGAACCAACGTTCAAATCGATCGATTCCACGCGACAAGCACTCGACTGCAGCGCAGGGGCGAGCGGCTTCTGTATGACTTGCGAGGAGATCCAGGATATTGTGGCGTCGCCAGAATGCTCCAGGAAATACCGAAGAAGGGGGGAGGTGATATCGACGTGCGACCATAATCGAGGACTGTTCAACGCGACAACCCTCCATCGACGGCAAGTGTGAAGCCAAGCATACCCCTCCCTGTCTTTCTCGGACAGCCAGGATATGCAATACATGAAAAGATACTCCAGGATATCGTCTGAGAGCATAGCAACTGGTGCGAGCTCGTTCATGGAGGATCGGACGGCGCAAAGGGCAAGTCTGAGCTGTTTCTCCTTGGAAATCAAGAATATTCTCCGAATTTCCGTCGGGGAAAGACTCTCCAGGTCATTTGCTTCGATCTCGCGATGGTATGGTTCTTCGTATGGCTTGTCAGTGGGCCCGGGTTGGGAACCAAAGCGCCACTCACCTGCTATCATGGTCATTGAGCTGGCAGGTCGTAGCAGAAGAAGGGAAAGTTTTATTTGAACCCATGAGAACGGATCAAACGAGAACTTGCAACGTTGATGAGATCTGCAGCGTGCTTGATAGCAAGGGAATAATGTAATCCGACCCACCTTATACTTTACCCACCGCTTGGAACCAAAAAAGCGATGATATTTGTTAAATTGTAGGTCGTCCCGTTCTGCCTCGTTCTGCGCCATCCATTCAGTCGCTGGATATGTGGCGCAATGATTTCCCCTCCTTCTCGATGCGTTCCACTATCGACAATGCTTGCAAGCGGTGCGTGTGTATGTGCATGAGGCTTGCAGGAGTCTTCTGTTACTAATGCGAGAACGAGCATGGCGCTTCCAAGCTTCATGTCATTCCCACACGTGGTTTCCCCTATCCCATGAAAGGTCGAAGGCTTTCGTGATCATAGCGTATCGAAACGAGGAACGAATAAGTTCTAAACGAGTAAAGTATATAATAATCCGACTGACATTAACCATAACTCGCATGGAAGTACATTAACATTATTAACTAGTAGACGTGTAGATATTAGTAGACCCCTGAACAGCGTATATTGGGCTGTCTTCAGTGGGATTCAACGGCCCATACTGGGACCCAATGAGTCTTGTAGCGACTAAAAGCTACTAGGTGGATTTCATAGAGCTCGAACTGACTCATGGGAAACTTTGGATCGTCCTGAGGAGACTGGCGAAATTGTGGAATGAGTTGCGTTGAGATAAGGAGACGAATATAAGAACACGTACGCGTAGGCTCTTCTTAGGATTGCGAAGCTTCCTATGAACATCTTTGACTTCACAGGCAATCTCGTATGCCACTTGTCCGAGGGTGATGGGTGCCCCTCCCTTGTTGATCAGTGGGAGGGTATTTCCGCTGAGTAATGCTCCTGCCCACTACATTGTGTCAGATGGAGATTATGACTATGATGCGGAAGGGAACGTACATATAACCTCCACATCGTGCTTCTGTGTCCTGTGTGCTCGAAAGGGGTGGATCGGGCGTTGTCGAGTCTCGCATTGCCATCAAGGATATCCTGCACCGAGGGTCCGACGCAGCCACGCAAGGTGAAACGAATATCCTCAGACGGGGGAAACTGGTCTGGCTCGTACATAGGAACGCGTCTGAATGAAATCTGTCGGGGAATGTTCTTGTCTCTGATTTCCAAGGCGGTGGGGGACCGCGGGTAGAACGTCTGCTGCGTCTAGATGAATAAATCAGACCCGAAGCTTTCCAGAATGGAAGGGTGCATACCGCGTTTGACTGATTTCCGCCAGGCAGAGAAAGCAGGGCGGGGTTGATAAATGTAGAGGAGGGGTTATACTGTTGGTGTTCGTAAGAGTACATTGATTTCGCGACTTGGAGAGTAGAAGGTGGTGGATACAGACATACTTTATGGCGCCTCAATTTATATTTTTCACGCCATGGCGCAGGTCAAAGCGTCGGGGCACACAAGGACAAGGGAAACAATAATCTCTGGCCAAACATTTGCGTTGGCCACTTTCGTGAACGAAGTGTCCGGATTTGGAAACGCGAACATGCGAAGCGGTTTGATTCCCCATCCGGTAGATGCCTCCTATAAATTAGGGGTAGAAATTGCTTTGAGGACTCTTTTGTCGCCGAAGTGAGACTGGCTCACTTCGACAACATAGCAATGCCACACGTAGCTCGATTTTCTCTGGATGAACAAAGGCCGGCTGCGCGAATTCAGCTCAGGGAGACAATCAACTACTTCTTGCATGGCCGCAGTCCATTGTTCCGGTACCCTCCCCGACATCGAATTCATAGTTCTCGAGCAGCAGCAGCCATCATTCGCGCTCGGCGTGAATTGTGAAACATTGAGCCACTTGCAAGGCCACTTGTGAGATTCATCGCACAGTATCCATGCACTTTTAACGCCGGTGCTGGATATCTCCATTTTGTTGAGCGCTATGAGCGCCTATTAGTCTACAGACGGGTCTTTCGTCGTCTGACTGCGCCCGCGTTATTCAGTGAACATTCAAAGATTCACCGCAGGAGCCATGAGTATATCAAGTTACTTCTGGGGGGGGGCTCAATGCAAACGCGTCTGGTATAGGTCATTGGCGTGCCATCAAGTCTTGTCAGTTTCTTTCCTCGGCCTTTGACCACCGTCAGGCCAACTTGACCTGAGACTATGCCTTGCGCCTGAATGGTGCGTGATTTGACATTACAGGATGTTTCAAGTCATCTATATCTCTAATCTGTTCCCAGGATGATAAGGACAGCGACAACCGCATTGCGCCCGTGGATTATGTTCACCATCAAGACGCCACCATCTTATCCCCCCAAGTCTCGAGTTCGTGTGACCAGGCAATCCTCGCTTCCAATAGATACTCCGAAGCTGGTGCAAATTCGCAGCGCACATACCGAGAGCCATCATGGCTCCTGCGGGGCAGGCACCAGTCACCCCCAGTGCACCAATCAGTCTTTCGGTCGTTTGACACCGAATGTGATACCGAAGTTGGCGGGGGTGTTTTTGTGTGAGTGATATTGATGATCTCGATGAATTGCAATTGTTAGATCAAATTTCGGAGCGCCTGGAGACGGGCATGGGCCGCGACCTCTAGTATAAGTACGGGGCAACAACGCCTCTGGGTGCTCGGCCTTCCCTCAATCTCGTCTTTTCCCTCCTTTCCATGTCACCCCAGGTCTTGAAGAATATCTACACTTTGCCAACTAAATGGCCTCAAGAGGAATTAGCGGCTTATTTGCTTGGTCAGTGTCTCTCCACCAGATCGAAGAGTCAGTGCTGAGTTGGCTACCACCGATAGGTCTCGCCTTCTCATCGCCGTAAGGACGACCAATGATGATGAGTAACCGTTATTTACCCTTCAACATACAGACTGTACGCAATTTCGATCTGTCAAGCGGTTCTCTATTTCCGAACGTATCGCCACGATCCACTTTATCTCAAACGCACGGTAAACCACACTTCGAACTGTATCCGAATCGCAGACTCACTATACGTGATCGCAGGTTGCGGTGTTAATGTCTGTATCTCTCAATGGAGCTTACATCTTGGGCTAAATCAATTTCTGCCTTTCCGCGTAGCTCCATGGATTCTATCCGCTTTGTCTTCCTAGCCCACACGGTGTACTCGTCGTTCACAACCCTCAACGATGTCCTGCACCATGTGGCTCGGCCAATTACTTGTCGTGAAAACCATGTTCGGGAAATGTCGGTATTGCTTAGACTTCTAACTGTGCCAGAGGCGTGACTAATGCGTCATCCCCCCCACCCCAAACTGTAGCACGCTCATGGTACGCTCCTTCTGTTGAGCCAGATGATTACTGGCTGAACCAAATAGATAGTTGAATTTCTTGGGGTTCGTTTCTCTTACTGAATGTCTGCGTTTGTCTCACTATTCGCCATACCGAAGACATCCCTGTCCTGCATCGTTCAAAGGTACTATAAAGCCTCGTCAATCTCTGCAATCTACGCTTCGCTGACTGCCCAAGTCTAGCGCATACGTGATGAGAATCTGGCGCTGTAGGTCGTGAACCTTATGCTCCCGACGATATTTCTGAATAATGGCGGCAGTAAGCAACCGCAACAAGTTGTTAGCTGCGGTCATTGTACGTATCGTGTTAACCTCATCAGGCGGACTGCTCACTGGTTGTGTAGATGCTTCCCACGTTGTGTGAATTTGGTATGTACGCGTCGACTCGTTATCCGTACCGTCCCGTTTGACCGAGCCCCGTTTACCCAGGATCATCCCTTTGTAAGCCGTCAATCCTTGGTCGATATACTACTCTATGTCTGACTTCCCCAATCCCCAGCGGTCACAGGAGGATTGTAAGCTTCAATCTCTTCAAAACGAGTTGCAGGAGGTCCAGTTGATCTTATTTCATGCTCGCGTAGGGTCTTTGAAGCTAAAGGACAAGGCTTGGGCCTCTGCTCATTTGGAGGGCCTTTCGAGACGGGGCAGAGCTCCCGCAGTCTAAACACGATATACGAAGTAAGACATATAATCAACCTGCCCTCGTAACTCTGAATCATAGCCGGCGAAGGTCTCTCGATATTCTCAACTCTGCGCAAGTCTGGTCTCCGACGTGTTGATCACTTTGAGCATGGTTTATTATCTCAAAAGTGGGCTTAAGGAAACAAATTTATTCGGGTACGAGTGCTCGCAATTAACTCATGGCGACGTGGCGAGCTGACTTTTCTGTAGCACAAAAAGCATTATCAGTCTCTTAATTAGCTATACGCTGACGATCGGGCTTGTTACAAGGTTGGTTGGGCCTAATGTTTCGTCACTGCCGCTCAGCGTGATATTATGAATAGCATTTTATCCATCACGGCCTTGGCCATTGTACGTCTATGTTCCCGATAACTCTGCATGACGCTCAAAGTGCACCAGTTTGCAGCTGCGGCGACACAAGTGCACTTCCCAGCAATCCACTTCATGATCTCCAACGGTGAGCGGTATATTTGTACCTCGCGATCGTCAGAGCTGACAACATTATGCAGTATATGTTAATTCATTTCTAGCAAGGTACTTCTAAAAAATCGATGGCTTCGTACTCGCTTCTGATCGCCTCCGACTATCATAGCTTGAATTGGCGCATGGGCTTGCGTGAAGCTGGCCAAGGCTCAAACTTGCTTTCTACGCAAGATTCCCTCGCCTTCACGAGGGAAAGGGCTTACGCTTAGATCGAACTAATACCCGGTTTGATCACTCTGCGCTGGTTACGCACGAACGGTTCCTATACAATGCACGATTTCGCTCATATGCTTCAACTCGTCTACCTCTGAGTGCGGCACTGGCGTAAAGTTCAACATTCATCCGATTTCTGTACTCCCTTGCTACGTGCGCTAGGACGCCAAGGTGCGGACAACACTGCAACATACCAACTGATGCTTCAAGCAGAATGTGAGCCAGCTCCCGGAGTGCGAAGCACCGGTTCATAGCCACAGAATCATCATTGTCGACAAGGCGGCTCTATTTTCAGAAATCATTGTTCGGCCATGATCCGCCCATTCTCCCATCTGAAGTGATCGGAGGACATTGCAGCGCCCAAGGAGCAAGTTTCGAGCCGAGCATCTTCTCGGACTTGTCATCAATACAGCAACTCTCCTTCGAATCACCTGATCGAATTGTAAGCATATGTCTTGCCTGTCATCGGTGCGTGTTTGGGTCTCGCCGTGTGTTACAAGTCGCCCATCTCTTCAATTCGTTCCCAGAATGATAACGATGGCCTCATTCTTCCCGCGATTAGAGTGGATCTGTCCATCATCAAGCAACTCTACGTCCTCCCGTCTCGGGGTCGCCCCGAGCGAGTAGCTAGAACTAGCTCTTCCAGCTGTTAGCGAGAGGCTGTTAGCAAAACTTTGCACAAAGTACTTTTCACCAATAACGGTGAACTCAATCCGGAAAACCTTTGACTACGGCGCTGTTGTCGTATTGATGACCTTGATGCCAACATCAACTGTGGCGCACCTACAATATAAGTACTGGTGAGGCCACCATGAGCCTTCATTTGCTCACCCTCATCACCCCGGCAATGCCACCTCAAGTCTTACAGAACATCTATACGATACCAATCAAATCACTTCAGAGGGAACTAGGTGCTTACTTGCTTGGTCAGTGGCGTGTTGTCTAGCACCCAGTGGACGGAGCTTATGTTACCCGATGGCTAGGCCTTGTCATATCGTCTCCGTGGGTATCGACGATAACAGATAGCCAACATTCTTCACCGTTGCTCATTCTGGCCTATAGACTATACACAATATCGATATGTCAAGTAGTTCTCTATTTTCGGACTTATCGTCTAGATCCCTGCTATCTGAAGCGCACGGTATGATTTCCTGCTAGCTGCTCGACAATGTCGTGCTCACGCATTCACAGGTTCTGGTCCTAATGTCGGTTATCTTCGTATTGCTGAAGTCACTTCTTATCTTCCTATTACAGTTTCATGGATTCTGCTCGCTTTGTGTTTTTAGCTCACACTGTCTACACTTCGTTCGTAACCCTCAACGACGTGCTGCATCATGTGGACAGACAAGTTACTTGTCATGAAAACCTCATACGGCAAATGTCGGTGATTTTAACTGTGGCAGCGATGTTTACTCTAATACACCCGTTCATTCAACATTAGCACACTGATGGTACGCCCTCCTAATCGAGCTCAACACCAAATTAATTGCCTGTAGATGGTAGAATTCCTTGGGGTCCGTTCTTCAGATACTCTTGATTCTTCTTATACTTACCTCAACCGGTCGCTGCGCCAAAAGACGTCTCTATGCTGTGTAGTTCAAAGGTACCCTACGGCGTCTTTTTGTCGAGTGAGCTGACAATGTGTGCAGTGCGTATGTAACGAGAATCTTCCATTGTAAGTGTGCACCGGCAACTTGCAGCAAGACCTCTAAACTTCAGATCCAGTGAGCAACCGCAATAAGTTGTTGGTTGGAATGATTGTCCGTCCACTATTTCCCCTGATATACAAGATGCTAATCGGATGATTGTAGATGCTTCCCACATTGTGTCAATTTCGTACGTGTACTTCAAATGGACATCCGTAACGACGTACTGAACGAGGCATACAGTATCAGGTCTGGGTAAGCCGTGGATCCAAGTCTGTTAGTTATCGTAGCTGATGCAAAACCCAATACAGCGGCAATTGGAGGATTGTAAGCTTCACGGAGGTTCACCTATCAGCAATCTCGCAGTATGACAAGAGCTTTTTGTAGAATCTTCGACGCTAACGGTGAAGGCCTCGGACTCTGTGCATTTGGAGGCCCTTTTGAACTGCGACACCAGTCAGCGGTTCTAAATATGATATATGAAGTGAGCAGCATGTCCGTTCTCTATATTGATGTCTGATATGGATACAATGCTAAGGTCTCCCGATATGCCCAACTCTGTTCAAGCCTTGTCTCTGATGGGTTGATCACTTTGAGCATGTACTACTATCTCAAGGATGGACTGAAGGCAACAAATTTCTTCGGGTGCGGGCGCTCACGACGACATAATTGGATTCCAGTTAACGTGGATGCAGGACGAGAAATATCATCAACCTGTTGATCAGCTATACATTGACAATTGGACTTATCACAAGGTTGGTAGAGTGATTTAACTTCTACTTCTCTCGATGTAAGGCTGAACATATGTAGCATCCTTTCTGTTATATCTTTGACTGTCGTACGTATATCCTCCCCGAATCTAAACTATACAGTATCAATTACAACTGCAACAGTTTGCGGCCCAAGAGACGCAGCCACAAGTCCCGATAATCCACTTTATGATTGCCAATGGTGAGGAGCTCGGTGTTGCGCACCGTAATGGCCAGAACTGACATCATCTCATAGTATACGTGAATTCATTCTTAGCAAGGTGCCTCTGAACTAAGAGCGGGACCCTACTCGCTTCTAACCTTCTTATCATAGTTTGAATTGGCGCACGGGCTTGCGTGAAGTTGGTCAAGGCTCGGACTTTATTTCCACGCAAGCCTCATCTGTACAGGGAATCTCACTACCTGGATCGAGGTAATCCTGAGCTCTAGTCTTTCTTCCTCTCCTTAGATTTGAAAGTTCCTACCTAATATGACACTGTATTTCTCGTATGTTTCGGCTAATTACCCCCTAATGCGTACTCCTGAGTTCGGCAAATTTGCTGGCGTGAAGTTCGACATTTATCCAGTCTCCCGCACGGCCCACAAAATGTTGACAGTGTCGCATCATAACTATCTCTGGAATTGTAGTCCTGAAGTCGATATCTAGCCGTCATCGTCGGAAATTTGATATTGAGCTTGTTTGCAATTTCAGTCAAGGTCCGTTCGAGTTTCTAAATTGACTCAGGCTCTCACTTTCCATAGCTATTGAACATGGACAGCAATGTATCCCCCGAGTCTCCCGTCGAAAAACAGCCTGTGATTGGGCTCATCGGCATGGGTGCCATGGGCAGGATGTACGCGAAGGTCCTTGCGGAAGCCGGCTGGCAAAGGTGTGATCGCTTCCTCATTTATCACATCGTGTTAATGGACTCAGATTGGTGGTTTGCGACATCCCTGAAAAGTTCGAGAGCTTGAAAGAAGAATACAAAGGTTTGTTGCTCCCATGTTGCTGGCTCCCCGCCTGACCTTGAGCTAGACAAGAAGAACATCATCGTTGTTCGGGATGGTCATGCAGTCGCTCGGTGTTCGGATTTCATGGTATACTCGGTAGAAGCAGAGTTCATCGAACGCGTCGTTGCAGAATACGGTCCCTGTATGTTTTCGCATTTCTAGGTTCGTCTACGGTCTATTTACCGTGTATCGTTGTACAGCCACCAAGGTGGGCGCGATCGTCGCCGGCCAAACGTCGGTTAAGGCGCCAGAGAGGGAAGCATTCGAAAAGCACTTGCCGTCCGATACCTATATTCTCTCGTGCCATTCGCTGCATGGCCCATCCGTCTCCCCTTTTGGCCAGCCGCTCGTAAGCTTCCTTCCGGTCTGAAAACGCGTTGTTCACGATCGCGCAGATTTTGATCCAACATCGGGCGCCTGATTGGGCTCTGCAACTGGTCGAAAACATCCTGCGCCCGCTTGGATCTCGCTACGTCTATCTTTCGTACGAGGATCACGACTCGATCACCGCCAACACGCAAGCGGTGACGCATGCTGCGTTTCTCAGGTCTGTGCACCGTGGATCCCATTTCCTATTATTATTATGCGTCTAGCTGAACAGTTTTTTTGGCAGCATGGGCAGCGCGTGGTGCTCCCGTACGAACTATCCTTGGGAGGAAGGCCTATACGTCGGGGGGATCGAAACTGTCAAGGTGAACCTCACACTGCGCATCTACTCCAACAAATGGCACGTATACGCAGGCCTCGCCATCCTAAACCCCAGCGCCCGCCTGCAAATCGACCAATACGCCAAAAGTGCGACGGAGCTGTTCAAATTGATGCTCAAAGGCGGGGAGGGCGCGAAAGAGCTTCGGGAGCGGGTGGAGTGGGCACGAGCGACGGTGTTCGGGAACGGCAACGGTCGTGCGGACGGTGGAGCCCCGCTTGGAAAATCGACGAAGAGTCGGCGCCCTATCCTACTTTCCGAACGCCTCCTGGATCGGTTTACTATGGCTCCCACTCCGCCTTCCCATCCTGCGTCACTTCCAGATTCTTCCAGTGCTACGAAGGACAATGGGATTCCCGTTCTACCGGTTCATCAAAAGCCAAACTCCCACCTTTCGCTACTCACTATGGTCGACTGCTGGGCCCACTTAAATATCAATCCCTTCCATCTTCTGTCCCTCGCTGCGACCCCCATATTCAGACTCTTTCTCGGTGTCGCCGAGCACTTATTCAGAAATCAGGCTTTACTTGATGCTGCTTTACACAGTGCACTCAACGACACTTGGCACCGGGATGATGACCTCGAATTTGTGGTCGCTGCCCGAGGTTGGAGTCAGTGCGTCAGTTTTGGGAGCTTCGAAGTGTATCGAAAACGATTCGAGGCCACGAGAAGCTTCTTTGAAGAACGGTTCCCCGAGGCCAATGCTCGTGGGGGAGAGATGATCAAGGCCATTATGGAGAGCGAAGCAGAACGGGAGAAAGACGAAGAGTCTGACTCGTCTTCCGGATGAGTTAGACAATGACTGCGATGTACAACGATATGGATGGTACAAGTGATATGGATGATACTAGATATGGTACAGATAATACAGATATTTGCAGCGGCTAACTATCCCTTGTGTCATAGTTCCTGGTTGTACTTCGCTGCGATGGCATCTTTAGCCTCGTCGCCCAATATCTTCAGCGTCTTCCAGCTGCTGCCCGTTCCTCGCCTGACTTGCGGGACGTCGAAATAACTATCGGGGGAGCCAGGGGATTCCAGGCCTTTGCAGTTATCCACCATCGGCGAGAACGGTGTACGCGGCGGAGTGGTGAACGGATTGAAGTAGGCGCTGTTCATCCCCCACTGCGTGTCGGCAGACGCAGGAGCAACAGAAGAAGGGAACTTCGTCGTGTGCGGGGCCGGCGACCACCCAGTGAGCCTGGCATACCCACTATCCTCGACATTCTCATCCGGCTCGCTTGCCGAAAAGAGATTGCCTAGTGATGCTCGCTTCAGGAGACGCAGTCTGCCTCCGCCCTGGGCGTTAGTGTTCGTGTTTGTGGCGGCGTCGGCGCATTTGCTGGCCGGGTGGCTGACTTGTTTCTTGATGCCTTTTGATTTCCAAGAACCGAGCATTGCACCGAATATGGAGGCGCGGCGGCGGATGACTTTCTTGGTGCCTCGCGGACGGGGGTCGGAGGTCAGGAATGACATTCCGCTCTGCAATACCAACGGCGGGGGCGCCTCCTTGCGGCGGCGGATCGCTGGAGACGATACCGATATCGCACTGGTGATGACTGGGACGTCGATGTCCTGAGAGGGGGAGCCAGCAGGTATCGGTGGATTGGGTACTGTGTTCTCTTCGCTCATTGCTTGAACTTAAACTTGGCGGCGAGTAATACCGGGGGGCGAGAAATGCTGGGAATCTAACTGGGGACCTCCGATGGTGTCGACTATGGTATCCCCAGAGCCTCTGACTATTTATGCGTTGATGAATGTGGCCAAAATGGTCCCAAGAGAATTATGGCCACTACCCCAGAGTCAGCCACCTATTGTCCCAGGCGGCTGTGGCTGCTGCCTTCCTGGATTCAAGTGGTCCACTGGGACCACTGGATGACAATAGCTCTCGTTGGTCCCAACTGAGGCAACAAGCGGTGGCTGACCAAACCACAGAGAATAATAACATTCAACACAGCGTCTATGACATGAATAACTATAGAACAGTAAAATATTCAAGTCCATTCCAGTAATAATAACCGCTAAAAATACGTAAGATCGGAATCAAGATGGGATCATCTTCTCGATGCCTTCCTTTCAGCTTCACGACATCGTCGACTTGCTTTTTCAATTACTTGGACCCAATCTTTGGGACTGTGATTAGATCAAGGGGAGGCGGCTACGAGTATGCACTTACCGAGACAATCACGAAGGGAACTAGCCTTCAAGCCGATGGTCTCTCCGCCTCTTGGATATGCAAGGGCCAGTTGGAAAACAACATCGTCTAGGTTCGTCCGTTAGTATGTCTCCTAGTTCCGCCTCACAATACCCTGACCTTTGGCGTGTCTGACTTGGACCTCCGCAAGGGGGATCGGCTATTTGTTATCAGTGAGTCCGAAACAATCGTCCGTCAATGAGCACTGACCATCCGATAGAGCGACTTGATACCATCGTCTGTCAGGACTAAGACGTCGTTACAGAGGAAAACCTGCAACTTCCGCCTGCTTTTCGACTTTGTGAGCATGCCCTCTTTCACGAGTCTCCGATCCCCCATGTACCGAGTCGGCGCCGTCAAGTCAAGGCGTCTGTGAGTTGGGAGCAACGATGAGGCAGTTACATGTAGAAGAGATGTTGTGTATACGTACCCTTGTCCGATCCAGAGGTTCTGAGAAATCCGTTTCAGTGTTTCTCTCCCTTCTTGATACCGTATACTTTCATTGATCTGATTGAGGATGCTTTCTGCGATATCTAGAGCCCTTTGAACAGACGCCCGTTCCTCAGCGGCCTCGGTATGATGGAGGATCTGAACGCTATTCATTATCTACGACCTCACATAGTCGACGTTCATACCTGTCGTATCAGTAAGGGGTATTTCGTAACTCGTTGCACTGATATGATAGTTAGGCGCGAACAAAACGTGCGACTCTGTACTTACTGGGAGCGAGGAGATAGCTTGACAAATCTAAATTACGAACAACAGGATCGTCTCGAAGATGCTGAGAGGACATAAGAATACGACGGAGGGTCGAAGCGAGGCACTCACTTGTAAGTGAGCAGCAAGCTCTGGGTTCGCCAACCTCAGGGACTGCAAAACTTGAATGGCGGTAGCCTGATTAACGCAGTATTCCTTAGAAAAGGGTCGGTTAGTCGTCTTGGCGGGTTTGACACAAGGAGTACCATGTAGACGCCCATATTCGGCATATGAGACTGAAGAATATCCCCAATTTTGTCGATGTATAGACGACATTCCTTCTGGCGTTCTTCAAGCACGCTCATGAAGGACTGTTAAATTATTGTCAGGAGGGAATTCAACCCTGAAGAGATACTGACAGTATTGGTGAGTAATATATCTTCCACATTCGCAAACACAACGGTCACAGCTTTGGTATCCAGCAGAGGCAGCATACTTGAGTAGAACACCTAGGAACGCGCGTCAATGGGAAATCTCATAGTCCTGATGAAGTAGTACCTCAACGATCAGTTGTAAATCTCGAACGTACGTAGATTCAGTAGTGATGAACTCGAAAATTGCCTGTGAGCAAATATTAATGGCTAATCAGATGAACGGAACACGCTCTGGTACCTCTTGTCGCTTGCGTTCGTTGGGAGGAATCCCTTGCAAGGCGGTTTTATCGATGAGGCTGGCCCATGACTGGATTCCCTGTTAGCTCGTCATCCAGAGGAGGGACGATTACGCACTGTTCCAAATGCTGGGCTAGGAGATCTCGCAGGGCTATCCGGTGAGAGTTGTAGAATAGGGGCAGAAATGACAGGTCGTTCGGACTCAACGGGAGTCTTTCTACCTCCTATGAAAGGCAGGAAGTTTGAGAAGGATCGACCTTCCCCTTCTCGTGACGGGCTCGTGGAGATAGTTGCTGTAGATGTAGGAGAACTAAAAGTGTCCATAGAAGAAGTTGATGCCACAGATAGTCTGTTCATGTTTACACCGCCATGAGACTGCCTGAAGTGTTCGTAGCGATCAAAGGCATCAGCTACTCGGATGGACGGGTCATTCTCATGCTCCACGGCCGGCACAGCAGGGAGATCTTTATTGGAAGTGATTGAATCGGTCCTCCTCGGCGCAGCTGGGGGAGGGCGACGTCTACGAGTAGAACGACGACGAAGGAGCGGAGGGGGAGATTCAACATCTTTTGTTACAATGAGTCCAGCAGCCTCGAGAACAAGCTGACGTTCATGTTCCCGAGCTTCGCGTTCATGAGAACTCTCTGTTTCACCGTCTGATCCAGTTCCGTCAGATGCTGAATAGTATTGGTCATCCTCTGACCCATCGGAATCCTCGTCACTTGTTGATTCATTGTCTTGCTGTCCATCCGCGGCATCGTTGGGATCACTACCTCTCACCTCCAGGGAGCCTACTGGCACTGGCGAAGAAATGTCTGGCAGGCTTCTTGACGATGAGCCTATAAGGTCAAAGAAGAAGTAAATCCGAAAATACGATTGATCATTGACGTGTACATGTCAGCGAGATGGCATGGGGAAAACAAAAAGAAAGATATTCAGTCTGTTGCCGACCAAGTGTGAACAAATCACTCAAGGGGTAGTGGAAGTGACTAACCCTCCAGAAGTTCTAGGTACGACGCAGGGGCCACAAACACCTGCCCTCGGCTCTCCACCTTCCACCACTCCGGCTCGATGGTATCAATTACGACGAGCTCGTCGCCGGCGTCGAAAGACAGCTCGTCTAAATTACTGCCTTCATATGCGTAAAGGGCTTTGGCTTTGACTAGCAAAACAAAAATCAGGCTGAAGTCCCAAGGTTGCATAGGCGGCACTCACTCGCCGTAACGGTCTCGACGTAGGTTTTTGGGAAAAGTCCCGACTTGCCATCCTTAACTATGGTTCCATACCACCAGTCACCGCCCGATTTGGAGGGGTTAGCGATCAAGATGAGGTTCTCCCCAAAGGCTATGAAGATAGGGATGAGCAAGATGAATAAAAAGACAAGGAGCTAAAACTCACTTAAGTCATCGCCGCCGTCTCCGGTGTAAGGATATAGGGTTCGAACTCGATGCTCTATTCCTCCTCGTCAGTGCTGTCCATATATGCTAGGATATACTTACCAACTGTCTTGTCAATGTCAGCTAGTGGATCTCGAGGGGAATCAACAGGAAGGTCAACGAATATCTGGGGGATAGATGCAGGCTGCTGTGTGGCCACTTCCTCATCCTCATCCTCTTCGGTAGTTGAGGGTAAACGGTCAACGCCTCGTCCCTGATCTGCCGCCAAGCCAGCATACCAATCCACGGATTGCCTATTGGAGTTCGTGCTTCTTGAAGACCCTCCGTCGGTAACAGGGATCATTGAACTCGTCTCCGGCAGCGCCGGGGGACTCGCAGGACGCGGTGAGGCGTTGATATGAGCAGGGGGAGCATCATCGCCCAATATTTTCCCCAAGACCATAGGCTGACTTTTATCGACGGTTTGGACAGAGCGTAATTTCGCACCACCTTGGATTGATTTGAGAAGAGCACTGACGTCTCCTGGCCCAGAAGGTGCTGCATTTGGCGGAGATATCGTTGGTGCTTGTGGGGCAACTGGCGGGGCTGGTGCTGGTGGCGGGGGAGGCGCGGTAGGAACCTGCGCCGGGGAAGATATCCTGGGAGCAGCCGCAGCAGACATTGCAGGGGTTGATGAAGGTCTTGAAATCCCGCCGCCGCCACCGCTCCCGAACAAAGACTCTGCAATCTTTGCTCTCGTGTCCCTTGACTTCGTAATCTCGTCATCACTACTATCTTCGTCGTCATCATACTCCTTGACCGCATCCCAGTCTTCCCCATCGCTATCACCTGGGGCCGTGTGGTACGCAGTCTTGACAGGGACAGGGGTAGGCGTCTTGGGGGGAGTGGGCACAGAAGGAGGAGGAGCAGTTTGAGGTCTAAAGAAAGGATTCGTATTGCTTGCGTTGGTGGGCGGCAGGGCGGCGGGGGATGGTGCCCCACCTTCCTTCCTGAAAGGGTTGGTTTTTGATGCCACGCTGGGTGTGCTGGCCGCAGAAGCCACCGTTGACCGTGGCGTGACCGAAGGGGGAATGGGTGGTGTAGGAGATGGCGGTGCAGGAGGTGCAGGAGGTGGCGGGGGCGCTACAACAACTGGGGGAGACATAATAGCCGGACTTGCAACTGGGGTAGCCTTAGCAGCAGCGATTCTTGCCTTGAACCGCTCTTCTTCAAGCCGAGCCTCCTCCTCCTCCCTTTCTAACTGACGTATACGCTCAGCCCGTGCCTCACGTTGTTTACGGAGCGCCTCCTCTCTCGCTCGCAGGGCCTCTTCTTCCGGATCTACCGTGGACACTACAGGCGGAGCTGGAGGCCTTGGTGCGGGTGGTGCAACAGGTGCAACAGGCGCGGGTGGAGGCCTGGCAGCGGCCTTCCTGGGCGGTGGGGGTGCAGGAGCGCGGGGCTTCGGTTGCGGAGGTGTGGGCTTATGAGTAGGCGTGGGCCTGGGAGGAGCGGCCGTAGAAGTAGGGGTGGGGGTTGGAGGGGCGGGTGAGGGCGTGACTTTGCCCTCCTTCAGAGCTTTCTCGTTCTCCAACCTCTCCCTCCGCAATTGTTCTCTCTCAGCAGCCTTTTCCTCCGCAATCCGAGCCTTCTCCTCTGCTTCCTTCCGCTCCTCAGCAAGTCTCTCTTCAACGGAAGTGTCAACCGTAGGAGACGCTGCTGTGGAGGGAGAGCTGATGCCTAGCGCTTGCATACGAGCTTGAATACGGCGCTTGGCTTCGTTGCGGGCGAACTCTTGACGTTCTGCGGGTGTCATGTTCTTGGTTGGTGCTGGCGAAGGAGTGCTCCGACTGGAAGTAGAGGGAGGAACTGATAGAGCACTGGTAGTCACAGGAGGGGGAGGGGAACGGGCTTGCGCTGGCGGAGTACGCGTCCTGCTCACTTCCGCATCTCTGTCCTTATATCGATCAACAGGACTGTCTCTGCGATAGCTACCGCGATCATAATCTCTTCCTCGGTCGTCTCTTTCACGGTCACGACCATAGTCGTAGGCGCCTCTAGAACGATTCATCTCGCGCTCTTCCTCAACCCGTCGGGACGAGTACCTATCCCTGTCATCGCCGTAGTCAAACCTCCCACTTCGCTCGTTCGCCCTATCTCGTTGATGGCGCCACTCTCTTTTCTCCTTCTCTCGCCTTTCCTCTCTAGCTTCGATTTTCTTCGCGACCTCAGGTAGACGGTGATGCAACAAATCGACTAGTTCTCGTTCCAATCTCCGGCGCTCCTCATTCTTGGCTTCAGAGCTTGGGCCATGTGAGACGTATTCAATGTCGTCCTGCAACCGTTTGGCCCGATACTCTAGATCAGCCATCTCACGATCCAATGCGTCATCCTCAGATGTGCGCGTCGCATCTGCTTCAACGCTACGATCGAGTAACTTAGCAGTGTTCTGAAGCCGTCGCGTCAGGTCTGATAAATTTGAAGCCGGGCTTTGGTCGTCGCGAGTCCGTACGTCGCTGCGATTGACGTGCCGAGATCGAGGCTGATAGAAACCGCCAGCTGGTTCTGAGTCATTGTACTTGTATATCGTAGCATCTCTACCTGTGCTTAGTGTGGAGCCGGAGCCATTGAACGAACGATCTTTAAGCCTCGAGACAGGAGAGTCGATACTAGAAGGCGAACGGGAACGTGTTTCGTCTTTGAGAAGGTCCTTGAGGAAGGAAACCGACCCTTCGAGGTCACGGGCTGATGGCGGAACAAGTTCAGGCGGTAACTGCTCCGGGATGGGGATTCCGTTTAGCCTGCGATGTATGAGCCCCATCGCAACATAGAATTCCTGCAGGTTCAGCTTCCCTCGGTCATCGACGTCTGCGAGCCCCCTGGAGAGCGTAAAGTCAAGACAACGTTGAAGATCTCAGCGGATGCATACCAGATACGCGCCAAGTCGTCCTTGCTCAACCCACTCTGGCCAAATATCTCAAGCGCAACCTGCCCACTAATAAAACCGCTCCCTGAGGCATCCCAGCTCCGAAAGATCCTGTCGTATTCCTTCTTCTCGGCCTTCGTCAAGGCCCAAGACGTCGGAGGTGCGGCGGCCCCGTACTGTTGCGTTGGCATGGGCTGCAGCGCACCAGCAAGCTGCTGCGGTGGGAGCAGAGGTGCACCGCCTGGGCCATAGGGCGCGGATATGTTCGCCGGCATGAATGTAGTGTAAAGCGGCTGGGATGGGTAGAGCGGCATCCCGCCGGTTCCATACTGCGAATACATTGTGAACGTCGTCTATGTCGATGAGCAGGTGGGTCACGGTCAGGTCACCCGAGCGTACTTTATCATTAGTCAGATATTCTCACGGACTATACCAAGGGTGGCGCAGATTTCCGTTTCCGTGTTTTCGCACTAGACCGCCCTTGGAAGAGCAGCATCGTGCGTAGACTCAGAGGAGTTCAATATCAAAGACAGTAGATACAGTCAAATTGTATCCGATTTCCTACTAGCGAACTCGAAGTGGCTTCGTGTAGTGGCCACGGAACTGACCAGTTCAAGCAACGCCATCGATCAAGATTTATCTGTTTGGGACAATATGGGTACTGATGAAGATACAATGCCCGGTATATGTGCACTCGTTTCTGGCAAGATTGGAGTGGCAATCAACACTCAGATAACTCACAATGAAGTGGCGAAAGATATGATGGAGGGAAGACTTCATTCGACAGGTTAGAAATTAGCACGGCGCAAAGAACAGGGCGGCCAAGTCGACATGTTGCCCGACCTTGTAATGAGCCCAACTGTTAATAAATAGTCGATGAGTCGATTGCAATGTTAACTGTCCTGCCGAAGAACGAAGCCCAACTCCGAAGTACTCAACCATGGAAGTAGTGATCAATGCGTCTTAATTCAAGTTCCTAGGTGTACCGAGACCTTCATATTTGGTTGTGTGGAAGCCGTCTATATGGATGTGAACTGATAGGTCACTTCCCTAAACATGCACCTGCCATGGAGATGCATCAGCGTAGTTCCCATCGTGCCAGCGAATGTACCTACCAAATTGACAGATTGGATCAAGAGCCTGAGCATTGAAATCGGTGAGTATACTTGCCCATCTCAACGATAGTCAGACGTATGATGCCCCCGGCCAATGGTTTGTTTTGATCGTTATTCAGAGTGATGCCGGAGTCAAGCCTTCCGCAATCAACGAAAGCGACTTCAGGAAAGAATAGGACAGCCAACCAATAGTCCTTGAATGAGGCTCGGTCATTTACAGCCATCAGAGAATACAGAGCTGAAATAATGATATTGAATCGGTGGAGATATGGAAGCGATTGGGCTATAATTTGTGTGAACTACCGGCTCTACTCCCTTCCATCCAGAAAAGAGTGGTGACTTTCATCGAGCGCTGAGACGTCCAAAACGTTGATGTACGCCCTGTTTTGGCACAAACCGGCCGTAGAGAAAGATAGGCAGCGGTTGGTAATTTGACTGAAGGTGCGATGAGAAGGTGTTCTACCACTGCAAGGCTTTTTAAAGGCAGTTCATATTTATATCTCACACGATCACGGGGAGGCTCTCCGGTCCGTCGACGTCCAATCAGCTTGAAGAGCAGCAAAGGCTCTGGAGGAAATTTCACTAGTCTTGATATGTGCACGACCAGTGTTTCCAATCTATTTCTTTACGGGCAGTAGTTGTGATAAGTTCCACGAGACGGATATGCGAGTATAGGTTACACGACGAAAGAGAGTGTAGGCTACGTTTTTAATTTGAACCTGTCGGAATATAATACAGTGTCTCAGAGCTTGACCTGGCCGGTGACCCTCTGCGCCAGCAACCGCGATCCACCATCAAGGATAATGTGGTTACCAGTGACATGTGCCGAAGCGGGAGACACAAGGAACAAAGCCGTGCCAGCCATGTCCTCCGTATGACCATAGCGGCCCGTCGGCTGCGAGGCAGCAAAGTTGTCACTTCCAACAGTCTTGAACCCGAAGGCCGTCATTTTGCTGGGGAAAAGTCTGCGCAAAGCTTAGATACGTGACCAGCCGTCTAAATACCACTTACCCGGGAAGGATGGCGTTGACACTATCGAAATCGAGTTAAGCATATGGATACTAGCTGCGTTCAAGACGACGTACTTTATATGGCGACGAACGAGCGTGATGGCGAGCTGCGATGTGAGATGGTTGACTGAGGGAGATGAGTACTATGTTGAACAGTATTCTTGATGCGCTTACCAGCTGCTTTGCTAGTGTTGTCTGAACGAAAGATGAGCGAACACGGCCTATTGAATGTGAGGTATGACTTACAACTCCAGACACCGTTACCCGCATCGCTGAGACTGCCTTCACTCTCTGCCTCAATACCGGCGACGGACGAGATGTTTATAACACGCGCGGGGTCGGCATTCGTCGAATCCTTCTCCAGTAGATCGACCAACCCAGAGGTCACTGAAATTGCTCCATCAGACGCGGGATTGCACATAGCCAAAGTAGCACTACGCACTGTAGAAGATACTCTTGACATTGACAGCAAAGATGTTGTCCCAGCCCTTCGCCTCGGGGAAATTGTCGAAGGGGGCCCCCCAGGTGATTCCGGAATTGTTCACAAGAATGTGCAGCTTAGATTCGCGCTTTCTGAACTCGGCTATGAGGGCGTCAACCCCGGCTTTCGACTATTTCGGTAAACCCGTGAGTAGAAGAGTATGTACAGCACGACCAAGTAGACGCACTGCAATGTTGGCGACGATGTAGTCCACCTTCCCAGCAGACGTCTTGTTGATCTCCTCGGCCGCCTGCCACCATCCCCTTGGTGAGGAACGCCGCGTCTACCGAACAACCGATCACGTACCGCCTTCAATTGTGCCTCCTTTCTCGCCGCAATGTACACTTTGGCGCCATTCTTCGCGAGTCCCTCCGCAATCATTTTGCCGATGCCAGAGCCTCCTCCGGTGACCAGGGCTACGATATCCATATCTCGGTCAAAGGATCGGCTAAGCCGGGGTTGCTGCACTCACCAATCTTCCCCTTGATGTTGTACAGCGACGAAATCGAAAGATCTAGACAACGCGGTGAGATTTGTTGGCCCACTGAGCCAGGGGTTGCTCCATCCAATACCACGTACCAGTAGACATGGCTTCGGAAGATGCAAGTGAGCGAACAGCGACGAAGTGACAGGGGATCCAGTTTATATGCGACGCTCGCCGGCTTTGGCGTAACCCGGATTTAAGCTCCGCGGCCTAAGCTAGGAACGCCACTACTGAGCCCTCTCTGAGCATTTGTCAGGCAAACATATGCCCCATTGCTGAAGTGGGGAAGGGAGGAGGGGCCATCCGGGGACGAGGCAAACTTATCGAGTTGGGAAATTTTACGCGCGTAAATTCCGCTCGGTCTTCTCCACAAATTCACGTAATAAACCCAATACATAATTCCTGGTGGAAGAAACAAATTCCGCACCCAATGCATTGCCAAGTACAATTACTACGACATCAAGATGCACAGTTGTAACAAGTGAATCCATATTGGCAACAGGCGCATGTGCGATGAAGTAAGTAGTTTAACTGCAGGAAACCATACTTCTCTCCTCATGAACTCACATCAATAATATCTATCCTCCTTGAACGCGGAGACTTCAGCTTCTACCACTTGAATATCGATGATGTCTTCGAATTGTTCAATATCGCTGGGCGATAGCTGGTTGGGACGAAGTTGCCACGTCTCGACTCCAGTTCCCAGTGCCCTTCTGGCCTCGAGTTGTTTCATCAAGCGAGTCAACACCCTCTGCTTGTATTTGATGCCCCGCGATCCATTGAGAATGATCGTCTTCAGCGATGGGAGGGATCTAGCTTGTCTTCGCTTTGCGGGTGTATCACAAAGGACAAGGGTTATGTCAATCAGACGGTGAGAATGAAGTACGGTGACGTCTTTCAGCCGGCGGAGGATCCTTTCTCGCTGGGTATCAAGGGAATCGTCGTTGAACGATTCTACATCAGAATGAAGATGTAAGACGGGAGGTATGTCATTAGATGGGCAAAGCGTCAAGACCGCGCCCTCTGTCTGCAGATCTCCTGTGCCGAAGACTTTCAGATCGAAGAATGCAGTATCCGATTCTCGCTCTTGCGTGGTACGACCTGCCCACATTCTTACGTGAGCATGGCTATCGGAATACTGGGTGGCGTGCAGCATGAATGCGGAGTGGGAGTGGGGGACGTTGGGAAGTTTCGAGTATATGGCGGCAATGACAGGGGTGGCAATCTCGACGTCGGCTTGACCAGAATGGATGAGCTGTATGGTTTTAATGAGGGGTGCTACGATACAGGACACCATTCCTAGGTTTGAAATGTCGTCGTCCTGAATAGACAGGTGGGTCAAGCTTGGGAGATTGACGGACAGCGGGGGTACGGGTCCATGCAGCGGCGCAAGTGTATGAATTAGAGTGAGGGATGACAGGAGGGAGAGATCATTCAGCATGGTAAACAAGTCAACGGTATCAGTGCCAGAGAGTTTCCCTCCGTATCGATGAGACTTTATCATGAGAGTGCGGAGGTTGATGAGAGATGCCGTGGGTGTTTGGAGGGTATAGTCCGTCAAGGACAGATGCCGCAATGCTGGGAACGCATCGGCGGGGAACTGGAGCGCATCTGAGGAGGAACGGGATGCCATTTTTAGTGTTATGACTTCAAGTTGGGGAGTTGGCTCAGATATGATCCGTTTGACCCATTCCGGCTTGCATGACAAATTGATTTCTTTCAATCTGTCGAGGTGATTAAGGACAGCCAGCAAGGTTTTCTCGTTTGTGTAATATATGGGGGCGAGCAAGTACAGTGGCGCAGATTTAGCGCGTTCTAGGAAAAGCTCGACGATGCGAGGTGAAGCGAATCCAAAGATGTAGCCCCAGATTCGAGGTGATTCGAGCGCTACCTGACGCCACGGGCGACACACCTGTGTGGCGGGAAGAAGGTGCCCATAGGCATAGCGAATGGAGTACGAATCATGAGGAACCGAGAATGCGAGCGACTCGAAGATCATCGACAAGACTTCAGGCGGAAGTTTGGATACGGTGAGCAATCGGGTGTTCTTGTATTCTTCGAGGCGTCGGATTTCTCCCTGTATTAGGTTGATCTGGTGCTTGAAAACTTGTATCTTCGCGTCGACTTCCCCTAGGTTAGGTGAGCCGCTAAAGAACGATGGCGGGATCATAGGTTGTTCAGGACGCGCCATAGACTTGAAAAAGAGGGAATGTAAGGTACACCGCACTTCGTTGTCAAGGTGGCACTCACCGATGCCTTTCCCGCAGAAACTACAAGGAAGTTTGAAATCAAACGACAATGAGGAGTCCAGACAACGCGAAATGAGTCATTTGCGACCACGTGATGGGAAGATGGGAATTAAGCCGTGTGAGCGGCCCATACCGTTCATGTCGGCGTTGATTTACAAGTACGCAAGGCAATAATGAAGTGCCTGTTCATCTAGTATCCAACTAGAGGTTCTGTGTTGGATGACAATGTACATCGTAGGTTCCTTGAAAGAAAACATGACGACCCCCCACCACGCGCATATTGGTGTTTACTCCATGGCCATGTGGAGAAAAATAACCCTAACCAACACGCCGAGATTAGAGCAGAAATTGGTGGCATTGCCTGGATCCAATTTCTACGGCGTCGACGAGATCTTCGAATTGCTGGACATCTGCAGTAGTCAGAGCAGTAGCACCCGTGGTCCTGAGGTTGAATTGCCAAGTTTTGATTGCTGCATTCTTTGCCTTTCGCGCATTAGTCTGCTTCTTCAACCTCGCCAAAACTCGGGCTTTGTAATTGACATCGAACACGTCGTGGAGAACCATCTTTGTCCATGAGGGAAGCGACATGGTGTTTTCTCCTCGCTTTGTTGGCGTATCGCACATGATGAGGACTAGGTCGATCAACCGGTCGGCATGAACTTCAGTTACGTTGGTGAGTTGGCGGAGAATCCGCTGCCGGGTTGTACTGAAAGCGTCGTCGCTGAACGAGTCGGCATCCGAAGAAAAGTACAGCGTGGGCGGTATAGAAGTCGGAGGAAAGAGCATCAAAACGGATTCCTCTATCTGCAAACCTGCGATGGGGCCCATGACTTTGAAATCGAAGAATGGAGTCATGGATTCTCGCCGATCTTCCGTGTGATTCGCCCAAACCCGCACACGCGCGTAAGATGACGATCGGCGAGTGCTAAGTATGAACTCGCAGCTGGAATGGGTGAGATCGGGAAGCTTTGAGTATATGGCGACGATGACGGCAAGGGAAGACTCAACGTCGAGTTGCATCATGGTGGTCCAGTGTTTTCTGGTTTCGAGACACGGCGCTGTAATACATGTAATTAACCCAATATTACGAACATCGCCATCTTCAATAGATAGGTCTGTTAGGCTTGGGAGGCATATGGACAGCGAAGGAGTCGGTGTTATCGGCAGTGCGAGGGCATTGACGAGAGTGAGCCTCGATAGATGGGGGTGATCGTTCAGCGCAGTGAAGAATTCGATGGGAGATGGAAGCTCGAGTGCACTTATATATGTGCAGTCGATCACAAGAGAGTGAAGAGAAGTGAGAGATGCCAGACTAGTTTTGCACACATAAAGTTTCAGCGACAGGTGTCGCAACGCTGGAAATGCACCCGGAGAGAACGTGAATGGTTTGGCAGAGGTGCTTTCGAGCGCGAGTGTCTCGAGTAGTGGGGTGGGCTCGGACGTGATCCGCTTCAACCACACAGTGTCAACGGTGTACAGGTCGATTTCCTTCATCTGGGACAGATGGTCGAGAAAAACCACCATGTTCTCTGCCCTGGAATAGGTATTGGTCCTCAAATACAGCGGCGCAGACTTGGCACGTTGCAGGAAAAGTTCTACAAGGCGCGGGGGATGCGAGGTGAATCAAGCGCGACCTGACGCCAATGGCGACAGACCTGCGTAGCTGGGAGCACGTTGTTCAAGTGCATCCAAGCATATCCTGGGAGAACCGGAAGCTTCCCTAGTGCCAGATGTTCGAAAATGATCGACAAGACTTCGGGAGGAAGTTTGGATACTACGAGCAATCGGGTATTCCTGTATTCTTCGAGTCGGCGTATCCCGTTTTGTAGTTGGAGAATTCGACGCTGAAAAGATTGTATTTTCGTGTCTATATGTTCTGTGGTCGGTGAGCTACTGAAAAAGGATGATAATGATTCTGCGGAAGCCATATTGTGGGTTGAACCGTTGGGATCTGGCCAAAGTCGTGCGGAGTGACGGTAACAGGCGTGACAGGTTGAGGTGCCGTTGCAGCCCTCCTCCAAGCTTTCAGCGAAAGTTTGACTATGTACTCATGAAATGGTTAGTTACAGGTTCACGCGGTCAACGCATGCTCTCCCCTTGCATAATAAACTTGTTGGCTTCGCTCGATTGATTTTAGGACACGATCGCACTGGGGCCTCCAAAAGCCATCTTCTTGCCATGATGTTATGTCTTCAGGGCCACTGCGACTTGAAGTGAAGGCATGGTGGGAAATTGAGATCAGACATCCAGCGCCTGGCGAATTTCCGATGTGGAACCTTGGATGGAAACACGACGGAGGCATCGACACCTTTCTGAATCATCATCACTATACTATCAAGGGGTCTCTGACCAGGGGGTATCTGACTGGAGTACACCAGTAAGACTTTCTGGCAACTACAGACCCTTCCCCAGCGTCAGTTTCCCACCAACCGCGTATACATCCCCCATCGATCCCGTACACGAAGAATCGCCAATAATCTACCCAGAACAACCCCCTGACGACGAATCGCGCCGAGATTTCACTGTACACTCGCATCCTTCATACTCTGTCCGTGGCAATCAACCACCAGGAAGCGTCTACTATGACCCGACTCAGGGTTCGTCTTCGCGGCCGTCTTCTCCATCCAGATCAACAGAGGGGCGCGCGGACGCGGACGACATAAAGCAGCAATTACACGTTCTGAAAGATTGGCTTCAGCGAGACGCGCAGGATCGCCAGGCGGAGCTCAGAGCTGTCGCCGCTCGAGTGGATCAGCTCAATGATCAGATCCGACGCTTAGCCGTCGCCCCGGGAGGCATGCAAATCAACCAGTCCGAATTGCGTGATGTCGCAGCGGAGGTTGGTAGCCTCTCAGAAGAGGTCAGGCGATTCGCAGCTGCAAGAGGAGCCCCTCCACCAGGTTGGTTGCTGGCAATCTATGTTCGTCCTACGCTCGACTGTCCTAAACTACTCATTAGTACTCCAACAATCGCCACGGTCCTATGGGAGTGTATTCGGGATGATCGGGGGTCCAATGACGCCGTCGCTTGGTGCAACACCCATACAACCGGAAATCAAGTTCCACCAGATGTTTCTACCACCGTCGGGCAACGACAGCCGCAGTAGCACACTACAATGGGATATGCTGTTCCCGTCAACGTATGCTCAAGGTACAAGCAGTGATCCCTCCGCATGGGCTGACAAACGGGAAGAGGCAGCTACATCGCCTCGTGTGGCCATGCTAAACCTCGTCTCGAAAGCATTTCCGTGGACGATCTATGTCAGGGCCTCGCACCCTCAACTGGGCGTCTCGTGTTCGGACGTCATCGAAGCGATTTCGAGATTCTTGAGCCAGCTGGTGAGCCAGCAAGAGTTCCTAGGCTTCCTAGCTGCGACACAGCAGATGGTAACTGAATGTTATCACCAAAATCGAGACGTGGCGCGCGAGGTTTTGGGTGTTAATGGTCTTGGGGAGGGTATCAAACGTTTGGACTGGCTCGGGATGGAGACGATCTTTGGGGGCATTGAGCATAACGATAGACTGCTGAGAGAGATTTGTGGAGGGGCACCGCCACCATTGACCTTTGCCTTACTACGGGTCAGAAAGTCCTCAAGTACCAATACACCTTTGCGTAGGTAACTGTCTATCATTAGGACTCGGCGGACTGTATTACGATGGTTACAACATGCTGATATAATAGGAATAAATAATTGCTTGCGATCAGGGTACTAACCGACGTTGGGTCTGGCTGGTTGCCTTCTTCGTTTATCCGCTCCCTGCGAAGATAAAGTCGGGAACCATGGGTGATTTAGAGTGGGATCCCATAGGAGAAGTCCTATATCAAACGCTCGTATCCCGGCCGTGGTTGATGGTAATGCATCTAGCGAGTCGCAGGCCCGGATGGTGTCTCTGACGAACTGATCAGCGCAACAACATCAGCACGTCGTCAAGAAGGCAAAAGCCCGTTAGCAAACCTTGATTCTCTCCGAATACCAGTAGCTGGTATGAGAGGGCTGCATGATGAGGTCTGAAAGCATCTTGCGAGCAAGCCGAATATTATCGGATGGCGAAAAATAGACATCCTGGGATCGACTGTTAGCTCACAGAAGGACACAATAAAATTGAACTCACTTCGAGAATTTCTTTACATGCTGGTAGAAACGACGAGAACTCGGGGCAAGCTGCATCGCATGTGGTAATAGAATCGTACTCTGGAAGAAAGGCCCATTTGTACCGCCTTATAAAATTAAGTTCGAGGCGTTGTGGTTCGAACGACATGAGCCTTGTAACAACCTACAACGGGCTCAGAGATAGGTATGGACGGTCCGTTCTGTAGATCACGACTCACTGAGAACAATGCCATCGAGATGAGCTGCAGTGCAGTGAGGTACTGGACGTTGAAATCGATCTCCATCTTCGTCGGGGTACCTACGGTCATGGGATGAGATCTAGTCGATAGGAGGAACCGTGTTCGAACAGACCTGCCGGTACAACGCCAGATAACTGCTCTAGGCATGAAATATGCTTCTCGATAGTTTGGACGGCAAAGAGGTACGCGAAAGCGCGTTCTTCCGACGTGTAAAGATCCAGCTGGAAGCCGGAAAATATAACTTCACGAATGACGGCTAACCTCCATGATAAGACTGCGTTAGGTATCTGACGAAGGATCAAGCCCGTCTCATCCTAGAATCAAGCTCATAGCGTGTACGGATGGGCGGAGGGTGCCGATGCACTTACAGTAGTATCAAGACTTCCTGTCATTTCCACGACAAGATCGTACAATTTGTGCCAAGGAAGCAATAACTTCGCTAGACTACGTCTACGTCGAGGGACGTTGTTCCAGTGGCTTTGCAGCTGAGGCGTGATCACCTGAAGCAACCGTTTAGGTGCTTACAATATGAGTCGAGGGAAACGTACCTTGGTGAAATGACGTTCCATCTCAGCAAAGGGAGGCCCATCGCCTCCTTTCCAACGTTCACGAATTGCCTGGCTCAGGATATTGTAACGTATGCCCATCGTCTCCAAAAAGAATCGTTCCACGACCCACGAAGGCATGAAATCATGAAGTACAAGGAGACCGTCGTAGAAGGTCAACTACAGCAGGTCGCCGCTTAGCTGATCTGTGGGTATACAGATGAAAATTCTTGCCTGGGCTGTACTTCGAAGATAGGCTGGTGTGGGACTGCGTGAATAACTTTGGAGGGTCCCTGCCAGCTGAAAAGGCGCGGAGTCAGGGATCAGAACGGGGGATCAGAACGGTTACATGCAGACCTCCCATGTTGCGAGGTTCTGTGCAGAAGATAGTTTCCCTATTTCCACCCAGTCATCCAGGAAGCGGGTCAAACTGTCCCAGGTGTCTATGATGTGTGGAACATCCAATATTCGGAGAGGAACGCTGCAAGTCAGCAGACGAGCTAGATGTGGGTCGAAAGCGAGGTGTGCTGGAGATGTGGGCGACGGCTCTGGCGACGGGTAGTTGCGGATCGTAGTGAGGTGTTGCTTCGCAGTCGAAAGCAGGATTTGGAGTTTGTGGGTATCTTTATGGACGTCTAGACCTAACATTTGAAGGTAGACCTGACAACCTTGTGAATTCCGAGCATCCACCAAACTCAGAACGACCAACATTACGTAGCCTAACTCTAGCGCGCAAAGGCTCGCGCCATTGCTGAGGAACTACAAAATTGTAAACGAGGGATTTTGTTCAAGATGAAGGCTATCCACCTTTATAAGAGTGTTCTAGCCAAAAGTCGGCCTCGTCAAGTTTGGTTTGCAGATACACCGAGGGAACACCCTCTAAGAATGAGACTTCGCATTTGTCGGATTGCCAGTCTTCCATCTACCGCAGCGGATGAAGCTGTCCATGAGAGACAAATAACATTGAGAACTCACAGACCTCTCTTGTAGAGCCTTCGTTAAGCCTCCTCCATGAAAAGTCACAGCATTTCATCAAGCCAGACATGAACGACCTCAGAACGACTGTTATTAGCTCAAGCGGCCGTTCGGCATCTTCTTGAACAACCGCAGATCGCAAGTAAAGGAGTTCCGGGTCCATGTCACTGAGACGGTGTACATATTGGATGGTCAGAACGGAATGAGGCAAACAATTCCCGGCGTGCCATAGCATCTAAATGATTTCGAAGTAAGAAAGGGCAACGAAGTTCAAAGAATGTGTTCACCTCATACGCAAACGACCGATCCATTATCCAGCAGACTTCGCCGGGCAGCAATAATGTTAAGGGATTAAATGGCGGTTTCATATCGCTCTCGCTCCTCATTCCTGTATCCAGCCTTGGTTCCCCGATCTTAACAAGTAACCCGTATCAGCACCAGATATAAGGTGTCTACTTTAGAGACTTGCCTCGAATGCGTTCATTGCCTGCTGCAATTCGAATCCCTCAGTCATAAGCAACGATCCGTCCTCCATCTCTTGCGAGCCTTCGCTGAAGATGGTCGTGATATCGTAGAAATCGTCGCCGCCTGGCATGTCCAGCTGGTTGAACTGCTCGTCTGCGTATCTCTCGACATTCATCCCAAAGAATTCAGAGAAGTGGGAATCCAAGGAAGACCCCACGTTCGAGCCCATCGTAGTTGTGCGCGAAGAAGCGTGACTGAGGTGGCTGTGCAATTTTTATGTTTCTTCCAAGAATCTCATCCCGCCTCCCAAAGCCGCGAAGATTTATCCATGGAACACGTAGAAACTTGACAAACGCGATACACTCAGAAAGTAGCGATGCTCCTCTCGCTAGGAAACGCGTCATTTTATCCGGTATTCAACCCACAGGGACACCTCACGTATGGCTTTGCGATGCGTATGCTGGCTTAGTCGCTGATGGTTGCATAGCTAGGAAATTATCTAGGGGCGCTTTCTAACTGGGTGCAGCTTCAGCGGGACAGCAGTCCGAACGACACTTTGCTGTATACCATCGTTGGTTGGCATGCTCTGACATTGCCTCAAGACCCCAAGAAACTATCGCAGTCACGACGCGAAATGCTTGCGACATTACTAGCCATTGGCCTCGACCCCAACCGCTCTATTATATTTCACCAGGACCATGTAAGTGCCCATAGTACTTCACTAGAATCATCCCACATTGCTCGTAGAATCCCCATCACACAGAGTTCGCTTGGATACTAAGCTGTCTAACTCCCTTCGGCAAACTCAAGCGGATGACGACCTGGAAGGTCAGGGCGCGTACATATTTTCCCCGACGCTGGCACTAACATCAGATTTAGTCTCGTCTGGCCGATTCTCGCAACGCCAATAATGAATCGGAAGTGAACGAGTCTCTACTGAATGCTGGGTTATTCACCTACCCTGTTCTGCAAGCAGCAGATATTCTTGTCTATAGGTATGCTATTTTTTCTTCAGAAATGAATCCTTAGAACGATGGTTAGGGCGACCCATGTACCCGTAGGAGAAGACCAAACGCAGCACCTTGAACTCTCGAGGGACATTGCCCAGATATTTAACCAGACCTACAAACGACTGTTCACTCTACCCAAACAGCTCTCCAGTACGTCTTGATAAAACCGTAGGCTGTTTTTTGACATATGTATCTATATGTAGCCCCGTCGAAGAGAATCCTTTCCTTGAAGAATCCTGCGGCCAAAATGTCCAAGTCTGCGCCAGACGTTCAGTCTCGTATCCTGTTGACTGATTCGCATAACCAAATCAAGGCCAAAATCCGGTCCGCAGTCACGGACTCTATTACCGGCGTCACATACGACCCAGAGACCCGACCTGGCACGTCGAACCTTCTGACTATTCTTGGGGCATGTACCAATCGTGAAGGGAGTGATGTTGCAGCGGATTATCGAAGCAAGGGGCACGGGGAGTTGAAGGCAGACGTGGCCGAGGCTATCGAAGGGCTACTCAGAGGCCCTAGGAGCGAGTTTGAGAGATTACGTGAAGAAAGAGGATATTTGGACGATGTTGCCAAGGACGGTGCAGAGAAGGCAAGGGCACTCTCGGAGATCACGATGTTAGACGTTCGAAGAAGGATCGGTCTATCATGAGTATGCAGTTAGGTCATTTTCTATATCCACTTTCGCTCTATTATCTTGAGTAGTTCTTGGTCCCCCAGTTCCTCGGCCCCCAGACTCTGGCCAAACTCATTCCATGATCAAATTCACAGCCACGCGACGGGCCCGGACTGCTTCCGAACAGGCTGATTTGCCAATGATTTGCAAATTGTTTACCACGCGTTAAGCTTAGAGCAAAGTGACACAACTCTCAGCTCATCACCACCATGTCCGTCCATAACTCCAGTGATTCCAGCGAACTAGAGAAAGCCTTGGAAGACGAGATAAAGTCCGTCTGTGAATTGGTGCTATATTAGTACCCCTGGGCTGACCTCCAAACTCGTTAGAGAGTGGCACTTCCGTGGGTATCCAAGATCTGATAATCAACGACCTGCTCCAATAACCCACAAATAGATATCTACTTCCACCAGAACAACGTAGAGGAACACCACGATGCATTAAGTCTTCGTGATGCAGTGCTCCGTCTTAGAAGGGACGGAGCCTTCGTCGCAGTTCCTTTATTTCGTGTGAATACGTCTCCGATTGGGCCACACCCCGTAGGTAAGTAATCTTGCTCAACTGGACACTGGAGTGTAGGATGAGGTGGCGAAATTCAACCAGGATCCTACGAGATATGGGTTCCGTCAGAGAGCTTCGCCCAGGTCTTTTCTTATCTTTGCATGAACCGAGGCCGACTCAGGTGGGTGGAACGCACCGCAGGTGAAAATTTGCTGATGTACGACAATAGTGTCCTGGTGCATCCTTTGACCCGTGAAGAGGTACGCCCCATATATAGAACTCGAACTGTGTCCTGATGATATTCCCCCAGCGCGCGTACGACTCAATTTTCCAATCTGAAACCTTGTAAGCTGATTGTCTGGTTCCAGGGACCACGAAGTCCGTAACGCGTGGATTGGTCCCTCTTTCCCACTGGATCTGTCCGGCTTGCCACTCAAGAGCGAGGACCTACCCTTGCAGTATCCAAGCCTTAGTAAGCTCGCGCATCGGCGATGATATATGTTTTCATTGCTCACTATGTGTCTATTTCTCAAGAATTGGGATATTCCTCAACTAGGCCTTCCTTGACACTAGACCAGAGGCGGCGTCTAGGTGACAACGTGGAGAAGTTGTTATTGAACGAGAAGTATGCCGCACGGGCTCCGCCTAGGGATTAGCACAGAGCACATAAGATGCACAGTTACTCGATAATGATGTCTGTGTAGAACCCGTGGCAAACGACTATACCGAGCCGGGTTCTTCCTTGACGACGCAACGCTGCAGACACTTAGAGATGATCCTCAGTTTCTGTAAGATCAAATTTCTTGTGATCTAATCAACTGATCGCTGTTCGGTTGAACTTTCCACAGCTGAGGCTATCCTAAGGTTCTACCACGACCCTTTTCTCCAATAGGGACATGTGCGTGCGAGAGCTGAGCGCGTAGAAATCTTCGCTGCTTTGTCGTCGAAAACGTTGCCCATGTGAAGAGCACCGATGTTTGATTCATCAATAGCTGATGTTCTGATGCCCCCAACGACATGGGAACACCATCTTGTCCGGTGATACGCTGCCGATAGTATACCATCTCTGTTTTACTCACTGGTTTGGACTAATTAGATCGCTCGTACCCAGCAACCAGTAGTATTTCCAAACAGTCATAGAGCGACAGCTCAAGGAAGCTTTCTGATGATCGTCCCTACAATATATAAACTCGTTGTTGGCATTGGCATATCCTGTCTGCACCGTAGTGGCTCCCCCTACCTCCTCCCCTCCCTTGGCCTTTTAGAGCCGTCCTTTCATTTCTCCCTTTGCAGTCCCCTTTGTAGCATATTATAGTTCTCCTGGGTTTGGTTTCATCTTAATTCTTCGTCTCTACTGTATCAATTAGTTCTTACATCCCCCTTACGGCCATGGACAACGTCGGCATTCTCGCTATCAGTACTTTAATTTTGGTGGTCCTATACGGGATGGCAGTCGTACAAGCCATCCTTTACTTTGGAAGATTCCGTCGGAAAGACCCCCGGGTGATCCAGATCGTGGTGCGTCTGACTTCGTGTCATAAATAGTTCTGCCTCACACCCTTCGCTTTTCATAGGTCCTAATAGTCTGGTGGGTACCCTACGTGTATTCTTGCTTGCCATCTAACTGCCTTCCATAGCGTTCTAGCATTCGTTCAACTTATCTTCATGTGCACTTCGCTGTATAGCTTCACAATAGTCCACTTCCTCGCACCTCCCCACACCGTCCCCATCCCACAGGCGCTCGTCCTGGCGGTCTTCGTTGGCAGTATCGCCCATCCGTTGATTCAAGCCACGCTGACCTTCCGCATGTGGAAGCTGGGATGGACCCAGGGTTGCCCCTGCACTTCTCGCTTCGTCGCCCCAATATGTTGGACCATCTCGGCATATATTCTGGGATCGACGATGTTCTTGTCTCTCAGGGCACTATTCGCCGTTCAAGACAAGGCCTCATTGATCGACTACATTGAAGATAACGTATGGGCGATGTTTTCCGTCTTGCTGGCCACCGCCTGTGTGGACTTGCTCACATCGATCAGCCTATGTTACGCGCTTTATAGCTCCCGCAGAGAGGTTCTAAGAGGGTGAGTCTGCCATTCTTTCACTGACCCGGTCCTTGGAGCTCATTGGGTGTAGCACTGTGAAACTACTTGATAAGTTGATCTTTTGGACAATTCGTGAGTTCTTTCTCGTCGTCTAGGGTGAAGCAAGGGCTTACAGACGAACAGCAACTGGGATCGTGACCAGGTATACCTTGTTCGAATTACTTTGCGAGTGATCAGGTTTCAAATCTACTCTGCAATACAGCGTAACGGCGGTGTTGATCATTGTCGCGGTTCGTGATATTTACTCCTCCTTTTTTCGAGTTTCTCAACAGATATTGTCTGTAGTTCAAAATCGCGAGAGACTCGTGTATGTATTCTAAGCCCGGTTTACTTTCACCTACTTACTTTATTGTAGTTCTATGGTTGTCCCTTCTTATCATCTTGACAGATTGTAAGGATTGTCACATCTCGCAAATTGGAGATATAGCTGATCAAGTCACTCGTTAGTATACGTCAATACACTACTCGCACTGTGAGTGTATCCGTTATATCCCTTTTTGCAAGGACCTCACAGATCATGCTTTAGACTAAACTGTCGTTGGGAGTTGAGGGACTTGGATGACAACATGACGATTACTACCATCGTACTGCCGACCAGCAGAGCCCCGTCGCTACGCGGTGGAGGTATTTCGGCCCCACACTTACGACGACAATTACGAACCGCCGCCTCCAGCGACACTTTAATGACTACCCTACGTGGATACCACAACACCGCCAGCAATAATACCTATAGTACCCACATATATTCTTCCGCAGATCAGGCAACGACCGCGACCGCGACAGTGGAGAGCACCGGGATCCATCTCATCAGCGATCGGTCTAGTTTCTTGGCATTGACACCAACTCGAACCCACCTTCGGTCTGCGAGTCTGTCCCATCAGGTATGTTTTCATTTAGTCCTCAAAATCTGACATAAAATTTACATGCATAGCAGCCAGAAAGAGAGGCCTTTGAGATGGTCCCTCTCCGAAGACCACAGTCAGCGCAAGTGTCCCTAGCCGTTTAACTTTATTAATTTATCTGCGCTATCATTATCATTTTCATCATTATGTCAACTGTATCCATAGCATTTACTTTACGGTCGTACATAATATTCTCAACTGTATATCTACATACTGTGCTCTAACTGTATTTTTGGTATTTCCCGTCCTTTTGAATCATCATCTTTCAGGGGTACCCCTATTGTCCATAACCGAGGACGTCGCTGAGCTTCAGGGCATTTACATCTTAGACCGCTACCACCACCGCGGCCTCAGACTCCATGCCCGTCGCCACTAACAATGGGTTCGAGTTCCACTTGATCAAATCCATGGCCTCTGAGACGGTGTCTGTTGTCGAGCCAGATGGTATTCCACAATATGCCCATCAATCGACAATTCAGCCTGAGGTTCGTCTTATTTTCCTTCGTGTATGCGCTTTCATTAAACACATGGACATAGTGGCCGCTTTCCGCGCAAGATCCATTCAGAATGGCCGAACTCGCGATAGAGCTCCAGACAGAACGCCTCAAGGTGGCCGAGGCTCTCGCAGCAAGGGATCTGCTGGTACATCGACTAGGAGACGCATATACTTCCATCCAACAGAAAAATCAGTTGCTTGATCAACTTAAAGAGAAGTTTGGAACAAAATTGATTGATTCAACGAACCTTCCTACGCACAGCCTGGCAATCGATCACAACGAAAAGAAGACACTTACCGAGCAGATAGCCGTCCAACAGACCATCATAAACCAACTAAGGCAGGACATCAAGGCGGGGAAACCATGTCCCAAAGTAGACCCGCCCCCTTGTTACGAGGAAAACCTATCGCCGACGGTGCTGTCACCAAGTTGTCAGGTAAAATATTTCCTTGTCCTGGCGCAAATTATATGCTTCCCTACGCTTAAAGAACGAGGGTGAATTTTATCCTTTTCCTTCTGTGCGAGCGAACTGGAACGACATCCCGGCTACGGTTCATCACTTACTCCCACCACCCTTATCACGTTCGGTCTCACAATGTTCTGTCCCGACAACTCTGAGTGATATCGGCATGACAGACGTTGAAGAATGCGAAATCATTGATGTTTGTGCTGCGTCGTTCCTCTGAACTATGGCTAATACATCACTCCACAGACACTTCCTAAAGCCGGAGATGCAGCTGACAGGATTCGAGCGAGAAACGCGATTCTTGCAGCGCTTGCTGTACCGCTGCGTGGCCCTCCAGACGACCTACAGCCAATCATGATCCCCGCACCCCTCACTCTGCAAGAATTCATCAACAGTGGCTCTAGTGTCAGTTTATTATCGGCTCGCATGCCATAATTATTGACTTCTACTTATATATGCGCTTCTAGTTTATTCGGACGGCGTATGCTCGGCATGCTTGTCTCTCTGTCCTCTGCTGATATAATTTTTAGCTTATCCAACTACCGTCAACTTCAGGAGCTGACGACATCGTGGTGTGAGGAGCGAGAAGAACATGGGTATTTCCTCACCCCGGTATTCAAATGTAGCACGAATCCAAGGGTCACAACAGCCCATCGCTGGAATGTAGTCGATGTTTTGCACAAGATGAGCAAGCCTACTGGTAAGCCGTGCAATAAGCCACTGACGTGCTCTAATGCATACGTCCGTAGATTTCTTTTATCACAAAAACGGGCATTGGTATTACGCCGGAGTCTATAAGGCTTTCAGGATGGAAGATCTGACAACGAAAGAATGGGATGCCTTGTCAACCGAGGTCAGACTCCACCGTCCTCCTTCTGCTCACTACTTCAGTTACTATATAGACAACGTCGGCAATCGTGAAGGATACCATTCTAGCACGCCGCAATTCCTCGCCCCAGAATATCTACGAAGTGACCCAACTCTATACATGTGGCGCTCTGAAGGTTGCCTGTATCGGACTTCAGTGTGTCGGCTTTAACCTCGCCGTCTTCCATGCTCTACTGGACCACGCTACTAAATATGCCCACGCCGCGATGTCTTCTAAGAATGGCACGAGTGCTCCGTGCAGCAGGTCGGACACCCCTCTACACTCTCCCGTTTCCACGTCTGGCGGCGTCTTTCCCTGGGGTACTACTCCCATCAACACTGCCGTTGCGGGGCTGACGGAGAGGATCGCAAATCTGTCTATGAGTTCTCCAGCTCCGGACGACACGTCAGGAAACCCCAAACAACGATCTGCATGAGCCTTGTGCCGCTCAAGCTCTACTGATTCCGTACGCTTCACCAAATGCAAGGTCCCATCTCATACAATCGCGACTTGGTTTACAACGACCGCTAGATTTCCAACTTGTCGACTCTCACGATCGTGACTTAGGCTTCTCAACCGGCCGACCGCTTCTAGATTATTAGGCTCGAACCCACATTGATTTTGTATACCCTCAGGACGGAGCTGGGCTATTGCAATTGTAATTTATATCACGGACTCCAGCGATAGTGACTATGACAGTAAAGTTCAGTCAGACAATTCAATCTGTTCGATACGTCCATCAAGCAGCCTCAGAACAGTATTCAACCCCAGTAGCACGCCTTCATCAGGTCCTTCCCCTGGAACAATCCGTGTGTGGGCAAAATCAATCAGCTTTACCACAAAGGGTGGGCCTGGTTTATTCTGTTCATCTTCGGATTCGTCCTCGTCATCTTCGTCATCTTCATCTTCGAAAGCTCCTTCCTCAAGCAACTTTAGTCCCTCCTTCGCTTTGTCCTCATCCGCTTCGTAGACAATAAGGACACTTCCGCCGACCATTCGCATGTCCACTTGCGCAAAGGCATCCTTTAACTCGGCAACATCCTCCCGAATACCTCTCAATATAGGAAGGAGTGTGGATCGGGTCAAGCCACTGTTCGAGTTCTCAGCCGTGGTTGCGGCGGAGGCTACAGGAAAGAATCGCGCAATGCCATCAGGCAGATCCGCAGGCTTGATCGACTTCCCGTATGCCTTGGGCGTATTCACTGGAAGACCGGTGTCGTTGTTGTATACCTGGAATAAGTAAGTTTCGAATAGGCATCGTTGTTTGTTGTACGCACTTGAAATCCTGTGAGGCGGATCCCCGTCTCTAGGGAAGTCGTGTCTTTGGCCGTCTTGATCATGCGTTCCACTTTGTCTGGTGATGCCGTCTCATCATAGAGAACAGTGCCAAGTTTGATGTCGATGATATTTGGTTTGATGAAGGGATGAGAGAGGTTCTCTAGCACGAGAGAGTGTAGATATCAGAACGAGCCGTTAATTGGGTTGATTTCTTCGCGGAGTATGCGCACTCATCTTTCTCGGAGGAATCAACAGGGGTAACGGCTATCCCTCCCTCGAGACCCTTGCCCTCATCAACTTTTCCTTGCAAAGAGAGCGTACCGTAGAACTTGGGGACGAAATGTCGCAGGGGCGCAAATCCTGGATCTCGAACGGATGTTTGGTAGAATTGAAGCTCGAGAGGAAGCGCTGGTTTGATCAAGAGCGAGCCATCCTCCGTTGCGAGGACGCCAGAATGACCGCCGACTTGCGTATTCAGCGGTTTGTTGGATCCTGAGGGTAGTTCAATGGAAGCCATGGTACTGTGGTGGTGGTTATCAGTTGAGTTGCTTGGGCAATGGGCGCGATTTGATTTTGGTTCCGAGGCCCTGGCCTAAAAGCTACTTTCAATTCTAATCCGATACCGCCATCACCTGTGCTCTTTTCAACATGCAAGGGGACAACCACGACGCCAGCAAATACATTGCTGTGACGCTCTCATCATCGTCTCCATACCTACACAATCCACAATCTCTGGCTGCAGTGCATCCCGCGATCGGCTACATCGGTCAAGTGGGCGGAATGCGGGATGTTCAGTTGCTGGGCGTGTCGAAGGAGCTGTGGGACGCGGAACAGCACGCGATCCTGGAAGCTCTGAGTGGGACGCATGGAATCTTGCGTGTAGATGTGCAGGAGAAGAAGCAAAGGGCTAAGAGGGATGAGTTGTAAATCTCGTAAGTTTCGCTTTGTGAAGGGTGACTTCCTGGAACCTCATGTTGATGTTAAGATCCTCATCGGCGATGCGGTTGCTTTTGCGATGGACTATGAGATAGAATAATATAAGTGGTGAGGAGGACGTAGGCTGGCCAGCCAGTCTCATCGTTTGTTTCGAGGAAATACGATATAGAGAATGCATAAGCAATGGTCTCGTACAATGGCTCATACATTAATCCCTGGCTTTGTACATTATACTCGACTATATACGGCGGAGTGTATAAATACGATACTATATGTACGGGATCCAAGACTTATTCCGCACGCAAGCCTACAAAAACCCTATACAACAGCAAGGAACTCTATCAACCGTCATCTTGACAGGTTGAAGTTTCTTAGCAATCTCTTGAACACAGCTCTGTCTGTTTTGGTCTCTGATGTTGGCATAGGTGGAATGAATATCGACAATGGTGCAGCAAGGGGTTGCACTGGCGTCCCCAGATTCCCCGCGTAGATAACCGAAGGAGGTGAAGAAGAATCACTGTGGTCGTCACGGAGGAGGATTTCTTGACGGAGGAGGATTTCTTGGCGGAGGAGTACGAAGGTAAAGGGCGCAGCATCATCGCCAAGGGTGGCCTTGACCAAGGCGTCGTTGAGTTCTATACCCCCGTAAGCCGATCTCAACCCAAGCCAGTCTAGTCGGCGAATGCCCTGTTGAAGGCTAGGGATGCCTTGTAAACGGGAGCGATTCCTGCGGTAATTGTCCTCAATGGAGCCTCCCGAGGTATCGCCCACATATTTGTAGTCCTGCTCGTTAGCTAGACAGTACATGCATTCTGCAATACCGTTGATCACGTCCGTGCAGGTGACGCCTAGGTCTTCGCGAGATGCATCGACAGTAATCATCCAAGGAAAATCCTCCAACATAATGAAGAGGGATGTTGTCGCAGGTGACGTTGCAGGTTGCCATAAGTGCTGCTCAAATTCGACAGCAAAATCGCCGTAATTTGTGGGATGTGTCATGTCCCATTTCAAGTGCGGCCGATCTACAGCAGCCGGAGGTACAAGCAGCGGGTTGATCTGGATTGTCGCGGAAACGGGGTCAAAAGGATTCACTCAGGTAGCGAGATTTTGTTAGTTTTAGTTGTTGCTAGAGGATTCGTAACAAGCGTACCTGGCTTCGTTGGGTCGGTTGCGACCACAGCTACTTGTGAGTCAAGTCCGTAGGTCACCGGCATTGGCATCGCTGGCACTGGCATTGGCATTGGTTCGGGCCGACCGGATAGACGAGATATTGGGGTACCACTTGGAAAGTTGCGATTCGGGTCACTTGTTGGTCCGTTTAACACGTCGCGAGGGGATGTATGAGGGTAAATTGCCACTTCACTAGGGTGCGCATGTGGGAAGGTTTGGGCGCGCTGTACACCTTGAACCGGAGGTCGATTTTCGAGGTTCTGACTCCCTGGTGATACCTTCAGAATGCTACCGGGAGATGCACCGGGATGTTGAAATACGGGGTATATCATTTGATTGATTGGGCCAGCAACTGTACGATAGGGAGGGGTAAGCCACGGAGATGATGCTATCCCACTACCTGGAAACACCGTTGGGATGATTGTCGGAGTAGAACCAGGGTGGGTGAGATTTGGGGTATGGTGAGGAAACATTGGGTTCTGGGGACCGTCTTCATGAACGGATGGCATATGCGGTGATTGGAACGCTCTGGGTCGTGGGAGTGGCCAGCCTACTGAGGGCTCATTGCTGAACAGTGGGTAGACTGGCACAGGTGGGGTAGGCAGAGTCGAGGATATTAATGTGGGCGATCCTGGGTAATACCCAGGGAAATGATGCTCGGCCGTTCCTTGTGGCGGTAAGGGTGCCCATGGGAGCTGGGGCGAAAAGTATGGGGCAGGTGTATTGATAGGATATCCATAGGGACTGCCAGTGCCGTTTGGGGGGTCTGAAGGGACGAATGGACGATGAGGGGAGTATGTTGTAGGGCTGTAGGAGTGCGGCGGAATGTCGCCATTCACCGACGGGTAGCCGGAGTAGTCACTTGCAGTCGCACCAGCGGAAGAGGGGATTGAGGGTGAAGCAGAAGGGATAGGGGGAATAAACGGCGAGTCGTCCGCGTAGGTATTAGCCCTGTACATCCCGGTCCCCTACATCATGCAGTATCGCCTCAGTGGGACGTGGCTTGGAATGAAGGACGACGATCATATTTACCTCCTGGATCCCCGGCTATCACGTGGCCTATCCCGACAAGGCAAGAAGCAGATTCCACTGAGACCTTTCTGAACTTCTCCTGCAATTTACTCGAACCCAGTCGGCGACACAAAGGGAATGGTTGCACGATACAACATGTCCGAGTCGAAACAAAACAGGTAGAACAGACGCGTTACGTAACTCGGCGCTGCAGTTCTAGTTATGGCTCTATTGCTTCCGACCATTGGCGCCAGATGTCCCGTTTCAACCATCTTTTAACAGCATCATCACCGGATCGACAACTCAAATCATTGTGCAAAGTACTTGAACTCCACCCCTACGTGGGCCACGCCCAGTGAAATGGGGTCATCCGAAGAGTACGCGTTTCAAAATTGTGTGACGGTCAGAGCACGAACTTAACGCTGGTCATTGAAGTCAGCCCGCATCGTCTGCCCTGGGTTACTACGCGTTCGAACCACCGGAACCGCGGTTCATGCACTGCGGCTGCTCGGAGGAAGCCAGGAATATCGTGGTTTGCATTGACGGAACTTCCAATCAGTTCGGACAGAAGGTTCGTTGAAGTCACGGACGCGCTTCTTCCAGGTAATGAATTACTAATCCTTTCTAGAATACCAATGTCATAGAGTTGTACCATCAGCTAGACAAGGATAACACGCAGCGGACGTACTACAATAGCGGAATCGGGACGTATGCGAAACCGTCTATGAGGTCCTTGAAATACGTCAAGCTTCGCCTTGATAATAAGATTGACCTTGCCATTGCGTGGTACGTTGGCTCGGTCTCGATCTTTCTTTGTGCAAAGCAGGCTTAGTATTGATGGACCGGACCATGCAGGAATTTTGAACGAATTATCATGGCTGCGTACCGCTGGCTGGTTGATAACTACAAGGATGGCGATCGTATTTTCTTGTTCGGTGCATACGTGTCAGCTGTGGATACTTAGCGTCAGTAGGCTGACGACTTCTAGGCTTCTCTCGCGGCGCCTATCAAGTGCGGACCATTGCGGCAATGATAGAGAAGGTTGGCTTCGTCTCGAGTCTATTCTTGGAAATTGCACCTCTGAGCCAACACATGTAGGTTGGATTAATACATAAAGGAAATGAAGAGCAAATCCCATTGTGAGCGCCTGCGAAACTCACCGTTGCTAGATTTTAAACTCATGGTTGATTCACCAGTGCATACGAGTTGTACGCTGGACAGACGGCGCAGGATCCAGATGCCATTGTACGACCTGAGCCTCCCCAGCCCAAATCAGCCCTAGGCCTACCCCCAACGGAAACGCAAACCACACACTCTCCCGCGGAGAGCTTTAAGCAAACATTCTCGCGGAAAGACGTCAAGGTGCACTTCATTGGCGCTTGGGACACCGTCTCTTCGATCGGTGTCGTACGGGATAAAAGTCTCCCTGGCACTGATGCAGTAGAGAAGACCTGCTGCTACTTTCGTCACGCTCTTGCTCTGGATGAACGACGCGTTAAATTTCTGCCCGAGTACTCCCATGGTGGCGCCACATTTGCTGAGCAACCTGCTGATCAAGGTGCCTCGAACATGCCACCTCTACGTGAGTTGGGACAGTTGAAAGGGTGATTCCTGTTGATATATGAACATAGGCGAGACCAAGGCCGCTTCGGTCTACCAAGAGCCAATCGACGTTGACAGAGAGCCGATTAATCCACGCGTGAAGGAAGTGTGGTTTCCCGGGACTCACTCCGATATGTTCGTAGTTCTGCCCTATCGGTTTCTTGACAATCTCTCACTCGGTTTGTACATAGCGGTGGAGGGAATGTTCAAAATAACAGACTCGATCGTGGTCACGCAGCGCTCCTCTGGATGTCTTACGAAGCAAACACAGCAGGACTTAAGACTCATCCTTCTCGAGTCGACTGGAAATGGGAGAACTTATCCGAAGTGCATGAATCCCTGACAGCAGTCTGGCTTCCCATGGAATACCTTCCCGTGAAGAGGTTATCGTACAAGAGTGCGACATCCACGGTTTGGAAGTGGGTGGATTAACTGCTCTTTTGCCACACAGAAGGCTGATGTGAAGTACGTGATAGACCTCACGCCGGGCAAGGACGGATTATCAAGCCTGGTCAGAAGATTCATGCATCCGTCGCCTTTTGCGAAGATCCATATCGACCGAAAGCCATATTACCACCCAATGCAACCCGAGGATGGGATGCGTTGGTTGGGCGGGGCAAAAGATCCGACCTGCAGTGGACGCAAGGGTGGGAGGACCTTCTAGAAATGGATATATTCAACCAGTCGACCGCTAGTCAATGCCTTGATACTCTCAAGACTCTTAAGGACACGTCCGAGCCGAGTTTATGGTTGCACCGTCTCGAAGTCATGACGTGGTCTGGTATGTGCATCGACGAGTTTGCGCCCATTCCGCGTTTCATCTAACATATACCGCAGGAGAAGGATGTAGGACTCTGTTGAAGGTTGACAATGTCTCGCAGAGACTCCTGGACGCGATGATCACCTTTAAGAACCTTGAGCATCAGGTTACCGCTTCGTATATCGTTGTCAAGCTGGGCCAGTGAGTATCAGAGAACCTGAGGAATACCATTGACTTAGCAACGCGTAGGACGGAAGCCCTTGCTAACTACATGCACGAGAACAACGTATCTCCCGACCTTGTGCTGATGCTGATTTACAGAGGTATGCCCTTCGTGTGTGACAAAGGACACTGATTCCAATACGATTGCTCCAGAGCCTCTATTCAAAAAGCGACTGGGCCTAAGTACATATCTTCTTGCTGACGGTGAGTTGTGCGCACAGATATGAATCCATGTCTTAAATGCGCCGCTTTAGTCCGATTTCGACATCAACTTTTGGAGCAAACTGTTCCTGGAGAGTCTGACCTCATCCACACTCTACTGAACAGTTTAAAAGACAACAACTCCGAACAATCCTCAAGTCTGTCATCGGAGCTTCAACCCTATCTACAAGAGGTTGCATTCCAGCGCCACGCTTGCCAGATTCTTGGGCAGCTAGTCAGTTATGGTCGGTATTCATGTTTGGCCTTAGAAAAGGAAGTGACGAGCTGAATCATCCTGTTCTACAGAAGATTCGCGGCCCAGATTATTGCATCCGCCGCTTATCAATGGGCTTCTGTCAAAGATCAAAGCAACAGAGGCCTATGAACTTCGTTGCGACGCTTTGATCGCTTTAGCAGAGCTGGTCAAGCATGGTGAGCAAACCTCTGACACAAACCGAAGTGAACTTTAATAATATTTCATTAGAAGAGCTCCTCGAAATCTTGCAGCAGCTTCAGCTCTTCTCAGTCATCGCAGAATGTCTACGCGAAGATCAGTGGCATATCCAACGCCTTTCTGTTTCTGTTCTAACTCAACTAGTCTCTTCAAGTGAGTGGGCAGCAAGCTTGTTTTTTTGATCACATGCTGATGACCCATAGGCGACGACAACCTTATACTGGTATCCCCATTACTCAACATTCTTTCGGAAGCTCCTGCAGATGATCTGATGACCGTTTGGCCTTGTGTCACGTCACTCGTACTGGCTATGGTCAGAAAGGGTATGTCGCATTCTCTACAGATATCTCTCATTTACGACGCGTGAATAGATACTTCGCGTGAGGCGATACTCGAATCGAAAATTCTTCAGAGGCTTTATATGCCTTCTACCCATTTCTTGTCTACCGCTACGCTTGCAGATTTACTGAAAATAGCTGTCGAAACTACTGTGCCTCACCCCAGTGTCGCTCTCAGCGAACTTCCAGGCCCAGCTTTGATTTCAGCGGTAGCTCGGAATTGGAGAGGTAGTTACCACGACAAGGTTGATATTATCGAAGCATTAGCACGGCTCGCCAACAACGGTAGGCTATTTAACAAGACCGAACCCTCTTAAAAGATACTTATGGCATAATCTAGATATCACCCGCTTCGCCTTGCTTGGCTCTAGCGTGGGTGAGATCATTCGAAGAGGCCTTACGGATGTCGACTGGTTCGTCAATGAGAGGATGCTTTGGTTTATTGGGAAGCTTGGCGTTCACGGCGAGCAACTTTGCTGACTATCGCAAATAATGCTAACTGACAATCGCACAGGCATTTTCCGTCGGAAGTCCTTGGATGGTGACATATTAGAGTTGATATTTTCAGCGATCGATTCTCTGAATATTACAATTCAGAGCGCTGTGATGGATACCATCAACGTCTTGATCAACAACAGTAGGAGTTTCCACATAGGCCCTCAATCTTATCACTAATAAGATATACGTTGTAGATGATATGCACCAAAAGCTTCTCCAATTTAATATCATTCATGACTTGGTGGACCTTTCGAAGTCTAGGCCTCAACTGGTAGTTCTAGCCAAGCTGAAAGTTATAGCACAGTTGATTCAACACGGTGGGTAATCTGCTGCACGCTATACAAAGCCTCTAACGACATCAACACATCTTTAGATCCACTGCGCGCCGAGATATTACGATCTGGTTTCTTAGACTCGCTGTTCGAAGAAAATGGTCCGGGTTTCTTCTAGATATTGATTTTTGGACTTCTTGATCGCCCATACTACCTTCCTCTAGGTCACTTGATAAATGACTCCGCCAGACAACTACAAACTGCTGCTTTCGAAATCATTTGGCAGTTCATTGAACATGGTGTGTCGTATATATGTCTGGGAGTGCTCTATATTAAACGACATTCAGACGATTCGCGCTCCAGTATCTTGGGCCACGACATCTTCAACGTCTTGCTGCAAAAAAGCTTTAGCAAGCATCCCCACATCAGGGCGATGGCCGTAAACGTGATGGCTGCATCCTCCTTCCAGGGTACGACCGTCTCAAACCTTTCCTAACCGTATATGTAACAATCCTTTTCTCAGCCGATATACATGAGAGAATGCTGGAACAGCGCTTCACGTCGTCATTATTTGAAGCCATCAAGCAAACCTCATTTTATGCACTATCGGCTTTACAAGTATTAACATCCATGGTGACCCACGGTGAATACATCCGCTTTGGACTACTCGTGTAACATGACTAACGCCCCGGTGATCCTCGTTAGATACTCTCCGCCACGGCCTTTTGGAGGCGAATCTACTAATCCATTTGCAAGAGAAACTTGGCGACCAGAGTAATTACATTATCGTTTTAGCGACTCTCAAAGTCCTCAGCAAACTGCTTGACTATGGTGCACATTTCGGCCTTCCTTCGCTTTTGCGTGTACTAAGTTGGTGTATAGAGGATTCTAGGACTCTCTTGAGCATCGAAGAGCTTATTGAACGGACCGTGAAGCTGACCGACCACGAGAACCGCAACATTCGTCAACAAGTGATTGCAATGCTGACGAATATGCTGAAATTTGGTCAGTTGTGTTAGACACGTGGAGTAAGATATTTATCATACTCACATTATGTAGATCATACACGGAAGAAATTCCTCGAAGTCGACGTTCTGTTTGACTTGAAACGGTTACTCCGAGGTCAAAATACCGAAGTGTCGATGGTGTACTGCCTATACGAAATAACAAAACACGGTGCGTTGGTTTGGTTCGCTACAGGGTGGGGGTTCCTCAAGTGACTGAATGTAGATGATTCACGGGAGCAGCTTCTTGGCGTCAACATCTTACAAGAACTGACCGCGTTGCTTCGCTCTGAGTCTGCGGAACTCCGGGAGGTGGCCGCAAATTGTTTAACCGAGTTGGCTCAAGACCGTGAGTCCCCGTTCGTTTATGCGCACTTTTGATCCTCCTTATCAATCTCAATCAATCGACATGCAGCACGATTCCTTCCCAAGTTTTCCAAGGTCTCGATCCGTGGTCTTGAAGCGCGCTTGCGCAACATGTACTGGGCTTCTGAAAATGACAGTGAGCGACAAGCCATGGATGATGCCAGTCGCAAGGTGGCGTCGCTCCTTTCTGCAGGGGAATCAACCCCAGTGCAGGTTGCCTCCGATGGACCAGAGCGTGAGCGTGCAAGGGGTCCGGCGGTCAATAAATCTGCCATGAAATCCCGAGCCGACGATAACTCTCCCCATCCCACTAAACGGGTTTCATTCCTGGTCCACCCAGCGTCGCCCGAAGACGGTAATTTCGGGTCGCCGACCTTTAGCACCAGGCTCCCTCCTCCTCAAGGTGATCAAACATACGAGATGCCTCCAGGCTTTGTGGATGCCGCCGTCCAATACTCTCCGCCTGAGCAAGAAGAGCCTTCAGCTTCCCGTCACGACTCACCGCCTCAAGTCGGAACACAACCCAACGGAGATGCTCCAGGGAGCCCGCCCGCAATAGTGCAAAACGACTGGTTGGGTCTACTCTTAGGTCGTACTGAAGAAAGCCAGCAACGTTACCCGTCGGACTTGGCCCATTCGATGGACACCTACCCAACGCAACCTCGTCATACCGAAGTGAACCCTGCGTATACGAACACGGAACCACTTCCACTCCCATTGCCCCCCGATACGGACCCTGCATCTAGCGAGGACGGGATTTCGATTTCGTCTCCGGAGAGACCACTGGCGTTAGAGTACTGGGACGAGACGTCAGAAGGCACTGAAGGGCAGAGAACTCCGCGGACGGTTATTGATTGGAGTAGGATATCTACTCGTTCCGATACAGCTCATGTTGGGAGCGAGGCGTCATCCAGTGTGGACCCGGAGGACGACCGAAATCGTCCCGAAGCGCAGCAACCGTTACCGCCGCTGCTCCAACCCGTTTGTGACGACTTCGGACCAGCCACCGAGAGGCCAGTGTCACAAGAGCCATCTGCCGCAGAGCCCGCAGAGGACAGTGAAGTGATTCGTGGCACCACGCCCGAAGTTTCACCAATCCAAGAACATGCTCTTCCGGACGCTGCTGAGGGCGGGGAAGCGACTGAGAGCAACCTTGACGATACCAACCCAGAAACAGCCGACGAGATTTCGGAGGAATATGACGGCCGCGTCTGTGTTGTAATGTAATCACGAACATGACGGAAAACGTGTCCGACAAGTCATTATACTTCATTTATACATATACAGTAGACTGTACAGTAGACTAATAGATACATGTCTCTTAATAGATTACGACCAATATACCTTATCTCGCTCTAATGACATGCTTCTACATGTTGTAGGGATTGCCAATCAATCGTCCGCCGCCGTGTTCTTGTCTCACAGCCAGAGAGGCTCAAGGTTGTCAAGTGGTATACAGATCAGATCGACAGTAGCACGCAGTGCTTGGACCTGAATCATATACCACTATGAATATGTAGAGGCAAATTGTCCCGGATCGTCATGCTGTGGCAGCCGTGCACCACGACCGCAGGCAGAAGGTAGAACACAAGGGTGTCGCCGCCTCCGATCTTTGACATAGCGATATCAAGCTTCGAAATGCTTGTATCGACTACATATTCATATAGAGGCCACAAGCTACCTGTATCCTGACAAGCAAAGCCACTACAAAAAAGCTCAAAGCGATATTGGTGTAGAACAAAAACTCGCAGACATTCTATATTACCCACCCCTAAGTGCCTCGATCTCCCCAGTTGTAACACAGTATAAAAGGTCTACTTATCGCTTGAACGAACTATTCCACAGAAAGTCCCTTAGACTGCGGAGAACAATTACGGGACTGTATAACGCCGGATTATCAAGAAACAGATCGGAGCTCCCACCCTTCACGACATAACGATATAGCGATATGGCCACAACTCTGACATACGCGGACGCCGCTCGCTTCCGGACGAAGGAACAAGGAACAACGCACTATCAGGCTCACCCTATCCTATCGCTATCCAACGGCTGGATGGACGCGAAACACGTCTTCGAACGCGTCGGGGACCCCCTAATCGCGCCCCCTACATACATCCTTGATTCGGTACCACCCAAGGAAGCGCGTACTCAGGCAATCAGAAACGCGAAGATGACGAAGAATCATAAATCAACTAAGGAGAACCTCCAAGCCAACCCTCAAGAACGAGAACGCGTCGCGGGGAATCCCAGGCAGATGTCTATTCTCGATCCCGCACCTAGGAAACACGGACGCGCGGAGACAACACGACGCGTCCACCGCGCGCTACATGATAAGCCATCACCTAACAATCCATTCGCATGCCTGGAAGTTGAGCACGGAGAGAGCTTGGAAGAGTCTGATTCGGAAACTTCGGAAACAGACTATCAATCTTGCGACGCTTCGACTGGCGAGCTCATTGACCGAGATGGGTCTACGGGAGGAAGCGGTGAAGAAACCACTTCGCCCGCAGAGGACTACGCGAATGGCATTGAGGGTGCCAATGAACACTCGCTATCGTCCCCGGTCGCGTATTACCCCTATCTCGACGCGTATCACGACAGGAGCTGGCGGAATAACGAAGATCACCTTCCACGCAATCCCCCACCTTCCCCGGCCCTCGCCAATGAGGACTTACCAGTACCTCTAAGCCCTGGATCCGAACGCGCCAAGGCAATGCCTGAGCTGTTTCGTCCCAGTAACCCCACCCCAAGAGAAGCGACGTTTGGCCCCTTCTATGTACATTACGAAACGAACGCCCTCACGGAATCATCAACTTGCACGGAGGGACTCCAAAGACCACAATCCGTAGATTTGATAGAGTCGAGGATGGGCGGTGTCCCTAGACTCTGGAAGTTGATGGGTTGGCAGGATGGGCGTGTTTGAAGTCTCTGGCATCCAACACGATCTTCTTCATTCACGGCCACATTCACCTCTGTATATACCCTTGTATCACCCGTGTACAGGTTTCAGCATCATCCATATATTCTCGCTCGAGATAGATCCATATTCAACACTACTTGAAATGGCTGTTCACACGATTTACTTGCGGCGTCCGACGTTCTCCCTGCCAGTATCTGGTTTCAGAATTGTTAGGTTCAGTGAATTGATCATCACGTACACATAGCGGCCAGCGAAGTTTCCCGGCGGACTGTAACGGCAGACAACATACTTGGATGGCTGCTGGAATATAGTCCCGCCCCTGCAGTTTCCGATGGCACAAGCGACTTGCTTGCTACTCTTCCAAACAACCTAGAGGACATATGAAAGGATTGAAGCTCGTTGTACCCACTGTCGCCATACCTGAGTGAAATGCCCAGTTGCCTGCGAGAATCCGGGGTGATTGTCTAGTGATGCAGGGTGAGCGGAGGCGAAAAGTCATTATGTTGCTGGATCTCACAATCGTATTTAGCTGGATGGCAGCACAGTGTGAGATCAGTGCGCTGGACTCGAAAGACACAAACTCACAAGCTTCGTCCATCCAAGACTTGAGACCAGACGAGAAACCGTAGCTACCCCCAGTTCCAGCAGCCTGAAAATCGTGGAATTAGCGCTCTGAGGGTCCTGATGGTGTTCAATACACGTACCAGGTTCTCCCCGTATTTGCCTTGCCCGTTGCTGTGCTGGAACTTGCATTGATTGGCCCACTGTTGGGTGCCAGGATACAAAGCATCGCTCCAGGTCATCGCTGGTGCACCATATTGAGCACGGTAAGCGTTGTGTTGCTTCACGACTTCAGTCTTCCAATCAGCGATGATAGCTGCATCCATTTCTCCTTCACTGATATCGAAACCCTCCGCATCGAAATGCATAGGCTCGAAGACGATTTCACCGGCTTCCGGGAGGCTAGGATCGAAATCATCGACCGTGAACACTTCTTGGCTGATGCCGCTGCTGGGCAGCGACTTCGCCACGAGTGCCAGGGTGAGAGTTGAGAGGAGTGCAGAAGACCAGCGCATCGGTATTGGAGTGGAATGAGGAAGTCTGTATGAGACTACTGAAGTGAGCAAGAAAGGTTGCGTCTTTATACCTTCACAGGGGTGAACGGTACGAAGGAACATCCGAGGATGCTTCTGTATGGGAGGACGCAAGGGCCGCTCTTGTTTCGTCAGGGTATGGCGGGGAGCAAGACCTGTGCTCAGCGGGTCCTTGAGTACTTCAAAAGCAAGAGCGCCGACGCCCAATGCACCGGAGCATCCTTCTGTGGTACACGCGTATTACGATGATGTATTACTGATGGAGGAATTATCTTTCAGATCGGTTCCAAAACGTTTTGAACGCTCCAATCTCCCTTCCACCTCCAGCTCGCGCCCAGCAGCTTTGATCCACGCGGCAAACCCGTCTTTCTCAAATACAGCCTTCAGACGCTGCTCTGCGTCTGGCCAATTCCATGTCGAGACTGTCGGCGCGTCGAGCACTTGGCTACCATCGTCGTCCTCAGGGTCGGCGAGTCTGTGTATTCGTTCTGACAACGAAGGCATCTTAGCAAGAAGTATAGCGCGCATTCTATGCGCAAACTCCTCGGTCTACGCGTTATCAGTATAGTGAGAAACGGACTGTTCGAAACAACATGCTTACGGATTCAATACCCATCCATGTTTTGACACCGTAGACAGTCGCAGTAGCACTGGCCGCCACCAAGAGCGTAGCTAGCCCAAAGGCTTTCGCGGAGTGAAGTGCACCATTGAAATCGTCCACGGGCACGTTTTGGCCTGTCTCCTGCACAATGGGTCTTGAAGGCATAGCCGCTGCTTCTGCCGCTGCGATGCGAGAAGTATTCCCAGAGATGAGAGGGGTGGTACTTTGGGAAGCGGTACGTCGTGGCGGAGCCTCGCGTAGAAGTGTCCGGCTTGCTCTCTGTCGTAGCAGATAAACCAGAGGCACACCTATGGCGAGTAAGCCGGCACCAGCTGTCGCAACCTACATTTTGAATTGTGAGAGAAGGTAGATAGACCGAGTAAGAAATCGAGACGTACAATAGTCCAATGAAGTCCACTGTTTCGTTTTTTACCAGAGCCATCTGGCGAAGCTAGAGCACTGTCCATCGCTGAGGTACACGGAAGCCGGAATCATCTCAGCGGTGTGAAAGTTACGACCACGATGGGTCACGTGTGGATCACCCCTTTTCTTTACTTCGTCTTCATTCGAACTTCGAAGCAGCTCGAAATATTGAAAGCCCAAGTCGGATAACTCAGCGTGGTTGATGGATGAACCGAACCAGGATGCCGCCGTCGAAGCGCAGGACGCGGAAACGCACTGTATACGCATCACTTCTCATGGCAAGATACAGAACTGGGTATCCTTCGCCCTGAACTTTTTCGAGGTAGGTCTTCTTTTCGTTAATGTAGCCGACATTTATATCATATTAGAAAAAATCTCAAGGAACATTGATCTTGCACACTCTGCCCCTGGGACTCGACCACTTGCTCAACGGATCCACGGACCTCGTCGAGGCCAAAATAGAGCCACCATCAAAGTCAGATCGAGGAGCTGACCTCGCTCCAAGACTCATCTCAGTAGTAGAGATCATCAAGAGGGAATACTTGAAGATTTTGGCCAGCAGCAAATCACCGCGTTTAATAGGTCTCCACCAATACAACGAAATTGGTTGCCTCGAGGACCTTGAACCCGCAAAGCAACAATCTCAGGTCGCGGAGGAGGAGCGGACGGCCAGCATCCTACAAGCATTGGAGGGGAAAAACTAGTGAGTACTATCTTTACTCGCGGCTAGTTCCTTGCGAAACCATCTTCAAATGCAGCCTGAAGCAGAAACAGACTCCTTATATGAAGATCACGCTGTCAGTGGAACCGTTGGGCGACTTGGCGGACAAGGGAGCCACGTGAGTTATTTAACCACATCATCAAGCTGTCGTAACTTATCGAAATGCCATGGTGTGGAAGCTATCAAGCACCTCTACGCCGCCATCTATCGAAGTCTGCGAAGGCGCGCGCAAAGAAGAAAATCGCGAAAGTTGCAAATAGCGATGCGATGCCAGTTGACTGAATTATACGGATTGCTCGCTCTATGTCTGTCTTGAGTCTTCTCGTGGGAGGCCACTTGAGCCAACATATCAGATATATTTCATGTGCCCGCTTTCCAGCTTTCTGACTGATATCCTTCTACTCGCCGGGTCTCACAAGACGTAGACCCAGCGTTCGTCAGACGGACATCGCTAAGGCCTTGTTTCTTCCAGCCTCCATAACTCTGACATCCAATTGGACGGACTGACTGAAATAACCTTATCCAGGGGTACAGGAATAGAAATCAAGGTATAGCGTCTCAATTACACTTCTCAACTGCGAACAAATGAACATGCTAATAGGCGAGTAATACAGTTATCAATACATGAAAAATTAACATAATCACCTACATGTTCTTTATAGAACGCACTTGCTCAAATCTATCCCGCGCTCTTTTATCAGACCATGATATGCAGCACGCCACCACCCAAATTCCTCGGCCCATTGCTCGTGATCTCGTTGAGCGATATCCATCGCTGTCTCGGTTTCTTCGGGCGCCAGGATCTTTTCCCTCGGCTGAGACTCCAGCAAAAATGGCTTCCAATCGGTATAATGGACGACAGACAAATCGCTCTGCAACTCTTCCCACACGACGGGGCTTCGCTTCTTGATTGACAGGAGGGCGTTGTAAATATAGGGGAGGCGTGCGGCCTTGGTTCCGAAATACAAGTTCAGGAAAGCCTGTTCCGCTTGTCCTGTTGGATACCTCGCCGTCCCGATCTTCTTCTTCATATGCTCCAGGACGGCAGACGACGTTCGTATCGCCATGACCCCCGCGTTGAACGTAAGGCTGAACCCTCGCACGCTGTCCGGCCCGTACACATCTGGCACGGCAGCAAAATTGAACGGGAGATCGAACAATTCATCGAAGTTTCGGCGGACGAGCGTATCTGCGTCTAGATAAACCAGGCGGTCGATGCCGTGTTTATCCAGGCCCCATATGTTGAGTTTCGTATATTGATCGAGGAATCGATAATATACTCCTTTGCCGCCTTTGGGAGGAGCGATTCGAGGCACGGCAAGCAACTCCCATCCTGCGGCTCTGCTTATGCAGAGGGCCTCATCAGACACTTGCCCGTCGATGTATAGGAGGATCAGGCGCGCGGTCGAATTTACTCTGCGGATGGAGTGGGCAAGGACGGCCGTAGATATCGCGTAGTTGTTCGAGTAAAGGGTAGAGACAACGGCGAAAGTGTTTGGATCTGGTTGAGTGGCATTCGAGCGATCGTGCGCGACCGGTGGGAAAGGATTTCTGAGGAAACGAAGTCAAATCCAAGGCAGACGTCAAGGGCGGTCAGGACTTACATAATTTGATAGTCGTCCATTGGGCTGTATATTCGCAGATTGACAAGCCTGACGAACAAAATTATTGTCGTGCTTAACAGCACTAGTATTGAAGCTGTCGAAACAAGATTCTGTCTGAGGAAGCTTTGTCTTCTAGACTCAGTAGAAAATTTGTGATCGGAGATGGGCAAGCGTTCATATGTGTTGTTGCCGTCGTATATCCAGCTGAGCGAGAAGCGGGGAAGGACCATTTTGCTGGGGAGCCGTATCGGATGAACCAAGATTCACGACAAGGGCAGAGAATATAAGTCAAATACTGGATACTGGATACATGCGATTTTATCCCATCTTGATGAAACCCGCGTAGACCGCCTACACACATGAAGTGACCACGACAAACAACCAACGGTGAAACTATGGGACACGTCGCGTGAGCTACACCGCACGAGTTAACACGTTAAGAATTTGCTTTGCTGCGGATACTGCTAGGATGCGCAGCCTGAGCAGGGTAGTCTGAACTGGGAGGATCGAAATGTCCGATTCACATGGAGTATACTATATAATCTGTCACTAGACAATTACGCTGCTGCGCTGGACTCAACTTGCAGATGTGGCGTTCGCGCAGTCGGGCACATTTTGGGCACTCGATAGAAATGAATGGCGAAGAGGAATAAACACGCTGGGCGCTTATGCTGAGTCGGTAACCAAGTGGTAAATATATTGTTTGGTTGTATTACCGGGGGCCTCTACTGATCGCCTTCAAAAATTCGAGTCCGTAAGTCGATTTAGACTTTCAGCGGCACCCAGGTCTGGTATGTGTTGGATTACCCTTGCTAAAATAATTTTCCTCACCTTGAGTGATGCTTAGTTTGGCGTGTGGAGCATCTGATTCTCTTTACTGTCATGGCTTCCGTTGCGTCGTCTTCCAACTCTCCTCCTCCTCATGATTCCACCCCAGAACCTCCACGACTGACGAAACCGAAAGCAAAGAAGAAATCCAAGAAAGATAAAGGCAAGGAAGGACATGGTAAAAACGAGGGATCCAGCGCCAATGCTGCGTATCAACCGCCACCCAACGCAATACAGCTTAACCACGAGAGTGTGGACTACGGGGAGTTCGATTGGGATGCCGTAGAGTCGAATGGGAATTGTGAGCTTTGGCTTCTTCGGATACCTGATAGTGTGAGTCATTCACGCCATCGCCATCGTAGCTATCACGACCTGATGCTGGGCCTCGTAGATCAAACCCAAATATCTTGAAAATCTTTCCATCGAGCTCCCACAAACTACCAAACATTCTACCAAAGTTGGGGTCCTAGAACGCAAACTTGCCAATTACGATATATGGGCAATAGGGGAGGGCGAGGACGCTGATGCCAACAGTCCCGTGGTCGGAGAGGAAATTCGCAATCTTTCTTGCCTCCTGCCTCGCAAAAGCAAGGAAGGGAAATTATTCAGTGGTATGTCTTGGTAGACTGGTCTCCAAGTACACCAGCTGATTACTGACTTCCTTCTTAGCTCCCAAACCTATCGCCCGCCGTCTGGTTTTCTCTGCTCAACCCGCTACTCCGACTTCCAACACCCCATCCGCACCAATCCTATTCCAAAATCCACCGCGTCACTCGTACCCCAAGGAATCACTCAAGCATCGATTCATGCCTTTTGGCTCCCAAGTGATAAGCGATGTGACCCCCGCAGACATCAACAGCCCAGGGGATGAAGAGGCTATGGAAGTCGATGCAGTCTTGGTCCCAGAGCAACCGACATCGGGACAGAAGAGTGACAAAGACGCGCCGGCTACTGCGTCTCAGCCTGCCAAGGAAAAATCCAAAACGAAGAAACGGAAGGTGGAAGAGAGCAGCCCAAAGAAAGTTAAGAAAGTAAAAAAATCCTGATAATTACCATGTCATCATAGTCCCTTCCTACGAAATAACTATACGCGATTCAATTGCATATGCACGCGCAGGAGTAGGGGAAGGATAGCCAGGTAGACTTGTAGACAATATCTCATATAGATAATAAAATTAGCAGCGGTGAAGAATCGACGAATAAAAAGGCGGTGCCGCAAGTATCATCCAACATCCATCGCATCGGCTCTCGTCTTTCCTTTGCCATGACCGCTCGCGCCTGTGCTACTGGTCCACTGACGTCGTTCCACCGGTGAGTCGGGTTTCTTCCCATTCCCATAGCCACCCAACAACAACGCCTCAACCTCGTCTTCAATCCCTCTGAATACACTCTCCTTCGGTACACCCCATACTCTCCCTGGCTCCTCCCTCTCCTTTTCCTCAAACACCGCTCCGACCTGGTCAACCCATTGCCGCCTCGTCTCCACCAACTGCTTCAGGTGCTCCGGTAACACCAACTTGTTCTCGTCGTCAGGCCCTAATCCAAGCGCCGCAGGACATGGCGGCAATGCAGATATTCCACCCAAAGGCTTGCCCCCATTACCATTTGTCTTCTGTGGCACCGGCGTAGGAGCGGCCGCTTCAGAGGCTTTGCCTTTCTTTTTCCTCCCAAGCTTTGGGCCGTCCTTCTTCTGCAACTTCGAGAATAAGGAATTGATGTTCTTGTCAATCGAATCACGAAGCTCGACGTATTCTTGGTAGGCTAGCCGATCACGGGCGATGGCCACGAGACGTTCTCGGCGCTTCTTGTTCGTCGCAAGTACAACACGTAATTCACGCTGTGCTTGCCGAAGTGCGGTAGATATGGGATCGTCGACCTTTTCTGAGTAATCAGGCTATTAGAGATTGTAAGTCTAATAGTCAAGAGATCCAAGAATGAGACACATACCATGCCATCTAGCAGGCCATTACTACGCATCGTATCTCGGATTCTGGCTTCCAAATCGGTGACGTTCATTTTCTCCCTTCGCGCCGCTGCTGCTCCACTACCACCAGGACGACCTTCCATCGCGTCCTCCGCAGCCTTTACGCCTTTCCAAGTCAAGTCTGGGGCGGGTAACAGCGCCGCGATAACTCTCTCCGTCAGTGGTCCGTGTCCCTTCTCCTCATTCAAGACATCAGTTTCACCCAGTTGCGACGGCTCAAATTTAGGATCCGGCGGAGCAAATATCGAAGGATCTGCATCGGAAGGCATCGCCAAAATCCCCATATCCTCCTCTTCCCATAGCTCCGTATAATGTCGACCGAGCTTGGGCATGATGAAAGGTTCGACCTCGTCCCCTGTGTGTTCTAGGAAACCCACGTCTTCTTCCTTAATTGGACGTATCCATGGCTCGATACTGGTATAGAATGTGGCTACGACAGTCTGCGCAGGTTGCTTCAGTTTGCTAAAGTCTTCCATTACCTCTGTAGGTTTGCTTGGTCCCGCAACAGGTGTCGGTGGAAGGGGAGGTCGGGTAGGCAGAAGGGAACGCTGTGGGGGGATGGTGAAGTCGGGGCCCGGCTGAGGCTGTCTGTCGTTAGCCCAATACCAAGCCAATACATTCAGGCCAAGTTACCTTTGAAGGAGGATGCGAAACCGAGGGTGTCGTTTTAAGTGCCTTTGGGGGATGTATGTGGGTGACCGGAGGAGTTGCCTTTCGTGGTCGCGGAGGGTCTGAGAACCTTATAAGCAACCGTCGGAGGATGAGACTAAAGACACCTACCCATCTCGACATCGCTGTCGTCGATATCTCGTTTCCGTTTCTTCTTCTTCTTCCGCGCATCGTCGGCGAGGCTAGGTGAATGGTTAGATATGTCACAATAATCATCCTCGGCACTCACGATCGCCGGGGGTCAAGAGACGAGCGCGTAGATGATGGTGGTATTGACCCCAGCGGTATCGATGTATTTCGAGGTTTATATGGGAGCGAATGGACGGGATTGGATAGCCTCGAATCATCGGCTTCAAGCAGGGGTGTATCTAGCGCCCATAGTTGGTACGACGAGATCAGTAGGTGACGCGTGCGCGCAGGAGAATACACGTACAATCGCGTTCGCGCTTCACTCTATCAATGGCCTTGGCTTTCCCTTTCTCTCGCTCCTTCATCCGTCTGAATGATTCCTCCAGAGCTTTCAGGTCCTCTCCGGCCTTCTTTGCTCTATCCATTGTCTTCTGCTTTAGAAGCATGAGCTCCGTTTGAAGCAACTGGAGCTCGTCCGTCGGCGGCACAGCATCTGGGGGACTCTTGACAAGTGAAGAACGTAGCGGCGGAGGCGGGCTGAACGACCTAAGTTTTGAGGACATACTGCAGACGTCGTGGTCAGAACCAATCCACTGGTTCACCAGGGCGTTCGCGCCGCAGCGTTAGTATAGGAATCGGGGTGGTTCTGCCCCTGTGGAACGCTACGCCGAATTTGTGCGAAGTACGAGGACAAGATGCGAATGAGCAAATCATACCCACAAATGGAATGCATTTCACACGACACTGTGATCATGTGACCTTCAGTTAACTTTAGCTTGTGACCACGTCCCTTGTCTTCTCGCCCTCATTGTCACCGCCAGTTCCACAGCCAGGATTCCAACAAGTTGAACTCGCGTCTACCATGGTCAAGATAAACTGTACTATCTGCCAAGAAAAGTACTCTATCTCACAGTTTCGTTTCCTCCATTGCGGTGCGTTTGAAGGCTGGTCGACGTGATCAAGATCTCGACGATTCTTACGGAGGGCGTCTGGTGCGACAGGGCATGGCTTCTGCACTCAATGTACCGACAAAATGTCGCGCCGCACCAGCTGTGCGATATGCAACACCCCAAAACGTCCTGAGGACCCCCATCAGATCTACGTCGATTTCTCGGTCTCTGGGATGGAATTAATGGCTGAGGTCGCTGAGGGCCTGGGGCAGATTGATGCAGCGTCCCCCGCAGTCAGCATCAAGAAAGCTGCAACAAAGATCACCGCTGTAACCCCCGCTGTCCGACCAGAGCAAGTCCAGGCGGTGAGCAGCCCCGAGTCCGTTCGTCTTTGTGCATGAGGTTTACAACCGTTCAGCGGCTCTTGGAAGTCGCCGAAGGACTCGAACAGCGAATATACCCCATATTCTCGCGTGTGGACGAAATGTCGAAAGAAATGATTGCCCTCAAAGAGAAGATCTCCCGTTTGGAGCACAAGAACCGACGTTTAAAGACGGAACTGCGGGACGTAGAAGCGCTCCAGGTCGAACTCGTTACGGCCGAGCACGAGGTCGAAGAACTACGGACTGTTTGCGACACTCAACGAACTGAGTTAGCAAGGGCACTGACAAAAGCCCGAAATCAAGAGGTGAAGTATAACAAGCGTTCCGCTGAGCTAGTCGCCGCGCAGCAAGTCATAGAAGAGAAGGACAAACAGGTTTCTATACTATTTCTATCATCAAATCATTTTGCTCAGATGCGTCCCCTCGGTAGCTCCATCTGGCCAACAAGAAACTACGGGCCTTGGGTAAACAGAGCCTCCGAAAGCAACCAAGACCGCCCTCATACGTAGGAGATGATTCGCTCGTTGTCCTTGATGCTCCATCGGGATCAAGACGGTCAGCGTGATACTTCTGGTGCGGCTACGAAACTGACAAGAAGGGCTCTCCTTGCTCAGACATCGACGGGAACAAGACCTGGAATCTGACTCGAGCTTGGTGGTGAATTATCCTGTCCCAGGCCGCACCCCACCCAGAGTTTTCAAGTGAATTATGCATAAAATTACATATGCAGTAGGTCTATATAGCAATACCAACACGCCCGTTTCACGACTTTCCATGAATCGTCACGCCCAGCAGCGACACAATCTCGAAGCATAGGACCAAGAGCAGCTGCCCTATTAGGTCCATTAACGCTGAGTGTATCGGCAAGGCGTACATATCTGGGTCGTATTTCCTCTTCCATAGGAAGTTCGTCAACGCCCGGGCGATTATTAAGGAAGCAGTAACGGCACAGCAGAAGAACAATATCGAGAATGCCACAAAGACGAAGGGTAGCCGCAGCCAGCCGAGCCCGTGGAGGATGGAGAGGAAGATGATTTCGACGGGGATTGTGATCACAATGAGGGTGATCATGACCACAAGCGGGCTTGGTTCCCTGTATGGTGCTGGGGAGGATGGTAGTGCAGCGGCGTGGAGTGCTGTCGACAACCGGGACACGAAGATGGACCCCACGCTACCAGGAAGACCTATGAACATGAACTGAGCACTTTTCCGCGACTATCTGCAACGGGCTCCTACCACTGATGACGACAGCAAGCAAGGCGAATCCTTCGTATCGACTGACAAAGAGGTCTAACACTATACCCGTGCAGCTACTAATAACCATGGCACCGAACAGCGGCGACCAGCCCTCTTTCACGAGCTCTCTGACATGTTCATTACGACGTGTCAAGAAGAAGCACGTTGTCGCGACCCCCACGACTGAAAGTCCGACGATTAAAGGTAGCGGGGTATGTATGAAACCTATCAACCCGGTAGAAGTCGCGCCAATAAGCAGCAGAGTCACCAAATCACCCAAGCACGACGCTACTGGTGGTGCGATATTATCTAGGAGCGTTTCAGAACAAGAGAGTAATTAAACGTATATCAGACAATTACCGGGGTCACGGCCGAAGTGTCGACACACGACAATGAGGAAGCACATGAAGGAACCGAGGATGAGGCTTGATAAGCTGGCCGCCGTCATTGCCGTCGCAGAGACCATGATCAGTCTAATCGTCCCGTGAGACTGGGGGAATGAATTTTTGCAAAATGACACGTACTCTGGGAACCCAGATTTCCTCCCTTCCTCGTGAAGGGGAATTCGGACGGGCGGGTGGCGAACGTCTATCTTGGCTTGCACGCCCTTCATTTTGGGTATCATCAGGCCGAGTATCAACGATACGCCCGCAGCGACAAACGATACAACTGCGGCCTGCACCTGCAGCAACGTCAGGTTCCCCAGTATCATGCCCCGCCGCGTCTTTGGATCATCCAGTTCGCCAACATTGGCCGCAGTGCCAAGACGCGCAGACAGGTTCATTTCCAGATTTCCCTTCAGATTCAAGACTACGGGTATGATCATAATGAGCTGGTCGACCTCCTTCATGGCACGCCAGCGCTGCAGGGGCGTTAGTGGCAGTATCCCGAATGTCATTAAGGCCCGCCACGTACTGAGACTTGATCCAGGAGTTCGCCGGTGAACAGCAGCCCGACCGTAGTCAGAAGCAGCGTTGGTGCGCTCTAAATCTAGATGAACACGTCTCGTCCTGGCAAAACACTAACGGCCGCGAACGCACCTCGATGACAATGCCCTTGATCTGAGGCCACAGCCCGGTGGCAAACTTGGCTACTCTTTCTCGGCCGCGAGTTCCCTCACGGGAGCCGAGGAGAGCTCGACTACCCTGGTCTGCAATATCGTCGTCCTCTTCATCGTCAAGGTCGCCGTTCAGATACGATGTGTATTTCCCGTCGAGGGCTGCAAGCGGATTCAAAGGAATTGGCGGTGAGTTGAAGGACTCGCTCTCTTCTGAGATGCGGGGGTTTCCTGGGGATTGAGGGTTCATTTCCACGAAACTAGATAGAGGGAACTGGTGCGCTGGAATAGAAAGTATGCGAATCGACTTAGCGCCCTCGGCACGTGCCCGTAACTCTTGGACGACCAAGTCACGGCTCCAGTAACTCGGAATGAATCCTCGAGGATCCCTTGCAGCACGCAGGCGGCTGTACTTGTGTCAATGTCGCTGCGTACGCACTGTGGCCCGCATTCGCAGCAATTCAATGAATAACACATAGTGCAGTGTCTGTTGTAGTACAGTCAAATCGTACAGCGTCAAGTATGTTCGTATAAGTACCAAGTAAAGTACTAAAATTCCTGTCATGCCTTCCAAGTAATATCTATACGGATGCCTCCGATGCGTGAAGAATCGAGGCGACGATGATCCCGGCAGCCATAGGCATCCATTCCGGAATGAATGCGGCACCGTTACCATCGCGTCGGGCACCGTTCCCAGCTTCTACGTTACCTGGGGCTGGGCTACCACGTTCATTCTGGCTCCCGAAAATCCATCGTGTGAAGGCGACCAGTGGACGGCCGACAACAGAGGTGGAAAGGAAAGGGGAAGCGTTAGGGGTGACCCCCTCGCGCAAAAGTGGGTTTGCGGACTCGATCAGCGTCTGGACGCTAGGACCGTGGTCTGATGCGCGGAACTGCGCGGCAGTGGGCTGGGAATAGAAGGCACTCAGCGCCCGGCGTGCTGGGTCGTTATCGTGCGTGGAAGCAAGGGTATTGGCGCAGAGGCGCCATAGGGGCTCCCATGCGAGCATAATGGTGTGGGTATCCCAGCGCGACTGGCTCGGGAAATACTCCGGGGGAGTCAACCGGCGGAGATGGGCCGCGATCTGGCGGTAGACAGTGGGATCAATGTCGAGAAGCAGAGTGTGGGGATTGTTGGGGGATGCTGCTGCGAAAGCCGAGATATGGGTAATCAAGGCGATGTCGCGCTCGGTGATGTCGATTTTGTGTTTGAATAGGCCGACAAAAACGGCAAACAAGGCGATACATGGGATAAGGTCGCGTGGGTCGCGGAAGAAGGTGTGCTGGAGCGGGAGGCTGGGGAGGGAGGGTAGGGCTAGGGAGGGGATCTGGGGGCGCGGGATACCGCCGGTTTCAAAGCCGGCGGTGTCGCGTAAATTCTGTATATAAGTTATAATTTGCTGAGTTTGCGCTGTTGGCGACGTCGATAAACGAGGAAAATAAAAAGGAGAGGATGAACTGGTAAGGACAATAGTTGTCACTATACCGCAAAGGAGATAGAACGACATGTTGTTGCTGTTGCTTGCTATCTTACTGCCAACGGTCATACTGCATTTATAGGCGGACGGCATGCTATTGATAGCTACGTACGGTACATGGGAAGTGGGGCAACTACCTCGAGGCTTTGCGTGAAGATGGTTAAGTTACTTAGGCTTTCAGGAACCCAGGACAGCATTGTGAAGTGGTAATATCACTGTCGAAGGTGAAGGCTGAACGGGGAAACATACTGCGCGCAACGAGGCGCCTGAACGCTTCTCTTCTATACGGGTCGCAGTAGATATTCTAAACCCACAGCTCGATAGCTAGCTTATGCACAGGTACGCGTCCCGAAGTTTCCAGCCCGGCAGCTGGAATCGAGGATTTCGCAGGCCACCTGGGCAAAGTTAAGGACAGCATCCAATAAAAATCGACGAGTCACCAGCGAGCTTGAATACGACTCAGGAGGACGCGCGCCATTAAAACACGATGCCAAGCTACGATTTGGAAGACCTGCGGACGGTTGATCCAGAACGTGGAGTGCAGGTCGAGAAGTAAAAGGCGATGCGGCGGTTCACCATCTGCCATTGAATAAGTTCTGGCAATTTCAGGAGGGCATAGATAAGACGAATCAGCGCAGGACAGATGCCTCGTGGCTTATCAGCACTACAGCATGTCAGCGGAAGAGGAGAATACCCTAGATCAAAGACGTACATTGGACTGCAAGCGGTACCCGGAAACAGTGACCCATACACTCTTTAATCGTATATATATGCACCGACATATCATACTTCCGGATCATACTTCCGGCATCGGTTGATGTATACCTGCGCAAGTATGGTTGTCATTCGCGCTGACGGTGGTCTATCGGGTATCAGAAGTATGCATTCCATAGCAGCAGAATAACGACTAGCGATGTCAAATATACAGTAACACAAAATCGAAACGTACAGACCAAGGCTAATCAAGACTTGATCAACCACGGTTTATGCTGCAGTGTCCATGAATCCAGCGTTTTCCAGAAGTGGGCGACGATGGCCTTATCGACGTGTCGGCGGTGTGGATCGATCTATCCGTAGAATGGGAATATGCGACAGGCGCTAAATAGAAGGCGACTCACCTTCAATTCGGTGACATTCCAATCCTTGATTTTGGTGTTCGCTGGATCATTTGACCACGACACATAAACTCCTTTGACTACAACACACACAGCCTACAATCAACCCAGCATTCGGATCAACCCTTAAACCAACGCACCGTGGTGGAACAGCTGCCTTGGGTCATTCCATTTGTACGGTCGGAATTGCCATGCTTGACCGGTGGTCATAACACACACCACACGGTCCCACGCGTCAGCTCCGAACTTTGCTAAAGCTTCTGTGCTGTCCACGACAAAGTACCGTGCATGGTGCTCAGTTTCTTTGCCGCTGGAGTCGATGTGCGTGCGTTTGCGATATATTGGAATCATGTCTTCCGGCCGTGGATTCCCTTCTGCGGCGGCTCTGCTCCGAGCGTCCTGTGACGTTTCAAAGCTTGAAGGCAAACTATGAGAGGAGTATCCGTGGAGGAGTTGGACAGACGTACACCGATTCTTGAAGGAACTTTTTGACGTTGTACATAGTGATGAGCGCGGTTGGAGAGGATGAAATCATGATGATGGGATACATGTTGCCTGCACGTAGTCACTGAGCACGCGTAGACTTCAGCAGAAATGGAGTACACACGAGCTTTACGAGCGGCCATCTTGGGATCTATCAACGGCTTAGAATTCCGTGCAGCAAGTTAGCTAAACAATACATACCTGTCGACGATTGCCCCACTGCAGGAAGCGCACCGGCGCCTGGTTTACCAGCGTCTTTCATCTTCTTCAACTTGTCGGCGTAGGAGGCGCGGATATTGGAGAAATTCTAGACAACCCGATCAGTCACCCGCGGCGCCGGGAGTAGACTGAACATACGTTGGGCTTGATGCCTCGTAGCACGCTGTTGCGGTCCTGGAGCTCGATTTCATTTTGCTTGATTTTCTTGACCGCTTCGGTATCCGCGGTGTCGGGGACGTATTTACGTTTGGACGGTGAAGAGTTCGCGTCTGGCAAAGTGTCAGCTATTGTTCGCGCGTCCCGTCGTCAACTCACCTGAGAGGGGGGCGAATCGCTCAGGGTGTGTATCTTTCCCTTCCAGCCAGTCTATTACGGCCTTGCGCTCGGTTATACTGATATAGCCCAGAGAAAGACCGTGTTCTCGACACTGCTTCATGTACTCCGAGCCCGTGAGATCCTTCAGCATCCATGCTACATAGATTGCGACGAGAGAGTAGAAGTCTTGAGGGTTCGCAGAAGGGTCTGAAGACTTGGAATCCGGCTTTCTGTAGCGAGTTGGGGTGTCCTTCGGGAAGGAGTGATTGGGAGGAACATGTATGTGGGTTGCGGCGGATACTGAAGATATTGATTCGCCGTCTTTTGTAAATGTAACGGCCGCTTTTGATTTTATGGCCTGTCTCAGCGCAAGAAGGCAGTCCGACATGTTTCGAGAGCTGTCGGCGATGAGGCCAGCCTGGAAATGAGTGAATAGTTCAGGTTCAGGAAGCGATTGGTCCAAATAATGATTGTGAGAAGTTGCCATTGACTGTGGGGATTAGCACGTGAACGCTACGGTTCGAAGACTGGTGAGTTTAGCACTTTCATTGCCATCGATCTCAACATCGCAAATACCAATTGCATCATTCGGAATGGAATCAAGCTTGACCGAATGACGCGCGATATCGTCCGTGCTATACTTGGAGTTGAGATATTGACTTGACATGGTCACCCGCTAGCTCTCGAAATAAGCAAGGCACTCCAACGGCTATTCGCCGCCTGTTCCCTCCACTTCGCTCACTCGCTCCCCCTTTGTCTCAGTCGTCCTCTTTTCTCTCCGCCTGTATCAACCACCCAACACGCCGCGTCACATCCGATCCCCTCCCTTTGCCTCTCAACATCTCGCCATCTCTCTCCGCTTGTCCTCAGCCAACGCCCTCTCTCAAACGATCAGTTCTCGTTGCCGACTCCAACCCGCTTTCTGTGACGCATGCACCATCCCCGCGACCTTTTGTCGACTGTCCCCCGTCTCTCCAGCTCAGGGACACGACGCAGGACCGCGTGCGTACCCCATTTTGTCCATTCCGTCTTCTTACTCACCCATTTGCTCACTCAGTTTCTCGACTACCCGATTCCCACGTCCTCAACCGCGCCCAACACTCAACCGCGCATAGACCACGTCCTCAATCACTCTCCAACGCCCAATCCGCCGTCCAACGCCCAGCCTCTCAGTACGCGCGAACGGGAAACGGAGAGGAAGTCAAGAAACTAACCGAAACGAAGTGAACGAGCCGGACGGAGAAACTCAGCGAGGAAAAGGGGAAATGTCTGCGGAAATCAGTAAAGGTGCGTCCCCTCTTTCGGTCGAACGGACGCCAGCTGACGTGTTCTTGCGTCAGCGCGCCCTCGGGCCGCATTGCTCGCATTGCAGAGGCGATACGTGAATAAGGTTCCGCAGACGCAGAACGCGAACGAGAGCCAAACGATGAAGGGCGCCGTCAGCATCCCATCCCATCTCATCCTACCCCATCCCATCTCATCCCATCCCATCCCAGTATGGTGCCAAGTCCCTACGCCTACGCCGTCCTGCTTCCCCGCACAGTCACGCGATGACGGCGGCGAAGCCAATACCCCGAAACGCGAGCGGAATCGGAAAGCAGCGAAAGGGGAAGTGGGGATACGAGATACGAGAAACGAGAAATGGGCACGAGGGATGGGAGCGAACGTAAACAGGTTTAAAGGTAACCGGGTAAACGCCGGCGCCGACGCGACGGGGAAGTGCAAGGGACGCGAAATGGGCAACGTTGGCGGCACCACCGACTTCCACTACGTCAGACGGCCCTATATGCACGCACGTCGCACGCACGCATGGACGCGTTACTGGACGCGACTCCGCACTGCTGAGGCACCCAGTGGGGACACGACGAATGGAGACGAAAGGAGAAAGAAGGAAGGGGAACGACAAACGGAAATGAGAACACAGAGGAGAGACGGAAAAGAGAAAGAGAAAGAGAGTGTGAGAGAGAGACTACGTACGTACGTATCGCGCGGTAGCACTTGATGTACTTCGTCTAGCTAATGCTACGGCTCCTCCAATAGTGCTAGAGAACGGGTTAGTCGCGCGGATACAAACGCCAACGAGCACGAGCGCGAACACTAAATGGAACGAAAGGATATCAAGGCACAGCGAGAGGATAAATGAAGGAAGACGAAGGAGGGTGAACGACGATGCAAACCTCCGCCAGGACGACAGAACGAAGGGAGACGGAAACGGCAGCAAAGGGTCGACGATGGGAGCAAGGACAGCACGTACCCCACCCACTCGAGCATGATCGCCGAATACGAGTGGTATGGGGCTCCACTAAACGAGGGGTTATCTCCCAAGACTGCCTGCAGCACGCGTCAGACTGCGTCCCTGCCCTTGCCCGGCTCCACGAAGAAGGTTAAGAACGGCGTAGCGAGGCGCCAGTGCAAGCGAACGGCGCGGCGGAGAAACGAGACGACGGCGTGAACAGGGCGACAAGCGGCGAGCGCACGGGAAACGCAGGGAATGAAGAGGGACACGAGGCAAGTCGGAGGGACACGAGGCAAGTTGGGGAGATCGCGTACGTGTAAGTGCGGTCTCCCCGCCTTCGTTAGTCGTTAGTCGACGCTGACCCCGTGTTTTCCAAGTGAGATGACGCGGGTTGGGGTACAGGGAGCCCGAACTCGGTGGGGCCGCCACGCGCACGCGGACCTGCGACGGCGAGCTTCGAAGCCCAGGCGCGCAGAAAACGCGAACACGTAGATGGGACGCGAAACGAGGACGCGAGGCAACGCGAATGGGGAAACAAACGGCAGAGATCGCGCAAGTTTGGTCTCTGCGTTACAGCGTATCGTTCCCAGCGTGGCTGATCTCGGGCGGCGCGTCGTGAGCTCGAAACCACGAATCGCGACGACGTGGGGATGCGGACGGCGAGCGCAAACGAAGGCTCGCCACGGGACGACTTTGGGGCCGAATGCGCAGGCGAGAGCAAGGACGAGTCTAAGCAGTCCGAAGAACGACGTAGAAACGAAGAGAGGGGCAGATCGGACAGAGACGATGGCCTCGATGAGACGCCGCCAGCGCCGAGCGCACGCAGAAAGACGAGCGAAAGAGAAACGGACGGGAAAGGACAGAAGAAATTGAAGAAAGAGACTCGCGCCCGTCGAATCTCGTCAACGTCGATGTCGAGCTCGAGTGAACCAGAAAACGAACGCAAATGTGCGCACCCCATCGAAGAAAAGGAGGGGAAATGAAACGACGGGGCGCAGAACGAGCAGACACGATGATCCAATCCGACTCCGTCTACCAGAAGTCTAAGCTCGTCATCGAGGACGACGACGACGAGACTGCAAGAGAGACGGCCGCCCACCTGCTCGAAACGAAAGCACACGCTAAATAAACGCCATATCGCGAAGAAATACAATGCAGCGAGGTCCGCGTTGCCTCCAATCGCCGAAATCAAGCCCAGGCCGTGGAAGTACCGCTGGCGCGCATCAAGTCCACGGCCATCGCAAGACAACGCGAGACAAGACAACAAGCAGATGGAGCGCAGCGATGCACGAGGTGGCTCCGATCTCTGCGACCACCTCCACTCGCCCGCCGCAACCGTGGAAGTACCGCTGGCGCGCATCAAGTCCACGGTCTCGTCAAGGCAAAGCGGAGGAGGAAGCGTGTGAGACGGAGTGTTTGGGATGCAGATGGGCTACACGACCTGCGAAGACTCGAGGCAGCCCCAAACGACGGAAGCAAATGCAACGCCGAGAAAGGAGAACGACAATGATAACCACGCACAACACCGATCCAACGAAACGAAACGAAACGAGAGCGGGGATACGTACCAAGGACCAAGGAGTACTGCTGACTAGCTGACAAGAATAGTAAGTCAGCCCTTCGTTGACATCAAGACACAGTCACTTACTTGGTTCGTTATCGCATCGTTATCGCAGGCGAGTGCGAGTGCCAACGATTAAGACGCTAAGCTGCATTCCACGACGATGCTCGGTTAGTCGACGAAGGAAAGAGAAGGAAGCGAAAGAGCGAACAGGATGTCGAAACGGACACATTGTTGGAGCGTTGGAAAGACGGGATCGCGCGCGCGACGCGTAGGCGATACCCCAGTGCCCGGGCACTAATGTCAAGAACACTACACGCTAGATCGATTAGTAACTAGGTGAATAATAGATGGGTTTCAGATGACTTACCTACGCAGCATCATGTGGATCTCGAGTGGTTGGGGGTCTCTATACTAATGTTAGCACCATGGGCAGACACAAGGATAAGGTACATACCCGTTTATCTATTCCCCGACTCGCGATACTTATTCGACGTTGATTTGTAGACTTTGGTTGTTCACACATCTAATCACGCAAGTTAGTCGATTACCCGAGTTGAACGGTGCCGCGTACCTTTACGCTGGCTACGTCGTTACACTGTCGTCTACAATGCGTCCGTCGTCCGTCGTCTGTCACTTCGTTGCACGTCATCTCATGTCGGAGACTAGACTCACGGCACCATCTTCTACAAGACTGTCGCTCGAACTCGCTAACAATCCACGCACGTCCACGCCACCCGGGTCTCTGGTCAGCCTGGTGAGACCCCGATCTTCTACGTCTACATCTAAGTAACTATCCTGATCTCATTCTTCAGAGTACGTCTACCAGACCCTCGTGTTCACGTCTCACACTTCAAGGCCTGCGTTTGGCTACGACATCCAGCGCTCGAGCGTTCAGCGTTCGCTGCGTCTCCCAGTCTCTCACTTCACGGCGTCGGGATCATCTCTCACTTGTTCACCGTCACGGTGGAGTGTTCTGCCTTGGATTCGCAGGTTCGGCGTAGGCATGAATCTGGATGATTCGTCCGTCAGCGCATGTGCTGCGTCGTGTCGCGTGGGTTGGTTGGAGATGGATCTGAGGAACTTCCATGACAGTGAGTGCAAATCTGCTTCGTGGGTACGTGTCGGGCATTAATTAAACGATTACTTACGAGTTGCTTAGCCCAGTTCTAGGGCCGTCTCCACGAATTCAGACATCTGGGGATAAACGATCAAGGTCAGCGAGCCGTACGACGGCGTTGACGACAATGATTACCTCTGGAACATAGCTAGTTCGCAGTCGATGCATGAATTCGCCCACAAGCAAGTCCCTGGATCGCCCTGCCGCCGTTTGCGTGCACAGTTGATGTATCAGCTCGTCGCGGTTGTTGTCATCGAGTGCGTAATGTTACCCGAGCTAGCTGCTTGGAGAATTCCTCCCCGATGATGAATCCAGCATCGAAGGGTCTACAAGATGGACCTCGTGTGAGCCGTTGTCGATGACGTCGCACAAAACGAATACATACCTAATGATCTTCGTGAACAGCCCTGAATCCGCACGAGTGCGAGAGATGTAAGTAATATGTTCTATGTCAGTTACTATGGACGTAGATCTTACCTCTCGTTTGTAGTATCCAACAGCCGACCCCACGACAAACTCGTTCGAGCCCTTGACGCCCGGCTTTGTGCTGAGAAGATGATCCAGCAAGCTATGAAGCGAGCGGGTGAGTATAGCCACGTATTCGAGCCATGTGAGACTTACCACGAACCGAGTTTACTCCTAGGTCCATGGTTGGTGTTTGAGAGCTTGGGCCATTGGCGCAAAATGCCATCGTTGTCGTCTCCGTCATCCCCCGGTCGAGTGTGTAGGGCTGAATTGTGTCAACGGGGTTCATTGGACGTTGGTTCGGCTTCGATTCGAGCCCCCCGATGGACCGGCTGATCTTTCAAGGTTAGTTCAATGATAATACACTCCCAACCTTGTAACCAATGTCCACCACACACTCTGTATTGAAACCGTTGTCTTTTGGTCGTGTTCGGCTTGTTTCCAGGATGACTTATTCATGAAAACCACTGTATTCTTCGGTTGAGCTGACCGGTGTAGTGGGTGTTGTTGGATGATGATAGTCTAGAGTCAATGGGTGCAGGACGTTAATGAAATCAAACTAACTGTCAGTTCGTCGACGAATCGGTATGAAGCGAATGGTCAAGTAATAAGAGTCCAGCTGTAGTGTATATCAGTGAAATGTGATGGCTAAACTGCGATGCAAGCTTACCTTTGACTAGATTGTTATAGGTGAACCGATGATCTAGCCTAGAATGAAGGAAATCGAGCCTTCAGGCGTTGCAGTAAGAATGATAGCGTAGTTGAATGGGGCGCCGTGATGAAAAAGAATCAATCAATCTATTGATCAAATTCAGCACTGTGGGATTAGTGGAGAAATGAACTGACCTGGAGTAGAGAGCGCAGCCGTCGATGTTGACCGCGAGTAATTGATGGGAGGAGTTTCGTACAATGCAGGGTGTAGTACTACAGTTAGCTTCGGGGAATAGTCCACTCATTGCTGGTATTAACTGCAGATGGAAAATGTCAGTAAACAATGATCACTAAAGTGCAACAAAAGCTTACCAGTAGCCAATGTGTGCGACTGACAAACCATCGAAATCGATAGCAAGTCGAAAAGGGGCGGATAGGAGAGGATGGACAGATGGAAGATATAGCTCGTTTGAGCTGGAGGAGGATGGGTAGGGGAGTGGAGAAGAGAGTTCCTGGTGAGGATGGAGAGTACTCAGCAAAGATGGCCCACATTATATAGGAAAAAAGGGCGGTAACATCGGAAACAGCATTTTCAAGCTATCCTGAGCTCCAGGGACTTGGGAGCTTCCATGAAAAAATCTTGAATGCTGAGCCTTACGTTGCAGGCTAAGCGAGCCGACTAAGCGCCTATTACATCACATCAAGAGACGGGGACCTTGCGATTTGAATCTGCTTCAGGGAGTGGAGTACAACGAGGAGAAGAGGGTCAGGTGTGAGTTCTCCGTGAGTTGCAGAGATATTGTGGATGGGGGGACACCTGTAGCACCTTCAGAGGGATAATGTGGACTACTACTGCATGTAATCAGTGCACGTACCAGCATACTATACACTCTATATTGCAATGGAACGAACTTGCTGTGCATTGAGAATCTGGCTCGGAGTGCCGGAGGAAATAATGTGATCGGGGCCTTGTTGCTCTACCAAGGCAAGCGTGTTACCCTGGTATCTATGCGCCTGTAATAGCTTGAATGTTCTGCAATCTGAACACGGCCATATGGAATACCTTTGGCAGAGATAATGAGCCCGGTGTAAGCAGCTGGTAGTTTCAATTCTGGGTGTCCTTTGAATTGAAAAGAGCAAAGAATGACTGAATACACATTACTTACAGCTCTGTAGGTCATTAGCAGCAGATTCCTCACAAGAACGAGCGGGAGTGGATGTACGGGTTACATCTAAATTAGGCGTTTACAGACTTGAACCAAATTAGGGCAGATGTTCAAACTCCGCTCCTCCGTCTCGAACCACATCAATGCCAGCGACAAGGATCTGCGACCACTTACGCTACGAAAAGAAGGGTCCCGCTCTGCTTCTGTGTCTCCTTGGCTCATCTGAGGGTGGTCATTGGCTCCAGACGACCAATAATGGTAACAGGTATGTTTTCTTTTTCGTTGCGTTGTTTTCAACCCTTACCCATGCCGTTGTCTAGAAAGCATGCGGCGAGCTACTCAAACCAAGCGTAAATACATAGACAATGTTTGCGAATGTCTGGCATTCATGTATCCCCACCAATGTCCTTGTACCCTTGTCTGCAATCTCCAGGTGTCATCATGTGTTCTCTGCCATCCTCTTCAGTGTCACCGACAGCACACGGCCACTCTCTTACTTGCAATCTGCGGGTGTAGGGTAAAAAGGATTGAAATTTGAGAAAATTGGTATACACGCGTCCCGCAACCAGCAATCTTTGTCCAGCTTATTGCAGATTACCCTCGACCACCTGCCACCCCTACATCTCCATCCATCCCTTGCCTGGAGTACGTGCCTTGTAGAGGCCATGACATTCTTGCCCTTTTCCCACCTCCACTCGAACATCCAGATTACCAGCCAACGTTGCCACCAATCTGTGACGCCACACCTCTGTTTCCTTTCTCACACCGTAAGCCTGCACGCTCCAAAATAGGCTCGGATTTTCAAAATTTGATATTTGAGCTCCCGCCGACCAGCACTTTTTGTCCAGATTATTGCAAACATCAATCAACCACTTGATACCAAGTGAGCACATTCTGCGATGAAAAAACGTTCAAGATGCCGGGATTTTGACCTGACGCCCACCCGATCTCCCCTCGTTTGGAGTATGTGTCCCAGAATGGGTGTGGCATTGTAGAGGCCATGGTGTTCTGCTGTTTTCTGCTCCATTCCTTGCCTGCCAGCGAGTCCAATGCTGTCAACAAGTGTCCTGTGACCAGCCTGAATTCCCTGATGTAACTCATCCCGCTGCAACATACTCCATACGGTCTATTCCTGACTCACATCATAAGCCCCCATGCTCGAAAACAGCTTGAAATTTCGAAATTTGAGATTTCAGCTTCCGCTGACCAGCTACATGACTGCAGATATTGGCTGAAATGTCGACCTGATGCCACATCTATCTCATCGTAAACATCACCCGGCCACCCCACATGCTTGGCCTCATTGAGGCAATGCCGTTCTGGTTTCTTTCCCCTTTCCTGCTTGTTTTGTGAGTGTCTGCCGACCATCACATCATTGTAATGAGCATCCAGGGCCACTTCGGCTGCCAAACATTTGTCAGAATGGACTTGGCAGCTCATTGTTTGCTTGCATCTACTGGATCTATTTGGCTCAGCTCCGATCTTCTGAACCCTCTGCCGCATCACCCTTTCCATTGATGACCGACATCTTCTTGATATACTAGTGATCATGGATTATAAGGACACTTGCTGTGGTATTCTACCTTGTCAAATACTACTTTGCGCGCCGTCTTGACTAATATTGTATCGCTTACGTGTGCCTGAGAAACACCGAGTCTTACGATAAGCATGCAACGTGTGAAACATCACACAATGGATGCCAAGTCCTAAGCGAGACGGGGACTTGGTACGATGCGCTGGCAGGGGATGGTCTGTGCATGGAATGAAAGGGATAAATAGTAGAAAGTGTGCTAGTGTTCAATAATCTGCCAAAGGTAAGTAACTTCTTGTATCTAACGGCCGAAGCTGACAGTCTGATGTACTAGCACAGGGAACATATGCTTGATTGAAACACAACTCCCAAGGTAAGTGCTTGTACTAAAGGGAACACACAGCTGACAGTCTGACGCACTACAGGGAACGCACGGGGAACGTATGCTTGACCGAAACACAACTCAGAGTCGCTTTGGACTACGCTCATTTTCGTTCCCACGCTACTTATCTGCTCTCACACTCACTAAATTGCCTTGCTAAGTCAGTCACTCACCTTGGTGTTCGCTGGATAAACTCCAACACACACAGCCTACAATCAACCCTTAAACAACGCACCGTGGTCATTCCATTTGTACGGTCGGAATTGCCATGCTTGACCGGTGGTCATAACACACACCACACGGTCCCACGCGTCAGCTCCGAACTTGGCTAAAGCTTCTGTGCTGTCCACGACAAAGTATCGTGCATGGTGCTCAGTTTCTTTGCCGCTGGAGTCGATGTGCGTGCGTTTGCGATATATTGGAATCATGTCTTCCGGCCGTGGATTTCCTTCCGCGGCGGCTCTGCTCCGAGCGTCCTGTGACGTTTCAAACCTTGAAGGCAAAGTATGAGAGGAGTATCCATGGAGGAGTTGGACAGACGTACACCGATTCTTGAAGGAACTTTTTGACGTTGTACATAGTGATGAGGGCAGTTGGAGAGGATGAAATCATGATGATGGGATACATGTTGCCTGCACGTAGTCCCTGAGCACGCGTAGACTTCAGCAGAAATGGAGTACACACGAGCTTTACGAGCGGCCATCTTGGGATCTATCAACGGCTTAGAATTCCGTGCAGCAAGTTAGCTAAACAATACATACCTGTCGACGATTGCCCCACTGCAGGAAGCGCACCGGCGCCTGGTTTACCAGCGTCTTTCATCTTCTTCAACTTGTCGGCGTACGAGGCGCGGATATTGGAGAAATTCTAGACAACCCGGTCAGTCACCCGCGGCGCCGGGAGTAGACTGAACATACGTTGGGCTTGATGCCTCGTAGCACGCTGTTGCGGTCCTGGAGCTCGATTTCATTCTGCTTGATTTTCTTGACCGCTTCGGTATCCGCGGTGTCGGGGACGTATTTACGTTTGGACGGTGAAGAGTTCGCGTCTGGCAAACTGTCAGCTATTGTTCGCGCGTCCCCTCGTCAACTCACCTGAGAGGGGGGCGAATCGCTCGGGATGTGTGTCTTTCCCTTCCAGCCAGTCTATTACGGCCTTGCGCTCGGTTATACTGATATAGCCCAGAGAGAGACCGTGTTCTCGACACTGCTTCATGTACTCCGAGCCCGTGAGATCCTTCAGCATCCATGCTACATAGATTGCGACGAGAGAGTAGAAGTCTTGAGGGTTCGCAGAAGGGTCCGAAGACTTGGAATCCGGCTTCCGGTAGCGGGTTGGGGTGTCCTTCGGGAAAGAGTGATTGGGAGGAACATGTACGTGGGTTGCGGCGGAAACTGAAGTTGTTGATTCGCCGTCTTTTGTAAATGTAACGGCCGCTTTTGATTTTATGGCCTGTCTCAGCGCAAGAAGGCAGTCCGACATATTTCAAGAGCTGTCGGCGATGAGGCCAGCCTGGAAATGAGTGAATAGTTCAGGTTTAAGAAGTGATTGGTCTACACAATGATTGTGAGAAGTTGCCATTGACCGTGGGGATTGACACGTGAACGCTACGGTTCGGAATTTGTTGAAGACTGGTGAGTTTAGCACTTTCATTGCCATCGATCTCAACATCGCAAATACCAATTTGACTACCAAGCATCATTCGGAATGGAATCAAGCCTGACCGAATGGAAGCGCAGGACGCGCGATATCGTCCGTGCTATACTTGGAGTTGAGATATTGACTTGACATGGTCACCCGCTAGCTCTCGAAATAACCCCAACTCCAGGCGCAACGTCAGACCCACCCCATAGCTGTGGAGATACGCTGACAAGAACATGGAAACTCGGTGTTGCGCTGGCGACGGTATCGTGTTGTATCGTGTTGCCTTTCACCTACGACGACGGTCAACATTCCAGCTGCTTGGTGGGATCATAGAATAAGGGTATCGTATGCTAGCCCCCAACAAGCTCTCATCTCGCCCTGATCCATATACGCTGGTAAGAGTCCTGTTATCTCGTCGTTGCGTACCACTTTCTAATAGATGCTCGTGCTCAGCGTCCTGGAGACGGCAAGTCGATTCAACGCTCGACTAGTGCGCATCGAGGACTGACAGCGGCCTTAGACTGTCCCTACTTCACCCACATTCGTTCGCGCATTAACGACCACGACATGTACACTTACGCCTTCATCTACCTCATTATGGTCTTAGCCATACCTGTGGGTAGCATGCCCTCTCATACGAAGCAGAAATATCGGCATGGTCAGCTAGGATACGTTCTATCTGACGATGGTTTTTTAACTAGTTCTAATTGCAGGCTTCTACTGGGGCAAACCCAATAAGAATATTAATATACAAGGCGCAAAGCTCAAACTCCCTGACTTGTCGGACCTTCCCGATCTATCAGACCTTCCTGACCTGTCTGACCTGAAGCCCAACAAAAGCAAAGATACAGGACCGGTCGCGGAGACCGGTGACGACTGGAAGGACGGAGTGGTGAAAGGGCATAATACCTATAGGAACAAGTACGGAGCCAAACCTTTGAGCTGGAGTGATGATCTGTACCCGGAAGCCGAGGATTGGGCTAAACGCTGTAATTTCGAGCACAGGTGAGGCCCTATCTAAATTTGCTAGCTTCGGGGGCTTATTCCGTAGCAACGGCAACGGGAAATACGGCGAAAACTTGGTACGTGGGTTATCGCATAGTGTCCAAGGAGGCCACTCAGTGTCTATGCAGGCTGCGGGTGGAGGGCAGAAATACGGGTTCCTTGAAGGTCTCACCGCCTGGATGGATGAAGCCAGTATGAGTGTCCCCTGTCCTACCAGACGTATTCACTGACATCTCCCAACCCCTGCAGAATTATACGATTGTACGCTTGCGTCCTTTCCCTACAGCCCGTCATCTGACCCGTGTACAGATAGTAACCCAACGTTCGCACTTGATACAGGTCATTTCACCTCTGTAAGGACCCTCGTTTCGTGGTACATTCACAATGCTCACGTCATGAAAGGTCATCTGGAAGAACACAGACAAGGTTGCCTGCGCCATCTCCGACTGTCCGGCTGGTACCGTCCTCTCGCAAAATGCGAAGTTCATCGTTTGTAGATACAGCCCACCCGGAAATGTCTTGGGCCAGTTTGCGTGAGTTTCGTCCCACCCGGGTGTTATTTCTAGATTCTAACATGTTAATTTGCATAGTGATAATGTAGGGAGGCTGTTGGACGCCATAGGCTTATGAACGTCACGTTAGAGTTACGTCTATCATCTGATTCGTGTAGGTAGGATGGAGGGTCGATCCCTTCAGACACCTCGTATAGTGTGTATTCTTAATCGAATGCCTTTGTTCTCGCCGCTGCTTTCTCTCACCCGTCCGTCCAGGATACCTTCTACATTAAGATTGGACATGGACTATCCATTTCTAGTCACAAACGCGCGGCCGCCAAGTATTGCCTCGGGTATCAAGAAGATCATAAATGCTTATGATGATCCGGGGCCAACCATATTGGTTGGTTTGCATCCTCCGGTGTCGAATATACCTCCTCGTAGGTACCACAGAAGGATGCTCCGGTCCAATGGGCGTCGGCGCTCTTGCTTTGGGAGTACTCAAGGACCCGCTGAGCACAGGTCTTACTCGCCGCCATACCCTGACGAAACAAGAGCGGCCCTTGCGTCCTCCCATACAGAAGCATCCTCGGATGTTCCTTCGTACCGTTCACCCCTGTGAAGGTATAAAGACGCAACCTTTCTTGCTCACTTTCAGTAGTCTCATACAGACTTCCTCATTCCACTCCAATACCGATGCGCTGGTCTTCTGCACTCCTCTCAACTCTCACCCTGGCACTCGTGGCGAAGTCGCTGCCCAGCAGCGGCATCAGCCAAGAAGTGTTCACGGTCGATGATTTCGATCCTAGCCTCCCGGAAGCCGGTGAAATCGTCTTCGAGCCTATGCATTTCGATGCGGAGGGTTTCGATATCAGTGAAGGAGAAATGGGCGCAGCTATCTTCGCCGACTGGAAGACTGAAGTCGTGAAGCAACACAACGCTTACCGTGCTCAATATGGTGCACCAGCGTTGACCTGGAGCGATGCTTTGTATCCTGGCACCCAACAGTGGGCTAATCAATGCAAGTTCCAGCACAGCAACGGGCAAGGCAAATACGGGGAGAACCTGGTACGTGTATTGAACACCATTAGGACCCTCAGAGCGCTAATTCCACGACTCGCAGGCTGCTGGAACTGGCGGTAGCTACGGTTTCTCGTCTGGTCTCAAGTCTTGGATGGACGAAGCTTGTGAGTTTCTGTCTTTCGAGTCCAGCGCACTGATCTCACACTGTGCTGCCATCCAGCTAAATACGATTGTGAGACCCCGCAATATATTGGCTTTTCGCCTCCGCTCACCCTGTATCACTAGACAATCACCCCGGATTCTCGCAGGCAACTGGGCATTTCACTCAGGTATGGCGACAGTGGGTACAACGAGCTTCAATCCTTTCTTATGTCCTCTAGGTTGTTTGGAAGAGTAGCAAGCAAGTCGCTTGTGCCATCGGAAACTGCAGGGGCGGCACTATATTCCAGCAGCCATCCAAGTATGTTGTCTGCCGTTACACTCCACCCGGAAACTTCGCTGGCCGCTTCGCGTAAGTGATGATCAATTCACTGAACCCAACAATTCTGAAACCAGATATTGGTAGGGAGAACGTCGGACGCCGCAAGTAAATCGTGTGAACAGCCATTTCAAGCTGTGTTGAATATGGATCTATCTCGAGCGAGAATATACGAGTGATGCTGAAACCTGTACACGAGTGATACAAGGGTATATACAGAGGTAAATATGGGCGTGAATGAAGAAGATCGTGATAGATGCCAGAGACTTCAAACACGCCCATCCTGCCAACCCATCAACTTCCAGAGTCTAGGGACACCGCCCAACCTCGACTCTATCAAATCTACGGATTGTGGTCTTTGAAATCCCTCCGTGCGAGTTGATGATTCCGTGAGGGCGTTCGTTTCGTAATGTACATAGAAGGGGCCAAACGTTGCTTCTCTTGGGGTGGGATTACTGGGACGAAACAGCTCAGGCATTGCCTTGGCGTGTTCGGATCCAGGGCTTAGAGGTACTGGTAAGTCCTCATTGGCGAGGGCCGGGGAAGGTGGGGGATTGCGTGGAAGGTGATCTTCGTTATTCCGCCAGCTCCTGTCGTGACACGCGTCGAGATAGGGGTAGTACGCGACGGGGGACGATAGCGAGTGTTCATTGGCACCCTCAATGCCATTCGCGTAGTCCTCTGCGGGCGAAGTGGTTTCTTCACCGCTTCCTCCCGTAGACCCATCTCGGTCAATGAGCTCGCCAGTCGAAGCGTCGCAAGATTGATAGTCTGTTTCCGAAGTTTCCGAATCAGACTCTTCCAAGCTCTCTCCGTGCTCAACTTCCAGGCATGCGAATGGATTGTTAGGTGACGGCTTATCATGTAGCGCGCTGTGGACGCGTCGTGTTGTCTCCGCGCGTCCGTGGTTCCTAGGTGCGGCATCGAGAACCTGCCTGGGATTCCTCGCGACGCGTTCTTGAGGGTTGACTTGGAGGTTCTCCTTAGCGGATTTATGCTTCTTCGTCGTCTTCGCGTTTCTGATTGCCTGAGTACGCGCTTCCTTGGGTGGTACCGAATCAAGGATGTATGTAGGGGGCGCAATTAGGGGGTCCCCGACGCGTTCGAAGACGTATTTCGCGTCCATCCAGCCGTTGGATGGCGATAGGATAGGGCGAGCCTGATAGTGTGTTATTCCTTGTTCCTTCGTCTGGAAGCGAGCGGCGTCGGCATATGTCAGAGTTGTGGCCATATCGCGAAGGGTGGGAGCTCTGTTTCTTGTTCGTTCAAGCGATAAGCAGACCCTTTATACTATTCATGTCAAGGACTCAGCCACTCAGGGGTAATATATAACAAAGTAAAATGTCTTGGAGTTTTTGTTCTTCACTAATGTCGCTTTGGCCTTGCGGCTTTTAATTGCTTGCACATATACAGATAGCTTAATGCTGTGGCCTCTACGTCGATACATAGCTCGATACAAGCACTAAACCTTCACTTTGTCAAAGATCGAAGGCGACACCCATTTTTTCTAGCTATAGCTTCTGCTTGCGGTCACGGTGTACGAGGCGCATCGCGCTGGCCCGCCGCGCGGGCACGACAATCCGGGACAATGCGCCTCTACATGGTATATGGTTCACATCCAAGCACTGCGAACTACTGTCGATCTGATCTGTATACCACTTGACAGCCTTAGGAATCTCAGGCTGTGAGACAAGAACACGGCGGTGCCGATGGAGAGTGACCTTATCAATCATTTTTTGTGCTTTACTACGAGTCAAGCGTAATGATTGATTGAATGCAATTGCAATTAACAACTGGCAGGCCCTCGATCAATTGAAACATGAAGAAGCGTGTCATTACTTCGATGAAAGAGCAAAGGTGATATCAAAATAATCGCTGGCTTTCAGATAGCTGGTTGAAATCTTGCATTTTCGTGTCCGATAACGTGGGAAAACCTGCACTTTCTGGCGCTGCGCGCGCGAGTGACTGCCGGATTTATGTAAGTATGGCAATTGGCGCGCGGTGCGTATATAAGGGTTTAATTGACGGGGCTATACGATGCAGACGAAACTCGAAGGGCCCGGTTTTGTCTCAAACCTCAGCGGCCCCCGACCTCCAATCCAGTCTTCGCCAGGTCATTTTGTTGGTTATAATGAATGGAAGTAATGATGTAACTCGGCATCGGGGTTGAATCTGCTCACCCAGTTACCTCCTAGTTACCGACCAACTTTCACGATCCAATATTATACTGCCACATTTCTAGAATTTCAGTTAGATTAAACATGAATTTTGGGCGCATCACACCTGATGGGATCCTTGGCGTGGTATGCACGAAACACAAGATTACTGGTCCGATGATTGTATTACCTAGAGGTATCGCGACACAGGCTCAGCCGTTATTCCATGATCAACAATTTGGAATTTCTCAAAAGAGCAACGATTTTGGGGAGATATTCGGTATGAACCCTTCCCTTGATGGCCCCTCCTCGATCCACGTTCAGTTCGGTGCATGGTGCCACCAGCACGTATAATCGTTCTCCAACGTCTGATCCAATAATTGCTCCTAGCATTGGAAAGCGAAATGCTCTCCGTCAAAAGCTGCTTCTGACAGCCTCAATACTTGTGCTGCTGGCCACCACAATATTTTTGATTGTCAAGCTCGTGCACCTACGGATATACAACCCGATGGATGACTATCAGATATTGTCAGTGCCCCATACCCCGTTCCGCTCACAGAAGATGGACTGACTAACTTCAGAAACCCCTTCCCCATCCTATACGACCAATCAAACACCCCTCAATCCGACCCGAACGCCTTGGCCGTCGTCTCTACCCTTTACTCAAACAACTACGCGATGTCCACCGCCGTCCTCGCCCACTCCGTCCGGAGCGTGAACTCCACTGCGCGCTTGATTCTCCTATATATCGATGGACAAGTCTCTGAGGAGGCTCTTTGCATAAGCAGGGCCTCAGGATGGGAGCTGCTTGCCGTCCCACGAATTGCTCCACCAAAAGGAGGGAAGGGCGTATACTATCGATTCGTCGACCAATACACGAAACTCAACCTGTGGGGCTTGGATAAACATGGCATCGACCGCCTGGTTTATCTAGATGCAGACACACTCGTCCGGCGAAACTTCGATGAATTGTTCAACCTTCCGTTCAGCTTTGCTGCCGTGCCGGATGTATACGGCCCAGGGAACCCGCAGGGATTTAGACTCGGGTTCAATGCGGGGGTCATGGCAATCCGCACATCATCCTCTGTGTTGAGAGATATGAAGAATAACATCGAGACAGCTAGGTATCCGATAGGGCAAGCGGAACAAGCCTTCCTGAATTTGTATTATGGTGTGAAGGCGGTGCGGCTTCCCTACATCTACAACGCCTTGATATCAATCAAGAAACGGAATCGGGTGCTCTGGGAAGAGTTAAAAAGCCACATCTCCGTCATTCATTATACCGAGCGGAAGCCATTCATGCTGGAGGCCCAGCCGGGGGAGAGGATATTGACTCCGGAGGAAACTGAAACGGCCATAGATATAGCTCAACGGGATTTCGAACGTTGGGCAGAAGAGTTTGGGTGGTGGCGATCTGCTTACCACAGTATGATGGCAAAACACGGAGCCGAGGTCAAACGATGCACTCTATGATGCGTGAGATGGATAAATCACCCTCGCACCGATAACAACCATATACTTACCTATCATTTTAATCGTTGTATTTGATATTTTGGTTGCATTAAGACGCCCTCATCAGCGCCCTGTGTTTGTGTTTTCAGTTCTGAAATGCCGGTCCGCCCACGTCGGATCTTATTCATAGTTCAACTACTGAGCGCTGCGCGGCGAGCCTCTATTCACTAGCGGATACCAGGAGATTCGCCCTTATTATCTCGATATCGTCATCGTTTAACGACGTCTTGGCTTTAATATACTGCTCCGCGGTCCCATACTTTTCCCTAAACGCTGACAGAAAAGCACGGAAGGTCTCAGCCCTGTTATCAGGTGTTTGCAAAGACGGTTTATCAATGGTTAGAGGCGATTGGAACACGTACTTTGCGGTCGCCATATTCAAGGCACCCGACCAGTTATTCTTATAGACTTCGTTGGCCTCAAACCGTTTCAAGAGGGTAGGGAGCAACGGCTGTAGCCCGTATGTAGTGAGAGCGTAGTCGTTAATGATATCTTCTTCGCCCATTCCAGCCAGCTAGTCAGTTTAGTGAGTTTCAAAATAACCCATGTTCATCAGCTTTACATTCACCAGCTGAATAAGAGCCACAAATACCCCCGTCCTATCTTTTCCAGCTGGATACCGTGGATCAACATATTCTCGGTTGATCTCACTCAACCACGTACCAGTGCAATGTATAAGACAAGGATGATCCTTCTGGTCCCGTATGTGGCGAAGGATCAACTCAACGGAGGGACCTCCTGCTTTCAAAAAGCTAAAATACAAAGCAAGAAAGGTCTATAATCAAATGGTCGTTAGTACAACTATCTAAAGCAACGGGTATCTTCACACCTTCACTTCATCTGTGTCGAAAGAAGAAAGCCTTTCCAATATTAGCGCATTCCACGTTGGGGGTTCAATCGAGAAGATATTGTGGCACCTTTTCGCTAAACTGGCTGGGTCAAAGGCCTCGTCTTTCATGATCGGACAATTCACGACCTCGACTCCGTCAATTTCCAACGGAGGTGCTTGAAAACTCTTGATTTCGGTCTGTGACCTTAGATCGAATACTTTCTTTATGCCAAGTGCCATGAACTGAGCTCTCCCTTGGTCGGTGACTTTGGCCGGTTCCCCAGACCGATAGATGTATGACGGCCTCGCGATCTGCCCACTGAATCCAGCGGAAGTCTTTGAGGCGAGGGCATCGCGAAGATTGACTAATCCGTCGACAGTGATGAAAGGCGGAGAAATGATGATCGCAGCAACACTTCCGATGTCTTCTGTGGTTTGCATTATCGTCGAGTTGAAAGTCGTAAGCTATGTGTATGAGCGTCTACTAGGTTATGAGATTGCCCGACCCGACCTTGGTTTCTTATGTAACTGGTATGTTCGTCTCGGTTAACGTTGAATTCCGGGCCGAACCACTATGAGCAACCTTTGGTTCGAGGATGTACTACGAACCCTTTTGGTAAGTTGGGTACCTCGAGGCTGAACGACCTATCCTCTTGCTATTCTCCTTTTGGCCTCGGCGCTGGGTGTATGGGATCGGGCACTACGTGGCTATCAGCCGCGAAGAGCAAGCGAAGAGTGAAACTCCGCAGTCTTATTCCTGGCAGTCAAATGATGATGGAGGTTTCAGATTTCAACTGTATCAGCCACGTCGCATCGAGAGAGGAAGACCAACTGCGACCTCGACCGCTCAACGAGTTGCACAAATGAGAATGACCAAATGTGCGGCCTGAACGAAATTTTGCGGATCGCATCTGGCGTTTGCTTTTTCTGCGTGCTCACGATGACGACTTGAGAACAGTTGCGTAGGTTCATTTGGTTCGTTTCCTACAGCCAGGATCCAACATGGAGCAAAAAGCGGGGATTGAACGTGGAAAATTCATTCCCCATGGGCTATATCAGCGCTTGTTATGGGAGCGATTTCCCTCCTCGTTTATATCTAAGCTGAACTGAACTGAACCTTGATGAACTCAACGCTTTTGGAGTTCAAAGTACCTAGTCATTGGAGAGCTGGACGTGCTCAAACTGGATTCTTGAACAGACGGTAAGAAACCAGAAAAATACGCCTGGAAGACACATTTGGCCGTAGGGATCCCTTTTTGCATCCGCTAACCAATTCGGAGGCTAACTGACTTGCGCAGGAAGGGAAACACGGTGGGCACCCCTACTCCGTTTGTCTGCAACGTCCTAACTGAATGATGTGTCGGGTACAGGCATTGGGTACACCTTGGAATGCAAGTGTCGTGGGACCACGTAAACGGCAACTAGACACATTACATCAACCATTGATGTTCGTACCATAACGGCGCTTGGTAATTCCCCTTCCATGACTCTTCAAAGCTTCATCGCTTCTTGTTGACTTTGTTCATCGGCAACCGAAAGGCCGTGAAGCGTGATAATTCGGCGCACTTGCAGCATCTGGTAGTCGTCCATCGGGCTGTACACTTTCAAACGCGTTAGTTTGATCAATAGGACTACCGTCCATGGTGGACAACAACATGAGCAATGTCGCGAGGACCGCGTGTCGTCGGAGGGCATTCTGTTTGCTATGGCCTTCAGGAATCCGAGCGCTCGACGTTGGTAGCCATTGACTTGACGTACCGTGTGCTGAGTTCGCTTCACCAAGAACCCCTTCCCCGTGATACAAGAACGTTTCAACGGTTCATATGCAGACTCGAATGCCGTCTCCGACGTTTCTACCCTTTACACAAACAGCTACGCGATAGCCTCCGCAGTGCTCGCCCACTCCATCCGTAGTGTCAAATCTTCCGCGCGTTTGATTATCCTGTACATCGAGGGCCAGGTATCTGAAGAGGCCCTTTGTATAAGCAGGTCTGCTGGATGGGAGTTAGTAGCCGTCCCCCGAACCGCCCCGCCGCTTGGAGGCAAGGGAGTATGTACCCAGTTCATCGACCAGTACACCAAGCTCCACGTCTGGTCCCTCAACACAATGGGCATCAAACGTCTGGTGCACACGCCGACACGCTTTCGTCAGAATTTTGACGAGCTGTTCCACCTTCCTTTCAATTTTGCCGCGGTGCCGGACGTATATGGGCCAGGAGACGCGCGGGGATTCAGCTTGACATTCAACGCGGGGGTGCTGGCAATACAGTCGTCTTCTTGTATCCTGAAGAATATGAAGAAGTCTGAGACGGCGAGGTGCCCTGTACAGCAAGCGGAACAAGCTTTCTTGAACTTGTACTTCGGGGCGAAGGCTGCTCGGCTGCGCTACATACAACGCTCTCTTAGCGATGAAGAAGCGCAATCCGGTCGTCTGGGAGGAGTTGAAAGACGAGTTGGCTATTGTGCATTATACAGATCACGTTCCTTTTAGATTCCCAGGACAAGGTCTTGACCCCAGACGAGAGAAAGGTACCCCCGCCTCAATCGGTAGTTCACTTGTTTCGGCAGTAGATCTGAACAGCAGATACATAAAGTATATCATTAACATTGCTTATCGCTTATCGAAGCTCAACTTCCTTCCCGAGAGCGCCCAGCACGTGTTCATCGTTGGAATGTTCATCAGATAATAATGATGGCACTCAATTCAATGCCTTCACTACCCACCATCATGGAATCTCCTACGCCGGCACAGGATACCTCGAAACCAGCGCTACGCCGACTTGAGTCTCTTCTACGCCATGTACTCCGGATTTCTGTCAGCGATGGCCGTATCTTTATTGGTACTTTCGCTGGCACAGACAAACCCCTCAATATCCTATTGATCAATGCAGAGGAGTATCGCATCGGCCTTAACGAGAATCCTTCAGGCAGATTTGTTGGACAAATCATGATTCCGTGGAAGATCGTAACGAAGGTGGAGGCTCAAGGAGACGCCACCGATTTTGAAGGCGATGTATCCATGACCTAGCGCTTCCCTCACGCCCCCGAAGTCGAACAGAACTATTTATTTTTCCAGTATATATTACAAGACCGCCCGCGGTCGTTTGGCACTTTATCCGAAACCTACGCCTTGTGACTGGCTTGTACTCCCGCCGCCTTCGTTGCATTCGGGGTCGGTGGCTTGTTGGCTTTGGCCTTTCTCACGGCCTTCTGGTTAGCAGTCGAGACGGGAGGAGGTGCACTAGTGGTAGGGGCTGGTACATCTGGGGACTGGGTTGAAGAAGCCTGAACTACCGCGCTGGTGGCCGACGCGTCCGGAGGAGAGGAGGGTGAAGCTGCTTCCAAAAGCGGGGATGCACCTTGCTTTAATTGAGGATTTCGCTCCTCTTCGGGCCCTTCGCGCGTGACTCTTCGTTGCTTGCCCGCCTTTCGACGCTTCAGCGACCTATTAAACCGAGTCTTGCGATTCTGGCCGATGGGACGCCCGGCGTTCTTCTTGCTCGCCTTTTGGAGTTTACCAGTACCACCGCTGTCGAGAATCGTAGCGGCATTTCTAGTATCCTCGCGGAACATTGGGGTATCGCTATTGCTCGTCTTTGCTAGCTTCGGAATATCTCGTCCTAGGCGGGCGACATATCGCTTTCCAAGAAGACTACCGGGTTCAGAGCGGGCGACGCTCCTCTTGTTCTGCGGTAGGACGTATGCATTTGTCACCAATGCAACGACGCAAAAGGCGAGGACAGCAGGTAATGCGGGGAACTTCATGGCGGGTGGAGATTAGGCACGGGAGTGGTCAGCTGGAGTATATATAATTTTGAGAAGAGTAATTGGGCCAGCCACGGTGTAGGGTGTTGATCTGCTAAGTGATGGTAATGGTAGAAGGGAAAGCAGATGCGGACAATCGGGACGAAACATTCCATTTATATATGAAAGCGGGAAGTCACGCACCCGGGCGATCAACCGAAGAGTAGTGCTGTTCATTATTCTTGTCGCAGTAAAATATTCAGTGGGCGTACAATAAATATGTATGTACAGTGGTGCTCATCATGGGAGCACGATTTTGCGGTCCCGTCTCTTGGAAAACGAGATCTTCTCTTTGCGTGGTTCGCGTCCAACGTGATGTCCCATCAGCTCCTGCGCCTCCGTCAGTCCCTCTAAGGACCACTCAAGGGCGACCTCTGTCCTCGCCTTGAGCTTGCTTACGTCGTCGTGTGAGCTCCATGCCACAGGATGCCGCATACTCATCCACATATACAGTACCAAGATCTTGTGGAGGGTCTCGAGGACGTCGAGGGCTTGAACGTTGGACTTGGGTTGCCCACCTTCTGTCATTTTTACCTCCGTCTCTCGCAATGCCTTGATATACATGGTCTCCTCCAAGCAACTGACAAGATCGACCTGGAACTTCTCCCGATACTTGGTCATGAAGTCTCCGATGACCTCGATGAGCCGCCTGTCCCGCCACGGTATCGGCGCCATCACGATTGTGAACTTCTCCGCCGTCGTAAAATCGGAGGCGTAAGTGTCCACGAATTCGGAGATGGTGTCGATGTTGTTGATTTCGCAGAACTCGAAAATAGGATTGGTGCGGGCGCAGAAGCGGTGTACATCGATCATCGTGCGGAAGCTTGCGCCAGGTGGGAGGGCGGTTGCAGCCTCTTGCCACGATGCTAGGGTGGGGTTCTGCCTGGCGGCTTTCAAGGGTTCGAAGGGAGCCGCGATGGCGCGACGGAGGAAGGGCATGTCTTGCTCCCGTACAGTAGCAACAAGGCCAACATTCTCGTCGCCATCCTTATGGGCACCATACCGCCCAGCACGGCCGGCTATCTGCTTAGTCTGCGAAAGCGAAAGAGGGCGCTCCTGCACACCATCGAATTTGTCCACGGATTCGAGGATAACTCTTTTGATTTTTCTGTGCAAAGCTTGATTGACATGGGTGGAGCAAATCGAATTTCGCTCACTCACAAGTTGAGGCCCATGCCGATAGCGTCACTGCCTATCAAGACATCGTAGCCGCTGTCCTGGTCATTGAATAGGGCTGCCTGGGAATTCCGGACCTCTGGGGGTAATCTGCCGTAAACGACCGCGCACCGCAGGCCAGTGACTTCCTCGACCTTCCGTTTGAGACCGAAGACACCCTTGCGAGAGAAGGTCACCATGCAATCGCCTTTCCGAATTTTCGATAGATCGCCGCGTAGACTATGGGGTTCGATGCTTAGAGGTGCTAGACGCTGGTAACGATTCACGATTAATTCATCGCCAGTGCCCTTCAGCATAGCCTCGACGATGGGGACTGCCGTTTCCTCTCCGCAAAGATGCAGTTCTTTCGCTGCTATCCCTAGGATGGCGTTCGTCCAGCCGCCACCGCGGTATTCATCAGCTAGCATCTGCACTTCATCAACCACAGCAACGTCGTATTTTTGATGGAATGAGATCATTTCGACCGTGGCACTGGTCAACGGTGCGAGATCCGAGACGAACTTCTGTTCCTCTCCAGTGATGAGATTGCACAACCTAGCGTATCGAGGATCTCCGTTCTTATGCACAGCTGGTTTTCCATCGCCAACATCGATGGTATCGTCTACGAGATCTTCTGTTGGTTCATTTTCAGCTCCCAGCGGAAGAATTTGGCCCAGATTGAGGCGTTCCCAGATTTCATGGGCGAGAAGTCGGAGTGGACCAGCGTAGATGCCAACTCGAGCCGCTGCTAAAGCACGCAACGCGTTATATGTCTTCCCGCTGTTTGTTGGGCCGACGTGCATAATTACCTTCCGACGCATCCTGCGAGCAAGTTGGAAGTTTTCCGCGGGGTAAGACGCGTCTACTGCCGTGACAAGGTTCTCAATAGAGTCGAGAGTGGAAGGGGAGATGATGGTGTCCAAAAACTGTCGATTGGCGGGGTCCGTTGCCCAAGAGAACAGAACGTTTGTGTATACTCGATCGGCGAGTGTGCCAATCGGTAGGTCAGCCGCATTCTTCGATAGCCTGTCCAGGTAGTATTTCTCTCGTATTTCAGGCGTGGAAAGCTCTCCGCGCTGCACCCTTTGAGTAAACTCATGAAGGAGGTTCTGAGCGTCGGGGGAAGGAATGCCAAAGTCATCTAACCGTTGGTGGAGGCGCGGCGACCTAGCCCAGGATTTGACGCGACTTTCGAAGTATTCGACTACTTCATCAACATGAAGTGGTGTTTGGGCTTGCTGCCTCCTTTGAGGCGGTCGACCAGGGGAAAACTTATGCGTCGATGGCTTGGAGTAGTCGCCGCCGCTTCCTGAGCTGCCCCCACTTCTAAACCTTCTTGTCATTAGGCCATTGAGCCCTCCGTTTAGCCATCGTTCAGGACGTTCATAAAATTGGAATAAGGAACGGCAACGGAAGTAAATTGATGGGGAGCCTTGCATTCCCGACTGGCAGAATCAGCGTGTTTGTTGGAATCTGCAAACTTTTTAGCGGAGCAGCAAAGCATGAGCAGAGAACACAGCAATCCCACCGGAAACACAGCTGTCTGTGGTCGAAGTTCAGGTCAGGATAATTCTTTCAGCGCTTCACGTGATCCCGCAACTTTCGGTTGTTGTGCGTCTCATTTTCCGACCTTTCGTTGTCAGTTCAAGAAACAAATGGTGGCGCCTGCGCGGATAGCTGCCTTGACTCGTCTACGATGCTCAATATTCCAAACATCATATAACCCGACATCTGTACGAACCGGCGCAAAATACCTACGCGCCAGGCTTCGAGGGCCTTCAATGGCCCAATACTACCCAGCCGCGTTGAATCTCTCGCAATTGGCGAGGGAGTTCCCCGAGCTTGAGATCGTCGACCCAGACGAGGAGCAGCGGATTCAGGATGTAGAGGACAAAAAGAAGCGTGGCAAGGGTGCACCGAAGAAGGCCAAATCCAAAGGTACGCCAACATGCTGTCTGTTGTATTGCTCTCACTAATGCTTGTGCTTCTAGCCGACAGTCGGAGAGCTACCAGGAAAAAGTAGACGGAAGGTCGATACATCTACAGGTGCACTGCTATGTACTACATTTCTGCATCAACATGTGCCCACCATTCCATTGGGATCCACAATTAAACCACCCAGAGCACCGAGTTCGCGTAACGTGTTTGAAAACATCTCGTTGAATCCTTCCTGCAAGCCCATCCTTTCCAAAAGGACCTCTAGATCCATCGTACTGCCTTCTTCATTCGTAGTAGCAAGCCACTCCTCCAGACTCGCCGAGGCGCCCACCAAGAGACTTCTCAGCCGCGTTCTCTCCGTCTGGCTCATGGGGGATGATTTCATCCCTGCCGCAGCATCCGAGGCATCGACGACGAGGTCTACGCCGGCAGCTTGCGCTGGGTCCCAGACTTGAGACTGCAATGCTGCTACCCACGCTTGGTCTAGATCATCTAGCCAGTCCAACACTTCCTGCAGCGCGTCTCGGTCAGGGGGATATCCGGGTATGCTGGAGAGGACTTCGTTGGTGAGTCTTAACAGGAGTGCAGTGCGCAACGAGGTCGACGGGTCTATCGGTGGTATTTGGAGGACCAATATCAATATTTTCTGCGCGGCAGCGAGGTAGGATGATAATGTGGGCAAGTGAGTGGTTGGCTCGGAGCTGTGGATCGGTTATGCATGAAAGACGGTAATGACGACCAGTCCGCCCACCGTTTCTTGTATCCTCGCGTCAACTCAAGGAATTGTTCATCTAGATGGTCAACGAGCCTGCGCTCTTGCACCGCTGAGAGGGCTCGCTTCGGTAAGTTCATTGACTCAGGAATCAGGGTAGCCCAGTTTCCCAGCGCCTAATTGTCATCAGATGGTTCACGTTTTCCGGCAAATTCCCAAATCACCGGGGCAAGCGATTTTACTCGACTTGATTCGAGCATCAAATATTTCCCGATACAAGATTAAGTTCACAGAACAATGTTTGCTACCCCCCAGCTGACTTCTCTCATCAGATGAAACTCTTCCTCTACAAAGTTGTCTTTCTTCCACCTCCATGTAAATATAAGTACCGCGAGAGACGAGCTGGTGCGTCTTTCGGCTCCCTCTGCGTTATGGTAGCCCCATGGATCGCAATTTACGCCCCTAGGGCTTGCACCGCGTGAACTTCCTGTTCATCTCTTTCATCATCCGCTCGTACTCCAGACCCCACCATCCAAACTCTTCAGACCATAGCCCGTATTTCTGCCGAGCCTCCTCTACAGCCTTCCGTGTTTCCTCTGCCGTCAAGATATTCTCCCCCGGCTGACCATCCAAGAGGAACGGTTTGTGGTCCGTGTAGTGCACGATGGATAATTCCTCTTTCAGCTCTTTCCAGACAACTGGATTCCTGCGCTTGATGGCTATGAGCGCGTTGTAGATGTATGGCAGACGCGCTGCTTTGGCGCCAAAATACAGGTTCAAGAACGATTGCTCTGCTTGTAGAGCTGGGTATCTCGCCGTTTCGGTCTTCTCCTTCATGTCCTGAAGGACGGTCGAGGATGGGCGTATTGCCAGAACACCCGCGTTAAATGTCAGGCTGAAGCCTCGGACGTCTCCCGGGCCGTAAACGTCGGGGACGGCAGCAAAGTCGAAAGGAAGGTGGAACAGCTCATCGAAATTCTGACGGACGAGCGTATCTGCATCGAGATAAACAAGACGTTCGACGCCCATCTTGTCGAGCGACCAGACGTGGAGCTTCGTAAATTGGTCGATGAAATGCCACCGCACGCCCTTGCCACCGCGTGGAGGGGCGATGCGAGGAACGGCTAGTAATTCCCATCCAGCGGAACTGCTTATGCAGAGGGCTTCCTCGGATACTTGGCCGTCGATGTACAGCAGAATGAGGCGCGCAGGGGATTTCGCGCGACGGATGGAGTGGGCGAGCACCGCGGTGGCTATCGCGTAGTTGTTTGAGTAAAGGGTGGAGACAACGGCCAGGGCGTTCGGATTTGAAACGTTCGATTGAGCGTGTACGACGGGGAAGGGATTCCTGACGCCGATATTTCAATGAACTGCCCGTGGAATATTGGGCGGGCAAACTCACAGTGGTTGATAGTCGTCAAATGGGCTATATATTCGCCGCCAGCGATTGACCTCGACCAGGAGGAATATCGTCGCAGCCAGGAGCAGGAGCAATGTCGCAGGCAAAGCATATCTATGGAAGAAATTGCTTTTTCGTCGAGGAGCAGAATCGTTCGGGAGGATTTGGTACGAGTTGTGGTGGGTCCAGCCTGTGAAGAAGTATTGAAGGGCCATTCTTACGTGCGAAGCACTCAGCCTCGATAGAATAAAGTATTTGTACCTCGGTGATATCACCGGGTGCGACGCAGAATCAATCCGATATTGCTGACGCTACACTACACGGTTCATCATCAACATCACCGTGCAATCAGGCGCAACAATAGCCGTGTGAGGGGCGACACAATCAGCAAAGTGAACGACTCACTGACATGATCGATACCATCACAAGTTACGAATTAGAAAGCAGTTCAGATCAAGGGCGTATCAAATTGATGGGCGGGGCGCCCATAGCGCCTGGGACGGTATCGCGAAATTGGCCGTGATGAGTCGCTGGCAACGAAAACATATCAGCGTTCTTGTACATAGTTCATAGTTCAAGCTTGAGCCGGGATCTTGAATCATATTCCTCACCGGCAGCTCAAATGAGATACATAGCCCATTGAAGAGTGGCAGAATGTCCCCTAGTATTTGTTCAAATTGAGCGCTGACATTACGATACTACTTTGGGTTGCGAATGCAGCATCGCCGACAACGGCTGCACCCAGTGTCCCAGAAGACTGATCTCCAGTGACTTGGGAGAGGTTGCGTGACCGAAAGGCACTTATAACGCATCGCTCCACCTTGGGTCTTGCGACTTACGGCATCAGAGCCAGTAGCGAGGGCGGCAATAACGAAGAGGGCGATGTCGGCGAACTTCATGTTTTCTGTGGATCGAGAAGACTAGGGAGTGCTCGGGTACGATTAATGGGCGACGTTCTGACCTTTTTGTTTGGTGGTGGTGGTAGGGAATGTGTTTTCGTTGGCGAAGAGGGCTAGCTGGGACTAACTCGTGAACGTTGACGAACGCGAACAGAGAGGCGAAAGGTACACTTACACCAGACGATGCTGTGGAAGTTGGTTTGACACCCTCGCACTACTGGGCCTTTTATGCCTCGAAGAGTTGCGCTTTCACAAGGCTGGCATCCCAGCACGGTTAAATATGCACACCATGTACTGGGGTCGTTGTGTTCCTCCCCAGTGTCTTTGAATGCCCCGCAGTACGTCCTCTCGAGTCAAAATGCCTTGGCTTGGCGCAGATGACCAAACGTTGGTTCACAAGTACAAACGAGAAATTGTGAGGATATGTTTGCAGCCTCGGAGAGGGGCTCGGACGGGGTCGCTGGGCCGCCTCGCCGTGCCGTAGGTACCTTTCTTGGCCAACACCATATAAGCAGTGGTCTGCTACCAACGGTTTGCTCCTGGGCAAGATTGACTTCGATGGTTGGAAGTTATCAGATCGGGGGAAGTATTGAGACTCTTGCGTGTACCAATACTACGAGTAGTTTAGCTCGAGCGAATTAAAGATGAGTGGGTACATGCCCATAATTTCCTCAATGAGACTTCCCGGGTCCGCCGCAAGAACGTCGGGTACATCGTGATTGATCAACCCTAGAAGTAATTGAGCCAACGAGGGGGATTGGTGGTTGAGGGCAGGCACGGATCTACGAAGCGAAAATGGATGGGACGTGGTCGAATAGCGCCCAAGTGTTTACGCCTGCAAACTGGTTGAGATTGACATTGCTCTGGAGTATCATGACCTGTATTGTATTGCAAGGTCAAATTGAACTACATCATAGAGACAATGACGGGCAGCTGTAAAATGATCGAGATGTGCAGAGTGGGTGCACGAGAAAGGGAGTGAAGCCGTTGCTTGGCCAGCACGAGATCTACGTTACAAGCAAATGGTTACATAGGCGCAAGCGCCCATTAGGCTTCAAAGACCTCGTAGTCAGGCGGATTGAGAAGGAAAGGAATCAGAATACAAACTTACAACAGGTTTTGTTCCAGCAATACAGTCTGGCCCCTCCAAATCCCACACCACGTAGCTGCAATTAGGATCTTGCGAACCTCCATCCTGGTTCCGTAGCATCCTCGACGAGGAAGCGGTACCACAATAATGATATGGGGGCGGTGGAGAGATGCCATAAGGAATGAGCGTCGATATACCCACCCCACGGAGGGAAATCGAACAGCTCAAGCGCGGTTGCAGCCGTAGTAAGGAGCACAAATAGTGCCGCACTGGAAGCGAACGGAGGCCTGTAACTCCTGGGCTCATTCGGGAATCTCTTGAGTAGAGTCATCGAGGCGGGAAAAGAATATAAGGCCCAGAGGATATTGTGGGTTAAGCCGATGACGAGGTTGAAGATCATGTTGTACGAGTAGTCGAACCGCGGTAACAAGGACAGATAGAGGACATGGCCAACATAGAGGGTGCAGCAGAAAAGCGACCAAGCCTTATGGGCCATGGAGGTACGTTTGAGGCCGCCAAACGGCCGCGAAGTAAGGCCACTCCGCGTGGAGGGGTACAAATGAAAGTGTCGAATCACTGTATAGTATAGAGCGAAAAGGATGGCTAATGCCGCTCCAAAATAGTCCAATTTCTCGGTGGTTGGCAGATCTAGCAACTTCTGAGCTCCCCTCGGCCAGAAATCAACCAACGGAGGCACTGACCTCGGGTGTGGAAGACTGACGACCATAGCCATGCATTGATGCTGACCATTGCCCAGATCGTATAGTAAGTCTTCATCGGGTGGTCGGCTGATACGTGTTTGCGTATCATCGACAGCCCGTGCGCGTGCGCCCATAGGTTCAACATCGAAAAGAGCACTGAAGCGGGCTCCTGTATGCCTGCAAGGCGCCAGAACGGCCATTTTCCATAGTATTGTTGCACTGCGCGGCCACTTGCCACATCATTTGATGTTACACTATGCATGCAGTCATACTTGCAATTGTCGAGACAGGTCCAGCCCGTCAATCGCAATGCCAAAGGTAGGTGTGGGCGTTGTATTTGACATATTTCGAGGTCGCACTTAGACACGCAGCGATTAAATTGTTGCGACCGGTCCCCCGAAGATGCGACGGCGCCAGAGATGAGTGCAAGGACGATGGGGACAAAGACGAGCATCGCCGACAGTTGGTGTGACCGACTGTGACATCGGCAAGCCTTCCACGTGCCCTTCAAGGGAGGACTCAGGGGTGAGCGCTAAAGATTCTCGTCTTGCATCAAGTTTACCAACTTCTTGGAGTCCCAAAGTCTTGTAGACAGAAGGTAAGTAAGTCACAATTGTGCTTCTTCGACTAATTAACCATCATCCACTCGATTATGGTCATTTACAGAGCCGCACTCGGATTTCAGTTCTATAATTACAGAACCGCTCCAGCAGGTAGTGTCACCTTGAGTTGACGAAAGGCTATGGTTCGAACGTCGCAATCGTACACATTTTCATCTCAGCCGTACTTTGCGGATCGAGGTGCATATGGCACTGCTCACCCAATAACTGAACGAATAAATGTCAGTTGCCTCGAGTGTCTTGAGCTTATGTCAGAATTCTAACGTTAATGTACAAAATACAGCCGCATTCAAGACCTATAGTATCGTACTACTTCCCAAAAGGAGTGGGCTCGTATCATTATGGGGTATCCTCGTTCTACCATAATTCTGTCTCGAGACTTACCTCTAAATTAGGTAGGGCACCCAATGAAACCCCATAGATTAACTTTGACCAACGCACTGGTCCTGGGATACGGCTTGGACAAGCAAATACACTATATGTTCGACCCGAGGCCCGCAACGGAAGCAGAGCTCACTGCCTATCACGACAGTGATTACATTGACTTCCTCTCAAGGAAAGTCGATGTTCCAATGTTCTCATCGTGGGATAAGCTGACATTTGTCGAACATAATTTAGAGTTACACCAAAAAATCAAGTAGGGATGAAGCAAGCAATTGATAAATTCAATTGCGTTGAAGATTGTCCCATTTTCGCTGAAATGTATGATTTCTGCCGGATGTACGCTGGCGGCTCGTTAGCTGGCGCAAGAAAGCTGTGCGCAGGCACCACAGATATAGCAATCAACTGGTCCGGTGGACTTCATCATGCGAAACGCGGAGAAGCTAGTGGCTTCTGCTACGTCAATGATATCGTGCTAGGGATACTCGAATTACTGAGGTGGGTTCAATGGCATCATGTGTTATATTGAAAGCTAAATCCGTATCAATATTTTCCACAGGTATCATCCTCGCGTATTGTACATCGACATTGATATCCATCATGGCGACGGTGTTGAACATGCATTTTACCAGTCCAACCGAGTGATGACGGTGTCCTTCCACAAATACACCGGTGACTTCTTTCCAGGAACAGGGAAACTAGACGATAATGGCCACGGATCCGGGAAATACTTCGCAATCAATGTCCCTCTGCAAGACGGCATCGACGATGACATGTATCTGACAATATTTAAAACGGTCATAGACGACACTGTGACCGCCTTCAGCCCGTCAGCCATTGTACTCCAATGCGGGGCGGACTCTCTAGGTTGCGATCGTCTTGGCGCGTTCAACCTTTCCATCGCTGCTCACGGGGAATGTGTCAACTTCGTTCGGGCGTTCAACGTACCGCTTCTAGTTGTCGGTGGCGGAGGATACACCATTAAGAACGTCAGCCGATGCTGGACTTACGAAACCGCGAATCTCGTTGGTGTAGCCGTTCCCAACGAACTCCCAGCTACCGTATACGACTCTTTCTTCGAAGACTCGCATTGGAAACTACACCCTCCGCTAACGGGTAACATCGAGAACCAGAACTCGCCCGCGTCGCTCCAGCGAATCACCATGAACATACGAAATAAACTGCGGTATCTCCAAGGCGCGCCCAGTGTCGCTATGCAAGAGATTCCTCCGAACATTCAGGGTTTACTGGCAGATGAGGACCGCACCGGGGAGGAGAAGGACGAAGACAGGGGGACAGGACAAGCGGGGGAACGCCGTAATGACCGGCATACAGCGCGTAACGATTTCTATGAAGGTGATAACGACGTTGATATTGGTGATGAGGAAGATAGCACTCGCCGCGCCGCTGCCACACCCAAACGTGGTAGGGGCAGTCGTCGCGGTAGGGCGCGTGGAAGGCCAAGGACATCCACCGCCACCGCGAGCACGGAGAATGCTGACGATGGCGAAGCGACGCCGACTCCGCGGCGAGCTCGGGGAAGAGGTAGAGGAAGGGGTCGGGGACGGCCAAGGAATGTGGACAAAAACAAGGAGAAAGAAAATGAAAAAGAGACGGACAAAGAAAGCGTCAGCGCTTTAGAGGCAGACAATCCCGCAACACCAATGGATATTGACGCTGCTGCGCCGTAGCACCGTATTAGTTTACTTTCATCTTTCATTCATGGAATAGTTTTCGGTAACATACTGTGAGGGAACAGACAAGGCAGTTTTACACTGTGATTAAGTTCAGAGTATGTTATGAAAACACTGATGACTATAAGTACAAATATGGAAGACTACACACGAAGCATACATTGTCCGAGATCCCGAGTGTCCAAGCATGAGGAAAGAGACATGTCGCGATACATCCATGGAAGAGTCGAGTCGAGAAACTACAATGAAATAATCAGTGTTTGTAGCGAAATTACAGCGCAAGTCAAATGAAAGGATCAGGATTTTAAAGCAATATGTGTTGTCTCCACAAAGAAGCAGAACAGGTCTGAAGTTATATCATCACCGAAAAAAAGACAGAAAGGAGACTCACACATAGTCATACATCATAATCTATAGCCTGAGGAACAAGGAGTTAGTGTACTGCGCGGCATGATGGAAGGAAGAATCAGAATAAATTGGCAATATCGTGTTGTCCTCAAATCGATGAGATCGGAACAGGTCTGAATGTATCTCATCCGCAAAGAGAAAATAAGATCTGCACTTACGATAGCATCAAACAGACAGAGCCCTCATCGGTGGTAAGGCAGTATGCACCCGCATCCACTTCTGTCTTGCAGGTGCCGATTCTCCATAAATCCAATCTTCCTCGCGTGTCTGCGCATCGTCGTCGTCCTCGCCGTCGCAGTCTTGCACATAAACACCGACGCCGGAGCCCTCCTGCGGGTCAAGAAGAATCTCAATACTCGAGCGCTTGCGCCCTGCTTGCAACTTTCGTAGCGCAACAATGAGGTCCTCGGCGAGAGGGGTGGCATTGGGTGGATCTTCTCGTATCTGTTCCCAGCCAACTGGCGGCGACCCGGGAGGCGAAATAAGAAAGTTCTTCTCTATCGGTGGAGGTCGCAGGTAGTTTGCCTCAGGGACAAATCCTACCGAGTCCTGCGAAATTAGTGGATTTGGATCGGCACGATAGACACGCAGAGTGGTATGCGATCTGCAGCAACGAACGGTCAGCAACACATAAAAGGGAAATCTCTCGAATCACATACTGATCTAACGAGCTTTCGATTATTATGGGATCAGACTGCAACTTGGCTGCCTCTGCATGGTCGTCAACTTCAAATACCACGATTATCCGCCCAAATCCAGGCAACGGCACCCATTGATTTATTGAACCAAAGGAAACGAAGTGGCGGCGCAGCGCCTCTAGAACGTTAGGCGAGAAAAATGACTTCGGGAGGGACGTTATCGCAAGAGTATTTGTTTTCTCGTTCTTCGGCGACGACGGCCTTGACGAGGACGCGGATGAGGAGATGGCTACACAGGTCATGGTGGGAGGGCTAATAGTGAAGAGGTCCACCAAGAAAATGAGCCTTTTAACTAAGAGGATGATGTAAGCACTACCGCCTAATTTAGCACTGCACTGCCTCCTCGTACCGCAACCGCTGCTCAACTAAGTACTGGAATCACTGGATAACAAAGCTAGTCTGTCACACGCCTGACTGTCACACAGTCGGTAATCCCGGTAGCGGCGCCGCTCTCGTTAGATTTCTACCGCATTATTGATTTGATTTGTAGATTATTACAGTTGCAACCTCCGTCCCTCACCAACAGGATATTGAAGCCCTTACTTCTCGCGCAGCCTGTCGGCGGTCTGTGCATGCTTGGCCTTAAGTGCATCGACCTTTTCTTCCTTGCTTGCGTCGTAGGAAATAGTGGCCTGATTAAATCTAATCCCACGCAACCGCAGTAGATCAGACACGTATAGAAGGACTGCCATCAATTACTCACGGATTCTCCGGTGATTTCTGGAATTGCTTAAACAGCAGCTCCTAAGCGGAGGGTCAGTACTGCGGCATGCGATGCAGTACTCTCGAAGTGACGGACCTTATATTGCTGCAACCGCAATCCAGGATGCTGATGAAACATTCAATTCAGCAGTAGATCTATCACGTTTATGCTAATCGTGCTCACTTCCTTGCGCACATTGGGCATTTCGCGTTCTTGGTAGGCTTCAAACGCCCCTTTGAATCGGCGCTGCAGAAACGTCAATGCAAACAGTCACAGTGAGCGATCTGAGAAATACCTCTGGATGTCGTTCGATCGATGCTGCCTGTTGTCCAACGCTGGCTTTATCCATCTTCGCCGTGACAACTTCTAGCAGATCCAGTGCATTATCAATACCCGTCGCCGCGAAGCTTTCTACTTCCTCCGGAGGTGCAGGTGCAGTGCTCTTCTCCGGAGCGACCAAGCCGCCTCCAGCAGCTATTGCACCAGGCCCTGCAGGCTTGATATCCTTCGTGGATTTCTTTGCCGCCTTGGGGGCAGCTTTCTTAGCCGCGGCGACTACAGTCTCCTCCTCAGCTAGCAGGCGGGCGTTCTCAGCCTTACGAGCGAGATCAGCCTTGCGTTTCTCCTCCTTATCTTGCTGCTTGGCCTTTCCTCCTTTCACGCTATCGTCCTTCCATTGATCTGCCTCTTTGCGCTCCTGCCACAGTGACCATGATTACGATCGGGATCACGGATACTAGAGCGAGATGCGTACAGCGGCAGCGGCAGCCTGTTCTTGCTTCTTGGCTTCATTTTCTGCTTTCTTCGCTCGACCGCTCTCCTTCTTTGCATTTCCGCCTTTGGGAGCCATGATGGTGCGTGTAAGGTTGAGGTAAGTCAAATGGGAAGAAGTTACATCTTATCTTATCGTGATGATCTTATCTCATCAAGAATTCTTACGGCGCTAACCTGAACGTTCAAACGGTCACCGGTCAAGTTCAACGTTTCAATCAACGACAAAGTTGTTACTGAGTACTTGAGCTAAGAACTCAAAATCACCCCCAAGTTGGTGAAACCCAACACAACTATCTCTTGTTGAGTCCATTGCATTTTCTCCAGGTTTCTTGTAGGACGCAGTTCTAATTTATTTGCTTCGTTTGCTTCCGTCACCAATATGATGAAAATATCCATCAGCGACGTTCACTGCGAGCCCCTCATTCAGAAATCTGGACAGCTGTTGAACAGGTACTTGGCACCCGTTCCTAAGGTGTGCTGCATCAGGAATCTCCGAATCTCTCAGAATATCGATGTCATATTGAAACCCGGGACGTTATGGGGGGCACTTATCCTTATCGTCACTATCCTTATTCCCTTCTCATGCACCTATGCCAACCATATGCGGACCCTCATATGGGCTATGCTGGCGTTCCGACACCTGTGCAGCACCTCTTCGCCACTCAGTATAGCCTAAGGCTGCATAGCTTTAACACTCTGTCAATGCCGGTCGTGAAGCAATAGGAGGTTCAACCCACTCAAGACTTGGGAGCAACCGCCACCCAACACGTAACACACAGACTACTCCCACCCGCCCTACCGAAGGTGTGCTCTCCTCGACGTCCAAAGCCAAGTCGTCAATTAGCCCTGTACTACCGGGTTAGCGAATGATAAGTCTTCCAGCAACACGGTGACACTTGATCTACGACAAATATCACGACTAAAAGACCCATTCTTGTGCGTAGTTCCGTGGTATGCGTCTTGACGACCCGGTATCCGGTTGAACGTCTCCGACTGTGTCTGGAGAACACAGGGAAAGGCCCGATATCAAGGTCGAAATGTCGAGAAACGACTTTGCTTGGGCGTCCTCGAATGCTCGACATGGTCGTTTGATCCACCCGAAGACCGACGCAGACACGCGAAGAGCTCAAATGCGAGGGCCTAGTTGTTGCAAAAAGCGGAGCTTTCATCTTGCTTTCACCCATCAACAATGCGCGGCCTTCACTATCGTAAAGTCTACTGCGATGGTAAGATGTTTCAGGCTTGGGAGCACTGCGGATCACATTCATGATTCAAGTCACGAACGACCGCCCCCGATCTTCGAGGAGGAGGGCATGAATGGCTCAACGGTCTGAAAGCCCATTGACTCGCACGCACACTAGTTTGGATGCGCCCGTACCCCAAGATCACGGAGGAATACACCCATACATGTGTGCCATTCGTCGTCGACTCCAGGCTACATGGGCCGGCTTTCATGACGATGCAAACACCCTTCATGCGCAACATAATTGGCGAAATGGCGAGCGCCCGGATAGAAGACTGTGATCAACCATACTCTGCAGGTTACTTTCCGAAGATCAGTCGCGCGTTTGCGGAGCACTGAAGCTGTGTTCGACAACATATGCGCATAGCGCTCTCAGAGGGATTGCGAAATACTTGTTTCGCCATCGACAAGCATCACCAAATTTCAAACTCTGTCCAAGATCTTGTAGGGATTGGACCGTGTATAACGTACGATACATGGTCTATTGTATGTATTCTATCGTTTGGTTTTCTTCTTGATTCGGTCCGTTATCGACCGCGGCCGCACTCTTTCTTCGGTATTATCTTACTTACTTGCACATCCACACTCTGTTTAGTTACGTCTACTACAAGTATATATAGTACCTACCTACCTATAACAATAAAAAGTTCAGTTTCCCCTCAGTCTAATGCGAGAGTCCGGGCTATGACGTTCAAAGTGTCCAAATAATACTTCCGAACAAATAACATTTGCCCGAACATTTCTGAACTTGCCGAACATTTTCTATAAGTTGCCCGAGCATTTTGTGTCACTTGGCCGAACATTTCTTAACTTACCGAACATTTTCTGTGTTTTGCCCGAACATTTTGGTTACTTGCCCGAACATTCTTTCTATACCGAACATTTCATGCTCGGGCGCTTGTGGTCATTATTGACCGTGGGAATATAGATTAATGACTGTGTGAGTTCTTGTTTCTGACCGTGAGATACTCCTGAGAAACCCTGAGACCTATCTAATCAATCATCGATCATCATTAATCCTTAATCTAATCTTCGGCGATGAATCCTTTATCTAATCGCGATCGTCAATCTTATCTCCGTAAATTAGCGCCCCCTAGGCAGCCCCCTTTATCTCCCCTTTATGCATATCTTGTAGTAGAGTCTTCGCAGTTCCCAGTGAATCCTTGGCTGTACACAAAGGTGCAAACTTGATAGAGTAATAACTAGTAGTACTCGCAGTACTCAGCTCAATTAGTACAGCACTAACACTAGAGATCTATGTATGCAAGGTCAATGACAAGGGTGTGATAAGGCTGGAATATATAGAGTTCAGCTTATATTAGCGCTATAAAGTCCTCCAGCATCAATACACATCTTATCTAGTTCCATTGGTACAGAGAATAGAAGGTCTGCGACCGAAGCTTGCGCATTTGTCTTAATTCCCACGGTCAGCAATAGCAAAGTCAGTACGCAATATTCCCACAGTCAAGTACAGGTATTCCCACAGTCACAAATCCCTTTGGGCCTGTCAGGGTCCATTAAGAAAAATGTTCGGGCAAGTAACCAAAATGTTCGGGCAAAGCACAGAAAATGTTCGGTAAGTTAAGAAATGTTCGGCCAAGTGACACAAAATGTTCAGGCAACTTATAGAAAATGTTCGGCAAGTTCAGAAATGTTCGGGCAAATGTTCGGAGATTGTATTTGTTCGGAAGTATTATTTGGACACTTTGAACGTCATACCGGGCAGTCGCACGCGGCGCTGCCTGGTTGCGTTTCCGTCTCTTCCGTGCCGTTCGCCATGTGCGTTCGGTTTCCGTCTTTCCTTCCTATTTCGTCTTTTGGTGGGAACACCACACATTCCCAGTCCTCGCATTCCTACAATCTACAACTTGAATTTTCCGAAGCTCGACCTTGGCTTGCTTATTGGCTTCGCCCAACAGTGGCGACCTCTTAACTACTAGGTTAGTCAAGAACGAAATGTAGACGCAATATAGTTTGTTATCAGGCTTGAAATAAAACGGGACTCTGGGAGTTTGGCGGGTTGAACGAGTTAATTCCAGACAGTGTCCATGCCATTCGATCGTGATGTGCGGCTGTCGCCAAGTTGTCACTGCGTTTGAGGAGCGGTTATGTGGTAGTTCGGAGCCGCTACCGATCGGTGATCGAACGACACTGATCGACTCAGAGTCGTGGTCAGGTTCTTCGGTAACAAGCAGGGTGAGAGAAATGGGAAGTAGTGACAACATCGTTTACGAGACCCTAGCAATACATACAAGCGTAAAGAAATGAAAGATCGGCAATTAGGCGACCAAGGTCATCACAAATATATTCGGTGCTTTGAAACCGAGGCGAGATTCGGCGTATCGGTCATTCCGTGCCAGACCTTCGAAGAAGACTCGCTCGCGCAGCCAATCTAATGAGGCATGAGCTATAGAAGCCAGGTCAATAATGGGCACGTACCAACACGCTTGTAACGATTCGGCGGAACTGCCGGGGAGTAATACATATTCCATCCACTCTGGGCGTTGTGCGCTGCCGTGCGCTTAACCTGTTCTTGTAGTCGAGGGGGCAGGGCTTGGAACTCCCCATCAGTCACATAATTCTCCGAGTATCTATGCCCGAAATTAGCCAGTAATCGTGAGAGTAGGAAGATCACTTACTCCTTCCATACAGCCGTGCAAATGTCCCCCATAGTGACGCCTCGTTCGTTCTTCACTATCGTGCACCATGGACTGATCTCGGTGATGATGACAAGTTCTGTTACTCTGGGCAGCGTCGCTGGTTCGTCCTTTTGTGTGAAGGATAGATCACGGTCTCTTGCACTTGGGTTAAATCCCCCAGTCTGGCCTGCGAAGGAAGGACCATCACGTTTAGTGACTAAGCGTCAAATAAGTTGCGGCGACTGACCATTTGCTAGGTTGAATACAAGATGGAAAGAGCCGTGGTTTCCGGATATTATGGGGTTGAGTTCGAGGTTTGTGTTGAGTAGATAGAGGTCTGTCTGTGAGAGCACCGGGCCGTCTGCCAGCGCAGTGAGTGAGGATGCGGCCTCTGCCAAGGTTCACCACTCGCTTACAGGATCCGCCGGCGGCCCACTTTCCAATTTGATCAGCCATGGTAGTGAGGATATGGAGAAAGGTAGATGAAGGGAATGCGCAAGGAACAAGAACTGCAGTGCTCGATTATAATTCTGTAGCAGATCACGTGGCGATACAGCTCTGATCGGATTCGATCAGCCTTCGCCTCGAGTCAATTGCCTGTTCAGAGTCACCACAATCCCTCAGAATTGTCTTTACGCTTGCTTCAACCGTTGGTCAGACTCCAGATTGGAGTACAAGGGACACAATAGTTGAGAGGGTAAAGTCTGGTTTACTTGCATCGTGAGTTATTGTTGTCCTTGTATTTGACGCTCATTTCATCCGTTTATTGACGTTTTTCCTGAGTGTTCTTCAGGATCTTGTACTAGTCAAACTAAGTCATCCCTACTCGTTCCTTGGGCACAATGTCCCGACGACCGACTCCCAATGTGACTCCCTTCATCCCCCCGCTGAACACGCCTGAAGCACCGCCTTCTGCAGCACCACCCCCAGTCCCCTCACCTGGCGGTCCTCTGGCTGGCTGGGCATCACTTCCTCAGAACCCGAATAACTACCCCCCGTTCTACCCATCTACACCGTATACAACAACGCCCTTCGTACCGTCACTGGGCATGAGCGCCCACGGTACACCCGTAATTCCAATGGGTTCTTACACTCCAGCAGCACCTCCATCGGCTGCCATCCCTCCGATGCAACCTGGACTATCAGCAGATTACATTGGCTACCCATCGATGGGGCCGACACCGGCTTGGGGCCCGCCAGCGCCTCTTCCTGGTGGACCGCCGCCCGGTACGCCATGGTCGGCACCGGCAACAGCTTTCCAACAACCCCCGGGGACACCCTGGGGAGGGATGGCCCCACAAGGTTATCAACCATTTCACCAACAGCAGCCGCAACACCAATCTATGGCCGCTGCGTTTCCTGGGATGATGAGCGGACCACCGCCCCCTCAGATGCAGCAGCCACCTATGGCTCGACCTCAGGCCGCAGCGACGTGGGGTATGCCGCCCCAAGGCATGCCTGGTGGTTACGCGCACACACCCGCTATGGGTATGGGTATGCTCGATCCTTGGGGCGCACCACCACCGCCAGCGCCAGCTTGGGCACAACCACCACCGCCAGGCCCGCTTCGCAGAGCCACAGACCATGACGGAGATCACGTCAATCCCTTCACAGTTGGCGACCACTGTGAGTTGCGAGCCCATTCCGGGGCAATAGTCTAACCCTACTCCTCACAGATGGGCCTGTTCTGGAGCCGTTCTTGATTCAGGTGGTCAAAGCGAGCGTGAAGTTGAATCCACTTATAGAGCCGGCTCCCGATAATTCCGACCGGCCCTACTTGAAATGGAACATGCTCTTCCCATCTGCCTACACGCAACGGTCGACAGATCCTAGTACAATGTCCTGGATCAATGGAAGAGAAGAGCCCGCCACATTTCCTAGAATCACCTTTCTGCGACTAATCTCGAAATCATTCCCGTGGATGATCACTGTCCGTGCAACGAAACGCACTGTTGGGGTAACATGCGGCGAAGTCATAGATGCTATCGCAGAGAACATGTCGCGCCTCGCAAGCCAGACGGACTACCATTCTTTGCCCAAATCCAAGCAAAAGACGATCTCGGAAAACTACCGTCGGAATAGATCCCGCGCTCATGGCGTTCCTGGCGGCCGATTGGGCGAAGGGATCAAGCGGCTAGATTGGCTGGGGACTGATTCCATGTTCGGTGGGATTGAACGGAACGAAAGGCTGGTGAAAGAGATCTGTGGTGATGTACTGCCCTGCACATTTTCTGTGTCCTGTATACGGCGGTACCCAATGAGTGAACAAGAGATTAAGGACCACGAAGCAAGGGAACGGACTATGCGAGAGCACAACCGGTCGCTTCAACCTTCAGCGGCAACACCCTCGATTAGAACATCCGTGCACTCGGGAGGCTCTTCGGACGACTCTGATGATTAGATGATTTCTTCGGGACCACTCGCGGGCATTCCTTCTCCATCGCAGCGACTTTATCTCGGATTCCGGATGTAACCTACTCTCCTGCTTGATGTCATGTAATCTTCATCTCCGTCTGCTATCTATCCGTATCTATGCGGCAATCTGTTTACTTGTCTGGCTATGTTCTACATTCCACGTCGTCTATCTGCTTCCTGCAAATCGTTGATTCGCTCCCTACATGATACCAATGTGTACGATTTTATAGCAATTCATAACAAAAGGTACAAATATCAGGATGGCGGAAGTCGAATAGTAATGTTCTCTACCACATATTCCGAATCAGCATAGCCCAGTATTCTGGGGAGATGCGAGCTGCAAGCACCGGAATATTAGCAAAGTTAAAAAGGGAATGAAGGGGCCTACAAACCTATTAAGGCCCTTCACACTTAGAATCTGCTGCGAATTGTAGTTAGCCAATCCACGACCAACTTCAATCACGTCGCCTTCGTGTATATCCGCCTCCATCTTCTCCACTCCGTCCCCGGAAGTCTGCAAAGCAGCAGCGCCGTCGCTATTGGGCGGCACACTCTGTTCTCCGGGGACAGGCGTGCTTGGACGAGTAGCCTGCAGCGCGCGGGAGTATGCTGAATTATCAGAGGCTTCACCTTCGACTGGTCGGCGGATCACAATTTTTACGGCTTGGCCTGAAGCAAAGGCACCTAGGACACCTTTCACACCAGCGGCCAGGAGGCGCCCACCAGACTCTCGTCGAGAAAGAACATGATGGGCGCCGCTGTCTATCACCACGCTCCCAGATGGGTAAAGCGTATGACTCGTCCAAGATTTGAGATCCCGTAACGGGATGGAAGACGGTGTAAAAACAGTGTGCGCCGGACGAACTGGAGTGGAAGTGCCGCTGATCGCAGTGTTGCGACTTATGACCGCCGTGGTGCCTTCACCCGCGGTGACGACTGAGACCTTTGCGGTGTTGTGGTACTCAATGATTTTAAAAACATTTTCAGGCTGTTTGCTTGAGGTTATGATTGTCGTAACCCCTGCTGCGGTGGCGATTTCTGCGGCGATCAGCTTAGTTTCCATCCCGCCCGTGCCCAGGCTTGAGCCCAGTGTTGTAGTGCTGACTGAGTGACTGTTAGTAGTTTGTGCCGTAGCGTTTGAAGAACAAACCTCGAGAGCGGATGTCAGCGATGGATGTCACGATCTCTATTTGCTTCGCGGACGGGTCCTTCCGTGGGTTGGAAGTATATAAGCCATCGACATCAGTAAGAAGAAACAGGTAGTCTGCGTGAATCATTGATGATGTTATTGCTGAAAGTGTATCATTGTCGCCGAATTTTATTTCCTGCAGGTAATATCTGTGATTGTTTAACGTGGACGACTACATAGCCAACTCACACTGACAGAGACCGTATCATTTTCGTTTACAATAGGAACCACTCCCATGGAGAGCAGTTCATTGAAGGTGTTCACGGCATTCAGGTACCGTGTTCTCTGGTACAACGCGCTGTGAGCATTGGCCTTACCTTCAGCCGTATAAACAGAGCACACACATCCGAGATGTCGCCGCGCGTCAATAGTACTTGGGCGATAGGCTGTTCTAGTTGACCGAACAGATTGTCCCACAAAGCAATGAGCCGTCCTTGCCCAATTGCAGCCAGCGCCTGATCCAAGAGATCTTTCAACGATGTTCATGTGGAATTTGAGAGAGCTGGATATACCTGCTTTCCTGACAGACTCTTGGGCCGGTTGGCGATGTCCATTCGCTTCAGCCCGACGCCTATGGCGCCAGAGCTAACGAGAACAACCTTATGCCCCTGCTTTCTGAGAGACACTACGGTCTCCACCACGGCCGAGAGGGTGGAAAGTAGGGGCTGATGAGTCGTTTCATGAACGATCGACGAAGTTCCTGCGTCAGAGCTAGCGTTAGATTTTACAACAGCACCCGTCAGTCAGCCCACCGAGCTTGATGACAATTGTACACGGGGCACCGGTTCGCGCCCGAGGAGCCATACGCACGACCGTGAAAAGCCGTGAAATCTCGTGGCGAAGTCTACAGAAATGATCGAAGATGGTACTGATGATCGAGCTCCCCGATTGATCACGTGGACTTACATGTGGCTGTGCAAATTTTCTTTCTCAAGTTCTTACTACGATAAAAGTTAGGAAAGTGACCATAAAGTTCAAATGGCACTTGGTGTTAAACGGAAAAGGGCTCAGGATCAAGAGGGCAGAGAAGTGAGTATCTCGTCGCTCTACGTCTTCCAGACCTCATCATATCTAGTCAACTAAAATAGGCAAATGGCAGGACCCGGAGGTACTATCCGGTGAGGATGTTTCGGACGATGACTATGGTGACTTTGAGGACTTGGAAGCGGGGGACATAGCAGAAGCAGAATGGGGGGGAATCTCAACCGAAGCCAACGTCGTCGAACAGCAACAGCATAGCGGGACGAAGCCCAAGAAACCCCCGACCGGAGAGGAATTGCGAGTAATCAAGGACGCTACTGATCTATTCAGATCGAGCTCCTTCAAACTTCAGGTAGGTTTGATGCTGCCGAATCCATTCTCTGTCTGACAATTGTAGATTGATGCCCTTCTACCGAATGTCCGTCCCAAAGCATCGCGGATACCACCCCTGGAACGATTCCTTCTTGCACTCCATACCTTCATCACTTCACTTCCACCGATATCTGCAGAGCACCCGTTGGTGGCGGCCCGAAAAATGGCCAAGAAGGGTATCGCTGTGCCGTATCCTCTACCGCAACCCGCGGAAGACACTAACTGGAAAGTCGCATTCGAGAAACCTAGTGAAATAACGTTGGTCGGGAGCTGGGCAAATAAGTTAAGTATAAAAGGTCGAGACGGGCGTTCGTTTAGCGTCGACTTGGCGTTGGAGATGCCAAACGTGAGTTGTGGTCTTCATTCATGTCGGGTTGCCCTAACAGCCTTTTAGAGTCTGTTTCAGGAGAAGGACTACCTGAACGGTCGGTTTTTTCATAAAAGAGCATTCTATCTCGCCAGCCTTGCCTCGCACCTCAGCTCGCAGAAAAGCGGGCTTAACGTTTCCATCTCGTATGGGTCCATGTCGAATGATCCACGACTTACGAAGCTCATCCTCACTCCGAACAAAGGTACGCACTATTTGACCCAAAATGCCTACTGAGCCTCACGCATTCGAAGACGACTCTCCCAACGATTTTACCAAACTGAACGCCCAGATATGTCTGATCCCGACACTCTCGCTAGAATCACCTATTCCTTTGCATCGACTATCACCTTCCCATTCCAATCTTCGGGTTACATCTATATCTCAAGATAATGAAGCTGGCCCCTCAAATCACCAGGCAACCCCCCTCTACAACAACGCGATCCTCACCTGTTTTACGCCTAGACCGCACCTCCTGGCGATCCACGCTTTGACACAGATTCCTGCGTTCAACGACGCGCTCGTGCTCCTCCGTATTTGGGCCAACCAACGCGGGTATAGCAGCGGAAGCAAACCATGCGTAAGAGGATTCCAGGATATGGGCCCTTGGTGGGCGTTTTTGCTCAGTGCCGTGATGAACGGCGAGGAACCGACGCAAGATGGTAAGCCTTTGAAGAGGAAACCCTTGGGAAAGGGGCTGAGTTCGTATCAACTCTTCAAGGCGGCGTTGGATTTCATTGGTGAGCTCGCACTATAGCGTGCTCGTTTTCGTACTAGAATATTTGTCGAAGGGAAACACGATTTTGTATCCTCGCCTGTTTTTACCAAGACGAAGGACGGGCATCGCGTGCGTACCCTCCACTCCACGGTTCTACAGCCGCTAATGCTATCGTTTATCTAGTTTCCGCCCAACGAATACACGGACAACTATTCTGCCGTTCATGTGGATAGCTCATCATTAGTAAACCTTCTTGCTGGCATTCCAGTGGGTTCACTGCGACTTGTACGTCTATGCTTCTAGATAGGGACCCTCCTTACTGACGGCTGTCTCGCTAGCTTTGTTACGATGCTCAAAAGACCCTCGAAATCTTGGATCATTCCTCGCTGAACGTCGATCCCTTCACTGAGGTCTTTCTGAAAGAGCAACGAGATCTCATGACTCGCTGTGATATCGTTTTGCGGTAAGGGCCTTATTCTATCTTGTCAGCTATCGCGGATACTGATCGGTTTCTCAGCGTTGATATCACTTCAGCGAAACAACGAAACGAATCAGTGGCCAAAATTCTCGACCACGGTTCCTCAATCAATTCCCTCTTTGCAGCTATTGATGTCACCCTTTGCGCAGGCTTAGGAAACCGCTGCAAAGCCATGGCGATCCTGCATCCGACCCCATCGTCTCGTCCACTTACACAACCCCTACCTTCAACGTCTGAGCTGACACATATTTTCATTGGTCTAGTTCTTGATACTCAGCACGCGTTCCGCTTAGTCGATCACGGCCCGTCTGCCGACGAAACTGATTCCACCGTTATACAACGCTTCCGCGAACTCTGGGGTTCAAAAGCTGAACTTCGACGCTTCAAGGACGGACGCATCGTCGAAAGTGTCGTTTGGGAGGTAAAAACGGCTGATGAACGCAACCACGTTCCAGCTATGATTGTTCAACATCTCCTGCAAAACCATTTTGGGATAGATGGGACGAAGGTTGTGGCGTGGCAGAATGGTTTCGATAGCATGCTACGACTACCTGAGGAGGTTTCGTCGTTGTACCAGGAAGCGGGGGTCGCCGCTGGATTTAGGGGCGCCATTGCTGCGTTTGACCAGGTTGTCCGAAGCATAAAAGCTCTAGATGAAAAACTGCCTCTGGCAATCCTGAATATCAGTCCCAACTCTCCGTATCTCCGGTACACTAGCGTCTTCGCGCCCACTCCGCTTCCCGCCTCTCTTGCTCCTCTTCTCCCAGGATGCGCACGTTACCTCCCCCACATTGAATTCATCATTGAATTCGAAAAATCAACTCGCTGGCCAGATGATCTTCGGGCTATCCAGAAAATTAAACTAGCGTTCTTCGAGCGCATTGCTAGTGCGCTTATGGGCGCCGTGGATGGGCTTCGGGCCAATGTTGTTGTTGGCGACGGTCCAGGCTCCTCGGACATTCAGGATCACGCCAAATTGGAGGTTATCACCAAGGATGGGTGGAGTTTCGCTGCTAGTATATGGCACGAAAGAGAAGCGCAACTTCTTGATCGCCTCGTCGAGAACAAACCTTTGCTTCCCCATATTGCTGCCACACAACCGAACTACAAACCAGCGACGGGAAAAGAAATTCGCGAGGCGATCGAAGGCAAGGACCTGTACCTTCGTCGATTCGTACATGGACCAAGGCATCATCGCGCCATTGGTGCGCTTGTACATCAATTCTCGGCATATGCTGGCGCGGTGCGACTTCTCAAAAGGTGGTTGAGTGCCCATTGGCTTCTGGAGGGGCATATCTCGCAGGAGGCTGTGGAAATCATTACCGCAAGTGTGTTCGTCGGAGACGGGCGCCTCGTCGGGGTGGAGGACGAATATGGTGGGCCAGGCGTTCCAGCAACGAAGGAGCGAGCCTTCTCAATGGTTGTTGAGAAGTTGAAGGATTGGAAATGGGAAGATGGGATGTTTGTACCTCTGTATGGGCTTTCGGCAAGCACGACTGCTGAAAGCTCAGTTTCAGAGGTCGGTGCAGATGCTGGGGTTCCCAAGGCTTGGGGGTCAGCCATGCGCGCCGAGTCGAAGAAGGGCGTCTGGAGGTTGTCAACGGAGATGGATCAAACAGGACATATCTGGACTACCGAAGGCCCCGATGCCGTTGTTGCCCGACGTATCCAAGCACTGGCTAGGGCGACATACGAAATATTGCAGAGGGACGGTCTCGAAGTCAAGGTACATCCTCGTCCTAACGCGAAACACATTGCACAACTAACTCAGGATTGTAGGCCTTGTTTATCCATCCGACGGACGACTACGATTTCCTCATCAAGCTCGACCAAAGCATACTGCCGCGTTATGCGCAGAATGTTTCCCCAGATCCGTCCATGCTGGATCCTCGCCTGAACTCGAAATACGCCAATCTTGTGAAGCGCAGCGGAGATAGCAACGATGATGTCGTCCGGCCTGGCTTTGATCCCGCGCATATGCTATTCACGGATCTTCGACGGATATACGCCGATACATTCGTCCTTTTCCATGATCCATGTGGTGGAGATACCTTTGGCGGCGTGTGGGATCCGAGTGTGAAGGACAGGCCACGACCGTTTAGGGTGCTCGGTGGTTTCTCGAGTGCGCCTCAGAGTATGTTGAAAAATACAGCTACAGATGTGGTGAGTTGCGTCTCTGCCTCAATACGAACCAACTGAACTATTTCCCAAGGATTCAACGCCGTCGAGTTCGAGCAAAGGCAAAGAAAAAGAACTCGTCGTTCTGAACTGTCAATCAGTCCTTTCGGAGATTGAAAGGATTGGACAAGGCCTAGTGAAGGAGATTACCGTTCAAGTTCACCAGTGAAATCATGTTTGAAGGTGCCTCGTGTCATATACGTTACAATGATTTCATGACAAGTACTCATAAAATAGCATGTAGACGGAAATTCACTATTCCAATCGTACGAGGAACGAAGGGCGAGCTAACCCACGGTATCTTTCTCCTTTTCGCCATGTGTGCTGGTCAAGATTGAGTCAAGAACTAACCAAACGATGTGTGGGCTGAGCGCTTAACCTCCTAAGCGGCCCCCAACGCAATAGGGGGAGGCTGACCGCCGTCAAGTTTAGAGGTTGGAAGGACTGTGAATCTTCCTGTCATACCACCATCCATGTCTAGGTCAATACGTCTTGTACTATGCCTAGCAACTGCAGAAGCCCTCCTCCTGATACCGGCCGATTCCCCAGCAGATGCTTCAAGTCAATTCCTTCCACCCACCCTCACATCAAGCCTACTGTTAGCGACTTCTAGCGGCGGACAGATAGATACAACAATAGTAACAGAAACTGTGCAATATCAGACTACGGTCTTCGAAGTTGTCACCGACACTGTCTTTAGCTCTTCTTCACCATCCACCCCAACACCGACTACTGAGTCGACATATCCCGCGCTTCCATCACCGTCCAACGGAACCTCATGGTCGGCGCCTGCAGATATGATTGATCTATCCTCTTTCAAGGTCACATATTTTCCTGCTGGTTGGCAAAACGTCGAACTCGTTTCTGGTATCCCCGCGACGGCGAGTGCCACAGGTACAGCCTTGTCAGCAGAGTCCACAGCGAGCACGCCGTCTTGGGATAACTCTTCGTCAATCCTACAACTCATGTACCCGGCGGGTTCGATAAACCCAGCAAGTCAGCCACAAGGCGGAGCCGAGTTTTATGCATCACCGCTGAAAGGGATGACCAAGGCCCAACAGATGGTTCTTACATACAGCGTCTTCTTCCCCGTAGACTTCGATTGGGTCAGAGGCGGCAAACTTCCTGGTCTCTACGGAGGGCGCGAGCATTGTTCCGGAGGGGTTGACGCGACCGATTGCTTTAGTACGCGGATGATGTGGAGGCAAGGTGGCGCTGGTGAATTGTACCTGGTAAATGCACAAATTCTCGAGCAACACCACATTACTGACGGATTGGACTTCACAGTATGCTCCGAAAGATAAACAAACCTCCGAACTGTGCGGAGACAATCAATCCGTCTGCGAGTCTACATACGGGCTTTCTATTGGCCGAGGGTCGTTTAATTTCAACGCAGGCTCTTGGACTCATCTGAAACAGACCGTCACCCTCAATAGACCTGGGAAGCCAGATGGTTACTTCGCTTTGGATGTCGATGGGAAACGAGTTATCGAGCGGAGCGACATATACTATAGAGGCATGCCGGCGCCAACCAAGACGATTAAGAAGCCGGTGGTAAAGAAACCAGAGCAAGGCGGAGGGTTGCTCGGTCCCATTCTTGGCGGGATCCTCCCCAAACGAGCTATCGAGCGTCGTTCTTTGAGGATTGTACCGGGCAATCAGGCAGTAATGACCAGCGATGATTCGATGGAAGTCTCTACGGAGAACGTGGACGACGAGGGACCAATGTTATTGGCAGGACAAGCAGACTCAAGTGAACCAGTTGGATTCATTGGGTTATTTTTTAGGTAAGGCAGCTCAGGTCTGAAAAGGATTGCCTACTAATCTGCTTATTCAATAGTACTTTCTTTGGTGGGCACGAACAAAAGTTTGCGACCCCGCGAGATCAATATGCCTGGTTTAAGGACTTTTCAATGTCATACTAGTTTAGTTAAGGAGCACTGGGTCGGTGAAGGGAAACCTTGATACGTACACGTAAGTACGTACGTACTTCGAGCTGTGGAAAATTATAGGAACTGATCCAACGCCGCATTTCATCAACATCGCGTGCACTCTCAAGAATGTATCTGGGTAATGCAAGATCAAATGCTGTCTCATAACATCATGATTGGTGTTGTTTCCAGACGCCTCGAACTTGCCAGGACCTCATCAACTAAGCATCTCGCGCCTTACTTCGATGGTTGTTGTTGCTCCCATGTCTTAATATCCCATGGCGTAGAGAGTGAAAGGCTGCCCCACAGCAGGCCATGGAGAGGTTGCACCATCCTGACGAACACAAAGTCCAGCCCATCGCTGAGGACACCGCAGATGCTGTGCCTGTCGGGCACCAAGCCAATGGCAGTCAACTTCCCTCACTGTCGCCTCCTCGCAGTGCGTTCTTGCTATCGCCTAGTGTATGTTCTGAGTATTTTGAACAGAGCGACAGATTGAGCGACGTTCATAACGCCAGTATGTTCGCTGCGGCTGGGGTATACGACGCCATCTAACGGCTGGCTGTTTAGACTATGTGTTCATCGGGCTCTGGTGGGGATAGACCAGTCGATTCGCATCCAACGTCCGTGACCCTTGCTGAAGGCTAGATATATAGGCGCAGCTTTGACCGTGCCCTCTGCATTGCATTCGACTCGGATCATTTGACGGTCCCAGATCCCGTCGAACAATCCCAGGCAGTGGCACTGTTCGCAGGGACGGCCGACATAGGCAACAGTAAGTCAACGATCGATCTCGACCCATACACGGCTAAACACTTGTCTAGTTTTGGGACTGTTTATCGCAGCCATTCTCGTGATATTCACTTCGTGGCCTTGGGTATATTACTTCATTGCTATTACCGAGTTCTCGCTTTTGTCGCCGTACCAACCGTGGAACATAGCCATGTGTCGTCGACCGAGAAGATCAGGCGTCTGGACATCATTGGCATTTCTACCTTGACAAGCGAGTGGTCTCCGTCCTCTGCTATATGGTTATCGCCAAACTAACATGCGAACAAAGTCGCCCTCATCTTGTTCGTATCCGCTGTGACTTCAGGCTCGATCTCTGGATGGGGTTCGGCTAAGGTGATTGCCAACCTCGTCATCTCCGTCGTGCTCGTCGTTGCGTTCTTTATCTGAGAAGCCCGTGTTGACGAAAACCGCGCCGCGCTGTAAGTCCCTCGTGCGTCTCATCTACCTAGGAGTTGACGATGCTTCTCAGGTCACCCAAGACATGGAAATATACTAATTTCAGCACGATGGTGGCCTGCGCAACCCTACCTTTCCTCTTGGCTCTGGCAAGAGGTTTGCGGATGGATGGTAGGCGCTTATCACGGCAGCACACTTGTGAGCCATTCATCATCACTAGCCAGTTGCGTAATGGTAACAGTCTGTTCTCCAGCCTCCCGATCAGCCTTATGGGCATTCCGTCCATCATCATTAGCAACGTTTTGCAGAAGAAGTATCGACTGAAATACGTCATGGTGTTTGGAATGGTCCTTACGGTTGCAGGGACCGCCCTGTCGCCGTTTGCCGACTCAAGGGGCAAGTACTGGGGCTTCGCATTCCCTGGCCTTCTTCTTGGTGCGTCTGGTGTTACAGTGGTCTTCACAACGTCGAAGTGAGTTGATCAGCTGTGTGCCTTGGCTGTGGATTGGTTCATCTGCCCCCTCTAGCATTGCCGTTGTCAAAGTGACGCCTCCACAGATTGCAGGAACTGTCGGCACTGTATACAACTGTTTCCTCGAACTACGCTGCGCCGCCGTGTTGACATTATAACGTCAATTCAGACCAGTGGTGAAGTATACCACGGGGGACCGACGGGATACTCTGGGCGAGCAGCAGGATTTTGGTTCCTCTTCGCCTTAGTTTGTCTGCTGGCTCTCTGCAGGCTCGTTTTTATCAAGAACACGATCCCTCCTGTCAAGAAAAATGTGGAAGAAGAGAAGGAGAAGATGGCGGCGTTCGAGACGTCTCGTGATGTTGAGGATGGGAGTTCATAGACTCGAAAACGCGGAAAGGCTGTTAACGACGTCTAGTTGGAACCGTTTGAATTTTGGTCGTGTAAAAATTCAAGATCACCGCCCAGTTGCAACACAGTCGTCATCGCTGTCTTGTTTGTATTTGTACGAGGGATTCGCAAAAACTGGGAACCAATACGTTGGGATGAATACGCGTAGACGCTACCTATTTCTCGCCTAATAATCGCCGCCTTCTAGCTTTGTCGCCAGCAGCATCGATCGCTTCCAGTTTTCCATGTGAATCTTGACCTCCGCCGCTGAGATCAAGTTCTTATTGTAGTCCGCACCAAGCTCAATGATTCCCTTCCAAGAGGAAATACGGAAGAATCTATGAGTGACCCTGAATCAGACTGGGTGCAAGTATCTTCTGTGGAAAGACCTACGGAGCTGGTTCAATATGGTTGACAGATATGAATACGTCGGACAGCTCCAAGACAGCTTTCCCCAAGGAGTCTGTGAAAGAGTTATCTAGCTGCTTTTCAGAGATACCGTCACTTGAGAACGCGTAGCAGTTGTTGGGGGGTAACCTGAGCAGAGTCAAGCAGTGAGAGAAGAATTAGAGCTGAGAGACAGATCCGTACATGTTCGCTTTCGCGCCAGCGATGATGTTCTGCATGAAAATCAGAGAGGCCTGCCCCATATAATTAATGGGGTCAGGGAGGGCCTTCTGTTGCCCGTAGCTATCCCGGACGGCGTTCATCGCTTTGACTAGGGTTTTCTTATCCAAAGGCGCAGGTTTTCCATCGGTTGCGATGAAGAGGGAAACGGGAACTGAGAGATGGCTGACTCCGAGAGCGTAACCACTATAGCCATCACGAGAGGAGTAAGGCTCAATCAGAAACTCGCGGCAATTGCGCAAGTGGAGATTGCCAAGGACTAGGCCGGCAGCGTCGGCTGTAGGAGGATTATCTGCCATAACCGTCATAGCGAGGGCAGCGTGAGCTATGACATATCACAACAAGGTCAGAGATAGCAGAGAAGCCATGAGGATAGAACACTTACCGAGATGAGTCAGAGTGTACGCTTTGCTGACATCCGCCTTCCCCGAGGGTTTCAACGACGCAAGAAGCTGCGCTGACTCGGAGGCAGAGAAGAACAGAACCTCTCGACCTGGTGAAGGCCATCCTGAGTCGGACGGCCTAGGTTTGAAGCCATAAGGAATCTACAGGGGAAGAGCTTAGCACATGAAAACGGCAGGCGACAAAAGGATTACCTTCATCGCTTCGCCGATTGACTGCAATACTGCGCCCATGGTGCCATAGTAGGGGTGGGCGAAACTGGGTTCCTCTGACGAATTTGGAGGGATGGCGCGAGGTACGGACGGCAACAAGACGTTGTAGACGGCGGGGGCAAGGTTACTTGCCTCGCTTCCCCACTGAAGGGGACTCTGTGGAACATCGCTAGATCCCAAATGTTTGGCAAGTTGGATGAGGTAGCGGTTTAACATGATCTTGAGCCCAACACCGTCGAATGGGGCATGATGGGTGCGAACGAGGAAGCCGAACTTTGAAGCGGGCTCTCTGTCGCTGCCTGGGGTCAGGACTAGATGGGCCCAAGTCTGGAGACCGTCTTTAGATGGAATCTTCTCCTCGCCTAGCTTCAGGCGGAGGGGCTCGACATCAGCTTGTGGGTGTTGGGAGACAATGAAAGTGCGGTTGGCCCACTCATTGACCTCCGCCTCGTTGGCTGGTTTGTAGACAAGACAAGAAGTTCCTTCGTCATCCGGAACAATAGATGTCGCGATGGCGGGGACATGGTAGCGCAACCACAGCCACGTAGCTCGTGCAGAGTTGGTCAATTGAGACCGGGAGATAGTTGCAGAAACGTTCACATGCGCTCCAATGAAGAGGTTTTGCTCGCCCTTCATATGCCGATTGTAAACGTCCTGAACGAATTCTCCTCCTCCGAGAATGCGAGAGACGATGCCCTCCGATGGGAGCTCCTTCCACAAGAATCTGTTCGAATCGAATTTGGCGAGAACCTGTTCGGCCATTGTGATTGGCAAATGATATGAGCAAGTGTCTTGAAGTTAACAAGGCCGCTGTTGAGCGTGATGGAGACCAGCAAGATGGTAGCACCTTATATACCGCCGCGCATAACATCAAAAAGTCCACCTGGAGCTTCCACAACTATAAACGACCCCATCAGCACACCCACAGGCGCAAGCACGTCGAAGACGCCGCACCATCAGGAGCTCCTGGTGCTACGAATCTTCCGATGGACACTGGGAGCATGTCATCCTCCTGGGAGACAACAAGGTATGGGGCATGGGCCCTTCTCAACAGTGTACCCGGTCGCGCATTCATAATGTCAAGGCAAACTCGTGGGTTGATTAGATTTGGGGCTTCGGTGAATGTCGTTCTGCCTTGGGCAAATATAGCCACGAAGCCTTGTAAAAGGTCCGCTGATGAGGTAATTTGTACCAGTGATCGGAAGGGCGCACCTGGGCGTCCTGAATTCCCCAGGTCGACCAATTGCCTGGATGAATACGGGGGAAAGATCAAGCTTTCCCTTGATGGTTGGTGTCAATGATCACCCGAAAGAACAGCCGAGAATTGAATGGCATGGATGTGACCACAGCGTAGCCTTTATCAGCAGCGAGGGAGGTTTATAGAACCATCCCACGTTGGGCAATGGGCCATGCCCCCAGCCACTGAAGTATCTTCAAGGAGTAGTTGGGAAACAGATATACCACTGAGAGCGCTCCCCATCACGATGATGTTGTCGTTACGAAAGAGGTCCGGGTGCTGACGCGCCCATTTGAGGACACTCTTGTAACCTTCCAACTGTTTCTCGAGGGAGACAAAGTTTCTGGGCTCGCCGCCAGAGTCACCAAAGAACTGATAGTCGAAGATGAGGGAAGCATAACCAGCATCGCTAGCCCATCGCTCCCCAAAAGACGCGAGACCCGCATCCTTGATGACAGTCATTCTAACGATATTGATTGAGGTCACATCTACGCCAGGGAGTTCGACGCGTACCCGTGTCCAGCAACAACTAGAGGAAATGGTGCCGGGCCCGTCGAGCAACTATTAGTAGGAACTCGCACTTGCATGGAATTTAGATATACGAGTGTATCTTCTCAAAGAAGGGTATTTGATCATACTCTACGTGAGCAAGGAGCCTCTCCCGATCTTGACAGAGTTTTTGCAGTTCCTTCGGCTCTTCCACAACATCTTCCATGAGCGCTTTGACGATTTGGCTGAGCGTAAGCACTTAAGCTTGAGCTCCTCGCCGCTCTGAGCCCCTGCAAGTCACGTGAAAGCTCCTATCTCTCTTGAAAGACCGCGGCAGTCATTCAGACTGCAAAGCTCACGTTGTTCCGACGCCGCCATGAGCCCGCTCCGAATTGCATTCCTCCATCCTGATCTCGGAATAGGTGCGCTGAACTGAAGACTGAAAACGATTGGGTGATTTGACAATACCGTAGGTGGTGCTGAGCGCCTGGTCGTCGACGCTGCGCTCGGCCTCCAAAACCTCGGTCACCACATCGACTTGTACACTTCACACCATGACCCGACGCACTGCTTCGAAGAGACTAGAGACGGTGAGGGCGACTCTGATCACTGCTACTGCTAGCTCAACATACGTATAGGTACCCTCCGCGTCCACCATGTCGTCCCCCCATTCCCCCGGTCGATACGTGGCAAATTCCATATACTCTTCGCGCACGCTCGTCAGCTACATTTAACTCTCCATCTCTTACTTCGAGGAGGGCCATCATACGATGTATACTTCGTAGATCAACTGTCGACATGTATTCCATTCCTGCGAACGTTCGGCAAAACACGCGTGGTGTTTTATTGTCACTTTCCAGACAAGCTCTTGGCCAACGGAGAATTCGTCGAGGGCAAGTTCGCAAAGATGAAAGGGGGGATCCTGAAACGTCTATATCGAATCCCCATGGATTGGGTGGAAGAGTTGACAACCAGTATGTCGCCCAGCTTGTTCTTTTGGTCAGACTCTTAATCTCTTCAGAATAGGACAGGCAGACATTATACTAGCCAACTCGAAATTCACCTCCCAGGTATTCCAAACCTACTTCAGATCAATACCACGCGTCCCTCGTGTCGTGTATCCCGGCATCAACATCTCTGCTTACGAGACCGCCGTCGACTGGAGTGATCCCGACATTGTTCAAGTGATATCGTGCGTCTAGACTGACTACCGTTGAATTACTCTCATCCATCTTGACTAGTGACCGCCCCACCCTCTTGTCTCTGAACCGCTTTGAGAAGAAGAAGAATGTTGCCTTGGCACTTGCAGCGTTCGCTCAAATGAAGACCGGCTCCACACGTTTAGTAATTGGTGGTGTGTATACACTCCCTCTGAGCCAAGCAAAGTAATGAAATCCTGCCCAGGTGGCTACGACCATCGTCTCGAAGATAATATCCAGACACTCGCGGCTCTCGTCAGGACAGCCGAGTTGCATTCCCTCACTTTCAATATCATCACCCCTGCATCATCTAACACACCGATTCCTCCCTTCAAATGCCAACTCGTCGAACCAGACATTCTCTTCGTGCTCAACTTCACCACCGGCCAACGGTCAGCTTTGCTCACCTCCTCATCTACGCTCTGCCTACTCTACACGCCGGCCAATGAACATTTCGGCATTGTCCCTGTCGAAGGCATGCTCTGTGGTCTGCCTGTCCTCGCGTGCGATAGCGGTGGCCCGACCGAGAGTATTTTGGACTCGCCAGAGTCCGAGCGAACTGGCTGGCTATGTCGGCCGGACGCGGCTGTATGGGCTGATGTACTGTCGAAGATCGTTGCGCTCTCGAAGGGAGAAAGGGAGGCCCTTTCGGAAAGGGCTAAGTCGCGAGCGAAAACATTGTTTGGCATGCAAACTATGGCGAGAGATATTGAAGATGCCCTTCAGGAAGCCAGTACCTTGGGACCCGTCGAAGGTCTGAGTGGGTTTATCTTTATTTTCGCTACTTTATTGGCTTTAGGCATGGCAATCCTGGTGCTGATATGATGTTCCTCGTGGTCCGTTCCATCTGAATATACCCATTGTACTACCGTTTCCCACTCGTCAAAGCGCTGCTGTCAACACCACAGTATCATCGCAGGTTCCTCACACCTACCACCTTAGCGTATTCACAACCGAAGACCCAGGACTTGAAGGCTTCCAGGTAAGACTATACCCTCAATCGACTACTGGTCCTTACCTTTGCACGAAGGTCGTCCTAGTGTTGAAGGCCAATGTACACGGCTCTCGTGTTCAGTGAAAGCTATTTTGATCCCATCGTGGTGCAATATAAAGGACGTCAGTTACCCCAAGGCCTTTCTCCAGTGTCACGGCTCTAGTCTCAGCATCTCGCCCACACCATATCAGAGAGATCGAGAAACGATCTCTTGAATGCATTAGCTTGAGGACTTACATCCGGGTCCATCACTCGAGGATCCGTTCAAGGCTTGGAATGTGCGTGAGCGTCCTTGTTGAGAAACTTATGGAACGGGAGAACCACTCCCCCGCTCGGGTTTCTTCATCACAATTGAGGGAATAGCACAGATGGGACCTATGTACCCAACAGCTGCGGTATCATGTCGCGGCTCAGCCATTCCTGAACACTTCCCCATGTCCTCCCACCCCTGCCAAAGGTGTGCATAGCGTGTACCACAAGAAGTAAGCATAGCTCACATTCCCGTCGCAGGCCGATTGGTTTCGTGCAACCCTCGTGGTGAAATGTGGGCGAGATGTGGGCAATGGGCGCTGGCTATCGGGAGCTACTCGCTGAGCCTTACTCTTCTCGCGACGGGTAGATGTTGATGCCATCTTTGATACTGATCCACCTGGTGCCGACAAGATCCAGGAAGTGCTTGGACCGTGTCGGCGAACAGCATCCCGCACACATAAATATGAAGGTCCCTACGAAGTTCTCCTCATAACGATCAACTCCCAACAAACAATATGTCTTCACCAGTCGTTCTCGTTGTAAGTGCTACCCATCATCTACACCTAAACGCTTCCAAACAGATGATTTGGGCAGGTTGGCGCAGGGCCTGCTGGCTTAGTTGCTGCGTTGTCTTTGACGCAAAATGGCATCCCTGTCCGCATCATCGATAAGGATGAGAATTTTCACACCGGGTCGCGAGGATTCGGTATGCAGGTAGGGAGTCGTTAATTGTCCCTGCATGTTGTGTCTTCATGGTATATGCTCAGCCACGGACATTCGAACTCTTCGAAACCATGGGTGTCTATGACGACATAAAGCACTTTGCGGTTCCAATCCCAACGATGCGAGCCTACAAATTGCCGGGTGGAACTGTGCCAGTCAAGACATGGGATCTGTATGAGAAGGGTGAGGTTTGGCCCGATCGCCCCTTTGTGCGCACTCCTCTCTGGGTTCTCGATGCAACAATTAACCTTACCTCAGGCAAATGGGGCTTGTGTCAGCCAAGACAGCCTTGAAAGTGTCCTCCGCCAGCATCTATCCCAACATAGAATATCAGTCGAGCTTGGCAGGGGTCTGACTGCGTTAGAGCAAAATGATGACGCCGTCGTTGCTTCTGTGACCACATTCAAAGATGGACAACCAACGGGAGAGGTCGAGAAAGTATCCGTTAAATATTTGATCGGGTCGGATGGCGCCAAAGGTATTTTTGAGTTGTGGCAACCGTGTTGAAACTCATGGGAAGACAGGTTCTACCAGGAAACTGTTGAACCTCACATTCCAGGGTGAAACTAGGGACGCCGATGGCATGGTCTGGGGAGATGTTCAGATCAAAGGCTTGCCGACCGACGTAAGTCGGCTTAATATCCTGTGAAAGAAAAGTTCATGAGCTATTTCCATTAGTACTGGCACATTTGGGGGAAACCAGGGCACTACACGTATGACGCACCCGATCGTTCTATGATATCTACTGACCCTTCCTCAGGATCATGGCACGCCCGCTAAACCCGTCCGGCGACAGATTTGGCGTCGGAATTACTGGGCAGAACTTCGATCCGGTTGACCTCGCTGACCCTGCCAAAGCGATCGAGTTTATTCACAACGAAACTGGACGCACCGATCTTGAATTCGGCGAGTTCACATGGATTTCCCACTTCAAGTAAGTGTAGGCGTGAGTTCGTTAGCTAGCTGTAGGCATTCACACGAGGCACACAGGCCGAACATGCGCATGGTCAACAAATTTCAAGAGGGACGAGCATTTGTTGTTGGAGGTGCGGATTTTACTATTCTCTCTGTGATGTAGCTTTGAACATCCTCGATTAGATTCCGCTCACGTTCATTCTCCAACTGGTGGACAAGGAATGAATTGCAGCGTTCAAGACGCGGTTAGTCTCAAATGATTAAATGGACTGGACTTGAGCCCATGTTAACGTCTGCTTCAGTCCAATTTAGCTTGGAAGCTAGCCCTTGTTCTTAAGGGGTTCGCCGCAACCTCCCTCTTGAACACGTACAACGAGGAGCGCCTCCCTGTCATCACTCAGATGCTTCATGCCACAACGAAGCTGTACACTCACACCGTCGCCAAAGAAAAGGCTATGGAACCCACTGAAAAAGACAGTACCGACGAAGACAAACAATCCGGTTGGTTCAGGTGGCGCAACAGTGCCTTGGAGATGTACGGCATCAACTACCGTTTCAGTAGCATCGTGCTCGAGGAGCGCGACACTCGCCCAAGAGATGCCGAGGACGTTCTTGCCCACGCTTACTCAGGCTACGAGGGACGCGGCTCTTTGTGTGCCGGGGATCGTGCCCCTGAGGCCCCAAAGCTTCTCACCAGTGATGGTGAGGTCTCCGTGTTCAAGTTGTTGAAGCCAACTGTGCACACCGTGCTGGTTTTCGCCAAGGAGGGAGACTTGGGCGTCACAGCTGCCTTGGCAAATGTCCCTCCGTCCGTCGTACAAATTTTCCTCGTCGCCGAAAGCCAAATTCCAGCCGTTCCGGGTGCCCGGACCTTGATCGACTCCGAAGGCCACGCTCGCAAGTCATATATGGTGGACGAAGGTGGTTCGCTTATCATCGTCATTCGACCTGACACCTTCATCGGTGGAATTGTTAAACACGCATCGGGTGTTCGTGAATATTTTTCAAAGATTATTGTCGTTTGATGCTTTCTCCATAGTTTGTATGAAAGTCTCCATCGCCAATACGACGCATGTACTTGACGGCTCGTTTTGATTGCTCAAATACGTCTTTTGTTCGTCGAAACCTGTCAGGAGGTGTCGCTCTGCCTGCTCTACACCCCCGCCAACGAGCACTTCGGGATTGTCCCCGTCGAAGGCATGCTGTGCGGCTTGCCAATCCTTGCGTGCGATAGTGGGGGCCCGACTGAGAGCGTACTAGCTTCACTGGCGTCTGAGCGGACTGGCTGGTTATGTCGTCCAGACGCGGGGGTGTGGGCGGGTGCGCTGTTGGAGATTATCGCGCTCTCGAAGGAAGAGAGGGAGGCGCTTTCGGAGAGGGCGAGATCGCGGGCGAAAGCGTTGTTTGGCATGGAAAGTATGGCGAGAGGCATTGAAGAGGCTCTCCAAGAAGCCAGCGCGATGGAACCCGTACAAGCTTCAAGTGGGTTTGTCTATGTCTTCGTCGGTATGTTGGCTCTGGTAATAGCAATCTCCCTGCTCTGTTCCGTTCCGTCCAAATATACCCATGCATTGTACCTCTGCAATCCTCCAAGCACTGACATCCCAGCACAAGCTCAACACTTCTTCGCATACGAGGAATCGGAAAGGAATTTCAGGTAGGTAAGTTTGCACCTTCGATTGATGAGCTCGAGCCCTTACATGTACTTATCGCTCCTCGTTTCTGAAACTAGAACCTTGTGCGGAAACTGTGTCTGTGTCCCGATTCTGGTCCGTGCTACAATATTTGAAATGAATGGATACATGTAGGACGTAGGCCTTCTCGTTGATTTTCTTGTGAGTGTCAGGAAAGTCGTTCACCCTCGCCGTCAACGTTGGGGCACAGCATTACGACCTCTCTCAAGTTTGAACGGATTTACAACTTCGAAAACTCGTGGAAGTATTCCAGTGGAACATCTCCATCGATGAGCGGCGGCAATACCTCGCTACAAATACAGAAGGAAACAAAGCGCATCGTCAAAATCGTGAACGGCAGACTGAAAGAGACACAAACCGAAAGACTTTGAAGAACGGGTTGCTCGTGTGTTGCTTCAACGCCGACTTTCCATTCTTATACCTCTCCACAATTAAGAACTTAAGCGTATCCTGTTGATTGAGCAGAAAGGTCATTCGTTGCTCGGCTCCTTAGAGGGGGGAGATGGGCGCATACTTTGGTATGTTGCATGACGTGCCATGCAATCGTTTCGTCGTCTTTTTCGTACTCCGTGGAGGCAGTCCTAAGGAGCTCTTTCACCTTCTCGGCAGCTGCCAGGTCTTTGGCGCGAATGGATGCAGTGACTACGCTGAGTTGTTCAGCTGATCGTCAGTTGACAAAGGCCTTGGCGTATTCGAACCAGAATAACTTACAAGACCATTTCCTCCTCGAGTGATATTACTTGTGGGATGAGGAGGGAGGGTTTGTGGATTATACGAGGGGCATATCATACTGTATACACGATTCCAGCAACCGGGAGAGTAAATTTAGCCGGAGCCGGTGCGTCTTCCCCGAGTTCTGACATATCATTGCCCCGGGAATGATATAGCCTGGATATAGCCATACTGTGCGTGACCTAGTAACGAAGCAACTCAGCTGGTGACATGAATTACAGAGGCACGGGTCATCTAATTGGCCAATTAAGTACAGTGTTCCCCCTTTCCTTGACACACGCCTATTCCTTGACTCAGTAGCACATTTTTAAGTCACGGTGTGAGTTGAAGCTTAGCTACAATTATATGAAGTAGATAGACACCATAGCTTAGAAACATTCCAGGCAGTGTGGGGTGAATAAAGCAAGTGCTAAAAAACGGATACTGGTGATCTCAGTCAAAGGCTAGGAATTTGCGATCATGGGAGAGTAGTTGCAAGACACAAATTCCGCGATAAGTGTGACGTGAGGAATGAACGGCTCACGCCTATCAGAGGATAAGATAAGATAGTGGTGATGAGACGGCGTGCGAATTCTGGGGCCCTTCTCTGCCGCGCGTACCCCAGAATTCGCCCACCTCCTCTTGGTTCACGCAGTGTTCCTCTGCTGAACACCGCATCACCGTTCTCGTTTTGCGCTTTCAGTTTATTTATTCATCAAAGAACTTTGACAAGAAATAACATGGTTAATGTCAATCGCACTCCTTCCCCCCCTCCTGCTCCTCCCGCCCCATCTTGTACTCGAAAAACCCACTGCAGTGAAGCAGTCATCGCGGCTCTCAGAAAATATCCTCAGGCACAACACATGAAAATGAACCAAGATAAGACTCAACGAAATCTCAATAGAGAACTCAAGCATGCATGTCACCAGACGAACCCCACTTGTTGGGGTAGCAAACAGAGGGTGAGCTACTCGCAAACCAAAAGGGTCGTATCCGTATGCGGATGCTGGCCAACCAAAATAGGTAATGCAAGTTCGCGCCACGCGCAACTTGTTTACCGTCTCGTTTCACTTCTTTATCACGGCCGCTCGTACTTACATCTGATTGTGTATTCATGCGCACGACTCGCGCTTATATATGCGTTGTTTCGTTTCCGAGCACCTCAGTTATTGCCCCGCAATATACTGAGGTGAGCTTATTCCTATTCTAACTTTGCTTATCCATTCTTACATTCGTTGTAGTTTACTGTTTCTACAGGTATCGTAGCACGTAGAGTTATTGCCCCGCAATATACTGAGTTTACTGTTTCTACAGGTTATGGGCCCTGGCCGTTGCTAATCTAAACCCAAGATACACCTTCGCATCACCCATTACCACCATGACATCCGTTACGACATCCTTATCCGACTCTCTCACCAGCGTGCCCAAGCTTCTGTCCTCGGGAAAGAACTTTACCATGTTCAGCGAGCGCTTCAAGATCGGAGTAGATGCTAAGGGTTTTTGGGGGCACTTCGATGGCACATCACCATGCCCACCGGCAACAGTTCCTACAGCCGGGGGAGACGAGGCAGACACTACCGAAGTTTCACCAAACCCGGTGTATGCGCAGTGGAAAAAGGACGAGGCGGCGGCGCGAGCCCTGCTGATGCAGAAATTGCCGGATACAGCCTTGGTGCTTGTTTTGGGTCTCGCAAATGTGAAGCTGTGCTGGGATGTGATAGTGAAGGAATACTCGAAGAAGGGCATGTATGCGATGGCAGGGATGCGGCAACAGTTCATGGATTCGCGATGCGGCGAAAAGGAAGACGTTCGAGAGTTTCTTGAGCAACTACGGGTTCGTCGCGAGGAGTTGGCGGCTTGTGGTGTAACGATAGACAACAAGGAATATCTAATGGTCGTTGTCAGTTCTGTTCCACGGCAGCTACAGTCGTTTGCATCCACTATCTGCAGTGCGAACCGCGTCGCAGGAAACGACCTCGATCCAAATTACCTTATCCAGCTCATCATCGACGAGCACTCGCGCCAGGATCTCGAACGAAACGTTAGGCGTGGCAAACGTCAAACCAAGGACCAGGACACCGACGAGGCTTTGTCGGCTACTGGCGGCTTGAGCAAGGGGCGTGGAAAGGGGAAAGAAAAAGGGAAAAAGCAAGGAGGTTGTTTTAAATGTGGGTCAAAGGACCACTGGAAAAGGGATTGTCCAGAGAAAAAGAAGTCGAAGGACAGTGCGGCGGAAGGGAAGGACAAAGGCAAAACTGCTGAGAAATCCACTGCCAACGCTGTTGAGACTGACTCCGAAGACGAAGGAGCCTTTGCTGTCGAGTTCGACGAATCGGACGACGATGAAAACGCGCCCTCTTGCCCCGCGAGCGATTGCGAGTCGGATTGGTGGCCGGACGTAGACGAGGAAGTCTTCTCCCCAACAATGGACCGTGCGGATTTGGCTGTCGACTCAGACGCGGAAGAAAGCGATTTCGAAATCGATTTCGCACATGCTAGTTACCCTCTAAAAGTGTCTCTAGCTGGGCTCGACTCGGATGACGACGATTGCGAGAGTGTAGGGCTGGCAGCTGCTGCAGATTTGGATCGCGTGTCACAGCGATCAGACCTCTTCGACTCTGGATGCAGCAAGCATCTCACCCCTTACAAGGACGAGCTGCTTGACTACAAGCCCATCGTACCGAAAGCCATGCGAGCGGTTAACAAACAATCCTTCAAGGCCATAGGAGTCGGGCAGATGATACTCAACATCCCAAATGGAACTGACTACTCGCAGTTGAAACTCGTCGAGGTGTTGTACTCCCCGGAAATTGGGCACACGCTCGTGTCGATTGGAAGGCTAGACGACCACGGCTTCGTCACCACTTTTGGCGGAGGGAAATGTGTCATTAGGAGCCGTGAGGGGGAGAAAATAGGGTCTATCCCTAAGTCAAAAGGGGGTGTATACAGGTTCGTGCGAGAGCACGAGAGTGCCTACGCAGTAACGGATGGGGTATCACTCGACCTCCTACATCGCAGGCTGGGCCATATTTCCGCGCGCGCCACAAAGAAGCTCGTTCGAAGCGGTTCGGTAACCGGAATCACCCTAAACGACGCCAGTAGTGCGGATTTCTTCTGTGAATCCTGCGTGTACGCGAAAGCTGCAAGAAAGCCCATCCCAAAGGTTAGAGAAGGCGAGAGAGGCACCGCTTTCGGAGACGAAATCCACAGTGATGTTTGGGGACCTGCGCGCGTGGAAACACCTAAGGGGCGTCGATACTATGTCACCTTCACGGACGACGCCACTCGTTTCACCCATCTTCACCTCATGCGCACCAAGGATGAGGTCCTGACTCACTACAAAACCTTCTCAGCGTGGGCGAAGACTCAGCTTGAAGCAAAAATAAAGATCTTACACTCTGATCGAGGTGGCGAGTACACCGGAAAGGAGTTCACCTTATACCTAAAAGGCGAGGGTACAAAACAAAAGTTAACGGTTCACGACACCCCACAGGAAAACGGAGTTGCCGAGCGCCGAAATCGAACCATCGTGGAGTGCGTCAGAGCTGTCTTGCATGCCAGCAACCTTCCTCGCATGTTATGGGGCGAAGCGGCTCGCCATGTCGTCTGGTTGATGAATCGGACGTATACAAGGGCTTTGGAGGGCGGAACACCATATGAGGCAGTATTCCGAAGGAAGCCGGATCTCTAGAACATTCGTGAGTGGGGGGAGATGGTGTGGGTACGGGTCGAAGGACAAGGGGACAAGCTCAGGGGTCGTGTTAAAAAGGGGCGCTGGATTGGCTGCGACGATGATAGCAAGGGCCATCGAATATACTGGCCAGAGGCTAGGCGCGTCAGTGTCGAGCGCAATGTCTACTTTGACGAGACAGCGGCGAACTATCGAGTTGAGGGGGAGAATGGCGACGAAGATGCACCTGTTATTATCAACTCGAAGTCAGCACCGGCTTATCTCCAAAACGAAACGAAATCACTCTCAGTTTCAAGGCCCACGACACCAGCACTCGAAGAAGCCCAGGTACCAAACCATAAACCCACGACGGAAACTGCACAACACTCTGAAGTTGAAGCATCACAGTCAGATGTCCCCGTTGTCCCTACCGCCCCTAAACGACTTCGAAAAGCGTCTCAACGTGCGCAAGATCTCCTAGACGGCAAAGGCAGTTACGCATACCGTCGGAACGCCCCGAAGTTGCCTCCTGGAGTCCCCATGCCAGATCCCGAGCCCAAAGTTCCCGAGAAAGAGGTTTATGAAGGTGAAGGGTCAGCGGCGTGGATGATGGAGGTGGATGATGAGATAGCGCTGGTTGTCGAAACGTCGAATATCGAAGGCCTCGAACCGCAGACATATCATGAGGCGAGGAAACGTCCCGACTGGCCATTATGGAAAGCATCGATGCAAGAGGAAATCGACACTTTAAATAAGGCCGGGACCTGGGTACTCGTCGCTCCGCCAGCTGACACTAATATCGTAGGCTCGCGATGGGTTTTCCGAATTAAGAAGGATGCCGGGGGGAATATTGTTCAGCGCAAATCGAGAGTGGTTGCGCAGGGTTTCTCGCAGGTTCCTGGAATCGATTATTTCGATACTTTCGCGCCAGTTGCAAAGACAGCTTCAATTCGAACCGTCCTTGCTGTCGCAGCCGCAAACGATTGGGAACTTCATCAGATCGACGTGAAGGGAGCGTACCTAAACAGAAAGCTAAACAATGATGAGCGCATATATATGAGACAGCCACCTGGCTTTCACTCACCTGATTCCCCAGGCCACGTCTGTAGACTTGTCAAAGCGATTTATGGTCTCAAACAAGCAGGGCGACGATGGTACCAAATGCTATGCGACATCATGACGAAGAAGCTCAGTTTTAGCCGCTGCGATGTGGATCAAGCTGTCTTCTTTCGACGAGTAGGAAGCGACACCATTATAGTGCTCGTACACGTCGACGACTGCACAATTGCAGCGACTTCGATGAAACTCGTCACCGCGTTCAAGGTGTCGATTGCCCGCCACGTCGAAATTAAAGATCTCGGGGAGCTGCACTGGCTCCTGGGAATTGAGATATGGCGCGAACGAGAAGGACGCAAGCTGTTCCTGTCGCAACGCTCATACATCGATTCGATGGTCGAGCGTTACCTGAACAAAGATGTCAAGCCCCTCTCCCTGCCTCTAGACCCAAACATACGCCTTACCTCGGCCCATTCACCAACCACGGCACAGGACTACGCCAAAATGAAAGGGAAACCCTACCAGGAGTTGGTGGGATCCCTCATGTACGCCTCTTTGGGGACGCGGCCAGACATCGCTTTCGCCGTCCAAACGCTCTCTCGGTTCACGAAGAATCCTGGCATTGCTCATTGGGAGGAAGCGGTTAGGTGTCTGAGGTATCTGAAGGGGACGAGGGAATTATGGCTGACTTACGGTGGTGGGAAGAAAGAACTGCTGGGGTACGGAGATGCTGATGGGAGTATGGGAGAGGATCGCCACGCTATCTCCGGGTACGTGTTCATCCTTTACGGTGGGGCCATCTCGTGGTCAGCGAAGCGCCAGGAAATCATCGCGCTGTCTACGACGGAAGCCGAGTACGTAGCTGCCACCCACGCAGCCAAAGAAGCTTTGTGGTTGCGCTCCCTTATCGGCCAATTGTACGGCACAAAGCTGGCGCCCACGACACTATTCTCAGACAACCAATCAGCTATTGCACTTAGCAAAGACCATCAGTACCACGCCAGAACGAAACACATTGACGTACGCTTTCATTTCATTCGCTACACGATTGAACAAGGCTCGCTTCGACTTGTGTACTGTCCCACGGACGACATGGTCGCGGACACGCTTACAAAAGCCTTACCGTCAACCAAGGTGAAGCACTTCGCCTCAGAGCTCGGGCTCTCCCTCGTTTGAGGGGGAGTGTTGGGGTAGCAAACAGAGGGTGAGCTACTCGCAAACCAAAAGGGTCGTATCCGTATGCGGATGCTGGCCAACCAAAATAGGTAATGCAAGTTCGCGCCACGCGCAACTTGTTTACCGTCTCGTTTCACTTCTTTATCACCGCCGCTCGTACTTACATCTGATTGTGTATTCATGCGCACGACTCGCGCTTATATATGCGTTGTTTCGTTTCCGAGCACCTCAGTTATTGCCCCGCAATATACTGAGGTGAGCTTATTCCTATTCTAACTTTGCTTATCCATTCTTACATTCGTTGTAGTTTACTGTTTCTACAGGTATCGTAGCACGTAGAGTTATTGCCCCGCAATATACTGAGTTTACTGTTTCTACACCACTGCCTTCCCAGACGACGCTTCCGACACCTCTTCCATGCTTACGATTTCAGATACCGAAGACAAGCCCTCTACTTCCGAAAAATCAAAACTACTGTCCACCCTCTCCAAACTCACCCCGCAAACTCGTGCTTTGGCCACCTCAATTCTCGGTCAGAGGGATCGAGATGATGATGAAGACGACACCCTCCTCACAGCTCCTACTGCAAAGCACCTCTGCCTTGACACGGGTAACGAGGTCTTGATAAACCCAGGAGATACTGTAATCCTTGGATTCCACACTCTCCTTTTTGATCTGGCTCGCTTTAATATTTACATGCCTCTCAACTGTAAGGGCAACCTCAAGATAGCCGCACAGTGCAAGCCTAGCAGAGGGAGAATCCAAAGAGATGAATAAGACTAACTGCAATACATGAGAGAGCTGCTCACCTAGCAGAGGGAGAATCCAAAGAGAACAGGATGGGGATTCTCCATGCTAGGAAGCGAAGTATATACTGTAGTAGCGTGGGAGGAATGAAGGGTAACTGTACAGTACACCAGCCACAGGTACAAACGAATATCACAAGGTACGAGGGGGCATGTGATAATGAAGTGGAAGGGGAATGTACAGGAGTCGTGCCAGCGACCTGGGGAAGTGGGGACAAGGAGTAATGAAGTGGGAAAGGAGGATAGAGGTAGCCCGGACGAGCCCCGAAGTGTATCTACGAGTCCGAGCGAGTCCGAGGCGAGTCCGAAGCGCGGGAAGACTTCGGAGTCACCGGACGGGCTCGGATGCGAAGGGAGTGAACGGAAGGGAAGCGGAAAGGTAAGGGGGCAAGAGGGAAGGAAAGGGAATGAAGGGAATGTAGATAATAGTCCATGGGATGAAGGAAGGGAGAAAGGAAACGAAGGAGGAAGGGAGAGGGACAGGGGAATAGGAGAAAATAGGAGTGTCCCCTTACATCAACCTTTTAACCAATGCTAACATCCGTCTAGTTAACCGGGAAGCTCACTCCCTCGCATTAAGCCGCATCAACCCCTCGGGTAAGAGAACCTCGAAGCCCCCTCTGGTCCTTGACGTCGAGGCCTTCAAAAAGAAATACAGCCGTGAAGCGGATTTGACTCGCGACCAATGGTCGGAGGCTGCGCGTAATTTCACTCGCTTCGCCGGTGAAGTTGGACGTGATGGCGAACAAGGCAACTACTTTACACGCTGGGATAACCACTATGGTTTCTTCGAGGAACGTACTGATGCCGCCAAACATTTCCAGGCCATCTTGGAAGTTGACTGTTATAGGCACATCCAAGGAACCCTTTAGGGGCTACTAGGGGCGCATCCACGTGCATTCCCGACTATGGGCTCGGGCCGCACATACATGCGGCCACGCGGACTTCTCGGATTACGGACTAAGTACATATTCGAGCACACTGTAGTTATTACGACCGGACTCATTGCTGTTTCGTGAACGCACGTGTTATGGTTCGACTTTTCACTTTTCTCTTTTCCTTTTCCCCTATATATCACATGACGGGCACGCAGTAGCTTACTACAGACTGCTTACGACCCTCGGCCCGTATTACTAAACACCTTAGTCAGAACCTCACCGCAGACGCATGGGCGCAGTACATGACATCACACCTCACGGTGATGTGCTAAGCATTCCATGGAAAGCCGACAGGCTACGGCGTGTAGATAGACATGAGGATTATGCATGTACCATAGTATATAAGACTGAATATTATACCCAGAGACGTTAACTCGTTCTCTTGGGAATCACACTAATACAGTGCCTGAGTCAGCGTCTTCGTGTTTCCTCCTTAACTCTCACCTCTCACCTTATTACTTCTTGCTCTGATTCTTGTTGGGTCCGTGTACGCTTATTGTGTATTAGCATTGCCCTAACAGAAGAACGAGTTACCTTTGTACGCCCGCCCAGCAGCGTTAATCTGCGAAGAACCGACATCGACGCAGGATACGCTTCACCTATTCCATTTCTCCAAATTTCTCTAACCCTTCCTTCCATTTCATTCGAGAGCGCCGTTTGCGCTTGATTGTTTATTTTCATACCCCTATAGCCGTGCACCCTATTCGAACAACCGACTCTATACTCCAGCGGGGTAACGTTTAGACGACCCTCCGAGTGAGTCTTTAGGCGTTGACTGATCACCAACCCTTGGGGAAGGGTCAACGCGCAGAGTGCTGGGTAGAGAAAGAAGACCCTACTCTGTTTGTTCAGCAAAACGGTGCACTGCTTCGCATTTAGTAGCCGACGAACCCTACCTCGTCAATTTCATCTGCTCAGGCACCGGCGCGTGCTAGGTTGAAATTTGAGATTGATTGACAGGAACCATATGCCCCCATCCCACACCCACCTTACCCGATCACACATCTACATGGTCTTCCCATACTACCTCATCCCCGACCCAACCCTTAACTGACGAAACCAACAAACCGCCATCCAGGCATTGAAGAGCACCCCACAACTCTTTGAAACCATCATCATCCCGGTCTCTCCCCCCAACCTCCGCAGATCACCCCGTCACACCCCCGGTCGCCATTTCATTAACGGAAACAATGTCATACTCGACGACCAGACCACTCGTCGCTCAACCTTACGACCGGCAGCGCAGGCCCGCGCTTCTCGGGAGAGATAAGTCAGCAGATGCAGCCGCAGCCGCCGGAACTAGTATCTGGGGAGGGGGAATGGACCCCAACGTGCCAGCCACATTTATCCCGAACCCGCCAACACCACCACAACAGTCGAACGATATGATGGCGGCAATGAGGGAGATGATGGAAAGCATGGAAGCAAGGATGGAGGCAAGGATTCAGCAGGCGCTGAACCAACGGAGCGGACCTCCCAGCGCGGGCAGTCAGAGACCGCTTCCCTGAATACCAAGAGAAGCTCCACCGCCACCACCCGGACCGCCCACACCATCGCCGCCCCCGATGCCGTTTGTCGACTTCCCAGACGCACCCCAAGCCAGAAATGGCCCGAAAATGGCGCGCCCGGAACCGTTCGACGGAGAAAGGGCAAAATGCCGGACCTTCATCCGGAACATCGAGGTGTACGTGTTCGTGAACGCATATCAATTCCCCAACGAAGCAACGAAGGTTCTCTTCCTTCTCTCCTATGTCCAGGGAAAGAAGGTAGATAACTGGAAAAACACGATGACAGGTAGAGTGCTAGATTGGGTGAGAACGCGAGTGCCGGACGAGCAGGTCTCAAGCCTCAGAAGAATTTGCCGGAGCCTCCAGGAGGCGTTCGGAGACTCCAACCCGCGGGACACGGCCATCACGGCCTTGGCCCACCTACATCAAGGATCGGACACGGCGGAGGACTACGTCATAAAGTTCAACGCATATAAAGACGACACAGGCTACAACAACGTAGCCTTGGTCGAACTGTTCAAGAGAGGTTTGAACGCGGGATTACTAACCCGGATATACGGTAGGAGGCCCCTACCAGGAAGATGCGAGGAATGGCAGGAGGAAGCCATCGCCCTGGATAGACAGTGGAGAGAGGCGCAAGCCTACGCAAAAGCGGCACCAGCTAAGCCGGCGGCAAAAACGACAACGACACCGCAAAACCAGTGGCGCCTGTACTACCAAAAGCAGACGCCACCCCAGAACCAACAACAGCAGCAGCAACAACCTGCGAAGCCCACACCCCCGGCTCCGCAGATCGCAGCCAGAGATCCGAACGCCATGGACGTGGATAGGTCACAGAGGGGGCCGATCCGTTGTTACAAGTGTGGAGGATTGGGGCACATGGCCCGAGATTGCAAAAGAAGGTTGGACGTGAGGCAGATGACGTACGAGGATCAGCAGGAGTACTGGCGGGAGGAGCTGACCCGCCAGGGTTTTTCCGAAGGAACCCAGGAGGCGTCGACCTGAGTTCCAAAAATAAGTATGCAGCACTCGTCTCGGAGCCGGACTCCTCCTTTGTCGCCGAATCACATGTACCAGTAGTTACGGACAATATATCTATTCCTTCGACATCAGACGAGACACCTAAGACGCAAGAAAAGAAAAAAACAACTAAAGATATCTATGTGCAGAGGTCATTCTCAAGCAAAAATTATGTACCAATCTCCATATCCCTCGAAACACTCGACAGCTTGACAACCTTGAACCCGGAGTCAATGCTAGACTGTGGAGCCTCGGATTCATTTATTGACCAGGGATTCGTCAAGAAAAACAATATAAAAACAAAAAAACTAGCAAACCCGGCGGTCATCAGAAATGCGGATGGCACGTCCAATAATGCAGGAAGAGTGACGGAGAAAGTAGAGATACGGATGATGTTCAGAGGACATCTAGAAGTCATGGTGCTCTACGTGACCAACCTAGGAAACGTCGATGTGATCTTAGGGTTGACCTGGCTGAAGAAACACAACCCGGAGATTGACTGGAAGACGGGAGAGGTAGTCATGTCGCGATGCCCAAGGCAGTGCCTGAACTACCAGGACTGGCAGGGACAGCTTATGCAAGGAGAACCGTATCCGGGAGAGGACGAATCAGAGGAAGACGTGGAGGAGGCAGGTGAGGTATTGAAACCCAAGCTGGGCTTGAGGAACATATCGGTAGCGGGAGTAAGGCAGTGGAACCGCCTCAGAAGTGGATACCTGCGTGAACTGGACGACCTGACCAACCAATACTACGAGTCGGTCGCCTGGATGTACGTCAACCGGATGTGGAAGACGCACATGCATGTTGAAACCAAAGAGGAAGAGGAGATGCACTTAAAGGCAGTAGGGAAGTATGATTATGTTATTGAGCACGATCAGGAAAAACTAAGGGAGCAAAAAGAAAAAACGGAAGAAGAGATGGTACCGGACTACTATCACGACTTCATGAAGGTATTTAGGAAACGAGACTTGGAGAGGATGCCGGTGGAGAGGCCATGGGACCACGCCATCGAACTCACCCCGGATTTCGAACCGAAGGCCTCGAAAGTTTATCCATTGTCGCCGGTCGAACAACAAGAGCTCAACGATTTCCTTGATGGGAACCTGAAAAAGGGATACATTAGACCCTCGAAGTCTCCACAGACGTCGCCGGTTTTCTTTGTCCAGAAAAAAGATGGAAAAAAGAGGCTAGTTCAAGATTACCGCTATTTAAATAAGCATACCGTGCGGAACGCCTACCCTTTGCCGCTAATCTCGCAGTTGGTGGACAAGGTAGCGAAGGCGCGGTTATTCACGAAGATGGACCTCCGATGGGGATACAACAATGTACGAATAAAGGAGGGAGACCAATGGAAGGCCACCTTCCAGACGCCAAGAGGGGCGTTCAAACCCATGGTTATGTATTTCGGACTTAGCAATTCCCCTTCCACTTTCCAAACTATGATGAACGAACTCTTTAAGGACCTTATCGGCGAAGGACTTGTAGTTATATATCTGGACGATTTACTTATCTTTACGGACAACGATGTACAAAAGCACCGAGAAGTGGTACACAGAGCGCTAAAGATTCTCGAGGACAATGATCTCTATGTAAAACCAGAAAAGTGCGCATTCGAGGTAAACGAAGTGGAGTTCCTGGGAGTAGTGGTGAAAGACGGCGAAGTGCAGATGGAGGAAGCAAAAATTGAAGCGGTGAAAAATTGGCCGGTTCCGAAGAACGTGCAACAAGTACAGCAGTTCCTAGGATTTAGCAACTATTATCGACGGTTCATAAAGGACTTCGCCACCGTCGCTAAACCGTTGCACGAACTCACAAAAAAGGAGGAACAATTCGTATGGAACGAGAAAAGGCAGGGAGCTTTTGAGAAGCTCAAAACATTATTTACGGAGGAACCGATCCTGGTGCTACCAGACACAGATCGAGAGATGACGATCGAGGCGGACTCGTCCAACTACGCATCAGGAGCAGTGCTCTCCATGCTATGCGAAGACGAAAAATGGAGACCCTGCGCTTTCCTATCGAAAGGGTTCTCGGAGACGGAGAGGAATTATGATATTCACGACAAGGAGATGCTAGCCATCATTCGCGCCCTGGAGGCCTGGAGACATTACCTAGAAGGAAACAGCCGTCAGTTCACTATCTGGACGGACCATAAAAATCTGGAGTACTTCATGACGACCAAAAAGTTGAACAGACGCCAGGCGCGCTGGGCATTATACTTGTCAAGGTTTAATTTTATTTTAAAACACAAGCCAGGAGCTTCGAATATGAAGGCAGACGTCCTGTCGAGACGACCGGATCTTGATAGGGGGGAGGATGACAACACGATGGTCCTTCTGAAGCCAGAATATTTTCAAATCAAGGCCATGCAGCAAGGACATGTCCTAATCGACGGCGCAGAGTCGCCCATTTTATCAAAAATTAGAAAAGCAAAAAACTATGATGAATCAGTAGTCAAGGCAGTGACTGAACTAAAGAGGTCGCCGACCAAGGTGCTGAGAGAAGCGGAATGGTCAGAAGAGCAGGATCTCGTATTATATCACGGAAAGGTGTACGTACCTAAGGATGTTGACATCAGAAGGGAAATCGTAAAATTACACCATGATTCAACCGTCGCAGGACACCCAGGAAGGTGGAAAACCATTGAGCTGGTCTCGCGTAACTATTGGTGGCTGGGAATGAACAGATTCATTGCGGAGTACGTCAAGGGATGTGACCAATGCCAACGAAGCAAGGCCTACTCCCGACAACCGCAAGGCAAGCTTCAACCGAACCCCATTCCATCTGAACCGTGGACAGACATATCCGCAGACTTCATTGTCAAGCTTCCCAAGTCGTCTGGATACGATGCAATCCTAGTAGTCGTCGACCGATTTACCAAGATGGTTCGCCTCGTACCAACAACTGAGGAATTATCAGCCCTTGGGCTGGCTAAATTATACCGGGACAACGTCTGGAAACTCCACGGACTCCCTAACACCATCATATCAGATAGAGGACCCCAGTTCGCATCACAAGTGATGAGAGAACTAAATAATTTATTGGGAATTCAAACAAGGCTGTCCACGGCCTTCCACCCGCAGACGGATGGACAGACGGAGTGAGTGAATCGAGAGATCGAAACCTACCTCCGAATGTTCATCAACCACAGGCAGGACGACTGGGCAGAATGGCTGGCCATCTGCGAATTCTCTTTAAACAACAAAACCCAAACGAGCTCCAAGCAGAGCCCGTTTTACCTTAATTATGGAAAACACCCCCGGATGGGAGTCGAGCCACGGAAGGAGTCCAAGATTGAGGCGGTGGACGAATTCGCGAAACGAATGAAGCAGAGGTGGGAGGAGGCGTGGTCCGCATTGGCAAAAGCAGGAGAAGAGATGAAAAAATACGCGGATCGACGAGTAGGAGAGATGCCGAAGTACCAAGTTGGGGACAAGGCATTTATCTTCACGGATAACTTAAACACGACCAGGCCGTCGCGTAAACTGGAGCAAAAGAAAATTGGGCCGTACGAAGTGATCGCGGTACCCACAAAAAACGCAATAACACTAAAACTCCCAAAAAAATTATCTATCCATCCCACCATTTCCACGCATCGAACCGAAAAGGCCAACGCCCCGGCTATACCAGGACAATCAGCTCTACCACCCCCACCAGTGATCATCAGGGGCGAAAACGAGTGGGAGGTCGAGGACATCCTAGACAGCCGACTCTGACGCGGACGGCTGGAGTACTTGGTTAGATGGAAAGGCTATACCCCCGAACACGACTCCTGGGAGCCGGAAGCCGGCCTGAAGCACGCACCGGAGCGAATACGAGCATTTCATTCGCGACATGCAGCCGCACCAAGGCGGATCGCCGCCGTAGCGTTCGATCTCGTTGGCTTTAAACCACGACACGTTTTCACTGAGCCTACGTTCGTAACTGACACCAAGATTTACGAACCGGAGGAACCAGATTATGGCACCCACCCAAGCCCCCACAATGACGAGGGCGAGGAAGACAGCCAAAACAAAAAGAAAACGTCGATGAATAGGCCACGAGAGGAAGAAGGCGTTCGGGCTGATAGTGCTCATATTGAGGAAATAATGTCGTCAAACGGAGTTGACGAGTCGTAGAGGGGGGGTGATGTTATGGTTCGACTTTTCACTTTTCTCTTTTCCTTTTCCCCTATATATCACATGACGGGCACGCAGTAGCTTACTACAGACTGCTTACGACCCTCGGCCCGTATTACTAAACACCTTAGTCAGAACCTCACCGCAGACGCATGGGCGCAGTACATGACATCACACCTCACGGTGATGTGCTAAGCATTCCATGGAAAGCCGACAGGCTACGGCGTGTAGATAGACATGAGGATTATGCATGTACCATAGTATATAAGACTGAATATTATACCCAGAGACGTTAACTCGTTCTCTTGGGAATCACACTAATACAGTGCCTGAGTCAGCGTCTTCGTGTTTCCTCCTTAACTCTCACCTCTCACCTTATTACTTCTTGCTCCGATTCTTGTTGGGTCCGCGTACGCTTATTGTGTATTAGCGTTGCCCTAACAGCACGGACGCCGCGTGTTCCCCAGTATATATTCCTGTACCATACCTACAGTTACCTTAGTTTGAATATTAGTTCCTTTCCGCACTCGCATCCTTGCCTCTCTATTGAGGTCCCCCCGCGCACATCCCCTCGCCTCCGCCCGTACCCTCGGTACCCGTGCAGGACTCCCTCCGGAAATACAGGGCACGCAAGAGTGTGGGAGGGGCAGCCAGTAGCTGAAGCCAAGCCTGTACATCCTCACTCCCCTCATTCCCCTCTGCGCCTCTGTGTGTCACCGCGCACCCGCAGGTCCGTGTATCCCGAGCCCCCGCAAGTGTGGCTCTTAACAATCTACCAAAGTTCAGATTTACATGGAAACTTGGAAGCAGTTTATGCTTCTTGCACTGGAGCTCAAAAGCGATGATTATTAGTTAGTTGTTATGGACTGTGTCAAGGGGCCTCCTGAATCGTCCGTACAGGGGTGCGGGAATGCGCAGGGAGCGCGGGAGCGCGGACAAGCAGAGCATACAGGACTTGGCTTCAGCTTTGATGCTGCACCCTCCTAGCCCTGTGGTGTCCCGATTTCAGAGAGAGCAAGGTGAGAGGCGGGCTCGAGCCTGCAGCGAAGACTTAGAAGGCAAGAGAATGACGGAAATGGAACTTAGATCAGAGTAAGGAATACATGTGTACTAATGCTACTATAAATACTAGCTAACATGTGTACAGAGTGAGGCTAGTAGTAAGCAACACATGTAGGTGAAACATGTAACAGGTGAATCCAAGTGCTGCGCACCATGCATAGGCCGCAAGGGCGGAGCCCGAGGGACTCCGAAGGTCCGAAAGAGGCATAGGGGGACCCCTAAGGAGGTTCGAGGACTGGTATATGACATTGGTAGAATTTGGCTAGGTCAATCAATATAGCGCAAACGGCGAACGCTTCCCCAACGTTGTTCTCTATTTTCCAGCTCGCAGTCGGATCGTAAATATTCTGACGAATTTCACACATTATAACAACCTCTCTTTCAGCCACGATCCTCAGGTGCCAATTGAATGCAAGGCTATATTTCGCTAAAATAGGTCACTAGGTCTATCATCAAGTGCAAACCGCCACATCGGAGGCTTGATATAACGCTACAAATACATGGAATGATATTGAGAGAAGGACAACTAGGTTGGTCTATCGCCTGCGGGAAGGAGAGTGGATTTCACCCCGAACATAGGGTGTAGCTAGAGCCTTGGAGGCATTAGAATGAGCGGGTCCCATGGTCGGCGCAGTAGCATTCGAAGCGTTCGCGTAAAGAGCAGCCAACTCTTCCATGTTGCCACCTTCCAGAGGCGCAATCGAGTCACCTCGCCAGATTTCGTAGGTATCCTCCTCGCACTTACGAGTGTACTCGTCGATGTGAAGTACATCGAACGTCCTGGTGCAGTGAACCGTGTCGGTGCCCACATTCTTGATCTGGCCAATTCGAGCCGGGTAGAACGTCTTCTTGGATCGGCTGAACCTAGCGACGCTCACAAAGTCTCCGACCTTTAGAGATTACAAATTCAGTGTTGCACATAGCTATGGAATTGAGGGAAAAGGCTTACTGATAGGACTCGGCTCTTATGGTCTTCCAGAGCAACGATGGGAGGCAGCGCACGGCGCATGTAAGCTGGGACTTGACCTTGAGAGCTCGGATTGATTGGCGCAGAGCGACCTCCAGGGAATAAGCCAGGGAATGCTTGCTGAGCAGCCTGCAGACCATTGTGACGCGTCTGGCGAGCGGTTGGGGCGGAGTATTGCTGCTCCGACATGTAACTATCTGCTGGAAGTGGTTGTTAGAGTTGGAGAGAGTCCATCGAGTAGAAGTTATACTCACCGTACTGGTTGTTGTACATTGTAATTGAGGAAAATATTCCAAGTTGTTAGCGTTCAACGCGGTGTATGAGGGAGGAAGAGTGAGGAGCTCGGCAGGCATCTGGGGTTTATATAGACCTTGCTTTTGCAGTGAATGTAGCCCTTAATCCAACCCTGTGGATGAAAGGGGGAGAACAATGTCAGAATCGAAGTGGCACGAAGGTCAGAACATCCAGAAAAGGCAAGTAGTAATGGCCACCAGCTACGTTTCTCACGCTCGGTTGTACTGCAACGGCCCCAGCTCGCTGTCTTGCCCTGAGTTTATCCTTCGAGAACAGGGTGAAATGTGGCAGATAGGCGGATGAGCAGAACCAGTTTCAGTGTGGCGTCCATTGTAATTAGCAGAATATTGTTTCCAGGCGCTGCTTGTCACTTGGGCCTTAACTCTTTAAAGGAGATACTTGGTACCTTGGCGAGCTCCAGAAGTACCCACCTCATCGGTTTAGTATGTTCTACGGGGGCATGGGTCGTTCCATCAGTGCATGGTTTCGGTGTGGCGAAACAATTGAAACGCTGGTTACAACCAGGTCCTCTGTTCGTCGATGATGCGACCTTTTTCCGGTGAAAAAACTCAATTTCAGACGTGTATTCGGGAGGAATCAAGGGGTCAACGACTAAGGGAAAGAATACACATAATCTCAGTATCACACAGAAACAATACACACATACAAAACTAGCTTAACCGTGAGCGACGGTCACATTCAATATCATCTGGGCTCGCTTCGCATTTCTTGGGGTTATATCGCAGGTAAATGGTTTAGGCGCAAGCTCCAAGCCGGGCTGTCGCCTCTGATCAGTAATTGAGCCGCAATGATGGAAGCCGAAACATTCTCGCACTAGATAGTTATCCAAATCGATGTTGCAAGTCCCAGATCCATCTTTCGCGAAATTGAATGCCCATATGAGGTTCATCGCGTTCATAGCCTAAGCAAGTGAGTAGCACGATTAAATGTCAGAGCTTTCGGCAGACAAGACAGAGTGACCAACTCACAATAGTCCTGGAGGCCATCTCTGCGCCAGGGCAAACGCGCTAATGGCCAGAAGGGGACGTAGTCAGCAACTTGACGTGAGAGGAACTAGAACAGTGCCTACCCGGCCAGCTCCAAAGGGTAAATTCTCGCGGAATCCATTGACGTTCGCCCCTTCCTTTACACCAAATTCCGAGTGTAGGTATCTCTCTGGATTAAAGGTATATGGCTCCTCAAATAACTCTAAGGTAACGGATAAATGAGGAGCAAAAATAGAGTGCTGATATTGCACCCACCTGGATCGTGGTAGATACCCCCTGGGATGGCCAAGTTTCTCAATATCGAGGAGAAGGTAATTTGGAGTATTGGACGCACAGGTATTCATGAGGATGAGGGCATCCTTGGGAATCACATAATCCCCATACTGAAGGCCTGTCAGCACGGTGTCATGTACACTATCACTAGGCCGTCTTACCCTAACATCTTGGGAAGCGACGTGGGCGGGTACGATCGGGAGGATAGGTCTGAACCGCTGGACCTGGAACAGAGGTTAGCGAGCTTATAAGTTCAACAATATCCTTCGAAGTCGATGTAGCTTCACCTCTTTGGTGAACGCTCGAACATAGGGCAAGTCGTCAAAGTCCTCGAGTGTTGGGAATCGCTCGTCGCCAACGAGGAGGTCCATTTCCGCCTGAGCTTTTCTTTGGTATTCAGGATAGCACGCTAAGGAGAGGACCAGCGTCTGAAGATATGATGCCTGCGTCTCAATACCTCCATCCACAAGGACCCTACACATCACCCTAGCAATGTCAATCGTAAGTAAGTAGTAGACCCACGGCCCTGCGAGACGAAGAATATCCATACCTAATTTCTTCCCGAGTCAAATTGTCATCCAGTGGACGGTCCAAAACCTTCTCCATATAACATCCAACGCGTTCGCCAGCCAGATATGCTTCTTCACGACTTGCCACGAGGTCACAATGGAATGCTTTACGCATGGCCTTCGTCTCATCAGACAGGGGCTTCCAGCTTGCCCAGCGTGCGGGAACATACTTCAGGATGGGGAACAAGTCGACAGGGGGGTTCGTAAAGGGGTCAGCGAGTTGTGTGAGGCGTTTCATCCCCCGGTAAAAGAGATCAACTCTCGCATCGTCCGCATTTTGGCCATAGACCAGAGCGACCATGATCGACACAGAAAGTCGCTTGGTGTGCTTGACCACGTCCTAGTACATAGATAATTGACACTGACATCGAGAGTATGCCATGAACGGAGAAAGGCTTACCTTTGGAGAAGTGAGAATATCCCTCAGGAGTCGCAGGTAGCGCTCTTGTTGCATCGGAAAGTAACTTTCCAAGGCCTGGCTTGTCAAAAAAGCATGAAAGGTCTTTCGACTGGCTTTCCACATGGGGACATCTGTTCAAGGCGTTGTGTTATCACTCCTTGAGAATTCGACCATACAAAACGTACCGATACTGTCGAAAACAGGATGGATTTTCCCTTCGACGCGCCGTACAATGTGCGCTTCCGGGCGGCCTCCCGTCTTCATGCCATTCCTATCCAACACCTCCTTCACAGTCGTCCCACTGCTCAGAACGATTATCGTCTTATTCAATAGCTTGAGCTGCGATGAGATTACACGTGTTAGTGACTATGTCACGGTACGCAGGAGGGGTTCATACCGAGTATATGTCGCCATATTCATTGGCCCATTCCGTCAATCTGGGGGATTAGAATTAAACGGTCGATTCAATACATCCGAGTAAACTCACTGGATGAAGGGAGAGAATCTTGGGAACTCTCTGGCATTCCCGATGATAAATGATCGTGGGGGACCAGGGGGTAGGTTAAGCTCTCTGGCGTTGCCCCATCGCCATACGACGAAGAGGATGAGGATTGTTATGGCCGATACAAGTAATATAATAGACATGAGGAACGCTTCTTCGAGCTTGATAATTGTTCAACCCCGCGGATTGAGCATGCCTATATACGACCCCCGGCTTGTCTACTGAATAGCGCCATCGGGCACGTTGTTGCTCTTAACTTGAAAAAGTAATAATTCTGCAAGATAGCGGAAGTTATGGTGTTATCAGATGTGGCTCAACAAAGATATGGTGAACGTTGTACGTACCCACCATGCCATATACATCCCGCAGCCATGGGTGCCTCTACCACGAAGTAATCCTTAAGTAACACAATTGTAAGTACAACTCCGGGGCAGTTTGTGGGTGCATGCAATTGTCCGCACCGTCATCGTGACACAGGCACTATTGCACTATGCCAAACGTAGCCTGGGCGAAATGAAAAGCGTTGAAAACGCCTGCTGGTTAATCATGTAATGTGATCCGTAGAATGCGCGAGCGAGCGGCCGCCGGTGGCAGATCATTGCATGTTCTCGTCATTCCTGTGATCCAAGTTCAAGTTGGTACTGTACACATGGAGAACCTGCTGCGTGAGTGAAAGCAAATGACAAGAAGCGATGACTGTTGAGGTTACTAGTTCTGGCCGTGAGAATTGGCGCCCACTCAGCGGTTGGACTAACCTGGACTAACGGGGACCAACTGGTAATGGTTGGTTGGCCTTGGACTAGGTTGTGGGGCGGATAACTTTCTACTAGTACGCAACTTATTTGCCAAGGGCAGTATCACAAGCACTTCGGGTGTAGACTCGGACCGTTATCAGGCCTTGCGTATACCCTCATGACGAAGCTTCATGCCTCGAGGAAGGTTGCGGTCAAATAACCGATTCAACTGCTCGAGCTATATGAGAGCTCGTTGCGCTGCGTGGATTGCGCTACTGGAGGCTGGTCCGACGTTGCTATGTGTTGGAAGTGGGACCGGGGATGATTTCTTTTCGCTATAAGTGGCATCTATATTTCATTTGCGTTTTCTCCGTCGAGATGCTTGTTGAGTGTCCCCTCGATATCATTCTCAGATATAAGAGAAGGACTTCAAAGGTTCAAGCTTGGTGCAAATCGCGAGGAACCCACCCCTGCTCCTATACAAAGCCCCTAAGGGCCTTCATCGAAACGAAGTTGATTCAGACGACCCGGAAAGGATGGGCTTCTAGAGAACATGCTCGGAACCAGCATGTTCGGAACGCAAGATTGAGCCTTGAGCTTCATTGCTTTCACATTTCGCGAGAATGTCGGCGTTGTTGGCATCGTGCTGGCAACGAGATACCCTGACCTGGTCGTTATAAAATCCCCTTCTCGTCGTGACCCCCGACATCTCTGTAAAAATCAACGGCAACCACAGCGGCGGTTTCGACTTTGCGGAAGTTACGTACCGAGCGCCCATAAACTGACCGAAAGTAACGCCAGCGGTCGACCACGTTCTGACTGCCTAGCTCCGGCCTCGAATTACCAAAAAGTGGAACCAAAGTGGGACATATGATTGGTCGTGGACCTTCCCCGCTTTTCCCCTCATCACTGCGATTGCGACCTCATACCTTTAAACGAATCATCATGCGACCCCTCACGGCCGATGCGCTGAACCCTGCAGTCCTGAATGTGCAGTACGCCGTACGAGGAGAGTTGGCCATCAGAGCAGAGGAGCTACGAGCGCAGTTGAAGGAGGACAACCATGGGCTCCCCTTTGACCGAGTAATTTCATCGAACATAGGGAACCCACAGCAAAAAGGACTGGATCAACCACCCATCACTTTTACTAGGCAGGTACGTGTGGAGACAGCGCTGGTGCCTTCACGCTGGGGGCTGACTTGTTGTGGTATGCAGGTTGCGGCGTTGATGGAATGGCCGGCGCTCGCAGAGATTGCGCCAGATGCCTTTCCAAAAGACGTGATTGCTCGGGCAAAAGAGCTGCAGGAGGAGATCGGCTCAATAGGCGCGTACTCGCACAGTCAAGGAGTGCCCTTCATCAGGCAGAATGTTGCAAAGTTCATCGAGGGTACGTCCATTGCTTTACTCTACTACTACGACTACATTACTTGACAGAGCGCGACGGGTACCCCTGCGACCCCAACCACATTTTCCTCACCGGCGGTGCCTCAGCAGGAGTCTCGCTCCTGATATCCATGCTAATCTCCGAGCCCAACAAGTCCGGTGTCCTGATCCCCATACCCCAGTACCCACTCTATACTGCTACTCTCGCCCAATTCAGTGGTGTCCCCCTTCCATACCATCTTGACGAAGCTGCTGATTGGGCAACATCAGTCCACGACATCGAGGCTGCGATCGAGAAGGCGCACCGCGAGGGCGTCACCGCTAAAGCACTGGTCATTATCAACCCAGGCAACCCCACCGGCGCACTGCTGGACGAGAAGACGCAGGTCGAATTAGTAAAGCTCTGCGAAAAGTACTCCCTCGTCCTGCTCGCCGATGAAGTCTACCAGATCAACCTCCACAAACCAACCACACATCCGTTCACATCCTTCAAGAAGATCGTCTCGCAAATCCAATCCCCCGTCCCCCTCGTGTCATTCCACTCGATCTCGAAGGGCGTGTCAGGCGAGTGTGGGCGCCGAGGAGGGTACTTTGAGTGCACGAACTTCCCGGTGGACATCCTTGCACTGATCTACAAGATGGTGTCTGTGGGGCTCTGCCCCCCTCTGTCGGGACAGATCGGTGTCGACTCGATGGTGCGTCCGCCGCAACCAGGGGACGAGTCGTACGAGCTTTGGAAGAAGGAGACAGACGAGATCCATGCTGCACTGGCGCATCGTACTGGCACGATGTCACAGCGCCTGAACGCTCTCCCCGGCGTGTCCTGCGTCGATTCGCCTGGCGCACTTTACCTGTATCCCCAGATTCGGCTGTCGGACAAGGCGATCGAGGCTGCGCGCGAGGCCGGAAAGGAACCGGATGCGTTCTACGCCCTCCAGCTTCTCCACGACACGGGGATTTGTGTCGTCCCCGGAAGCGGGTTCGGCCAGAAGGAGGGCGAGTGGCATTACAGGCTGACATGCCTTTGCCCCGGCGTGGATGAATACGTTGGGCAATTGGAGGCCTTTCATGCGAAGTTTGTGGAGAAGTACGGGGCTGCGAATTGAACACGCCATCATTAGCACAGCATTGTAATACTAATAGAAACCCCATCTCAGCATTACCCTTGCCTCGTACCAGCCGAAATAATGCGCACCCGCAAGATACCCGGCACCACGCGTCTATATCAGGAGTTCAGGGGCCCGCAGTAGGGGGCTTACTCACTCCGTCGGCCAGCCCGGAGAGTATCCTGAGAGCCGACTGACGTGGTGAATCTCCATCTTTAAATCAAATCATCAGACCCAATGGCTGCGCGCTGTTGTCAATCAAAACCCTAGAATTTACTGATTACCGTTCCAACTTCCCCCATCCTAATACCTATCCTACACACCATTTCCGAGCTAGCACTAGTTTGTGATGCAAACCGTGCTTCTCAAGGTTCTGGGGTCGGCGCTTTCTGCGCTCGGCGCATATGGGGTGTACAAGCTATTCAAGTTCGTGTATGGGGAGCTTACCTCGTCTTTGCGGTACCTGCCCGGACCCAAGAGCTCCAGCTGGATATATGGCAACTTCAGAGAGATATTCGATGCGGTGCGAATTTATGGCATGAATGTTGCGACGGGGGGGCTGATCGCTGCAGGCAACTCTTCACTAGGAGAACTCAGTGCTCCATGAGCAGTGGGTGAAAGAATACGGGCCTACGATCAAGTACAGGGGACTCTTCGGGGTACGTCGCTGGCTTACTTTATGTGTGTATCACTCACTGACAAGCTACATATGCCAGGTCACTCGTCTGTACACGACGGATCCCAAGGCTTTGAACCATATTCTCATGCATACGGATGTATATCAGAAACCAGAGATGACCCGTCATGCCTTGGGACGTGTGCTTGGTGAAGGTGAGACGCCCGGCGACCCGCAGCACTCGCTTCTCTGACATGGCTTCCAGGTGTACTCATTGTGGAAGGTACGTTGCACTCGTCCCACTTGCGACATGTAGCTTTATGTGTACGACACAGGCGAGAAACACAGAAGACAGGTACGCTGAACGTATTTCGCTCCAGTGGCGTTAGTGTCTCATTCGATCATGACCAGCGCAAGATCATGGTTGGTAGACTTTACTGCCGAGTGCTCGGGCGTTGAACGTTGACCGTCCGATCTAGAACCCGGCGTTTGGCCCCATTCAAGTACGCGATCTGACGGAGATATTCGTGCAAAAGGCTATCCAGCTGCGAGACGTCTGGGCCGCCGAGACAGCGAAAGAGGGATCAGCTCGGATTGATGTCTTGTCATGGCTAAGTCGGATGACGTTGGACGTCATTGGTCTTGCTGGTGAGTTGCTCTGTGACCATGAGTACGGAACGATTGTTTGATATCGTATGGGTGTAGGATTCAACTACATGTTCGACGCGCTAGTTGGAGAGCCCAATGAGTTGAACCAAGCATTCTCCACGATATTTCAAGCCAGCACAAAGTTTGAGGTGTTCCCGCTGCTTCAAGCCTTCTTCCCTCCTTTCCGTCTGATTGTACGTGCACCCTGCCCAGAGATTTCGCCGCTTGTCGACCGACCTTGCGTCCATACAGAAAACGCAGAGGGACCGACAGACTGAGGCTGCTCGAGAAGTCATGACGAGGATAGGAAACCAACTCCTGAAGTCGAGCAAAGAAGCCGTTGTCCAGGCTGAAAAGGATCACGTCAACGGCCTGCAATCTCGGAATCTACTTTCACTGTTAGTGAAAGCGAACACAGCAGCAAATATACCTGATTACCAAAGGCTGAGCGACGACGACGTGCTTGCCCGTGAGTCCTACTTACCGCAGATCGTTGAAAACGAAGCTGACAGGTTTACCCCAATCCTCAGAGGTCCCGACGTTCCTTGGTGCCGGTCACGAAACCACAAGGTGACAAGGGTTTCTTCCTCTCATTTTGATGCCCGCTGACTCAGTACGTACAAAGTACGGGAACGACGTGGGCCCTCTTCGCCCTCACTCAAAGTCCCGAAGTACAGAAAAAATTACGCGAAGAGTTGTTTGCCGTGCCTACGGACACGCCAACCATGGATGAACTGAACGCTCTTCCCTATCTCGACGCCGTGGTCCGGGAAACCATGCGTGTGCATGCCCCCGTGCCATCAACTGTCCGCGTCGCAGTAGCTGATGATGTTCTCCCGTTGAGCGTCCCGTTGACAGATTTGAAGGGTGTAACTCAGCAATCAGTACCGTAAGCCTCTTCCTCCTTCCCCTCCCAGTTGATTTACCAAACTCACACATCCTACGATATCGGCAGAATCAAGAAAGGACAATTGTTCATTGTTCCGATCGTTGCGATGAATAGATTGGTATCAGTATGGGGCGAGGATGCCTTTGAATTCAAGTATGTGTATCAGACATTCTTACTACTGATACTTGAACTGATCGGCGTTTGTCTCGTGATTTAGGCCAGAACGTTGGCAGTCACCGCCGGAGGCTGCCAGCGTCGTTCCAGGAATATGGAGTAACATGATGACGTTCCTTGGCGGTCCTCGAGCATGTATCGGTTGGAGATTCTCTATCGTAGAGTCAGTCTTCCTCTCATCTTCATTAAATCTATTCTTATCCTTCTGACGCTATACTTGCCTTCGTTCCCCTTCAATGTTTTCAGGATGAAAGCCTTGCTGTTCACCCTTGTGCGTTCATTCGAGTTCGAGCTCGCCGTTCCGTCAGAGGAAATTGGCAAGATCTCGTCCGTCGTGCAACGACCCATTTTGAAGAACGATAAAGAGGCAGGAAATGTAATGCCCTTAATCATTAAACCATATCAACGGGAGTGACGTTAACATCTAACGGATGGATATGTAGTCGGAATCTTTGCGTATTTATTCATCGTATATGGGCCGTATCTCACTTATGGATATAATACTGTCTGTTATATTGTTGTTAAACCTATTATTTGTGGTGAATGTTTGTTAACTGCTTATTGGCGCCAGGTCACTGCGGCTTGTCAAGCAAAGTCATTTCCCTGAACGGTGCTTTCACGCAATGTACATGCTCCCCCGAGTTGACCTTGTTACAAGACGGATGAACGTTGACTCCAATGCTCCTCAACACGCAGGCGCTGCGCTGCCAGTATTTCCCACACAGGACATCTCAGAAAAGGCCAAAAATAGATGTGAGCCTCGAGGATCAGGGTCTGAACCAATATAAAGCCAATGGTCGGTCGCACCCACGGATCACAGGCTTTGCACACTCCCAGCCAAACTGGTTCTTGCGGCGGCGTAGTTGGTGCTTTTGATGCCATAGAGAGTCGGTGCGCAACTTTGAACGGTATCGGTGAAAGGTGAGCCGCAACTTCCGATCGACTGTTTCTTCACTTCTCTCATCGCAGGACGATACAATTCCCTTAGAATTACAGCCTAGCAGCGCGATTTCACATACTATTTTGGAGCTGGAGCCAACGCCTAGTGACCGACACCTCTACTGTCGACCATGCATTGTCGGGACCACTACCTGGGCTTGAGCTTGGTCCTATTTTTCTCGTTTCTCCCCGCCTTTACCTATGGTCACGGATACGTCGCCTTTGTAACCGTCGACGGTACCACCTTCACAGAAAATGCCCCAAACGCACACCCTACGCCCGCAGCAACCCGTCAGATCAACGACGTCGGTCCGGTCAAGGGCGCATCCAATGCCCAACTCACCTGCGGACATACGCCGAATCCCGCAACACAATTCGCAGACCAGACGCTCAAAGTCAATCCTGGGTCACAAGTAGCATTTGACTGGAGAGGAGGGGATCTAAGCAAATGGCCTCACAATACGGGCCCGATGCTCACGTATATGGCAGACTGTGGGCAAGGAGGTTGCGAGAAGTTCGACGCTACGAAGGCGAAATGGTTTAAAATCCAACAAATTGGGAGAAAGACTGGAGGGAACAAGGAATGGGCACAACAAGACATTAGTGCGTCTTTTGACACTCATAACTGGGACTCGGGTTAACCCACTATCAGTGAATGGCGCTACCGCTATCGTGACTATTCCGAGTAACATCGCGCCGGGCAACTATCTCATACGGCATGAAATTATCGCATTGCATCTCGCTGTCACTGAAGGAGGCGCCGAGTTCTACCCATCCTGTACGCAAATCGCTATCTCCGGAAATGGCAACGGTCGACCGAAGTCTCAAGACTTTGTGAGCTTTCCTGGTGCTTACAAGGACGATGATCCTGGCATTTTCTTTCCTGAGGTATGTACGACGTTTAGAACGGACGTTAGTTACTGACTATTATGTCAGACATACAATACGAGTGCGACGTATATCTTCCCTGGCCCCGCGATCGCTTCATTCATTTCACCGTCTTCTGATTCTCCTTCAACATCGGGCTCAACGTCAACTCCTCCACGAAGTCTTCAAGGCTCCTGTCGTTTGAAGAAACGCTCCTCGACAACAACAGTGAATGCCGTCGTTAGACCTAGACACGTCAGTCGCATCATGAAGAGCTTGAGTTTTGGTTCGTTAAGCTGGCATTAAGGGCAAGGTATCAGGCGGGTTGTACACGTACTATTTATGAACCCTCACGACCTTTGTACGTTGTAAACGTAGGATGGATGCAAAGCTGAAATCTTGTTCCATATAGAAAATGTCGTTGGCCTTTGAGTCTCAGAACCACTATTCTAATTGGAAGCGTCGTGATAAACCCTCTTCTATAAGGACCATTCCAAGAGGAGAAGATAACGACAACAATGCCCTTGGTCGGTGGCCCATTACTACACAATCATCGTGAGAGGATTTAATGTGTGGCCATTACTACTTGCCTTTTCTGGAGATTGTGCGTTCGACTTCGGTGGCCACTTCGATTCTGACATTGTTCTCCCCCTTTCATCCACAGGGTTGGATTAAGGGCTACATTCACTGCAAAAGCAAGGTCTATATAAACCCCAGATGCCTGCTGAGCTCCTCACTCTTCCTCCCTCATACACCGCGTTGAACGCTAACAACTTGGAATATTTTCCTCAATTACAATGTACAACAACCAGTACGGTGAGTATAACTTCTACTCCTACTCGATAGACTCTCCAATTCTAACAACCACTTCCAGCAGATAGTTACATGTCGGAGCAGCAATATTCCGCCCCAACCGCTCGCCAGACGCGCCACAACGGTCTGCAGGCTGCTCAGCAAGCATTCCCTGGTTTATTCCCTGGAGGTCGCTCTGCACCAATCAATCCAAACTCTCAAGGTCAAGTCCCAGCTTACATGCGCCGTGCGCTGCCTCCCATCGTTGCTCTGGAAGACCATAAAAGCCGAGTCTTATCAGTAAGCCCTTTTCTTAGTTCCCATAGCTATGTACAACACTAACACTTTGTAATCTCTAAAGGTTGGAGACTTTGTGAGCGTCGCTAGGTTCAGCCGATCCAAGAAGACGTTCTACCCGGCTCGAATTGGCCAGATCAAGAATGTGGGCACCGACACGGTTCACTGCACCAGGACATTCGATGTACTTCACATCGACGAGTACACTCGTAAGTGCGAGGAGGATACCTACGAAATCTGGCGAGGTGATTCGATTGCTGCCCTGGACGGCGGCAACATGCAAGAGTTGGCAGCTCTTTACGCGAACGCGTCTAATGCTACTGCGCCGACCATGGGACCCGCTCATTCCAATGCCTCCAAGGCTCTAGCTACACCCTATGTTCGGGGTGAAATTCACTCTCCTTCCCGCAGGCGATAGATTCTGTAATAGGCTCTTTCCCCAAATAATTCAATGTCACTGTAACATTACACAATATCATGTATTACTTGGTCCTACGAGTTTGCTAAGCAAACGGAGAAACAGTCCAGAATTTTCGTACACGAAACGGTGGGGCCTTACTGCATGCAACTATGGACTACGTCCACTACATGTCCTTGACCAGCAGAATAAGCCCAGGCTCCCACAGAGCTCACCTTTCCGACTTCCACCTCACTAGCCAGATGGCTTAAGACACACATAAAGTTCATTCAGAGTCGCACAAACAATATAGCACACGAGGCATAGTAAGGGATATGTATATGCACGGACTTGTTGAGCCTTAGTCTGCTATCTTGCCAGCTGCTCAGCAAACATCACCCAATATCCCCTCCGCCGCATATTCAATCAGAGGCTGAGGTCGACGGGGACACATCCTAAAGCAACGAGTCCTTCTAGAAAACGACGATATTAGCTCAACTGCACCTTACGAATAATCGTGGTGCCTCACTGAAGGAGTTGTTGCTGCAGCAGAGCGCTTCGGAGGAGCTGTGTTTCGTGTCAGTGATTGTGCTCTTCAATGATTCCACTGTAAGACCCACCATCCTGAACCACCGAGGCCAATGCCTGTGATAGGGCTGCAAGTGACACCGACTAGACCAGTGACACTCCCAATAGGGAGTCCAATACCGGCAAGTAACGTAGTGATCGACGTGTCGGTAGCATCTCCACTGCTGTTGCAGCAGTCAAGAGAGCCAGTAGAGCACGAGCTGGCTGGCTCAGTCCGACGGGTCATCTTTGTCGGAGTGGCGACCGCGAGAGTTGCGAAAGCAGTAGCGATGAGGATGGCTTGTTTGAAGAACATGGTTGAGAGTTTGATATGTAGCTTGGGTTAGTCGACTGTAGGTTGACTGCTGAATCCTTGACGAGGGGGCAGGGCTTTTATATGTTTCTCTGACGCTTATTCCAAGCTTATTCCGACCTCTACAGGATCGTCATCAAGTGGAGTGCGATACTCTGTTGTATGTAGGGCTAGGCAACTGATAGATAGAACGGCCATCGTGGTGGAGGGGAAGTATATCAACTCGGCGAGAAGCAGATCGGACGAATGGTTGTCGTGGATATTAAAAGCACAGAAAGTTGATCCTCGATGGCACCGTGGAGCATGTTACGTGCGAACACAGTGCATTAACGGTGAAGTGAGGAGAGCTGTATACATTCAAAATAAAGTCTTAAATCAGCCGCACGCCAGAACGAGCTCAGAGGTATCAACGTTGTACTTGCCTATTGCGATGCTGAGTCTTCGCTGCCCCCTAAGGGAAAGAATTGTGATCCTGCCGTAAGTTGAAAACGATACCGCCCAGTCTAGATCACCGAAAACGCCACGCTACCAACACCGCAAACCTTCAATGAGGTGATTTGAATGAAAAGAAGAACACGCTCTCAACGCACACCGCGTCTATATTTGCGACGTCTGTCCACCAAAAGTTGGTGCCTTGGTCTGTGACCACAAATTGTAGTGTGTTTGAACGGGATGACAAAGAGTGTATGTAAATTAGAAGCAAATGGTGAAGGCAGTTGGGAGCAACCGCAAAGCGCACTCACGTTATACCAGTTGGCAGTTTCATAACGGCGACAAACGAATTCACTCCGTCTTCGTGCATTCCTGGGAGAGAAAACGGGTGCGAGGTACCGTGGAGCGACGCTGACAGCGTGGAACATGGGAGTACTGTACAACATTGTCAATTCAAGGGTTAAATATTTTAACTGAATGCAATCGGAATGGAGTGGCAGAAACCCCGCGCTGATAGAGGGACCCCAGGTTAGAACACCCATAGCTATTGGTAAGCCGGACAGACCACTACGAGACCAGAGAGATGAGGGTGTAAAGCTCCACAAAAGTGTGAATCCCGGACAATTAGTTGTGTACTGTCGCGGCAGGATACTTCGAGTGCATGCATACGCCAGCGAACAGCATGATAGAGTTTGATTCTGAGGCTCCTCGTGCACTGTAAGTAGATGTTGTCGGGTCGCGTGCGGTTTTCAGCTTTTCGTCGGCGACAGGACCGGTCGCGAGAAAGCAATCGTCCCTCAACAACTCAGTTTGAGGACGCGCAACAGCTACGGGTGAGAGCCAGATCAGCCTTATATGAAATCAACTAGACAACATGTACGCACGGTTTCAATTTTCGGAAGGATCCGTTTTGGGATCCAAAAGGTTTGATACGATGACACTCATTGAATGTTACCTGAACGGAAAGAATGAACCTTTGCCGCACGCGATGGGAGATGTTCTACATTGCTTGCCAAGTGAACTCGTCGCTGCAAAGATGTGTGTAACTGCCAGCACGCGGCGGCCCGGGAGTATAATTAGTAGGACGGATTGGGACCTGTTACATGTTATGCCCGTGACCGTTGACTTCTGCTCTCCTGGTCGCAACTCAACCCCAATAGCAGATGTACACCGTGGCAAAAAGTGAGTAGATCACTTTTCTCGGGTACGTATACGTATTGTGGTATAAGAGACGCTAAAAAAATACTTACCGCGAGACTAGTCGCTAGGCCATTCCACTCAGATTGCATAAGCCTCTTTGCGCCTTCGAAAACCACGCCGATGGCGGATTTTCCTGATCTTGATATCGTGTTCTTGTGGGTGGCTCGCGCATATGCTTGTGGTGTGCCAAGAGGCTTTGAACTTCCGGAGCCATCTTCTTTTCACAGCTTCGGAGATGGGTTTTTATCAGATAAAAGCAACGTGAAAGAACCTGTTGCTATCTGATAATCACTAGTGCCGGCTCCGGGCGTGTTCGCAGCTTGCTCGACGGCTGAAGCTGTAAATCGGCTGGACGTACTGAACAATCGACTCGGAGAAATGGCCAGCAACAAAAATTGTCTGAAACACTCTAGTATGTAGCACCCCGAGGGGCCTTCTGCGGTGGAAGGAATGAGGTCGGAAGAATTACCCATCGAGATTCAATTCCCAGTGCGACGATGAGGAGAAACGGCGCATGGCAAAGAATCAACTTCGAATATCCCTCGCCTATTTATTCATGAAATTCTGCGATGAAAATACGGAATTTTGAATCTTTACCCCCGCAATGCACCCCCCGTCCCTCACCGCTGCATCAATGCACACGATGCGCCAGCTCTTGCCCAAGATTCTCGGATCCGCTATATCCGCCCTCGGATTTTATGGAGTCTTCAAGTTGCTGGCTTTCTTGTATCATGAACTTACTTCCTCGGTCCGTCTCCTGCCTGGCCCTCCGAGCACTAGCTGGATATACGGGAACCTCAAGGAGATTTCCAACTTGGTGCGTGAATAGCCTGTGGCAGGTCCTGCTGGTTGCTAAATATCAATACAATGCTAGGAAGACTCGCGGCTTCACGAAGAGTGGGGAAGGGCTTACGGACATACGACGCAGTACAAGGGAATCCTCGGGGTGCGTAGTCGTGATGTCTTCCTGCCTCTTAAATCTCACCCTCACCCTACAATATAGATGGTTCGCATGTGCACGACGGATCCCAAAGCGGTAAACCACATCCTTATGCACCCAGACATATACCAGAAGCCGGCTGCGAACCGTCATGCTCTCGCTAGCATTCTTGGTGAAGGTGAGGATACTCAGTGATCGCCGCCACGAGAAGATGAGCTAACCTGGGTCCCAGGAAGCCTCCTCGTAGTCGAAGGTGTGTTAAACTACTCTACCGTCCAAAACATACGTCCTTATGATGAGCAGGTGGCAAGCATAAGACCCAGGTACAGCACTTCCCTTCGTTATGGCAATGAAGTTGATCTCACACCGTTGCTATCCATCCAAGCGCAAGACAATGGTTTGTGCATCCACCCTCCGAAGGCTCGTATGTTGACCATACAATAGAACCCTGCGTTTGGCCTCATCCAAACCCGATACTTGACGGAGATATTTATCGAAAAGGCGATTGAGCTCCGTGACGTTTGGGCTTCCCATATTGGAGAAAGTGGATCTGCTCAAATTGACGCATTATCGTGGATGAGCCGGACAGCGCTAGATGTCATCGGACTTGCTGGCATGTTATACTCTTCAGATGTTTGACCTTCTACTCACTGTATCGATGCACAGGCTTCAATTACAAATTCGACGCACTGATTGGCGAGCCTAATGAACTAAGCCAGGCCTTCTCGACGGTCTTTCAGACCAGTGTAAAGTTTGAAGTGTTCTCGCTACTCCAAAATTTCTTCCCCCCTTTACGGCTTATCGTAAGCGTACTCTGAATTTGCCCTGTTGCCACTCATTGATATCGTGCGCGACAGAAAACAAAGACAAGTCGCGACCGTCAAGCAGCACACGAAGTTATGTCGAGGATAGGATCTGAACTTCTCGCGTCGAGTAAGGCAGGCGTTGCTCTGGCAGAGAAGGATGGCATCGACAATGGGCTGCAGTCACGGAGCTTGCTTTCGTTGCTGGTGAAGGCTAATATGTCAGCAAGCGTACCCGATCACCAGAAGATGAGCGATGAAGATGTAATCGATCGTGAGCATGGATGTCTCGTAATGTCGAAGTTGATGCTGATTGGTCTGCTACTCTCACAGAGGTCGCAACATTCATTGCTGCCGGTCATGAAACTACTGGGTGAGGATGACTTTTCTGGGATAGAGTTACCAATTATTCACTACCGCTTAGTACGGGGACAACATGGGCACTCTTTGCCCTAACGCAAAATCTCAGAGTGCAAGCACAGCTACGCGAAGAGGTCCTCGGTGTCGTCACGGATACACCCTCCATGGAAGAGCTTAGCGCTCTACCGTACCTCGACGCCGTCATCCGAGAAACTATGCGACTCTATGCACCCTTGCCGTCAACTACAAGAGTGGCTGACGTTGATGATATTCTACCCTTATCCACTCCTTTGACGGATTCGAAAGGCGACGTCCACCGATCAATAGTGTAAGCGTCACTCGTTCAATAACAATCAATTCCCGCTCCTACGATCTATCCCATAGACTCAAGAAGGGCCAATGGGTCTCTATCCCTGTTCTAGCAATGAACCGTTCAAAGTCTATATGGGGCGAAGACGCTTGGGAATTCAAGTCTGTGTTACCTTCCATGCAGCTGGGAGCCTGGAAAATACTAACTGTTCAATTTTACTTGTAATATAGGCCAGAACGATGGCAGTCACCGCCAGACGCTGCACATGACATCCCAGGAATATGGGGAAATACATTGACGTTCATGGGTGGACCTCGGGCGTGTATAGGATGGCGCTTCGCTGTCACTGAGTCAGTCCCCGTTCACGCCTAATTTCGCAGCCTTCGTATTGACTCCTGTCTTATAGAATGAAAGCCCTCTTGTTTACACTTGTCCGGTCCTTCGAGCTCGAGCTGGCTGTCCCACCAGAGGAGATTGTGGGGAAGCTTTCGGCTGTTGTTTATAGACCGATGGTGAAGAGTAACAGGGAGGCGGGGAACGTGCTGCCGCTGATAATTAAGCCATATCAGCGGGCGTGATGTCGGTCACTTAAGGATAATCGTAATTCTGTATATTGCGGGCCTATAGAAGATCGGCACCACTACGTATATATAGCGAAAGTGCTTAAGCCTCAGGTTTGGTGCCCTTCGCGATGAATATCTTGGTAGGGAATTTATGGTACTTGGCCTTAGCTATGATATTCAACTCAAATTTGACGAGGCCAGCATCTTCGAAGACTTTTCGAATCGTTGGCTCGTCAAATCCATGTTTATGAGCGACGACGTGTTCGAAGTCAGCCTGTTTCTTCAAATCTTTGAAGTTGTCTGTGATATCGTCGACATCGAGCATGTCGTTGACCAGGAGAACGCCCCCAGGCTTCAAGAAGAATGCCAGGGTCTGCGTAGTCCCCGCAATGTCTTGGATATGGTGATATGCCATGCCGCACTAAGAACATTTTCAAGTGAGCAAGCATACTTACGGCGAAGGGTGTTCGAGTAGGTCACTTACGATAATGACATCGAACTTCAGGTTATCTAGCTCGCCTTCCACGCCTTTGAGATGGACGCAGACGGCTTTCATTTCATCAGGGGTAAGCCCCTGATTATTGACTCGCAGGTTGAACTCGTCGACGAGGCCTTGGCTGATATCGATCCCTACTATCTGCTTGGTGTACGGTGCAAGCTCCCTGGACACCATGCCTATTTTACGCGTCAGTTGGGCCAACTTCTTTGAAACTTTCTTATACACACCTATCCCACAGGCGAAGTCCATCATGACAGTCTTCTCTTCGTCGAATGGGTATGCGCCGAGGTACGCGGTTAACTGCCTGCTGGCAAGCTCTTTCGCAAAGGGATGCTGCTCGAATTTATGGACATTCTCGTCAAAATATTTAGCATTAGCAGCGGCGAAGTCGTGTTCCTCTTGGTGCTTGTGATCGTGGTCGTGGTCGTGAACGTGGCCGTGGCGAGAATGAGAATGCGGGCCATCAGACATAGCTAGCTCGATGGTGAGGGTGTCCGATGGGTACCAGAAAGTTTGGGGCAGAGGCCGACTTGAGGCAAGGGCTCTTATACTGTTGGCTGCCTGTAGCCCCTAATGGTCCCACAAATGCTAGCGAGGTGAGTGAATGCATGACTATGTTGACTGTTCGGGTACTGACTGGGGTGGTACTTAGCTTAATAATCAAATGAAGGAGTCATCATGCGCGTCTATTGGGCGTCACTCCCGCAGGCTGCACATCGTTGGCAGTTGCCCACAATGCACACTGCGGACTCCAGAGACTTCAAGCTTAAGCCTCAAGAGTTACAAGTCATAACAGAGGATGACTCTCACAGAAAACGGCGACGAGGCGCGGATATACAGTGCTTTCGACACGACCTACGTCCTTGCGACATTGACGGAAGTCCTCTTCCAAAGTACGAGGTATACGGTTGGCGATCATGCCCGTTTTCCAGATGAGGAATTATGCCCATGGGCCGTCACCTGTTGCGCGCCCCAGCCAGGAATACTGACTCAGGGAAGCTGCCTACGAACTGCCAATCGCGTGAGGTACTTTCCGCCATCTTTGTATGCAAAAAAGAGAATAAGGAAGTGTGCCAGGACAGATATATCTGCGACCGACCGCATCGAACACGAGGAGAAGTGAGCCAAGTGAATGGTAGGGACGGCGAGTGTACTCATAACCCGCGAGTCATAATAGACTCACGGCACCGCAATGTTTCCTCCGTCGGCGACTTGGAGCAACGTTACTGGATTGCCCACTTCGACGACAGCGAGCATGTCCGTTCTCGTCGGTCGAAAACGGGGTCCCGTCTCTATCGCCAACTCGCACTGGCTCGTGGATCTCTTCAGTCAGTCATGACGACATCTCGCTCGCACGAGGGTTCAAGGACTCAAGTTCGGTCGATTGCCTACCAGCGTAGTCTACAGGTGCATCTAGGTCAGAGTGGCAGCGTCGCCCCACCGTCGGGTATATTTATTGAGCTTCAGGTCCCGGTATATCGTAAGCCTAATACGCCATTTTGAATCGAGTGGAACTGGCGGCTGTCCATATCAACGGCGGAGTCGTTACGACAGCACGGAACAACGCACCCACAACTACCCGACGCAACCCAGCTGGAATCGCAACTTAGCTCCCTCCGCGGGTTGTTCGCTGTACCTCCACTCCGGCATCCGAGGAACCACGCGAGTCTATGCACATTTACCTTCGACTACTCAGGAACAACGGGTCCTTTGACCTTTGTTGAGTTGACGAAGAATGTCCTTTGGGATTAATACTCAAGTATGTTATGTTTATCTTTGATGCATCAAAGCAGCTAGAACACACTGACCGTACTCCTCATCAGTAATTTTGAACATTATATCACTCTCACGTACATATACAAGAACCTATACAACGACGACGGACTAATTAATGGACGTTCAGCCGGAATCGAGTTAAGCCTTAGGTTTGACTCCCTTCGCAATGAAAACCTTGCCGGGAAATGTATGGTGTTTCGCCTTGGACATGATATCCAATTGGAATTTGACCAGCCCGGCGTCTTCAAAGATTTTCCGAATTTCCGACTCTTCGAATCCATGTGTATGAGGCACGACGTCTTTGAAGTTAGCCTTCTTCTGCATCTCCATTAACATGGGCGGGATGACATCCATCTTGAGCCCGTCGTTGACCATGAGGACGCCCCCGGGCTTTAGGAAGAATGCCAGAGTTTGGGTAGTCTTTGCGACGTCGCTGATATGGTGGTATGCCATGCCGCACTAGCGAAGACGAAACAGTGGTGAGGGATTATTATTTCGGGTCCGAGGGGTCACTTACGACAATGACATCGAACTTCAGGTTGTCCAATTCGCCCTCTTCGCCCTTAAGCTGGACACAGACGGCTTTCAACTCGTCAGGGGTCAGCCCCTGATTCTTCACTCGCAAGTTGAACTCGTCGACGAGGCCTTGGCTGATATCAACCCCCACGATCTGCTTTGCGTAAGGGGCCATCTGCCTGGAGACCATGCCTAATTTATGCATCAGTAAAATGAATATCATGTGTACTCGACATGCATACCTATTCCGCAGGCGAAGTCCATCATGACGGTCTTCTCTCCGTCAAACGGGTATGCGCCGAGGTATGCGATGAACTGCCTCCCGGCGAACTCTTTCGCGAAAGGTTGATCCTCAAATTTGTCCACGTTCTCGTTGAAGTGCTTCGCATTCGCGGCGGCGAAGTCATGGCCATCGTTGTGCTCGTGCTCGTGGCCGTCGTTATGGTGAGAATGGGAGTGGGAGTGCGGGGCGTCAGACATGGTGAGCACCTTCAGGATGAGGTTCTCAGACGAGCACGAGAGATGGGGCTCGAATTGTTGATTCAACTAGCTTGAATTGTTGCTCTTATACTGTTGGAGGCTGCTAGTAGCCCCTGACGCATGTCGACTGTGGAGGTACTGACCGGGAAGGTACTCGGGAAAGAGGCTACCTCACTACTACGCGTCTATTTGGGCAACAGTCTTAGGATGGTAACTGGTTGACCATCGATAAATTGCAACGAGCCAATTAATTATCAATGGATGGTAGGATATGTATGATACATGGAGACGAAGCGTTGGAATATACATAGTATTGATACAAGTATTATGCCCATGATGGAACCCATTAGCCATTAAATACGCAGAACCCAAGTACTATACGGTCGTGAAACAAAACGATAGCAAAAATAACTATTAGCAAGATGAAGAGATGGTGTTAGCAATGATTCAGAGCGTTTGCACAATGATAGCAGTGTCGTCGATCCAAGCGGTATCCATATCAAGGGTAAGAACCCTGGAGACACTGAAGTGGTCGTCCCCACCCAGTGCCTCACGCAACAATCGCAGCGCCATGTTGTTCGATCCTCGTACGCTTACGTGCTTACCGGATGTCCACGAATCATCCGTAGCCCCCCCTCCGGTCAGCGCAGTCAGTCCGTGCGCCCACCGCCTCACGATCTCCTCCTCCTGAACTTCATCCTTGCACAAATCCGCGAATCCGTCGGAGGCGAGGATCAGGAATCGCGTCGGCGTGGCGGACAGGGAGTGCTGCAGCGAGTCGAGCCGCCGATACGTGATCTCGGGCGTCGACGAGATGTACGGCGGAGTCAGATTCCGCACGAGGAACTCCTCCCACGGCGCAGTGTCGTGGAACCCTGGCAGCAGGTTGTACAGAATTCGCCGGCTGAAGTCTGGGTGCTGTTTGAAGGGTATGTCACCCAGACCTATGTCGGCATGTCAACAAGGTGGAGAATGGAGAAGAAGCGGGGAGGACGGACATCGGAATGGAGCCAGAGCGCCGAGGACTCTGCGGTCTACAACACATTCAGGTTCGCCAGGGTGCTCCGCTCGAACCCGCGCAATCTCCTCGTCGTTCCCCCCGTTCTGCTCGCGCGTCAATCTCTCGACGGACCACGTCGACATCTTCTCGTCATACGTCACAAGCGCTTGATACCAGCGAACATCAATCGGCGCGTAAAGCAAGTATGGAACAGCAACGGCACTCACTAGCTTGACAGTCACCTAGCTGAGCTACCCATAGAGATGTGTGCTCTGGGTCGACGAGGGAGACTAGAGCGGTGGTGCCGTACATACAAAGCCTGGCCTTGCGATAGTTTGGGCCATGGTCGTTAATTATCCGCCGGATGTCAGCGTCCGTATAGTTCGCTAGATATTCAATGCTTCCCCCGAAGAGCCCCAGAACGTCCTGGGCTATAGCCTCGTCAAAAGCTTCTATTGAGCGGGTGAATAGGTTACTGATGAATTCTGGCGTGGAAGTTTGTGGCTCGCCCGGTCGAAATGCACCGGTCAGAAACTCGGACACGATGATAGGAAGGTGGTGCGACACGTGTTCCACCGTTACATCTCCTAGATGACCTATAAACCTGGTATGTTAGCTACGAGCCATCGCGACCAACTTTGGAAAATGGCTGGAAAAGATTCATGGCGTAGAGCATTTGGCTCACACAGCAACGTCCATTCCCTATGGCTCTAGCGCACGTAATTACGCGGCGAATGTGCTCTTGTAGGCCATGTCTCCTTCTTCGGCCTTCCCTCTTTCATTCAAAGGCAGGCTCCGCGTAGAATTCGAGAACACCGAGTCTCTCACGTTCCCCCCCACTGATGATACCGAAAGACACTCACCATCAAAGACACCAGTGAAAACCCACTTCTTGCCATGGATATCCAGCTCCCTCGAAACGTACCGGTCCTGCGTACGCGTTCTGTGACATGGCTGAAAGTTCAGACTGTCCGCCCTAAATCCCCCATCAAAGTACGAGGTCTGCGGTTTTGCGAGCATGCTCAATTCCCGCCAGACCTGATCGTTCTCGAGAATCTGATATGCTCGTGGCCAGGGACCATCTTCTGCGTCGCATCTCGAGCCGGGAATGTCGTCCGCGAACGCCCAAGCGTATGAGGTGCGTTCCACCAGCATGGTGCGCAAAAAGCGAAAAAGAAAGTGGAACTGCAGCTTGGCGAACACCTTCCCGGTGAAGAGCCACAGTGAACTATGATGGGGGGAGCACAATTAGCAATCCTTTGTACCCGGGGTTTAATAATCCGAGAATCAAGATACCTATAACTTTAAGGACAGGAAGAACGCGCGACTGGCCCTGACTAGTCAACAGCTGTGAAATAAAAGTAATACCTCCGGCGGCTGATATCTAATCAACGGACGATGAGACACGTGAACCCACAGTCAATGCAAGGCAATGGCAGATCCGGGCATACTTGCGACACGATGTAACTGAAATCAATCCTTAACTTGGTTGTCTGAGGCTAGAAAGCCCGGATGGTGGAAACGAACCGGGGGATGTGATGCGTGATGCGATAATCGCTATGATACATTGCACGGAATCAAATGGTATGCTAGTAAGAATCCAGTAATGAGCTGTAACAGTCTATGATATATGCAGGGTACTAGTAACAATGAATGAGGGCTATATTAGAGGCACAAATTGTCCATGATAGTCATAATGGTTCGGATAGATGTGGATGCTCCGGACATGAGACGCTGGCACTTGGCAGCTACGCTCCCAGGTATAGCAAGGAACGCCGGGGGGAGCGGTTGTCGTGCAGTTCATTTGCGGAAGGGGTTGTTGGACGAACCAGTTGCCACCGGCTGTATCCAGTACGATCCTTGCGTAGCAGGTGGCGATGTTGCCAGCACAGGCTTCATGGCCGTGGCATAGACCTGTGCTTCAGTCGGGACAGGTGGTATGTCTGAGTCCTTCTCAACGCGAGGTCCATTCGAGCGATACATATACGAACTGTAGGTGCTCGTGGACATGCGAGCTGAAGCACGGTAGTCTTTGACGGGCTGTCGAACGTCCGGAGATCGGCGGGGTATTCCCGTTGCCTCCGAGTAAAGAGAATTCGCGGCAAGATGGCTTCTACGGCGCCCACTACTCGCATGGGGGTCAGATGATGAGCCTCCACTAGGTCCACCGGGAGTCGGATCACCATAAGAATCGATGAGCTTCTCAAGATCGTGGTCACGTCGCGCTTCCTCAGCCTGGCGTAGCTTCAGTAGCTTGATGTCCTCGCTCTCTGGTATTACGCGTCGGCTGGGGCGGTGTCCGAATAACCTCTCCCCGAACCTCACGAGCCTCCACTTCCAACTGTTTCGGTCATCGAGTTTTTTCGACTGCGCGAACATCGCTGTGCGCTTCGCTCGCTGTTTGCGCGCATGACGTCTCCACAGCATCAGCACAAGGACGAAGATGAACGCGCAGCCCAGCGCCATCAACAGGATCTGCCACCACTCTAGAGGCCTTCTCGTCTCGTTTTCGATCACAGTTGGGTTGGTGAGCCCAGTGATCGACGGGAGTGGCGCTGGGGTACTCGTCCCGCTGGGCTGGGGAACCGCCACAAGCTCCGAGAGACAGATGCCTAATCCAGGGATAACGTTCGATGATCCGTTGCAATTCGCCGAGATACACGTCCCTCTTTGAAGAACCTGCGTGGAACTTGAGCACGCTAGACATTTGCTCGGACCGGCGCCGGAGCAACTTGAGCAGCTGGAATCGCACGAGATACAGGATGATGTGGTCTTATCGAAGAATTGGGAGCGACTGCAGGTGGGTAGGCATCGACCATTGGTGAGAACGGGGCGTTCGGGTGGGCATGAGGAGCATTGGTTGAAGGAAGAACCCGAGCAGGTGAGGCAATCGGGGTGACATGTCAGGCAGGAGCCAGATGAGCTGAATCTGTTCGAAGGGCACGCAGAGACGCATTTGCCATCCGAGGCCAGCTGATTACCACTACAGGTCAAGCAGAAGTCTGCGGCACCAGAGCAAGTACTACAAGAGGCGTCACACCCTGAACAAAACACGTTAGATTGGGACAAGCTAAATGAAATCGGAGACCTCACGTGTGCAGGTCAAGTTATCCTGGGGTGAAACGAAGAAACCAGTAGGGCAACTCGCAACACATTCTCCATCTGATAACACAAATCCGGGAAGGCACCCGGTACACTGACGTTGACTAGCGGTGGACGCAATACTGAAGTTCGGAATTTTGCAGGTAGTACACTTGGCTCCGCAAGCTAGTCAGAGCACCGGTTAGCGTATGTTAAAAAAGGCTAATAAAGGAAGACTTACTATCACATTCAAATTTGTTATTATCTGCGATCATTTTAGAACCCTGGCAGACGCCATCGCTGTTTGCCGAAACGCAGGCACCATTAAGCAAATATTGTCCAGACACGCAAATAGCACAGTCGTTTGACGAGGGACCGGTGCACGATTGACACGAAGGCGAGCAGAGAGCACAGTTGGTTCCATCATTGAAGCTGCGCAAGGGACACACGTCTCCGGAAGGAATAGGCGTTTGCACTGGGTTGCACTTTGTTGGATCGTTGGCGTCTTTCGTGAAACCAGTCTTGCAGGTTAAACATGCACCTGTACCGTCGGCACATTGAGTGCAGCCAGCTTGGCAGACTAGGAGGAGTGTTAGTCACGACGTACACTGTGGAGTGAGTTCAAATACCCACCTTTACAGTCGCTAGTGCTTGTGAGGAAGAAGCCAGCTGAACACTTGGCACACGCAGTTCCGTTGTCTGCGTTCGTCCAGCCGTCATTGCATGCGCACTGTCCGTCTGAGCCACAGATACCATTGAGGCAATTGCACGTCGAGGGAGCGTTACTGGGAAGCAAAGGGGTAAGGCACCGACCGGTCCCGGACACCCCTTCGTCGCAAGATGTGCAACCTGTTGGACACGCCTGACAAGTCGGTCCGAAGAAACCAGGCGCGCAGGATTCACAAGCAGAACCAGTGAATCCGCTGGGGCAAGCACAAGTGCCTGATGCAGAGCAAACACCCGTCCCTGCACATGGCGGGGAGCAAGCCGAAGACTGGAGGTCCAGAAGGGCAAGTGAACCTAAGGCGTCCGCGGGGAGTTGCGTGACATCCGGGACAGTGTCCCAGAATACAATGCGTTCTTCGGAAGAGGATCGGATGGACGCCCAAACGTTCGTCGAGATGGCGAAAGATTTGGCTGCCAATGGCACGGAGGAGTTTGCGATGGAGGATGATGGGAGCTGAGAAAAAGCGGCCGGGCCGCTGAAGCGTATGTCAGAGTAAATGGCAAGACCCGGCTCAAGGGCCAAGTTCAAAGGCAGGGAAATAGACGAAGACGAAGATTCAAAGCCAGGGGATGACGTGAGCGAAGCTGACGGTGCGGTGAGGAGATTGTGCAGGAGCTGAGGGTTCGTTAAAGACGTGTACTGGCCGGGCAGCAGGTGAATGCTGGTTGGCGCCCCAGGTGCTGAAATCGTTGCACCAACTAGCAGGCAGAATCGTCAGTTTCTGTGCCACAACATTAGGACAAAGCCAGCGCACTCGTTATGTTCGTCAAACCCTGCAAGCATTGCCCAGCAATACAAACTACAGTCGAAGAAGATTGTGCGACTATTTCACAGGTTCAGCACGATTCTGCACAGGCAGCAACGAAAAGAGCTCACCAACAGACGCACTCAGCAAAGAAATTACGAAGAGAAGGCTCGAAAGCATTTCGAGAACGAAGAAAACGAACGTCGTGGTGGCGGTTTAAGAAGAAACTGCGTCTGCAAAGTCGTCGGCAGAGCAGAATTGGGGATGTGCGCCATGGACCCTCGTTGCCTTTCTATTGTGGACGAAATAATGGAAATGATAAATCGAGAACAATAGACAATGTCGAACAAGGGCGGTTATTTGGCTGCGCACCAGTGGACAAACAACCCCATTGTCCATATTTGGTTGAATCGGCGATCTGATCGTGATCGAAGTACTGATCGGGTGCGATTTTCCTTAGACGCCCAAGGCAACCACACCCAAGAACTCCAACGTATCAACAACAAAGTCGCGCACCTTGAACACCTCTTTGTCATGTGATCGCTCCGATGGTGCGTTCGCAAAACGGCACTCAGTGTATGGGTTTCCCTGAGATGCGGCTGCATCGGTGTTGCCATGAGGCAAGCGGTTGGCGCTGTAAGCGGTGCAATCTGTAACAGATAACAACCGTATATAGACTTCGAGCATCTAGCACATCGACTCTATCTTCTTCTTCTTCAAACCACTTTCGAGCAGCATGTCGACCACAGGATGGAATCCAGAAACTAGCGCGCACACGACATTCTCCGCCCATGCCAGCAGCCTCGTAACCTCGCTGTTGCTGTGGAATGACCACATTGTAACCGGTTCTGATGACACCACCGTTTGCGTTTGGACGAACGACGGGACGCTGGAGAAGAAACTGGAAGGGCACGAGAGCGGGGTCTGGGGCTTGGCGCTTCACCACGACACGTTGGTCAGCGCGTCGCAAGACAGAACGGTCAGGATTTGGAACCTACAGACCGGACTCTGTTCCCACGTCTTCCGAGGCCACCACAGTACCATCCGCTGCGTAGCGATCGCAGAATCCGACGATACTGTCGGAGGATATCAAGCACCCGCGAAACCCCTCATCTTGACGGGAAGCCGTGACCACACCCTTCGCGTTTGGACTCTTCCAGTTTCGGGGGATGATGAATTCAAGGCCGCTGAGGATGACGCGGTGAACCCCTTCCATCGTTTCACCCTCGACGGCCATACGGAAAGCATTCGCGACATATCCGTCCGCGGACGTATTGCAGTGTCTGGAAGCTACGACAACACCGCTCGGGTATGGGACATAGTCACTGGTCAATGTCTTTGGAAGTTGGAAGGACACACTGGTAAAGGTGCGTCAACCGCTCCGCTCTACGCTGCGTTTGTGGCTGAATTGTTCCGATAGTCTACAGCGTAGCTGTTGATCTTTCCAACGAGCAGGTCTTCTCTGGATCAATGGACACGACGATCCGGGTGTGGAGTCTCAAGGATGGTTCCTGTAAAGCTGTCCTTGACCGTCACGAATCTCTTGTGGGACTTCTGGCTTTGTCCCCCTCGTATCTCTTTTCCGCCGCACCCGACCGCTTTGTCCACGTTTGGGATCTTAAGACATTGGCCGTGATCCAATCCTTCGAACACAATCAGACTATCACGAGTATTCAAGGAGACGACGAGAAAGTTGTCGCAGGAAGCGATGGCTTGGTTCAAGTCGGCAATGTCACGACAGGCCAAACGACAGACTTGCTGTCAATGGGGAGGGAAAGGCTGGTCTCTAAAGTCGCTTACGCGGGCAGCAAATGCGTAGCAGTGACGAAGGATGGTGCAACACATGTCGATGTCTGGATGTTCGGGGAGAAGGCGTGAAGGCACTGTATGTTTAATGTAACACTACAAACTCCCTCTTCGGCGATGCAGAATCATATCGTGTATTGTATACTAAAGACATTGAGAGTACCATTCATTCTGTACCTGACAAGTCAACGAGGATTGGCAAACTGCAAATTCGACTCAGTGATGACAGCTGACAGAAGAACTCAGAACTCACCGGTGGGGCCAGTGTACCCATTACCTCCACATTGCCCGTACTGGACCACAGTCCCGCTTCCCCCTGTAGCTGTTGGCGCCGAACTCGAAGACGTGATGATAGGCACGGAACTGGGTATTCCCCCTTGGATATCGAAGTAGTTGACCTTGACGGTACCACCGGTCGCAAGCGTGGCATAATTGAAGAGTCCAAATCTGTATCCCATGAAGTATTGCCATGCCGTGATCATGGTGAACGTCCCCATAGAGGTGAAGGTCGACCCGGTGGTACTGTAGTAGAACGTAGCTACATGATCACTGCTCGAAGCAACGCGCGCATTAATGCGGAGGTATATTGTTCCCCCCGTGACACTGGCAGTAGCGACTGTAGTCCCTCTGCCAACAGTGTTCCATGCGGAGTCCATAGTGAGGTTGTTGACGAACCAGATAGCATAGCTACTACCAGTGCGTGCGACACCGATCCAAGCAGAAGCGTCGCGGAAGAGTGCGAGCCCGGCACGATCTCCGTCTCTCATGCTACCAACATCGATGGCTATCGTTGCCGTAGACTCCGGACCGGGAATACGATGCGTCAATGTATTTCGCGCGGCGTAGAGGTCGTTGGTTACGGTGACTGTATCGAGGAAGAGACCATTGTTGACGCGGAATTTAGACGTGTCAGGGTTGTGGTTCCACTCCCATTCGGGTTTCAAACTGGTGCCGGAGAAAGAGTCGGTGCTATAGAGGGAAGGAAGGGGGTGAAGGGCCATGGGAGCTGGGTAAGAGGCTCCCCAACCGCCATTGACCAGTTGCAGGACCGGGAAGCCGTCCGAACCCCAAGTCAAAGGGGCGAGAACTGGGACGCGCCCGGCAGGGTATGAGTCGATGAAGGCGATATAGTACGAGTTTCCGCTAGGGGTAGTCACCAGCCCGCCCTGATGGGGATTCCCCGTACCAGCTATGGGGGGACGCACACTCAAGGCGAGCGGTTTTATAGTATATTGCGCCATTGGTCCACCAGTTGACATCAAGACGTGCTCCTCTGCCGCAGGATGAGTGACGAATATATAATACCTGCCGTTCACTTTATAGAAGCGAGAGCCTTCGATGTAAACTGAGGGATGTAAGTATTAGCTAGGGCCCCAGCTTTTGGTCGTTGTGCTCACGGTCTGTAGTATACACTACTTGACTTGAGACCTCACTAAGGCCATCCGCAGATAGTTTCGCCACGCTGATGGTAGAGCTCCCGTAAGCAACGTACAGAGATCCATCGTCATCCACGAGCAGGGAGGAATCATAATAGCATTTGTTGATGATGCCGCGTTGTGTCCATGGCCCCGTTGACGAAGAAGCGGTATAGATATAAGTCTTGTCGAAGTCGACGCAACCACCCCAGAACCATGTGTTGGTGCTGGCTCGGTAGTTAAAGAAGGATGCCCAGATGCCCCGGACGTATGCACGCTTTCCGTTCACAAGATTGTAAGAATCATTGTCACCAAAGCTCAAGGTGGGTACGGAGTGGCCAATGAATTCCCAGTTGACGAGATCGTACGATCGCAGGATGGGTGCGCCAGGAGAGTAGTGCATAGTGGATGAAGAGTAATAGAAGGTATCGTTGACGCGAATGACCATCAAGTCGGCTAGATCGGTATACAGCGACGGATTGCTGAAGCTTTGGGCAACCACACCGGTGGTTAGCAGACCACATACTGCTAGAGCGACTGTAACTAATCAGTACAAAGTCAGAATAACAGAGTGGTTTGTCTTACGGCTGCTGAAGAATGACAGTCCGCACAACATGGCGCTGGCGATAAAGATACAAGCGACCGAACACTTCTTCTGTCTGCGCTTGAGGCCCTTATGTAGGATTGAACTGACCCCATGACAGTCGAAAGAAGGAAGATACGAGGCCGATGCTCAGTATCCAACGTTCAGAGAATTGGCGAACGTCTAACGGGCCGCAACATCCCGCTCACACGAATGGCCGCCCATGATCAAACGTCTGCGTCGAGTAAATCCGATAATTTAGAGCAGGGCATGCAACCACAGACAAGGGGAAAGGGGACAGGAGCGACATAGCGAATCTCATGTGTGGATAGGATAGGTTTTCAGGATTTATATACGTTGTACCCTGCACAAATGAAGCCGCAAGCTGAAAGAAATAGTTGTCGACATTTTGCCGAAGATTTTATGCTGGAGGTTCGGGTAATCGGACGTTCGGTCCACCGATTCCGGGCCCACTCCCGGACCTGGCACCAGCTGGTAACTGAAGGAAGGGGACATTTGAGTCTTGACGTTGAGATCCAGGTGGACGAAATGAAATCACAAAAAAGGAAAGGTTGAAGGAACCCATCGATCAAATCCACAAGATGAAAGGAATATTAGGAATATTAATGCGGCCTCCTAGTCTTCGAGCACTCGAGCATTTGACAAGTGTACACCTTGGAAGAGTACTGGAAGTGGGATCAGAGTCGGGATTTGGACTAATCCGGGCGACGACGGGATGCAGGCGCCTTCTCCGTCACGTACCGCCGGACATTGAACATTTACATCCATCTTCACAACGACGAGCTCCCTTGCCAGTTGGAAAATGTTTGAAAAGGTTCGCGCTTCCACTTGCGCGCAGCAAGGGCTAATTCCTTGGTTCAGCTAGCGTTCTGGTCGTCGACTAAACCCGCTGACAGACCTTTCGATCCAACGGACCCCAAGATGAATCCTCTGAACCCGAAGGGTTTGAAGCCGTGCGTGCGCACGCTAGCAAGATAATGTCGTATACTTAAGCCTACAACACAGGTGTTGTGCTTGTCCCCAGACCAAGTCAGTGAGGGATGATTGCTTTCTTGCGAACGGCCCGGACGCGGACGAAAAATGCAAGGACGTGGTACAGCAACATATGCAGTGTATGAGGAGCCTCGGATTCAAGATCTGACAACGAAAACGAAACTCGACACTGTTCGCCAACCACACTCAAATCTATACAATACTCAAACCATTCTACGCCCTGTAGCTCAGCTAATTTCTTTGAATTCATGCTCTTCTTGACATTTAGACCCTGGAATCATCTCGCTGGAGCAATGGTACTCATTCCGAAAGTGCTACTATGCATACGGGTGTCGCTTCCGGATCAAGTGGCTCTTGTCTATCTTTGTCATATCAAAGGCCAGTTGTCCAGAAGGCCGTAGCTTCATCGTGTATACGAACACCCTTACGTGCTAGCAAATAGTCAGAAGCCCGACCATCCCAGTCACCCCTTCTACCTTCTACCTGAACTCTCCCTTCTGACGACATCTCATCAAAAGAATCGGCGCGTCTAGCCCGTCATTCGCTTCGGGACAGCCACTATTATCTATCACTCCCATGTTCTGTGTTGCTAATATCGCTCCACAGGACTTCTATGCTCCATTTTGCGCATCCCTATACGTGAAGGAACACGCACATCGTTGCCACGGATGGAGCGGATCCGTCAATATTCGAAGTCATCAACGGCATATTCATAAGGTTCATGAGCAGTAACGGGGATCACTTGGTTCTCACCGAACATACGAGACCATTAGCCTCCCCGATATGATGCTACTATGATACGAGCTCGCTTTCTGGCAGCTCCAAACTGCCTTCGCCTCCGTCTGCCATGCTGCGTCGCTCCACTCAATTCGACGGTTATCTGTGGACACGCACGAAGGTACCATCTTTTGGTAAACGAATGTTGCAAATATAGGTGTGGTGTGTGTTCCATTCACTTAAATCACCTAATTGACCTAATTGGAGTTTTGGCATCATTACAACGTGGTACTCGCCGTGAGCTGGGAATGATTGCAGGTAAAATGACTTTCATCTTACGGCAGGGTCACAGCAGCTGTCTTCCTCTCTGTACGAGTGTCGGCGACTCAACGATAGGTGGGCAGGAATAACCCCGTGCTGCTGTATCTGTTTGACGTGCAGTTATGCGGTTGACTCAGGGCTTTGCTTAAAAAATACAGATGAACGATATGCCCCCCACACCTCCGTCATTTTCGTACGACGTTCACACATAGCTACAACATCCTTCATTCTGACGTCGAAGATCATCATCCTGTACTGTTAATATCCGCGATAACGGTTCTTGCGGCCTGCTTCTCGTCGTCATTAATACGTTCATCTCACCCGCCCCATTGAAGATAGCGGTCTCTTGCTTCTTTTCTATCGGTTCCACAGCACTGACGTTGACCACAAACAACGGCGTACAGCCATCCAAACATCAACCATCCTGGAACGGTCGGAATATGGAATAGCAAAACATATAAAAGCCCTAGCCCCTCGTCGAGGATTCAGCAGTCAACCTCAGTCGACTAAACAAAGCTACACACTGAACACTCAACCATGTTATTCAAACAACCCATCCTCGTCGCTACTGCTCTCACAACTCTTGCGGTCGCCACTCCGGCGGTGATGCGTCGGACTGAGCCGGCCAGCTCGTGCTCTACTGGCCCTGTTAACTGCTGTAACAGCAGCGGCACCGCCAAGGACGGAAATATCGCTAAGGAGCTTGCTCTCCTCGGCATCGTGGTTCCAGATATCAATGCCTTGATTGGCGTCTCCTGCAGCCCCATCACCGTCATTGGTGCTGGAGGTGCCAGTTGGTGAGCATGCCAGTTGAGTATTATGTAGAATTGTTGCTGATGTCAGACACAGCTCTTCCCAGACTCTCTGCTGCGAGGATAACAAATACAGTGAGACTCCATATTCATGAACACTCGCGGAGTGGGGCTGGACTAACATTGTGTCATAATAGACGGAATTGTTGCGCTGGGGTGCATCCCTGTTGACATCAGCCTTTGATCGTACACAAAAGCACAGGCTACTCGCTGAGATAGCAAACTGGGTTCGACAAGTCCATACGTACACCATTACCATGCCTATGTTTGATGCGGTCTCAAAGAATGACATGATACACGATGTTGCATTATGGGTGATCCGTTACGTGAGGATGGTCAATGACTGCTATGGTATAAACAAATATGACCAACGACAAGTCGAACACTACATTGTGGTGCCCTCTTGTCCGATAGAGTGCATTATAAAACGAAGTCCATTCTATGAGACACTATATATCTTCAGGGTCCATCTAACAAAGTTGTCTGGAAATGCATCATCAATATTGGAGATCAGGTTCGCGCCAAAGCTCCAGATAATGGACTCACTCAGAGTCCGCACACAGATGAGTCAACCTGCCGTACAGCGGCGTCAACTCTTCCAAGTTGAACAGCCTGTCCATTCGTCAGCGCGTTCATCGCAGGCAGGGCGATGTTGAAACCGTCATCGGTATGATCAATAGCCAGGATGTTGATCTTCCTGCCGTTGTACGAAAGTTCCCAACAGGTTCCGCATTGTGGAGAATTCCAGCCAGAAACGGCTGCCGCCCCTCCGATGAATGGGAAGTTCGGTAGTTGCCCAAAATTTTCCACTTTTAGAAGGGTGATCAGGCCATGATTACCGTCGGAGCATGCGACAGAGGTCAGAGAACCCCCAGCATCGTCGTATGTTTCGTCGAAGGAGACCGTGACAGCCGTAGCGAGGGGGGCGACAAAGAGGGTGACGTAAGAAAGAGCAGAGGTAAGCTTCATTGTGGTGGGCAGTGTTTAGCGAGATACAAGCTGCTGTTGCTCTGAGCTGTTGAATCATGGAACAGACCCAGTCTCTTTATATACCGCGCTGTCCAATATTCGAAGGCCATGAAAGCCGTCGATTTTTCCCCGTACACAAAATACGCACAGGAATGGACAGGCCGGGCTGCGCTTTGGATGTTTATCGGCGCTCAGAGGATCGAGTAAATGTATATGAGCGAGATTTCGGTGAATTATTGCCGCTGGAATGTGCTTGAAACCAGTAGATAATTGTGGCACAAGCCCGTGCCCAGGGCCGCACAGTCGGCCAATTCACCCCTCGCGTGTGGATGTCCATAACTCATGTGAGGCATCATAAATTATGATCGTGAGAGACGATCTCTGTTGCCAGTATGGTCCGGCAGCGACCAGCGAAAGAACTCAAGGGGGGACTAGGAGGAGGAGGCAAAGACTGAGGCCCCGTTCAGGATCCCCAGGAAGATCACAACTAGTAGTTGTTGCCCGCGAGAATGTAGTTGGGATAATAAGAACCGATTTATGGCTAAACTAGTTGGGGGAAGGTGTTCGGTAGCCACTCTAACTACGTGTGAACCAACTAAGTAACATGTCACGCGTGACTCTGTCAGCTTCTCGTCTTCCTCGTTTCACGCATATCAGCTTGCACGACGCGTTTTCACACTTGTTCTCTCGGCGACACGTCCAAAGGAGTCCATTGATCTACTTTTGACCAGTTAGAATTGATGTATGCATCAGGATTCTATCTCCAGACCCAGCACTGGCAGTATATGAGATAGCCAGGCCTATAGCTCGTCGGATTTGCTGCAGTTGCTGCTGGCTTCTTGACCTTCTTTGGAATGGGAAAGATAACCATGATGGACGGAAGCACGGTTTTACTGTTCAAAACTGGTTGAACGCTATCTGATTACCCCTATCAGGGGCTTTTAAAGGGGCATCACATGATTCCTGTCACATCATCTAGTTGTAGCGCCCTAGACTAAATGTAGCGCCGAGAATTACACGATTTGTCTCGCTAGTTGTGATTTTACTAAATCGACCCCCAACTAGTAGTTGGGGATCCTGAACAGGGCCTGAGTAGTGTCGAAGAGCTTGGTTTGTGCACCGGGCCGACTTGACTTGCACAGGATCACGTGAGTGCTTGTCACGTGTTTATAGGCTCCTAGTTCTAGTGGTAAACCCAAACGTAAGTGTTACTTGCTGGGTCAGTAACGCTTCACGCCGAAGCGCAAGCATAGTCGGTGGTCTTAAACTAGTACTCAAGGGCTAAACTCAGTTTATCTGTCAGCCAACACAATCCCCAGCACATTAAACACCCGATTACGCTCAAGACTGAGGTTGCAAACCTATTGACCCCCTTGAGACAGAGGTATAGCTAGCCGAGATACCCCATAGATCAATAGGCGGTGTTGTTCTTGTGTAAGTCCCGCTGAATGATAGGTCATCTAAAGTTGTTATTTCGTTATTGGCACTTGTTGATGTGATTGGTTATTGTAAGGGGACACTCCTATTTTCTGCTATTCCCCTGTCCCTCTCCCTTCCTCCTCGTTCCTTTCTCTTTTCCTCTGTCCCATGGACTCTTACATACATCCCTTTCGTTCCCTTTTCTTTCCACTTCGTTTCCGCCCACTCCCTTCGCATCTGAGTCACGTCCGGGGACTCTGAAGTCTTCCCGCACTTCGGACACTTCGGACTCGCTCGGACTCGTCTATACACTTCGGGGCTCGTCCAGGTTACCTCTGTCCTCCTTCCCCGCTTCATTACTCTTTGCCCTTACTTCCCCAGGTTGCTGGCACGACTCCTGTACATTCCCCTTCCACTTCATTATCACATGTTTCCTTGTACCTTGTGATATTCATTTGGACTTGTGGCTGGTGTACTGTACAGTTACCCTTCATTCCTCCCACACTACTGTAAGGGCAACCTCAAGATGGCCGCACAGTGCAAGCCTAGCAGAGGGAGAATCCAAAGTAATGAATAAGACTAACTACAATACATGAGAGAACTGCTCACCTAGCAGAGGGAGAATCCAAAGAGAACAGGATAAGGATTCTCCATGCTAGGAAGCGAAGTATATACTGTAGTAGCGTGGGAGGGATGAAGGGTAACTGTACAGTACATCAGCCACAGGTACGAACAAATATCACAAGGTACGAAGGGGCATGTGATAATGAAGTGGAAGGGGAATGTACAGGAGTCGTGCCGGCGACCTGGGGAAGTGGGAACAAGGGATAATGAAGTGGGAGAGGAGGATGGAGGTAGCCCGGACGAGCCCCGAGGTGTATATGCGAGTCCGAAGCGTCCGAGGCAAGTCTGAAGTGCGGGAAGACTTCGGAGTCACCGGATGTAGCTCGGATGCGAAAGGAGTGGGCGGAAAGGAAGTGGAAAGGAAAGGAAGCGAAAAGGAACAAAGGGGAACAAAGGGAATGTAAGTAATAGTCCGTGGGATGAAGGAAGGGAGAAAGGAACGAGGAGGAAGGGAGGGGGACAGGGGAATAGGAGAAAATAGGAGTGTCCCCTTACAACTACCACAGTATATACTTCGCTTCCTAGCATGGAGAATCCTTGTCCTGTTCTCTTTGGATTCTCCCTCTGCTAGGTGAGCAGCTCTCTCATGTATTGTAGTTAGACTTATTCATATCTTTGGATTCTCGTTCTGCTAGGCTTGCACTGTGCGGCCGTCTTGAGGTTGCCCTTACACAGGTACTCTCGGCTCAACCTAATTTTGATGCTCCTCACGCTGAACAGTTTTTTAGGTTTACTACTGCGATAGTGATGAGCATTGTGTATGGTCAGCAAATCGATTCAGATGATGATGAGTACCTGCGGATGGCCCAAGAAAGTGGATATAGCATAATGAGCGGTGGACTGTAAGGGGACACTCCTATTTTCTCCTACTCCCCCTGTCCCGCCCCCTTCCTCCTCGTTCCTTTCCCCTTTCCTTCATTCCCTTTCCTTTCCTTTTGTCCCCTTACCTTTCCGCTTCCCTTCCGTTCACTCCCTTCGCATCCGAGCCCCGTCCGGTGACTCCGAAGTCTTCCCGCACTTCGGACTCGCCTCGGACTCGCTCGGACGCTTCGGACTCGCCTCGGACTCGCTCGGACGCTTCGGACTCGCTCGGACTCGTAGATACACTTTGGGGCTCGTCCGGGCTACCTCTATCCTCCTTTCCCACTTCATTACTCCTTGTCCCCACTTCCCCAGGTCGCTGGCACGACTCCTGTACGTTCCCCTTCCACTTCATTATCACATGCCCCCTCGTACCTTGTGATATTCGTTCGTACCTGTGGCTGGTGTACTGTACAGTTACCCTTCATTCCTCCCACGCTACTACAGTATATACTTCGCTTCCTAGCATGGAGAATCCCCATCCTGTTCTCTTTGGATTCTCCCTCTGCTAGGCGTGCGCTGTCGGCCATCTTGAGGTTGCCCTTACAGCAGAACAGGATCTCCCATCCTGGCACCAGAGCCCTATGGAAAACATCCTGCGCCACTCCGGACTCGTTCCCGACGTCTCTCCGGTTTTGCGGACATTCCGGATGCTCTCCTGCTACTCCCACCCACCTCTGAGGACCCAAGGAATTCCATCCCTCGCTCCCCTGACGACTCCGAAATGCCGGGCGCCTCCAGCCAGATCCCGCCATCCGAGCCAGTCGCTTCAGGACTGGACTCCGAGACTTTGCAGACCTTGTGGGCTCAGACGTACGAACACCAAACCCAAATCAGCTCCATCCAGGATACACTTGCCCGAATTGAAGGACTCCTCCTAACACCCCGTCCGACTACTCCGAAAACGACTGCGGACTCCGAGCTGAGGGGCACTGAAGCCTCCCAGCACGCCCCGAGTCGATCCGAAATCACCCCGCGTTCCCGTTTGAAGCCCGCCTCTCCCCCGATCTTTGACGGAAACCGCAAGGATGGTCGCGCATTCTACAACGCGTGCTCCATCTACTTCCAGCTCTGTCCGGACCACTTCCCGACCGAGCAGGCCAAAATCCTCTGGTGTCTCTCCTTCTTCCAGAAGGATCGCGCCAAGGAGTACGCAGACATGGTGCTCCGGAGTCCGAAGGATCCGTACTTCGAATCCTGGGCCGCCTTCGCCACCAATTGCTGTGGTCTTAATACATTATTCCTAGGTAAGTGTCTGGGGCACATTGCATTGTTTTCGGACAATAGCCTGATACTTTGTTAATGCATTACGACCGTCCTTGGTAATGCATTACGACCTTCATTGGTAATGCATTATCTTGTGGTAGACCCTCATACTGATTATATTGATTAGATGCTGTATCTTTTGATCTTAGATATGATTATCATTATGATTTGATTACAATAACGATAAGGATAGCGAGGTCAGATGATCTAGGGGCTAACTACTCTCTAGGGGCTAACTAGTCACTACGCCGGCTTGCACACCATCAGTGTACTTATCTTTATCATGAATGTGAACGACTTGACTTACCGTTTAGTAGGTTGCTCTTCTGTTGGTTCACCCTCGTCGTCCTCGGCCAACCGCCCCAAAACCCAGGATACGTCATCAACGGCCTCCTGCCAGTCGTTGATGGCAATGCTCGAATCGGGGGTTACCGCTCGCCACCACCAGAGGGCTGTGATTGCGCCCACTATGCCGTTGGGCCCGGGTGGAGCAACACCATCCAGCGTGCCACCACCTTCCTTCAGGAGGGCGTCTGAGTCGTCCGAAACCTGCCAGGAGGGGTTGGCCGCGCGCCACCAGGCCCACCATTGTTCAGCGAATTCTATTGGGTCTGGGATGTTCGGAATACGATGGAAGAACCGTGCAGACTTGACCCATGTCCCTACTTGAGGTGGCCGGTGAAGCTTGGACATCTCAGGGCCCTGCGAGCAATCGGCATGTCATGAATGAACGATAGGAACAGGATGAGGACGACGTACATTGGAAAGGTACCCATATCTTTCCTCTTGGCCCTTCCAAAGGTTCACCAACACGAACCACTGATCACCATAGACGGATCGGTCGACCTCAGAGAACTTCGCTGCACCTTCGGTGTACCACTTCGGGGCCTCGACAGCCGAGTCGGCGGTGCGCTTCTTCCTCGTTACAGCGACTTCGCTTTGAGGCGGCCGTTCGCATATGTTTGCACCTACTTGGGGGTCTTCCGCGGTGTTTGTTTTGGTAGAATGTCGACTGGACCGGTGTACGGAGCCTGTTTGCTTGGAGGTAGGGTTTTGGGTCCCAGCGTCCGTGGTGGCTTCTTCCTCCCCTACCATACCCTCCTCACCCTGGGGTAAACCTTCATCTCTCTCTTGCAAGCCATCCGAACCGTTCGTCTGTGTCAAAAGTCGACTCGATCGTCGCATCTCCCCTTGCTTTGAGACAGGCTTAGAAGGGCCGGCACCCTTCTCTGGCCGATAATCGTCGTTGTCCCCCTCGTTCTCGTCTGCGGTTGGCAGTGTTCCTCGTTTGGGATCTGCAAACAATGCAGCCACGGCCCCACTGTCGACCCCCAAGGCAGCAAGAAGCTCGGCATTGCGGGCAATGTTCTCCTCCCGCTCGACTTCGAAGCTGCTCATCCGACGAAGCGACGCTATTCTCGCTGCCTTGTCTGACGGCGTCATCTGAGCTATCTGGAGGAGTAGGGGGGGCGAAACCTCCAAACCAGCGTCCAATAAAAGCAGCCGAGTGGCTTCCTTCGCTCTCTCAAGCCGTTCCGTAGCTCGTGCAGCCCGCTCTTCCACCGTGCTGACAGTAGAGCCTGTTGCTCTGCCTGCTGGGTTCGACGGTTGATTCGTTACGCCAGGCGAGCCATGGGTGGCCCCAACCCTTGTGGATACTTGAGCGACTGGGTTGCGATCATCATGGAGGCTCTGCGTCACCGCTGGTACGATAGGGTTCATGGGTGTTGGGGCTGAAGGAAAGTGGACGCCGCCTGAGAGGGAGGAGATAGGCAATGCTTGAATCAAAAAGTCAGTAATCCGACATATAGTAACGAATGATGACTTACCACCAGATGCTACCATCGTCCAGCGCAGAAAAAGCTTCGTAAAGGCTTGAAAACCGACTGGGTCAAGGCCTGAAAAGTCGAGCCCATTTTCGGACTTGCCAGCACCGAGACTTGGGGTGCTTTGTTAGGTACGTCTCATCCGATAAGTATATGGATACTCACAAAACGCACTGTGCAGAAGAGTTATCCGTTGAAGGGGTTGCTGCCATCAACTGGAAGTACATTCCAGTGTGTGCACGAAGGCCATCAAGGAGAGGTTGCACGACTGTTGAAAGCGAAGCAATCGCCCTAGAAAGCTAAAGTAAGTATTTGATCCACCGTACATGACTCTGAGAACTTACTCTGCACGTTGCTCGGGGTCTTCACAATCCGCCACATGGACCCCTTGCTCGTACCTCTCCATCGCAACCCTGTGCGCCTCCTTCGCTTCATCTAGCAGTCGCTGCTTCACAGCGGGGGGCTCTGCAGCCAAAAGACCCTTGGATACCTCGCAACGAAAAGCTATTAGGTCCCCCTGGGGGCGAACCTCCCTTGCGCATTCGGCGTTGAAGGTGTCGGTTACCTTCGCTTTGAATTCGGGATGCCGCATATAGAATTGGTAATCGTGCGCCAGTCGAGGGGGGCCATCGAGTGGTTTATGTAGCTGAGCCAACCAAGGCCCCCATGGGTCCTTGCTTGTATTGAGTCCAAGGAGGTTGCGCCGATAGTTAAACCAACTTCGAATCTTCTACGGATAGACGCCCAATTAGTAAGGTTTTGCCATCAAAGCCGAAGCTTCAACCTACCGCTCCCATTGCCTTCATGGTTGTTTCCTTTGTCTCCTCCTCAGCCTTGGTGAGCGAATCATTTCCCGGGTACACATCGCTTGGTGACGGCTCCTTTTCCAGTGGTAAACTCCAGTGGAATTTGGCCCAATACTCAGGGAACAGGACATCGTTGAACCATGGCCGAACCTTCCCCTCCTTCGACACCCTTTGATAGTTGGGTAGGTTGGCTTCCAGAAACTTGAGTCGTTGTCCATGAAAATCGCCCCGGTTTCCGCGCTTCTTCTTCTCTTTAGTCTCCTTGGTCGACGAGGAGGAGTTGGCCATGCTGGATTCGAACTGGGATGGATATGAGGCAGATGGCGCGAGACGACGGTGGATGGGACGATAGAGGTTCGTCACGGGCTATCCCAAGGCCAAGGCCCAGGGAGATCCCCGTACCATTTCCCGATGGCATTTGGTGAGTGCATCACCGATGCGCCTCCGATCTTCGCAATAATTCTTCAGTTACAGGCCTTAGCTTCGAAATTCAGGATCGTGTTGAGATAAATTTTTTCATTACTTGCTCGCCCACAATACTACCAGCAATATATCATTTGTTCCTTCCTATCCCTGAACCACACCAATTTAAATTCACAGCATTTTGCATTGAAAGCGAACTAACGTAATAGCAAGGAACTAGCAACCCGACGAACAGCAACAGCGGATCTACGAACAAGGCTCTATTTTGGCTGATTGGCCCAACGCCCATCGTGCGGCCATCTCTTCATTTGATGAAATCATAATAGTTGTGAGTTCGTGCCTCACGATCTCTCTTTGAAATAATGCTTGGGCAAGGCGGCTAAAGGGCACAAGTAAGTAAGTGAATACGAGCGACAAATGGCTAGTTGAACGACGGACGCATCACAAAAGACCCCATGGTTGTCTAACCCTCGAACGCCATAGTAGAACCGCTTGACGGTTCGGTCGCGCAGCAGCGCATCGGGGCAGTTGACCACTCCATGGGTCACAATCAAATCGCCATCTTCCTCGGCTCTTATTTGCTCAAGTGTGTGCTCAGCGGCTTCACTGCAACAACTGTGAGCAAACGTACTACGCAAACTATCATCAGAAACATGCTCACCGGGTAGAGAAGAGGAAGGAGCGGTCATGCTCCAAGCGGACAAGATAGAACGCCCCATAATGTCCTGGCCTAGGGCATGCCCCGGCAACATTTCTACCAGTGTTGCCAGGGGAAGCAAGGCTGTCGGCAGTCACGGTATTGTCCCTTTCTGGCTCTAGGGTGGGCTCGTGGGTCATGGCCTCCAAGTCTGTGTCGTCAATGGTGAGCACACCCGTGTCCTGCACTCCATCGTCGAAGTCGTTCGAGTTGGTGTCAGACGACAACACCTCCGAGAAAGTGTCGGATTTCGGCGTGTTCAATCCTCTCGGTGAGCCAACGGGTGAGGAGGGTGAGGGGAAGAGGTCTGCGGACGTGGGTGTGCTAGTGGTCGTTGGTAGGGGATTCTCCGAGCCATCAGCCTCCCATTCAGGAGGGGAATTGGGGCGAGTGAGTATAGGCAAATTCTCCATGACATCCGTAAGGTGTCTACGGCAGTCCGATTCCAGGTGCGTACTATGTGGGTGGTTTTCTCCGCAAAAAGCAAAACTTGCGCGCACGGCCTCTTGCATTCTCTTGAACGAAACAACCTTGGCGCCCTTGAGACTCAAGGCCACTACGTATTCCCTAGAAATAAATTAGCGTTTTGAATCTGTGCCTTTAGTCGCAGCGTACAGTGAATCTCCAGTATATATGTTTGCAATATCGCCCCAGGAGACCAGGTAGAATGGGCCATAAATCTGGTCGTCTTCTTCGACAGTCCACTCGTTTGACCCCGGAATAAACAGAATTGGGGGACAGTAACAGTGAGTATCCTCCGTTGCGGCCATGGTGTTTAGTTGCAAGTGAGAGACGGCAAGGTTTACTTCATCCATTTGTTGGTTTTTACAGCGTACCCACGAACTAACTGCAATAGGTTATTGCGCCCGAATTCAATAGACCCTGGCTCAGAAACAAAAAAGGATCGATTGTATCCTAAAGCGGTCGTGCCGATTCTGAGTGGTCAATGTGTTGAAGTGTACGAATGTCACGTATTCAAGTTGGAGGAAGATCGAGTATTGGAAGAAGACCGAGTTTGCGGAGTACGAATGTCCCGTATTGGAGGAGATCAGTAGCTACCTATATAAGGCGGTTACTGAAGCCAATTTAAAGTTGAGTCGATTGGAAGTTAAACCGACATCAAGTTAATAGGAACGGTACACCGGGCTTGAGTGAGCCTGTTTAAAGTCAGTGGCTGATATTTGAGCGAACACCATACCGATGCGTAGTTCACTTGATAGTTCAATCCATCAACGGTACAACGATTTGATTCACGGTTTAACATCAATTCGATTTCGAGGACTACATATACGACAACTACTGATCGGTGCGCTTCAACTTCTCCAGCCCATTCTCCCATTCCGCTCCAATGTCCACGTTTGGTAATCGATGTGCGTCCGAACAGAGTCCATTACGCACCCATCTGAACAATCCTCCGGCGGAGTACTGTGTCACGGAATATCGACGCTCACCATTCTGTATAGGAAGATTGGAGTGCTGCACCAACGCTGAAGGGATAAGCAACGTTGCGCCGGGGGGGAACCGGATTACAACTTGGAGATCCCATAGGATCAGATGCCCTCCTTTATCTGGATCGAAGTTTCCAAGTGCAGTCACGGCGCACAGGCCGTAGGCGAGGTTGGCACAGTCGGTGTGGGGGATCGAGACGGTCCTAGGCCCAAAGTTGACGGTGAAGGCAGCATAATCGCTGTTGGTGAAGTTCCGCACTAACTCGGGCTGGGATTGTGTCAACCTATCCATCGTGTTCCTGTAATCTTGCGCGAGCGCCGGCGCCAACAAACGAAGTTGGTGCGACTGGAAACCAGCTACCCTCTTGACGTCAGGGTTCTGCATGAGTTCATTCAAGACCTTGGTATTGGGCGCATTTTGGAGCCTCATTGGTCTGGGTTGCCCGAACCCATATGATATACCGACTGCCAGAGCGGGAAAGCGGCCACGTCGATGATTCAGTTGATTCGGTTGGAACGTACACTTGCTACGGGTGTTTTCAATGACCTCGGCACATCCTGCCGCCACGTCCTTCCAGCCATCCCCTCGAGGGGTGCCACCACCAGCAACGAGCCGGCCTGCGGCATCGAATATGCCAAGACTCCTATATGGCCCATGGAATCAATTAAGTGCCGTCGGGTGGCATCTGCACCACTTACTCGCCCGTCCAAGGTATATATTTGAAACCAAGTTCGACTAATTCCTCAAGACTTCTACCCTCTTTCTCAGCACTGATTGGACGGCGTCGGGAGCCAATAAATCCACTCGACGCGTGGGGGAATTCGCCAGCATCGATGCCGACATTTTGACGATGCTGCTCTAGCCTTCGCTTCAAGGCAACTGCCTTTAGTCCAGCGTTCGCACTGACTTCCTTCTGCTGCCTCTTCTCAGCCCGTTTAGCTGATTTGTGGGATTTTGTACGTTCTTTCTGGCGTTGGGCCCTACAACTACATTTCGGACCTCTAAGGATGGCGGCGTCTACATCGTACAACCCTTCCATCGGCGACGAACTGAGCGCATCGATAGCAGCCCCAGTTATGGTAGGCGACTTTCCTTGCGCACGCATGCCTGGCGCATGTTCCCGCTCATCACCCTGGATAGTTTCCCCAGAACACACACCGTCGCCCTCGCCCTCACGGCCCTCGCCCTCACTGCCATTAACGGAGTCGGCCGCATATTGAAAGCCGGGGTTAGGGACATCATCGTTGCTCAGCCCGTCGATACCGCTCTGTATGGTTCTAGCCATAAGGTCTTTGAGGTCGACGGCAACCGTGTACGTTTCCTTGAGCTCCCATGGCGAAAATACGGCCCCTGACCTAGTCTGTCGTGCTGTGCAGAGTATAGGACGTTTAGTATATTGCATTACATGTTATCAGGTGCGGGAAAAGGGACGGGAGGGGTAAAGGGCCCACATAGATCCAAGGACGGATCCGCGCAGGGGTTCGAAGGGGTATGGGTTGGAATTACAAAGGTGTAACTTAGGTGGCTTACCGAATGCCATCTTATTTGACGCGCCCTTACAGCCGTTGGGTGTTCCTCGTTCCTCCAGTGCGCCAGTCGAGGAGTAGGGTACGCGTGTCGAGGTTGAAATTTTGAACAAAAGCAAATAGCGGCAAAGTCGATCGGAACTAAAAATGGTATTAGGGGGTTCAGGGGGACTCATTAGTTGAGCATCATCTCAGATGCATCTTGGAGACGGCGTACATAATGCTAAATGAATATACTGTATCTCAGAGACATCTTAGGGAATCTAGATTGCACGTATGACCCGTTGGGAGGGGTAGTCCCCTTCCCATACCCTCTAATCCAACTACACAGTACCACCTTCACCCCATTCCAATGGCAGGAAAGCGAGCAAAAAGGAAAAGCCCATCGGTGTCGGTTGTGATGGGCTTGAACGAGATACTGAGCAGCTCAGTTTTCTACGTCAACGCGTCCACCAGCAACGTTTCTGCTGATGGTCGTCGCGTTCATCATCGTACCATTCCCGTTTTGCCACCATCCCCAACCAAGCGCCGACGGACCGATGGCCCAGTTGAAGAATCATCGGGTGGCAGTGGTGGCCAGTCAGAAGGCCTGTATAGTGGTGCGGTGGGCGATAATTTGTTGGACGACCAAGCCGACGTACCCAGGGCTCACGCAAAGCGCTATGCATCATCGGTGAGCAATGTACCGCTTCTACGGCCAAGGCTGACACTGGATGGGTAGGACGACCCCCTAAAGGAATGGGGGGCCGAGGCTAGGGAGGAATACTTGCTGGAGTTCCTGAGGCTGGAGGGGCCTGGCACATCGGGGCTCTCGACATGTGGTCGGTGCAAAGCTCTGGTCGAAGGTGGGCGGCCGTACCGATGCAAGGACTGTTTCACTGGCGACGTTATGTGCCAGGTATGTTTCTTGACGGCACACACCGACCATCCCTTGCATCGGATCGAGGTGAGTTGGGGGGTCTAGATCGATACGCTTCACTCACAGCCGGTTTGACAGCGATGGGATGGTAGGTGCTTCGTAGCCTCCACGCTTAGGGATGCAGGCCTCCGAGTGCAGCTCGGCCATCCACCGGGGAAAGCCTGTGCATGTTATACCACAGTGAATGACTTCGTAGTCCTGCACGTCAATGGCATACACACGGTCACCCTTAGGTTTTGTGCCTGCGATGAAGCGGCTAGCCATGGCTCACCTCGACAGCAACTCCTTCGTCGCCAATGGTTCCCTGCAACCTTTGAGCAGCCCCAAACATGTGCGACCATTCGGCTCCTTGAGCATTTCCACATGCAGAACCTACAAGGGAAAGTCACACTATACGACTATTACTCTGCGCTGCAAAAGCTCACCGACAATTCCGGCCTGAGGAGGCTACCGGTGGGTCGTTCCGGTGTCGTTGACTTGAATTCTGAAAAACAACAACCCATTAGTCTAGGTACAAGGAATTTGTGCGAATGAAACGAGAATATGCGCACCTTAAAAGTCTGAAGAGGGCTGGGCGCGCCCACGATCCAAGTGGTGTTTCTGGGACTAAGCGTGGCGAATTGACCGTCGCGTGCCCTGCTTGCCCAGATCCGGAGGTGAATCTACCCAGAGATTGGGAGTCTGCACCTCCAGAGAGACGGTACCGCCTACCTCCTCCTCCTGATCCCATCTGATGGTTTTCATTTTGTAGCTTTCTGTATACCCTATTCATCGCACTCGATGCTTGCTTTCGGCTCAAGCGAAGAATGGTGTCTTCTGTGGAGAAAGATCCCGGCCTCGGGATTGACTGGGGCTATTTCGTGGAGGCGGAGCCATTTCGACAATACTTGTTGAGTGTTACAGATCAGAAGGAGGTGCGTCGGCCGGCGCTTCTTTGGAATGGTGACATCATTCCGTTACTAGATGAGCACATGTAGCGGTTTGGCTGCACTCGACTATGCAAACAGTAAGTTCTCGCGTGGATACGCCGCCACTGGAGTATGCCTCGGTGTATGCGCCCGACATGAATTCATACAGCCAAACGGTGCGGCCGATCTCCAGGTCGGGGAAAGGTGCGTGTATCCTCCAACTTCTTCTAGTTCAGCTAACTTATCCCTCGACAGGTATGCGAATATGGATTACACATTTGCGTCTCTCATGCGGCATCACGGCCGCAACTTAAGTGTGGTTGTCTCATACGACATCGCGTGTCAGTGGTCCAAGTCATTGCTACAGCGTGTCAAGACATTGCCGCCCCTTGTGCGCCTTGATCTAGTTTCGACGATGGTCCGGTTCGCAGTCCCGAAGCTGCATATCCACTCCCACACAAAGCATTGCCAGCACAATTACTCCTTAAACTACTTGCCTGGGGTGGGGCGGACTGATGGCGAGGGAATCGAGCGGCCGTGGGCGAACATAGGTGCGACGGCAACAAGCATTCGAGTCATGGGCCCTGGAGCTCGCATCGAAACACTGAACGACCATTGGGGCCACTGGAACTGGCAGAAGACCGTCGGACTGGGTGAGCCTTATGCATTGTATGAAACGTGTGCTCAACGTCAAGATCGAACAGGATCTCTGCTGTCCCGACACCTTCGATTGGCGGTATCTGAGCGCGAGCTGCAGAAGGCTTCCTTCGAAGTATTCTCAGAGCAACAAGGCGCAAGGGTTGACGGGTGGAAGAGGATGATCATAGACTTCGAATGCGACAGCTCAAAAACGAATCCATACGCAGTCGCCTATGCAGGTGAGTGGAGTATCTACTACGTTTCATGTTCACTGTGGATGTGATTAACAGGGCTCAGCGAGCACGATGTTCGGCTCCAGTTCTCACAAGAAGAGGCAGCGGAGGCCTCCCGGGGAGTACCCTCCCTTCACGATGTCACTCGGAGTGGATTTATCGTGGAGGCGCTGGACATCGAGGAACAGCAGTAGGTGCCTCCGGTCCATTGGTACCATTGCTGATGGTGTGCTAGGCTGAAAACTCGTGCAATCGTCCGGCAGAAAACAGCAGGAACTGCTGTACAGGCCAGTGAAATCCTCGAGCTCCGTACAAAGCTTACTCGGAGCCTTGGCCGTCTCCGTGTCATGCAGGCTGTGTACCTCCCCATGGTGCTCACTTCGCTGGGTCAGCGCGCAGTTCCAGATGGAGAAGAGGCCGAGATGGTACCCATTGGACTCCCTTCTTCGCTCAGTCCGGATGCTCGGGCGCTGTGCGATCAGCAATTGGTGGATATCGAGACAAGGCTATGGGACGCACGGTGCCAGTCAGCCCTCAACGGCCTGCGAAATCTATTGTTCATCAAATCGCGACTGGTGGGGTACAAGGACCGGAATGCACGACATCAAGCTGCAAATACTCGGACACGGATGCTCATCCAAAGAAATGAGGACAAGATTACCCTGCAAGCGAGGAAATACCAGGCATCGTGGACTGCATTGAAGATGCTTGCCAACGGGGACGAATCGAAAATAAAATGGCGTTCGCTACGTCAGGAGGACATCCGGTGCATGGAGGATCCCGACGTGACGAAGAAGAAGGAAGTACGGCACGCGTTAGCCACAGAAGGCCGCCGTGATGACACCGTGCATGGTGAAGGAGGCGAGGACGCTGCCCCACTGGTGGCTCGAGAGGGATATCGTACCGTTTCGTGGATTTGGATGGATGCTGCTGAGGTTGGACCGGCAACTGGGGAAGGAATGGACGAAGGTGGGTATTGGCACAGTTCGTATTGGGAGTAACTAACAACATGATGGAAACTCTAGTTCTACGCTCTGAGTTTGCCAAGTCATGGGCACGCGTGCGCCGTTGGACGGAGGAGGTCGCCCTGCTCCGAGAAGAAATGCGGCGTGTAACGGTTAGTCTACGGCACCGAGGCCAACAATGGGAAAAACGGGCAACAACGACGCCCCACCAGTTGCGCCCCGATTACGCTAATGGCCTCACTGCGTATGCATACTCCCAGGCTGATCTTCTGTATTCGCTGGCGGATACCTTTGAGGCCAACTGGACGACCCATGCCCCCATACCTGAGGACGCCGATGACATAGATAAGGAGGACTTGCAGGCAGAGATTGACAGTGCGACAGTGGAAGCAGAGGAGGATGGCGAGGACGGGGGTTAAGCGGAGTGGGACGGAACGGATGAGCGCTCTGGGATGGGCGCTCCGAGATAGAGATAAGATAGAAGATAGAGTAGCTATCTAATCAATCAAAGAAGTCTTATCTCTATCTCAGTGATTGTCTTATCTCTTCGCATTGAATCCACTGACCGATAAGATAGAAATGATAAGATAATCATGGCTAACTAATGCATTAAAGTCAGGCAACTGGCGCACAATGCATTAAGAAGTTGCCTAATATAGGCTCGCCACGAAACAATGCAATGTGACCTGGACACTTGCCTACACACAATGTATTAATCCCACAGCATTAGCTGCCTTCGCGACCGAATTCCGGACTCGCTTCCTTCCGGATCGGGAACGCGAAGCCGCCATGCTCAAACTGGAGTCCACCCGGTACCACCAAGGGCGTCGGACTTTCCAGGAGTACCTCGACGAGTTCCGGGACCTTGTAGACCAGTCCGGATACTCCGAGGGCTCCAACATCACAATGAAGTTCCGTCGCGGACTGGACTCCATCATCCAGAGCCGCGTTGCCGAGTCCGCAGACTGTCCGGACGAGGATGACTTCGAAGGATGGTACAAGGCAGCGCAGCGGGTTGCTGACAACCGTGCTGCCAACCAGTCCTTCCACTTTGGCGTGCACTCTGGAAACTCCGGACACTCCAGATCCCTCGTCCGACCAGCAGCCAGCTCCGGAGTTGCTCGGACTCCTGCAGGTGTACTCCCCGCGCCTCGGACTCAGCTCCCGCCTCTGCAACCCCGCTTCCAACTTCCGCCTCCTCCGAAGGCTCTCTCACCCGGCGTCCCCATGGACGTTGACCACACCTGCTCCCGGCCCGCCGCTTCACAGCTCTGCTACCGATGCGGCAAGCCCGGCCACATGTCCCGCGAGTGCCCACTTCGGTACGACGTCCGGTTCATGACCACTGAGGAGCGGATGTCCGCCATCGAAGATCTCCTGACCGCGGCCGATGTTGTAGAAAGTGCGGGGACCTCGGAAGGAATAGACGATGAGGGAACGGCCCCGGTTGAGGAATCGGACACGGCGGATTTTGTCCGGACCAACGAGTGATCAGTGCGACCTCGTTGGTAAATAACCGATTTGCTTGTCTTAGCGTAGACGAAATAGACGATTCCGATCACTCCGATGATTCGTCCGACGCTAAGCAAACGACTCCGGTTACAATCCGCACACTCCGAAGGTTTCGCCCGCAGTGGGAACGGCGGCTACCCAGTAGCTATAAGATCTCCGCGCTGCCCGGCAAGCTTTCGCTAGATATACCCGTGGAAGTGCAGAGCACGGATACACAACACCGATGCACCCTGCAGGCCCTGGTGGACTGTGGAGCCACCGGAGTCTTCATGCATCCGCGCTTTGCGGATGCTCATGGTTTCACCCGACGCAGGCTGTCCGCTCCGGTCCCGGTCTTCAATGTCGACGGATCACCAAACGAAAACGGATCCATCTCCGAAGTCATGGACCTTGTACTCCGGTTCAAGGATCACACGGAACGGATGTTGTTCGCGGTCACTAACATCGGACGCCAGGACATCATCCTCGGATACACCTGGCTTCGGAAGCACAACCCCGAGATTGACTGGCAGACAAAGGAGGTGACCATGAGCCGCTGTCCGTCCGGATGCGATACCTGTCGGAAGGAGTTCCGCCATGACAAGCTGACCCGACGCAAGGAGTCCGTACGACTCTGGGAGTGTCGTACAGGTCCGATGCCAATGGTCGAGGAACTGCACTCGGACGATCTCCCGCAGCTTCAGGACTGCGAGGTCGACGACAAGGACGATGAGGCCACAACTCCGGATGACTCCGGACTTGAGAAGGGCGACCGTATCTTCGCAGCCATTCCTCCTCTGACTCCGGAGTACCTTTGGAGTCTTCGGGAAGAACACGTCCGAGCTTCGGAGACGGTCTCGCAGCGCCTCGCATTGGCTTTCCAGCGCAACAAGCCCCACGATCCTCGGAACAGCGCAGTCCCGGACTTCCTCCGAGAATTCAAGGACGTCTTCGCCAAGGAGTCGTTTGATGAACTGCCCATGCCGCGTCCGTGGGATCACGCCATTGAGCTAATGGACGGAGCGGAACCGACCTCTACCAAATGCTACCCGCTGTCCCCCGCGGAGCAGAAACAGCTGGACGAGTTTCTGGAAGAAAATCTCCGGACTGGTCGGATCCGCCCCAGCAAGTCGTCCATGGCTGCCCCGGTGTTCTTTGTTAAGAAGAAGGACGGATCGCTCCGCTTGGTCCAGGACTACCGGAAGCTCAACAGCATGACGGTCAAGAATCGGTACCCACTTCTGCTCATCTCGGACTTGGTGGATAAACTCCGGAACGCTCGCTACTTCTCCAAGCTCGACGTCCGGTGGGGTTTCAACAACGTCCGGATCAAGGAGGGCGACGAGTGGAAGGCCGCGTTCCGGACTACGCGCTGTCACACTCAGTGGGGTTTCACTGAAATGTTTTGGATGTAGTCGGATCAGTCTAGATAGATCGGACAGTCACCCAAGTTGCTGCAGGCTGAGGTGTGTTATTGAAAGAATATTCACTGGGATTCTACAAGGTAGTAGAAAGGGAAATAGGGGATGGATAGGGATAGGGGTAGAAAAAGAGTGTAGGCTAGAAGTCAATAATGGCTTCACGAGGATGAGGAAGAAGGATAGAATGCTATACAGTACTAAAGATAAGTTGAAATGAAGTATGACAATAGGACTATGATGAGGAAATATTCTTTCCCTAGGATACGTTGTATGACTCCGCAATGAGACAAAACTATGAAGCTCTAGATCAGACGTTTCTGCTAGATCACTTCCGAAACTGAAATAACAATAAGACACCCTGCAGAATCGTTCTACAGTCTAAATGTCCAGGTTACGACAAAACAATATGCGGTGGAATCAATACACAGGTATCCAGAATAATGTAGACACAAGCTACCAAATTACTCTGTTCTCTAGTAAAGAATGCTTTCACTGATCTGAGTACTCAATTATCAATATAATCAAGACTACTAATACAATGAGACTATACAGAAGTTCTATATAGAAGCTGGGATAAGGACAAACTTTATCCTACTATGCTGAAGGAATTCATTCTCAGGGAACAGCTAGATCAAAGAGAACTAATAAATTGAACTTCACTTCGCATTGCATTGCATTGCATTGCATTGTGTTGCATTGCGCTGCGTTGCCTGTCTATCTACTACAATTTGGGGGGTATTTATACTCTACGGATACTAAGGCTGTGCAAGGGTCAAGAGTGGTAGGCTGTGCAAGGCTGTGCTAAAGCTGTGCTAAAGCTATGCTAAGGCAGTGCTTAAAACCTGTTTCATCAGTGCCGAGCCTAAAACCAAGTACTTGCTTTATAATTGCTTAGTAAGGAAGAAATCAAATTCTTCTACATTCCAGAATATTCTTCCAAGTTCTACAGGTTACTGTATTGTCCTACAGTCTCCTATAATCTTCTTCAGCTTGTCTGAGTGAAGTGTAGTAATTGGTTGAATAATCCTGATGTAGGAGTGAAGATAGGAGTAAAGAGAATTAAAGGGGCTTTGGAAAAGGGTAATGTAAGGTAAAATAAGTCTGTGACCATAACACAAGATCCATAGGACTTGATTCAACTTGCGAGGTGATGTCTATGGATTATAGCAGTGTATGAAGGAAGGTATAAAACACTAATATTCATGTCACTTACTACAAATCCCAATTTGGAGTATGACAGCGCGGACTCTTCGAACCGTTGGTAATGTTCTTCGGACTAACGAATAGCCCATCCACCTTCCAGACCATGATGAACGACCTCTTCCGGGAGCTCATTACGGAAGGTGTGGTCATTATCTATCTGGATGACATTCTGATCTACACCAAGACGCGCGAAGAGCATCGCCGGGTTCTCAAGCGAGTCCTAGAGATCCTCCAGCGGAACAAGCTCTTCCTCCGAGCGGACAAGTGCGACTTCGAGCAGACCAAGGTGGAGTATCTCGGAGTTGTCATCTCTGAGGGTAAGATCGAGATGGATCCCGTGAAGGTTTCCGGAGTCGCGGACTGGCCGACCCCCCGGACTCGGACTGAACTCCAATCCTTCCTCGGGTTCGTCAACTTCTACCGCCGCTTCATCAAGGACTACTCGCATATTGCCCGGCCTCTCTTTGACCTCACTTGCGCAAAGGAATGGCAGTGGAACGACTCCGCTCAATCCGCATTTCTTCGGATCAAGGAGCTGATCACTTCGGAGCCCGTTCTGGTCTTTCCGAAGGAGGATCGGCCTTACCGGGTTGAAGCGGACTCGTCGGATTACGCTACGGGTGCGGTCTTGTCACAGCTGGATCCGGATGATGGTAAATGGCATCCTGTCGCATTCTACTCTAAAAGTCTACAGGCTGCGGAGCGGAACTACGAAATACACGACAAGGAGATGCTTTCAATCATCCGGGCACTCGAAGAATGGCGGCACTACCTTGAAGGCGCGGAGACTCCGTTCGAGATCTGGACGGACCACAAGAACCTGGAGTACTTCATCAAGGCCCAGAAACTCAATCGCCGTCAAGCCCGCTGGTCGCTATACCTCTCCCGCTTCGACTTCACTCTCCAGCACCGTCCAGGTCGGACAATGGGTAAGCCGGATGCTCTCTCGCGCCGCTCGGATCACTCGGATGGTAAGGATGACAACAAGGATGTAGTGATGCTCAAGCCATCCTACTTCGCTGTCCGTGCCACGGGTGTCACTCTTGAAGGGGAGGAGAAGGATATCCTCACGGCTATCCGGACTGGAGTGCGGAATGCGAAGTTTGAAGATGCAGTGGCGAAGGCGGCAGAGGAGCTGAAGAAGACCCAGGGCAGTCGCAAGACAGTCCGGAGCGCGGAATGGTCTCAATCGGACGGACTCCTGATGTTCCGGGGTAAGATCTACGTTCCGGACTCACCGGGCTTGCGTCGGACCATTGTAGCCCAGCACCATGACACTAAGGTCGCAGGACACGCTGGCAGATGGAAGACCCTAGAGCTCGTTTCACGCAGCTACTGGTGGCCCAACATGTCCCGGTACGTCGGATCCTACACCCGCCATTGCGACCTCTGTCTCCGGACGAAGGCCCAAAGGCATCCGCCCATGGGTGAACTCCATCCGCTTCCCATTCCGGATGAACGCTGGGATCGCCTGAGTGTTGACTTCATCGTCGAGCTTCCGGAGTCCGATGGGTTTGATGCCGTCATGAACGTGGTCGACTCCGTAAGCAAACGCGCCCACTTCATTCCGACTCACACCACAGTGTCTGCCCTCGGATCCGCAAACTTGTACCTGCAGAACGTCTGGAAGCTGCACGGACTCCCTCGGTCCGTTGTGTCCGACCGGGGTCCACAATTCGTCGCAGAGTTCACCCGAGAAGTCTACCAGATGCTCGGAATCAAGCTGGCTGCCTCCACTGCGTACCACCCTCAGTCCGACGGACAGACGGAACGGACCAACCAGGAACTCGAGTCCTATCTCCGGATCTTCGTCGGAGAGCGTCAGGACGACTGGGCTCGCCTCCTACCTATGGCGGAGTTCGCGTACAACAACCGGGTCCATGCGTCCACTCAGCAGTCACCCTTCCTCCTGGATACCGGCCGTCATCCTCGTCTCGGGTTCGAACCTCATCAGCCACCATCTCGGATGGAGTCCGCAAACGAGTTCGTAGACCGGATGAAATCCGCAGTCGACGAGGCTCAGTCCGCATTGGTCAAGGCTCAGGACGACATGAAGCGCTACTATGATCAGCGTCGGACTCCTGCTCCGGAGTACCAACCGGGTGACAAGGTTTGGCTGGACTCGTCGGACATCAACCTTGCCCGACCCTCCCGGAAACTCGGACACGCACGACTTGGTCCTTACAAGGTCGTCCGGAAGGTTGGCAAGGCAGCGTACCGGCTCCAGCTCCCTCCGGGCTTATCCCGTCTCCATCCCGTCTTCCCCGTGGTCAAACTCTCTCCCTTCGTTCCGGACCCCATCCCGGGTAGACGCCCTGTCGCTCCGCCACCTCCGCAGCTCGTTGACGGAGAAGAGGAGCATGAGGTAGAAGAGGTCCGAAATAGCAGACGGTTCGGTCGGGTCCTGAAGTATCTGGTGCGCTGGCGAGGCTATGGTATCGAGCACGACTCCTGGGAGCCCGCGAGCAACCTCCAGCATGCCGCCCGGAAGGTCAAGGACTTCCATGATCGTCACCCGGACGCAGTACGCGTACTCCGGACGAGTCCGATGAATCCGACGACTGCTCTACCTCTCCGGATGACTCCTGCAGCACTGGACCAGTCCTGGGAGCGTTGGCGCAGTCGGAAGGCTCCGGGCTCCGCGCAGTCGTACTTCGACATCTTCTCGCAGCAATCCGGAGTTTCGGGGTTGGTGAATTCATGGCGCAGCAGGCAGGAATCTTCGCGTCGGGTCGCCGCAACCTTGAAGGGGGGGTGATGTAAGGGGACACTCCTATTTTCTCCTACTCCCCCTGTCCCGCCCCCTTCCTCCTCGTTCCTTTCCCCTTTCCTTCATTCCCTTTCCTTTCCTTTTGTCCCCTTACCTTTCCGCTTCCCTTCCGTTCACTCCCTTCGCATCCGAGCCCCGTCCGGTGACTCCAAAGTCTTCCCGCACTTCGGACTCGCCTCGGACTCGCTCGGACGCTTCGGACTCGCTCGGACTCGTAGATACACTTTGGGGCTCGTCCGGGCTACCTCTATCCTCCTTTCCCACTTCATTACTCCTTGTCCCCACTTCCCCAGGTCGCTGGCACGACTCCTGTACGTTCCCCTTCCACTTCATTATCACATGCCCCCTCGTACCTTGTGATATTCGTTCGTACCTGTGGCTGGTGTACTGTACAGTTACCCTTCATTCCTCCCACGCTACTACAGTATATACTTCGCTTCCTAGCATGGAGAATCCCCATCCTGTTCTCTTTGGATTCTCCCTCTGCTAGGCCTGCGCTGTCGGCCATCTTGAGGTTGCCCTTACATGGACCCCCTGGCAGGACCATGGTTGATTTCTTCTCTATTTGTATGACAACCTTTTGCCCGCTCAAATATTGGGTTTGACTCTCGTCTTCCCCCTTATAGTACACCACTTTCCATCATGGTTCCCAGGAACCTATTACTACAACTTTGCGCGAGAACGGCGATGGTCGATTGACAACCTGTACAGCCAACCGTATGAGCATGTAAAGGAGTAAGCAGTGACTCTCTATGTCATGTATTCGCAATTCGGAGGCATGACTTCTCTTCTTCATCAGGCTCAAGGCAGCGCCTGGCCTTCATTTCTTCTCAAACAACTGGAGGCGGTCTCTGGGAGGACTCTTACAGATGAAGAAGTAAGTGACATCAAGGGGTCTGCGGCGGTCATCTTTGGTGCTGGTGCGGAGACCGTAGGTTTGCTGCTAGTGTTTCTTGCAATACAGACGTGACGCACTCCGATAGACATGGACCAGTCTGGAAACATTTCTCCTGGCTTTACTGCACTACCCAGAGGTGCAGAAGAAGGGACAAGAGGAAATTGACCGTCTTGTGGGGTCTGACCAGCTCCCGACGTTTGACGATTACGATGCATTGCCGTACGTTGGGTGTGTCACTCAAGAGATATTGAGGTAGGTTTTCCAACCTGTTGATTACCACTCAGTCACAAATACTCTAATTCTGGTAGATGGCGTCCAACTGTTCCCATCGGTGAGGGATCTGTACGTTCTAGGGCGATACATCAACAATTCTGACAAGGTCATCAGGCCTACCCCATCGCTTGATGGAGGATGATATTTATAAAGGCATGTTCATCCCAAAAGGCTCTGTTGTCTTTGCCAATGCCTTGTATGTCTTTTGCTTTCTTGTATGCATGAATGTCTTACCAGTAACAGGGGGATGGCTTTAGACGAGAATATTTATGCAGAACCCACTAAATTCAATCCCGATCGTTTCTTGCCAAAGTCCGGGGGCGGAAATGAAGAACCTTATCTGGGTGCCACCTTTGGATTCGGGCAAAGGTCACTAATCGGCCATGTTCTGATGAATTCACCCACTGATGTAGTTGTCAAGCAGGATATGTCCAGGAAGACATCTCGCGACAGCCAGTATATGGATCGCGGTTGCCACACTCTTCGCCACTGTTGATATTACCAAAGCAAAGGACGAGAATGGTGATGAAATCTTGCCTGAGATTCACTTCCAGACAGGACTCACTAGGCAAGCAAATCTTTGAAGATTGACTATTCAGTGGTCTAAACTGTATGCAGCTGCCCAAAGAAGTTCCCATGCACCGTTACATCTAGGTCAGAGAAGACCGTAAACACTGTGAAAAGCGAGTGCGAATCATCCGGATAAATGAACACGTATATAAAAAAGATATGTATACATAGTTAGTAGAGTTTATCTTGAATCTCCTCAGCATGTCAGGGCACCTGGTCTTGAAGGTAGTGTCCTCAGTAAGGCATTCTCTTATAAGAGACAACTAGTCGAGTCGAGGACGAGCACAAGATTTTGCAGATGCTAGCTCCTGCAGGTTCCTAGGGGCTTATCAGGAGTAGTCACGTGTACTCAACTCCCCGTTTCGGGCACAGTTCCGCTCGTTCCTGAATCTTGCCCTCACCCACGGAACCAAAACGAAGTCGACGACTCGACGTTACCCTTGAATCACGAAAAGCGGAGGTATCAGGGGATGTCAGAAGTCTGAACGGGTATATCTCCTGTGAGCGGTCTTATGAGGCTGAGCAGAAATTGCGTTCCGACTTTCTACCTTCCCAGATACGTGTCAATCGAATCAGCTTCCACACCACAGAACGTGTCCTCGACCACCACTTACACGTCGGGCTTCGCAGCGAGCCTATGTACTCAGCAGTCTTCGCCACTCTCTTACTTGCCTTGCTTGCTTTCGCTTCACCTAATGCCAATGTATCCAGTTACAATCCATTTCAGGCATTAATCCTCAAGACTCCGCCGAAATCTGGGCCACCAATTTGCTGCTTGAAGTCGCAAAAGAATTCCGATCTACTGGACGACGATGTGCTACTCCTTTCATTTGAAGAGTGGAAGGCTAAACAGGCCGGACTGCAGGCTAGAGAGAGTGGGGATGCCAGGATAGAAGGACGCAACGAGAGTGGGAGAACTAACGGTGACGATAACCAGAATGGGGGTGGCAACAATGAGACGGACGGCGCGCACGCTTCTGCTCCAGCGTCGAACTACCAGGACTGGGACGCTGGATACATCGAAGAACAATCACCTCACTTCAGGGTGCCTTTGACCGACCGCTTCAATTACGCCTCCTTGGATTGTTCAGCTCGTATCCACCTCACGCATCGTTCGGCTAAGTCTGCTTCCTCCATTCTCTCCTCAAAACGCGACAAGTACATGCTCTCGCCCTGTCGTGAGGGGAAGCAGTTCGTGATTGTGGAATTGTGCGAAGACATTCGAATAGACACAGTGCAGATGGCCAATTACGAATTCTTCAGCGGGGTGTTCAAGGACTTTGAGGTCAGCGTAGCCAAGACGTACAATCCGGACAGCTGGGTCGACGCGGGGAGGTACAGGGCGAAGAATATTCGTGGAGTTCAATCCTTTCACCCGCCACGATCACTGCGAGATTTCTACCGCTTCATTCGTATCGACTTCCACTCTCACTACGGGAACGAATACTACTGTCCCATCTCTTTACTCCGGGTTTATGGATTGACGCACTTGGAGCAATGGAAGTGGGACATGTGGGAGGCGGAAAGTAAGGCAAAGAAGGCTAGTCCCTCGGACAGAGCCATCGAAGTTGTCGCAATCCCAAAGCAAGTACAATACGCCGAGCCCGTTGTCGCTGTTATCTCAGAGAAGCAGCCAGCAGCAGAGATTACTTCTAGGGTATCGACGGTTTCGCTTGCATCATCATCAATTACATCGGATACGATATTGCCTTCCATGCCAGCCAACGAAGCACCCTCGAGTTCACTATCATTCGAGAGCAGCTCAACGGTCACACCTGTCACTCAGTCCGCCCCTGCTACGAACACTCATGAAATTAACGATAATCAAGCTACTGGCTCTCCATCTCCCCATCATTCTACGGACACCTACATTTCATCCCAAACCACCTCTCAAGCTACCATCGTCACATCGTCGTCCAAAGCATCGTCGCACAGTGCCAATCAATCTCCCACAAACAGGACGGAGTCTCCGTCGTCGCCCATCTCTTCTACAACCACCCCTCATGCCACCCCGATTCTCCCATCTGACGATTCGTCTGCAAATACAAATTCGTCTGTAATCTCGACTCCCGCATCTGTAACTTCATTGTCGACGACAATCGTTGCGTCTACTTTAGTCAAACCGACTGCACAAAGTTCTTCCACTGTGTCAGTTCAACATGCCCCGCCGCCACCGCCACCATCACCATCCCATGGAAGCCCTTTTGCCGCTGGCAATGGTGAATCCATATATCGTGTTATCATGAATCGATTAATGGCATTGGAGACCAACCATACACTGTACGCGAGGTACGTAGAGGACCAGATTGGGGGTATTAGCGAAGTCCTGAGAAGACTGAGCGAGGATGTAGGGAGATTAGATGGAATTGTAAGCCTTCTTCCCGTTCTCAATTCGCGTCTAAACATAGTGATTGTACAGGGCAAGGGCCAAGCGCAGATGTTCTCTAGAACTGTCAAGGAATGGGAGAAGTACCGGAATAGGGCTGATAATCAATACGTGGAACTCATGCACCGCGTCAATTATCTTGCTGATGAGGTTCGTCTCCACCGTTTGAATCCTCTGGCTATCTCACAAGTTGTTGACGTCCCTAGGTCATGCTAGAGAAACGCTTGGGCATAGCTCAGCTGTGCCTTCTGCTCGCCGTTTTAGTGTTTATGGGCTTGACGCGCGGTTCCAGGATGAGTGAGGGCGATTTGCAGTCGCTACTCGCGCAAAGGATTGCGGACAGAGATCGGCGCGAACGAGACCGGGAGCGAATGATTGGAAGGACTGGGAGACTTCCAAATGCAGGAAGGGTGAGGGAGTGGGGTAGGAGACATCTGAGTAGTATCAGCGGCGACTGGGTGAATCGTTTTGCGAGAAGTCAAAGCCGAGGGAGCGATGATGTCCAAACATCGGGAGAAGCGGAGAAAGAGAACATTGCGCCTGCCCAGCCGAAAGACCCTAAACATGGTAAGCATATTTCTTGGAGATTAGTCGGCCTAATTGGGACAATTTGGGATAGCAGGACTAGTTGAGTTCCCGTCGTTGAGCCGGAAGCCCCCAAACCACACCAAACGTCGTATTGCTGCTAAACCTCGCTCCCGAACACCGTCTCTCCGCACCCCCCTCTCTGCATCTAGATACTATCTCAATCCAACCCACCTCAGCAGCGGAGGGTCGCCTACGACGCATCGCGCAGCAAACGTCGAAGCACCCCCTACTTCAATGATCCAGAAGGCTTACTCCCAAGGCCATATGGGAGGGATACCTACGACTGCATCGTGGTCCGGTGTGGTTGGAAGAGAAGTGATACCTCGATCAAGCGTGAAACGATGGGCGAGAAGTGCGCACTTACATGAAGTCAAGATTTCTCGCAGACACGCTCGGTCACGGACCTCGAGCGACGCCTGCGGCGAGCCCCGAGTTGGTAAGGTGGGCGGGGACAGCAACCAAGCTGCTGATAGAAGCGAAGAAGAAGTTGGTACGGAAAGGCAGATAGACGACGTTTTCACATCACCGCCCTCTTCGATGAAGGGGAATGGGTATCTTTCCGCATTGGAACGAGGTCCTCTATATGGCCGACATGCACCCCACTCACTATTGGTGTATCCTGGACCAAGTCTGGTGAGACGACGGCCCGCCGGCGGTGAGGGAGAGAGTGATTGGGTCGATACGGACGCTACAGAGAGTCTTGAAGGGGGCTCCGAGTTCGGTAGCCTCTAATGTGGATCGCTCGTAGGTGCTAGAGGTATCACTACTTCGTGAAAAGCCCAACGTATCCTTGACCAATTCTCGACTCTGGCTTCCCTTCTTTCCTGTCTTCATTCTTACGGTTTCTGGATCCATTTCTTCGATTCTATTTAACTCGATCGCATTGTATATTATTTTGCACACATCTCTTATTGGTTACACTGTTCACATCCCAAAAAAATGAAAGCAAGGGCCTGTCGTCTTACCGAGTGGTGGTACGCTGAGATGGGTGGTATAATGATACATTGGCATTTTGATATAATATGTTACATCTTTTGATTTGTCTAACACGGGGGCAATACGATGACATAGTACAATGCCGAGGCATAGGCATGCCTGCTACTTGGGGTATGAATCATCGTAAAAAAGGCATGGTAAAGGAAAGAAGAAAGGGGGGATACGAGCAGCGAAGTTGCTGCACATGGGGATCGCGGGGGTGGTAGAGATACAGAAGGAAGAGTGGTTTGGTGGTATAGGTGATGATGAAATCAGAAGATGTCGGAAGGAGGGAAAAGAGTGTTCAAATCAAAATCGAACGGTTCCGTACCAAAATCCAAACCCTCCAACTCTTGCGAATTGTCAGCGGACCCGAAGATTGGCGACCCTGAGCCTACTCGCTCGCTGAGTCCCAGTTCGTACTCCTGCAAGGCTTGGCTGCGTTCCGATGCTTCCTGGTAAGGCTCCAACCCTGGTTGGAGATTAGAAAGCATGAAGGGGGGAGGTGAAGTGTCGGATTCAGAGTAGGGTGGTGTGGAAAGTCCTAAAGGCGAATCGTCGTACAAGACGTTTGCGTTATCGACATTGCTATATGATTTGTTGTCTAAGATGGGGTAGGATGGTGACTGAGCTTGAGAAATGTCGGGATTCTGTGAAACGATATAGTTCTCTTGCCAGAGCAAGGGAGACTCGATTGGGGAAGATGGTACGAGGGGCGTCGTCGACGGCGTCGCGGTGAAATCGCTGCTCCATCCAGAGAGGGTAGTAGCTACCGCTGTCAGGGGGGAAATATATCGAGTGCGAGACAAGTCTTCAAACGCGCCGATGCTATAGTTAGGTATCTGAGTAGAGCCGTCTGGATTGAAATGACCTTGCATCGAACCCGTGTAGCTAAGCATACGACTCTGGGGCTGCAGGCAAGCTGTTAAGATCCAACCCCTAATCACGAACGAGTAACACATACCTGACAATCGCTGCGGAAGAAGGGAGTGCCGTCGTAACCAAACGATAAATCTGGCGAAGAGAGTGAAGGTGGTGGTATCGGCCTTGGAATCGCACCAAGAGGAGGGTATCCAAATCGTGTATAGTCAGCTCGGCTGTGAGGGACGGCAATTGGTCTAGCAACGATCGACCGGGATCGTTGGTGAATGTCTGGCCGCTCTATTTGTGGGAGTGCGGGGAGAGCTACGGGTTTGTATGGCTGAGGAGCTGATGCCGACCTTCGTCGCGCCGCTTTCACCGCTGGATCGACAAATTTGGGAGCAGTGTCGAATTGAAGGGGCGTAGGGAGAGGCTGCTGGGCGTGGATGGTGGGCAAGAGGGAGGAAGAAGAACCCGCCGGGGAAGACGATACCGAATGCCCTTGCGACTGCTGTGGGGAAGTAGACGCCATCCGGCGGCGCAGGCCGACAAGGGACGGGATACGGCGAGGCTTACGCCTTTTTGAATCCTGTTGCCGCTTCTTGGGCTTGAAACGATAGTCGGGGTTCTTCCTAGCATGCTCCTCCTTCTCCAGAGAAGCCATGTCCTCAAATACCTTTTTTTCTTCTTGCGTGAGCTTCGACCAAGCCTCTGAAGCACGCTTAGATAGCGACTTGGCGGCGATAGTATCATTGACAACCGGGGTATCGGGGAGCTGACTTTTGGTGTGTTCGCGGGAATATTTGCAACGGAATATGATGAAGCTGTTTCGAGGACGGCGGACGTGTACAGGATCTGTCGAGCCACTCGAGGGGGTGGATGGGGAGGAGTTGGTAGGGATGGGGATAGTGGGAGGGGTGGAGGGTGTCGCTGTCCTTATTGGTGTCGTGGTATGTCGTGAAGAATCGTTAGTTTCAGTGCTAAGAGAGTCGTTATCGTGGTGGGTTTTGAATGAAAAGAAATTGGGAAAAGATCGTTGTGGAAGGGGAGCGTCCACGTTAGGATCGTTACTGCCTGAGGACCAACCAAGAAGGCGAGTGCGTACGGCAGGCATCGTGCGGTTCGTTAATGTGAAAGAGAGGAAGAAAGAAGGATGAGACAAGACAAGAGTTAACGTCGGGCTTAAATGTGGTCCACCAGGAATTACCGGACCCCAGCTTGGCACTATCTTTGCAAATATACCATAACTGGATTGCGATCGCTTCCTTTGTCGAGGCCGTCTTAGATCCTGACTACAAATTCTGAACCAACACAGTGTATTGGTGCTGGCGCAATGGTAAACCGGGAGAGGGGTCAATTGCTTGCTTCGAGGCCTGTCGATGAATGTCTGTCAATATCAACGGTAGAAAATAGTTGCGTTAAACTACTCAAATAAAGCAATCACTGACGATTGTTCACTACGTGGGCAAGCCTCCTTACCAATCATCGGTTGCTTTAAATCGAACCAGCCGAACTCAGTACCTGAACGAGCCTCCTAATGAAGAGGAGACAATTAACACTCACGTACGTATGTCCCCTGGTATTTGTTGCAGTTGTGGCATTGGAGACAATAGAATTTTGGGTCCCTGCAAATTCGAAGGGCACAAGTAGGGACGTCGAATGCTAAAAGGAACTACTCCATATACATCATGGATTGAACTTGTCCGCCAATCAGATTCAGCAGCTGAAAGACGCTCAAACCCCTGTATGATTTGCACTCTCGGCACTATGTCGGTTACGAGCACAAAACCGGCGTTTGGTCATGGGGTTCCCACTTCCGACCTCCTTTAACTTAACTTTAATATATTCTCGAGCGTTCGATATTGGGGAAGACGAAACAAACGGTGATCTAGGCCTTCAAGGCTGATACGCCTTTCGTCTATTACGATTTGGGCCATCTTCCGGGTTCGACTTTGGATATTCCTGAAAGCCAAAAGCTCAGGCAACGGTGGTGAACCTAGGTATATCGGGTGTCATATTGGTACTTAAAGCTCTGATTCGGAAATTCTCGTAATGAACATACCTACGTAACCTTAGGTAGCCTTTTGTTGATCAATCCCCGTATGTCTGTTGACATGAAAAAAGACGCGGACAAGATTTCTTGCGGCCGCTGCACCTCTCCAAGATGCTCTACTACTGTGTGAAGACGAGTTTACTTGGTTTGTTATGAAGAGAGTCTGTAAAGCGTGCAGCACCCAGTGCGACGTTGTGATTGGGTGTTGGCGTAGATATGAGTAGACCTGAGTTTGAATCAGTAGTCACAAGGTAGCTCCACCAATCCCTGCTGAGCGCCTGATGAGGTAAGCCTGACACATTAGGGTTTCTCTTCCACGAAGGCCAGCAAACACCTTCATGTTTTTCATGCGGTGATTCCGCTGTACTCTGTGCTCTCACCACAACTTCCTAATAATGTACACAAAGTCTCGGGACGTTCTACATGAATCAGAGGGAGCAGAGCTGTTAAAGAGGGAGGCTCCTGTAATTGGGGGATCAGTCGGAGGTGAGTTTACGCACGCGACCTCGATCCACTAGTACAAATTCAAATAACCAATATCTGTAGGATTTGCTGCCCTTATAGTGTGCTTGGTCGCCGTCATAATTCTCTCTCTTACAGGGATTGTGTATCTCTGGCGAGACGATGGCCCTTTGAGTAGATCGCACCGCTACGGCTCTTCCAACTCTAGGGGATTCTCCTTGCCAAAATTCACCAATTTCTTCCAGTTTGGTGCCTATCGATCATCTGGGCATTCAGCGGCTCCCCTCCCGACACATACGCCAACGTCCTCTATCAAAATGAGCAAGGAATCAGTCCAAGGTTGGGCGCGAGCTACATCGCCGGATGACTTCGATCCAGATGGACTGCGACAACTCTCATACGCCCATGCATCCCGCTCGCTGTCGCTATCCCCGCCACCTTCCACTTACTCGCCATCACCCGCACCGGGTTCCCCATTCCAACCACCAATGCGACTAGACCCAGCATCAAGCGTCGTACGGTTCGAGAATTCCCACAACGTAACGGTTTACCATCCGATTCTTTCCGCGTCACCCCAGCCCAGCATCCCTACAATTACGACGATACCATCGAATCCCCCTTCTCCGCCACCCCCACTACGCACTGTTTCTCCGGAGCCCATGACTTTTAACGACAGCGACGCTGATGAAGGATATAAATTTGCTGTCCATTCTGGAGTAACTATGCGGACCCTCCAAAGAGGTACAAAATTCGTTGAATCATTGTAGTCTCATCTACGACGTATCCTACCGGACGACGCCTTCTGCTGTGCCAATGTAGCTGTATTTATCACTTTGTACTTTTGAAGGACCTACTTGAACTTTCCCCTCCGTTTCTGTACGCTTATTTATTCGCCTTGGGTTAATAGGGGTCTGAACATTATGCAGATCAATACGAACTTGGTTCTTACTTTGTAGGTTGCAAGTTTATTCGACAGGCTGTCACAAGAATGCACTACTCGGAACCGACGAGGTGCAGATCTTTCAATAATGGCTTCTATTTTTAGAAGCTAATCCATTCAGCTGATTATTTGCACTCCTCACACATCGCACAATAAGGCAGTGAGCTCAAGAATCAAATTTCATTTAAGGTCAACTTGTTCAGCCTAACACGAGGCCTGTCGTCATACTTCTTGGAAATATAGTCTACATTGAAAGGGAATTTCAGTTTTCAGACCCACGCAAGCCTCAGGAAGCGACCTACCTGTCTGGTTAAAATTCAGAATTAGGCTTTCTTCAAGTTTCCGAGACCGATGTCGATGCAGGTCTGCAAAGTAGGGGCAACATGATAAGCACCTTCAATATATAGGAAGTTGACAGGAACACTTACTCCACCGGCAGATGCGTTGATGCAAATGAAGGGCCAGCAGCAGGACACAAATGTTGGGCTACCGCACTTCGTGACCGAGCATGCGGCGTCGGACGACAAAGAATAGTTTGCAGCAAGCGTAGTGTCGGAGGCAGGCAGTGCCTGCACACCGGCGAGGGCGACGGCGAAAAGAGTCAAACTGAGGGATTTCATCGCTGGGTATGTCCTTGTCTGGCTTGATGTACACAGTTGAGGCTGGTTTTTCTAGCAAAATCTAAGGACTGTCTCGTCCGTTAGTGCTTTGGTGGCCACAACGCCAAGCCCCATGGTAGATCCGACTTTGACATAGACCTTGAGCCCTCTGCCGTATGCGCCATCTAATCACCACAAACAAGGGAGAAGCACCTGTTGAGGTACGAACAACCCCGAGGATATGATGAATATCCACGATGGGGAGAAACAATTCAAGCATTTGCACATGCACATGCTCATCGCATCACTTCGAGCATCGAGACATTCTTCGCCCGACGTTCAAGGTCAGAAGTCGGAGCCGCGACAAACAAGACAGATGGGACCTGACTAGGTTTACGTTGTTGAGCCATATGACTGACACTCATGCTACGCGTGTCGACATTCCGCTGATATTAGGGTATTCTTGTAAGCAATGTACATCGATAGATCAACCACTTAGCGGCACAGATCATAAGGGTGGATACAACAAACTCCCGCCTGCCCTTCCTCCAGCCATAGGGCATGCGACTGCAGTCAAGCTGCACTACTTCGGGGGGTCGCCCGTCGTGGTATTCCAATCTGTCCCCACTGGCACAGTCCAATCTCCGTGGCAGTCGTAATTCCAATCCGTCTGCCTTATGATTTCCTTCTGTGCCGTGATGAACGCTTCAACGGGACACATCCCGTCGCGCTGCTCTGGGCACCCTTTGATTCCAGTCAAAGGCACCACGCCGTCATTTACGATGATCCGGATCTGTGGGCCTGGGGTTGACGTACATTCTAGCACTAGACGAGACTGTCAGGAGAGAAAGCGAGTGACAAGCGTAGGACAAACATTGGAATTGCATGTTGGTCGCAAACGGTGCTAGCTCGGACACCTTGAATTTACGATTGAGAGGAATCCGATCATAGGGCAAAGGGCCATCAGCAGCAAGGGTAGTCAAGTTCAATGCAGTGATCACTATCGCCGAGTTCAGAAGGGGTAGAGGTTCGATGAGGAAATTAGACTTACCGTTCAATACAACGACCTCGTGTGTAGCGTCGACATAGAGGCTCTGACCGAGGGGGAAGGTGATGGGATTGTCATTCAGTGTCGAATTGGTCGATGAGTTGTGGGTTGCAATGGGTGTGTGTGTCAGACGAGCGATCAATTCCTGGATGTACCCGATACCCTGGACACGAGCGACGGGAGATCCGAACGCAGAGTTATACCAGAACGTCAAGTCCAAGCTAGAGAGAGAATGAGGTAAGAACCAGGTTGCTCTGCCATTCAGCCGAACTCACGAGTAGTCGAACCCGTCCCACTCTTCCGCGGTGAAAAGTTCACAGAACTTGGAATACCCGATGGCCACAGTCTGGATCCGAGCAATGAGAAAATTGCTGCCCGCACGGAGAAACAATGTAGCTGCTGACATACCTCATAAGCGCACATCTGTTGCATGGTGAACACATCTTCATATGTCAAGTCAAAACCTTTGAGATGGGCCTGAATTCGAGAGCGCGCGTCCCGAAGGTATATCGGAGCCCATTTCTTGACATACCATAGCCCACGATCAGACTTCAATTTATCTCGGGCGTTGGGGCATCTGTCACATTTATCGAGGAATGTCTGTCTTGCTGCTAGCAAGGCTACTCACGTATCATACGGGGCCAAAGTGTTGTTGAACTAGAGAAATATGATTGAGGTGAGGAGGATAGGATACGTTAATATTACTTACGCCATCAGCTTCGATGGTTATACTTTGTTGATACTTCCCTTCCAAGGGATGGCCGAAGAAACCAAGAGCAAAGTTGATCGCAGAGTTCAACATTCGATCTCTACAATTCATGGAGTTAGAGAGCGAATGTATGAAATAGAAGGCTGCTCACTGTGACTCCGTCCGGAAGATGGGGATGGTGTTAGTCTCGGTAAAGTTCTGGAGACGTTGGGTGTCAAAATCGATGTGTGAACCGGAAAAAAACACTGACCTTTAGCAAGTATCCGTATTTCAACCTCATAGAAATCCCCAAGTCATCTAGTCAACGACATAAGTCGGGGAAACGCAAGACGGAATCATGACATACATAGTTGTTGCCTGCCGAAGGGCGTCAACACTAGGCTTGATCAGCGAGAGAATAGTGCGAAATTAGGCTTTGTTTACCTTCTTCACCTAGCTTGTAGGTCCTTTAAAAGAGTTCAGCAGCGGCAGTAGGGCGTCAAGATCGCTACTCACCAATCACTCAAGAAAGACAGGGGCCCAGAGGCATTCCAACTCTTCGTGTCGCTGTTTAACTTAGTTGCCAGATTGGCTGGTCCACCGTAAGATGCTGGATGAAACATAAGTCATGATCAAGATAGAACTGGCGACGACTCACTCCAGGCTGTAGGGTATCTGGCTCCATGTCTATGTAACAAGTGCATCCCCGTGATCCTGCATGTCTCTGGCGGTTCCGGGCCGGAGTCAAGCCCAAATGCATTCCGCCCAACACTGTACCAAGGTGATAAGTTCCCCCAGCTCTTCAGAAGGCTAAACTTCTTTGTTGTCGTTTCTGGATCGCTGGTTCCTTTCACCATAGACTGGGGCACCACGAGGTGGGCTGCACCAGTGTGTAGTGGATACGCGGGTGCGGTGATGATTAGGGCTGCTTCAGCACCAGTAGGTGTCCCACCTGGATATCCCACGTCGCTTGGAAATAGCGTCGGGTATGCATTTGTTGGGGACGGTGGGGGGAAGTGGTGTCGTTCCGTCGAGCCAACATATGTGGGCACCACGTTCGCATGAACTTGCCCCGCTGAACCTCCGTCAGAATATCGCGGCGAGAAGCAATCCGTTCCGCAGAAGGCGTACTGTCCCAAAAAGCAGGCTAGAATCCCCCCGACAAACGCTAGTGAGAGGTGGAGAGAAGTGAACCTAGGCCGCGAGCAACTCTTCTTCGGTACGACGGCCAGTTCTTCTGGTTTCTCGACATCGTTTGGGAGGAGGGCGGCGCGTTCGTGGTCGATTTCAGTGGCCTCGTAGCCTTTGTAGTGTTCTCCCTGCTCGACGTCAACGTCGGGAGTCATGGCTGGGTGCAAGTGTCGCGGCGCTTCAAGTCAAGGGACAGTGACTGGAGATGCCTTGTTTGGTAATGTTAAGAAATTGAGCGCTTAAATTGAGCGCCTATAGCCCCTCCTCCTAATTATTTGTCCAGGGGCGGGGATAGGACTCATCCTTCCGTACTAGGAGACGGCGTAGAAAATGAGCAGCATAAAGTTACCCCGGGTAAACTAATTAGACCATACACTTGCTTGAAATCCCTGCGAACCTTGCCAGGATTATGATTTAGTGAGATGCGAAACTTGGGGATATTCATCAGTTCATCAGGTTGTCTTACTCCCGCCCTTTGGTCGATTAAGAACTAGATTTCTCTCCTTTAGGTCCGCCACCTTCTATTTTCTCAGATTATGACTTCGACAAACATCAGCTGAGTGTTGATCACGCTGTGAGTGATGCTTCTATGGACTTCTTATACATTGAGCGCAGGGCCAGTGTTTATTCCGAGCAATGTACGATGTATTTGTGGAGCGTTGGCGGTCGATCTACACCTTGGTGAGAATAATTCACTGCGAAACCCCGGCGACTAGTACATCATCAGTGTTCCTGCGATGACCTCGACGGTCATCCTCGAAACTTCCTGCTCGGATCCCTATTCGCTCATCGGGTAATTTATGGGTAGAATGTAGAGTCGATGGTATAAAAAGACGAAAGCTCGATGGCTCTCCCTATCCCAAAACATATTTCCCCGTCTTCACCATGAGGATCACAACATCCATCGCATCACTCTGCCTACTTTTCATCGCCCTCGTTAATGCTGTCTCTGTCTCTGTCTCCTTCGACCAAGTGTATGACAACCGCGCGGGTTCTATGACCACTGTCGCTTGCTCCGACGGCGTCAACGGCCTTATCACCCGGTTTGGCTTCCAGACGTTTAGTGCCGTACCCACATTCCCTAATATCGGGGGAGCGGGTGTTGTTGCTGGGTTTAACTCGCCCAATTGCGGCACATGCTGGTCTTTGAGTTTCCAGGGCACGACTGTCAATGTCACAGCCATTGACCATGCTGGGGCAGGGACGTTCAATATCGCCCTCGCTGCGATGAACACCTTGACGAAGGGAAATGCAATTCAGCTGGGGAGGATTACTGCGAATGCCACACAGGTAGCAGCATCCGCCTGCGGTCTGTGATGAGTTTACACATAGTGTACGTCTGAGATGGCCCAGAGGGAACGTTATTGTCTGAATTAACCCCCTTAGCTCCAAAACTGCAATGAAACAAAGCCATGGGACTCACTGTACTCGTATCTAAAAAGCTTCTCGTCCTTGTTACCTTCGATACCGGACCTTCACAGACTTTCGAACTTCGTCGTACACGCTGTAGTATTCGGACACGGAACTTGTGTACTTACTTATCCACTCGAGCTCGAGGTGAACTGTAATTTACAACGAAATCGGGAAGGCTTTTGCTTCTTATGTACGATCGGCGCCACACGTTGCTGAGCTTCCTTAAAGTTTACTTGAGAGGTACTCACCTATAAATGCGAGTCGCCCCCACATGTCTCCCCATTCTCGATGAAGTTCGCACTATTCACCAAGCTCGCCCTCTTGACCTCAGCTACTGGAGTACTCGGCACTACAGTCGCGTACGACAGAGCATACGACGATCGTAGCACACCCCTCACATCCGTCGCATGCTCTGATGGACCACACGGTCTCATCGTCCGAGGCTACACAACATTCGGTGACCTCCCCAATTTCCCATTCATAGGCGGAGCCGAAGCGGTCGAGGGATACGATTCCGCGAACTGTGGATCATGCTGGAACATAACCTATACCAACCCTGCTGGTAGGAACAAGACCATCACCATGTTGGCAGTTGATGGGACGACGAGGGGGTTCGTCCTTGGGGTGCGAGCAGCAGATATCTTGACTGGAGGTCAAGCTGTCCACTTGGGAAGAGTGAACGCGACGGCGAAACGTGTTGCTGTTTCTGTTTGTAGACTCTAGGTAAAACGAACTTTGATGGTAGTCTCTCACTTACTGAAACTCGATCGTCGATCTAGGTAGTTTTATTTCTGGACGAACAGGCGACACAGTACAACTTTATTCGACCATGTGTGTTCCTGTAGAATCCAGTTCAGTTTATTGGGGTTGTAGGAGGACACTGGCAGCTGTAGACCTGTACCTATGGCTTAAGGCTCTCCGATTGATTGATTCGATGACTCCTGTGCTATCAGTGAGGACTAATACGCTGCAGCGCCGTTCGCAAAAGTTTGTCATCCTCAACTCGCTACCGACGCTCGCTGTGGAACGAGAAACGGCATAACAGTAAACCCGAAGGGATATAAGCCTCGTCCGAATACGTAGAATGCTATTATGAAAACGCCTCCCTACAACAATGCATCGCATTCATTAGCTACGAGACGAGCTGCCTTGTCAGACCTAGGAGCCGTGCTGCAGGGAAAGTGCTTCGGTCGGCTACAAATTATTGAGAACATCATACGTCCACGAAAGCTCTCTGCGCACCTTGTTAGTCCAGTTTCATACTCTAGTTCCGGTATAATATCATTGCCCGCTTCATCCTTGACCTTGGTGATGTTGATTGTGGCAAAAATTGTGGCAACAGCAATCCATATACTCCCCGCCGCGAGATGTCTTCCCGGACAGATCCTGCGAACAAATATATCGGCAAAATATACGATCTCCTAGTCGAGAAGTAACTCGCCTTCTGCCAAATCCAAATGCAGCACCTAAAGGTGGCTCTCCGTTGCCACCCTGGGACTTGGGCAAAAAGCGGTCGGGATAGAATCTCGTCGGTTCTACGTACACTTTTTCATCCAGAGCCATACCCCTGTTTGGTTGGTCTCGGTCAGCAACCATGCGCTGGTTAGAGAATAGATTAAGTTTAGACATACATAGTGTTAGCGAAAATGATCGAGCCCTTGGGGATGAACATCCCTCTGTAAATATCATCTTCCGTTGAACGATGGGGCAATCCTGACAACACCAGGGGTCAGTCAAGTTTGGTTGGGGTTAAATTCTTTTACCGATGGGGAGGGCGGGGTGCCATCTAGACGAACAAGTGTGAAGGTTATACTACCTTAGATATAGCAAACAAAAGCGATACCTTAATATCTCTTGTGTGACACACCCCACGTATGGCAAAGAATCGAAGTCATCAAAGGTAGGGAGCCGGTCAGGTCCAATAACGCGGTCGATCTCTTCTTGTCCTTTCTTCTGCGCCTCTGGGTAGCATAACATGGCCAAGAAAAATGTTTCTAGGCTGCTCCAAGTCTTACGGATGTGTTAGATGTTGGCGGTCTCTGTATGAGAGAGCAGTAGACTCACGGTCTCAGCACCTGCTCCAAAGATTATGCCAGACGACCCCTTAATATCTCCTATTTCTTCGTCTGTGAGAGTTTGCCCCGACGTTGCCTCTAGTTGATCCAGGAGAAAGGATGGCTGCGCCATGCCTTCAGCCTGACAAAGGAGCTTTCAATAGCCCTTGACGAACGCGCAAACCCTGAACTCACCCTCTGCTTCTTCACGTATTCGTATGGCTGGTTATACAATTTGTCGACTGCCCATCTCCAATTTCGAGCAAAGGTGGCGTAATATGTTCCGGGAAACCACGAGGGGAGATGCATTACTATAGCATACAGTGCTCAGGTCAGTATCGACAATGCTCCAAGGTCCTCACGTACAAATGGGAAAGAGATCAACCGCAGTTCCTCCCGGGGGTCCACCATTATTCAGAGTGTACCCACAGTCGTGCGCTGTCTGCACGAACATATCGTCATCGGTCAGAATCTGGTGCCCATACGCAATGCGTATCACTATGGCAGTGGTGTACCTGACACTCTAGGTCAGTGGCAAGAAAGAGATGCGCATTGACGTTCAATACCTGCTGACGAGATGTTGATATCCCTTCGTATTCTCCATCAGTCCTTGGGCAAGAAGAGATGCATTCTGAAGTTGGATGGGCTGGAACTTTGACCGGCGGTTTTCGCTGAAATGTGACTGAAGGAGCTTGCGATGTTTACGAAAGCGTGGACCATACGGCAAGAACGCCAAGTTTGGATCCCATCCCATTCTGAGGTAACTCATATCATTAGAATACAGACGAAACACCAGTGAATGCCTTACGCTACGTATACAGTGAGGTTTGGTCGGTCGCTATACAGTCCGCTTCGTTTCTCGAGAAGATCGGTTGCGGCCTGGGTGCTATTGAGCACAATGATGTCGCGTCCGAGTGCTTTGAGATGAATGACATCGCCTGATGGGTTGTTTAGCGTAGGTGAGGGGAAGGATAGCGATGAATCATGCCATATGTTTTCGACCATTCATAGAACACCTGCTCGTGCTTGTCAGATGGCATGACTCGGAGGTGCCCAATCAAAGGATCAGCCGGTGGACCAGGTGGGAGAGGGGGCCGTTTCGTCGAGCTGCGTTCGAGATACGCGATCAGACATACTAGGGCCAGGGCAATAGCGATAGGTGTGTTATCCATGGGTACTTTGATGGATCCATGCTGTGTTGACTTGCCTTTGTAACGAACTCGATTTGTCGACGTAAGCCGGTTGTGGTGTATTCCAACCACGAGATCCGCCGGATTATTTGAATGAATTATTCATGTCTTCGATCATCAGCGGTGACTTCGAACCTGTGGCGATGGGTGTACATGTAGAAGCATCGAGAAGGTGTCTGCCGTGGCCCCGCACGACCGCTGGAGTGGCGCAAAGGTGTGGAGAGTTGAGAAAGAGTCAATATTCCTAGGATGCTATTGGTGAGATACGACAGGTACATAATTCATTGAGTAGAGCGTGTAAGAAACTACACGTTGTGACGAGCGTTAAACTGATAAGGCCTCACACTCGCTGGCGACGATCCGTACTATATTCTCTGATCGGGGTGTCATGTTGCATCGAAATTGTTTTGGACGACTAGAATGAATTGGTACCATATAAGTATACGTTAAGAGCACGCTGAATCCACGGACCTTGTTATGCCCGTCTCAAAATCTACTTCGGGTGTGATCTCGTTGCCATTTTCATCCGTGGCTTTCGTGATATCAACTGTTGCGAATATCGTGGCAACAGCAATCCAAATGCTTGCTGTTGCAAGATGTCTGCCTGGGCAAATCCTACCATATACGTCGTGAGCAAGGGGAAGCTATATATTTAGCCCAATGAAGTTACCTTCGACCAAACCCGAAGGTAGCGCCGAGATGAGGCTCTTCATTGCCTCCCTGGGACTTGGGAAGGAAGCGATCTGGATTAAACTTTGTTGGGTCAGTGTACGTGCTTTCGTCCAACGCCATTCCTCTATCGATTTGGATAAACGTCATTAACAACTCGACAGACGGCGCATGAACACGTACTTAGCATTAGCAAATATGATGGATCCTTTCGGAATGAACATTCCCCGGTAGATATCATCCTCTGTGGATCGATGAGGGATGTCTAGCCATCGCGTATTGAATCACCTGAACGTCGATTCACCGGAAACCTACCTATGGGAACGGACGGATGCCATCTTAAGGCGGACCAGGGTAAGCATTGGCGCGTTGAAAGAAAGAAGGATAGAGCTAATTACCTCAAGATTTCTTGCGTTACACACTCGACGTACGGCAAAGAATCGTAGTCTTCGAAAGTTGGAAGCCGGTCCGATCCAATGACTCGATCAATCTCTTCTTGGCCTTTCTTCTGTACTTCCGGGTAGAGCAGCAGGGTCAGGATGAACGATTCAAGACTAGACCACGTCTAAAGGGGGGGACCTGAATGTTCGTTGCTGATAATATACGGAGATTTCTTACTGTCTCGGCTCCTGCACCAAAGATAATCCCCGCAGAACCTTTGAGGTCCTCGATGTCTTCTTTACCGAGGGCTTTTCCGGCAACTGCCTCCAATTGAGTAGCGAGAAACGACGGTTCTGCCGTGCCTTGAGCCTGCCAGTTGGTCAATGGAGGGACCCACTTCTCAAGTAGAGCGATAGCTTGCCATTTGCTTCTTCACATGCTCGTACGGAAGGGTATATAGTTTCTCGACTGCCCACCTCCATTCACGGGCAAATGTTGCGTAATAAGTCCCTGGGAACCACGAGGGGAAGTACTGCACTAAGAAGAAGGTGAGCGAGGTCTGCGACTATTCGGGGTAGATCGGTACAAACGGATAGGAAAGAGGTCAACCATCGTTCCGCCAGGCGGACCCCCGTTGTTCTGACCATACCCACTGTCGTTGGCGGCTTGAATAAATTCATCATCATCAGAGAGGATTTGATGGCCGTAGGCGATGCGCATGACAATCGCCGTGGTATATCTATTCCACGAATGACAAGGCAATCCAACGTGCGGTGTGATTGAGCTTACCGGCTCAGAAGATGGTGATAGTCTCCTTTGTTTTCCAATAGCCCCTTGGCGAGAATGTGGGCATTCTGAAGTTGGATTGGTTGGAACCGAACGATAGCTTGTTGAGTGAAATGAGAATGGAGGAGCTTTCGGTGCTTGCGAAAGCGCGGTCCATATGGCAAGAACGCAACGTCCGGGTCCCAGCCCATCCTAATAAACGGTTTCAAAAATCACCATTGTAATCTGGAGGCAGTCGACATACATCACGTAGACGGTGAAATTAGGCCTGTCGCTGTAGAGAGCACTACGCTTCTCGAGGAGCTCTGTTGCAGCTTCAACACTATTGAGAATGATGAGATCCCGTCCGAGGACCCTTAGGTACATAACGTCGCCTGGCATTTACGACATTACTATCAGCATCGGAACCTGGTTCTAATATAGCCTGAACGCACCGTATGTCTTCGACCATTCATGAAATACGAGCTCTTGCTTGTCAGTTGGCATAATCCGTAAGTGGCCTATCAATGGGTCCGCCGGAGGGCCAGGAGGAAGAGGTGGTCGCTTCTTCGACCTACGCTTGAGGTAGACCGTCAGAAGTAACGCTCCTAGAGCAGCAACTGTAACTGAGCTCTTCATGAGGTGCAATTGAGGGGATTAAAGAAATTCAAACCCGCCTATTTATATGTCATACAGACTCCTTCTGCAGTATTTGGATAGTTCCGGAGACACAGTGGGCTCTGCGATCTGATCCCATTGGCACTATATGCAGAAGCGAGAGGAGCACTTAAAGGCTTATACTTACTACACTATATCTCAATGTCCGGTTGCAACGGCGGGCGTTCACAATCACGTGAGCTAGTTAACTTTGGAGAACAACCATTCGAGCTCCAGTTCAAAGTCGCAATCCAGATTCCACGCACAATATTCCAGAAGCGATAGCATTAAACCAGCATATGTATAAGTAAGTTACAGAGCCCATCTAGAGAATAGCAAATACTTATACAATGAAACGCATAAATAAACAAGAAGACATCCAGCAACATCAAGTCGTAAAAACGTGCACAGCAGGGAACTAAAGTAAACTGCCAGCAGACAGCGTTGGAACGTAAAGCGTGTAACTACATCCAAAGCAAATGGATAGTGAGTGCGTCTGCTTGCGATTAAGCAGTAATTGTGATGGTAAGTCAGCGAGTGTTGGCGGCGCCATAGTCAATATGAAGCCAATGGCGGCCAGGTGACCAAGGGGCCACAAGGTGCCGATGTGTCAAGCCACGAGGTGGCGAATCGAGGTGTGAGCGGTAATGTGAGCAGGGTGTGTTAGTCCAGGGGGATGGGTGAGTCGTTAATTCCGAATATCGTTGACCTCTTAGAAGGTTTCGAGAATAGCCATCGAGAAGTCAGAGAACCACACGCTTTGGTCCTTAGTAGATGCGAAGTCGGTGCTGGAGCCTGAGAAGCAAAGAGTATAAGAGATCGTTGAAGAAAGGAAACAAAGATGAGTACACACCTCCGAAGAATGTCTGCATTTGAATGCCACGGAATTTTCCAGCGTTGCCGTCCCTGAGCATCAAACCAGAAACGCTAATGACGCTCTTGCCCTCAACGAAGAGTTCAAGTTCGCCGTTGGCCTTGCCCGCGTCGTTGAGCTTGACGCGCTCGCTGACGGTGGTCCATCCTCCGTCCTTGAAGTGGAATGCGCCGCGACCAACACTCGCGCCGTAGGTCGGGTTGCAGTCGCTTTGGGGCGCAACGGAGCACTGCTTCTTGTTGGCAGAGAACTCAGGGATGGTGTACGGAGGGAGGTAAGTGTAGAACTCTCCCTGGCCGCCTGAGCGCCACATGAGACGAGCGGAGAAGCACTTGGTAGAGCGTCTGCCACCGGAGCAGCTGATGGCCTCATCATCTGAATCACCACCGTAAATACCAGGAAGCTTGCCACCCTTGACCCAATCGAAGCCCTTCTGGAAGAAGACTCGGTAGCCCAAGGTGATCTCCTTTGCGTTCTCAAGTCCAAAGTTCTGGGGACCCAAAGCGTAGAAGGACAAGCCACCTTGGGGCTTGTGGGTGAAGGTGTAAGAGCCCTTGGGATAGTTGGCGCGCATTCCCTTCTTGCCATCAGGAGCGGAGACGTAGTCGTGGGAGAGGGCGGAGAGGAGACGCGTGGGCCTGAGGGTTGAATCCGAAAGAGGGAGGGAGTTGGGGGCAGAGGAAGAAGTGGACCATGACTTGGAGAAGCCGGAGACGGGGAACAGGGCGTTGGATGAAAGTTCCTTGCCGGGAGTTGGCTCAGACTTGACGGAAGTCTTGGCTGGGGCTGCGGATGAGGAGGTTGAGGAGGGGGCTTTGGAGGAGACCGTGTCGTTGTCTTCATCGTCCTCAGTCTTATCAGCGGGCTGCGACTTCACGGGGGTTGCCGAAGGAGCAGCCTTGGGGGCGTCCACTTTGGTGTTTGTGGAAGGCTTCTCGGTCACGTCATCATCATTGGCGACAACCTTGACGGCTGATGGGGTGGCGGCGACAACGGCGATGGTAGATGATGGTGCGACGGCAGAGGTCTTGGGGCGGCAAGTAGAGCGACGGCGGTGGGGGTGGAGGGGACGTGCATCTACGAGGGAGACGAGAAGGAGGCCGAAAATGAACAAAAGAGCTGAGATCCTGTAAGTGAACATATTGAACTCTAGATTTTGACGTCTAAAACTATCTAGAGGAAACGAAGAAGTGGCCGAGAGGATGGAAAACGGCTACTTGGAAGGAAAAACGACTGGACTGGACTCGGAGGAATAAAAGGGAGAGGGAGGATGTGGAAGGAGTGGAAGAAGGGGAATGAAGTAGGAAAAAGTCCGAATGGAAAAATATAAGCAACGCGATGTCAAACAGCCAAGACCATCATTCATTCCACCCTTGTGTACCTTTTCACATGCCGACTTCGGCACGCTAGAAACAATGATATTCTCGTCAAACCATTGTTCCCACCGTACTAATTGTGCACACATTTAGTTTTGTTTCATTCTGGTTTCAACTTACTGCAGTGTTTGCTATCGCGACTACCAGTAGTTTGAGAGCTAATATCTGTCGCAGATCATCCTGTTTCGGCTTGGTCACATGTAGTCATTTCCTTTAGCACCTGGTGCTGGCACCGCGCTAAATGAGCGAGGTTTCAATCACCAATCGAACGGAGCGCATAACAGCGCATACGGGAAAAGCTCGACAGAATAGGCCCCAGAAATATGGTCACTCGTCTTCTATCGGAACTCTGCACCACTTGGGGGTGCATACGTGTCAGTTCTGGGCCGGGTACCTTCGTTCAAACGACGCCTCATGTCGATCTGATATCTGGTATGTGCTGCGGTAATGGAACGCCGAAACCTGGGTATCATACCGGCTCAATGGAGCGAAAGGCCAGCGATGGTTACACGGAAACGAATATGTGCGCATTGTCTGTAAACGTTCATATTGGAGTATCCAGACCAGCAGTGTTCTGCCTATTTGTGACAGGAACAGATAAGGACTTGTCGGAAACTAGCTTAGCCAGCATCGCGACCGTGACGGAGTAGGCATGCCATGGATGTGCTAGGGTCGACTATCAGCAGAACATGATATAAGCGTTGCCTGACTTTCATCTGCTCCACCGTAGTCGGGCTGTCTGCGCTTGATGTGACTCCACCGACGCGCTTGTCTTCCACAGCATATATCGCGTAGATAACTCCGACGCAGCTGAAGAATTGACGAATGTGCGCCGATAGATATCTGTCGCCTAATAATAGGGTCCTCAATGCGACAGGGCGTATGGAGTTTTGGCGTTTAACTTCATCCTTCCAATCGGGTATACCGCACGCCTTCATCTCAACGACAATTTCCCACCGAAGCGTATCCGCGCAATGTCGTCCATGGCGCCTTTCACCTTCCAGAAAGCACGCCACCATGCTCTTCCCACCATCTCCGAAGTGACACGCCTGGGTCCACTGCCCACCTCTACTTGTGTCTGCGCACCATCTGATGCGGGCTTCTCCCACTCACTCCACGAACGTCGCAATAGGACCATCCACCACTTGAGCACAGCGATCGCCTTTTCCATCCCTTGATCCGTCGCCTGGCGTCCGTCAACACTTTGCAGCAGGTATTTGGAGAAGAATTCTACGTCCTTATCCTTTGGAGGTATCTCGCGGAAGCCGTTCACCCATTTCTCAACGAGTTTTTGTACATCGTCCGTCTCGCTGAAATAAAGCTTCTCTCCTTTCTTTGGCCCCCTTTGTTTGAGAAACGCTGGTTGAATGAAGTTTGCCTTCGGAAATGGTCGTCGGTGAATTTTTGACGGCGTAAGAGACGACCGGAATATTGGCTTCAAGACCTTCCGCTTCTTCGGAGGAGCGGGCAGTTTCCCTGTAGCCTTCAGGTGCCGTGCCATAATCAATTGTTCGCGTTGTATCTCAGGGGGCAGGACTCCGAAAACAACTGGGTCTATATCCAACTGCTGTAATTCTTCTTGGGGCACACGCAAAGATCTGGAGAGACCTTTTGGTTTAGCGGCTAGGAGGCGATGGAGTTGGGGCGACAAGGAAGAACGGCTCCTAGGTGCAAGCCCTTGAGCGATACGCCGAAGATTCTGGGCCTTGGTTCCCACAGGTCCTTTGCTTTGGTACGAGGATATTGACGGCCCAGCCGTGATCGGAGGAACTGGCGTTACGGAACGACGTTTGTATTCTTCATCCACTTCATTACGAATCTGGGTTGGAAGCGCGTGGTAGACATCCTGATCAACTTGGGAGAACGACGGCAGATCAAACTCGTTCTTGCTTTCCGGGGGCTGGAGATCGACGAGGGGTTTGGTCGGCGCGGTCTCTGCGAACCGCGTTACCTTCTTGGTGGGCGATTGTGCAAACCGGAAGGGAAGTTTGCCTTGCGGGCCAGCAGCAGCAATGGCCATCCTTGTAGGCTCCAGTTTACCAATATGAATGCCAATGCCCCGTAATTCTCTGGGATCAAAATTGAAGGATTTCAGGATGCGCCAGGCATGGTCACCGATGATGAGGTGGTCGTCAGTCGCCCCTCCACCTATGCCAGAAAGGGGCGATTGCTTATTGAACACGTCGCATGCGCCGTGTCCAAGGAACTGCCCAAAGTCCATGTTCAGCTCGTTCAACAACTGCTGTGATTTACCGTCGACGAACCTTCGGAGCCTCAACAGGCGCCTTTGGATCTCGTTTCATGATCTTTAGCGATAAGGATCGCCCTACAACCGAAATGTCCTTCATTCGCCGGCTAACTTCCTCGGCCATTTGGAATACAAACGCCCGCGCTTGTGTGTTATCCTCGAAGCGGATCCCGTACTGGACCGACCATCAGCTCGCATAATCGATTCATTTGAACAACACTCACATTTATCTCTGAAGAGACGGAAGACCTCTTCTTTTCACTCGTAAGCACTCGTTCGTCCACTCCCCGGATGGCTTTCCACAGTGTTTCCCCAGTTTTTGGTCCCAACACCTCCGATAGTTCGCCTTTACTCCGTGCGAGAAGGTCACCTAAGATTGCGGTCCGGAACTTTTCTTCTATTTTTTGCTTTGCAGCATGCCCAAAGCCTGGAAGGTCGGATATAGATAATGGAGCAAGAAACGTTGGAGCATCCGCTGATATGAGATGGTACGCCCCGGCGGGTTTAGCGCGTCGAGTAGCCAACCGCGCCAACAGCATGTTCTCGGATATGCCTATACTGACTAATAAAATGGCAATGCATCAAACCCTAGTAAGCTGTAGAGATGTAAAGCCGACTTACTCTCGCAGCCGGTCGCTGCTTGGACCTCCTTCCTCAGTTTTTCGGCGAACTCCATTGCTTCGTCTTTAACACCCGCGGAATTCTTCATCTTATCCCGTATTGTCGTTGTGACATCGATCATGGCTTCGTCAACAGAGACGGCCTCCACTTCGTCGGCATACGTTAGGAGGGTAGTGTAGAACTTCAATGAGATTTCTTTGTACCTGGACTACCGATTACTGGTCGCACATGAAGTCTACGGACGAGAACTTACTTTTCAAACTCATATGGCAGTGTGACAATCCCCGGACATAGTTGCCTCGCCTGTTGTAGGCTAGAATAGAGACGAATGAGTGCTATAGGTGGTAATCATAAATGCATCCTCCCACTGACCTCATGCCATTTCTTACTCCTTTCGCCCTGGCTTCATAACTCGCGCATGCAATTTCGCTCGTGCTACTCATTCCGCCTTGTCCACCTTGAGAGTGACAAACAACCGATGGCTGCCCCTTGAATTGCGGGCGTCCCAGCAGACTAGCTGCTACGAAAAAGCAGTCGAAATCACAATGCATGATAACCTTCTCATCATCGACAGTAGCCTTCGCCTTGCCTTTCCCCTTACTCTTCGACGGTGACTTCAATGCCCATTCAGCGTTCTTCATACTAGTACCGGTCCCAGCATGAAGTAAACGTGCACTGTGGCTAGAATTATCGCGCGCGACTTGGGCGCGTTCCTGCGCTTCGGAAATGAGCTTTCTCAGTTCTGCTTTCCATGTCGAAAGGTGATGCAACCGTGAGTTCTTGTAGTACCCCTCGATGAAACTGGGGGCCGCGGAGGTATGGGCCGCACGCCAATTGGGATCTGACATCAGGCGGGATGCGTTTGGGTTCGATTTGTGTGCTGCATACTGTGGGGCACGCGCTTCCCTATGCTCTTGTGCTTGAGTAACATGTTCAGAGGGTGCCGGAGCCATGGGGAGTGAAGACTGCGTTGACGAGGCACCTTGCATGGGTTCCGCACGCTGAGTGGGCTTGAAGATGAAATCACGCCATGGCAATAATGTTCCTTGCTCTGCGCTCTGCACCAACCACTCTGGCCTGACAACTTTCATATTCTGGAACTCACGAATTTTGGCAGGCGTGAGGGAGCATGTTATTATGTGTGTCCTACACCAGGTATTCGTATAGCGTTGCTAGAAGCAGAAGAGTAAACACTCACACTAAAGCTTTCTTGTCCAAATACGGATGATATATACCACCATGGTGTACAATTAATTCACGCAGCACCTGCACCGAAGGGTCTGTATAACCATTGATCTAGTCATGGGTTGTAGCCTTCAAGCTGGTCGCGTACGTATGGGAGGGAGAACTCACGTAGATTGCCAACCCATCAAAGATCCTTTGATCCGACGCACTCCCAATTGCGGTATTCTGAACTTGAAGCTTAGCTCGCTTACGTCTCATGTACTCGCTAAACCCTCCAAACTTTGAGGGGCCGTAGGTATCATCGTCTACGTCGGAGTCAAGACGCCGTTTCAAAGAAGGTTGTGAGCAGGGTGGCGGCCGTTCGTCAATGACAACGTCCTTGACCTCGATGTCACCCGGTACATCGCCCGGCAAAACTGCGGTTTGCAATGCAGCAAGAAACTCCGAGTCGTCTGATTCATAATAAGCTGATGAGTTGCTCGCTGAGGGCATAGGAGGAGTCGGTTGCATGGTGAGAGCTCAGTATCATGAAGGAACTGTGGGTGTTGTAGTTAAGTTCAACGTGGTGGCCAACATGAGAATCCCGCCGCGCGTCGGGATCCCCGAGCCATCACGTGACTGTATGGCCGAGACCAGCTCCGAGACCCGACGTTCTCACCATGAGTGGTCGACCGCCCTGAAAGCTTTCAAGGTTTTCCCCGCTTCCTAGAATCCTAACTCAGAAGCAGAGATGCCACCTGACCGACGCACGCAATCCTTCCGCGATTGGAGTGTATCTGGTTTCACGAAAATTTCCTACATATCCTCTCCATTCATCGCCACTTTCCTGCTCATTCATCTAAGTGCACCAACAATGGCATGTCTCGGTGGTTCATCGCTTTCGTTGCAAACGATGGTATTGGGCTTGTTGAATGTACTATTTCTTCTCTGACATGCAAACTAGATACTAGGACGGGAGTACTACCAAACTCCCTTTGGCGAGAAATATCTTGTTCTCGGTCCAATTGCCGTCCATGCCTTGTCGGGTTTGTCCAAACGAATGCTCTCGAAAAAGTCACCACGACCAGCCCGTAGCCTCCTCAGCATGACAGGATACTCAATCATGATCCTCTTCCTTCCAATACACTTCTTTACGCACCGTCTTCACCCCACTTCCCCCCTTGATTCAATCCATTCAGTCGGCCCGGCAGAACTAGATTTCGAGTTCGTCAAACTAGGGCTGCAGAAGTGGCCCTTCGTGTCATGGGGGCTCTACGCTGGCCTCCTTCTCTCCGTCGGTCTCCATCTCGCGGACGGAGCCAACATAATCTGGAACAGCTGGTTGAAAGAGTCTCTTGGCCGCCCGCGCAGATGGCGCATCCAGTCCCTTGTCATGTTGGCGTTCCCCCCTCTGATCGGATTGTGGTTCCTCGCGAACGAGCCTTCGCTGGTTTTGTCCTCCACGGCCAGACGCTTCGAAGCGGCCTTCAGAGAGAACTGGCTGTATAGAATCCTGTGATCTTGCCAGTTTGTATACTGTCAGGAACCCCATTGCCAATTGACTATTCATATCCGCTGTGTGGGCATCGGCCCCGTTCCTAGGCGCTTGGGAAGGCTCTCTTCTGGCCCGATGCCTAGATGGTCAGGTCATGGGATTAGGGCGGGGGTTGTGTGACCTCCTCCAAAAGGTATGAACGGTGCACTTGTCCCGCTGTGCGATTCAGCAATTGAGTGTTAGACATCATTCTAGGCGCGATGCAGCGCAAATGAAACATTGCCCGCCATGACTTGGTCATGGTTCGCCGTACCTATTGATAGTCAGAAGGGAGTACCCTTGCATCTCTCTGCTCCAGGCCGCCCAGCAAAGCTATATAAACCTCCCAATACATCTCGTATCCCCTCAGTTTACTCAGCTTTCCAAAGACACAGACAAAGACAAAGACCAACTAAACCCAACGATGATGATGTTCTTCTTCGCTGCCCTTACCGCCCTCGCCGCACCAGCTCTCTCCGTCTCGGTCACATACGATCAGACGTACGACAACCGCCAAGGTTCCCTCTCCACCGTCGCGTGCTCTAACGGTATAAACGGCCTCCTCACGCGCGGCTACAGGACCTTCGGCGACCTCCCCACCTTCCCAAACATCGGTGGTGCTTCGGCCGTCACAGGCTGGAACTCCCCGAACTGCGGCACCTGCTGGGAGCTCACGTTCACCGACGAGAACAACAGGAAGAGGAGGGTCAACGTCCTGGCAGTTGACTATGCTGCGAACGGGTTCAATATCGGGTTGACGGCGATGAACCAGCTGACGAATGGACATGGCGTTGAATACGGTGTTGTGGATGTGGATGCCAAACAAGTCGCTGCAACAGTTTGTGGGATGCCCGCGAAGTAATGGTAGTCCGACGCGAACTGGTATGTCGTGTATCTGTTTTGTCGTCCTGCTAGCTGATAGTGCTCTCCAAGGAGACAGCCCCAACAGAGAGAGGAATCCTTGGACTATGTCGAATGTAAGATAGTTGTAAAGTAATGAATTCGTGTATATGTTGCCGTTTGTGCGTTTCGAAGTAATGGACATGACATGTTCAAGTTTGAACGTCTGAATATATGAATGCTGGAACATATTTGTCTTGCGTATAATCTATATCATAGGATAACGAACAATTATAGGATCCAAGCAGAGTACGTTATATATAAGCAGCCAAAGCGCTCTTTAGTCTATATAGATGCCCCAGACCGCAGCTTCCTCTTGACGCCTCCTCGATGCCAGCGCCTTCTTCCTGTCGCGTCTTGCCATCCACGTTATCACACCCACACCAACGAACGACGCCGCGGCGGTCATATACAAGCTATTCACATAACACAGCCGCCCTTGGGCGCATTTCGGTGCGGAATCATCAAAATTGTGCATCGCCGACCCCGGCTTGCCGTGCGCATCGAGGTTGCGCCCAAATGCAACGGAAAATACATTGCCGAGAATCAAAGGGGATAACGCGATGTAGCCGCACGCCTCGGAGAAATGTGCTGTGTAATTGTCGCGAGAGGAAAAGTTGTGAGTTACGATCATGGAAAAGCACATTGTTGGGGAGCAGTGAACTCTGACTTACACAAGCCAAAGTATTCGATAGCTACGATGGGAGATATGGCGGCAGCGCCTCCGTATCCAATCCCCAGTAGGCCTGTCGCAATCCACAAATTCGCGACGGAGTCGGTGTTTGCTGCAACTAGCTGGGACAGCAGGACAACTGACGCCGCTAGAACATAGCAGTACGACCGGGGGCGCATCAAGCGAGTGCTGATAAAGTCGGAAAGCAGGCCTAGTATTCCGCTCAATAAGCAACACGCGAGTGTGAAAGATAGGAGAAGATGTTTACCAATGACAACCCGGCCAGAGCAGTTCATAATGCTAAGAATAGACACTTGCGTCGCTTGCCATTGTGCGGCAATGACAGGATTGAACGAAGTGTTTTCATGGGCGTAAAGTATTCGCGCCATTGTTCCTATATTGTTGATAACTGCAAAGCGAATTAGTTAACAGAAAATCTGTGTGGTGCATGGGCGTACACATGAGGCCCGTCCCGGCAACTGCAAGCCGTCAATAACGGGTCCAAGACGCGTGTGGACGACTCACAAATGGAAAACAGCAGGAATAAGCCCCAGAAATCCCCATTACGGCATAGCCCCCAGCCAGACACATTGGGCTCCGCGTCCACGAGAAGTACATCTGATGTGATCGTCGGTGGAACATGGCCCGAGAGAAGGGGTGTCTGAGGGTCATGGTCCTTCGTGGCCTCCTGCACTGGGATCACCTTGATGAAGAAATAGCCTATCAGCATCGGGCACGCCGTCCCGACAGCGAGGACGAGCAGGAATGATGATGTGTCGCCGGGAAACGCTGCGTGCGCGATCGCGGAGAATATGAACGCGGAAAGCCCGAAGCCGGAGAAGACCAGGCCAGTGACAGTAGCACGCTGCGGAGTAGTGTATATTAACAATTATGTTCCACATCAAGTTTGCGGTATGCTATGGCATACCATTTGGTCGGGGAAGCTCTTCGTCGTCGGATTCCCTGCACCGTTTAGGGCCGCGCAGCCTCCTGCGCCAGTCAGATAGCTGAAGAGAACGAGCGCGTAGAACACGGGAGACGATATAGGTTCGTCCGTTTCGGGTGGTCCCGCATTGTAGATAGTACGGATGCCCGAGTATCCGAGGAAGAGAAGGATGAAAGCACCGGCCAGCGGGATACGGGGACCACGCGCGTCAACGATCCTGCCCCATATCGGTGAGCTTGAGTACACGCCAACTATCCAACAGCGCTGTCGTTGAGCAGCGATTGACAGATGTTATGAAGCGCACCATTGCCCGCGAGACCGATGAGATTCAAGCGTGTTTGCTCGATATGCAGCTGTGAGGCGAGCTGCGGGCCATATGCTGGTCCCCTTAGCCCGGAAGTGATTTCACGAATGCTCATAACGCTCACCCGAGAAGACCTTCTAAGCCGTCAGATTCTCCTCCGCGAGGCTAATCACGGCCAGAGTGACTCACATAGTTGGTGCCTGCGCAAGCTGCAACGAGAATGGACACAGACAGTGTAGTCAACCTCTCGGAAGCCTTGTCAAAGGCAAAGTCGGTATTTGTGGGCATTGGAGTGGGCGCAAAGGTAACCAGCTCATGTGAGCGATGTTCCAGCGGCAAAAGAAGGATGTGTAATCATTGCGGCCATCAAAGGTGCGAGGAAAATGAGAAATGAGAGCCAGTGTTTTTTGTATCTAGAATCCTCCTCGCAGTAGTTCTGCGTGTGAGGAACGTCCGAAACCAATACAAGAGAGATGAAGACGGAAACCGTACTCGAGTTCATCGGATAATTCAGTCGCACAGGGGCTCTCACATGACCCCCCTAAAGCCAACAGAAGTCGTGACTGGCGTTGACTTTTGGACAAAGCAGTGTCGTCGATTTCGCCAAAGCGCCGCATCAGCGCAACCTTTGGGGCGCTGCTTTGTAACGCATCCATAGAAATTAAGCCTGAGGAGAACTGCTTCGCAGTACAGCCCCCAACAGCGCGCTCGTTCGCATCGATTAAGTGAGCACCGAACACAAAGGACCATGATCTCCACGACGCCACTCGAGTCATTCCTTATTTATTTAAAGTCCAAGTCTCGATAGGTTGGGCGTTCTTGGTGTTCTTCCTAGCCCCCCAAACCATCTATTGATAAATATGGCATACGACTTTAGACAACCCTATTACCCTACTTCGCCGATCCTTGAGCCCGACAAAAACCCTAATTCATCCTCGCTCCTCGGCGGCAGCTTCTTTACGAATCTTGCACAGATGTTCGGCCTAACATCACTCTTGACCATTGCTGGTTCTGGCGGATCATCATATCTGGTGGACACTATCAAGTTATTTCTGTTAGGCACTCTGGTAGAAACCGGACGTCGCTTTTGTTACTGGTTCATCGAGCGATTCAAATTCAGTGAGCTGCGCCCCGATCTCCATTCCGTGAAGAAATCCTAACGACCATTCAAGGGTACTCTATGACCGCGCGTTTTTCTGAAGGAGATCCAGCATACGAGTGGATCATTCTTTTCCTGGTATATATCCCTGTCCTTAACCCCTGTCCTCCTTTTTGACTAGTTTTGCAGACGGAGAAGAACGTGTGGCGCCGTTCTCGCGATTTCTGGGTCAATTCCAAAACCTCTGCGCGTAAATGGGGCATCACGCCTGGTGGCGAATCAGACGTCCCAGTTGCTGTGGATCACGACTCTGAAGAGAGCACGGACTATGTTCCAATCTACGAAATTCCCCAGCTTTTCTACTGGAATGGATATTGGTTGGAGATACGCCGAGAACAGGGCTCACCTCAGTATCACAGCCGCACTGTCTCTCAGTCTGCGGCTACCTTATACCTAACGTCAGTAGCAGACCTGGAGAATAATGTAGATAAGCTGACATTCTATCTAAACCTAGGATTTACTCGCTCGACATGAGCGTTATGAAGGCCCTAGTAGACGAAGCCCGGCTGCGCTACGTTGAAGTGAGCAAGCCGAACGTCATAATTCATTCCTCAGACATAGTGAGTGTCGCCGCCTCTGGATTAGCGCTTGAATGACTTCACGCTAGTTCCACAATCTAGAGAAATGCCGGACCATCCTTTACTTGGAATAAGGTCAAGAGTAAGGCACGACGACCTTTGTCGTCGATCATCCTGCCTCAGGGGGAATTAGACTCCATAATCGAAGATGCGCAGGACTTCATAGATTCTGAAGATTGGTATATGGAAGCTGGTATCCCCCACAGGAGGGGATATCTACTGTACGGCCCCCCAGGAACCGGGAAGAGTGAGCTTCTGTGTGCTTGAGTCGGTACACTAACTAATGGGCTGGACAGGTTCTACGATTTACGCATTGGTAAGTGTCATTAGAGGGTGCATATTCCTATTTGCTCATCTAGCTCGTTAGGCTGGCGAGCTTGGGCTAGAGATCTATACGATCTCCCTTTCTGCGGACTAGTAAGTACTCCCGGAGTAGTCAGATAGTCAGATCTCCTTACCGTTTTCTTATAATAGTATCGACGACTCAACGTTGCAAACGGCAGCCTCTTCCATGCCGAGGCGAAGTATTCTCTTGATTGAAGATATAGATTGCGCCTTCGCCTCTCGCGAGGATGAAGAAGACATCCTCTTCGCCCCTGCAAGTCCATACGTAGATGCCAACGGAGTCGTTCCTCGACGTTCAGCCGTGACTTTGTCTGGTCTTTTGAACATCATCGACGGCGTAGACAGCGAAGAAGGAAAGTTCTTCATCGCAACGGTCGGTACCTAATTTACCCTTTATCATCAGCAACTACTCAAGTTTCCTACCCAACAACAGACTAACTACGTCGATCGGCTCGATGCAGCTCTCATTCGCCCCGGACGCATTGATCGCAAAATCGAGTACAGACTAGCCACTCAGGAACAAGCCCACGCCCTGTTCACTCGATTTTTCCCCGCATCCCGATTCGCGCATACCACCTCGTCAGAGAAGCGGATCGACCTCGTCTCTCTCGCTGATATGTTTTCTTCCGGCATACCCGAGGATACGTTCTCCATTGCTGAGCTCCAGGGATTCCTGCTGTCTTGCAAAAAGCGTCCTCTGGATGCAGCGACGGGCGTGCGAGCGTGGGTGGTCAAGGAACTCGACCAAAGACGCGAAAGAGAGCAGAGAGAGGAGACGAGGAAGTTGAAGCTGAAGGCGGCGAAGGAGAAGCGGGATGCGAGTGGTGGATTAGGAATGGGTCCCTTCGGAAACGGTTCGTCGTACTCCCCATTTGGTCCGTTTCGGAACAGCATTGCACCACCTATCCTGCCAATAGATGGACTCAATAATTCGATCTTACAAGCTCAGCCGCTCGAGGAACCCGCCGAACAAAGCAAAGACATTGTTACTTCAGCTAAAGTAGAGACTCAGAGCAGTAACCAAAATAGCAATGTCGACCGGCATCGTGAGGAGGTCGCAACAGAAGCATACTAGGAGGAAAACGTGCCGCACTATTGTTAATGACTTATTCCTACTTTTATTTTGCCATATCTTATGTATGAATTACAGTAGTGTACCTATCCTGCCATTGGTTTCCTCGAATTAGAATGTATTTGATCCTGAACGTATGATCCATTCAACCTGCAAAGTCCCGGTTCTTAGGAATCACTTTCAACAAACCGATGTTCCCATCTACTAGTCTAGAAGGTCCTGGCTATGTAATATATCACTCCAAACCTCTAGAGTAGGTGGTCCTCGAACTAGCAGTCGCCCAGCGTCGGCATCAGTGTCCCCTGAGTCCTTCAAGGGGAATATGGCTGTATCGGGCTACATTCTTCCGTATTCGGTTCAGATAAGTGTCGAAGGGGCAGGAGAATCCATGCTCACTGAATATGTACTTATAACTCTGACGGCTTGCGATACATACTGAGCTTTCTAGAATCCACCAAGCTGGACGAACTCCCGCCGCTTGGTCGACGAGAGGTCCAATCATCAGTCGCCGGGCTCTTCACTCCTAATTTCTTCTAATTCCGAGATTACACGGGCGTTGGCTGGCACTACCAGCTGACTTCGTCTTATATCAGCTGAGTGCTGATCGCGTTATAACGAGGCTTCTTACGCTACGCAAAGCGCAGGGCCAATGTATGCCGAACAATTATACGATGTATTTCTGGGGGATGTACGGTCGTTCTATACCTTGATGAGAATAATCCATCGAAGAACCCCAAGGATCAGTGCATTATGGATCATCTATACTGAGCGTTCAGCGACCTTGCAACCTGTATACGTAACTTCTTAGTAGGATCCCGGCTGTCATATACGGCCACGAACCAGAGTCAGCGGTATAAAAAGGGGGAACGAAATCAGTTACCCCTCCATCCCAAAGCAAACACGTCGCTCATCATGAAGACCTCCTCATTCACTGCATTGCTCTGCCTGCTTTTTACCACCCTCACCAGCGCTGACCCCGTCTCCGTTTCCTTCGACCAAATATATGACGACCGCACGGGGTCGATGACCACCGTCTCATGCTCTGACGGACCAAACGGCCTTATCACTCGCTTTGGTTTCCAGAGATTCAGTGATGTACCCACGTTCCCCAATATCGGTGGAGCAGGGGTCATCCCTGGGTTTAATTCACCCAACTGTGGCACATGCTGGGCCTTGTCGTTCAATGGTACAACGGTCAATGTTTTGGCTCTTGACCATGCGGCCACTGGGACGTTCAATATCGCTCTTACGGCGATGAACACTTTGACGAACGGGAATGCGATTCAGCTGGGAAGGATTACGGCAAATGCCAATCAAGTTGCAGCATCTGCTTGTGGCTTGTGATGGACGAACATCAATGTAGGTCTGAGATGCTCATCGGGGATACACATGTCTAAATCAACTTCCCTTTAGTTTCGGACACATTGATACAGAGCCTGTCCATGATATAGCTCACGATGTATGATTTTGTCACATTCGAACCCCTTCTTGAAACTGGCGAACTTCCTGATACGCGCTATGTACATAGTAGTCGTACGCGTAACTGTGTCCTTAAACGCTTGTAATTTCCAACCGGATCGAATCTATCTGCTTTTTGTGCACCATTGAGAGGCTTCTGAGAATCAAGAAGGTCACTGGGAAGGTACTCACGCTAGTGGGCCGCTCTCGTTCCACCTAACTTGACCAACACGCCGGGCAGGATATAGCATTAGTGCGTCGACCGTTACATACCATTTTCCTTCATCATTTTCGTCAACCTTTGCATCTGCTGGTACCTACTTGATCGTTGGTTTACACTGACTTCGTGATCTCGAGGGAGTCAAATGGATGTAGTTCTGCTAGTTTATGATCTTAGAACTCGCCCGGCCTTGGCTGAAGGTTGATTGTATTGTCGCCCTACATAGCCTCCATTTGCGGCGAGAAGTAGGCAGTGCTCGAGGGGATGCCCCGAATACCCCTAGTCCGTAGTTCCCGGGGGCTGTTGAAAGGAATAGAATAGGTCAGTCAAAGTGGCTGACCGCTCACCGATGACCCCCCCCCCGCGCCCCGAAAGTGACTATATGCCGAACGTAGATATAAAGAAGCCCTAATGGAGCCTCCCCATTTATGTCGGACATTCTGTTGGCGTCACGGAAGCGTACCCGTGATGCACATCTATGAACACGGCGGAGAGACGGCCAGGATGCCCACATGGACCTTTAAACCTGGAAGTGTCGAGTCCGATGTGCTCTTCGATTGACACTGATTCTGCAGGGTGTACTCGGTAAGTGGGAACGAACGGGGTTTCACTGGTCACAGTGTGGTTTGTGCTGTTGGTTGACACGTGATCGCTTCTCAGCCATCCAAGTTCAGAACCATCATCGAGACCCTAGGTCTGGTGCCCGAAATACCATGTAGTAGCGGAATTAGCGGGCTGATTGGCCAGCTCCGGACTAACATCGACTATAGCTCCACGAGCGCATGCCGCGATTATTCATCGGTCTCGTTCGAAGCGGCTTGACTTCACCGAATATTCGCTCATGGGATCCTGCCACCATAGGCGAGGGCTGTTCTCTGAGCTTCGGTGAACATGAAAAGTGTAAGCCAGGCCATTCATCTGCGCGCGGACCGTGTGGATGCGAGACGGCATTTCATGGCCTTCGGATGCTGGAGCCTGGAGGGCGTATACTATAAAAGACTGAGTCTCCTGCATCCTCAAGTCAAAGCATCAGTAGCTTGTATCTCGCTAAACATCACCAATCGCCATGAAGTTCACTTCTATCTTCACCTACGTCGCCCTCCTCGTCGCCCCCCTCGCCACGGCAGTCACTGTCTCTTACGACGAGACTTACGACAACGCTGGAGGTTCTTTGACCACCGTCGCATGCTCAGACGGACCCAACGGCCTCATCACCCGTTTGAAGGTACAAACCTTCGGGAAACTTCCCAACTTCCCAAACATCGGGGGCGCATCGGCCGTTGGCGGCTGGAACTCTGCCCAATGCGGAACCTGTTGGGAGCTTTCGTACAACGGCAGGAAAATCAACGTCCTCGCCGTTGATCACACCGACGCTGGTTTCAATATTGCTCTGAAGGCGATGAACACGCTGACCAATGGTCAAGCCGTTCAGCTTGGCAGAATTGATGCCAGTGTCCGGCAGGTTTCGTCGTCCGTATGCGGACTTTAAGTGAGCATGCCCCCTTCGCTGAAGATCGTATATCTAATAGTCAATATTCTCAGATGCGATCTTCACGATCCACGACTATTTTCTACGCATGTCGGACGTCTGTAGCGTATATTACTTCAATGGACTTGTATAATAAACTGTAATCACCTCCTCAACTCATAGCCGTGAATTAGAGAAATTGGTCGTTTCGTTCATCTACTTCTTATAAATCACTGATTTCCATTCATCAGACCCAACCACGAACCACTATACAATGCAATGGGAGCATGGTGTCAATGCGCAGGTTCCATTTGTTATCTTGGCCGACTAACGAGTACTATTGCTATTCCTCCCATACCATCATGCCCCCTAATTCGTTGCTCAGAGATTGATATTGATAGGGATACATCCCAAAGCAATCAATCCACCTGTAAGACAAATGTATTTTCAGTGGGGCTCCATGTAGGTGAATGAGGAATTTACTGAAGTTGTTGTTATCACAGCAGAGGGTCTGGGAGGTGCTGCACAGATATATTAGAATTTATGAGTCCAGAATCCAATCGTTCGAACACTTACCAACTAGTTCCACCAGCACCGACGACGGTGATGGGGGTACAGGTGATGCCAACCAAAGCAGTGATGTCGCTGACTACGATATTGAGGATGCCAAGCAGGCCAGCGATGGTTTTATCCTCAACGGTGCCGCTGCTGTTGCAGCAGTTGAGAGTGCCGGTGCTGCACGAGCTGGCTGGGTCCGTCCGACGCCTCACGTCAACAACCGGAGTGGCGACCGCAAGGGTGGTGAGAGTAGTAGCGACAAGGATGGCTTGTTTGAAGAGCATCTTTGAGAGAAGTTAGTCGACTGTGGTTGACTGGTGGATCGTGGACGAGAGGGTAAGCTCTTATACATTTTCGGTACGTGTATTCCGACTGTTACAGGACCGGTGTTGTTTGGAAAGCTGTATGTTTTTGTTTGTGGTTCACGTCAACCATGGGTAGCCAACACAGAAAAGAAGCGGTCATTTGAGCAGGCGGGTGAATGTGATTCTGATTGAATGTCGGTGAGAAGTAGGCCGCGTGAATGGTTATCACTGGTGTTTGTGATACAGGACTGCCTTCGATGTCAAGGTGTGTAGTTTATTGTGGCTATGTTGTGAAGGCGTGCGCAACGTAGGCTCGGTCAAACCGTGAGGACAGAGGAGAGTATAGCATATCACCCGCCGTGGTCGTTTTTGGAAGTATCAAAGCAACATCCTGAATCAGCCGCGCCCCGAACAAGTAAACAGGCATAGTGGTTGAACTTACTTGCAAATCGCCTTCGGCTTCGAGAGAGAGAGGTGCTGTGAACCTGCCGTAAGATGTAAGTTATCCCGACCGTCATTCCCAGCACCACATTGTCATGAATCACAAACTCCAATTAGGTTATTTAAGTGAAAGAGAAGATCCTACCTCGTATCTATATCGGTTACATCTGCCCGTCCATGTTTCGTATCGTTGTGTGCAACCACAGATTAGCCGCTTGACCAGAAAGGTGACGCACAGGGGGGGTCTGTCCGCGTCATCGCGTCATGTTGCGAGAGGCATACCATGCCATTGCATCGAGGCCGCATGACATGCACCTCAGGGAATCACGGTGGAGCCTGTTGGATGAGAATTCGACACAACACGCGATTGATCCCTTAATATATCATATCATACCCGGGATAAACGTATCAATCTCGTTGATTGGTTCTCGAGCATAGACGAGGGGAGAAATGAGGAGTGGAATGACGTGTTCAGCATGAGGGTGAGAGTGCTGTACGTACGAAACTGGTTGCTCAGATAGAAGGTGGCTGTGGATGGACAAGGATGAAAGGGGGTCGTCAGGAAGGAGTGGCGAAAAACCGCGAGAACGAATTAAGGTTTAAGAATTGACTTGTCTAACTTATTGTTCTGCAACGGAGCGTCCATACACGCAGTGTACGTTAGATCTTCAACGCCCATCATGAGTGCGAAACTCACCCGTCTTATTATTAGGTTATTATTAGGGAGGGCGACTATACCCGCTCTTGATCCTGGCATACCCGTAGCTCCCAAATTGAAAGTAAGTACGATAGGACGCGTAAGGATGGAACTTCCAGGAGTCCAGGGCTAACCAGAAGAGACGAGGCGCGGGTGTAGAGGTTGACAGAAGTGTGGATTCGAGATTCTAGGTAGTTTTAGCTGAAGGGGGGTCGTATAGTATACCAATCTAGCGTGTATTATATTTAACGATTAGTATTGTCGAGTTTTGCTGTCATATTTTGAATCCAAGGCTTCTCATGCACTGTAGATGTTGCTGGACCACATCTTTGCACTTTTCATCTGCTTCGGAGCCGTTCGCGAGAAAGCAATCGTCTCTCGCCGACTTGGTTTGGGGACAAGCGCAACAGCTGTAGCATCGACATCAATATATGTCATTTTCTAGATAACATGTGCACGCACGGCTTCAAACCCTTCGGATTCAGAGGATTCATCTTGGGGTCTGTCGGGTCAAAAGGTTTGTCATCCGGTTTGGACGATGACCAGAATGCGAGCTGAACCGATGTATTAGCCCCCGCTGCGCGTGTAGGCGGAAATAGGAACCTTTTCAAACATTTCTTGAGTCTGAGAGCCTGGCAACTGAGGTCGTCGCTGCAAAGATGTCAATGTGGCACAGGGCGAAATGAGGTAAGACACAGGCGACGCCGGAACGACCCTGAGCCACAATATTTCACGCGCGGTCGTGACTTGTTGCCACGCCAGTTGTACGGTATACCGCAGATCATCCTATAAATCGCTCCTCTTGTATGTTGTGAACATCTGGTCGATTCCAATACCAGCCACCTACCAGAGGATGCTGGTTCTCTTAATTTCCACCGTTCTCGTTGCATCGCTTCCAAGACTCGTACAGGGGCAGACTTGCGAAAACTATGGATTCATCAATGGCTCGAGCTGCGCGTGTCCGACGGGCTTTGGAGGCTCGGATTGCGCGCAACCGGCATGCGGTGGGGACTTGTTCCAAGGCTCGAGAAGGCCCGTAGCTTCGCCCCAGCCGGGGTCGTCGTTCGCCAACCTTACCACTGTTGGATGCTCCTGTGAGAGCGGGTGGACTGGCACGACGTGCAGCGTTTGCCAGACTTCCGATGCCTGCTTGACCGCCTTCAATGCGGCGACTGGATCATCCAATGCGATACCAGGGATGACTGGCCTCAACAATACGATGGTATGCAGCAACTCGGCGAGGGTATGGGCTGCTGGACAGATGAGTTGTCAAGTAAATGTGAGCGCTGTGTCCTTTCATTCCACAATGGTACTGATGGCCTCAGAACCCTACGCTCCAAGCTATCTACCCTTTAACCTCGACTCTGAACATCATTCGCACTCTCCAACCCGACCTCTCCCCTCAGCCGAATGTATCCTCATTTGGCGGCGCTGGCTCGCTTTATGCCCAGCTATTCTATGCCGGGGTTGAGCAGTTCTATTGCCGAGCAGATTCCTGTGCTCAAGAGCTAGACGGCGAGGGCGCGATGTGGACGTGCCAAAATCTGCAATGCACTTGCCGCCCAAATACTTCCTTCTGCGGTGCTGTCCCAGCAACGAATTTGACGGCTGTGATCAATGACCTTGGCGGCACGCTTACTGTCTCATGTGCTCCTCCCAGCAGCGATACGCGTGCGACTAGTTGTTCCTTCGGCCAATCGACGCTGCAGGCACTTTTTGGTTCCGGCGGGTTACCCTTGGATGGCTGTACCTTCGGCGAATGCGTGCGACAAAGCGTGATCGATACCAACGGCAATTCCACTTCCATCTCAGCGGTCCACGGAGGGTCCCAGCTTAGCGGTGGCGTCATCGCAGGGCTTGCCGTAGTTGGGGGACTCCTGTTTTTAGCCCTCTCGTTGTTGGCCCTGGGTTTTTGGAAGCAGAGATTAGCCAAGCTCTGCGGCCCCAAGAACATAAGCGTCGGAGGCATCGCCGTCGAATGGGATGATGTGAGCTACACCATCTCCCCGACTAGCCAATTCTTGGGTAAAATATTCCATCAATCGGAACACGATGACAAGGTCGTCCTTGATTCTGTTAGTGGGAGGGTCCTTCCGGGGCAGATGATGGCGATTCTGGGGCCAAGTGGTACGTCAAGCTGCCTTCCACTTCCAGCAGTACCTTCATATGACATTAGGTGCTGGCAAGACAACCCTCGTCGAGATACTTGCCGGGAAAAACAAATCGGGCGTTATGTCCGGTACGGTCTCTTTCCCCGTCGTCTCTTCATCCGATCGGACGACACCTCGTATCGGATTTGTTCCACAGCAAGATATTCTCCCGCCGACCTTGACAGTTTACGAAGCACTGCTATTTGGCGCTCGACTCCGCCTTCCCGAGAGTGTACCAGAATGGGAGAAGCGCGAAAGAATCGAGCGTATCCTAGCGAAACTTGGAATCGAAAACATCAGGAACTCACGGATTGGGCATGGTGCAGAAGCAGGAGGTGGTAAAGCTAGAGGAATTAGTGGGGGGGAAATGAGGAGAGTTAGCATTGGCCTCGAGCTTATAGCCAGTCCCGACATCCTTATTCTCGACGAACCTACCTCCGGTCAGTGATTCAATATGAGGTAACTACACGATCAAACTGACAAGTACGCTCCCAGGTCTGGATTCAGTATCTGCTGCTAAAGTTGCTAATGCTCTTCACGCTATCGCTCACGACCCCGAGCATCCCACCGCCGTTTTGGCATCCATTCATCAACCTAGGTACGGCGTTTCCCGCGTCCCCTTTCTGTCAATCTCTCATGATGTTTTTGCCAATAGTTCTAAGCTGTACCAGACCTTTGATTCTATCCTTCTCCTATCGTACGGTCGGGCCCTATACTCGGGTCCAGGTCGTTCTGCCCCCGCGACGCACTTCGCCTCTCACGCTGCTACCTTGAACGTTCCCACATGCCCACCGGATTACAACACCGCCGACTACCTTCTCGAAGTTGCCAGTGATCCCCCAGTGGGACTTTTCCAGGTTAACAATACACAGTCAATCATCTCCCAAATCCAGAGCATTGGGGATGATGCAGGCGGGATGCGCCCGTTGCTAGATCCGCAACAGTCAACAACTCCAGTGAACGAGAAGACACATTACACGGACGTCGTTACTGAACGAACGAAACCCGTTCATCGACCTACTTCTCATGGTATCGCCAGAAGTACGAGAGGGTGGCGCAGTGGCCTTCAAAGCCCGCAATACGCGACAACATTCTTGACTCAGCTAGAAATCCTATGCGGCCGCGAGATGAAGATTTTACGCAGGTATGTGCTTCCCGTGGTGCATCTTCTTGCTTGAACTCACGTCTCCCCAGAGATTATACTTTGTTTTTCACCCATATAGCCGTAGCATCGGTGCTCGGTGTGTTCTGCGGTAAGTGTTACTGCGTTTAATTGAGCCATCTGGCTGATCGAAACATGATTCAAGGTGGCCTTTACTTTCAAACCGGCATTACCATTGCTGGATTCCAGTCTCGAGTTGGCTGTCTCTTTTTCTTGGTAGGTCTAACCTCGAGTTTTAGACTGGGTTGTACTGATGTTTCTTCTAGGGCGCACTAATCGCTTTCTCTTCCTTGAGCGCCTTGTATAATGTCGTAGAGACCAGGCCACTCTTCTTGCGCGAGCGCTCGAGCTCCTACTATAGGTACGTTTCTCCACCGTTCATTTGCGCCTTGTGTTCATGTCGCATATCCGTAGCCCTTCTGCGTGGCTCCTCTCCCGGTTCCTGTTTGACGTCATTCCTTTGCGTATAATACCTACTATCATTGTATCAACTATGTGAGCGAAATATCCTGACCCTACCTGTCCTCGCTGATAACTTCCATCTCTAGCACATACTGGATGGCAGGACTTGCTCCCGATGCTGAACATTTCTTCAAATTCCTGTTTATCCTAGTCCTCTATACTTTGGCGATGACACTATATGTATGCCTTTATCTATTCTCGTTGTTCCAATGCTTCCCGTTGACTCTATTATTGACAGAATTTCCTCCTTGGAACTCTATTCCGTAATGGAGGCATCGCCATACTTTTATCTGCGCTTTCTGCGCTGTACCAGATGACGTTCGCAGGCTTCTTCGTCCATCTCAACGACATACCCCCGGTCCTACGGTGGCTTCAATGGCTCTGCCCGTTGAAATACACATTGGAAGCCTTGTCAGTCAACGAAGTTGGTGCGGGATTGATGATTCAGGATACCCTCGAGGGCGTCCCTGTCAATGTCTCAGCAAGTCTGATCATGAACATGGTGCGTAGCATAATCTCCTCGACTTCCCCACCCCCAATGTTGACGCACCATACGCATGTTCGTAGCTCTTCGGATTTGGGTCGAACAATTATTATCGAGATGTCCTGGTCTTGTTTGGTTTCATCGCGGGTTTTGGCGTCGGGGTAATTGCAGTGGTGTGGATCAAGGTTCGTGAAAGAAGATAATCGTACATGTGCGGATGGAAGGAGATTCCTATTACTAAATCACATCGGACACCTTCTCAATCACCTTGTTGAAGTAATTTATTGTAGCAATTATCACCGTGTGTCCCTCGAAAACCTGGTTCCGCTTGTCAACTTATACGCTGTCAAGGATGCTGAAGCGGCTATTCATTTGGTTCCCCATATTTGGGAACAGACCTCCCGTTCAAGGGATATTAACGTAAGCTTTTCCGAATAACCCGTTTACTTCCAGAATCCATCCATGTAGTACGCCTCGCAGAAACCGCGGTGTTCGGGGATTGCCCGTCGCTTGTGCAATAATGAATCTGTTTATAGTAAGTCTGATATAAACATCGTGCTGCCCCGGCTGAGCAACTCCTTTTCTCGAGTGTCACGCGGAGCCCAATGCTGTAAATCGAGGGTATAATGCCGTACAGTACTTCTCGGAGGTGTCCACGCCCTCACAAACTCCCCTCGCTGATAAGTACCCCTTATTCGCGTTCAAAGATACCCACCAATATTTACGCAAACTCGCTGCACGAGGTTCGAGTTTACGACATGGTCGTGCATCATGCCTCATGCCTTGAAGCAGAGTGCTGCCGTGGGTACGTTCTGGTACACCGTGTACTGTCCAATGCATCACGTATCGTCAATCATCGTCTTGGACTGTATTTCCGATTTCCGCCGTATGGACGCGGTTCGTGACAGCTTCTGTTAAACAGTCTTCCTCTCCGCTTCATTCATTCCACGCGCTGGTGGCATGTGGTCATTCGCGAAATGATTGATCACTTCCGGGTAGATGGCGCCGATAATGAGTGCGTGCACTCCCCTTTCACTTAACTTATCTAACTGGGGCTTTGCGATCATGAGAGGAGGGCCTCAGGCTGGCTCAGGTGCGCCCGCAGATCAAGGAGTGATAACGCTGGGATCACTCGCATCTTACGGCAGTGGTCACAGCACCTTATTTTTTCAACCGCCGATAGCTCGACACCGAAGGGCTCTGTATATCTCTATGTGCTTTACTCTGAAGGAACACGAGAGCGTGCATTGTTCTAGCCAGCCTCCAAGCGTACGGGCGCCTGCAGTCCGCCTTGACATAGTACTACGTCAGGTAAATGGCATTCTGGTCTTTGCGGTTCTCGGAACCCTTGCGGTCGCCACACCGAGATGAAGATGACCTGCCAACTATCTCGGTCCACGACCAGCTCTATCCAGCTCTCTGACCTACTGCAACTCCTGGAAGACGCCGAGGCAAATCGGTCATTGGGCTGCTTAGCGTCATTGAAGTTGTGACTGACCGGCGACATCCCAGGTTTGCCTGCGTCTATTGCAGCCCCGCCATGGGTATTGATCTTGGGAGTGCAGGCTGGTTGGTCCCCGGCGAACTTATTAGGTAGCACAATCGTTGGTACGAAACACAACTTTTCCCGACCATCAATAATAATTTCAGTGAACTCCCGGCATTCGTTTCTCTGTAGGGGGACTTGGAGCAAGATATCTGCTCTATAGGTGGCATCATTGCGCTGGGATGCATTCCCATCAACTTCGGCCATTGAAGCGGCACGGTGGTTGGATGAGTGCTGAATAACGTTTGCTGCGTAGTCAAGCAACTTTAAACTGACTTCTACTATGAATCCATATATCACATATGTAAATCAAACGAACTCTGCTTGATGACTGAAGGAGTTCACTTCATAAGAGTTCAAGATTCGAGGACTTGAGCTAACGCTTACTGAGTAACTGACTACAGAATGACTACTATACTGGGAAGTAGATCCGCCGCTTATGTAAGCTACTGGACCTCTTCCCCAAATGGGCGAGTTGGCTGCGCCGTGGAACTTGCCTCAAACGATGAAGTTCATATACAGCCTCTTCCTCGTACCCTATCTTGCAAGAGCGCTTGCGCAAGAGCAAGCGGTCTTCAGCTCTCCGAATTCGATCACTGACCGTCCTCAGTCTCTTGCGGACGCGTCATCGCAGGTAACAGCTTCAGTCTTGGCTGGGAAACATGAGTTGGAGAAATGGACGCATGCCGGAAAGGAATATATCAAACAGAGTGGCCTTCTATGTGCGCTCTCTTCCTTAAATGTCCTCTCTTGCAGTGATACTGACCGGTAACAGACGAACTTGTTTCGCACCCGAAGTTCGACGACTATCAGCTACGCGTGACCAAGCCCAAGCTTTGCGATCCTTCGGTCCAACAATATTCGGGCTACCTTGACATTGCTGAAGAGAAGCATCTCTTCTTCTGGTGCGCTTACTTCTCTGGCGCTTTGAATCGCCACACGCTGACGATGGCGATACAGGTTCTTCGAAGCGCGTAATTCTCCAAAGACGGCACCACTTATCTTATGGCTGAACGGAGGTCCCGGATGTAGCTCATCAACTGGGCTGCTATTTGAATTAGGGCCATGTTCGATCGCCGACTCTGGTCGCAACACGACCCACAACCCCAACAGCTGGAACACCGACGCCAACATCATCTTCCTCGATCAACCAGTCAACGTTGGCTTCTCCTATACCGACGATGGGTCCAAGGTGAACAACAGCCCTGCAGCTGGAAAGGACGTCTATGCCTTCCTTGAGTTATTCTTGCACCAGTTCCCGGGGTATGCGAATCTGCCATTCCATCTTGCCGCGGAAAGCTATGGCGGCACGTATGCCCCAAATATTGCTAGGGTAATCCACGAACAGAATAAGCAGCTCAGTCACGTGCGTGTCAATGAGGGTGTGCGGCGGATCAATCTTGCATCGATTATCCTAGCGAACGGCCTCACGGACCCGTATACTCAGATGGGTTCTGTCGCGGACTACCTGTGCGACGGGCCATATCCTGTGTACAGCGATGCCAATGGGCCTGAATGCCAGTCTCTCCGATCGAAGATCCCAACCTGTCAACGTCTTATCAAGAGCTGCTACCAGTTCAATTCGAGGTTCACCTGTGTCCCTGCTCAATTATACTGCAACACGCAGCTCTTCGCTCCGTTCATGCGTGCGTGTAGTTTGTTTCGATGTCTGTTGCGAAAGACTTGGCTAACTAGTTCGCACCAACAGAACTCGGTCTAAATCCCTATGACGTTCGTGTCCCATGTGATCGTTCCAAGGATGGTCAGCTTTGCTACAAGCAGATGAATTGGATCGAAACATACATGAACGATCCTGCGCACAAGGTCGAACTAGGTGTCAACCCTTCACTCCAGTTCGAGTCATGCAACATGGAAGTCAACCAGGCGTTCACTGGGCAGGGCGATGGCATGCACAACAGTGCTCTCCTCTTGACCGATCTTGTCAATGACGGAGTAAGACTCCTTGTATACGCGGGCAATGCTGGTGCGTTCCCTTCGACGACTTCGTTCGTTCCCCAGACGAAATGGAAGCTAACGAAACGTCATAAACTCAGACGCCATGTGTAACTTCATCGTGGGTTTACATATGCTTCATATCTCATTCCCCATACTCAAGCAGCTGTCATAGGGGAACGAACGGTGGGTCGAACTACTGGATAGTAAATTCAACGGCGAGTTTGTCGCCGCGAAACCGTTGCCCTGGATTGCAAAGGCTACCGGAAAACAGGCCGGTCAAGTGAGGAGTGCTGGTGGCTCCGGCTTCACTGCAGGCAACGTAACCTTCGTGACCGTATTTGAAGCTGGGTAAGCCTCCCTGTTCCTATCTCAGGATTAGATCATATCCAGTCCACGTCCAACAAGCTCAACTTCACTCTTATCTAGGCATATGGTGCCTTATGATCAAGCTGAAGCTGCCCTGGTAAGTGGACATGTGGACACCATCATGCCATTGTACGTCTCCTGACGTGTCTTCCTCTTCTGTAGGATTTGATTACTCGCTGGACGGCGAACGTTCCATTGAGTCTTCATTAATTTACTATAAGCATGCATGGATATAACTTTCTTGTTTTGGCTGTTTGTTAATCTAACTGTTGATGCTATGGAGGAGGAACTTTTTGCATACTTAATATGTGGGTCGTTCGTATCATTCAATAGCTAACTTGACTCTTATCGATTGGTGGGTGCCTTCAGAGCATTCGCTAGAGATGACTTAGAAGTGATATAGACAACTGCTGCGCTTCTCGGAGAGACTGCCACTGAAGGTGAACAAGGGAGAGAACTGGCCTCGTTGGCGATACCCCAACGCTTGGGATGCCGCTTTTGTACCACGGTAACTTACTGTGCCGTATGATGGGACACCGGCTGATACGGGTATTTTTGCAGCGATGGCCGGCTTTGAGTGTATTCTCACCCTTGCCAGTCATTCGCTTTGGGATATAGAACCCAATTACCCTAGCCCACTCCGCAAATTCCCACCCGTTCGCCTTGGGGCATCGGTGGAGTTGGATGAGCTTCATGCTATTCAGAGTTCGTGGCTCGTTACATTCGCAATCCAGGAGATGAAATGGACTCCCGTTCATGTGCCTTAGCAGCGAGCTTCTTGCGAAGAGGGAAGGAGCGATGGGGCTGTATTGAAGCAGTACAGACAACTGAAGAGACTAACATAACAATAAAAATTGGAGAGGAAGGAGTGGTGTTGAAGAAAGTGGCATCCGCTGCGGCTGTGGGTGGGTGGATGGGTGTACATGCAACAAGGTCCGTAGTCAAAGCAGATATTAACACTTTGGTCCCGTTGACGATGGTTTTAGCAACGGTTCCAAAATCGAAAATCGAGAATCAGTCGCTCAATGCTCATTCATCGCGTCTCCAATCGGCCGCCTGGATTGTTCGTTGTGAGTATGGTCTGCAGCTGTCATGGTGAATAGATGATGTACTTACGACTCCCGATAAGGCTTCAGGGTCTCGCCTCCAATCAGCAGCAACACCCGACATTGCTTCGGGGTCACGTCTCCAGTCTGCAGCTACTCCTGACATCGCTTCTGGATCACGTCTCCAATCGGCCGCTACACCTGACATCGCCTCGGGCTCCCTTCTCCAGTCTGCAGCAACTCCTGAGAGGGCCTCAGGCTCCCTTCTCCAGTCAGCAGCTACTCCAGACATCGCTTCGGGGTCACGTCTCCAGTCCGCTGCGACGCCTGACATAGCCTCGGGCTCGCGCCTCCAGTCAGCGGCCACTCCCGACATAGCTTCACGCTTCCAATCTGGTCGCTACAACAACTCTCTAAATTTTCAGATGCGAACGACACCATAGGAAGACTCACGTATGCCTCTCGTTTCATATCAGCCTACACCGTACGAGTCAATTCCCTCAATTCCCTTCATTCTAGCTTTCGGCGTACCGTGTCTCTTGCTTCCGCTTCCCTGCGCTTTACTTCGGGCGACTAGAATCTCGGCGTTAGCGTCGCTTGAAAGATATCGATCGAGAATGAATAACATACCCCAGCGGGCGCAGCCAGCGCTGTGGAGGCTAATGCAATAGTAGCGAATATCAAGCTCAATTTCATAGTGAGGGAGTGATAGAGGGTGGGGGTAAAAGCGTGGTATCATGGCCCGTCCCAGGCTATTTATGCAGTAACAAATGTTCCTCGGGACCTAGGCCGACTGACCCATCGATTTGGAGTCTCCTCCGTTAAGGTGTACTGTCCACCCAATCGGAGCTTGGCGAAGAAGTTCTGCCTCTGCGCAGTTTGAGAGACCATTGCAATGTTGGTTCCTGTTTTTCAATCATCAACTACAGACTTCTCACACTCATTCTTCGTTTCCTCTCGACACTTAACTGAGATGCGATAAATTTTACGGTCAATGTAATTCAGCCTCTGATGCATGATGTGCTTGCTTGCGTTTTCCGACCCGATCGCCCCTTGTTGTCGCCGGTTTGCTGTATGGAAGGGCGATGGAGATTGCCCTTTTTCTCTGCCCCTGGTCTGTTATTAGAACCCAGGATCCCACATGGATGTAAGTGCGATCCAGAATGCTGCCCAACACCGTTGTTGCAACTGACGAGCGTCTTGCATGCTTCTTGATCCTCTTCTTCCGAGCGACAGTGACACCGCCATCTCACACAGAGACATTTGATATCCCAGCGCCCGCTGAACTGTCTCCCACCATGAGAGCGGGGCATGTGGGTGTTGCTAATAAGCGCGAATTCCTCATTGTCATCCACGACGGATATGGGAATTGTATTTGTGGCTGGTTGATATATCCGGTTAGCTCCATCTCTCCCAATAGAACCCACCCGCCAATTTAAGCGTCGAAGATGTTGCATAACGCCCAGCAATACAAGACAAGCCCAAAACCTCGATGGTTGTTTACTAGTTGCAGTTTCAAGCCCCTACCATTGATGATCTATTGACGATACGAGATACTAATCAGTTAGTCTAATGCTCGATAACTACGAAAATCATTTGATGAATGTGATCCATCATGGCATCAACGAAGTTCAGATCTTCCCCCTTCAATGATTCACGACATGAGAATTGCAGAGCACACACGTGTAGCCAAATATTGCACAAGCTCTCTCAAGCTCTATATGGTAGTATCCCACAATGAACTCTATTTGGTATTCGCCTTCAAGAACGTACTCCGGCGGGAAAACTGAGATAAGCGGGAGGGAGGCTTGTGATGTTGGCACTGAGTCGAGGTCGGGTCTTGGCATCGGTTTCACTGGAATTGCCAGCCACCGCCGGGTGCAGTCCTCCGTGATGTACAGTCGATACAGTGGACCCGCTCTTCGGTTCCGAATGCTTGGGGCACCATTTCGAGAGCCGAGTTTGACCCCTATGCCCAAGCAAGTCTGAAGGCTCTCCCAGTAAGAAAGTTGGCCGTGGAAAGCGTTCAACGTCACGCATATCTGGAGATTTCACATCTGGGGAAATGATATAAATCAACATAAGCTCAACAAGCCGATGCCGGCCACCCACCTGTCGATGCCGAAGGGGAGGGAGGCTGAGCCCCACTGCCAGCAGCGTATGATCTAAAGGGATTACGAAAGTAGTCTGAAGGGAACTTGCGAAGCCGTCGAGTAGCGCTGGTCGGGTCACGATAGAGCACGAGGTACATAATGGTGAAGCATAGCAAGACAGCAAATATACCTGAAAGCAGACCATCAGTCAATCAACAGTCAACTCCACGACAATGAGGACACCGTACATATCAAGGCTATATCTGCTCCTCGAAGCTTGCTACCGCCAGAACGAAATGCTGTCTCCGAAGTAGCGCTGATTGCCGTGTCTTTGTCCTGACGAGGTAAGAGTGCCATCGGAAATGCGGGAATGAGATTGATGAGGGTCCAGCCCAAGGAAGTAATGCTTCGTGGTGAAAGAGTGGTGGAAGAGAAGAACGAAGACACGAAGTTATGGACAGAACTCGCAAGAGTCAGGACGTCAGCCCCTTGAAGGAAGTCAGCCTCGTCCAGACGGCGTCAATAGGAGTCGGTCGCCGTCATCCACCGCCGGCCGTGTATACAATACCGTACACAACCAGCGCAAGACAAGGGGTATGGTAAAGTACGGAGATAACACCGGGCCCGATAAGACTGGGGCTTGTGACCACCGTATACTGGGTGTTGCTCACGCTTCATGTAATTAATGCGGGCACTTCGAATATGCCGAGAATGTTGGCGTCCAACAGAGAAGTCACTTGCTTTGACAGATGGTCCATTCACCCGATTTTCGCGAGACATTGAAGCTGCGTGAGGCTTGGAAGTAAACTTCAGTGCGCGGACGTTGAAATTGACTGCCCTGCACTAACCTTTAACTGGCATATTACCCTCATCGACCACCTTAACAGAACTGAATGCCCTCCTATCAACAGATCACATACCGAGTGTTGGCTCGCCGTGCGGTCGGTGCCAGAGAAGGCATTCAACTGGGAAGATTCCTATTCGGACAAATGACGCCATTTTCGCGAGAAATTGAACCTGCGTGAAGCTTGGAGATCAACCTTAGCCTCTGTTCCACCCACATTGATCATCGCCACACCGAAACTCGATGACCTCCCCATCAACTAATACGCTCGATCATATTGTTCATTTAAGCCATCCCGGGGCACTTGATGAAACGATCAGCCGCTTTCGGGAGCTAGGCTTCAAGTATAGTTACTGTATCCTGATTGAAAAGTGCGCTGATTCGTCGCTTGATTGCTAGCGTGATACCAGGTGGCACGCATGCGGATGGGTTGACCAGCAACGCATTGGTGGTAAACTGCCATCCTATTGTTAGCCCCCGCCTATTGTTCACCCAAAAAGTGCAGATATTCGAAGACGGAACGTACCTGGAGCTACTGAATTTCGTGAAGCCCGCTGCGTCGTACCCCGCCGGCTCACCGGAGCGAGCGAAGAGGGATTCACACCCATGGGCACCCAAGAACCCGGGATGGATCGACTTCGCCTTCCTTGGCACGGGCGAAGACAAACATAGCGGTGGTACCGGGGTGATTTCGGAAATAATCAACGCGCGAAGCAAGGATGTGCGATATCTGGGCGAAGTGGCGGGTGGGCGGGAAACACCTGCAGGAAAGATCCTGAAGTGGCTGATTACGAGCCCGGCCAAGCAACATGGTCGAGGAGTTTTGCCCTTTTTCTGTGGTGACGTTACGCCGAGGGAATGGAGGGTAAGTGATTCGGCCTCGATGAATCTGCAGTTAGCTGATCCCGGCTACCATCAGGTTCCAGTTACGCAAGAAAACACTGCCCACCCAAATACAGCGAGAGGCGTAGCCTATATAGTCTTGCTCGTGTCCAGCGACAACTTGGCACTGTTGTCCCGTCAAGTCACAACGATCATCGGAGCACCTGCGAACCATGTGGACGACGAACTATCCTGGTCCTTAGAAACCATCAGAAGCACACGTCCTGCGGGGCACCTGCGTCTTCGCTCACCGAAAACTGAAGAAGAGCAGAGTTTCCTGGATTCGAACATTGATGCAAATGTGGGGATATACGAGGTAGGCATATGGGTCGATGCAGGCAAAAGTAAAGAACCGGCATCATTGCCTCATACGAGGATCGTGTGGCAGTCAATCATAAACTGATGAAGGATGGGCGTGGAATGTAGAACAAGTACTCTACAGCACTATCTGGGAGTGGACATTAGATTCTCCCGCCACACATGTCTATCAAGAATTCTCACCCATCATGTTACATGTCCATTGCGAGCCTCTAAGCTCGAAGCTCCGGGTCTGGAAAATAAACCCTCGATCTCATGGCTGGTGGCCCACAGCACGCCGGCGTCCCTGTATTGGATTGTAAGAAATAACATAAAAATAGTTGATGTTCATATTGCGTTCATATGGTCAGCTAACGCATGCGCTTGAAGAACGTGGGCCACTTACATCACTACTCCTTCCAGTATTTCCCGAAAATCCCTCTTCCACAACGACTGAACTGGTGTAATGAGGCCCAGATCTAGAGACTTGATGCCCTCCTAGTTAGTATGTGATGGTTTTCCGCTCATTTCTAAGAGTAGATTAACCGGAGAACAATCTACCAATGACTTGGTCATTCTGGGTAGTAAAACGAGGATCCAAAAGACAATACTCACGATGCTGCGACGTTCCGCGGAAGTGCTAGTCACGAAACCCGCTGGCATCGCGTCTGATGCTCACAGAGGTCCATCAGCTACAGAGTCTAGCCGTACGCCGTTCTGGGATTGTTACTCGCGCACACGCTGTACGAAATCGCGCCGCATTTGCAGTAGCTCGAGCTGAGCCTGGAGGAGCCTGGTTACCCATAGAAGTTCGTTGTTGTAGGCTCGACGGGCCATAAAAAACATCGTCGCAGGTTCTCGGTGTCTGGAGCTGTTCGTCTTCAAAAACGGACACCTGCAAAACAGCAAAGGAAATCGAACTACACTTCGTCCAAGTTTGTGTCAGGTTGTCATTGTGAAAGATCTATTCTCGCGCCAGACGGATTTCTGTGGCATTCGCACGTGATCGCTTTACCCCCTTTCAGCCCCTAGCAGAAAAAGACGCCTATTCACTCTCACTTCGCGGTAACCAGGACGGTGATTTGGGGCTCGCATGCATGTGTCGCTTGTGTAAACCATGAACATACCTGACCCAGTGTCGGCCAACTTCTGTGTTTTGGTGCCCGAGATTCCATATTCGTGCTCTGAGGCGGAGGTAGCTATGTAGTTCATTCCGGAATAACATCGACTACTGGGCTCCACAAACTCATGCAAAGCTTCGTTGGTTTCACTTTCACAATAAGCGGGTTTCCTTCACCGGATTTTCACTCATGAGATATTGCTAGAACTTTCGAAGCGTCGGCAGTGCAGAACGTGCCGGTCAGGCTAGCACAGGTCATATGCAAGCGAAAGAAGTGACGGCTTTCTATGGCCTTCGCGTACATCGTTCAACACTATAAAGGTCGAGCTAGATGGATCAGAAAGTCAAGACATCGACACAGTCTTGCAAACCATCACTTACAGCAATGAAGTTCGCCACATCTCTCTTCGCCTGTGCCGCCCTTCTTGCCGCCCAGTTCACTGCGGCCGTCACTGTATCATTCGATGAGGCTTACGACGATGCCGGAGCCTCTCTAACCTCTGTTGCATGTTCCGACGGCCCTAACGGCCTCATTACCCGCACCGGCGCGCAAACATTCGGAGCGCTCCCCAAATTCCCGTTCATCGGAGGAGCAGCAGCCGTCGCTGGATGGAATTCCGCGCAATGCGGCACTTGCTGGGAGCTTTCGTTCAACGGCAAGACAATCAATGTCTTAGCTGTTGATCATACCAACAACGGATTCAATATCGCGTTGAGCGCCATGAACACGCTGACGAACAACCAAGCTGTTCAGCTCGGCCGAATCGACGCTGGGGTACGGCAGGTCGCATCATCCGTATGTGGGCTATGAGTAAGTAGATTCATTGTAGAGATGTTCTGCTTTCATCCCTAACATCTTATTTGTAGATCACTTCAGTAATGCTCGGACTAGTGCAATGATTAATCTTACTGGCATGTAATGGACTCGATTAATGGACTTTAGCGAGGCGATGCGAAATATCACATATCACCATTCTTTGCTGTTTTGCTACTTGGCTACCTTTCGTGCCACACACCGTACTCGTGCAAGGGAAAGGTATAATATTGTGCCGACATGTTGCCATTGCAGCGAAGTGCTTCGATGTCAGGAATTGCCCCGAGGGGCATTACTGACGCCGATATGGGGGTTTCATCCCCATCGTTCCTCTGAAGACCTGCATGCTAAGTTGGCAAAAAGTTCTCCCTTCCATAATATTGGCAAAATTAGAAAGCAAAGAAGGCCATATCGATGGTCAAAATGAATTAATGAAGACTCAATGGAACGTTCGTCGTCCAGCGAGTGATTAAATCCTACAAAGACCAAGATGTATCAGGAGACGTACTATGACATGACCGTATACATATGCACCTACCAGGGCGGCTTCGGCTTGATCATATGGGACCATATGCCTAGATGAAAGTGAGCGTAAGTTTGTGGGATGTGAATGACGTGTACGCTAGTGCGAAAGGAGGAAGGGGAAAACTTACCCTGCTTCAAATACGGTCACGAAGGTTACGTTACCTGCGGTAAAGCCAGAACCGCCTGCACTCCTCGCCTCGCCGGCCTGCTTTCCGGTAGACTTTAAGATCCATGGAACTGGCTTCGTGGCGGCGAATTCGCTATTGAATTTACTATCCAGCAACTCAACCCATCTTTCATTACCCTGTGGCAACTGCCTAAGCATTCAACTCAATATGAAATAAATCCAGACCCACAATAAAGTTGCACATGGCGTCTATAGGATTAATACACCATCATTAGCTTTCATCTGGGCCGAGGAAGAAAGTCGACAGAGGGGAATCACCAGCGTTGCCTGCGTAGACAAGGAGCCTCACTCCGTCATTGACGAGATCCGTCAAGAGAAGGGCACTATTGTGCATGCCGTCGCCTCGTCTAGTGAATGCCTGGTTGACTTCCTTGCTGTACGTCTCGTATCGAAGAGATGGGTGGACACCGAGTTCGACCTTGACCACAGGCTCGTTCATGTATCTTTCAATCCAGTCCATTTGTCTGTAGCAAAGTTGCCCGTCCTTCGAGCGGTCACACTTGGCACGAACGTCATAAGGATTAAGTCCAGATTCTGTTGTCAAGACACTCGTTGAATGCAGGGGTTTTGTGAGTAGAGCTAGGTGACACGCACTCATTAAGGGAGCAAAGAGCTGCGTGTTGCAGTATAATTGAGCAGGGACACAGGTGAACCTCGAATTGAACTGGTAGCAGCTCTTGATAAGACGTTGACAGGTTGGGATCTTCGATCGGAGAGACTGGCATTCAGGCCCATTGGGGTCGCTGTACACAGGATATGGCCCGTCGCACAGGTAGTCCGCGACAGAACCCATCTGAGTATACGGGTCCGTGAGGCCGTTCGCTAGGATAATCGATGCAAGGTTGATCCGTCGCACACCCTCAGTGACACGCGCGTGACTGAGCTGCTTATTCTGTTCGTGGATTACCCTAGCAATATTTGGGGCATACGTGCCGCCATAGCTTTCCGCGGCAAGATGGAATGGCAGATTCGCATACTCCGGGAACTGGTACAGGAATAATTCAAGGAATGCATAGACATCTTTCCCAGCTGCGGGGCTGTTGTCCACTGTGGGCCCATCGTCGGCATAGGAGAAGCCGACGTTGACCGGTTGATCGAGGAAGATGATGTTGGCGTCGGTGTTCCAGCTATTGGGGTTGTAGGTCGTGTTGCGACCAGAGTCGGCGATCGAGCATGGCCCTAGTTCAAGCAACAGTCCAGTGGTGGAGCTACCGCCAGGACCTCCATTCAGCCATAAGATAAGTGGTGCCGTCTTCGGAGAATTACGCGCTTCGAAGAACCTGTATCGCCGTCAGTGTATAAAGATCTCTGGAGGCGGCGGCGAAGAAAGCGCACCAGAAAAAGAGATGCTTTCCCTCAGCTATGTCAAGGTAGCCCGAATATTGCTGGACCGAAGGATCGCAAAGCTTGGGCTCAGTGACGCGTAGCTGATAATCGTCGAACTTCGGATGCGAAACGAGTTCATCTGTTTCCGGTTGGTCAATCTAGACGATAAAGTTTCAAAATAAAAGTGTACATAAGAACCCACTCTCCTTGATGTACTCCTTTCCAACATGCGTCCACTTCTCTCCTTCATGCTTTCCTGCCAAGATTACGCCCTTGAGCTGCGACGACGCGTCCGCCAGAGACTGCTTGTTCCATGATGGGTGTGAATTATTGAATATCACTTGCTCTTGTGCGAATACCAGGGCAACCAGGAGGCTTGCTTGGAGGAGATGGTATCTGAACCCCATCATTCGGCGAGAGCCCTGGCGAGAGCCCTGGACTGGCCCGTTTTGGAAAGAGGTCCATAAGCTTACATAAGGCCAAGATTTACTTCCAAGTACGACTCTGCACTAGAGAAGGTATCGTACCGATCTGTATAGTACCAACGGTAACGAATAACGTGTTCCTCGTTTCGTCGCTTACTTAAATACCTGTAACCCATAACAGCACTGTTGTTGCATGAGTTCTGCACCTACATTTCGCACTAAAAATGGGTACAATTGCCAATTTTCTCAGCCTCCGGGTCTTTTCTGACGATACTCAAGGCATTATGGGTTGATTTTGCCAAATGCAGTCCACTTCTGTTAGTACCATACAGATCGGTACAGTATTGGACGTCGGGTGTCCATGTTAGGTGTCGAATCTCTAAGCCAATTATGAAAGTTATCAACTGTATCATCTACTCCTTACGTGTATAGTAGCCTCGCAGACGTAGCGATATTCAGCGATCCAAAGCGCGTTTCGTGATCGCCATTGGTGCATCGCTTTCAGAATGTTGTCAGTCTGTCGTCAATAATACACGTCGCTTTGTGCGTATTTACCGTTCTGCAGACCGCAAAGAATAATTTGACTACGTAGTACGGTAGGTTCTGTCGGGCTCTGCTCTGCTCTGCCCTATCGACTCCACCAACTTCACTGCATACACTAAGCCACACTGCTATACCCTCCATCTAACAGCATATCAAAACATTCACCACACCCTTCTCTCCGTCATTCACTGACAAAGATAGCCCTCCGTTTGACATCCTCCCCGGGCAAACACATAACAAACCATGTCGCCAAAAGGTGTAAAAGCCCCCATCCCCGCTAAGGATACCCTAGTCAACCACAGTCGGCTACTCCAAATCAAACTCCTTTACAAACAATGTTCAGCTTCAAATCAGCGATTTTCGTCGCCATAGCTCTTGCAGCTCTTACGGCTGCCACACCGACCGCGTCGATGGCGCGTCGGAACACACCAGCCAGCTCATGCTCTACTAGTTCCCTCGCGTGTTTCCAGAACAGCGGCACCGCCAAAGACGCCGGAATTGCGTCTCTGATTGCTACTCTGGGCATCGACGTCGGGGACATCGATGGCTTAATTGGAGCAACCTGCAGCCCCATCACCGGCATCGGTGCTGGTGGATGCATCATGGTAAGCTTCAAGATTCAATCACTGCTAGAAAATGGCAATCACTGACATGCGGTGTTTCAACGTAGCTCTGCCAAGGCGCTCTGCTGCGATAATAACACTTTCAGTAAGAGATTGTGGCGAACTGCATTGCACAGCATGGCTAATGACTGGATTGTCTTGCAGAGGGTGTGGTCGCTTTGGGCTGTGTCCCTGTGGACCTCAACCTTTAAATCATCCAAGTATGAAATGGACAAGGAGGGTGATATAGGGTAACGTTGGCGTTTCTCGATCAAGAATGAGATAGCGTACATGCACAATCTGTTTGCCATGTCAGTTGTAGTTTGTGACTTACCTGTGAACCCTCAGGATTTATGCGACCCTCTGATCCGAAAGTTTGAAGTTCGACTGATTGCTCTCTCCCAACGATTCTAGATACACGCCGCTGCTCAACTGTGCATGTTTTAGCGAGCCATTGAGACATACATACAACCCATCTTCTTCTGAAGTCCAAATGTTGGTGTGTAGTTGATCAACAGGGATTCCTTGTACAAACGTCAGCCAGAATCAAACGGTTGGCCAAATCACCTACATTCTTAGCAAATTATGCATCAATTCATCCCGCGCTGTGTATCTGATGCTGGAATCATGATATATGCTTTGGGAAATTTGGAGTGGGATCATCATTCTGTCTCCAGCGGCGAGTCAAAGTCTCCGAGTGCAACTACTAAGTGAAGAAAGCAATTTGCTGCTCACTCTTCCACCGACCACCACGTCGCTCAGTAACTTCATTCCCCTTCGTCCCTCTTCGTCCCCGGCTCAACATTTCTTGAATAGCATGCACTCCTCTCGGGCCCCGCCATTCGATTCCACGGTTGGGCGCCGGATGGCGAATTCAGGCCTTTTCTAGATGCAGTTCCATCATTTGCCAAACTCAAGCTCCGTTCACTTCGAAAGGCTTCAGCAGGGACACGATTCAAGAAGAAAGAAGAGATTCAGGATTCGCTGGTGCGCGCACGTTTGCCAACGGCCGGTGCGGCGATGGTTCCGGGAATCTCCAGCAGGCTGGTTCCACCATTCCGGCGAACTCCAGCAACTCCGAGCTCCGGGCCCCGGAACGGGACAGAACTCTCACCTCGACTCTTACTATCAACGACATATCTCTCGGAACGGGCCCTGGGAGATTTGGAGTCGGGCCACGCCTTCTCGAAGTGCGCAGAGTCAGCATAAGCTCGAAAGCTGCAGGTTCGATTCCCCTTTATCTCTTGACCACCAACTCCCATGTCATCCGCCTCATCGTCGTCCTCTTCGTCCTCGCTTTCCTCCCGCCTTTCCACCGTGTCCTCGACGTCGTTCTCCTCGACGTTCTCTGATGCCTCTTTGTATCATATTGGGCTGGCAGCAGTGCCCTCGCCTTCAGTCTCGCCGCCTCCGCCTCACCACCACCACCATCACAGACACAGGAAAGCCATCTCAGCCGAAGGTGGCGATAAGGTAGTAGGCGTGGAGGATCAAATCACTGTACAATCTACAAAGGAGCCAAGAAAACCTTCCAAGACCCACAGCTTTTTCGCGTCCCCTTTCTCGCCAACGCCGACACCAACGCCCCCGCCCCCGCCCCCGCCCCCGCCTCCACCACTGCCCGAAGTAGTTCAGCCCTCTCCCAAACGCAGCCTGACTGCGTCGTTTTTCGCTGCTACACCGCAGCCAGAGATTGAGACGCCTTCGCCGATCAGCACGCCCGGCTACACCATCCCCAAGCACAAACCGCGGACATCTCTATCGCAAATCCCGCTATCCAGGCTTTTCCCTTCGAGATATAGATCCGACCCGCAAGCTGTAGCCCTTGATGCGCACCTGGCGTTCTCTAATCCTACGTCATCCCCCGCCGGCCGACGAGAATTTCTCTCGCTCGACACGGCTCCCGAGCTCGATGATTCCACCTTGCCGAATCCTCACTCGCCAACGTTCTCCCCACATCACCTTCACCCCACCCATTATTCGTCTTCACGGTCGATATCGCCCGTCACGCCGTCATCGCCTTTGTCGCGGCAGTTCTCGCTCTCGTCCAGCGAAGAGAGTGATAATGGACATGACCAATTGGGCATTACGCTTCCCTCGCCAAGCCAAGGCGGCAGAGCACTGGCCGACGCCGAAGAGACTGAGACGGAGAGGACACCCAGGCCAGGTCATTTGGAGAGTCCCTTCGCGCATCACTCACGCCCCACAAAACCACCCCCCGAACGTCTGTCCAGGCACCCTGGCATCACCAATGTGAAATCAGCCGTGCCAGCAGTAACGCCGCCTCCGCCGATAAGCAATCAGGAGGTGGAGGATGATCTTGATGGAGTTTTGAGTCCGGGGTCTGTCATTCGTTCGCCCCTCCCTATCACCTCGCCCCTCCCACACACATCTTCCCCGACACCGGACGATGAAGCAATCCAACTGACGCTTGTTAAGCCGCTTGGGCAGGGCGCGTTTTCAGCCGTGTGGTTAGCGGTAGACGAGTCTCGGGTGGGGCTGGTCGACGCTGCGCGGGCGAAGACCGAGCTGGTGCGCCGGGAAAGCGGGAGATTGAAGCGGAATTGGAGCGGGCGTAGTTCGAGGAAGGAGGCCCTGAGCAGAAATGGAAGTGGGAGGAGTACGAACAAGGGTAGCCTGAAGAGGAGGAAGAAGTATCCCGGCTTAGGCGTCGATGTGGAGGAACCTGGTGGTGGCCTGGCGCGCTCGGATTCAGGTCGGTCGACTATCAGTGTGGCGTCGTCGATAAACTCGATCGCTTCCCTTACGTCTACGACATCGCTCGCGTCCTTTGACTCTTGTGCCACCAGGATGTCGGACGAGGTACTGGGGGATATATTGAGGGTGAAGCTGGGGAAGGGTGGCGTTTGTGGGGTGCGGCCGATGGGGGACGCTGCATTTTATGAGAGCTATCAGAGCGGAGACGGGAAATTGCAGCATGGTGGAGATGACGTTAGGGAGAAGGAGATCAAGATAGGGACGGCGACTGGGCAGGCTGTAGGGCTGGGCATAAGCGTTGGCGAGGCGCTGGATGACCCCCCACGGTCCATGCATGAATACAAAGGATACATTCGGCAGGCGCAGACGAGATTGGTCGCTGTGAAGATGACGCCTTTGCCACGCCGTGGGGTAGAGGAAAAGGAGCGAGAGCGGATGAGCGTTAGCTTCGTGAGAGAGGTGGAGGTGCTGAAGGTGAGTCTGACTTGATTTAGGCTTCTGGGGTTATATACTTCGGTGGACAGCGGGCGCTGGATACGCCATGCCCACTGCACTCGAGCCTAAGGGCAGGAGGGCGTGTGCCTAGGAACAGGAGCCCCTTCATCCCTTTGCTGATCTCATTTCTTGAGCGCGCGAAGGCGGGCTGCTCGGGCCTTTGCATTGTTTCCTTTGACGACGATCACTGCTTGGAGCTAACCGCGTCTTTGTTTGCAGCACATATCTCATCCGAATATCACACCTCTACTCTCGCATCTGACTACCCCCACGCATCACGTCCTCGTTCTGCCGTACCTCCCCGGCGGCGATTTACTGGGCCTGGTGAATACAGAGGAAGCTCATGCTGTGTTACGTGAGTATTCTTTGTTCTTTGTTTGGCGTGATGAGACTTACAAAGTGTGTAGTCGAATCTGTGTTGAAGGAGATGTTCTACGAGCTGTGTAAAGCAGTTGCATGGATGCATAGCGTTGGGTTGGTGCATCGTGATATCAAGTTGGAAAGTAAGTTGATTCTGAACTGGTCGTTCACTCGATACTGATGCATCATACCTCAATCTGTAGATATTCTTCTTGCAACTTCCGCATTCTCTTCCCCTAACCCAGCATCACCGCCCACGCTTGCATCCCTCCCATCGCCTCTCATCCTCCTCACCGATTTCGGTTTATCGCGTTTTATCGATCCCGCGAACCCGTTATTGACCACACGCTGTGGGAGCGAGGCGTATGCCGCGCCCGAGCTAGTGATGAGTGGGGGGAGGGGAAGTGTCGCTAGCAAACCCCTGCGGTTCAAGATCAGTGGGCACGATAGCAGCATGCACGAAGTCCATGAATATGATGGCGAGAATGAGGGCGGATATGATGCGAGGGAGACGGATGCGTGGGCGTGCGGTGTAGTGCTATTTGCGCTGGTTTGTAGGAGGCTGCCGTTTGGGGAGGGGGCGATGGGGATCCGGGGGGAGAGGGAGGAGGGGAACGGAGGGGTTGCAGATCGGCGGAGGTGGTTAATGAAGATTGCGAAAGGGGACTACTCGTGGCCGGAGCATCATGAACATAGTCGTGTTATCGCCACCGACCATGAGGAGCGAGAGTTGCGGGGTATGGACTTGGTGAGGAGCGAGGGAGCGAAGCGGGTCGTCGGCCGACTTTTGGTTCGGGATCCGTCCAAACGGTTGAGCATTGGGGAGCTGATGCGTGTTGAGGAGGAGTGGGTTAGCCCAGTCGATCGCGGGGGAGACGAAGATATGGAAGGCGACGGGACTATAACCACTTTTGATTCCGCTGGGGGACCGTATGCTGGTGGCCATGTGGTGGCGCTGCCTGCTCGCGCTGCCAAGCCGGATACGCCGTTAACCTTTGGCGTGGAGCTTCCGGATGATCAGGATCAGGATGGGCAGGATGCCGATGCGGAGGATGAGGAGGATGGTGGGGAGGAAGAGGATGATGGGTGGTTGATCACGGAGCCGCCGAGAGATAGCATCGTCTGTCGGGAAGTCGTCTAATCGGGCGCGTGCAGCACGCCATCCTCAAGCATCAATGCATCAAGCTCAAGCCTCGAGGCCTCTTGTATTTCTTGGATCTCCCCGACCCTCTGGTATTCTGTCACACAAACTTCCAGTAAGCGAATTGTATGTACATACACGCACACGCAAGCGAGGCGTGGACAGTGTACCCTGCAGATCTGTTTCTATCGCCGCACATTCGAATTCCCCCGGCGACCCTGCGATTCGGCGAGTCGCCTTACATGTATGTTTGGTGCATATGTTCATTATATCATCGCCATGTATTCTGTACCATGTTGTACACGTACAATGATGTAGCGTCCATTATGTATCCCTTCATGTTCTTGTATGTTCTGTTCATGATGTATTTAGACGCAGTACATAGACATAGCAATTTAATGTAGGAATTACAATTTCTTTGGCTTCGCCAACGACATCGAATTCGAACTGCTCACGATTCTCACTCGAAGCGGAATACTTCCTCCAACTCCTAAGCCCCTGATTAGTATTCAGGGGTCCAAAATCTAGAGGTCCTCGGCGTACCGTCCACCAAGGGACATCTTTCCCGCTTCCCTTGGCACCCTCGATGAAGCTTTCCTGCATCCCATCCGTGACCTTCCACCACCTCATCGTCTCCTCGTCCTCAGCAACAATCTTCATATCCCCTTCGTAGTCTGTCCCTGTGTATTTGAATGTCGCGATAAGGAGGTGGAGGGGCGGGTAGTAGTGGATCGAGTAGTCTGTGATGTTGCTGCGCTTTAGGGGGGCGAGGACGCCGGGCCAGACATTGGCGTGGATGGCCTTGTATTCTGCTTCTGCTTCTGGTTTCAGCTTTCATGACGGATGTCGATTGTGGATGTGACAGGAAGTCAGTGCGACTGGGGGCCGGGGAGGGAAGCACAGGATCTCACTTTTATGATTTGGCAAACTCTTTTGGAGGACATTTTGGTGGCAGAAAGAGATATGTCTGGCCTTTACTTTGGAGTTAATGCTTTTATTTCGAGCCAGCGGCCCGGGCACGGGGCGCGTCCCAGCGCTTAAACCATAAGTTACTATCTTCCATGATATTTGCTATTTCTCACTAACCAACCCCTTCGGTCAAGCTCTCTAGTGCTCGACTTCTCGAAGAATTTTTCCGTTGAGCCTGGAATAGGATCAGACTATCATGATTTTCTACAATCTCTGCGAAGGTATTGTTCCGAGGTAGCACTACCTTTGGGAAATGTTTCCTCGAGCTACGCCACAACTGTGGATCGACTTCGCCATTGCGTGCCTGATCCGCTAGCCACAAGCTAGACCTGATCCATGAGTCTTTGTACCATCCACGGACATGGGAGTATGCTCCCAAGAGCTCCGACTCGTGGATTTCAAAATTACCAGACTCGAAAGTACATCTCAGCTATTCCACTCATACGCCTCCCAGGAATCGTCATTGGTGCACGTACGATCCGGGTGTCAAAACAATCTCAAGTTAGACCAGCGAAAGGGTGTGAAATCCCCACACTAACAGTTCATTCCAGTATATCGCTCTTCGAATGATAACCTTTTCGCAACTGCGCATGCTCGTCTATGCTAGTACCTGCAAAAGGTACTGATAGCACGATTGTGGGCAAGCTGTGAGTATATTCCTACAGAGTCCTATCGGTCGCTGATCGGTGTCTTTGTTTCAATTCACTTCTCATGTTCACATCCTTCCTAGTTGGCTAATGAACATCCTGGCACGGGTTTCACCTTCCCATGTATACAGCGAACTCCGTGCCGCTCTCATCCTGGAGTGTATACAGGTCCATACCTGCGGGTCCAGTCGCAATATAAGTGAGAAGGGGATGAGTCCCTCGGCTCCATTCTCATGGCCTTCTCGGTAAACACAGTCGCCCTTCTTGCCCTCGTTTTCCTGTTGTCGGCATACCTCAAGCGTCGGACAACTAAGCGTCCGCCGCTTCCTCCTGGCCCTCCAGCGGACCCATTCATCGGTCACCTTCGCATCATGCCCTCTGACCAACAAGAGCTTGTGTTCCACGAATGGGCGAAGACATATGGTATGTTCGCCGTCCTAATAGATCGTATTAATTGAAAAGAACCCCTTGAAGGCGATGTGATGCACCTCAAAGTCTTCGGGCATGATATAATTGTGCTAGACAGCGTCCAGGCTGCAACTGAACTCCTCGAGAAAAGAAGTGCACTTTACAGCGACAGACCAAATTTCACTGTCTATACGACGTACGCTCTGCTTACACTCTACACTACCTTCTCGCCCACTCACTGAACACTACCCATTAGTATGGGTTGGGATCATAATGTGGCGTTCTTCCCGTACGGTCGCCGTTTCCGAAAGCACCGCAAGCTCCTACAGTCGTACCTCTCCCAGCAATTCACTGTCAAGTTCCGGCCTATACAGGAATTTAATGCCCGCTATTTAGCTAAAGGGCTTGTGGAGAATACAAGAGACTTCAAGTATTATATCAGCAGGTATGCGTGTAAAATTATAAAAGAGCAGACGTTCGCTTACTGGTCCTCTACTAGATACACCATTTCCGTGATAATGCGCATCGCATATGGCCACCAGATTCTGTCCGATGATGATGAATACATGCCACTAGTGGAAAACGTGGCCTACGCACAAAACAACGGCGGCCCTCCGGGAGGGACCATAGTTGATTATTTCCCTATCCGCATGTCGATTTCTCCTCTGTTGATCATATATATACTCACCGACGCATACTTAGTACAACACTTCCCTTCGTGGTTCCCAGGGACTCACTACGTAACATTCGCTCGGGAATGGAGGTGGGCGATTGACAAGTTGTGCACCGTGCCATTCGAGAATGTGAAGAAGCAGATGGCGAGCACTAACCTACCATCCTACCATCCCTTGACCGCCTGCTTACGCGTCTCCTAGGCCGAAGGTACCGCGGAGCGATCGTTCCTCCGCACACAGATGGAGTCCATGTCCGGAAAGGACCTTACCGACGAAGATATCCAAGACCTCAAAGGATCTGCAGGCGTCCTCTTCGCTGCTGGCTTTGATACGGTAGGTCTTTTCTTTGACGCTCCCTCGATGTCGGCGGAAACAATCCCTGCCCCAGACTTCCTCTAGTCTCGAAACGTTTGTCCTGGCTCTACTCCATCACCCCGATGTGCAGAAGAGAGGACAGGAAGAGTTCGATCGTGTTATTGGGGATCGCCTCCCGACCTTCGAGGACTATGATGCGCTGCCATATGCTGGGCGTGTCACAATGGAAGTATTAAGGTACTCCACGCCCCTACATTAATCTAGTCCGCAAACTCACATCCTATAGATGGCACCCATCCGCGCCCCTTGGTGAATAGTCATAATGCGATGAACTTACTGTCAAGGTGACTAAAGTGGCTCCCGACGCTAGGCGTACCCCACCGTGCGATGGAAGATGATATATACAGAGGTATGTTTATTCCAAAGGGAGCCATTATTATTCCAAACGCCAAGTATATCTTTTCATCCTCTCTATCAGCGGTAAACGCTGCTGATTCGCATTTACCAGGGGTATGAACTTGGATGGGAACGTATACACCAAGCCAACGGAGTTCAACCCTGATCGTTTCTTGCGCAAGTCTGAAGGAGGGAACGAAGAGCCTCCACCGGTTGCCACATTCGGGTTTGGGCGAAGGTAACCTTTCGATCCCAAAAGCAAATCATTCAAGGATTCTCATGAGTCCACAGGATATGCCCAGGACGACACCTTGCAGCCACGAATCTATGGATCGCTGTCGCCACCATATTTGCCACAGTCAACATAACTAAGGCTAAGGATGAAGGTGGGAATGAAATCACGCCAGAAATTATATTTGAGTCTGGAGTGACTAGGTACGTAGAGTACAGTACAGTGGTGTTTGCACGTCCTGACTCACTCCGGCAGCCGTCCCAAGGCATTTTCATGCAACATCGTGCCTAGGTCGGAGAAGATGATCCGTATTGTAGCCAGCGAGTCTAAAAACCCGTCCATGTAGTCATTTTTAAAGATGCAGTCCTTATCCCACTTTCACTCTTACTCCCCATCGAGAGGTCGACTCCACTCCTTGGTCGTTCAACTAGCTTTGGGAAACCTCTTCACGGACTCCGGCAGGTTCATCCGGGCCTACCTTACGAGATATGTCTCATAAGTACTCAATGCGTTCTGAGTCACCTCCGTCGTACAATCGAGGCGCACATCCTATACACTTACTGGCACTCAGACGCGCTAGGCTGAACACCCTAATCCCCGATGCGTCGGCGACACACCTATTTCGATCCATAGTACAACTACGTGCACATAGACCAGTGGAGTCCATCAACGAGTACGTTTCCTTTCTTAAGCTGGGGTCGTCCAGGCAGGAGATGGATGTGCTACTTGTGCGCCTCGCGCATTGGGCTATTCCACAACGACGTCGCACGAAGATGTCATGCTTGATCTCCTACATCCCACAGTTTATGGAGCATCATGGGGAGGCAAGTATAGAAGCGAATATAGATAACATATATACATTTCGTGGAATTCACATCAAGGATTCGTACAACAGCATTCGTTACATTCTTCAAGGAAATCATTTGGTCAGGGGCAATGAAAACGAACAGGAATTTCGCGTCGGCACATTTACGGTCAATGAATCAAACTCGCTTCGGAGCAGAAGCATCAAGCTCAGAAGCGAATGGATCAGCGGGGGCGGGATTGGATAGCGATTCCTTATGATTGTGTTCCTTCTCTTTCATAGTCCCTCGTCCCTCACCACCCTGGCCCTTCGAAGTGGCATGATCTTCGAGGGCGCCCCAGGCTCGCTTCTCCCTCCTAAATACACCAGCACTCGAGCCAGTACGCCTCTCGCGTAATCTTCGCATAATGAAGAACGCAAGGGCCGCAAATGCGACCGTAGCTGCGCTGATAGTGACACCGAGGGCAATCTTAGCACCGTTACTAAGCCCTGTACTCGTGTTGGACTCCTGTGGAGTGCTACCACCGACACCCGGAGTGGGGATGACACTGGGGATGGTCGGGATGTAGGACGAACGCAACGTAATAGCGGTGGGGTACGGCAGCACGTTGGTGATGGTGACAGTCCGTATGGCTACAGTACCAGAAAGGAAGGTGACAACTGGCGGCGCGGAGCGCAGTGTGATCGTCGTACTCGCTGGCCGCCCACTCGTGGTGAGCAGGATGGTTGAGCCAGTGGTGCTGGGAGTTACTAGGGACACCCCATTAACCGATACAGCAGGGCTCGCGTCTTGGCGAGGATACAACGCAAGGGCATGCACCTGAACGATCGCGATGCTGCTGAGGATGAATGGAATGGCGGACCACATCGTTCGAAGGGGAGATGAGCAGCGGGGCGACAGCGGGGGGTCAAGGATGCAGCCATCGTTGTCTGTTTATAAAGGTGGGAGTAAGTCGGCAACTGTTGATGATAAGATAAGGCCACCCCATGACCGAAACGAGCTAGACCTCCTTGTGTTGCACGCCATCAAATGCCGTCATATGACCCAACATACTCGGAAGGTTTGTCTTGAACAAGTCTTGAAGATTCATTTCTTGATTTCAAGTCAAAGGGACTGACAGAAAGAATAATCCAGACCCGAACAATTTCACGATGAGCCCCCAATACACTCCTGCCGTTTGACCTAACACACATGAAATGGGCCGTGTATGACCACCGTGGGTAGAAATGTCGGCATCGTGAAGCCCAATGGCTCTTCGGGATAGAACTCCTCAGAGTCCTTACATATCGGAGTTATATATACCATTGTTGAGGCGTATCATGTATGGAGGGCAAGGGTGCGTGTACAGGGCGCAATGGGGTGTTTAAAAGTGCGGTAATCGTCAAGATGAAGCGGTTTGGGACAGTGGAGTGGTCGAGCTAGATCTGGTCTAGGTAGGCGGACTGGCTGAACGACCGAACATGCAGTATGGGCAAACTGGAAAGTAGCGTAGAGGCCCTCCCGGTGCTCTCTTGCTGTCCCATTAAGCAAGACATACGAGCTTCTCTTGTGGACGCGCATCCAGCCAAACGGGCTCGAAAACAATCCCGACCCCAACTCTTTCCACCAGTTCACAACCCAAAACACTCGTCCCATCTCCTTCCGCCTCAAGAGAGCGGACGGCCATGACATATAGAAACGAAGTAGAGTAACGCTTCCCATGTGCTTCTTCATCGTGTAAATCATTCTGGCCATCAGCGTAAGCCAGCACTATGAACTCCAACTCTGACGACGAGAGATCCGAGGGAAGGTATACGCGACCAGCCGCGTTTTCCGATTTCGGGCCATGTGATGGAAGGATCGCATATAGCTCGTATCGCCCGTCGCCATCATTGGTTGGGGGTCCGCCGGCGAGCTTCAGTACCTTGAACGTCGCTGAGGTCGCGTAGAAGATCAAAGTGCCCTCGGGGAGTCTGGCCAGTTGCGTCTTGACCGTTTCGAGCAATACGACGATGCGCTCACGTCCACTCGGTGGTGAATATCTTGTTACTTGCTTCTCCACGTCGGGAAATATCATCCTATGAACAGGATTCACGTCAAGTTCGACTAAATTTCCGTCTTCGTATATGTACCAAACATCGACGAGTGATCCAGCTATCCGAGGGTAGCTTTCAGCGTTCGACCAATTATGTCGATATTGCACAGCTCCGCGCCACCCCACCCATGCCCACGAGGGCCACGTACCACGCAGGCCAGGAACGCTGCGCCGACGAGTGAACGACGGTCCGTCGCCAGGGTGCCAAAACAACGTCTGATTCAGATCCGTTATCAGCATTCCATACCGGAAAGCCTTCGACGCCCCTCCGCCTAAATTGAAAGCCTTCGCAATAGCCCTCGTCAAGGCCGACACGGCGTCGATGGCGTCGAGCTCATTGGTCAGGTTCCGTTGCGTGTATTCGCGCACCACGACTACGTAGCCCGCCGTGAACTCGTGCGCGGTACCGCCGCGGGGGCGAGTGTTGAACGTAAACCCCCCAATCCCGGTATATCGCAGGGGGTGGTTCGATCCGGGAACGTGCGTGTTCTCCGCAACGACATCCTCGCTGAATACTTCGCGTAGGCATTCGAAGTACACTTGTTCGTCGGTGAAGAAAAGCCGCCGCCTCGAAAGCATCACTTCCTGGTAAGTCCATCCGCGCGTGCCCCAGACGGACTGGGCGAGCACGGATGCCAAGGTGGTCAGTGGGACGCTGAGGCGAAGATTTTGTATTCTTTCGATGCGTTGGTGCCGGGTGCGAGTGCCTTTGCGGAGACCAGGCAGGCCAGCATGCGCGTTGTGCCCCCCGATGGCAAATACGGTCACAAATGACCCGCCGTAAATCAGCTCCATCACACCGATTTGAACAGCCTTGTCTGCAGCACTATCTTGAATGATGCATAGCGCGTCGACCCAGAGATACCGCTCGCCTAGTCGACGGCAGAGTTCAATGGCATCAACAATCGTCGCAGGAAGGATGGATTCGTCTAGTCCTCCAGGAGTCATGCGCTGTGAGATATTGTCTCGCATACTCTGGTACTCCGCGCCGACTCCTCCCCAGACGTAGGACAACGCCACATACCGACTTCTCGGTGAATAAGGGACGATCGCCATCTTCTTGACATCAATCATCCTCACCGACGACGGTAGCTCCTCGTCTCTGTCCCTCCACCACACCTCTTCGCAGACGTCGTGATGGTGCGCCACGCAGAGGTTCAGCCACTTCTTAACGAGGTCGATGGCCACCACATCCCCGACTCTCCTGCCGTGGACATCTGGCCGTCGCTTGAAAACACGCGCGTCTTCTTGCATAAGTTGGATATGCAGCACCAAATTTGAGCGAGCAGCCGATAGAATATCGTACACCACCTGCGGCCTGTCTGACGGAAGGATGATCAGTCGATGGCATAGCTCCCTCTCCGGCGGTCGTGGTGCAATCAGATTCCCCTTGCGCTCGGCATACAGCCCCAGATCCACACCGCCCAGGTCCACATCCGCAGGAAGTTTGTCCAACAACCAGAACCGCTGAAAAGCCGTCTTGATGAGCCCGCACAGCGCGCAACGTCCGGCCTTTGCAAGCACCTCTACCAGTGGTCCCAGTAGTATGGGATGTTCGTACAGAACACCGTGAAGGAGGATGTGGTGCAAGTCGAGTTTTGAGCATGTAGAACATAGAGGGGATTCGGTCTTTTGCTTGAGTCTCCGTGACGGAAATTCTAATAGTCGTCGCATGAGACATCAATTTGCCGAGGCGACTCGCCATGTATTCGATTCTAATGAAACGTCGAGCGACTAAACTTCACATACCAGTCCACCCCTAGAGACTCATGACACATGGTGGTGCAGAAGGAAGGTGTGCTTACGGAAGACCAATACCGGAGACAAAAATAATACAGAGAAGTATGACAAAAAGTGAAGCTGAATACGCGCAAAGCATCCCAATACAAATAACAAGCAGCGTACAAAGCACGGCTGAGGGAAGAAACGAGCAGCGTGCATGATCCATAGACTCACTACATCTCATTCTAACCCATCGCGATAACCGTACATACGCAAGCAGTTGTCGGGAATGGGATTCTAGCAACATTTACCACCCTGGTTCTGCGCCGGCTCCGCGGTGCTGACATTCAATGTCTCGGTTGGGGGTTTGATGGGGTCGGCGGATTGTTCCAGAGATTTGCTCGATACAATCCGGTAGATATCTATCAAACGAGTCGGGACGCTGGCAAAAGAATTCAAACGCGCAAGACTCACCAGTGAGGATGTTCTGGAAGGCTGCCTCGACATTCGAAGCGTCCAGCGCCGAAGTTTCGATGAAAGAAAGCCCGTTCTCGGCTAGTTAACAGTCAGCATCTGTGATTGGACTTGAATGCAAGCAACGCACTAGAGAAGGCCTTGGCCTCTTCCGTTGGAACAGCCCGCAAGTGCTTCAAATCGCTCTTGTTCCCGACCAACATGATGACAATGTTCGAGTCCGCGTGGTCTCTGAGCTCCTTTAACCATCGCGTCACGTTGACGTATGTAGCATGTTTGGCGATATCGTAGACGAGCAGGGCGCCCACAGCACCGCGATAGTAACTGTGAACGCGGTCAAATCAACAAAATCCAGCCCCGCGTTGGGGACAATTAGGACATACGCAGAAGTGATGGCTCTGTATCGTTCCTGGCCAGCTGTGAATTCGCCGTCAGCCTAATCCTAAAAGCGGAAATGAGACTGCTGAGAATGCCCTCTAGACCCGCTCTAACGTCGGGAAATGGCTAGGGCGTCCCAAGTCCCAATAGTCCGCGCCGTTGTGATAAGCCCGACGACGTACCAGTGTCCCAGATCTGCGCCTTGACTGTCTTCCCGTCGACATTGATTGATCGTGTGGCAAACTCGACGCCTATCGTTGATTTCGACTCGAGATTGAATTCGTTACGAGTGAATCGTGAAAGCACTAGTAGAGCGCAAGATAAGGATTAGCTCCTGGACGCTGTAGGCCTGAATTGGCAACGGTTTAATTGCTTACGATTTCTGTATCAGCCCAATTCCCCGTCAGCCGAGCATTACAAAGTTGCAGTCAATAGCGAGGACGTACGATTTCCCGACGCCAGAGTCTCCAATGAGAACGACCTACAAGCCCCGCAACCATGAGACATTTTGTTCTGAACAGCCAGCGGCGAATCCGCAGCAACGCCACGAACCTTGAACAAAAAGTCGTAGTTGCTCCCTTCAGCCATTGATTAAAGATGAGATGCTTGAGTACAAGTGAGAAACGATGAAAAGGTTGGTGAAGAAAGTGAACTGTGAGGAAGCTGTCAGGATGGTAGCGGACTTTGATTTATTGTGAGACCACTGGCCAAACTCGGCACCGACATACTGTCTCAGCGTTCTCCTGTGCTCCTGCGCGTTATCCGAAATCGTGAAACACGTTGCTAATTTTTTATCTACCTCTGTTCAGTGACCCAAGGCTCTCACCTCGTTGATTTACGGTGAAGAGAAGAGCCAACGCCTCCAGCGTATCACGACTCACGAGTATTCAACATTCGCCAATAAGCGCTCGACGAAAGCCCAGCACTAACGTACGCGTTATTCATTACTTCTTCGTAGCAGCCTGTTTGCAAGCCAATCACTTGCTGAACTTAAAATGAAACCTGCATTAAAGGTTTAGTGCGACCCCTTCTCCGCCCATATAGGTAATGTCCCCATCTTGCAACAGAACCCGCGGCCACTGCTCGAATTCTTAGTAGACATCTCCGATTCATAAAACTCAACGGGACCCCTAGCCAAAACCACAGCCTGCTATGTGTATAGTATATACGAATGGCGAGATGCTTGCGGGGATGTCCACAGCTTCCCGCACTGAGTGTTTATCGTGATCTCCGAATTCAAGCCGTGCGTAACCTTTATTGGGGGGCTCACCCTTTTACTGTAGTGAAAAAGAGTATCGCCGCCCTCTTTCGACACGGCCTCGCTACTGGTATATCTTGTGCGTTTCTTGTGTCATGCATCCACAAACTGCACAACTACCAGAGAGAATGCTCAACACCATCTGCTGTGTTCCTTATCTTCGTGGACTCGCTAGAGTGCGTCTAGATATCGTGCTCAGGCTCTTTTTAACGGCGCGCAGCCGCTAGGAAATGATTACTTAGGTCGACTATTCAGTGCCCCAACAAGTGGTGGCGTGGAAGAAATAGAAGCTGTCGAAGTTGCCAGAACTCATCAACCCGAGCGCGGATCCGGCACTTACTTACAGGAATCGTCAACCCTCTGGCAATAGGCACTTGACTCCGCCTCTCGGCACCTCGCTATCACCTGCTCAAATTTCCGACGAACTTTGCCACCGGGACTGGAATGTGGTGTAGGAAATAATACTGGTCCTTTCCGCGTAATTGGTGCCAAGATTGGAAAAGGCTGCGCAAGCTGACGCAATGTGTCGAAGTAGCGGGGTACAGCCGTGGAGAATCGTATACCAACTTATCAAACGCCCAATCACAACCACCTTTTCATCTCGAACCCTGAAAATATATCTCAAAGAGCCCCGTAACATCCAATCGCTCTGAGAGGGGAAGAACTGGCCCTCGTACCTACACCTACCAGGCCTTCGAACACAAACGTGGTGAAACCGGCGTCAGCACTGCTGGACATACCTTGGGAACTGCATCGTGCCAAGAATTCCATGCTCTTGCTGCTGTTGAGCCATTATCTGGGTATCTGGGTACGCGATTCTCCAAATGGTAGCCTTCTCGCACTAAGACTGATACCAACTGAAAGCAGGGGCTGACAGCACGATCTGATGCGGATTGTGAGCTCATTGTTGTGCATCCCTGGCTTGCGACCTTTCGATACCAATGCGCTTCTTACGTTCGCTGCAGCTAGCGGTGTCATCCTTCCCCACTGCGTGCTGAAGGACCTACGGGTCTCCATCTTCACACGTACAGATCGATCGCACTCCTGTGTTGGCACCGATCCACTACTTCACTATGCCCGTGCCCACAGGCACAGTCACTGTATAAATAAGAAGCCATGATTCCCTCAACTTCATCGCCATGAGTAACTCAATCCCTACATTTGCTCCTCCTGTGCTTGTCTTATTGTTGTTGCTGTACCTCAAACCAGGCGTCCGCCGCTTCCCCCAGGCCCTTCGGGGGATCCCTTCATCGGTCACCTACGTATCATGCCCTCTGCCAAGAGGAGCTCGTGTTCCATGAATGGGCGAAACCCTACGGTGTGTTTTATGGTCTACGTCCATCATTATCATCTAGAACAGTTGTTGAATTTTTTTCAAGGTGATGTTATGTACTTCAGGGTTTTGGGCCGCGATATAATCGTGCTGGATAGCGTTCAGGCGGCAACTGAACTTCTGGAGAAACGAAGTGAACTTTATAGTGACAGACCTAATTTCGCTGTCTATACGTCGTACGATCGTTTGAAACTCTCGCTCCCCATTCACCTGCGCACTGAGTACTATTTATTAGCATGGATCATAATGTGGCGTTCTTCCCGTACGGTCGTCGTTTTCGGAAGCACCGCAAACCCCTCCAATCATTGCTCACCCAACAATCCATCGTCAAGTTTCGGCCCATTCAGCTAATCAATTCACGATATCTCGCTAGAGGGCTTATAGAGAATAAAAAGGGCTTCGAGCACCATATCAGTAGGTACGCATAAACGTCTAAAAGATCGGACTTCTTCAAGTTCACGACTCCATTAGATATGCCACTTCCGTGGTAATGCGCATTGCATATGGCCACCAAATCCTGTGATGATGAATTCGCCACAATATTGAACGACATAACATTTACTCAGAACAACGGCGGCACCCCCGGCGCAACTATAGTTGGTTGTTTTCCTATTTGTCCGTCATTTAATAGCTTCCTCTTTTCTCTCAAGCTCAATACTAACCCATACCCAGTACAATCCTACCCTTCGTGGTTCCCCGGGACGCACTACGCCTCATTCGCTCGGGAATGGAAGTGGGCCATCAACAAGTTGTTCGACGTGCCATATGAGAAAGTGAAGAAGCAAATAGTGAGTGGACAGCTACCACAATGACCGTCTATTTACACGCGTCATAAGCCGGCGGTACCGCAGAGCCATCGTTCCTCCGCACACATATAGAGGCGGTTTCTGGGTCTGGAAAGGTCCTTACAAACGAAGACATCCAAGACCTCAAAGGGTTTGCCGGTGTCCTCTTCGCTGGGGGTGCTGACGCAGTAAGTCTCTTATTTGACCCCACTGCGTCAAGCTTGTCACAAGCCTATCACGATTCTGACTATTGAAACAACATGCGCTTCAGACTTCGTTCAGTCTCGAAATATATATCTTAGCTCTGCTACTCCATCCCGAGGTACAGAAAAAGGGACAGGAGGAACTCGATCGTGTTATTGGCCATGGTCGGCTCCCGACCTTTGAGGTAATACATCCACAGCTAAAGTCCAATGATAATCCATGAGGTCGCCCTATGTACTCGATGGCACCCTGACCGTTTCTTGCCTAAGTCACAGGGAGGAAACGAAGAGCCTCCCCCCATTGCCACATTCGGGTTCGGTCGGAGGCGATTGTTTGGTACGACGCAAACGCAGCTCTTGGATTCTCATGTGTCCACAGGATATGCCCGGGGAGACAGCTAGCGGCGGCGAGCATATGGATCGCTGTCGCCACCATGTTTGCTACTGTGAACGTCGGCAAGGCTAAGGACGAAGATGGGAAGGAGATTACGCCAGAAATCATGTTCGAGACAGGCATAACCAGGTGCGTAGAGTAAGATGGATGCTTAGATCTTTTGGCAGTCGTCCCAAGACATTTTCATGCAACATCACGCCTCGGTCAGAGAAGGCAATCCGTATTGTAGCCAGCGAGTGTGAAAGCCTGTCCGCGTAGCTCCTAGATCTCATCCATCGATCGCTCCTTCTAAGCAATCCGTCAATGAATGAATAACATAGAATAATCCTTCTGCGGGGCCTTTATTATCATGAGCACGATCCGTGGCATGCACTAAAATGCAAAGGCGTAGAAAGGATATTAGTGTCCCGCCCTGTTGCTATAGCCTATATAAACAACATGCCACGCATAATACGCATTATCTGTGCTACAGAACACTCATACATAGAACAAACATGAAATGAAATGCGGTCAACATTTTTCATCTTCACCTCCTCCTGTCGCGGTCATCTCTACCATACCTATCCCTAGTATCGTTATACCTCGATGGAGACGGCCGTCTATCCCTATCATCTCTGCCGTCTCTGCGATCAACTGAGCCGTCCCTATAGCCACGCACTTTGGGAGGTGGCGAGCGGGACCGACTGTCTGCCCGACCACGCGGCCGGCGGGGAGATGGGGACCTGTACTTCTGCCGTGGCGGCGGGGGCGGCGATCTGTCGCCAGCAGGCCTGCGAGGCGGACTCCGCGAATCCTCGCGACCCCTGCCGTGACGTCGGGGAGGCGGCGTACGTGAATCAGAACGGTCGCGGCGGCGTGAAGGGGGAGAGGGCAGGCGGGACACCTCTGTTCTTGGCCCGCGAGAACGGCTTGGGGGTGTGTACGAACGCCGACGGCGACGGCCGCTACCACTCGAGCGCGTGTCCGTAGAATCGGAGGACGACGAGTCTGAATCCGAGTCTGAGTCCGAGTCCGACGAATCCGAGTCGGAGGACGACGTCTCCTCTTCGAGCATGGCCCGTCGCTGCTCCATGATGATACGAGGAGCATTCTAGTGGGCAGGTTGTGAGCAAATGGGCGGCGAGATAGCTGGCGATGCATACCTTCAAGTACTCACGCATATCCTCAGTGAGCGCGCCGAGCCCAATGCTAGTGAAGTAATTGATGGAGAACCTCGTGTTCTTCGGGATATCCATGGGGAACATCCCCTCACAGGCGATCCTAATTTCAGGATCCTTGAACCGCTCCGCCAGCTCCTTCAGCCCCATACTCTCCATCATCTCGTTCATCATGATCTTCACGAAGATACGGCTACTGGAGGTCGTGTCGTCTTCATTAATTTTGATGCATCGCATGACCGTCCAGGTGATGGCGTCGGAAGAGAGGAGGTATCCAAAGAATTTGGCGATGTTTCGCAGGCGATTCGTTTCGTACCGATGGATTGTGTCATAGTATGTCTGGAAGGCCTCCTCTAGGCACTCGGTCCATACGCGATTCAGCTTGCTGAACCGTTCGCCAACGAGGCCGTAGAATTTTGAATACGAGCGTTCTTGGGAACAACACTCAATCAACATGTTTATCATCTCGATCTACATCTCTCGTTAGCACCATCTATTACCTGGGCTGAAGCTTAGGTAACGTACCTCCTCTCCCTCGCCCAATTGTACTTTGAGCAGCTTATGTACCGCTTCTTCATAGTTCAATGCGTTCATGATCGTGAGATAAATGATACGGCGCAGATTCACGACATTCGTCCCTGTTCGATCTTCGATGCCTTCTTTCTCTTCGGCGACTAGGAGACGGCGTCTCAGAAGGTTATCATCGACGAACCGTTCTTATGGCTTACCTTCCTGATCATCGTCAGATTCCTCACTCGACTCTTCAGAACCAGAGTCGTCATCGGAATCCTCGCCTAAAATCTCCGCTTTTATGGCTTTGTATTTTTCCTCGTTCTCCAAGAAATTCGCGTCGAACTTGAAGATATCTAACGCATAGTCAGTGTCAAGGAGATGTACAGAAGGCACTGTACGCACTCAGTCCTTCTTGAACCTGAAGCTCCTCCTCCAGCTGTATCTGATGCGTGATCTGCTCATCTTCCTCTACGAGATCCAAACCTTCCGGGAGAATGGGATTGTCTTTGTACTTGTCCTTGCGTACTTGCATCAAAACTTCGATCATGTATTGGACTCTTTGGCTGATCGAGCCTTCGTTGAGGACAGCACGGAAACGTTCGAACACAGTGGCGTTGGCTTTTGGAGAGTTTTCGGCCAGGAATGCACCGACTTCCCTGGTGAAACCGACGGCAATCTCGATGGAGTCATCTGTCGGCCGTTCGAGGAGTAGGACAAGGATTTGGAGAGCAATTATCTCATGCGCGACCGCCTGGTTGACGAGATGCGCTATGAACGTAGTAGTCGAATTGCAGACAATCTGCAAAGAGCATAAGATAATAGCCAATGAACCATCATCGAACGTACTTTATCGTTACGCTTGAACGCTCTCCGAAACTGACTAATCAGCCGAGTCAACACAAGCTCTCCCACTTGCGGAAGTTTCGTGTTGACAATCGAGACCAGCGCAGCAAAAACCGGCGTGAACGGCAAACTCGCAGCCTGCGCCTTCATTATGCTCCGCGCGAAGAGCCCTCTGCCGCGAACGAGATTCTCCCCAAACAGCTCGGGAACGACTTGTTTGATGTTTTGCACATTGACTCGATTGACTATACCTGTGATCGACTTGCGCAGGGCGTCCCAAGAGAGGCGCTGATACTCGGGGCTGGCCTTGTTCCCTGATGCAGCCTCCTGCATGGCACGTAGCCGAGCTGGGGGTACGTACACACCGCCCGAGCGCGAGCCAACGAGCTTCGCAAATTCGGCCAAGGCATCGGAGCCGGGTTTGGGTTTGTCTGGCTTGTCAGTCTTTTCGAGCTCTATGGCAGCCATTCTGGCAGCAAGCTGGCGCTCTCTCTCTGCGCGACGTACTGGGTCGGCATCTTGGACCCGCGGCAAATCGACTGGTGGTGCTGCTGGCGAATGTGACCTGCGGCGACTTGCAGGCGGCCCCCCGTCAATCTCTGGCGATGTGGATCTAAAAGGGTGCATCAGCAAAGCATACGTGTGGTTCCCATTGTTCCTACCTCTTCCTTTTGTGGTGCACGCCGTCCAGGGAAGGGTTCAGAACAGCAGTTGACATTGAGGTGGTAGTGCAAATGTTTCGTATTATAATTCTGAAGAATTGGAAATGTTTGTGACTGTGGGAAGGCTTGATGTGACCGTGGGAGATATGATACAGGGGTAATTCAGCGTGCTCCTAACTTTGTCCCAACTCAGGCTTTGCCCAAACTTAAGTTCAAATCTCTTTGGCCAGGTAAGTGAGCATCTTGGATGTCCCACGCGGCGAAACGAACCCTGAGCTCAGGCATCCACTACATGTGAAGTATACAACCAAGGAACTCACCCAGCGATTGCTCTTCGAGATAGTCCACCGTATCGTCGATCTCATGGACGACCGCAAGCAGGACGGCGACTAAACACCGTTCACCGACGACAGTAAAGGTAGTGAATTCCCTTCTAATGTCGCTAGCCTCTTCCTCGTATGTAGGGCATGGGACGACCATGTCTTCCGCGTGATCGTCATAAACCAAACTATGGACTCCCGGGTCGCCTACCTCCACTTCGACGCCCCTCATCTCAGCCAATAACTGTGCATCGATTACCGTGCGTACACAAAATCGCGACTTCCTTTGTTTCTTATTCCTGGACTACTCATACACAACTCATTGCCATGCCATAACACCTACTCATACAGACTTTCACACTCTCTGGCTACAATACGAATTGCCTTCTCTGACCGAGGCGTAATGTTGCATGAAAATGCCTTGGGACGACTGCCAAAAGATGATCAAGACATGCAAGCATCCTTTCATTTCACTTACCTGGTCAGTCCGGTTTCGAACATGATTTCTGGTGTAATCTCATTCCCATCTTCATCCTTGGCCTTGTTGACGTTTACAGTAGCAAACATGGTGGCGACAGCGATCCATATACTCGCCGCCGCTAGGTGCCTACCTGGGCATATTCTGTGGGTACATGAGAATCTAAGAGCCGCGTTTGGGACGGAGAAAAATCACCTTCGACCGAACCCGAATGTGGCTATGGGGCGAGGCTCTTCGTTTCCTCCCTGTGACTTGGGCAAGAAACGGCTGGGATTGAATTTGGTTGGCTCGGTGTAGACGTTCTTGTCTAGATTTATACCCCTAGAAACTTCGGGTCAATGACCGTATGCTGCGTGTAAGCAGATAAAATGCGGTACTTGACGTTCGAAAAGATGATGGCGCCCTTCGGAATAAACATCCCTCTATAAATATCATCTTCCATGGCACGATGGGGTACACCTAGTAGTGGTCGAACGCGCTTTCGCGTAGCTTCATCGCAACAACTCACCAAGAGGTGTGGCAGGGTGCCACCTACACAGAGTGAGTTCATGGACTGGGCTGTGGTAAATCCGTTACCTTAGTATTTCCTGGGTAACACAATCAATGTAGGGCAGCGCATCATAGTCCTCGAAAGTTGGGAGTCGATCATGCCCAATGACTCGATCGAGTTCCTCCTGTCCCTTTTTCTGTACCACAGGATGATGCAGCAGTGCCAGGACAAATGTTTCAAGGCTGGAAGAAGTCTAAAGCAAATGTCGAGCTAGTAGTCAACATCCCGACGGGGTTATTACGGGGTGAAGCAAGAGACTTACTGTGTCAGCACCCCCAGCGAAGAGGACACCGGCAGACCCTTTGAGGTCTTGGATATCTTCGTCTGTAAGGTCTTTGCCCGAGACCGCCTCCATTTGGGAGTGGAGGAACGATGGCTCTGCAGTACTTTCGGCCTAAGAGGCATGTAAACAGTGGTCAAAGACAGATTGTTGTTGACCACTCGCCATCTGCTTCTTCACTTTCTCGTACGGCACATTGAACAACTTGTCAATTGCCCACTTCCATTCCCGAGCGAATGTTGCATAGGAGGTCCCGGGAAACCACGAAGGAAAGTATTGTACTACATATGAGGAGGTGAGCAATCAAACAAAAGAGAAGACTTGTATATGACTAACAAATAGGAAAATAATCGACTATCGTTGCTCCAGGGGGACCACAGTTGTTGAGGGCATATGCCACGTCGTTCACTATTGTCATGAACTCGTCCTCCTCGGACATAATCTGATGGCCATACGCAATGCGCATTACCACGGAAGTGGCGTATCTAGTGGAGTCGTGAACATGAGAAGTTCGGCCCTTGATAAAACTTTCATGCATACCTGCTGATATAGTGTCCAAAGTCTCTTTTATTCTCCATAAGACCTTTGGCGAGATACCGAGCATTGATCAGCTGAATGGGTTGAAACTTGACGATGGATTGCTGGGTGAGATACGATTGTAGGAGTTTGCGGTGTTTACGGAAGCGACGACCATAGGGGAAAAACCCCATATGAAGGTCCCAACCCATAAGGCTAATATATAGCAATTAGGGAGTGTTACGGAAGGCGAAAAGTGACAAATGATTATACGATGTATAGACAGTGAAATTTGGTCTGTCACTATAAAGTGCACTTCGCTTTTCAAGAAGTTCGGTGGCCGCCTGGACGCTGTCCAGTATAATTAAGTCGCGTCCCAACACCCTAAGGTGCATCACGTCGCCTTCAACTGGGTTAAAACTGTGTTCAAGTTTGGGTCATGAACACACCGTAGGTTTTCGCCCATTCATGGAACACAAGTTCTTCTTGGTCAGAGGGCATGATACGTAGATGACCAATCAATGGTTCTGCTGGAGGGCCGGGTGGAAGCGGCGGACGCCTGACTGTTCGACGCTTGAGGTACACCGATAGCAGGAAAACAAGCGTAAGGAGGAGGAATGTAGTAGTTGAACTACTCATGATGATAGAGTCGAGGAAATTGACATTGTTACCTTCTTACTTATACCGGGAGCAATGTGGTCCAGTACAAACGCGGGTTAGCAATGTATACATGTGAAGATGGAGACCCGTGGGTCGTTCATCGGCGAGCAGTGGGGAAGGGTGTCACCGCTAGCTGCAGTAAACGTAAGAATTGAATTGTATTCAGAAGTTGCCAGTCAGCGTGGTACGCCGATGAACTCATAGCCTGCATCCGATCGCGTTATAGCCCCTTCTCTCAAATGTTTTCAGCGCGAGAAGCTAGCATTCGGAGAAACACGTACACAGATAGCGAAAGAAACTCCCAACGGGAAGGTTCAACGGCCCTTCCCTGCAGTTGCTTGAGAGTTTCCTAACACACTTTTGACATGGGTGGCTCCCACTGACGTACGCACACCATTGGTGATGTCGGTTTCATTCCTCTTTATATCCTGGGGACATATGTATAGGTACGAAAGTCCAAGGAGATCGATGGAATGTCGCGGAGCTTTGTGACATATATTCCCATGACCGCGGCTGGTAGAAGGTGTTCAAGGTGGAAGGGTGATCGCGGCCATTGGAAATGTTGATCTACGATACATGACGGTATCTATAGCTTGTGGAGTATGTCGGACCTTCATGTTACTTGCGCGGCGTTTTCCATCTTAGCGCTGGCAACAAATAATCCGCGCCACCTGTTCAGATATTGAATGGCCCGATCTGACCTTAGTAATTAGAGGATACGCGGATGAGACTATGTAAAACCTGGGTTCAACCTACATGTGTTTTACTTCATATTGGCCTACCATAACGTGTATCGCATTCTCTGATCTACGTAGTAACCGCTTAAATATGCCATGGGAGGAAGCTGGCATATGTTGTGAGCTGCGAGGCTACTATGGCTTTGATCGGCGTTACGATTTGGGCACCACCTTAGCAGGATAATGGATCAGCTGAATCATTACACCAGGGGAACATGTGATTGAAAGAAGTGCGGCCTGCGAGTGTGTTGGTTGGATGAAGGGCTCGAACTCGATATTGATGCGGGAATGAGCGATTATGTTGAGACATTGTTGAGACAAGGAGACTGGTACTGAGAATAGCTGACGGCCGAAGATTGAGACGATGGTGATAGTTAGCCAAAGGTGCGATAAGCGGCAGATATGTATTGTCTGCTCAAGAAAGCCGGCGTAGCCTGCAGTCAGTTATGCGTAACGATGTTAGGAATAGTTGCTCTACGTACCGCCCTATTCTACCGCCATTCTCGATATTCATATTGAATCCATCGAGGAAGCTCGATGATTTCCGTGTAGCTGAGCGTCACTAAGAAGTGCCTGAGCACGCATCTAGCGAGCCCGTGAAGAGTTGGGATGGTTATGCTGTTTGACGGTTCTTGCCACTTGGATCTTGATGCAAGAAACGCGCGAGTTATAACGGTACTCGTTTATGCTACAATTAGAAAGAGTGAAGGTGTAGACAATATAACATACAGCGTCGGATTCAGAGATCACGGTAACCCCTCCACCCTCAAGGTCAATCTATTGATCTGCTGCAAGCATCTCGTCATTTGTAGGATGTATCATCCATATTGAGGAGGTTCAAAATTATGCCGGGCCTCCCGTACCAGAGGCATATCTCACTAGAGCATACGCACTGTGGACAGCTGGGGTCAGGGAGGTTCTGGCCGCAACCTGAAGTTGGGCTTGCGTTGAGTCATGTAATGAAATTTGAGAAAACCTGAGCAGTAGCACCGGGTTCTGTTATAAGACGAAACCGTTACCCATGTAGGATGGTCGTCCCAGCGCAGGATTCGTTTAGACTTGATTGAGAGAGCTTGAAAGCTTTACATTACATCGGCGTTCGGGAAATTCAGCACTGTAGAGCTTCGAGCGCTTATTGGAATTTACTATTCCTTCGACGTGCCCGTTATTCCGAACTGCTCAACAGAATCTGCGCCATCCACGCCCAAGTCGCGTCTCTGAGGCAGACCATAAGATAGTGGCCGTAGAATCTTGCGACCAGACTCACCATTATCTCTTGCAGTGCACCATGGAAGCCCATCGGCGCGCCTTCAGCTAATGACGTTTCCGCCAACTCCTGTGGACTGCATCTTGGACGTTGACAAGGGCGTCGGTGTGTTCTACCAAGTGCTTTGATTCCGCTAAATTGTTGTATTCCTTCTTACAGACGCGGTGCTTATACCACTTCCACACGCCTACCTTGGATCGTAACTGAGAGGATGGACGGCCTGCACGCACTGAGGCTTTGGGGGAAAGCTGCTGAATCATTCTTTCCTAGTTGTTTTATGGATCTGGAAATCAAATAATGGACTTACTAGGTGCGTTGATAGTCTACAGCGTGTTAGGATCCTGCGTCAGGGTGAAGGTCAAATGACCTCGAAGTGGCCACCTGAAGTATGCCAAAGCTTTGGTAAGTTCAACAGTCCCTTTCACGCTATCGCCTCTTTCCGCATGGACGACAAAGAGGAGACCAAGGTCGGTGTACAAATGGTGAGCTGCCGACTTATTGAGGTCTTAGAAAGAAGTCAGTTTCATCTGACTGCTGGGGTATCTAACCTTAGAACTCTCCAGAAGCGCGTCGATGTTCGATGTTCACTGAGGCGAGCTACCTTCATGGCTCGAAATGGAGGTCGAGGTGCCCTGAAACTGGTCGCCACCCCCATTGAAGCGGCCCACCGCTGCGCTCAGGGCTAAGCCAGCTATGCAGCGCACCACTCCCTTCCCCTCGCTCCGCCAACAATAAGGACGTGAATACACGACCACCAATATGTTGACTCGCCGAAGCCCCATGAAGAAAGCTAGTCCTCGGTTTGATCGCTCTGACCCAAAGACTGAGCACATAGTTCTAAGTCCATCGTTCGACGTCGAGGAGGCGAACGACCTTGGAAGACGTCTGTGACTCCCTTGCAACCGGGAGGGACGGCGCCGCATAGGCGGTAGACAAGTGCGCCAATGAACAATCACCACCAGCAAGGTTTCTTCTGCGTATCGTCGAAGGCCTCCGAATCTCTGCCGCACCAGAGGTTCCATTTTCCTTTTGTCGCCGTCAACGTCGGATGCATCGAGTTATCATATTGTGGTGTCATTGTCACCGACCCGATCGCCCGCCGGGTCTCGTTTGGCAACAACAGTCAAGACTATAGCTTGTCTCCCATCAGTTGAACCGCTTTCGTTGGTAGGTCTCGACGCCGACTAGCGAACTGATATCGAAGGACACTGATATGATCCTCTGTGTTCTGCTCCACCCCCTCCGCCTTTGTGTGCGGCTTCTTGGGCTGCTGATACGCAGAAGGGGGTCCTAGCGCGGGCGAATAGTTTTTAGTTGGGATGCGTTGGGCAGGTGGGGTGCAGAATCGCAGAATCGCGTCCTGGCGTGATCGTTGATATCGACTCGAGTGCTTTGACCCAGTGCGCGTTGCCTTGTCTAGATGCAGGTAATGACTGGTATCGGGTGTGAAACATGTCAACTGTGAGTTGATTCCAGCACATATTTTCTCCCTTTCTTTTCCATTTTTGTATTTTTCTTATCATTATTTTATCGTGTGTGGAGCTGATGATCACGAATAGGTACCCTCAAGTACGTTGCCCAGAAGCCATATATACACTTCATTGTTGAATATGCATTAGAAAAAGCCGCGAGCAAGGGGGCACTTGCGCCTGTCCCCCTCATTTTTGACACGGCAACACGGCGAAGGAACTATCAGAGCTTTGACGCAACCCTCAGCTTCCAACGGCCTAGCCTGACTTCGGTACCGAGGATGAATACAACTGACTCCTACGCTTTGTCGCTTCCGTGAGTCAAGTCACAGCCTGCGCTGCTACCTGTCATTGACCCGTTGGTTCGCAGAACACGACAGACTGGCTCAAAGTCATCTCCGATGACGCGGGAATCATTGGCAAAATATCGTTCGAGACGCTCTGTCGAATATCTATCGACGGTGTATGTAGGAGTCACATCAACAGCAACACGTGTTCAAGCTCAGTGAGGGAGGGACAGGGTCGGTACTCCAAGATTCTCAATTCCAAACTCAGCGAACAGTGTGTTTTTCCTACATCTATAAAGGCCTGAAGTGAAGTGTAGGTGTGTTTGTTCATCAACTTCACATCCCTTCCTTTACTCACTACGCTCTCGTATCAGAGATGACCATTAGGCCACCCGACGTAAGGACCCTCTTTACAGAAGACCGCAAAACAGAAGCATCGGCTCGCTGGCATGAAAATATACCCCCCAACGATGTCGATGGTCACCACGTTGATGTCGCCTCGGCAAAACGCAGTTTCAACGAGCTCTTCCGCCAGATGTCCGGCCTGATCACGAAAAAATCCCAGGACACGATGCTAGGTGGCCCGGATGTCGAAAAGGCCGTCGAGGAGGACGCCGAGCCGTTCGATCTTAGGGAGTATCTGACCTCATCAAACGATGCAAACCAGGCGGCTGGAATCAAGCACAAAGTTTGTTTCACCTCGTTTTCCCGGTCATCCATATAGACTTAGAATTTCCGAACAGCGTGTTGGTGTTACATGGGATGACTTAGAAGTCAAGGTAATCGGCGGTGCTAACAGCAAGGTGGGAACTTCCACTAGTTGCGAAACGTCATCATACTCACCAATACATCTAGTTCTATACCCCTACTCTTGCAGGTAAGCATGCACCCTTCGTGAAAGTCCAGGCGCGATAAGTAATTCCATTGCCTAGATACCATCCGTGATTTCGTTCTATCACCCATTATATGGGTACTAAACTTGCTGAGGCCACTGCTGTTTCCCCCACCGCCTCCACCGACTCGCTCAATCGTACAAAAGTGTGTATTTCTATATCTGACTGTGCAAAAACAGGACTGATGTGCTCAGATCTTCGGGCGTATTGAAACCTGGAGAAATGTGCCTCGTCCTCGGCTGCCCCGGTTCTGGCTGTACTTCGTTCCTCAAGGCGATTGCAAACCAACGGGACGAGTTTTTCAGCGTCGAGGGCGATGTCAAATATGCAGGCCTGGATGCCGCCGAGATGGCGAAATACTACAAGGGAGAGGTTGTGTACAATCAAGAAGGTACGTTATTATACTATGCCACCGACGCGATGCTCATTGAACCCCGGAAGACGATATTCACATCGCCACTCTAACGGTCGCCCAGACGCTTCAATTCGCGTTGTCAATGAAGTCCCCTGGCCCTAACGGTCGTCTACCAGGCGTTTCGCGGAAAGAGTTTGATTCCGAGGTTCTCAACATGCTCCTTCGAATGCTCAACATCACACACACATCGAAGACACTGGTCGGCGACGAATTTGTTCGTGGCGTCAGTGGCGGAGAACGCAAGCGTGTCAGCATCGCCGAGATGATGGCTACTCGCGCTCGTGTACAATGCTGGGACAACTCCACACGCGGACTCGATGCCTCTACGGCACTCGACTTTGTGAAGAGTTTGCGTGTGATGACGGACATCCTGGGCCAGACGACGTTCGTTACGCTCTACCAAGCCGGTGAGGGGATTTACGACCTGTTCGACAAGGTCATCGTCCTTGATGAAGGTCGCCAAGTCTTCTACGGACCTCCCTCGGCGGCACGAGCATACTTTGAGAGCCTCGGGTTTCTATCCCTTCCACGACAGAGCACGGCCGATTACCTCACCGGTTGCACCGATCCCAATGAGCGACAGTTTGCCCCCGGCCGATCGGCAAGGGACGTCCCTTCTACGCCTGAATCCCTCGAAAGCGCCTACCGTACATCGGTGTATGCCCTGGAGATGAACACTAGCCGAGAAAACTACAAGATCTCGGTAGAGACAGAAAAACACGATCAGGAAGCTTTCCGGCAGGCGGTTTTGGCTGACAAGAAGAAGGGTGTTTCGAAGAAGAGCCCCTACACACTCGGTTTCTGGGGTCAAGTTCGCGCACTGACGATCAGGGAGCTTCAACAAAGAATGCAAGATAAATTCCAATTGTACACGAGTTTTGCCCTATCAACGATCCTTGCTCTTGTCATCGGCGGCGCCTACTTCGGTCAGCCCCCGACTTCAAACGGTGCTTTCACTCGCGGGAGGTGAGTTGTCATCTACAGCTTTGGCTGCGGTCAATTAACTCAACTGTTCAGTGTTATTTTTATTTCGCTTGTGATTACCTGCTTCGATGCTTTCGGAGAAGTATACATGTCCTGTAATGGTCTAAGCGATAATGCTAACTATGTCGGTAGATCCCAATGGCAATGCTTGGACGTCCAATCCTCCGCAAGCAGGTAAGTACCCTGATTTTTGCCTGGATCGGCGTTGATGTGCGCGGCCACTGTAGACAAATTACAGCATGTATCGCCCGGCCGTTGTCCCAATTGCTAACTTGTTCTCCGATATCCCTTTTTCGGCTCTTCGAATATTCATCTTCGACGTCATTGTCTACTTCATGAGTGGTCTCAACGCCAGCGGCGGTGCTTTCTGGACATTCCACCTCATCAACTATATGGCCTTTCTCACAATGCAAGGGTTTTTCCGCACCATCGGTCTGTTTTGCACCAGCTTCCATACAGCCTTCAGGTGAGCCCAGACGGTACCGGGGAATATGCTTAATACTAAGACCTGGATCCGCCATCGCAGGCTTTCTGCCATAGTCCTTCCAAATGTAAGTGCTCAAATTAAGCTTCAGCATGCTGAACTAAGTCATCGTCTATAGATGGTCGTATACAGCGGGTACATGATTTCTGTCGACAGCATGAAACGCTGGCTATTCTGGATTGTGAGTCCTCATAGTGGAGCTTCCCTGGACTGGACTCATCTATAGTGCAGTACTACATCAACCCAGTTGCGTATGGTACTACGCTTTGCTTCTTCTCTCACGAGGGTCTTCACTGAAATACATGATACGTAGCCTGGGCTGGTTTAATGGAAAACGAGTTTATGCGGATTTCGGTGTGTCATCACCTTTAACACCGACATACCCCACGCTGACGATCCTTGCGCCCCAGCTCACTTGCGATGGTAACTCGGTCATCCCAAGGAATATTCTGGGTGTGTTAGAACAATATCCGTAAGCGTTTTCACGAACCCATTACTCGTGATACTTCATGCTATCTAGTGATGGCCTTGGGCCCAATCAAGCATGCACACTCGCCGGTGCACAAGGAGGGAGCGATGTCATAACCGGCGAGTCGTATATCACCGCCGGTTACGCCCTCAATCCCGCAGACCTGTGGAAGCGTAACTTCCTCGTTGGTATTGGCTTCTTCATCGTGTTCCTATCCACACAGCTTTTGGTCATCGAATACTTTCCCGTGAGGCCTTGTTCCAAGCTCTACTGTTGATATTTGTTGACAAGACTGTCGTAGCGCCATACTGCGTCAGTTGGTGTCGGTATCTTCGCCAGGGAGAATACAGAGACTAAGAAGCTGAACGAGGCCCTGGAAGTAAAGAAGGCAAGCAGGCCAGAAAAGCCTGGAGAACACATCGTCGAAGCCAGAAAATCCAAGGAAAGGTCAGAAGAAGTGCCTTACGGTTGGATGGCGCTGTGGCTAACCTTTCGTGCTTAGCGTTCATGGGAAGCACCGAAAGACCTTCACTTGGGAAAAGCTCAACTATACTGTTCCGGTCCCTGGAGGCACGCGCCGCCTGCTGCACGATGTATTTGGCTATGTGAAACCTGGATCGTTAACCGCCTTGATGGGAGCCAGTGGTGCAGGCAAAACGACTTGTCTCGATGTTCTTGCCCAGCGCAAAAACATTGGCGTTATTTCTGGTGATATTTTGGTTGATGGTCGCCCGCTGGGCTCTGACTTCGCCCGTGGTACCGCTTATGGTGCGAAATCTGGCCTCATTGCAGCGGCCTTAGACTGACTTCATCATCAGCTGAACAAATGGATGTCCATGAAGGGACCGCTACTGTCCGAGAGGCTCTTCGATTCTCAGCGTACCTCCGCCAGCCCGCTTCCGTCCCACAGGTTGAAAAGGACGCATACGTGGAAGAAATCATCGAGCTCCTCGAGCTGCAGAATCTCACCGAGGCACTTATCCTTAGTTTGGGCGTTGAAGCTCGCAAGCGAGTGACGATTGGCGTCGAACTGGCAAGCAAGCCCGAGCTTTTGCTGTTCTTGGACGAGCCTACGTCCGGTCTCGACGCCCAAAGCGCGTGGAACCTTGTTAGATTTTTGCGAAAGCTAGCAAATCAAGGTCAAGCTATTCTGTGTACTATCCACCAGCCCTCGTCCCTGCTCTTCGAGTCCTTCGACCGTCTGTTGTTACTGGAACGAGGTGGCGAAACCGTGTACTTCGGTGACATCGGGCCGGACTCGCAGGTTATTCGCGACTACTTCGCCCGTGAAGGTGCCCCCTGTCCGTCTAATGCCAATCCGGCGGAGTTCATGCTCGAGGCTATCGGAGCTGGTGTCTCTGCAAGAATAGGCAGCCGTGACTGGAAGGATATATGGCTCGATTCCCCAGAATACCAGAAGGTCCTTCAGGAAATCGAGGATATCAAACGCGCAGCTCTGGCACTCCCCGTCGATAATGAGACCACGACATCGACTTGTGAGTCTCAACTTAGTAGAGACTTGATGAAACTAAATGTGTTCCAGATGCCACTCCTTTCTGGTACCAACTTAAGGTCGTTGTGGAACGCAACAACCTTTCTCTCTGGCGCAACCCGGAGTACATTTTCAGTCGTCTCTTCGCTTGCGTCTTCATATCCTTCTTCATATCGTTGACGTTCTTACAACTGGGGACAAGTGTGCGCGACCTTCAGTACAGGGTGTTCGCCATGTTAGTCAAGTTTCCGGTCTGATATACTAATCTCCTAACCACTTTTCAGCTTCTGGATTACTTTATTACCTGCCTTAGTTATGGCTCATATTGAACCCATGTTCATGGCAAACCGAAGTATGTGTCGCCCTCATTGCACTGTACCATCAGCCTGACACAGTGGTTTAGGGATCTTCATCCGGGAAGCGTCGAGTCGAATTTATTCACCATATGTTTTCGCCATTGGTCAACTCGTCGGCGAGATCCCCTACAATATTCTCTGTGCTATCGGGTATTGGGTTTTGATGGTAAGTCGGGGTGTTTCGGTCGGTTCAACACAGCGTGTAACTGGTGCTAGGTCTTTCCTATCGGCTTTGGCCAAGGCGCCGCCGGACTTGATGGCACTGGCCTCCAGCTGGTGGTCCTCATCTTCATGCTTTTCTTCGGTATCTCCTTCGGCCAGCTGCTTGCTGCCATCAGTCCTAGCGTCCAGGTCGCAGTGTTATTCAACCCCGTTATCAATCTGATTGTCTCGACGTTCTGTGGGGTCACTATCCCTTACCCGACTATGATCTCGTTTTGGAGGACCTGGCTGTACGAGTTGGTCCCCTACACTCGTACCATGGCTTCCACCGTCGCCACAGAGCTTCAGTATGTATCCCATCTAAGCCGTGTTGGTGTCAACGTCCTCACAGCTGTTTTTAGTGGTTTGATGATCACCTGCAAACCTGATGAATTTGCCATCTTTGATCCTCCCTCCGGAGAGACCTGCGCCGCATGGGCCAGCGCCTTCGTTTCCGTCGCAGGTGGATATCTAGACAACCCAGACGAAACCTCTGCCTGTCGTTACTGCCAGTTCCGCGTCGGCGACGAGTTCTTCGAGCCCTTGAACATCCGCTATTCCAACCGCTGGCGTGATGTCTGGATTTTATTCGCGTACTTTGTTTTCAACGTCATCGCTACTATAAGTGAGTACTTGTCTTCTGGATCGTTCTCTCCCCTTTCTTCATCGGTGCTAACATTGGTATCTGTCTCCCCTCATTAGTTGCCTCCCGTTTCCTGCGTTACGCTAAACGATAGAAGATACCGCCCTCGTCCTTAGTTACCACGCATCGCATTGCATCTTCTCATCACGACAATAGATTACGCACTTCGTTGGAATTCAAGCAAGTAGTCACGACTTCATCTTTATTTTCGTCCAGTAGTTTACGCAACGACCTAATCGTACACTATCGCTATTGTACACACGATCACTTATACCATCACCTTCGTTCTCCTCATGTGTCCGCTGATACGCTGAAGCCTGGACAGCTCTCGTAATATCCAGTGGTGGCGCAAGGGGCGCTTGCGTGATAGGGGAGACGCTCGAAGCGAATCTGCGGAGCGACTGCTAACTGACATCATACACCCTTGAACTTTTATTTAGCCATGGGGAGTCTGCTTCCTACATCTTTGAGCGATGCCTTCTACGACGGCGGCGACGTCTTCCACCGACCGCGAAGTGACCGACCCCATCACCCACCTCCCCGTGAAGATTCACGATTACACCGAGGTCGACCTTGAACAAATCCCACCACCAAATGTACAGGACGACGAACCACTACCCGACCACCCTACGAATCGCAAGGATGAACAGCGAAAGGTGCAGGCAAACAACAAAAGACACGCCTCCCTCGACGATGCTCTGCTGAGCGAAACGCGCATAGGCAAATGGGTCGACCCCCGCGACACGAAGAGCAGGATGGCCGTTCATACGGCTTTGGTAGCAGGCGTCGCCGCATTCTTCGCCTCACTTTTCTCTGTTATTCTCTCCAATCTCTATCACGGACGAATGGCTGCACCTGCGCGGATGTCTTGGTTAGCGAGCGCGTTAGCATCGACGCTGAGTCTCTCGCTGCAGATACTGGGTTGCGCTGTGGTGGCTGCCGTCGTAGTCGTGGTGTACGTCTACGCCATCGCTCGCATGCCCGAAGAGCTGCCTGTCGTTGAGTCGACTAATGTGCGTTCAAGCTTCATCTCATTGTGTCATTGATGCTGTAACTTCTGCAGGTCTCTCATCCGCGGGAGAAAGAGTCTGCACCTCCAGCTACTGACCTTGATCAAACGACTTGGCTGAACGCCTTTCTCGTATCCCTGTGGCCTATCATCAACCCGACCCTGTTCACCCCCCTAGCCGACATTCTCGAGGATTCGCTCCAAGCCTCGCTACCCGCGTTCGTCAAAGCCGTCAAGATAGCTGACATAGGACAAGGTATCGAGCCTGTTCGCATCAGGCAGGTCCAGTGGCTCGATGCCACACGGAAGAAGAACAAGACCAACAAAGGGGACGCAGAAGACGAGGAGGAAGCGGGGGAGTATGTTTGTCTTGAGCTAGGACTCGTGTATCGTTCGACCCTCCCCTCGAAAGGTCAAACAGCATCTATTGAGACGCGGTCGTCTAATCCCCATATGGTACTTCATATATGGACAGTAGCAGGCATCCAAATTCCCTTCTACATCTCGCTCAATTCCCTCCTGTGTACTCTTCGCTTGCGCGTCGCCCTCACGCCGAACCCCCCTTTCACCTCTCTCGCGACGATCACTCTCCTCGGTGCACCGCACGTCTCATTCTCCCTTACCCCGCTCAGCAGGCATCTCCCCAACGTGATGGACGTCCCTATGCTTAGCGGCTGGGTTAAGCAGTCCATTAACGCTGCGATGGAGATGTACGTCGCTCCTCGTAGTATAAGTCTAGACCTTGGGTTGATGCTTGCCGGTGGTGAACGCGTGGATACGGAGGGCGTCGGTGTCGTTGTTGTGCGAGTCATATCTGCAAGCAAGTTCAGAGCCGGGGATCGGATGAACGCGTGGAAGAACGTCGTGCCAGGGCTTCATGCATCAGCGCGCGAACGTCAAGGCGACTCGTATGTTACGGTGGGTTGGGGGAAGTGGGGCAAACCATTGGGGAGCACTAGGTTCGTACATACTTTCCGCGTTTTCTTTGGACTGAAGTCGTCAACTTGTTGGCAGGATTGTCGATGACGAAGAGGTGCCCGTCTGGGATGAATATACTTTCCTCGTGGTCAGCCCAGCAGAGCTGAACTCCCATGAAGTACTCCAACTCCAACTATGGGATGCTGGTCAGCTTCTTGTCGCCCTTGGTGTATGATGCGTACTAAATGATCTCGCAGATAGGTTGACGGCGGACGACAATCTCGGCAACGTTGCCGTCGATCTTCGGGAGCTCATGACTAGTGAAGACACCCTGAAGCGCATGGCTAGGCGAGAAGATGGCTTTACGGATATCGACGGCTCGACTGACTGTCCGGGGACGATGATATGGGAGGTTGGATATTTCCCGAAAGTGGCATTGGCGACATGGTTGTTCGATATGCATAGATCTGGGCGAGAACATTGGCAGGCGCCTGCAAAGGCGGAAGACAGCGACGAAGAAGATCCTGCATACGCCGCTGAACGTGATATCGAGGGAATGGATGAGCGCTGCACGAATAGAAGTGGGCACACTAACACGGCGAATACGTACTCCCTTTCGGACGACGAAGACGTGCAGAGCTACGTCAAGCACGAACTAGAGGGAAAGGAGAAAGACTTTGGTGAACAAGCTGCCGAGATCATTGGAGGGACGCCGCCGCCTGACCGGTGGTCGAGCGGCATCTTAGCCGTAAGGATTGAGCAGATAGATGGCTTGGAAGTAGAGAAGATACGCGCGAGCGGCTCGGACGCCATTACGACGGAGGGCGAAGAAGAAGGCGAAAAGGATGGAGGGGAAATGCCGAGCGCGTACTGTGTGGTTGTTCTCAATCACGAGAAGGTATTCAAGACACGGACGAAGATGGTCACAGGAAAGCCGTATGTGCGTGTCTTGCGTTCATTCGTGGGCGTGATGGTTAACGGCGTTGATCTTCGAAATAGTTTGACGCAGGCTTCGAGCGGTTTATTCGAGACTGGCGATCCACCAGCGTCATCATCTCTGTAAGGGATAGCCGGCTGCATGAAGTCAACCCTCTACTAGGTGTCGTCGACTTGCCTCTGACGAGGCTTCTGAAACATCGTTCCCACATAACGGATTCATTCCCACTTACCGGCGGCATCGGCTACGGCAGGGTCAAGTTGTCGGTGACTTTCCGCGCCGTGGAGATGACTTTGACGAAGGAGTTGCAGGGGTGGGACACAGGCACGCTGGAGGTGATGCCTGGCGTTACCATGATTCGCACCGGGCAAGTTGACGACAGCGATATGGTCGAGCTACTGAAGAAGTGCAGGATATCGGTGCACACCACATACTCTAAACAGAGACTGGTTTTGACGGCTGATGAAGATGTGGAGGCCGCTTGGAAGGCAAAGAGGGCCAGGAGTGTCAAGTTGGCTGTTAGACGCAGATATGCAAGTTGCGTCGTTTTCGAATTCAAGAAGCACGCACTAGGGCCCGACTTGAAGCCTGCGTTCTGTGTGTTCTGGCTGAAAGACATTCCCGATGATGAAGAACTCGAAATGACCTCACCTGTTCGACACAACGAGGACGACGCGATGAACCGGGCACAGAGGACTGCCGCAGATGATATCAGCGGTATCGTTGAGGGTGTAGAGTTGAGGGTGAAACTTCGGTTTTGGCGTGGGTTGAGCGGGTACCATAAGAAGATCGCGAAGAAAGACCGAGACGTCGCTAATGTGATGGACGTCCTGGATTGCGCCGAGGAGAGCCATGGGCGAGGACGAGATGGTTTGCTAGGGGAACTCTCGGATACGAGTTCCTCGTCCTCTTCGTCCTCGTCCGACAGTGATGAGGAAGCAGGGTCGCATGGTGTAGGGGGCGTGGTCACACAAATCAAGGAGGTGAAGCGGAGGAAAGGGAAGTTGCATCGCCGGCACCGAGGGCTGATGCAATGGAGTGGGATGAGGAAAATGAAATGGGCGGTCAAACAAACGGAGGAGAATGTTGGTAAGGTCCGCGACAAGGTAGCAGACAAGGTTACGGGGAAGAGACATGCACGCAAGGACATGGGGATGGAAAGGGAAGTATAGTGGAACAATAATTTGATATGACACTTCTTTCTACTTGTTATCTACGTCTACTCTATGGACTGTTGTACTCTTGTAATCTATACGTGAGAGTCTCTATTCTAGCATCGGAAGAGGCTTTAAGGAGCGTGGGCCTGTTAGGACGACGACATCTAAATTAAAGAACTTGGATGTAAGCTATGAATAGCAGCCCTGTGAATGGCGAATTCATTTTGGGTTGTTAGTGCCCTTCTTTCCAGGCACGAAGAGCCAAGCCAAGGCGATGAGGAAACGAATCCCAGTGGCTATACCTAGCGTTCCTGCGGCACCGAGTTGGTGAAGCAAGGCTCGCGCGATGAAGCCGCCGGTGAAGATAGCCGTTATGAAGATGAGTTTGTGATCTCGAGAAACAACCGACCGGTTGATGTGGAACAGACGAGGATCATTCATGAGCTCAATCCAAACGGTAGTCAGTACGACTGGGGGAGAATGTTAGCATGTACAATGCGTAAAGGTTGCTGGATGACTTACTACTGGCGGCAAACTCGGTGTTAAGGCGTTTAGCAACAACGCCCTGAAGACCCATGCTTGCACTCATGAACCCGATGCATGCGAAGGTTAGTGCATGGGTCCACGCTGGGTCGCCGCGTTCGTCGGCAATACTGAAACGTGTAGGTCCGTCTCTGGAATCTTGGCTACTCTTCCAAATGGTGATGGCGGCGGCCATCGTCAGTAAGGACTGAACGAAAGTTGCGGAAACGAGCCAACGGCGTTTGTGGGGTCCGATGCGGTCACCAATGCGTCCCAAGAAGGCCCCCAAGAGGAAGGTCAGAAAGGAACAAAGAGCGTGTTGATCGGGGTTCCGGAACGCGGTATCCTGCGGGGTCGAGGAAGGCCCTTCAAACGTTTTGGCAACGGCTAAAGCAAGCTGTACAAAGTCAGCAATCACGTACAAGGCGCATATATGCGCGTAGTTTTGCTATGGGGCAGAAATAAATGACTCACCTGCACGAAATTCCCAGTTTGAAATCCACACCACACAAAGACGGCAGAGAAAGAGATCGCATCGCTATGAATTGGGTCAGATCAGATAAAGAACAAAGGCGGTGAGAGTGCATACATGAAGCCCGTCATGAAGCAGAATGCGGCCAGAATGCCAGTGGCTCTCGCTGGGTCGACCTCAGAGTCCAGATGCTTCGACAACGACGAGCGCCGCGTCGGCGGAAGTCCTGGAAGATCTTCTGTGTCCGTTTCTGATTCTGATACTGAGCGGGCATAGCTCGTCGACGGGGTCATTGCGCCGTAGGACTGAATGTGATGGCTGTCAGAGTTGAGTTTGGTAGTTGACATTAGAGGGAGGAGGAGGAGGGGAGGAGGAGGGAGAAGGTGGTGGTAAAGAAGAGAGAGATAAAGTACAGTCGGTAGCCGGCATTAGGAAATTTTAGAGGAATCATGGACATCATCTATGGAGCAGTCGAGGCGGTCTGCGTCGGCTCCAGTCGGTGGCACGAGCGGAACCTGTGCTCCGACAGTCCTCCGATGATGATCGAACCTCGTGGAGTCCCGGCGCTTACCTTTTCAGGTTCCCTCCTAAAAGAACACCGGCGCAGGAATTCACGAGAACTTCATGCTCATGCACCCTCAGACTGCCTGAAATAATGCACGCGCACGGGCTCAGCACGTTGAGCAGCCATGAACGACCTTGAGCAGCGCGCCAGGTGATTTTATGATATTTGTAGTAGATTGCCGGGCTTTCGGCCAGTCCCTTGTGTGAATACAGCCGTAGAAAGTCGGTATATGATTGGGACGTAAATCCGTCAATATTCCTATGGGTTGGTACAAGGGCCAAGGGCATCAGATACCATTGGGTCTCCCCAAATGGAGGCAAAGTGCATATTTCTTGTGAAGGAACTCCAAAGATAGCAAGCCAACGGGAAGCCGTCAAGGCTTTGCTGGCAACGAAACTACATGCAGATAGCTATAAAGAAAATGATTGGTCCTCGACGATTGTTGTTCCGTTAAGCAAGCTCGGCAAATCCCACTCTGTTACCTTCCAAGTCAAACGCGGTGTACACGTTCTGGAGGAACACATCCCCAACAATCCACCCGACTAATATTATGTGGTGATACCGTCAGTAACGTTTACTATGGCGAATTCGGATCTTGTACTCACTGCTGCCTACTTCAGCACTGGCGACTCCGGCCACGCAATCCTCAGATCCTTCCTCGACGGCTCCCAAGCTAAAGGTTTCCTTCGTGACAGGGAATGTCTTGCCCGCAAAGGTCAAGCTAATTTCGGGGATGCTCTTGCACGGGACCGTATAGAGGCCTGCACCAAGCGTGGACGCCTCTTTGGCCTCTGGGATAGCTTTGTAGAATTCTGCAACCTTGGACGGTTCTCCGATGATCTGATCACAGGGGTAATTAGGGTGCATCAATAGGAGGGAGGGGGCTAGGGATTCTCACAAGGGTTGTTCCGGTATCGATGATAGCAGCACTCTTCTTGATTGCGGTCTCATTGCCGGCACTCATAGAGTCCATTTCAACCATCCAGTATCCCTGGCGATGATTGTTCAGCACGCCATGTACTCCTCATTGAACGCAAGACTTGCCTGCTTTGTGACAGGGGCATACGCGAAGTCACCCTTGTATAACTTGGTGTTAAGTCCCCCGAGGGTCAGTTCTGAGCCCTCCTTCGCGAGTTTGAAAGCGAAAACGGGCTTGGAAACTTTCTTCTGGCTCACAAAGGACTGGAAGACGGGGGAAGCACCGTATGACGATATGCTCTCGTATCCCATTCCCATAAGCCCGTCTGCGGGGAAGCGCTTCGATGAGAAGCCTTCGGAGTACTCCTTTGCCGATCCGAGAGTCTGTGTCTCGGCCTATGAAAGGTACAAAGCTGGTCAATCGATCGACCAAAAGAACAAAGGACTGCGGTACGTACAGTGACTCCGGCGATTATCACGGTGTCTGTGAACTGGAGGCCATTGACGGTAGATCCATCTCCGTATTGCAGAGTGAAATCCTTCTCTAACGCTTTGGAGGTTTCGGATTTCGAAGAATCATATAATGTGTGACCATCGCAGTTCTTCTTGCAATCAGAGCCGGGGAGGAAGAGATCACTGCTGCCGGTGTCGAAGTCGACTGTAAGTTGCCGTCAATGTCTTATCTCATAGAAAAAGTTTAGAGAAAGGTGCTAACTCTTGTATTCCACAGGGGGCGTGCCGACGGAGATGGTTCCATACCACAAGGAAGATTCAAAGTCCACGAGCGGGTTTGAAGCGAATTCATCGGCGCGTTTGCGAGACGTAGCGATGGGCTCGACAGACATCCGCTTGCCGGTGTTCCGCTCGTATGCAGCATTTCCACGCCGAATTTTACTGCAATAATCTTGCAGTCAGCCAAAGAGTTCCAAACATTCGGACGAATATTAAATACCCTTCTACATAGCGGAGATGTTGCTTCAAGGCATCAAGGTTGACGGTCCCGCCGAGGCTCAACTTCGAGTGCTTCGCAATGGGTATAGACCTCCGTGTATCGTGAGGCAGAGCTGCCACGAAGAAAGGGAGAAGGACCAAGAGAGTGGCTGTAGAAAGACGCATATTGCAGAGAACCAAGGAGCCAAAGGGTGAAGGAACGTATTCCACTGGATGTCTGCTTCATTTCATCGACATTCGCCGTCTTAAATGCTTTTTCGGGTCGCGTAGAGCAGACGGTGTCTTGGCTGTACGTATGGGAGGGTGGGGCCGAACATTCTGTTCATACGAGCCTCCGAAGTCGACACCGCGCGGAATTGCGAAGGTATTTCTGCTCGTCGCCACTTCCTTCTGTTGTGTACAAGGCGTCATAGTGTCATACGCACTGAGAGCATATGACATCGGTTGTGAATAGACGAAGACGAGAAATCACAGTGCTTGTAGTCGTATGCAGGCCTTGACGACCCGCGAAGAGGCATGTGTCGACGTGCTTATCAACCAAGCGAGGGCGAGAATAGTGGCGCGCTTCTATTATTAGGCTTGCAACTAGCCAGAGGATCGGCCGTGGATATCTAAGTGTTGAGGTGAGGGTCGCAAGGAACTCGTTCATTGAGGAGACTTAGAATACAATATCCTTCATGCAAATAATACGCACATAGATGTTACAGTTTGATAATCACAATAGCTGCCAATTGGTGTCTTTCCCTTCGCCACCCAGTTTCTTGGCCTTGCCATCCTTCTCCAATTTCTTGAGGTGCAGATCAACGCTATGAGCAGCAGGCGCCCAAAGGGATTCCGGGTACGCAGCATAGATAACCGAAACTATGTTCCACGTCGTAGCAGACTGAGGTGGAGCAGTTCGCTCCTCAGCAGTATTCACCCCTCTGAGCACCTGCACGATCTGCTCCTCCCTTTCCAACCTGTGCTTGATATAGGTACTGATAAGGCCTGTGCCATCTGGGACGACGGGCCCATGCCCCGGATACAGGGAGGCGAAATCATGTCCCTCCGATTTGCCGAATTCCAGGAGGCTCTGAAGACTGCTAATGTACGACGCGAGGTCTTCGAATACTGCAGTGCCCTGGCCCAAAATAGTATCTGCTGTGTAGAGCGCTTTGTCCTCCTGGACGTATAAGCAGATCGAGTCGACAGTGTGGCCGGGTGTATGTAAGACGTGAAGCGTGCTTGAAGGGGCGGCGACAATCTGACCATGGCTAAGGTCATTGAACGCGTTGCCACTTTCACTGGCAGTATAAGAACCAGGTGGCAGCGACGCGATTATGGACGGCAAACTGTTCGTAGTATGGGGAGACACCGTTGCACTAGCCGGCGCAGGGAATTTGTGCAGCCGAGGAGGTTTGAAGGGGGCGTCGCCATTGCGTTCCTTCCAGAGTTTTTGCAGGATCTCTACGACGGATGGCAATCCATCTGTGTGGTCGTGATGCCAATGCGAGATGATAATGTCGGAGATGTCTTGATCTTGAGGACTATCTAGCTTCGCCTCGTCCCGCAGAGCCGATTCGAGCACCGGCACATATTCCGGACGACCTTCTCCCGTATCAATGAGAATATATGGATTCTTCTTTCCGATAAGATACGTGTTTGTCCCTACGGTTGTCTTTGAGATACTCTCTCAAAGGGACCGACGTTCAGGCTTACCTTGCAAGGTGAACTTTCCAGGGTTCTTGCGATATTTACGAGAGCGTTAGACTCTTCAAGTCGGCTCTAAATGGATATTGCCGCATACCTGACCCAAGACTCGGACGACGCGTTCGCTCAACTGCGGAAAGCGTGAATACTGTGTTGCTCAAAGTCATTCGAACCTACCCGAGAAACAGATCCCAGAGTCTCGAGCTTGTCCATGGAAGTAGCGAACAGAGACAGCACACACCAATTACCGGCGAACTTGCGCCCTTTATCCGGAGACGGATGATGGCGACATAACCTTGATTTGGAAGCAAATTCCTCATCACGTAGCGTTGATAGAGAGTACAAGGAAATAATATTATATGCGATGTTGGATTACATGACGTGGACCGGTGGTAAGTAGCAGGAAGACATATAGACGGACGTGATGACACAACATGATGGGCGTGAAAAAAGAAACCGTGACATAGAACATAGGCGTAGACGTGAATTCATAACGGGGAAAGGTGATGAGACAACATTTACAAGTCTTCATCATCGTCAACGTCTTCACCTCTCTTCTTGCGTGCCATACGCTCCTTCTTGGCTTTACGTTGCTCAGCCGCCGAGAGTTTCTTTTGCTTCTTGACATCGATCTTGTTGCCCATAGCGTCGTATTGATCATCGTCTTCGCCACCCTTCTGGTCGATGCGGGGTCCTGAGCCCTGGCCTTCAACCCAGTTGTGGCCGGATGCCTCAAGGTGGCCGTCACGCATGGCCCAAACTCTGCGGAGGATGTCAGTCTATGATCTCAAAAACTAATCAAGAGATGCACGTACTCCTTGCAGATGGATTCGGAGAACTCTCGGTTGTGAGTGATGATGAGGACACCACCCTCGAAGACCTTGAGTGCTTCAATGAGGGCAGCAAGTGATTCACGATCGAGATAGTCTGCACACCACGGGTTAACATTAATTCGGATAGACCAGCTCATTAAGACTTACTAGTTGGCTCGTCGAGGCAGATGATGTGAGGGCGACGCCATGTGGCAGCTCCGAGAACGATCTTGACCTTCTGACCACCAGAGAGACCCCTCATGGTGTTGTGAGTGACGAACTCGGGCTCAAGACCAAAGTCGGCGAAGTGCTTCTCGATCTCCCGGCGAACGAGGGGACGAAGGAGACCGGCACGCTGAGCCTCACGAGTATCGACTTCAATGACCTTCTTCTCGAAGCCACGCTTGATAAGGTCGTCACGGGGCAACCAGATGTTCTCCGATGAGCTGAGGCCCTTGAAGGAGACTTCGTATTCGTACGATTGCTTCAACTTCTTCCTGGTGATAATCTCGTCGATCAAGCGTTTCTGGCCTTCAACGACAACGAGAGCACCGTCCTTCATCTTCTTGGCCTCCTCCTCGCTGATCTGGCGGGTTGCCTTGCCGAGCTCTTCCAAATCCTCACCAGTCTGGTAACGCCAAAGCATGTACTCGAGGGGAGTCTTGTCGAGATGGTTATCGATGTGGTGGAAGGCGTGCTGAGCAACGTAACCGATGACCAAGTTGGGGTGCTTCCAGATCTCGCCACCCTTGTTGGGCTCCATATCACCGATGAGCAACTTGACGAGGGTAGACTTGCCGGAACCGTTGGGCCCGAGGACAGCGACACGGGAGGAAAGCGAGACTTGGAGAGTGATATCGTAGAGTTGCTGAACGGCTTGCGTGGGGTACTGGAATCCGACCTTGCGCATCTTCAACAGCGACTTCTCTTTGGTCTTGACACCATCCAACAAAGGTGGGTCGGGGAGCTTGAACCTGTAGTCTTCCAAAGCTTCGAGACTATAGTACGACTTGGCCTCAGGAACGGCCTGAACGAATTTCTCGAGATTGCCACGATATCTTCTGAGCTTGAAGCGGTTCAGGTGGAGGACATCAGTGATGGTGTTGTTAAGGAAACCGGAGTCGTGGGAGACGATGACTAGGTAGATAGGTCAGACATTTGCATAACTTTCATAGAAAAAAGACTTACTCGATGTGCAAGTGGTGAGACTGGTGAGGTAGTTCTCCAACCAGGCAACATTGACAACATCCAAATGGTTAGTGGGCTCATCGAGGAGGAGGATGTCAGCCTTGAACAACATCGCGCGAGCGAGGGCGAGCTTCATCTTCCAACCACCAGAAAGGGAGCCAATTGCCTGGCTCTGACGCTCATCGTTGAAGCCGACGGCGGCAAGGGCTTCGATGGTCTCTTCCTTTGTGGCTTGGATGCGCTTATCGGTAACGATGAATTGTAGGACAGAAGTGTCTTCTTCGCTGCCATCGATATCGTGCTCGACGTAGAAAGTACGAACTTCGTCGGGGGATGGGAAACCTTCGACTTGACCGTTGGTGATAGCCCTCATGAGGGTAGACTTTCCGGTACCGTTCTTGCCACAAAGACCGTAGCGGTGACCACGCTTGAGACGGAGGGTGGCAGTATTAAGAAGGATCTTGGCACCATAAGCAAGTGAGAACTGGCAATTGCACAAGTCTTCGCCTTCTTCCTCATCCTCGGCGACTTCCTCTTCGTCGTCCTCAGCGGCAGATCGGACAACCCACTCACGAGCAATAGTAACGGGTTCCGGAGTCGAAGCAGCGAAAGCGAGGTAGGGAGCGAGAGTGTCCCACTCAGGAACGTCGAAGTTCTTTGCGTTGACGAGTCCTGCAGCCAAGTGAGAGGCGTAGATGATGGCGGCATGAGCTACGGATGGGGCTGCGCCGAACTTCTTGTAGATGGCAATCAAGGAGTGGGCAAGAGGGCCACTCTCAACAGCCTTGTGAGGAGGAAGCTCAGAGCCGTCGCCATGAGGCACTTCACCAACTTGGCGAAGGGTGGCGATTGCTTTACCAACAACGCCACGGGCCTCGGGGTCTCCGATAGTGGTTTCAACCTTGATCAGTCCGGGGAGGAGCTTGGGGATGAAAGGTCGAACAGTAACAGCTGAGTCGACGAGCTTCGCCATATTGTCGATGATGCTATTAATATCGTGTGAGTAAGCAGGAAGTTTTTCCGACAGATGGGATCTACATACACGGCGACCTTGCGCTTCGTAGCGGTGAGCTTCTCATTAAGACCACGCGAGAGCAGGGGGACCATGAGGGAGAGGGTAGCCGAATCTACTTCGGAAACGAATGTGGTGGCCGAGAGGAGGGCGATGGTGCCCGGAACCTCTTCGACGGGGTTAATCAGAGCTTTGATAAGGGCAGGAATAAAGCGTTCAATGTCCTTGTTCGAGACCAGTGCAGTGGCCTTGGTGAGGGAATCACGAGCAGCTTTCTTCACGTCGGCTTTGGTATCCCAGATAGCCTCAGCAAGAACTGGGACGATCTCGGGCATGAGACGGGCAGTCTGGACCGGGGCGCTCTTGACCAATTGGTTGAGAACGGTAAGCGAGCCAGTCTTAAGCTGCCATTTGCCGGCGGTTTTGATCTCGTGGAGAAGAGCTGGAAGGATAAGGCCAGCGGCCCAGGGGTTCATGGCCGAGACGTACTCCTTGACGGCCTCGATGGCAGCTGTCCTGACAGCAGGCATCTTATCGGCGAAGGCCTCGAGAAGGGCAGCGTAGATGCCAGAATCGATGAAGACGGGCTCTAGAACCTTGATGGCACCATCAACAACGAGAAGTCGGACAGCATCCGCAGCACCCTCACGGGCAGCGGGAGATTTTTTGTCGGCCAGAGCCTTGACGACGGCGTCAGTGAAAGCGATGGATTCCATCGCGCCAGGGCCATCTTTTTGGGCGAGAGCAGTAAATGCTTTTGCAGCGGCCTCGCGGGTAGCCTTGTCGGCAACGAAGAGGGCCGAAACATCGAATTGGCCTTCAACAGGTGTGGTGTGCATAGCAGCCTTGAGGGCAGTTGGAGCGGGAGTAGAAGCAGCGGTAACAGCAGGCATTTCGTTAATCTACGATCAAAGATAAGATAATGAGGAAATTTGACGCAGCGACAGCCAGTCAGCGCACCTTGAATGTTACAGTAGCTGAAAGTTTCTAGTCGTCTAGATCTGATTATTGCAGACGAAGGCTGGTAAGAACACTGAACGCTCTATTTCTAATGGATTGGCAAAGTGCCTGATTTGGAGTCAGTTTCGGTGGTTTTGAACAACGTAGAGGACAGCGGCGCTCACCTCTATATGGAAAACAAGGGAAGAAGACAAGGGAGGAGGGGAAAGGTGGGGATAGAAATGGCGCCTCCTAGTCAACGTTTATATCAGAGACTGGGCGGAGCTTGAAAAAATGCTATGATCTGTCGGAGAGCCAGATTCGGCGTGAAAAAAATCAAAGTTTGCATGGCGCCTGACTTATCTGCGGGGAGGATGGACATTTCCCCGGACTCGGCGTTTTTTTGACACCAAGCCCCAGCCCCATGCCAGCTGGCGATGCAAAAGAGGGGAATGTAAAACACATTTCACATTGACATTGGCTAACGCCGACTCTGAGCAACACAGGGCATCGCGGCTACTAACTAAATCTCGGCACTGGCAAAGCTCAGGGGAGTGAAAGCCTGCATTTTTACGACACAAACATAAAGCAAGCATTGGGCACGCCCCATCAGCACCAAGGCAACGTTGCAGATGGAAGCATTTTGACTTACATATCCGCCTCCCTCGTAGTGCTTGCTGTTTGCTTCCACCCAGTGCAACCGAACCGCGTGCAGGAACGCTGACAAGCCCTGCATTATCAAGAAATCATATCAATCATCCATCATGACACTTATCTATCAGTTGACGCACCTCCATAATGCACAGGATGAAGATCGTCAAGACGAACCAAAGGGACCCGACAACGAGGAACGCAACCCAACCTATAATTCCCACAGGGTTCAGGAATCGCTCGATTGTCATCGTCCACAGCACTTCAGATAACTGAGCATGAGCCAACGACAAGGCCCAGAGACGTAAGTAAGAGGCTGTATGGGAGATGCAACCGAGACAGAATTCAATCGTGTGTATGACTTGATGGATCACAATTTCGCCAAAGTCGTGATGTTCCTGCAACACATGGGGTAAAATAAAAACGTGTAAGTGGAAACCGCAATCAACGTGCGTAAAAGGAAGTTTAACATACCGCTCCTTCGTCCGCATCTTCGGCAATCGCTCTGCCATTCCCTTCTTCCTCCCCCTCAAGGACATCATCTGGCGCGCTTCTAGGGCCGTCGTCTCCGTGTAATCCAATATATCCCTGGCCCTCGTGTTTGTTCATCTCCTTGTAGAGGACGTAAGGCTTCACGACAAGCATCCAAGGCACGCATACAGCAGCAAGTAGAAGCAAGACTGTTTGGACAAATCCTTGTCCACGATAAAGTTGGGTTTCAGCATCGATCGTGCCGGGGCTCAAGAACATGAAGATAAGCATGTTCAGGAGTGAAGGAGGCTGAGTGTGAACATTGGGTGAAGACCAATCGATAGACCACTTGTAAAGGATGCAGATCGTGAGGTAACCGAAAAGAGATTGCAGGAAGATCATCTGGGGTACAAAGTTTGCCCAGATATCGAGGGGGCGTTTGAACCTAATGTGGTTAGGGACCTGGAGGCACAAAGCAAAAGTCATCTATGAAGAAGTTAGCTACCTGCACCAAACCGCGAGGCAAGACATTACATGGATAACACCGAGCACAATCGACATCTTCATCTTGTATGAATTGACAAAAATGAGCTGATTGTCCGCGACATGCCATGCAGGATCGAGACCGAAAGGGTAGACATGCCCGTTGGATACACCAGTGCCATCTTCAGAAAAGTCCCATCCGGAGTGGAAGAGATGGAGTGACTTTGAGAAAACGTCGTTGTAGATCAGACCAGTGTAAATTGAGAACATGCCCATTAACAAAATGATGTAGCGGCCGCTATGAAATCGGTCAGCGGGAGCGTTCTAAAGCCGCAAACAAGCCACATACTAGAAGAATTGGCCAATGATCTAACGTCGGCAGGGATAGTCGCCAATTTTAGCAGCACTACATGCATACAAAGATAAGGAAACTCACCTCGCCGAGGTCGACCTTTCCCAGCTTACGCTCGGAGAGAATCATGTACAGCGCGGCCAGGAAAATGATGACCCCGTGACCGATATCACCGAACATGACGGCGAACAGGAATGGGAAAGTGATGAGGGCGAACAAGCCGGGGTTCGCCTCCTGATATGTGGCAATGCCGTAGCTGTCCATGATGCTTTGGAAGCCTTCGGTGACTTTGTTCGTACGATTGTATGTCGGAGGCGTCTTGTTAGTCCGCAGTTCGTGGAGGATAGGAGGAACAGATGTCCCGGATTCTTCCTGAGACCGAGTCAGTTGTGCATCAAAAGAAGTGATGGTTGAGTAGAGCTGACCGTAGCGTGTCGAAGGGCTAGCTGAATGACAGGAATATCCCTCGTAGGAACCCAGCCCTCGGCAATAAGAGTCTTCCTCCGGACATCGTAGTTGAAGAAGTTGAGAGTCTCGTAGATAAGCTTCTCTTTCTTAACCACGTCTCGCCAGCTAGCTAAGCTTTCACCAATCCTGACAAGCTCAGCCCGCCTGCTTGCGCCAGTGTTGTACAGGACCGTCTCCAAGTCCTCGAGCCTAGAAGTAACTTCGCGCAGCGAATCAGAGCGTTTGTCTGCGTTCGCGTCAATGGGGTATAGAGTTGCGCCCATGGACTCTGCAACCTTGCGGATCTTTGCCAAGAGGGCGTCACCGTGCGCGAAGATAATGAAAACATTCTTGAATGTTTCGGCATTCGTGGCGGGGTCGATGAACGGCTCGGCAATGTCAATGTGGTTCATATAAAGATTACCACGCAGCACGCGCCATAGCACGCGTTCGAAGGTTGGGACGCGGATACGGTCGAGCGTACCAGCGACGAATCTAAGTCATTGGTTAGAGGCAAGAGTGTCCATGGGTGTGCAGGAACTTACTCGATGTCAAACTGGAGACTTGCAGTAGAAAGTTGGTTCTCTCGATCATCGTGTTGCAACAAAGGTGCAGAACTATCATCGAATGAGCTCCGGATTTCTGGTTGCTGATTTTGCGCCTGCAGAAAGTCGGTACAATCCAAAAGCGTGACATAGCGAACTCACTCTGTCGAAGAAAACCGCAGTTTCGCGCAAGACATGACGGGCTTCGATGAGTTCCTTGGTCCTCTCACTCAGCGTCTGATAGCTTTCATTCATCTTGGTGAGGCGCAGCTCATGCTCAGCAAGCGTAACATCCAGTTCGTCAATGGTCTGCGCAGCACGCGGGCCAACAGTGATGAGCGGTGAAGAGTCGTACAGCGGGCGTATTGGAACCACATCCTTCTCCTTATCAATCTGCGTCTCGAAGAAGCGAACGCGTCGCGCCATTTCGTCAATACGTCGAATTTCGCCAACAAATGAGCGTTGGAACGGATTAACGTTAGGATTTAGCTACGCAGCTATATTAGAGATGCTATTGGGTGATAAAGAGTCGGGACATACATCTTTGAATTGCACATTTCCAAGTTCACCGAGTTCAGCGACAGTGTCATGGGCAACTTCGGTTGGTACAAAAAGTTGCACCAGGCTCATCTGCTCCGAACCTGGAAACAGTCTTAGAGATAATAGACGAACTGAGACCACTAGTGTACTCACGGAACAGACTAGGGTAATCGTCCGACATGCAAGGTAAGAACAGGAACAGAGGAACGAGCGGACGATGTTGGGTCGATGTGTGAAGTAGCACGGGTTGGTTCTCGGACGATGCAGGTTGTTTGTCTCTGTTGTCTCGAGGCATGTCCAGCGCTTAGCCCCTTTATACCCCTGTAAGGACAGAACCAAAGTTACAGTGATGGGCAAGCGAGTGGACAAAGCAATATATAAGTTGACACATTCTACAGGAGCAATTCCGAGTATACCCTCCCGTCTAATTCTACCGATTGCAAGTTTGCGAGTTGCATAGCTATAGCTCGAGCGAAACCAGTCTCCTTTTGGCAGTCTACTCCCATACCCAATGATAACACTCAGATAGCTAACGATTGTAACTTTAGCATTTTATATATTCAACATCCTGCTGGTCATGTCTATCCCCATGCGCTCTCTCCTTTCGCTTCTCGATTACAATCGCTGACCAGGTTGCATGGTAGGCAGGCATCCTTCGCCCAATTGGAGCCAGTCATATCTATGCTAGGAAGCAACTGAGATTGTTCAATGATGGAATCATCCACCACTGGGCTGTCGATGTCTCCTGCTGCCGCAGCATCCAGTAGCGAGGGATCAAACAGGGGAGAGAGCATCGGCATAACCCTAGGGGACATGGCTGAGCGATACGGCTGCCCAGCCTCGCATAAATTCCGTCAAAGAATAGGCGTCTGCGAGGGGATGAGCCATCCTCGCACCGATGGCGACCGACCCACATACGATGGCACGCAGGCTGTCGAGGACCTTCCGTTATGTAGAGCTAGCGGTGTAGTTGGAACCAGCTCGGGGATTGGTAGATCCGTCACGTCCCAGCACCCACCCCTCTGGTCGCCAGTCCCTCCTGGTATGAAAGAAGAAACCGATCTGGGGGACGTGGCCGTTGTGTATCCTACGCCCGGACCCTTCTCGGTCCCATAGATGACGGAGAGTCGCCCATACCGACGACGATGAACGCTGTCGGAATGAATATTAATGAATGGTCAACTCTTGTAGACGTCCAGCCCAACGTGGATAGGCATCGAGCACCGTAGAAAGCGAGGCTTTGAGCCGTGGTCCTGAAATCGGCGATCGATAAGGCCAGATGGCTCAGGCCGTCGGCGCGACGCGTGAAGTAGTAGCATCCAGATTCCAGAATGGATAGCGCGACTTCCTTAACGTCTCTGACCACCCTGCTAGACTAGGTTTGACTTCGAAGGATTGCATTCGCGCAAGTGCGCAGGAGGTATATATACCTGGTGATTTCCAAGAAGCGTAACAAGGAACCCGTGAGCTCTGAATGCAAGTCAGTAACTGATCCCAAGTATTTCCGTTACTTTCTGTTTTCTTTTTCTTCGAGACGTGGATTGGCCCCAAGGTGGTGGAGGGCAGATTTAAGGTAGACATTGTATTACTGACCGTGGGAAATGCTCTAGAACTAAAGCCTAAAGCTTAAAGTAGCACTAGTACTGACTGTGGGAATTAACTGCACTAAGGACTTGATTCAATAGAGAAACTCATTCATTGACGACCATGGCGCCCCTCCCTGTTCTGCTTCCTCCTGCCGCGGTTCCAAGGCAACTCAACGTCCCCCATGTCGAATGGACACCCAAAAAGTACATGTCCGAGCCGCAACCGCCCCCCCTCGATGAAATGAAAATTACCGAACAAGAACTAATAAATTCGAGGCAAATGATTGACGGCAAACCCATCAAGAAGACGAAACCGCGCCGGACTGTAGACTACAATAGTGGGATGGGTCGCTGGTCGCTGGTACGCTTCCTTCATTCGACGCAGTCACCAGCACTCACTCTAGGTGCATTCTAGCTTCGAAAACATCGACCCGCTTCTACGTACACACCGTATATGAGGCCTAGTCCTTCGTATATCATAGATGTACGACAAATATACATGATTCCAATACCCAACTAAACCAAGGGAACTTCAGTTATTACCTCCCAAAGCGTACCCGGAGAACGCGTCCACCTCCTTGTGCACCAAATTTGTGCACACTTCCACTAACAAAATCAGATACCCTGTGAACGTCGTCACGGTCCGTCGGTACTCCTTCTCTCCCTCAATTGGTCTGAATGTATCCCATAGTGGACGCCCGAAGCGCGGCGCGTGCTGACCGGATCGACGAGTGGAGAATTCACGCTATGGAACGGTTTGACCTTCAACTTTGAGACCATCTTACAGGCGCATGATACCGGGATATGTGCTATGCAGTTCACCCATTCCGGTGCTTACCTCGCATCCACGGACAAGAGCGGCGTCATCAAATACTTCGAGCCCAATATGAACAACCTGACCGCCTGGCAGGGGTCGCGCTCGAGGGAACCCATACGAGGCTTGAGCTTCAGTCCAGACGATCGACGGTTTGCCACGGCTAGCGATGACTCTACCATCAAGATTTGGGCTTTCGAAGAGAGCAGAGAGGAAAGCACGCTCACGGGACACGGCTGGGACGTTAAGTGCGTCCAATGGCATCCAACCAAAGGACTCCTTGTTTCCGGTTCAAAGGACAACACCATCAAATTCTGGGATCCCCGGACGGGAACAGTGCTATCCTCGTTGTAAGCCCGTCTCATTGTTTCTGTCTATGGCGTTGATCCCAAACGCATTCCCAGACATCCCCATAAGAACACTGTGCAAGCCGTTGCATGGTCGCCAAACGGTGATCAAGTCGCAAGTGCTTCAAGAGATCAGACTGTCCGTGTATTTGATATTCGTGCAATGAAAGAATACAGTGTCCTCAAGGGTCACAAGAAGGAGGTTTGCTGTGCGTCACCAGTCAATCGTTGCCGCTCAATCCATACATCTAACTATTTTATAAATATAAACCAGCGGTCGCTTGGCATCCAGTCCACCCAATCCTCGTCTCAGGAGGATCCGAGGGCTCGATGGTCCATTGGGACGTATCCACCCCAGACTCCCCCAACCTCAACAATCCAAATTTACAATCCCAGCCACGCGCCACGCTCTCTGAAGCACACGACTCCAATGTTTGGTCGTTAGCCTACCACCCTCTAGGCCACCTCCTCGTCAGCGCATCTAACGACCACACAACTCGTTTCTGGTCTCGCGAACGACCGGGGGATACGTCATCAGTATTCTCTGCTGATGGTCAGAAACCACCAGAGATGAACGATACGGCAGGCCAGGATGACGATGAGGATACCATGGTTCCTGGGTTCAGCTTTGGTCAAGGATGGTGGGGTAAAGGTGAAGACGGTGCGAATGATGGTGATGGTGGGCGCGGTGATGGTGGAGAAGAGGGATACACCATCCCGGGCTTTGGTGGCGACAATTCAATAGTGAAGACCGAGCGCCCGATGCCTCCCCAGGAGAGCCTGTATGGGGGTGGCGGTGGGGGTGACGAATCTAACTGGGGAAGAGGTGGCGGTGGGTCGAGGCATGGCCGGTGGGGTGGTCGCCGTGGACGCTACTGATATTTATTTATCGCTCTGTATTCGGATCGTTATCTGTATCTGTATTCAATGATGCAGGAACTGGAGATGATCTAAAATTACTTCGTAATCAACTGGTATCTAATATCCGTTTGTGTGTGGAATCGTGAATAAAACTACAGATGTACAGAGTGGCGACGTAGGAGACGTAGGAGACGTGAAATCAAAAATTATCGTAATAAAGAATAAAGACCCGTTACAATGGTAGCCCTCCAACCTAATGAAGAAGGGGCGACCATGTATGGCATGCAAACAAGAATACAAAGGTGTATGCGAGTAGAAATGTAGGCAGCGATGGTAGGATAAGGGCGTTTAGGGGATGGTGGGTAGATAGTGGGAGATACGCGACGGGACCTATCGTACAATACATGAGTGATGCATTCGAAATAACAATAATCAAAATGGGGTTTGCAAGAGCGCGGCGAGTCAGGCACGCTGATACATCCCCGTTCCTAATCATGGATATGCGATAGTTAACGTGTGGAGCAGTGGGAGTGGGAGTGCAAACGAGGCGTTGGTGAATGGCGAGTATGGGAAGGAGGAGTCAGATCCAGCACCAGAAATGCAATTGCCGTGAGTGCCTTTCATTAGGCTGCGATCGGCGTTGGAGACCGAGACCCAAGCGGTGAAGTCCTGCGGTCGACAGGCGTGGCTGACCCACTCCGGCAAACAATCATATCATCGCTATTCGACCGCGCCGTCAACGGCGGAGAGCTAAATTTATGAGCGGATCCTTGCAGGCGGGGGGATTGTGATGAAAAGAAATCGTCAACGCTGGATGCGCTGGATGGGCGTAATGGAAGAGTGTCGGTTCCAGTATAGAAGCAGAATCTTAACAAGAGATGAAATAAGTAACGGAACTTGCAGTTGCTGACTGAAGTACACTCACTTGTCAATCAACTGGCGGTAATCAACCGGCGCGTTGGCCGGAGGTAATTGATCAACGAAGCCATCAACGAGTGATGTGAAAGCGAAATCGGTAGGGGACGGGGTTGAAGATCTCGAAGATTCTGAAGACGGGATGAAGGTTGGTGTTGAGCTTTCGCTATCCCCGCCTGTCTCTAGAGCGAACAGACCTTGGCGTGGTGTCAAATCCAAAGCGGTTGGTGTAGAGAAAAGCGGACGAGGAAGGAGGGAACCATCTGAGGGTGGGAAGGATATCGACCTTGGGCTCGCCAGTCCCGAAACACTATCCACTGCGGTTGACTTCGGCGACCCAGGCGGTGTCTTCCGCACTCCAGTTTCAAAGTTTGCTCCTACATCAAAGTAGCCCCCGCGTTGATGATTCCTCGACGCCCGTTGCTCTTTCGCCACCGGAGGTTTCATAACAGGAAAAGGGATGTTTTCCGACTCCGGTGAAGTGTGTAAACGGGTTCCCACCAAGCGGAAGTGGTCGTCGTTGGACAAGTCTCGAGGGGACCCCAGCTCAGCCTTGCTTTTATTGTATTGCGTAGTGGGAGTAGTGACAATTTTACTTGGCCATGGTATGCTGGTTTGTGATGGAGACGTGGACGGGTGTGATCGAGTACGAGAATGCTGCGGGGGAGGGGTATACGCTGGCACAGGCGATTTCCATGGTGCACGAAGTGACGAGCCCAAGTCATAGCGAGAAGCTAAAGACCCATTTGTCTTGAACTCGAGGGGCTTGTCACTGTCTGATGAGCTTGAGCTCGAGTTAGATCGTGAGCCAGGCTGCCGCGAAACTCGAGGAGTTGGCGTAGCCGGGCCTGCCTCTCGCCCCCGCACTACCTTCTCAAGTCTAACCTTCAGATCAGCGGCGTCGCTAGCAGAACTCGAGTCATCGGGTCGATTCTTTGGCTGTCTTTTCGTACTAAAGATGGCTTGGTAGTTCTGGCAGCTGTTATTGTCCCATGTTTCCTGCCCATCAACCGTATATCTCAACGCCAAGAGCAATGTCTTGCCGTCGATACGCGCGAGCAAATCATTGAGACGAATGGAAAATGTGAAACGGTCGAAGTTCTTGTTGATTGGTTCGGAATATTTACCGAAGACTTCGCTCGTTGTTTGCCATGCGTCAAAAGTAAATCGAACTCCCAGTTGTTTGTGATAAGCGATATTCTTTAGACGGACGCGCCCTTCGATGCTGGTCATGTCCGACGAAAGCTTCAACTCCTCCAAGGCAACGTCGTGAACGGTGTTGATGATGATCGGCATGTTGGTGACTTTCATCGTCAAATTTCGTCGAGCGTTACGCTCGTCGGCGCTCCCGAAGATGAAAGACGGGAAGTCGCTTTCAGTGCCACTCGTATCATCTGTGGGACTGCCGTCGCGGGAAACTGCCAAAGGCTTCTGTTGGGCGAGAAAGAGCTTAACATGCTCTAATTTCGCGTCAAAGTGAACAGCCTTGGGCGTGGTGGGCTCGCTTTTGCTGGGGCCGGCAAACATCATCACCGACAGACTAGCACGATCTGAAGACTTTGACCTCTTCAACGAAGATTTCACTAGTTGGCCAGACTTCTTGCGAATCAATTGGGCTTCTACGGCTGGTGGGATTTCGAATGAGTCCTCCCCGGATAAGCCATCAATGCGCGATTCGGATAGACTTCTGTTCTTTAGCGAGTCGAGATTGAGACGAAGCGAAACTCCAGGTTGATAAGTGAGTGGTTTTGACGTCGAAGCACGAGGTGTAGCATCGTCGCCGGTGTCCAGTAATGGTGGATGATTGTTGACATTCGCAAGGGAGACAGCAGGAGTGGGAGTCGAATGTTCCGGTGGACATAGGGTGGGAACTGATCGTGAGGGTACGACCCTCCTTCTCACAGGAGGAGTGATACCGCTCGCGGCGGTCGAAGCAGTAGGGAAATTAGTGTTGAAGGAATTTTTTGGATATTCCTTGCTTGGCGAGGGCCCTTCAACAACAACTTTAATGGGCGTGGCGTTAGGCGGAGAGCCCTGTGCAGATGCAGGTGTACTATTCGAGCGGATGGCAGAGCGACGAGGGATAAGGGGAAGCGGGGCCCCCGCAGAGTTCGAGGCCAAAGAAAATGGACGACCCGGCGTCGGAGACATTCTGATATGAGTGGTGGCAGACATAGTGGCTATCATAGTAGTGTGTACGACGTCCAATAGCCCGGCCGACGTCGATACCAGTTCGACTAGAGTGCTATCGTTAAATAAGAGGTCAAGAGGGAAGATTGTCAGTAATCTATAAAAATAGGGCGTATGCATCTTGGGGCGAGGCCCAGAAACACAATCAGGCAGCCTAGAAACTCACCTGTGATCAAAACTGTTTAGACCCCAAGTGCAACACGAAGAAAAGTCTCGAGTCTCGACTAGGCCCAGGAAGGTGAACTCCGGTGCACGCTGTGCCTCAGGGTGCGCTGATGGCGAGTTTCAGGAGGGATCCACGAAGGGCCGTCGGCGTCGTCGTCGTCGATGGCGGCGGGGAGGAGGAGATGGTGATGGTAGGAGAAGAAGAAGGGGATGAGCGAGCAAAGGGCACTGGCCAGGGCGTGACAGGAACCAGGATGAAAACCCTACAACTCAGATTTTATATATTGCATTTTGGATCTGAAACCGATATTAATATCCCTGGTTGTCAAACCGCTAAATTACCGCTTATGGTAACGCTCGCTTCCCTGAGCCTAATTCGACCAAGGCGGTGACGCTTCAGTTGCGTCACAAATTGCGATTTACCACCAACAAAAGTCCCACTCCTCACTTTCCTCTGAACTTTCTACCGAAAGTTCATTTTTACTCTGTAATTGCATGATAAACCACTGCATTTCCTATTGTACGGTGGGCGGTGTTAAATCTGATAAGATATTCTGCAAATCTCTTATTTCCGCTACTGCTGCGACCAGCTCGGGTCATTCTGCGCCTGAAGGAACATCACAGCGGCCCTCTGGATATGCAGAAGCCAAACGCCAAATTTTTGGGCATCGTGACGGGCGTGCGACGCGACAAACGAATTGACCCGCAGTTCCCGAGGAGGGCGAGATAAACATCGCCACAACGTTCGTGCGCATTCCTTATCACGACGTATCGCGGCGCGCTGGCATTTTACCAAGACCACACCGATGCCCCAAGATATTTTTAATATCTCTGACGATACGGATACACGGCTTGTGAATTATCGAATTATTGGTATGACGCTTTGATGATCTTGAAAGCCGACTGGGCGGTTTGACTACTAGTGGCGGTTCTTCGGGGTCCTGGCACCCCGTTGTCACTGTCACGCTCTATGATACTTTCCCTAACCCTTGGTGAAGGTGGGTGGTTGGCAACTCTCTGGCAACTTGGACTTGACATCGACGGTGGACGAGTGTCACATACGGTGAGTGTCTATTTTCTCCGAGTCAAAGACCAACTTGAACGGTGCTAACTTGCTGACGCTGAGCACTGAGGTCGTGGTACGACTATTACTGCTCGAAATTTTTTTGGTCGCATTGCATTGATTCAGGCCATAGCAATAGACGTCTGCCGACGGGATACCGCTGCGACCAGACGGTCGACCGATAGTTTTTCAAGTTACGGCAGGTTATCGATGGAATACCACGGTCGCCGGCGACGTCAATAGGCAAAAGACTACCAAGAAAACTAGAAGTCAGTCCGCCATACTTGTGGGAAGCCTTCTAACTGGCTGCACATCAACCAACGTTGGCCAATGGTGATATGGATTTCACCTGCAAGCGAGGCACCTTGACGTCTGAACCACACCCAATTCCAAAGGAGGCCCTGCGCTCAGGTCAACCAATGCCACGGTCCCCGACGACGCCCACGACAACTTGGCACTATACCAAAACGAAGTGGCAAGCTTACGGTCTTACCCCGCAATAAACGTAGAGGGACTTCACAGTGATTTGAATTTTGCCTCTGACTCGGGTTTCGGGACGTTACTGGGTGGGTGTGCTGTCGCTTAGGCCAAGTACAAGGCCTCTAGAGACGATAACACTACGATGACTAGAAGGTGGAAGCACCTCATGTGTAATTTGAACACTGCGTCGACTACAGCGATGGGTCAAGAAGCAGATCTTCACCTCCGTCCGCACATCGCTATCACCTGCTCTCCGAGTGAGTACCTTAATCTACTTCGATGTAATCACCGTTTGAGTTGATATCTGACTGAATAGAATGGCGTCAGCACCACCGGTCGACTTGCTGGCGAGCTCCTTGAGAGTAAAGCACAGACCACCGCAGGAACAGTCCGATACCCCAGTCACGTCCATGCCTCGTCGGTGTGCTGGCACTCCACTTCCGGGTCTTTTCCTTGGCCTGGTAGCTCCTCTCGAGTTCTTAGAATGTCACTGGGACCGACACTACACCGTACTCCACATCAAGCGGTCTCACGAGCAAGGCGTCGGCCCTACGCAGCTGAGGACATATCGGAATGAAGTAACCGCTTCGGACATCGTGTTTGCAGAGTATCTCGGCGTGCTAAATTTTTACGCCGTTGATGCAACCTGTGATCAACAGCCTCCGAAGACTAAGTAGTGGATAAAACAACCAATCGCGGTGTGCCAACCCCCGCGAGTGCTGGTCTTGCCTACCAGCCACTTATCTCAGCGTTCTACCGGTATATATATCTACGTAGACCACTCCTATTCAGAATTTAGGGCACTTCTATGTCTATTCAAGAAAACAACGTCACGCATCACGCTAGGACCCCAACTTATTGCATGATAACATCTCACTAACTCTGATAAAGGAGGAGCGAAGTTCTACTGAATCCGACCTATGGTTGCCTCATGCTGGTCAACTGACCGCCTGTTTCTTGATGTACTGATTGGAAGGACCCGCAGCACCTTCTCTTGCTTATCGTCCATTGTTGAATTGCCATTACTCTAAGCAAAGAACCTAGGCGTACCACGACCCTGTGTGAGACCCTGTCCCGATGTCGCTGCCAATCATATCACTCCTACTTCGGCGTACGTGGAATCACTACCATGTGCACAGATGTGAACGCATCGACCGTCCCTGGTAACCGCGATTGGTGTGCTTCTTGCATCGAGTGAGTTCTGTGCCGCATTGGGGACGAGGAAGAGTAGTTTGGTGCCACCCCGTGTGCCAGTACTAGCACTTGCGATGTCAGATGTAGTGTCAGATGATACCGAGACCGCTGCTAAGTTCAGGCTAAGTCATACCTGCTTACTACGCTAGAGGGCCTCGAACACTACACCACTCATCTATTGGTACGCGAGGCGAACGTGTTTGCTTGGGAACAGTATGGGACAAGTACGCCTAGCACAGGAATCGCTGAATCTATGGTTGCCGAGGTCCACGGATTGGTGGTCCGGAGTTGCTGTGTTCGGAAAGAGGGTTAGCGACATAGGCGATTCGAACGTGGTCGAACGTTCAACGTTTTCGAACTTTCTTCGTGATACCATGGTGGACATTAGAATTAGGCTCACCCGGTGATTTCTCAGCGACATTGACCCGTGGAACCCGGACCGCATGCGCTGACTAGGCTGTTGACGCTGAGTGCTGCAGCTGGTCCCTATTTATCGCCGCACCACCAGAGGAACTTGACATCGGGCCTAAGGAACATCTTTTCCATGGCGAGTCACGAACCAATCACTGATTTTGGCCAACGGAAAGAAGCGAAGCAGTCAAAAAGCCTGATGTCCGACGGTCAGATCAACAACACGTCAATATTATTGCTAGCAGGGCTGATCATCAACTCCAACATACAACCGAATACCTGAGTGGGTGGTTGGAAATCGCGCGGATGTGCGGACCGAGCAAGCTTTTGACATTGAAGGGTACCAACTTGTGGGGAGAATGCGGGGAAAGGGTTTTGAACATATATAAGAATGATTTCCTGAGCGCGATTGGCCTCAAAATGGTCCTCAGCCACCACCGTAACACTTCGCCCGACGGCTACACGGATCTTCGTGGTCGAAGCGATGTGACAATGGGCGGCCATCTACACATATTGAAGGGGAGGTAAATGGTCCGTCGGATTGGGTCGCGCGACGCGCACGCGTCACTTCGCGATCGTTCATTAAACCCCTTCGATTAGATAGCGCTCCCTCGCTGAGAGCGCCAGTGGAAGGCTGGATTTGATCGTACCCAGAGAGACCGCACCCCGAGCATCATTGAGGTTCAATCTTGCGTAAATAGTCTCCTGTGATTCAACACGACGCCCGGGATAAGTTTGATCGATCTCGGAAGTTCAGAACGGCGAGTACCCACCAGCAACGGGAAAATGATGACCGAGCTTCTTCAAAGCTTGGATGAGCGTGTTTAGCATCGGTGAGTGTGTAGTCTCATCGGATATCTCGGCACGGAGGACTTTTGCGAGCTGATACCAACACACCTGTATTTAGATATAGGTGATTAACGGGACGCAGAATCACTGGAGGAAGTGGAACGTACACTGATGAATGGGTCAAGAAATTCATAGTCACCATCACTGAGTGCTTCAATCAGGAAACCGCTCGTGTTGATTGCACTAAGGATTGCCTGTTTCTTTCTTGCTGGTAGCGGGGTGTGTGTTTTGGCGATGTAAATCGAAGTGACGTGAATCAATGTGTGAACGAAGAGGAGCTCAACATCCACCAGAGGATGATGGGTCCGACAGGGTTCCTTTCCGAGGAAAGGAGGGATTGCTGAGGTGAAGGTTTGGAACGATGCGGTGAGGGCTTGAAGATCGGCCAGAAACTTCTCCCCGTTCCGAAGCTCTAGTGGGTCTGCGTCGTTTAGGTTACTGCGGAGGTTAATGGAATGAGAGGAACTTACAGTCGGCCAAATGATGAGCGCGCTCATATAGTGCTACTGATTTGACCCGAAGTGATATAGTAGATGTTCGTACCTCAAAGTGGGTCTGCGTTAAGAAAGAGCTATAATTAATATGACGTGACATATAATGAGATAAAGATAGCCGCAGCGGCGCAAAGCACGACACTAACGTACGGTGATAGACATAGAAAGGGAACCAACCCGACCTACAGGTACTAGTGTCGTATCTGAAAACCCTCCTCCTCCAATGACTGTCGGAGACAGCCACGGAGTGATGAGCTTATCTTTGGGTGTCGTTCCATGGGGAAGTGCCACGGGGAGCCCCAGAGCAGTTGACCAACACCGGTCTATGGAAAACGCCTGCCAGAATGCAGAGACGCGTTCTCTCCATTCGGCGGCATCCCCAGGTGGATTGATGGGTATCGATGGTAGATCCTCTCGTGGCTGGATGAATGTAGACGAGGCACCAGTGGAAGAAGATTCGTCAACGGCCAAAGAGATATCTGTAGCGCGCAAGCGGTGGAGACCAAGCCCGATAGCTAGCCGGCAAGCTGCATAGGCATGACCATATGCCTCAAGATTGCGTCCTTTGGCGTAGAGGTACGAGCTAATGAGGGAGGATGCCTGGACGATGTCTACCAGTCGTTCAGACACCGCGAGGGCTGCGTTGATATCCGATATTGTCTGTTTGAAAAAGGCTTCTTCCCAAGTAGACAAGCCCAACGACGGTGAGAAATGGCAGCCGAGCAGATATATGGCATTGACTAAGGCGGGATGGAAGGGCTCAGGTTCAAAACACCCGAAGGACATTGTCAAAACCTTGGTGACATCTCCATCAAACCAACATTGGTGCCTGTGTGCTAAGAACGCGTTGATACTAGACATCTGGCGTCAGCGTGGAATCATGTACGAGAGAAGGGGTCAACATACAGAGAAGTTTTCACGTCAAACGGGAGATCCTGCGGAGGGATTGTATTCGAGGGAGCAAGGTTGTTGATCGCAAGGGTAAGGTCGTTGAAACCAGGAGTCAGAGAATTAGGCGGCGCGCTGCCGGTGGCGTTGGTGGAAATATCAATATCACCCTGAAAACTAGTGTTCACCCATTCAGGCTCTACTTCCTCTAATATGTTGTCGAAAAATGCGGCGTCTTGTGGTAGGATGATGCCATTCGGAGGGATGTGGCACTGTTCTGCTGGATCGGAAGTCTGCGTCAACTCTGACAGTTCCAGTCCAGAAGCAACACTGAAATCGGCGATTTGATTGGCATGGGAAGGATCGGCCACGACCACATGGTCGAAGCCCGAAGGTTCTGAGCTGGGTGTTGGATGCTGAGTACTGGAGGCCGAGGTTGAGCTATAGTTGGAGGGGTCCCGTCGATTCTCTAGCTCGCGCAGCCGGCATTCAAGAAACTGAAGTTTTTCTCTGAGCTTTTGCGTGCGGCTCTTCTGCCGCTTGTCATCGTACTCGCAGAGGTCCGCGCGTCCCATCTTGGAGCATTGTTTACACACTGGCCGAACGCCATCGCATTTCTAAGGATGAAGGGAGGCCTTTCAATGAGATTCATGGCCTAAGACAATATAGAAATAGAGCCGAACCAGTTTTTTCTTTCTAAGCGCGTGGCAGGTCAGTGCCTATCAAGAATGGGTAGCTCACGGGTACTCACCTGCAACAAAGGCAAGCTGTCCCCCGTCGCAGCGAACTCGATTTGTCGTCTGAAGGAGGCATTCCAAGTGATCTGGAACAACAACTTGATGACCAGGTTTCGCCTCACAGATAACATATATATATAGTTACCTAGGGCCATGCACACCGGAGCACCATCTAGGAAACCTGATCATTTCCAACGCAATGTGTTACGCGATGCATGCCAAAACACGAATGAGCCATCCAACCAGGCAACACCTTCCTTTCGCAGGCCGAGCCTTGACACTTGATCGTTATCGGAGTGTAAGATCAGAACGGAGAAGGTCTCGCAGTGCACTAAAGTCAAGGAACGAGAAGCCGAGCCAACCCCCTATGAAACATCGCCATTTTAAATGCCCCAAATGGGATGTCCCCCTCCCAAGAGGCCGAGGAAACCCCATTTGTGGCAGATCGTCTATTGAAAGCCGAGGAACAAAAACACAAAAGCTCTATAGAGACCACTATCTACTGCTTCCCAGCGAATACCTTACGAAGGTTATCCCAGACGACACTTGGTGATTGAGCAGCATCGATTCCGTGCCAAAGACCTTTGTTCTTGTAATACTCGATCACGGGGCCAGTTTGGCTGTGGAAGGCGGAGAGGCGCTTTCGGAGAGTTTCGACATTGTCGTCCGAACGCTGGATGAGGGGCTCCCCAGAGACATCGTCGACCATTGACTTTTTCGGTGGGCTGCAAAGTGAATGCGGGTCAGCCAAGGTGTCAACTTCCTGAAAAGACAGTGTACGTACTTGAACTCCCTGTGATAGGTTCGCCCGCTGGAGGGATGTATCAGGCGGCCGGTGATACGCGAAATGAGGAGTTGATCATCAATTAATAACTGGACGACAGAGTCGAGCTTTTCTTTACGCGATTCCAGCATTCCGTCGAGCTTTTGAGCCTGAGGAACCGTGCGAGGAAAGCCATCCAGGACGAAGCTAGACTCACAGCGCATGTCAGTCGGTTTCGTAGAAATTGAGGGGGGGAACGCCGCAAGGACCGCATATCCGTGGATGCTAAAATTCCCACATGAGCTCGCGTTGAACTCACCCATTCTTGCAAGCCTTGTTATTCTCCAGCTGGTCCTTAATGATCCCAACCATGATATCATCCGAGACCAAGCCTCCAGCATCCATGATCTTCTTTGCCTCAACACCGAGGGGAGTTTTTTGGGCTACTTGTTCACGAAGCATGTCACCGGTTGCCAAATGGCAGACACAGAATTCATCTCGTATCCGGGGGGCTTGTGTACCCTTGCCTGAAGGATTACTGCAATGAATACACGATATACACGGGCTCAAAACCACATACCAGCGCCAGGCGGTCCAACGAGAATGGTGCGCAACTGACGAGCGGGTGGAGGAGTGCCGGTAACCGCTGACTTTGCCTTTTTCTCCAATTCGTGTATTTTGTCGTTGAGCTGGGTAACGAGGGACTTGAGGTACTCTAGCTCATCTCGCGGCGACATTGTGGATATGAAAAGAAAAGGCAAAGGAGTGGAACAAAGCTTGGCCAACGACAGTGGTCTTTGAAGGAATCGAAATTCGGATGCGGCGGTGGAGCGGTCCCCCGGGTTGAGTCGGAGTTGCTACTTTTCATAAGCGCTCGGACACCCCCTTCCTTGCGTGGTTCCGTGCTGCAACGGAATCAAATGGGCTCACGATTTGGGTAGAAGATGGAGCAACGTCTATGAACAAACACAATACATGCCTCAACTACAACTACTCAGTTTTAGATGTTTTCCCTTTCTCCATTTCTCTGACATCTCCGGCAAGCCATATCGTCGAGAACAAGATAAATCCAATGCTGGTGCTGATGGCACCGACATAGTATGGCCAGGCCGCGCTCAAAAAACGGGGGTATCCATCGTGTCGCGGGGGGACAACAGGGACAGTGGTAGAGCTCTGCAAGTGAGTCAAACTAGACGGTTCATCAGCGGACGAAAGGACGAAGAAGAATTTAGGGACACCGACCCCTTGCGTTTGTAGTCGATGACGAATTTGAAGACGCCGTGTCTGTCAGGCACACGGAAGGTCGTAGAGTATGTTCCGGGCGACCCCTTGACAGGAGGCAGAGCAGTACGAATATGGGGGTCCAGCATCGTAAACTCGAGTTGTATGTCTTTGAGACCAGAGTAAGGCAACCACTGAGCCTTGCCGGAGTCCCAGCCGGAGATGCGTGCGGTATAAGTCTGTCCGAAATCAGCATAAAGGGGATGTCGCGAAAGCATGAGACTCACGACTACGTCGTTGGTGGTGTACTGGCTGAGTGGAGTGGATTCGTTGACCTTGTGGTGCGTAGTTTCGTCAATACGTAGAACGAGACTCTCCTGGAATGTCCAAGCAGCAATGTCTTGCGAGAACGCGGCATTACCAGATGCTTTTCCTCTACCGTTATCGTTATAACCGTGCGTTGTACCGAGAATAAGATGGGCACGTACTTTGTCACTTCCTTGTTAGCGAATTCATCGCTAAAAACGCTGACGCCTCCAACCCAAGTAATCCTGGCCCCAGTGGTCGCTTGGAAGCCTGTCACCAAACCCATGTTACCTCCGGCCCATAACCCTTCTCCGCCTTTCTCCGCTGCATCAGCGATGCTTGGAGCACCCGAATCGTCAGATGAGTCCGTGGCGAAGCTCTCTACGGGTGCGCGCAAGATTGGAACCAAGAGAGGGTTATTGCCTAGCGAGTGCGAAATGCCAGAGTACCAAACAGGTGCCTTCGTGGACGAAAGGATAGAGTTTGAAGCAGACACATCTACCGGGAAGATGGAAGCTGGAGTGTCGCGTTCCGGGAAGTGAGATATGACGGGGGTGCCGGGAGGGGGGAGCACAAGAGAGAACTCGGCTGCCAGTGAACTCAGCGGTGTCTGCTTTGGAGAGAGTGCAACCAAAAGGTTGGTCTTCAACGATAGTAACTGCACCAGTGACTGTGGTGTGATGTCTTGTGCGAAGCCTGTCCCATATGGTGAATATATGGTGCTAACACATCTATAACCACACGTACTTTTGGTTTCAGGCGCGAAAAGGATGACATGGGAGAAGGAGGGGACATCGTCCTTGATTATTGTGGGAGTGAGTGCCTTCGGCGCGCGAAACGTGAGTTCGTAACCCCGCGCTACGATTCAAACAGTCAGAAGCCAGACCGCTGATGTACTGGCTTTTCTACGCACCTCGTAGCCCATCGAAGAACACAGAGAAATTGCTCTGGTCCAAGCTAGGCTCCAAGACAACGAGCACAGAGTCGCCTGTGCTTGACTTGGCATGTAGTATAGCAGCAAAGCTGAGAAGAAGAAAGGGAAGCATTGGTAGCATCATTGTCTGTTGCCGCCGCTGCGTTGGCCCTTGAGATGTGGATTTGAATTCGGGATGTTGGTGGTCAGTCGCGTCACTTACACGTCGACAAGTATTTAGCGCCAGATACTGCGGGCGCCTAACCGAAAAGATTGAATTAAGAAGTTGTTTCAACTTCTTGACTTCGAGTAACTGACGACGAGTGGTAGAACTGCTACGGCCGCCAGGTTCGAAGTTACTGGGCACTTATGTTCGACATCCAATATTTTGATGATCACCTTTTTGACCCAGGTAGCCGCACCCTCAACTTTGTTTAACCATTGACCAATCGTCGACAGTTCCATCATAAACTGTTGCATAGGAGAAAGCATACTTTATCTCAGCATGTTTTAGGCAGTCGCAGGCTGAACAAAGCCTGTCAGGCCGACAGCACAGCTCGTCCGTTTAGTGGTGTTTAGAACTCGGGAAGGATACTCATCCTAGACAGCTTGAATACCGCAATCTACGGCTCTGTCAATGAGGAAGGACTTCCGTCAACGTGCCTGATTCGACTAGCTAGCTAGAAAGAAAAGACGAACGGTTACTTAGGGTGAGTAGCTTGCCCGCCCAATGCTTTCGTCTTTTTTTTAATCACCATTAACCATCGTGAAAGGTCGCGTGTACTAGAAGAGACCGAACGGCCGCCTGCATGACCGCAGAATCACTGCACCACCTGCTTGCATCAGCTGCCTCCAAGTTCTGTCTGATGCCCACTTCTTGTTTTGGAAGGAGACCCAGTCAGATGAGTTTGGTAGAATCAAGGATCTGAAAGGTTGGTGCGTGGCTACTCTTGCTCAGAATGGCGCCCTGAACTTGGACTCGACGGCTTGTAACCTAGCCCTGTCGTGTCTTCGAGCGGCCCAGAAGCAAGTAGCTACGAGAGCATCGGATGGGCAGACGGTCCCTCGAGCCCCCGTGCGGGATCGAGTATGGGGAGTCCCGCCGAATATAAATTCTCGGTTCCCGACCGGTCTTGTGTCCGCCTGGTTGAACCCACGTCAGATTGTGCCCTCGTCCAGTATGAGTATCCTTCGCGAAAGGAACTACGCTCCGAGTCCCAAGCGCAACTACTGCGAATTCTCTCAACCGAGACGTACCTTCATCGTCGGCCAGGCTACCTTTATCCAATCTCTGCTGCTGCTCCTCACAACCCGCTGAGCGTGTATTTTCCCCAACAGGACGATGTACAAGAAAAGCGTCCAGGAGTGGTCGAACGACATTAAAGACGCGGCTATCTGTACCTTGGGCAGGAACATGGAGATAGAAGTCTTGAATGTAGATTGTAATGTTATTGCAACTTGAAGCTGCCAGGCCCTCGTAGCAGCTGTACTTCGAATGAATACCTACCCAGATGTTTCCATTTTGGCGGCGATGGGGAGAGCACCGCCGGTAGAGCACTTCCAATTGACTGATTGCTAGGGATCGCCCAGCAACGAAGACTTAGTACTTCGCTTTGGGGTTTGTGATGAGACTTATACAGGGGCACGCTCTGTTTCCCTCCCAGTTCCGAGCATTCGCTGAGTTGAGATTTCATCAGAAAACGTGACCCCTTACAACAATCGAGGTCACGGTAAATCATAAATGTCCTCCAGACTTTCGTATCTTACTCGCCGATTGACGCGCTCCATGTCCTCTACTCCCCAGATATTGTCCAAAACCGAACTGCCTGCATCGGAGGCAAAGTATTGCTTTGTGTTTACTCCGAATATGCCGTCGCTTATGAGAGCTGCTAGATGGGTTACCTTGTACAAGCTCAAGTGGAGTGATGCTGAAGGGAAAGAGGTGTGTATGCGCGTGGTTCGTGTTCTTCTACGTGGTACTGACTTGGCGTGGTCGCCAAGCGCACCTGGGAGTGTGCCGAACGCAAGACTCGTAAATCTTCTGGCGTTGATGGTGAGAAACGCGATCCCGATCTCGGGACACTGACTGCACGTACGCGGCGCTCACGCCGGAGCAGCGGTGGCCATTCTCGCCTTGATCAAGTCCAAAACCAACGCATTCCCGCTTTCCACCGTGGTGATTGAGCAGTACCGACCGCCGATTGACAAGTACATAATTGGTGCGTACCAACACGATAATAGTTGCTGGTTGTTGACGATTAGCCCACAGAGCTTCCTGCTGGTGCGATCAGCCTTCCCAGCACATTACTACTCTAACCGTGACTAAAGGGCTGGTCGACGAAGGCGAAACACCAGAACAAGCAGCCATCCGTGAACTCAAAGAGGAGACAGGGTACGAAGCCGACAGCGTGATCGAATCCACTCCATTAACCGTCGTCGATCCCGGTCAGCTTGAATCCAATCCACAATAAGCTCAGCCACTGACTCGCGTGTAGGAATGACTACTGCGAATATGAAGATGATCGCTCTGAGTGTGAATATGGAAGGTGAGCTGGAAAAGCCCGAACCGCATCTCGAAGCCGGGGAGTTTATCGTGACGAGGGTTGTTGAGCTGGCGAAGCTGCACGAGGAATTGCAAGGTGAGCAGTTCGGGTTTCGACAAGCGCGCACTAATTACCTCGAATCTCTAAGCGTACGATCAGAAAGTAAGCGGAAACGGATGCCTTACGTTCGAATGCTCATTCTGCTGTAGGGATTCGTTATTGACGCGCGACTCCAACACTTGGCCTCTGGATTGGAACTCGCGAGACAATTACATACTGGGAGCCTATGATACAGAATTTGTGAAACATTTACATGAACCATTGGGTCGTCCAGGCGTCTTCGTCCAGGTAAGGCTGCAGGGAATATATAAGGAGCAGTGCAGACTCCCGGGGATGGTGCTGACAGAGAAATGTCATGGAAGGATTGATCATTGTTAGTCTCTTTCGAAGCATCACTGTGATCGCCATCAATCCCTCGATCGTGACGAGAGCTCCTAAGTATTCGAAGGGCCTCCGACCTCGTCAAGCATTGTCAGTCAACGCATCACCCGACTTCAAAGGTAGAAGGAACACATCGTGGTCAGAGCAATAAAAGTACGAACTAGAACCAAGGAGATTTATAGCAGAAGAATGATGTGAAGCCAGTAATTATTCATTCCAAATTGCAGAAGCCCTACTCGACCCTAACAGTGCCGACAATACAAACGAAACAGAAATCATTTATGAACACGCGCTTTCACGAATTGCATCCCGGCCTGCTTCAGAATCGCTTTCCTTCCGATGCCCCTCATATCAACGTAAACCAGAGCCACATTCCGCGCAGACCCCGCGAACATGAGAGAGCTCTCCTTCGCCTCAGGACCATATTTGTGGCCCATGACGGCGCCAAAACGTTCTGTGCCGGTGTCCAATACCTGCCTGGTCGAGTGATCCAGCGTCGCCAGGATGAGATCGGCAGACAGAATGAGTCTCGCTGTGTTTGACAATGGTTGATTTGCAGGGGATGGCCCGCGCGGGGGCAACGGGGGCCCATTCAAAGAGGGTATTGAAGGGGAGGGGGATCGACGAGGGGGGAGAGGGGGCTTGCCGTCCCGCGAGACGGCTGTGGGGGAGAGGAGTGTATTAGCGGGCACGGGACTAGGGCTTGCGATGGGACTGCCAAACGGTGTGGCCTGGTTCTTGTTTGCGTAGGTATACAATCGGGATTCCTTCGACTTGGGCTTGCCGCCGACGGCTCTTCGGACGAAATCATTTATTACACTGACAGTCTTGGTGCTGACTTGGACCGCCTGGCCTGTGATGGCGTGGACAGTTGATAGACCTTTGCGCGTGCTCTCCGACGTCAGGAAGACGAGAGCGCGAGGGGGCGGTGGTGGTAGCTCAGTCGCGGAACCAGGAGTGGTGCGATTGAGTGCGGAAGAGGAAGCATGTGGGGATGGTGTTGAATGGTTGATGTAGTAGTTGGAGGCGGCGGTGACGGTGGTGAGCAGAAGATTTGTTGTAGCAGATATCGTATGGCTACAGCACCCAAAGGCAGGTTAGATCGAGGCGCCTAAGAAGAATGTAGACATACCTAATGACAGTCGCCGATTTGGTGATCCAATTCTCCTGATCAGGAGGAACAGCGCGGGCGAACAGCTCCCTCGCATTCGCGTCCTCGTCTTGCAGCGTTTGATCTGGAACTTCGATGTACACGGGGTCGTTTTCGTGGCCCTTCTCCCGGAGCTGGGGGTCTTCCTTCACAGCAAACTGGCGATCGAACTCCCCCACGACCTCTCCATTGTCTTCATTCACCAAAATCAAGTGCCCCCTCAGGTCCCCATGGCTGCCTGGAATTGCGGTACCAACATCCGAGTAGTCCGTCCTATATGGCGGTGGAATCGACGACGGCCTAGCGTTCACTGACGTCGCACTGGCGGTATATCCCCGGAAATCGGCGTACTGCGCCAAGATCCCTTCAAAGGTTTCCAAGTCTTCGACAAAAGCCTGGTCCTTCTCCGGTGGAGTAATGCTGATCACCAACTGGGTATTATCGAACTCCGTGCGGTGGAATGTATATGTCCTTGTGCCGTTCTCTGAGCGTTCGTGGGTTATCGTCCGAGCGGGATCGATGGGCGTTTCAAAGCCGTTGAGCTGCAGGACAAGAAACACGTCGTGGGCGGGCGCCGCAGTCCGATCGTTGTCGATCGTGACGGTTACGCACTGCAGGCCAAGCACGCCGGTCAAGACGTTCGTCGGCGTTCTGACCGTCGCGTTCTCCAGCGTCAGGAGCAAGAAGGCTTCTGGGTGGGTGGCAGTCATGGTGGTTGTGCTTCACATTTGGCAGCGTTCGCGACGGGTTCTGTTATGCCCAGGACATGGCAGTGCAAGCCGCGCCACTTTTCAAGGGGCTATGCGTCATTTCAGAGAATGTCGCTACACTCGTGGATTCCAAGGACGACATTAGCTTCCGAGTTCCCACAGACAATCTTTCTGAGCGTGTATATACGGTCCATGGGTCAGCAGTACGAGTTCGGTGTAGTACAATATTATTGTCAGCTCGGAAGGGAAGAAGGTACTCCATTCCACTCCACTCCAGGGTAAGGTCCAGGAACACCAGATGAAGTACCGGACGAAGTGTTGAGATCTGAAGGAAGCGACATGAATCTCCCTGTTGATAATTCTATGCGGCAAACGGTAATTAGATTGAGAGCTAGGTTAGTATTGTGTAAGAAATCTGAAGAGTGTAAGGAGCTAGATTATTAGTGTGCTTCGCAAACAATCAGCCCCTCCATTACCTAGAGATCTGCTTCGCCAGAAACAGAAAACATACCTCATAAAAGCGCGCATTGCATCCCCAGTAGATAGTCTGAATGAGTAAACTTGATTTAGACTTCCATGATAAAACCAGAATCTTATGTAAGTACGGCTTTGGGAGAATGGTTCATGCCTTCCGGCGTAGACGCTTTCGAAGACGGCAAACCAGAAGAGCAAGAAATGGGCGAGCACCCTACAACAATATACACCCTGGCGACGATTAGAGTGTCCCGTCAAGTTTCGTTTCGTTGGGCGTAGTGCAAGTCTTGAGGGAAAATAGGTTTAACTTTGGTCGTTACTTGCAATGTGGGACCTCAGGCCTCAGGCCTCAGACCGAAGTCGGATGATAGGTTGAAGAGAAATAGAGTGAGCCTGTGAATTCTGTGCAGAGCTGACACGTGACTATGCTTGGTTGTAATTGGCATTTTCGTTTACTTCCTGCTTGCTCCCGACTCTGACGCTCTGGCGAAAACCGGCTATGGCCAAGCGCATATATCGAGCTCACTGCGCGAGGTTGCGAGCGCAAACTATCTACTCTCTGTATACGACATGGCTTCGCTATCTGTCATCTCAGACGATGAGGGGTCAGCAGCGCAAATGATGAACGGAGTCGCCCCAACGATGTAGTAAGACTCGAGTCGGGTCCGACTGTTTCTACGCGCAGAAGTGCTCGCCGTGTACGACGTTGGATGTGCATCTAGAGATCAACAGTAAGTATTCTGTTTTATCTCTTGGGTTTTCCCGGAGTCAAGTTGCGTTCCGCAGACAGACGACGACGCGCTGTTTTTCATCAACGTGAGCATCCACCTGGATCCTTTCAATTTGAGGCCTGTCCACGCGTTGAGTATCCTCAATAAGTAAGTAACTGAATTAAAGACATTCTGAACGCCAATGTGTCGTACTGAGGAATCACAGGGAGCATATATCTGTCGATTGGACGGCATAGAGGCGTAGACTTTCGATCAAATCTAGCTCGTGTACGATTAGTCCTCGCGATCTACTCAATCCCTGCCGATCACTTTGTGCTGTACTGGTCAACCTACAGTATAAGACGTTTGCGAAATCGGGCTTGACATACAACCATTCATCAGACACCCATACACTTGTTGCATTCGGTTCACAACTATTTAACGAGCCTCGATGCCTCATCCTTTCTCTCTCCTTTGCTAAGTACCACTGATCTGCTTCTTTATGACAATCTCCGACCGCTGTGTAGATGGTGAGTAGTTGCCCTCATAAACCGTTATTTGAATTCTTACCTTAGTATGCTGCGTAGCTAGCCAACTTGGCGAAGTCCTTGTTCGCGTGCAACGCAGCCACGGCCTCTGCTTCCCCGACCGGGACCTTGATCGTCTTCTCGGCCCCACTCTCATCGTGGTAGGTGAAACCAGATGGAGCGCAGGTCGCGTTGTCTGCACGCACGGGGAGGATGCTGCGGCGGCCTTGGGGCGAGTGGAACCAGTTCATGTGGGTTGCACGAGCTCCTCCACCGCTCCAGCACTTGGTGCCAGGGCCAAAGACAGAGAACAGGAAGCTCCCGCAGGTGTTTCCAGTGTATCCCTGGCCTTGTGTGCCCGCAGGGAGGTTGTCGAACTCGACGGAGAAGCCGAATCCAGTTGGGAGGGAGCAGCAAACGCTGCCGTTGTCGTCGCAGAAGAAGTTGGAGCCGCTGCATCCGGTGGTGGACGAGAAGCCGGCGTAGCGCAATGCGCTCGCCATTGGGGCGAGGGCGGTAAGAGCGAGAAGAGCGATAGGTTTGATGTTGAAGTACATTGTTGTCGATGCTGGTTGAGCTGATTTGTGAACTTGACTAGGTCGAGTTGCTGCCCTTTTACCTCGCTGTCTGGCGAGCTTTTATAGGTTTCAGGCCTTCCTCTTTTCAAGCAGGACTTGCACTAGACCCTTACCGTGTGCACCTGGATCAGCTTGTTTTCTCTGAATTAAATTGACCATGCCGCCTTCGCAGATAATCGTATTCCTTCTGGCGACCTACAAATGGTGTGGGACGGTCGTTCTGTGAACAACAGCCCTCGATCTACCCATTTGGCATATTTGGCATATTCGTTTAGTGCCTTGACCATCTGACCATTCCTTCGCTACATTCTGCACAATTCATACGTTTACTCAGTGCTCTTAGATGCTCATCGCCCGTCGTTTATACAGATCTAAGAAGCTGACTCGACACAGCCCTACACAGCAAGAGATGCATGCAACTGTACGCTTTCGCCTTCAAGTTCATCCCAGTTGCTGTCGTGGTAACGGGCGCTCCGACGCCCGCCATCTTCAAACTTGCAGTTATTTTTAACCACAGCTCGTCGACCGTGGATGCGTATCCCAATCAGGAGCGGCCTTGAACACGATTTACATATTGAACTACGACCACCACATATATCCGTGATCCACGTTGGTGTTTACTCCATAGATCTGTGTCATCAACTTCTTCGTTCGAGTGCTGATCGGCTTTCGACGCCTCGACGCGTACCTAGGTGAGCATGGCTTCTATGTGCCTTCTCGATCTTACATACACGGAAGTCAATAGACACTCGGCAGTATCTCTGTGCCGTCTATATCGCGAGGATGTCGGGTATTCCTATTACTCACAGCGGAGAACCCGGGGGTCTCCAGTTGGGTTCTGGGATATGCATGATATGGCCCAGATGTCACTAGCCATCCCCTTGGAATAGAAAGACACTCAGCGAAGCTAGTCATGCGACGCGAAGAACTTCGAACCAGAATGATGTTGAGTAAGTTTTCTTCAGTATGTTTGAGGATTGCCTTCTCGTGGCCGAGGAGTGGCACATGCAACATCGACTTCAGCGAAAACCGTACGCGTCGAGACCAGTCGCACCAGTATCTCCTTCTACATTTCATGGGGATGAAAAGTATAAAGGTTTGAATATTGTATAACGAAAGGGCAGCAACTCGACCTAGTCAAGTTCACAAATCAGCTCAATCACCACAGACAACAATGTACTTCAATATTAAACCTATCGCTCTTCTTGCTCTTACCGCCCTCGCCCCAATGGCGAGCGCATTGCGCTACGCCGGCTTCTCGTCCACCACCGGATGCAGCGGCTCCAACTTCTTCTGCGACGACAACGGCAGCGTTTGCTGCTCCCTCCCAACTGGATTCGGCTTCTCCGTCGAGTTCGACAACCTCCCTGCGGGCACCCAAGGCCAGGGATACACTGGAAACACCTGCGGGAGCTTCCTGTTCTCTGTCTTTGGCCCCGGCACCAAGTGCTGGAGCGGTGGAGGAGCTCGTGCAACCCACATGAACTGGTTCCACTCGCCCCAAGGCCGCCGCAGCGTCCTCCCCGTGCGTGCGGACAACGCGACCTGCGCTCCATCTGGTTTCACCTACCACGATGAGAGTGGGGCCGAGAAGACGATCAAGGTCCCGGTCGGTGAAGCAGAGGCCGTGGCGGCGTTGCACGCGAACAAGGACTTCGCCAAGTTGGCTAGCTACGCAGCATACTAAGGTCAGATGCAGTCCCAAATTTGCTAAAGAAAGAACAGTTATACTGACAAGATTTGTGACCAGTTCTTCAAACTCCAGCGCATAAGATGATCGGTGCTTGCCCTTGTATCTAGTGGTTCTAAGCTCGTGATGCCGTATGATGTAGTTGGAACGACAGCTCTCAAATCTAATTTTGTATTGGTCAATCATGAAATCAATGTTTCCTATGAAAGACCGAATAAGTTTGGAGTGGCTATGATGCTACGTTGCACGGGTTAATCATAAGGAAGACGAACATCCCTACGCCCCGATGTTAAGAAATGCATAACATGGTGGCAAAAAAAAAAAGAGGGAGCAGTGCGCCTGACGCAATACGAAGCAAATTAACAGATGGATGCAGTATCTCACCAAGACTCCCTGGTCCGTGGTCGTGCGTGGCCTTGGGCTGATTAGTTATCAATTTCCCAACGTCAATTAGATAACTTTTATCTACATTGTAGTGTAGACATCAAATCATTTACTCTTCATCGCCCTTCTCGGCTTCACGCTTCCCGACTTTGATTCTTGGAGCTGGTCGCACCGCGGGCTTCACTTGCTGTACTGGACGATTCTGGGGGCTAGGAGGGGGTGTGGGGTAGTTCCCAGCGACACACTGCGAGACGCATTGGTTCCAAGCCTGTCCTTGGAACCCAGCTAGTGTGCAAGCCACCTCACATTCCTGTTGCTGAAGGTACAAACTTCAATGGTAATGAACGGTGCGAAGGAAGGAATTGCTTACCGTAGGACGCTTAGTAGGGCCGCGACCCTCAAGGTCCTCAGATTCTCGCTTTCCAACTTTGATTCGAGGAGCTGGGCGCACTGCAGGCTTTACCTGCTGGACTGGCCTGTTCTGCGGGCTAGGAGGTGGAGTAGGGTAGTTTCCGGCGACACATTGGGAGACACATTGACTCCAGGCTTGTCCTTGGAATCCCGCGAGAGTACAAGCAACCTCACACTCTTGTTGCTACCACCAAGTCATTAATATCGATAAGTGGCGAAGCACGAATTTTGCTCACTGTGGGGCGCTTAGTGGGGCCACGAGCCTCTAGGTCCTCCAAGTCTCGCTTCCCAACTTTGATGCGTGGGGCTGGTCGAACTGCTGGCCTTGCTTGCTGCACTGGTCTGTTCTGTGGGCTTGGTGGTGGTGTAGGGTAATTGCCGGCGACACATTGCGACACACACTGGCTCCAAGCTTGACCTTGGAACCCTGCGAGTGTGCACGCAGCCTCGCATTCTTGTTGCTGCAACCAAATGGTCGATCACCATGCGCGACATAAATACGGAAAGTCACTCACTGTAGGGCGCTTGGTGGGACCACGAGCTTCAAGGTCCTCCGACTCCCGCTTCCCGGCTTTGATACGTGGAGCGGGTCGAACTGCTGGCCTTGCCTGCTGCACCGGTCTATTCTGAGGGCTCGGTGGTGGAGTAGGGTAGTTTCCAGCCACACATTGCGAGACACATTGACTCCAAGCCTGGCCCTGCAATCCAGCTAGTGTGCAAGCGACCTCGCATTCTTGTTGCTGTATCCCAGTTCAGAGCTGCCGTCGCGCTGAAATATGCGAAGGCTTACCGTAGGGCGCTTCGTGGGTCCCCGTTTTCCGACTTTGATTCTGGGAGCGGGTCGCACTGCTGGCTTCGCTTGTTGCACTGGCCTATTCTGCGGGCTAGGTGGCGGCGTAGGGTAGTTGCCTGCGACACACTGCGACACGCACTGGCTCCAGGCTTGACCCTGGAGTCCCGCGAGAGTACAAGCAACCTCGCATTCTTGTTGCTGAAGACAGATGTCCATGCCGATATAGTATGCAGGTAACGATATCACTTACAGTGGGGCGCTTGGTAGGGCCTCGGGCTTCAAGATCGTTGTCGTATCCTTGCTCTCTGTAAACGTATTCGTCGGTGACCATTGCATCTCTTGTCGTACATCAGTAGCTTACAAGGGGAACGCCGCGATAACGGCGACCTGGGCCAAAAAGGCGAGGGCAGCGAACTTGATCGTAAATTGCATCGTAATCGTAGAAAGTCGAAGAGGAGAAGTTAGGATGAAGAGCTCGGCTCTGAGAGTTGATGAGTATCTAGTAGGTGTGGGGAGAAGTGACCAGCACTGCTGAAGAAACTGCAGCCATCTATGTCGAGCTTTTATACCTTTCCGCTGGACCCTGGCTGACCCGCTTGTCCGATTTCTTCGTCAAACAGTAGCTTTGCTGAGATGGATGATCGCCATGAAGAGGTAAGCGAGGATGCCCGTTGATGCTTGATGGTGATCAAACATATGAGCAGCTTGAAACAAAGCGTCGGCGCTTGTCAAGATGTAGCGCGGCTAGTTTGCTTCCGCGTTAGGCAATCCATTATCATTATGGGCAAGTACATACCAGGGCGACTGTCCCTAAAACATTGCCCGCAAAGAGACGAGAAGTTTCCGTGGTATCCTCTAGTGCCACAGGGCTATCATGTGTTGCAGCGACATTCGGGTATATCAAGTTTGAGTATGGAGAGTCTACTAATGTCGTGACATAGAATTTTGTTAGGGTTACCCGTGTTCCTTCTTGACGTGGCAAAGGCAGCATCGCGACCTCGAAGTTTCTGCACCGGCGAATGCGGTTTCGAGTCGCAGTGCATTGCCCGGCCACCTGAATCATCGATGGAGGGCTGTTGTGTCGGCAGGCAATGCAATCGGCGCATTCCTGGGTTGTTAGCCTGTAGTCATCAGCACGACCCTCAGGTAGACTTGGAGCTGCCGTCCTACACGACGCCGCGATCAGAAAATGGGGTGCTGGAACGCACAAGTTAAGGGAGGGGGATTACCTCCTAGTCGATGGACTTTAGGAGCGATCATTACCCCCTGTCAGATCGCTATACCGAGGAGATGATAAGTCCTATTTGAAAAAGTAACATACCACTGAGGTACATAGCAGACAATTATCCCTCCGCATTCATAAACACGGCTATTATCCTACAACGCATCAAAGTTGATATGATGCGACGCCCTGCGTCTCTCAAGCTCGTCCTCCCTCTGAAACACCCTAGTTAGGCAGGGTCACTCAAAACAAGGAAAGTCATACCTTCTCGTTCATATGCAGTACGAATACAATCACTGCCAACAAACCAGTACCAATTATTACGGTGACGGTCACCCAGGGTATCCAAGCTCCGGGGCGTAAGAACAGCTCCCGCTTCCAAGGTTCGCCTTCCCGTGGCGGTGGCAGGATCACCACCTTCGAGTTCGGAATAACCCCTTCCATATCAATGTAATGTTCCTTCGAGTGGATGGTCGAGCCGACGAATAGATTCTCGATGTAGTTATTTGTTCGTCCAAGCCCAAAGTAGGAGTAGGGTGCCATGAGGGAATGATAGGCGGTTTGAGGGAGTTGACCAACTAGAATGGGGTGACTGAGTAAGCGCGAAAATCTGGAGGATAGAAGTGGGCGTACCCTGTGCAGCTGAGCGACGGCCAGATGTATCCAATACCGTGTACTTATAAGATGCGCCGGCGTAGCTAACACCAAATGGCTGCAGAAAGATGTTAACATAACACGGCGAGAAGTGAACGAAGACAGGCTTACATGATATTTGATCGTCCCGTTGGGAGAGTAACACCAACCGTTCCCACATGCGCCGTTAAGGACTGTGAAAGTGGCATGAGCATAGATGATGGACAGAAGAAACAGAGGGAGCCTACCAATGGCCTTCAGGAAGAATGCGTCATAATAGAAGTTGTTCTGAATGAACAAGACCTTCGGCATTCCATTGGAGCCCTTCCTCTGAATCATGATATCGAGAGTACCCTACGCCATGTCAACATTCGCTACTTTCGAATCCGCAAAACAAATTGCAGACTCACATCTTCGTCCATGTCCAAGAATGTCGCGCTAATGGCATCTTTCACAGCGTTGAGAGACTGTACTCCTTTCGTGGTGACCTTGAAGCTCCGTCGACCGCGTCCGTCTTGTGCACAGCCAGGTAAACCGCGTTCGCAAGGGACAGAGAACAGCAATTTCGGAGTCTGATCAGAATGGGTGGCTACGACTTGTAAAATATCGGGGAAGCCGTCGAGATTGGCATCACCCAGCCTGATGGGCAAGGGGACCGGGGGATTAAAAGTAGTGTCTAATACGAGGAGTGTAGTGGACGTTCCATCGGAGGTAGGGAATAATGAAGAAATGGGTATGCGAGCAAAGCCCTAAAGCAACGATGAATAAAGGTGATTCATGGATGTTTTCGGACGTACATCGTTGTCACCGCTTTCCCTCAGGTCGAATTTGAAATCAGGATCAGCAACGCAGAGATCATCGGGCGGTCTGCAGCTTCCCGCAGATTTGGGGGGCGAGTTAGAAGCGCAAAGAGGAAGTTGCCTGTTGTATGCGATATTGATGGCACAGTCCGTACCAAGCCCCGACGACGAGGAGACGTAGGAACAAGTGGTGAAGACCATGTCAATGGTACCGTCACGATCTACATATGTTTAATTGATGAGCTATAAGCCGGGATAATAAGACGCACCCATGTCGGCAAAGGTTATAGACTGAAGTCCAGAAGGTAGAAGGCCTGTTTGTGCTAGGGAGAAGCCATCGTCTTTGTTGTTTACCCAGATCTGGAACCTCTTTCTACCACCGCTATCGTCGCATACAAGGAAGATATCTACATAGTATGAGTAATAAGATTCACTTTCGACGTGTGACACGAACCTGCTAAGCAGTCGCCGTTAAGATCAACTACCGCGTTGCTGTGTGGGTTGGACAAGGTGCATTGCTCGCCTGTGAGCTTGGGCTCCAATCTGTGTGCTGTTTTAGTTCACGTACGGGAACTTTCGACGCGAGATATTCACATTTCAAACAGTGGTGAGTTGGGCTGCGACGCGTTCCATACGTTCTGCCATAGCCTGAGGGGAGACGCCGAGCCTTTTGAGAACGGGGTGATACCGAGTAGGTCTATCTTCATGTCTCCATCCATGTCCACCGTTATTGGCTGCGCCATGGTCGATGCCGGCACTGAAAGTGGACTGCTAATATCTGTTCGACGCTCAGTCATCCCGCGCTCCTCAAAAGCATCGAAGCTCACCAAATGATCCATCCAGTAGACCAGGATACACCAACATATCCAACTGAGTACTGTCAGACCCCCTACCCATCACCAGCAAATCCAGCTTCCCCGAATGCGTGAAGTCTCCTGGCACGACATTGTAAATGGGTCGAGGATGTCGGAATGAAGTCGATCGTTTATAGAAGAATTCGTCTACACGATTCGGTACGTTAACATATTGACTCAAAAAGGAGAAAGCGACGCGCCATGACTCCACAAATACACCTGCAGTGTTTGCTGGTCAGGACCTAGGGCGAGGAGGTCTAAACTGGCAGCGAGTTATTTGAGTTTCGTCGGTGAGCCATAGACATTCGACATACAATTGGTCCCCGTTGAAGTCCCCGAATGCTATTATCCTATCATCGCCCCCAATTCCAAGCGAACCAGCGTCAACCAGTGAATTTCCTGTAAAGCGCTTGGGTGGAAATGGCCATATAGCCGACGTCGGTGTAGATGTGAAGAGAAGAAGCGCAGATAGCAAGAGACATTTATCCCGGTACATTCTTTCAGCGCATTACAAACGAGGCAAGGAAGCGGAGAGAGTACAAATAACGACTTCCGCAAACCAAGACAGCAAACACGGCGTTGATCACGTGCAGCTAGCTCCTGTCCTTTCCCCTGTGCCCCTTTCACCTGTAAACTGTAAACGAGGTTCTGAGCCTACACCTCCTACACCCTCGGTACGCGCAAGCACATTGCCGGCCAGAATAGTAGCAATATATGTCCAGGCGCGTCGAAGATAGACCGCCATGTTCAAAGCCGCAAGGCAACCTCAAGGCTAGATCATTGAAACCCAGCGGCTCGACAACTTTCACAGATGAGTTAGTGCCCGAGGGCATCGACAGTCTTCAACAGCTCAAGAGCGAGTACAACACTCCTTTCATCCCGACTCCCATGGTACGGTGACTGATTTCCTTGACCGACGGTAGTCCAACACCGGGGAATCTAAGTCGAAGCTGAAGCATTCGCTGAGAGTACTAGTAGCAGTCTTGATGTCATTCGCGGGTTGCTTTGTCTGTGGCTCGTCTTTCATGATGTCCTCGAGGCACAGTGAGGAGTGGCTCCGGTGAAGGCGATATAAGACAGCCAATTTATCGCGAATACAAACCATCTTTCTCTTCTCCCTCTTCGTCCACTTCTTCACGTTTCTCTTCCACGGTCTTCACGCTACTTTCTGTGAAAGTCAGCCCCATACATACACTTCTCGTCTTACGCCGTATTCATCGTGCAACCACATTCACTGCCATTTCCCCCCGTCTTTCAACGCTTTGATCATCCTTTTACGACCAGACGCAACCCCGTCACCCCCACTTTCATTACGATATCCAACGTTGATCGTTGAGCAACCCTCAAATCGATGCAATCTCTCACTTCCGTCATGTCCACCATCAAGAAAGCCACCAAGACCATTATCGTCAAGTCCCACACCATTAGCAACCGAACGTCCGACGAACGCAAGGGACGCGCGAATAGGAAGCCTAGTAGTCTGGATGGCCTCGAAGGTCTGGGCAGCGATGCCATATCAAGTTCCCTGCGAGGTCTCCCCAGCACGTATCGTCCCCAGCTATCCCCCCTCGACGTGTCTGAGTTCGGGCAAGTTACGTCTTTGAGCTATGGAGAGCAAGATGTGTCGGACGCCTATTCAGAATGGAACCAGCCTGTCCATCCTTCTCCGATAACCCTTTGGAGGAACGACGTGGAAATGGCAGTTCCTGACGATGTAGTAGAGGAGGTGCCCCTCTCTCCGGCCAGACATATCATCAGCCTTCCCTTCCCTTCCTCCCCTTCCGTGACGTCCTTTGCCTCGATGAGAGCGCAGTACCACGCTAGCCCTCAGCCAAGTATTGGCTTGCCGGATGACGGAGAGTACACGTCCTATGAAGCAGACACATCTTTTTTGGTAAGCTCGACTGTTGCTCCCGTGGCGCGTTCCGGGGCTGATCCACGTATAAAATGCAACGCTTAGTCTGCGAACTTGCCCCAAAATAGGCGCAACAAACTTGCCGTCGAAATTCCCCGCCCCGTATCATTCATTCGCTTTCCTTGCACCTATTCCCAAGATAGCACGCCCAATCTCTCTGCCATCCCCGCAGGCCATCCTTCCCCAGCAACGGAAATCATCTCCTCGACTTCTTCCGCCTCCTCTTACTCTTGCTGCTCCGAATCCGTCTCCCCCGCGTCCTCCTCCTCCTCCTCCTCCTCCTCCTCCTCTTCACCACCACCACCTAAATTCGATCAAGTAGTTTATGACAGCATGGTTGCGACGATCAGGAACTTCGCCTCCCGTGCCCGCAACAACGACCCCGGCCTATGGGAGGAGGCAGTAATCATAGCAAATCGCGTCAAAAGGGTGAAATTCGAAGACAAGGACGCGTACGAAAGGTCTTTGGCCCATTTGGTGCTAGAATTAAAGGGCGCGGAGGCTATCGACATCGAGACGTTCATCTCTGGTGTCTAATTGTTCGCTTTTCTTCTGTTTCTCAACGAACTTTCGGCATTATATATCAGTCGCGACACGCTCACTTTCCCCCTTCAGCAATCAAATGTACTTCTATCAAACTCGTTTGTCAGTATAGCTGTAATCACCACGTAGCATTAGTATTTTGTAAATTACTTACGAACATTGGAATCGCTCGGCTGGAAGCAATTGTTACTAAACTTGTACCCGAACCGAGTGACCACTTAAACTCGCTTTTAGATGAAGAGGGCTTGTGCGCGCGCATGGCAGGGTGAAATGACCGAGGAAACGAATGCCATATTGCAAGTACATGTCCAATACAAATTCTAGAACAGAGATATCTCCGGCGCCTTGTAATGCACGCGTCGTCAGTTGCTCGATACGGCAAGAGTACTTGAACACTCACCGTCCCCCTCGTCTCAAAAGCCAACCAATCTCCCGTTCCGGTTGGCAAAAGCCCCATAGAGCGGCATTTCCAAAGTCCCACACCAAGAGTGAGTATGTTGCAAAGAATGTAGACGGCTTTTTGTAAGGGCAGGGTCGTCCATGATTTCGCCTCGGATGGTGAGCTCGACGGTGCGAACGGCGCGAAAGCTATGCGGTGCGTAGAATCAAGGACGCTTCGTGTGACAGCCGTATTGATTGGCTACGCACCTTGATTCATCCCTGCTACGTTCTTCAACGGGCTGAGAAGCAGCATGAACACGATTCCCATGCTGAATATTTGCACTCCTCCGCCGGACATGTACAGCATGAACGCTTGCATTGGCAGCGACTTCGCGGGAGATACCGCAAGGTCCCATGCTCTCTTCTCCTTGAGCTTGTTATACGAATCGGAGGTCGTCGTCGAAACTGATGACTTTGACTGCGTTTTCGACGATGACGGGGCGGTTTTCGAGAATCCTGGCGGAGGGGGCAGGTTCTTCCATCTGGAAACTGATTGTTAGAATGCATTCGAGCGTATCGCATTACTACGCACTTGGATGTTGCCTCCAAGTTGGAATATTCGAAAGGTTTTGAGGCCGCCATGGTCGTTAGAAGCTGAATCCCGTTTAGTCGCCCGGTCCGCTTACATCATGTCGAACATCACGTCCGCCACTCTCAAGCAGCTAAAATCCCTTTACCCATCAAGATCTCGTTCCTTATGCACTCCAACCAGCAAGTGGTTCATTCATTGCATCGTAGGAAGTTCTAGCGAACCGTAAAATTAGTCTTAGGCAACCCATGGTACATAGCTGCATCCGTTGCTTTTAGTGCCTCAAACAGACCCGATGGTGTCACCTCAGTATACAAGTTCGTCGCAGACGAGCTTAACGCACAAGTCGCTTCCCGGGAGGACCACCGGCTTCTGCTGAGAAGGCTGAAAGACGCGGTATTCAAAGCCGGGCTTTCGAGCGGTTACCCGAAGGTGCATACTGCTCGACCAATTGTACTTACTATCTTTTCATTCCTTTAGACGATAAACAGCTTGATGGCACTCAACGAAGCCGCTCCGGAAGATTTGCATGATACGGAGACGCTCCGGTAGGCAGTTACCTGTGTCCCCTTTCTTGGGTCTAACACTGTAAACCATAGAGACACAGCTACACCCATACCCGTGCTTGAGGAAGCCGGCGTGCGTTTCTTCGAGAAAATCTACGGTGAGACAGCCGAGCCCGTGCAAAAGCTCCTCGACAGCGTCTATCCAGACTTGGGTACGCCTCCGCATTCCTCAACTCATTGTCACTTGTCATCCAAGCTTACTACGCTCACAGGATGGTTCTCCAAGACGATCGGATACGGTCTGGTGTACGGGCACACGTCTGTCCTGACGCCTGTGGAGACGTCGTATGTGCTTGTGGCGAGCATCATCGCTGCAGACACGCCGTTGCAGATTAATTGGCATCTTGCGGGGGCACGGAGGCAGGGGGCGAGTTTAGAGGAGGTGAAGGCAATCAGGCAGATTGCGATGGAGTCTGCTGCCCTCGCTGGGGTCTCGTGGCGCGACGGTGTCCCAGAAGTTGTCTGAAGCGCGGGGGCCTTGACATATGATACTACATCTTGGAAAAATCTATCAGAATCTTCATGGAATACAATCAACATAAACTCCAGAATCCACATTGTTGGGTATGTGAGGGTAAAGACAGAAAAAGAAAAGGTTTACGAGGGGCACGATCCACTGCGCGTTCTGTAGACGCATCCTGATCTCCGAAGACTAACTCGGCGTGACCTGCAGGTTGCGAAATTGCTTCCCTGGCCTGACAAGGTCGGATTACTCAAACGCCCGGGCCGCGTCTTACGACGCGAGGGGAGTGAGAACACCAAAGTTTTCTGGAGGGGACGGTTTCGAACCAGCGCGCTGATGGATTTAGCCGCTGGGAGCAACCACCTCGCATTCCCGGTTTGGGGCCATTACAGCCACTGCACCATTGTACCATGAAAAGATTGCAGTATACTGAGGTTCTCTACCGCGCTTGCATGCTATACCGGTAGACCGAGCAATTGCCGAGCAATCCAAATTCAGCACCCTCAACAGTGATGTTCACCCTGGACGCCTCTTGTTCACGCCCACCATGACAGTCCTCTCGCAATTCGTCGCAGTCTTCAATTATACCCTTCAGCCCATAGCGCCGTTCTCGTGGTTCGGTCTCGGGATCAGCACGCTCGACGTGGTCGCTGCGTTCCGTTTGTGTCTTGTGCTCCGCCAGATCAGAGACCTGTACAAGCGGCAACACGTGGCGGTGAAAGGGCACAACGAGGTTGAGGACGACTCGTTCGTGAAGAAGCTCGCGACCACCCTCACTGTAGTGTACGGCGGGGAGGCCATAGCCGGTGAGTTGAGGCGAATGCCCGACGTTCACGACTAAACGCACGCGATAGGACCATTCCTTGGGTTGCCGCCATCGTTCATGGTATCTGGCACCGTGCCTGCGTTGTACGCAGCCATCCAGGCGCTCATAGAATACCTCCCGGAGAGCTTTGTCCCCATCTCCAGCTTTGAAAACGAAATCCCCCTCGCAATCGTAGACGGATTCACTCGCGCGATGCTCCTCTGCACGCTTATCCCCCCAGCCGTAACGGCCAACCCGTCGCCCGTGATCGCGTCGTCCCCCTGGGCACTTCTCCTGACTTCCTTGGTATGCGCTTGTCTTGCCAAAGGCTAGATCCCCCTGCTTCCGGCTAACGTCCGAATATAGATCACCGCGAACACCGGCTTCTTCGTCGTTAACTCGGTCTCGTTCCTGCACCCGACATCGCTGTCGCTCCGCACGCCCCCCGAGCTGCAAGCGTACGGATGGACGACGATGGATCTGTGGTGCGCGCCGACGATCACAGGGTTGTACGCGCTCCTCACGCATGCACAGCCGTTCTGGGCAGAGGTGCATACAGTGTTGATGCAGCTGCTTGGCGGGTCCGTAGACAGCAAACAGGCTGAGCCCCTCGACCCGGAGACGGCGCGCGCTTTGTGCGCCATGGTGCTCTCGGTGATGTTCACCTCACGCACGGTCAACAATTCCTTCGGTTCGTATTTCAAGACTCTGGGGCAGAAGAAACAAGGTATGCATCGGCACATCACAAGGTGCCGACGGCTGATGATATTTGACCGTAGAGGCGAAGGCGAAGGCGAAGACTCAGTGAATAAGGTTAGAGAGATAGATACTAGACCATTTACGACCCAATCTATGAGTTGCATGAACAATGATTTCATCCGCCCACTGGCTACCACGCACTCCGAAGGCCTCGTACGAGGCAATGTTGGGACTATGTCCATCTTTGTGAAGGTGATTGCCATGATTCAGCTTCCTTTGCCAGCTGGATCGCGGCCACCCTGCAGATCCATCATTTATCCCAAACTCTGTTTGCTCAATTGCTAGGTATTCGGAGATGATTGGCGCCTACACAGCAAGCACTGTAACGCCGCAACATACTCTGTACGACGCATAGGTATGTCCTTCTTGGTTCGCCTCAGGGATACAGCGACGCTCATAGAAGCTTCAATAGTATCATTACCCAACGGTAAAGTTTCAGCAACGGCGCCGGCTCGGACTATAGTTGGCAGGGTCGCGCATTCGTAACATATCGACGCTTCCGAGTGGTTTCAAGCACGTTCACCTCGCATCAACGCATCAGTGCATCAACGGAGATATGGCTTGACTCCTTTCGTGTCGCGTCGATCCCTCAAGCTATCAACCGTTTGACGAGGAAATCGGACAAGCGGGTCAGCCAGGGGCCAGCGGAAAGGTATAAAAGCTCGACGTAGATGGCTGCAGTTTCTTCAGCAGTGCTGGTCACTTCTCCCCACATCTACTAGATACTCATCAACTCTCAGAGCCGAGCTCTTCATCCTAACTTCTCCTCTTCGACTTTCTACGATTACGATGCAATTCACGGTCAAGTTCGCTGCCCTCGCCTTTTTGGCCCAGGTCGCCGTCATTGCGGCGTTCCCCTTGTAAGCTACTGATGTACGACAAGAGATGCAATGGTCACCGACGAATACGTTTACAGAGAGCAAGGATACGACAACGATCTTGAAGCCCGAGGCCCTACCAAGCGCCCCACTGTAAGTGATATCGTTACCTGCATACTATATCGGCATGGACATCTGTCTTCAGCAACAAGAATGCGAGGTTGCTTGTACTCTCGCGGGACTCCAGGGTCAAGCGTGGAATCAATGCGTGTCGCAGTGTGTCGCAGGCAACTACCCTACGCCGCCACCTAGCCCGCAGAATAGGCCAGTGCAACAAGCGAAGCCAGCAGTGCGACCAGCTCCAAGAATCAAAGTCGGAAAACGGGGACCCACGAAGCGCCCTACGGTAAGCCTTCGCATATTTCAGCGCGACGGCAGCTCTGAACTGGGATACAGCAACAAGAATGCGAGGTCGCTTGCACCCTAGCTGGATTGCAGGGCCAGGCTTGGAGTCAATGTGTCTCGCAATGTGTGGCTGGAAACTACCCTACTCCACCACCGAGCCCTCAGAATAGACCGGTGCAGCAGGCAAGGCCAGCAGTTCGACCAGCCCCACGCATCAAAGCCGGGAAGCGGGAGTCGGAGGACCTTGAAGCTCGTGGTCCCACCAAGCGCCCTACAGTACGCAGCTTCGTTCCTTGCTACCCATGGTTATGGCTTATCGATTTTTGTAGCAACAAGAATGCGAGGTTGCTTGCACTCTCGCCGGCTTCCAAGGACAAGCCTGGAGCCAATGCGTGTCACAATGTGTTGCTGGTAACTACCCCACGCCACCACCCAGCCCTCAGAACAGGCCCTTGCAACAGGCAAGGCCAGCAGTGCGACCCGCTCCGAGAATTAAAGCTGGAAAGCGGGACTTGGAGGACCTTGAAGCCCGTGGCCCTACGAAGCGTCCTACGGTGAGCAATTCCGTCGTTGGCATTGTGCATTACCATTAACTTTGCTCCTCAGCAACAAGAATGCGAGGTGGCTTGCACACTAGCTGGATTCCAAGGACAGGCATGGAACCAATGCGTCTCACAGTGCGTCGCCGGGAACTACCCCACACCACCACCGAGCCCACAGAATAGGCCCGCGCAACAGGCAAGGCCAGCAGTGCGCCCAGCCCCAAGAGTCAAAGTCGGAAAGCGCGAAGCTGAGGATGGTGATGAAGAGTAGGTAGATTGCTATAACGTAAATGTCATTATCTACTTCGTGTTCTTTCACTTCCGCCAACGAGTGAGCCCAATCGCCATATAAAGAAGCGCTCGAAGTTTTACGTCAATTTCATTCCCAGCGCTTGAGTTGGTTGTTTGCGAGTACAGGTTTCTTCTACTTCAATAGTTCTAGATCAATCCCAAGAACCTGAACATATCTACGACCATCAGATCCATATGACCAAGGCACGCCGCTTGGGCGAGAAGCGAAACGCCGATTGCTCCAAGACTCGAAAGCTGTACGCAGAACATCTTCGCTATCTTGCAACATTCATTCGAAAGTCAAGGCCTGCGGGAAGATACCTTGTCCGCGTGGCTGCACGTGTCGTACTTGGTGCACCATCGCGCTGAACGAGCCTAGCTTATGGACGGACCTCGCCGATGCCCCCCATTGGGCGTTGGAGGTCGTAGCGAGGTCCAAAGACCTACCGTTGCGAGTGCGCTTAGGCAGCCCGAACTACCATCTTCATCTCGCTGAGATCCTTGACGCCGTGGTCGCCTCGACCCCCGAGGGGATCAAATACCGGATATCTGGCACGTCGGAGCTGTCATCAATCGATTGACCGCTTGTTCAAGCACGACAAATTCCCTCTAGATTTGGGGGATTCGCTCCGAAACTTCACTCTGTCTACTCCCATGATGGGATTCGACTCCCTCAATGGAGCGGGCTGGCTAGCAAACATGACAGGAACATGCATTTTGAAGCATCTGAAGCATCGCAATTGACTACCTTCAAACTATTCCAAAGGTGGGACATGCTGGATGCAACGGACGAGGTAACCCAGTACGTGCGCGTCGTTGCACTGCTCTCAGCCCTTGAGATCTTGAGAACCTGCCATTGTTGCAGTGTCTATCCTTGGCGCAGCCCAGATCCTTTGACAATACACCCTGCACCCGTGCGACCCCCGTCCACATTCCTCACCTCCAGGACATCACTGTTATCGTCGGCAACACATTTGGTCTATCAATGGTCCAAAATTTCGATCACCTCACGGACCACATTTGGAGTTTAGATATTACATGGCGAGGGCGAACTTTGGACGTGGCGCCCGCGTGCCACTTCTTCCAGACGCTCTATGATGGCCCCGATTTGCCCGTTCTGCTGTGGACAGAAATGGACATCGAGTTTTCGAGTTCGCCAAACGCGTTCATTGCGTCAATCCTGACCTTCAGAAACTATTCTCCCCAGCCAGGCTCTTCTTGGACGCAAATATGTCTGCCAGCGTCCACATCCTTCCCAAATTGATTTGGCAGCTCATTGAGATCCCTTGAAGAGCTCCGTTTGGCCATATCCCCGTCATGCTGGAAAATTTTGTCAGCATGCCTCAGAAAGGACCCCGGGCCCCTACATTTTCCATCCCTCCGGCAACTTCGTCTCGAAAGAGCAGTGGATGGCCTCTCCTTCCATTTGCTTTGGATGCTTCAAAAGTGGATATCTGTGCGACAGTCAATGGAACACGTTGTCATGAAGAAATACAACGGTGCCCCTGAGAACGTACAATATGGGGAGCCGTCGCTGTCATTGTCCTCTCATGAAGTAGATAGACTCGTGTAGTACCCCAGTGAGCCGTGCCAAGTAGAGTTGCTGTTTTTTTCGCCTACGACTTCAATGTTTAGTGCGTAGTATTCCTGTTGACAACGACATGCAGATGCCCTCAACTTGATCGACATTTGTCAACAAGTATCAGCTACTCCGAGCGACAAACCTCCATCTACATGTCCAGAAACGGCCACCCTTGTATATCTGCATTCCAATACATTCCTCACGCCTACCACGTTCTGCCCTCTGTTTAACACTCCTCCCCACCCTTCATCTCCAATCCCATCCCCAGCTCCGACTCTCCAGCTACAACACTCTCCCTTCCCCAATCGCCCAAGACGCCGCGGCGCTTCGAATGACCCCATCTCCCCTGAAATTCCCTGCCAGTCACAATCCTGGCCGGTACCATTGGCCGTGGACAGGACGACTAGGCCCACGACGACTCCCGCAAGGGCCACTACGTCACACATCGGGTTTTGGTGATTCCAAACGGTACTCCCTCTCGACAGCAACAGGTGCACAACCTCCCAGTCACTCAGTATCTAAGCAGTATCCGGTCTCAATTGCCTTACTACACTACGCAATGATTAGCGTGCATAGCACATCCCCGGTTCCCATTGGAGCTGACATTTGTGTCCCCATCTCATTGGACGAGTAGGTGAATATACGGGATATGGCGGTCTTGCTGTGATGATTCAAACGTTTCAAAGGGGAAACGATCTCGGAAAACGTATCGCATCAATCATGATGCCCGTTGGGCCACTTATCCTTGTTTCCAAACGGGATCGCGACAATTGCGATGACTGATCGCCACAGTATGTCCGAATCACTGCAGATCCGCAATGTCCATCCTTGAAACACCATGGTGAGCAACGTTCAGGGCTTAGAACGATTATTGGCACCGAATACAGGCCAATGGTAGCCAGGAGTATTAATGCATAAACACCTCACTGCAACAGCTGGAAGCCTGTGAACCTCAGAGAGGGCCAAAGTCAACTTGGAGGATAACAACGGTGCGTAGTGTGGTCGGTCTCGGCGAAAATGCGAATTCCACGCCTAATCAGGAAACATATAGGGTCGCGTAGACTGCTAGACGGTTACGTCCAGGGGGAAACTATGTTTCGAGGTGCTCGTTTCGCCCAAGTTCCCATCGGCGGGCGCAAAGCACAGAACCTGAAGGGCACCACGCGTCTCTACCGAGCTGAGCGAGACTGAACCACCCGTGCGTGCTTCACAATGTCGCCGATTGTGACGAAGAAATCGGACAATATGTCAGCCAGGCGTCCGTGAAGCGTATAAAAGGTCGGCATCCATGGCTGGAGTTTCCTCAGCAGTGCCGGTCACTTCTCCCCAACATCTACTCAATCCTCATCAGCTACAGAGCAGAGCTCTTCCAACCGATCTTCTTCTCCATTCTTTCCTTCACGATGCAATTCACGATTAAATTCGCTGCTCTTGCCTTTTTGGCCCAGGTTGCAGTGATCGCGGCCTTCCCTCTGTATGCTGCTCGCATACTGCTACGCCACTAAGACGGGATTTGCTGACGATTATCTTCTAGCGAGCAAGGATACGACAACGATCTTGAGGCTCGCGGCCCTACCAAGCGCCCTTCTGTAAGCCACTTTGCCGTTGTTATCTTGTGCCGGCATTGATACTTGGTATTCAGCAACAGGAATGTGAGGCTGCATGCACTCTTGCTGGGTTCCAAGGCCAAGCCTGGAACCAATGCGTGTCGCAGTGTGTCGCTGGCAACTACCCTACGCCGCCACCTAGTCCACAAAACAGGCCGGCGCAGCAAGCGAGGCCGGCGCCAGCTCCTAGAATCAAAGTAGGAAAAAGAGGACCTACGAAGCGTCCCACGGTAAGCCACCTTATCCTTCCATTCGTGAACAACCACTAACCTTTCGATGGCAGCAACAAGAATGTGAAGCTGCCTGCACTCTAGCAGGATTCCAGGGACAGGCTTGGAATCAATGCGTGTCTCAATGCGTCGCCGGTAACTATCCTACACCACCACCCAGCCCACAGAACCGCCCGGTGCAGCAGGTGAAGCCCGCGGTGCGACCCGCTCCTAGAATCAAAGTCGGGAAGCGGGATGATCTTGAGGCTCGCGGTCCTACTAAGCGTCCTACGGTGAGCCATTGAATACCAATCATAGCCCACATTCTCAAAATGCGTACAGCAACAAGAATGTGAGGCTGCGTGCACCTTAGCCGGCTTCCAAGGACAAGCCTGGAGCCAATGCGTCTCGCAGTGTGTGGCAGGCAACTACCCAACACCGCCGCCGAGCCCTCAGAACAGGCCCGCGGTACGGCCAGCCCCGCGAATTAAAGTCGGAAAGCGAGGCCCTACCAAGCGGCCCACGGTAAGCCGTCGCCAATTCACAGTATTGACGACACTTCTCACCTGAGACACAGCAACAAGAGTGCGAAGCGGCATGCACACTCGCCGGATTCCAAGGCCAGGCATGGAATCAGTGTGTCTCGCAATGCGTAGCTGGGAATTACCCTACACCGCCACCTAGCCCTCAGAACCGTCCGGTACAGCAGGCGAGGCCCGCGGTGAGACCAGCTCCCAGAATCAAAGCCGGAAAGCGGGACGACCTCGAGGCTCGTGGCCCCACTAAGCGACCTACGGTAAGTCCGTGTCTTGTGCGCCATACCGTCCATTCTCAACTTGGATACAGCAACAGGAATGTGAGGCTGCGTGCACGTTAGCTGGATTCCAGGGACAAGCGTGGAACCAATGTGTGTCTCAGTGTGTTGCCGGTAACTACCCCACGCCGCCACCTAGCCCGCAGAACAGGCCGGTTCAGCAGGGGAAGCCAATGGTGCGCCCAGCTCCGATGGTTAAGGTTGGAAAGCGTGAAGTTGCAGATTTTGGCGATGACGAGTAAATCGTTCGAGTTAGGTGTGCTGTAGCTAGTGTTGTCAAGAATAACACGTTGCTACTCTTTGGGTGAAGACTAGGGCTGTTGATTGTGAGATGTTGCTTTCATTGTTGCATCGCATCGGGGTTCGAATGAACTTCATGGCCCATTATTTTGGATTCTATTGGAGTCGCCGCATCCTAGGATAGTTGTTTCCGAGATCATGAATCATCGCCTGTCTCGCTCAGTCACAACTTAAGTGCATTGCTTACCATGTTTCCAGCTTGTACCTGGTAACTCTAGACCCTCTTGTATTGTTCGCGCCATGGCATCCCTCTTGGCTGGGTAAACTGCCAGTGTAAGCATTTAATACGATCATTTACACCTTTCACTTGCAGCCCCGGAAGGAGTCATTGCTGTTCAACAACTGTATATACGCTGTAGGTATCGGACCGTGTACAGCGTCCGCTACATGGTCTATTGTACGTATATGATCATTTCGTTTACTTCCTCATTCAGTCCGAGCACTCGAACACGAGCTGCTGCGGCACATTGGTACCTGCATACATACATATGAAGAAGTATATTTCCTCCTCATTTGTTTGCATTGCGAAGTCGAGTCCAAGCAGTGGCACGCGGCGCTGCCTGGTTGCGTTTCCGTCTTCCGTTCCGTTCGCCACGTGCGTTCGGTTTCGTCTTTCCTTCCTACTTCATCTTTTGGTGGGAAGACACCCTTCCCGGTCTTCGCACCTACAACGCTGCCGTCCTTGAAATAGATGTTCTATGTATTGGCTTTCCTCGCCTTAGATAGTACTAAAGCGATCCGACACAGGCAGGCTAATTCATTCTTCTTTACATAACTTGTTCTATGGTGCTTGCAGTGGCTTCTTGTGATTAGGAGCGTCCGAATCCTTGGTCGCAAAACAACATGATTAATCACTAGTCAATCATTTGGGCGCTCCGAGTCCTCCATGTCGAAACTTACCAGTAACTCCTGAGGATAGACGTTCAATATCAATGAGGAACAATCAACGCCGGGATCGTCGACGTTGAATGCTAGACCACGATCTCCTCGAATGACCGTAAGTTCAATTGGTGCTGACATATCATCGATTGTACTCACATCGCAGTGTCTATTCCTAGACGTACGTTATCCCATTTCGGCTCCAGCGATCCTTGTTGAGCGACGACGAGCAACAAGTATTCAGGTGTGTCCCTTAGACAAACGTATGGGGTGCAGGACTTACTTACGAAACAAGGGCGGATGACTGATGCCCGTACGTGTTTGCATGCCAATAAGCATAGCCCAGAAGTCATTATTCGCAAGACTGCTGCCCCATAAAGCTACGTAACAATGCCAGAAGGGACGTCACTTTGGGCGAACGACTGCAACGCTAGGTGAAACTGACAAAGATACATTCGACTCTCCGTGCTTTACCGGAGTTGGCGTCTCTTTGGCAAAGGGAGGACCGAAACCTATAAGATCTCACCCCAAGCCTGGTGAGAGAGCAGCAGGCAGTAACTAGACCTAGTCAAGTCCGCAAGTTAGCTAAATCAACAACAACCATGTACTTCAACATGAAACCCTCTGCTCTTCTCGCTATTACCGTCGCTCTCGCCCCCGTAGCAAGCGCAGTGCGCTATGCTGGGTTCGCCTCCACCACCAGCTGCAGCGGAGACAACTTCTTCTGCGAAGACAACGGCGGCGTATGCTGCTCCCTCCCCACTGGCTTCGGCTTCTCCGTCGAGTTCGACAACCTTCCTGCGGGCACACAAGGCCAGGGATACACTGGAAGCACCTGCGGGGACTTCCTGTTCTCTGTCTTTGGCCCTGGAACCAAGTGCTGGAACGGCGGAGGGGCTCGTGCTTCGCACATGAACTTCTTCCACTCGCCCCAAGGCCGTCGCAGTGTCCTCCCTGTCCGCGAAGGCAATTCCACCTGCGCACCGTCTGGCTTTGTATACCATGATGAAAAGGGGGCGAAAAAGACGATCAAGGTGCCCGTCGGGGAAGCAGAATTAGTGGCGGCATTGCACGCCAGCAAAGACTTCGCTGAGCTGGCTACCTACGAAGCCTACTAAGGTGAGAATTTGTTGGTCATTGTCTATGGCAAAGGACTCACTGGGGATCCATCAAGGTGGCCAACGAAGGGAATTGCCTAGATGTAGTGATGGAGTTGAGAAATAAGCATACGGCGAAACATGTTGCATAGCGGAATGTAGCGAACGTTATTATGAAATCGGAGTGGTGTTATGAACAATGTACTCTGGTGGAGAGGTCAACACCTCGCAGCTTCGTAGACTGCAGACAGATGCGCGTTGCATTCACGACGTGTGCAGGCCAAGCAGCAAGCTGCGGAACAATTACCACCATCCCTACGATATATCGAACTTCGGTGACTTTGCATGGGGCTGGCACTGTCGCTCATTATCCAGTGAGAGTTCCAAGTCGCGTTGCAATTGTATCACCGAACGAGAGCTTGTTGACACCTTTGTTTCATCGATCTATCCAATGTTTTCCTCTCTTTACGGCTCATATGAGAACGTTTACGCGGCAAAAGTGTTTCATTCGCCATGTCTGATGGAAGACACTACCTATGCGTGAAGACAACTGCGTAACGCACAAGTTGACAATATCACAATATCCGATTCGACGTACTAGAATAATCATTGGTACGGCTGCATGGGCATACCTGGCGGTGGAGGCATCCCAGGACCAGGCATGCCTGCTGCGAATCCCGGGGGAGGGGGTGGATACCCTCCTTGTGGGTTGAATACGGGCATGCCCGGTGGCGGCGGCATAACCCCACCCATAGGCATACCCATTCCCGGAGGCATTCCCGGTATAGGTGGGGGTGGCATACCCATAGGCATTCCTTGAGGCATGATAGTTTGTTGGGGGGTGAACCCAGGTGGCGGGGGAGGTTGAGCGAGGGCACCGGCGAACTGTCCTGCTCGATACGGCGCCGGTGCCCCAAGAGCTGGTTGTCCGAACATGCCCATGGGCGCTGGTGGGGGACGTGCAGTGACAGGGAGGGCGTTATTTTTCCGAGCTTGAGCAGCCAACAGACGCTCTGCAGATGTACCATGTCGTTCGCCTTTGCCATCCTTTTTAAAGGCATATTGAACTGTGATGGCTTTGTTCATTAAGAATTGGTTGTTCATAGATTCGATTGCGGCATCTGAGGACTCGAAGTCGGTATACGAGACAAATCCATATCCTTTTGACTGTCCAGAGCCAGGGTCTCGGGCGATCTAAACAATGTCGTTAGAACAGACCATAGAGCGCACAAACGCGTGACGCACTTTCGCTGTGGTTGCCATCATACCAAACGCGCTGAACGTATCGTACAGGAGTCTCTCATCCACATTTTCATCAAGATTTCCAACAAACAAGTTCGCTCCGACATCCAGTTGTTTCTTGTCCGAAGAAGCCTATCAAGCGTAACGCACACATTAGCAGAAGGCTGAAAAGACATCGACGGACGTGATAGCCCGGATGCGTACCTTATTGACGCGAATGGGCTTGCCCCATAATTTGATTTGATTCATGATCTTACAAGCATATTCTGCATCTTCTTCGGTCAAAAATTCGCAAAATCCGTACCCTTGATGGGCCATAGATATGCGGTCCTTCGGTAAGTGTACATTTACTGCAAAACAAGTAAGTAAAGGATTCTCATGAAGAAGGGTGAGCTCTGACTCACCAACCGGGCCAGCTTGCAGCATCAGTTCCCATACCAAAGCGTCCGTACACCGTTCATCAAGATTCCCCTGTCGTTGAACTGAGTAAGTCGTTGAAGTCCAAAGCGTACGCCGCGACATACCAAGTACACGGTAGCCTCTTGGTTCCTGTCATCCTGAGGACGCGACATAGTGAGTGACTGAAGGAAAGGGCGAAGGGTTTGTTTGGCCTTGTTTACCCAAGGCGAACCGGGATTCCTCAGAATCCAGCTATTACTTACATCCTGGTTCGTTGAAAGCTCAGCTAGAAGCGCGTTGTTTGCGCGAGTGGATTTACGGAACGAGTCCCACAACAGGGCCTAATCAGCTTTGAGGATGTACACATAGCAAGTAAATTGTTGCGAAGCCCGACACTGTACGAATGGATCCTAAGTCGACACTTGTACGGACCCATTAAATACCATCCGCCATACGATATATCCAATCAAGATACTGTCCATAAATCTCCAGTCCCTTACCCAGAAGTTCGTCCGTGTTTCGGACGCAAAAACTCATCTTTGGATGACGAAGTTGTGAGGGTTTCCTCAGGCCCATCCCCGGGAGCCATGAATACTGTGAAGGTCCACAACGGGCGCCGATACAGTTGAAAATGACAAGAAAGGCACCTCTAATCCAAGTTGTCTCCGATGTTAGAATGACGGGGAGCCCATCACGTTACACTCCTGCTCCTGCTCCTGCTCCTGCTCCTGCTCCTGCTCGGGCCTGGGCCAAAGCAAGCTGTGCGAGTAATACTGCTCGCTCCTCCATTAACTTTATCCTCTGCGCGACGTTAGGCGTCGACCGCTGACTCATTGGCAAGCGGTCCTCATCAACCTGAGGCCTCCGTCTGGGCGTCTGAGGAAGGTCCCCGAAATCGATCGACTGCGAGCGAAGGTGCCGACTGGCCTCAAACCAAGACAGTTCCGAGTCTTCATCGGCGTAAGAAATATATCCCTCGTGCCGAACCTCGTGCCTGCGGGGTGAGACGCCGGGTGTCCTCTGGTCTACGCGGGAAAGCCCTCTGACCCGTGTTGCGGGTCGAGGGTGAGGATACATGGATGAGCTGCAATGACACGTTGTCAACTCGGCTGAAAAGACATCTGGCAGAGCTATTGGCGGATCCCACGAGCTGGCTCCGGCTTCCTGGAAACCATTCTCGCCACTAGGAATCGCGGGTCGACAGAAAGAAGTTCCAGTGGGCGAGTACACTGGTATGATGTCGGTAGGTTCAACCTTCAATTCGTGGATGCACCAGGGTCGATGCGAGGTGGAGGTATTCGCGCTTGGCGACTCCAGGTCACCTAGAACATCCCCTTGATGGTCGGGCACAGCGGTTCGAACGCTCCCAGATGTGGACGGAGGGGAGGTCATTGTCTCGATCTCAATTCTGCTCGATGTGAAACTACGCATAGATAGATTCGTGGGATTGAAGGAATTGTTCGTACTTGTCGTGTAAGTCGGTGAAGGTGGCCTCCTTGTTTGTCGCGTCGTTCCTCCTCTCCGTCGATCGGGTGACCCGTTCTTGAGGCCGCGTCCGGCGTGTGCATCTTCACAGGATACAGCCTCGTCGTCGCTTGCTTCGCCGGTTATGCGCCCCAGCTTCTTTCCAAGCCAAACAAAAAGTTCACCCACGAACTTGACTTCTTCCCACTCGCCCTTCGCCAGGCGGCGTGGGTCAACGTCGCTAAGACAGACGTCAACCGGGAGCAACTCGTTAAGGACCCCCAACAGAACCTTCATCTGCTTAACCTTGAACGCGGGTAACGTATCATGACTCTGGGAAAGATCCGTCAAAGTTACGATTGTATCATCGAAAGATGCTTCATCTGGTCCATGGATTGCATGAATAGGCTCGCAAAGGATGGACGCGAGGATGGCTAGTAGAAGAGAAGGTGTAAGGTCTGTCGGCGTTTCTATGACAAACGGCAGGTCCAAGGCGTTCAGCAGCTGATTCAAAGAACGGACCAGGGACATGAGTGGCGGCGCAGCGGACGGTTCGATCACGGGGCGCTCAGGCGAGTGGCTCTAATAATTAACCGTTTCCATGCCAACGGCCATCCATGAAGCATAAAATAGCAATGCGTAAAGCGAAAGAAAATCAATGAACTGGGCTAGTGTTCTTGAATTTCAACGAAGCAGATGACACGAGAGAACTGAAGAGAAGATGGATATATAGGTCGTGGCGTGTAAGTAAATCGTGAAGGAGAAGGGAATCAAACATGAGGCAACGTGATGAGGGCACTGGTACCGCGTCCGGAGACCATTAAACAATGACACATTTGGGCTTCTTCTTCACGGGGGGTTCAAGTGCAGCCACGATAGCCTGTAGCATGATGAATGAGCAGAGGATCGAAGAAATCATCGGGAACGCTCACCTCATCGAACACGTTCTTCAATCCCTTCTGCGTCAATGCTGAGCATTCTACGTACTTAACAGCACCCAACTCTCTGGCCAACCGCTCGCCCTGCTCGGATGTCACAGGGCGCTGTTTTTGCCTCCCAAGCTTGTCTATTACTTGAGGATCATCCCTCAGATCAATCTGCGTGCCAACGATGAGGCAAGGCACGCCAGGACAGTGGTGGTGAACTTCAGGGAACCATTTCTCCTTGACGTTCTCAAATGATGCAGGGGAAGTGACACTAAAGCAGACCAAGAAGACGTCCGTTTGCGGATACGATAGCGGGCGTAGGCGATCATAATCCTCCTGGCCTGATCATGGGATGGGTAAAGGCGAAGGATATGGCTGATGTTAGCGACGCACCAGCGGTATCAAAAAGTCCGAGCGTGTATGGGTCGTCGCCGATCATAACGGTAACGGCGTAATTATCGAAGACCTAGACGGACGACCATATATTGATGCCGTAGAGAGGAATGAGAAAACAAGGACGTACGGTAGGAACATATTCACTTGGGAATTTGTTAGTCGTATACGAGATCAACAGGCATGTCTTCGATGTAACCGCAATCGACACCTTTTCCCTCCAGATATGGTCGAACGACTCACCTTTCCGACGGCACCATCGCCCACCACTACACATTTGATAGTCTGCATCTCAATCCAACCAAGCCTAAACTATCGTCCCAAGTCTACAGAATGACCGATGAATCAAACAAGTCAAAAACCGTGCTCGACTTGAGAGACGCCCTGTTCTGCCGTCACTCGGAGGCTAGCGCCTCGTGGCGAGGTTCGTACAGAACAGGAGATGGTTCGAAGCAGCTGGATGGACTCACAATTCGGTGTATACAAGCACAGCTACTACAATAGACCACGGAAACGCCGACGCTGCTGCTAATCGAAGGGCGAGGACAATGAAATGAACCGAAAAAAGATATCGACCAGGAAGGTACTTGTGCTTGCGATACGGATATCCTTGAAGCCGGAAATCAACTTGAGAAAGTGAAAAGCAGCTAGGCGACGTACAAAGGCTCGGCTGGTGGAAGAACGACGAGAGGCGCTGGGTGGATGGTCGAGTGGACTGTCGCGGACGGTCTGGGGGCTGTTCAACGACTGGGATCGTATGGAGGAAAGGGCCAGGCAAATGCTAGTGGCGCCCTGCCAAACATGTGCAAATCAACATTCACGTTTCAATGACAACAGCAATGCCTCGTGGCACAAGAAACCAAACAGCGATTATCTGAGATATAAAAGTACAACCAAGTATGCGACCGTGTCATGGAACCAAACGAGTGAAGGTAGATAATTTACGGTAAAGCGGATAATAAAGAAAACAAATCATCGTCACGAAGAACCTTTGTGCCGTTTGCGGGCGGCGTCGTCCGTCGCTGTTCGTTGTAATCCGGATCAGTAAATTCCCAGCACATAGTAATGTGCCACATACACGAAGCCTGCGGATTGGACGCGGGTTGGGACCACCAGCTCAGTTGTCCTTCCTTAGTTCCTGTAATAATGCAAGGGACGACATCTTTACTAGGGTGATCACAGCTCTACTTATATACATTAGAGACCATGTCAGATCGTGATAGTATTCACTCACCGCGACTGCTTGAATAGTCGTGTCTGGAGAACCATCAGTTTACACGACAGCCGAAAAAAACGAGGCGCTCCCACGAACCTTCACCGTGATCCAAACCGTATACCACAACTGCTTTCTTCTTATCCCAGACAGGGATACACCCCTCGACATCTCCGAAAAGTACAGCCTGATCTTGCGCAGCATATATGGCACCAAACTCGTTGCGCAGGTCCAGGTCTTTAAATGAATACACCTGCTCGACCTTGCCCTTGTTATCAGACTGTTCGACCCAGACTAGGTGACAACAGGCGCTGGACTGGGCAACCAACGCCTGCGACGCCTGACGGTTTATATCAATCTGAGTTCTAAGTAACGTTTGTCAAGTAACGGTCATATCGGAGGGAAGATCGAACGTACATCTTGGACCGGAGGAATGCGTAGGCGCGTAAAGTGCCGTTCGGTATCTCGCAATACCACCTTTATTTTAGATGAGAAAGCCGTCGCAGTGATTCCGGAATAAGTTACTCACAACACTCCGTCCTTCGTGCCCCCAAGTAACGCCTGACCATCATCTACAAACTTGATCGCAGTGACGTTCTGTCTAACGATCGAACGTTGGGGTTGCCATGTTCCTTCACTCCACATTAGTATTGACAGCAATGGTATAACCAAGAAGCGCACCTTTCGACCACAGCCATACCTTGACACCGATCTTGGGAAATGAAACAGCGATCCTATCTGCCCTGTAGGCCAGGCACATGGGATCGTCGTCTACTCGACGTTCATTGCCCGCATCCAGGATCTTGGCCCATTGCCAATGGTTAGGCCCCTACACCCGAATATAAGTGATCATAGTTTAGCATTGCGGCGAGCCGACGATACTCACAGTTTTTATCCATTTACTCACGACTCCATCGTCGCTGAGGGTTATTACGCCGGTATCCCCAGTCAACCACAACACAGACACGACGGGAGCATTATGCGTCAACCGCGCCAACTCCGCGTAATTTTGGTTGGACCATATCCTAACGGTTCGATCAGAGCCTTGCCAAACCCAACATAATGTATCAGTGCACAGCACCACCCCTATCAAATGATTCGAATACTTACAACATATAGCGAACTGTGTGCCATCCGAGTTGAAAGCAATTGTCTTTACGGACAAATCACCTTCGCCTTTGAGCGCGACGGTGCGTAGAGGGTCTACTGTGGGCCACCTGAATTTTCTCCGTCGTTTCTTGTGGACATCCACGTCTGGTGATTCCCGCTTCACGCCACGAGGACCAGGTCGCGTCGGAGCAGCGATAGGCTTGGGAGGAAGAGGATGTGTCATAGGGAGAGTCATAAGAGGATAAGGAGTCTTAGGCGAAACAGTTGAACTGCCTGGTACGGGGTCTTTCGGAGGACCGTTCGTGGTTGGAGGCGGCACAGGCCGTGATTCGATCGAAGTCAGGTTTGGGAAAGCACGTAGAGGAGAAGGGGGAAGTGGAATTTCGTTTGGGTTACGATGGGATGTCAGTCTAGACGCTAACGAAATTGGTGTATGGGGTGACGTCGGTTTGGGTGATGGACTTATGGCTATGCCCGCAGCGAGCATCAGCGTCAGTTGATCTGCGTGTAAAAATTGACTAACCTTCGATAGGTATGGGGATTTCGAAGAGATCCAAAGGTTCCGTTTTGGGAACATTGGGCTGGGACGGTGCAGACGGCGCGGGCGCCTTGGTAGTAATCTTAATTGGAGCTTTGTTCGCCGTGAGGTTTGGTGGTGTATAAGGTACGGCGGAGGTTGAAGGGTTCCATGTCATAGGAAGAACGGCGGGCCTCCACTTTATAGTCCCGGTAGGAGGGGGGGTAGGAATAAGACCCGGTATCGGAGGAGGGTCAGGCTGGGACGGCGGAGAAGCGGGAGGCGGAGGTGGCGCGGGTTGTACTGGAGGTAAATGTTGAGGAGGCGCTGGGGTGATTGGCTGAGGAGGGGGAGGTGGCGGTTGTTCTGATCCATATGGGAGGTCGACATCAATATCTGCGGAGGTGGTACGGCCAGGTTGCTTGTCAGTAAGACGAGCGACCAGCGAGAGACCATTAGATGTCGGAGTAGTTCCTTTCTCATTCTGTGCGGCGCTCCCAGAAGCTTTGGCAGCCGACCATGAATTGCCCACCACGAGTTTCTTACGTTGCGGAGTTGCGTTTGCAGAACTCCCATTGGTTGAAGTAGGTTGGGACAGGCCTTTCAAGCTCCCAGGCATCTTAGGCGCGCTGAGTGCAGCAGAGTTAACGAGTAACTTTGGAGCAGTAGGCGGTGCCTTCTGTGACTGTCCATTGTTTACCATGGCCGAAGGAGCAGTCGGAGGCGCTGAAGGCCTAATTCCAAGTGGGTTGGACATCGGGCCAGTAGGAATGTACCCAAAGGATCTCGCATCAAGTGATGACGGCTGTCCTGTCCCGCCCCTCGCACGACCTGACATAGCCTGAGGTTGAGTAGGAGGTAGTCTTGGGTGTGTGGGCGGCGGTTTATTGGCCGGGGTGGGAGGTTTGGAGGCGGGAACGAAGAAGCTTGATAGATTCGGCAGATCGGACATCGGTCTTTGACTCAATGGGCGAGACCCTGAAGGTCGTAACTCGTCCCCCAAGACCCGTGGTGGTGAAGAAGCTAGGGCTGGCGGGGGAGAGGGCGTGATTGGATTGGGAAGGCTAGTGGACATAGGGATGGGCGGGGCGCAAAGGGCAACAGCAGGTGAAGGTACTGGGGGTGAAAGGCGAGTAGCATAGTGTTGACCTGACGTAGTAGCCTCTGGTTCTGGTGCGACTATCTCTCGGACAAGCGAGCGCTTGCGCTTGCGAGACGGACTTGCTACAGAAATAACAGGGGAATCATCCGTTAGGTCTTCAATCTTGACGAACCCCTTACGATCTGGACAAGCAACGTCGTTCCCAAGGCAAATACATCAGGATAAAGAACTCACCATGAGATTCTACTGTTGGCGCTTCACACGATACAATTCGTAGGAAATGAGCAAAGAGAAAGATGAGACGAATGAAGGACTGCGGTGCATACCTAATTGTTGACTTCCCTCGTCAATTCCATGATGTTTATCACCTTTCACATATTCATCCTTTTCAACTGAAGGCGGAGGAGATGAGTGAGGGGTACTATCTATGGAATTATCGTCGTGCTGTACAGTGGCTTCAACAAAGGGAGGTTCGCGGATGGGGAAAATCGGGAATGGCTTATTGCGTTGCTTTTCTTCGATGGGAGAGAACTGCATATCCTGTGCACCAGAACTAGAGGCAATGGATGATGCGCGAGAAAGGGACGCCAAAGGTCGTGTGAGTGGCGAGAATATGACTGACGGTTGAGTCGAATCCGTCTGGGACGGGGACATTGTCAGAGGAGTGTTATGGACAGTATTCGATGACTTCGACTGCGCTACTAAGGGGGCATTCCTGGTGCTTGCTGGCGAAGGTAAACGTGAGTTACTGGGCGAATCAAGCTCCATGGGCGATAGACTGCGGCGTGCCTATTATTTTTATTTGAGTTAAGTTGGTGTAAATACAACGGCGATACTCACAGAAACCGGAGAAACGACCAGGGGTGGTGGCTCTGTCTGAACATCTGTCGATGTTAAGACGCGCGATTCAGTTGCTTGAATCGATATTGAAGTATAAGGTGTCGCGTCAGATTGTACAGCGACTCCTTGGAGCACTGGTTCAGCCTGTACGCTCACAGAGATATTGGACACTTCTGTCTGCGTATAGGTAGTAGTCAAGATCGGTTCCACCTGGATACCAATCGACTCGTGAGCCACTGGTAACTCCAATGCTTTGACGATAGGTGCTGTAGCATGTAAGTAAGCCGTAATTGAGGGAATATTTCCGCGTTACTTACCTGCGTTCTCGTTGCCTTCGTCTGGACGAACCTTCCATCCCCTCCGCATTTTAGGTGGTATGACTTCAGTCAGCTGCGGTAAGCCGTCCTCTACATTCTCTACGACCTCTTCTTCTTCCCTAGTAGCCAAATCGCCCTCCAATAATATTGGGTGGTTCTCGATGCTTCCATCCACTGAAAGCAGTATTTCCTTGCCCGGCTTCACTTCGATGCGCTTCGATGCAAACAAGCTAAAGTATACTATGGTGTTTGACTCTCCATCTTCACTCGAATCATCGGATATCTGGACGCGTCGTAGCACTACGTGGGGTTTCTGGCTTGAACCATGAGGTCGGAAACGCAGGGGGCCTTTTACACCCAAAATAGAAGCGAGTGTGGGTCCGTGGGGATGCGCGCCATTGTGTGTAGTGGTAGAGCCGCCCATTGCCTACACGCATGCAACTACCACTTACCTTCAATTTGATGCCTGCTTGGTGGTTGTGTCTTGGAAAGAGATGAGGAGTTCAGAGCGCTACGAAAATGCAAGTCACGATCTCATATTACATAAGCAGCCCCTATCGACTCAGGAGACAGGCGCTGCGAGAGTCTCATCCCTATATGGTATACCAGCTCGAGCTTATCCAGAGAGGGTCAATTATACCTTTATCTTCAATTATATAGGCCATTCTACTCATTCCCTCCGATACCTGCTTTCTTCATACGTTGACTATTAATTAGCACGCAAATCCAATAATGAAACGGAAAGGTCGAGGCATATGCGTACAAAATCCTGGGGAGGTCCGAAGCTGCTCAAGGTAGACCGTCTCGAGGAAACTTAAGTGCCTTGTTGTTAGAGTAGCAACATCCAGTAAAGTTTAGTGACAATTCACCAATGAGTTAGCGCCCTGGGCGCTTCTGGGTATGGTTACTTCGAACCTGGTTTGACTCGTCGGGCCGCCCTATCTGTGCGACGATCATGTCAAAAAAAGTGGATTATAGCTTGTACCTAGTTACTTGCAGGGAACTTCTACCCCCCGACAAAGTGAGAGGTTTCGAACGCCCAATCATCCATGATCTCACGCATATCAGGACTATTACGAATCATTGGAAGAGGTAAGTTGTCACTGTATTCCGAAGCGATTGGATCTCATAGCACTCTGATAGTCGTTGCAAGGAGGAGTTACAATTGTCCAGATTAGGGAAAAGACTGCTGAGACACGAGAGGTGATCACGAATGTCAGTCTTGTTGGCCACCGCTGACTCCTTGCAGTTTGTTGAGATCGCGGCCAAGTCAAAGGTCATATGCGACAAATACAACGTCCCCTTGATAATAAATGACCGGATAGACGTCGCCCTCGCTGTACATGCTTCAGGTGTCCATGTCGGTCAGACGGACATGCCTGTGGATGTTGTAAAGCGGCTCCTGCCCGTCGGCTCTATTGTAGGTGTCTCATGCAACAATCTAGACCACGTGAAAACTGCCATCGACGATGGAGTGGATTACATCGGTATCGGCTCCGTTTGGGCGACGAAAACGAAGTCCTTGACGTCGCCTCTGGTAGGGGTTCGTGGAGTTGGCGTCTTGCTTGATGCGCTTGAAGGGACTGAGATAAAGGCCGTGGCAATTGGTACACCCTTTGAAACCAGCTACGAATGGAGAGTTAAAGCCACCTTTACTTTAGGTGGCATCAAGTCGACAAATATTTTGCGCACCTTGTATGGCGCCGTATCACAGAGCGGACATACCTTAGACGGGGTCGCAGTCGTTTCCGATATCGTGTCGTCCAACGACCCCCAAAATGCCGCAGCCAACCTTTCCGGGATAATTCACAAATTCAAAGCGCAGGAGCATTTAGGGCCAGCCATGATCGGTACTCCACTCACCGGCAAGGGAGTTTTAAGACAAGCACTCCAAATCTTTGATGCAATCAAAACGACAAGTCCCCTTGTGCACCAGGTAGTCATTCAACCAAGTTCAGACGTCAGACGAGATGTTCAATTTCAACCCACAGATAACCAACACGGTCGTGTCAACTCAATCTGCGAATATCACGTTGGCATTGGGTGCGAGCCCGATTATGGCCACCTCGGCAAAAGAAATGCAGGATCTTTCCAAAATACCAGGTGCCTTGTTGGTCAATATAGGCACTTTGGTAGACGATACGAAGGAGGGCATGCTCGCTTCGGGTGAGTCAATTATGTGGTTCTTTGTACCGTACCATCTGGACCGCATACAGGATTATACGCCAACTTGGCGAGGAAGCCCGTCGTTTTGGACCCAGTGGGAGTCGGGGCTTCTCAATACAGGAAAGACGCAATCAAAGGTACTGTACCATCCCCTATTCGAAGATGGCTCGCATGATCTTATCTTGTGACCTAAGAGCTTCTCGACACTTGGCAAGTAAGCATCATCAAAGGTAATGCAGGGGAGTTAGCCGCTTTGTCAGGGACATCCGAGGTATGCAGATGCATCATCTTGACCTCGAGTCCTAAATCGGGATGCCGTCCCTTTTCCAGGTCGAATCCAAGGGGGTCGATTCAGTTGGCGATGGATTCAAAGACCCGATTTCATTCGTGAAGAACTTGGCGCGTAAAGAGCGTGAGCTCCTTCTACGTCCATCCCTTCGTGCATCTGGAATTGAAAAACATCCATAGGCTGTGTCGTTGCTCTTACAGGCAAAGTGGATTATGTATCAGATGGAAATTCGGTCATTGCTTTGCACAATGGCCATGAAATGCTTGGACGGATCACAGGATCGGGGTGCATGGTTGGAAGCTGTATCGCCAGCTTCTGCGCTGGACAGACTTCTCTCCCACACGACGACGAGATCATAACAAGAGGATTCGCCAATCAATACATGTTATACGCCGCAGTCGGAGGGTAAGTAGCCCCCTGGTGGCGAACGAAATATTTTTAATGCATGATCTTAGCATTACAGTGTTCAACGTCGCCGCCGAGGTGGCCGTGGCAAGTGGAAATGTCCGAGGGACTGGCACATTCCTTCCTGCCTTGATCGATGCTCTCTACCACCTGTCGCTAGATGAGATCGTTCTCAACGCGGATATCAGGATATGCACGTAACGGGGAAGTCATTCCGTCCGGATACCCCCAGTGTAAGGCTTCGAAAGGCATCCCGTAGATAGAAGTTACGTTTTGGATTAAAATCGGATTTAATAAAGGGATGACTTTCTTACTACCTTCAACAAGCCAGACTTACTCCACGATGTAGGCAGCCCAGCCGCCGCGAGAGACATAACTCAGTTGTTTTGTGGCTGTATCTTCCCTCAAAAAATATCTACGCCGGGTCCATAAGACCAAAAAGTCCGCGAGCTTTCCTGGTGAAAGGGAATCGATTAACTACCATCTTCGCCGCCGTACTTGATGTGTAAGAGTGCATACGCCACGAAATGTACACCAGGTCAGTATCACACAATAACATGGCAGCCAAACGAGGTTGCGTACATGTCTTACGAGATAAGTTGGTTGCTGTGCTTAGCTGCTCCAGCTTATCATCGACGTCGCGAAGAAACACAGCTGTAAAAAGGTTGACTTCACCACGAGTAGTCCTGATGAACTCTCTGATGGTGGTGTTCTGCACCCCTGATTCATGTCATGATTAAAGGAGTCTTATAAGGTCGCGCATTACCGTACGCGCACGGGGTATGTATGTCAAGATCTTCTAAGCTGGAAACACATCTCAGTGCATTGATCGCGTGGCGCATAACGAGGCCGCACACCTACAATTACAATGTCATTTATGAATGATTGGCTTCCACGGTTCAGCCTGGCCGAGGCCAGTTGATGTTTTCATCTCCCCCAGGTCTCCTGGCCCTATTCATGTCCATATACTGACCCGGCCACGGATCTTCGCCTGAATACGGCGGCATTAGTTCCCAGCCCGTACTAACATGGAGGAGGGAGAGCAGAAGGTCGTTACTCACTGCGATCAATGATATTCACATCCAAATCGTCGTCGTCGTCGTCTTCCTCCTCCGCGGGATCCCATCGATCGTTCGACGCAGCAGCGGGATTATTGGCACGATCTACGGTAAGGTCCTTCATGAGCCTATTCACCGAGTCTTCCTTGGCTTCACGGAGGGACTTTTCGCGCGCCTCACGTGCTCGTTCAAGTTCTGGTAGATAGTCTCTGCGTGGAGCGGTGAGTTACATCAGCCGGGGGGGTGGCAAGTTATAGTCTGATACGGACTTTTCGTAGTCATCCCGCGAGGCGTCGACGGCATCGAAGAACTCTTTGATCCCATCGCCAGTCATGCTGGATACGCCGACTGCCTTCAGATGCTTGTAGAATTCATCCAGCACGAGACTCATGCTGTTCATCAAGCTGTTCATATAGGTTGGTTCGCCCTCCGAGTCGCGCGCCCCGTCATGTGTTGCCAGAGCCGCTTGGAACTCTTCAAAGTCATGCATCCATTCCAACGCAAACTCATGAGGTTGGACGTCCGTTTTGTTGAAAACAAGGATGAAGGGGAGCTTCGTTTTGTAAAGGATACTGCCATCGCAAGAGGGGATGATACGTACATGCTCTGGAAACAGAGAAGTGGTAGTGAACGTACCTGCAAGCATAGAGCATGTTCGACATGAAGGTGGCAGGGGCGGTCGTGCGAGGAGTGTCCACCACATATGCGACGACTGTAGGAAAGGATGATGCTACGGCGTCGGTGATGATCGCTCCCGACGCCGACCAAGTAAATATTTCAATCTGCCCTGGCGTATCCAGAATTACATAGCTGAGGGCCTTTAGCAGAAAGCGCAATGCCAAAACGCACAAAACTCACTCGACATCGTCCGCCCTCTTCTCTACTAGATTCAACACCTGATCAAACTTGGTCGTAAACAGGTTCAGCGCCGTCAGAATCCCCCCGTTGGGCCCCAGGTTGTATCTTGACAATAACAATGTATTGACTACAACGCGTCTTTGAAGAGTAAGCGAGCATTAACACACTGCTTCATGACCTCCTGGTAGTTCACAGTGTCCCTTATGTCGATATTGGCCTCGAACGGGACTTGGGTGACGGCTGGGTCGAGATTGAGGATGTACGGCGGCCTCTCGGAGTCCTTTGCGTGAAGAAACGAATTTATTCGCTGTACGAAGGTTGACTTTCCCGCCCCGGCCATCCCAATCGTGATGATCACAATTGGCTTCTTTTGCTGTGGATCGCTCATGCTGGAGAAGAGAAAAGAGTGAACTCCTGTTTTCTGAAAGCGTAGCTCGTGATCATGCTCTTGCAAATATGAGCAAAGCTCATCTATATTAAAAAGAGGCCCTTTTTTTACACGTAAACAACGATTGAGACTGAACACAATGGAATGACCACAAGGCAGTCAGCTGCTTCTGCAGACAGCACAGCTTTCATTGAATACCAGTGTTGACAGAAGGAGGAGCACTGGGTAGGTGTGATCCTGGTAGTACACTGTATATCCCGGCCGACTCACATACAATCCATGGAAAGGAATATTCTCCCTCCTCGCTGTAAATGCTACGTCGCTGGCTTGCAATTTCATTACTTGTTATCTAAATGCTATGATCATTTGTCGTGTACAACCAGTTTACAAAGGGGATTGGTTGGTGTATGGGTATTGCAATGGGATTCTTCAGTGCGAGCAGGAGCTATATGGAAAATGAAACAATGCAACTATGGGAAGGTACGAAAGAACAGACATAGCGTATATGGAGGAGCGATAAACAGTAGCTAGACATACGCACGCGCGACACGAGAACCCTTCAACTTCGCTTCCACCGGAATGAGATTTAGGCACAGTGACTACCCGGTATACCCAGCGAAGTAAGGGTGTATCAAAGCGCGTTTCGCTAGAATGGAGTAGACGGGATGATGATGAGCGTCTCGACAGAGCGGAGAAGATCAATGCGTCTACCTGAGATGCGCTTTGCGGAATCGTACGTCAAAGTTTTCTACAAAGCACAGGTTAGACCGAATACCCGAAACAACGTAGGGGAACAATGTGATACCTTTAGCATATCAAGCCCATCCTCATCCAGCGTGCTCACGATGCGGCCCAGGTCCTGCTCTGACCACTGGGGGAAGGTCGACTTATAGTCCGGCAGCGCGCTGACGCCTGGCCAAGTCTCGTCGTTCGGCGTTCCAAGAATCCTGATGCCCATTCTGATCAGTAAGTGTGGGGCCAGGAATGATGAGCAAAGGTTACCTGAAGATCTTGAATATTTGATCGATCTCTGAGTCGCCAGGGAAGAGGGGGTGGCCGTGCATCGCCATCTCTGCAAAGATGCAGCCAACCGACCACATATCGATCGCGGTAGAGTAGTGGCGCGAACCAAGGAGGACCTCGGGGGCACGGTACCAAAGAGTCACAACCTAGATAATGTGGAATATAAATTCATTAAGAGTTGAGAGGGAATATATAGTGACGCACTTCATGAGTATAAGTCCTCATCGGGATACCAAAGGCCCGAGCAAGACCGAAGTCTGCTAGCTTGAGGTTGTCTGTCTTGTCGATAAGCAGATTCTGAGGCTTCAAATCACGGTGCAGAATACGATGAGAATGGCAGTAAAGGAGACCCGAGTTCATTTGATGCGTGAATTTCTGCAGAGAAAGGGATCAACGTCAGAAACACGCGAACCCAGTAAAATGATAACGTAATGGGGCTCGGTTGGCAGAGAGAACAAAAGGCAGTCGTAGTGACCATCATGTGGGGGTGACCCGGAGGATAGTCGCGCCGAGCGTGATCATGCGCTCGAGGAACACGCCGGTGCATATATGCACAAGCTGGGGCGTCGCTGACCTCGCTGACCTCAACACGTTTGCGAGCGCGCGCACGGTAAAACGGCGCGTCCATCACGCGTTCAGAGCGCCGTAACCCCAAATACGTACCTTCAGAAGAGCAGGCGACAACGGCGTGTTCCGCTGATTGCCGTTCTCCATGTATCGTTTCAGATCTACATCCAGAAACTCAAAGACTAAGTAGAGTTTCTGATCTGCGTGCACGATATCCAGGAGCCTGGTAACGACATGGCATGGACATGAGAACATGGTGGCGCAGGATAAGCACGCACTTGACGATGTTATCATCGCGTAGCTCTTTGAGCAAGCTGATTTCTCGGATGGCTGTGCTTGGGACGCCTTCGTCTTCGGCTTCGAGGCGGATTTTCTTGAGGGCGACGATGGCATTACTGGTCGTGTCCCGGGCTTTGTAGACGACGCCATACGTTCCTGATCACATTTGAGCGTTCCTACGAATCATAGACAGCATTCACGCCACTAGATTCACTCACCTTCGCCTGTAAATCCATACGGACGCTTGAGACGGGCCGCCATCGTTTACACCGAGCTGAACTTTGATAACGCACCAACTTTCTCAATCTTGGCGTAGCTAGACAAGGATTCAGCCTCATCAGCTTCAAACTAGTGGTCTAGTCTGGTGCATGTCGCTAACCGATCCATGATTGTCCTAGAGGCCCTAAGCGCTGACTGACAAAGGTGTGGGTAGAGGGGCGGCGATGGAGGCGATGCAGACAGTCAATTACCTTGGATCTGTGCAAAGGTCTTTCCTGCCGCGTGATCGTGTGACCTCCAGCCTCACGCTAGTAGCACAGCCACCGATCGTTATGGTATCCCACAACTGCGAACAACGTTCGCAGTTGCCATCAGTGGACTGGCTGCTCCTTCAGAATAACATTCTCGACTAACTGACAGTGGGTTTCGGGAGTTTGTGGGATATTGCCGTCACAGAATTGCCATATTCGGACAAGCTCATTGTTCGAGAGTAGACAAGAAAGGATACAATGACTCGCCCTCATAAATATAAGTCGATGGGAAATCGGACTTCCAGTCCATCAAGAAACAACAAGAGCAACCAGTTATGTCAAAAACGAAGGCAAGATTAAAGCGACTGTGAGTGGTTGTCTCCTTAAGATGCCCTAGCTGTCGCTCATGGGCCCACTGGACAGTGCAGAAGTCAACGATGACATTCCAGGAATCAAACCTGGAGCTATGTTCCGTAATCGTCAAGAGCTAAGTGACGCGGGCGTTCACTTGCCAACTATACACGGGATCCACAATGCAGGTGAAGAGAATGTATACTCAGTCGTATTATATGGCGGATACGAGGACAACGTCGATGAGGGGGAAGAGATGTGAGTACGACCCTTCAAGTAGCTAATATGCGCTATTGAAGGCTGACGACGTGACAAGTACATATACCGAACAGGGTGAGTTTCTGGACTTTCTATCCCAATTGGCATCCGCTCACTTTTGATTCTACTTCAGGTAAAGGGGCGGAGAAAGGGAAAGCAGTATGTCACACGTCTTCTGGTCTTCGCCGCTTGTACCCGCTGAACGATCCGTGAACAGGTTCATGGACAATCCCAAGCTGGAGACCAAGAATGGAAGGGCCCAAATGCTGCTCTGAAAGTGAACCACTTTACTTCCTCGCCTCCCTTTGTTTTGTTCTTAATCCATTTCCCTTGTAGCACTACGCTGTGACGACTCACCTCCCCATCAGAGTTGTTAGAGGGGACAAATCGAATTCAGTTTATGCCCCAAGGCCAGGCGGCACATACAGGTACGTCTCATGACCGTCAGCTACGGTGATCCGTTTCATCTCATGAGAATAAAGGTATCGTTATGACGGATTGTATGTGGTCGACGAGGTAAGAATTTCAGTCCTTTCCTATTGGTCCCTATCATGACCACTGTTGGCAGTGGTGGGAAGCACGGGGGAAGGCTGGCTACATGATGTGCATGTTTAGATTGAAGGTACATGCAATCATGTTGCTGTCAGGTTTCTGGTTCTGACGCTCCCTCAGCGATTCAATGACGGGACTGTATATGACATCCCTAAACGCACTGACCCGGATTAAATACATATTTGTATAGTAGACTTGGAAGGACGTCGACGTGAATTGATACTACCGCCAACGTCGCGCTCAGAAATGCTTCGAAGGTGGGCTATGTGAATCGAGTAGACGCGGCACGCGCATTCAGTTGTCGAAACAATGGTATAATCCAAGCATACTACGTTTGAATGTGCCGGATGGAACAACCCAGAATGTAATGTCGGAGACTATTTCGGAAGATCTAAATATTCTAAGATAAGATAAGATCTCATTGATATATAAGTTACCACTACCGCAGTTCTACATCTCTTACCATCTACCAGCGCAGCCATGGCCGTCAACGCCAACGAAGACACAGAATTGTGCGTAAGTCCTCCAGGATTCACCTCTACGTGAAAAGATCACTAAACTGGATCAGTAACGACGCTTTGCGCAAGTACGGTATCCTTCCTCCACGACCCCCTACCCCCCCATCTCCGTCCCCACCTTCTTCGCCGCAGCTTGACGATTTCCTCGACGATTTCACCACTGATGAACTCCAGGAACTCGCCGACGACACGAAGGATGATGAGGCAGAGAAGATGATCAATGCATTCAGGGAACAACGGTTGGCCGAGGAACGGAGCAGGAGAGCCAGGTTTGGGAGAGTCTACCCAATAGGGAGGGATGATTATACCAGGGAAGTCACAGAGGCGAGTGAGGTGGATGAAGACGGCGACGAGGCTCATACAGGCACCGCTGTGATCTGTTTCCTTTACAAGGATGGGTAAGTTATGCACTCTGTGGCCGGCATTGCATCCACCAGTCAACGAAGCAGCTAATCGACTTGCGCAACAGACTACCACGTAGCGAACGTGCATATGCACACATCCGTGCGCTCGCAGAGCGACATCCAAACACCAAATTCGTCTCTATCATCGGCGACAAGTGCATACCAAATCTCCCGGAGTCACGAGTACCCATGATTATCGTCTATAGAAAGGGCGAAGTAGTTACACAGATTTTGTCTTGGGGTGCCGATAAAGAGAGGTCACTCGACGGTACGCGACTGCTGCCCCTTTGAAGCTCTAGACTGATGTCAGTCTGAAGAACTGGCCGCCATGCTTGCCATATCTGGTGCCATTCAACTAGAGCCCCCGCGTCCAAAGCCTAAACGTAGCGATGATGATTCAGACGAAGACGAGGAGGATGAATCACATAGCAAATGGGGTGCAGCATCTCGAGCAGCGAAGCCATCTATATACAGAGACCGTCAAAGAGGTTCGAACACCACGAAGAAGAATCTACGTAGCAAGAATGACGACTCTGACTCCGATTTTGAATTTGATCTGTAATTCTATCGGGGATGCAAATACACCTTTCTGATTTAAAATAAGCCAGCTAATAGAATCCTCTCGACTTCCTCTTCTTCCGCCTCGCTCTCGCCTGTGCTATTTTGCTCTTCAGATCGGGTCACAAAGGACGCGCCGCCCCGTTGGCATCTGCAGAGTCGTGACAGTGATTTATCCGATTTGGGATCACGTAAGATGTCCAAAGCTCGCACACAGGCAGCATGTTTTGCTAATGAGAATGAAGGCGAGGTGATTGGGCCAGACACCGTCGTACCATGGATGACCACGGACACGCTTTCTCCCTTGGCGCGCCTCTCCGACTTCCTAGTAACGCGAGCACAACAATAAAACATTGTTTTGCAGACGAAAACTCTTTGACTTACCGTATCTCGAGTTCCCTGCATCCCGACATTGCGACCCAGGTAGTAAGTTCGGGTCCAGGATAGAGTGGTAATGTCGGCGATAACTGCGTGAGGACATCCTCCATTATATTCTCTGTTATCACCGCAGTCTTCTCGTAGTCCCAATTAGTGTCGATCAGGATTGCGCCTAAAAGGCCCTCGAAGACGTCGCTAATGACTTTGGGAGGCTCGTATTTCCATCCTTGCCTCACAATGTCCCCTGCGGAGCAGTCTTCAAGCATCGGCACATACTGCGCTATCAACATGCTCAGCTCAACATTATTGATGAGCATGACTTTATGAAGCTGGAGCCGATTTACTGCAACCCAGGCAAGTGCCGTAGAGCATATCGCGCGCGTCCGAGGAAAGGAGAGTTGATGGGATGTTGCCTTTGGAAACTTATCATATAAATAAGCCACGACGATTAGGTCGAGGACGGCTAACGGTCTGCATCAGGAAAGGCCTGCCTATCACTCTAGAAAGGACATACCGTCTCCCAGAAATTCCAAACGTTGATATGATGGTCCCCCTAGTTCACTGGCGAAAGAGGGGTGTGTCATCGCTTCCACAATCAATTCTGGCCGCCGAAAGATATACCCCAGCGCCTCTTGTAAATGCGAGAACAAGGGGGTGGCTACATGTTCTTGAGTGGTTGAGGCCTTCTCGTAGCGCATTGACCAAGGAACTACACCTCCAAAGGCCAGACCAATGGCATCGCCAGCCTGGAGTGCCATGGGTATACCCCCAGTTGCAAATGCAGCACCAAGAGTGGCTTCCATGCAATCTTGCAAGCTTCTACGCGCAATTATTCTCGGTACTCGTTTATGTGCATTGGAACCAAGCTCCCCGGCTTCAGCTTTGTCTCTGATTCCTTGAGAATGTGGCCAAATAGCGAGGTCTAGTGGCTCGCTAATCAGATAACTTTCTAGGCCTACTTCCCTTGCCCTAGCCATTAAACACCAGTTCGAGATAGTACTTTGACGGAGTGCGGAAAGTTGACCTTCATGGCGATGGGGATACTTATTAAACGCGTGAACAGTGACGCAGACTTTAAGTACCGAGTCGCCTAGTGTTTCTAGCCTTTGGTTGTTGCAGGGAGCATCGGTACTAGGTATGGTGAATGCTTCCACCTGAAGGTTGGTGCGGATAGCGGGCAAACCAAAGTCCAGTCGGGCGCATCTCGCGCGGTAAACGTCAATGATGCGGTGGGCAAGAATGGGAAGTATCTCGAAAGTCTTTAAAATGGCCCATGGTAAATCAAACCATGCACATGAACCCTGCGGTATGATGGCACCGTCAGATGACCCATAAACAGTCTCCTCCGTCAGGTCCTGTGGATCTTGATAATACTTGCTGTCGCGATAACGAGTAAGTCTGTAGACCTCGATGAGAGGGCCGTCCTCTGGTACTCGGGCTTCGCGCTTCCTCCGTTTCCATCTATCTATCCAATACTCATAAAACGTAGGGAAGGCGTCCTCCCTCGAACCAGGTGGAGGGGGTGACTGAGGAGATAGATCATGACGGATCCTTCGTAATAGATAAGGCCTTCCGTGCTGATTGTTATTCATGACGAAGAGTCGGTCATAATGTTCAGGAGTAATCCCGCTCCAGTCGTAATTCCCATACGGATGGACTGCAAATTTGCACAGAGCATGGAAGTCAACGCGCGGATAGGGAGTTTCGGCCACGAGAGGAACAACATAGAATGAAGGGTGGCCATCCACGGGTCGGCCCATAACGCGATACCAAATCCCAGATGTAGTATATTTGGCCATCCGTTCGCAGAGCTCTTCTTCGGTCTCGCCGGGACCGATCTCGCGTCGAAGATCCAAAGGGCGAGGCTTATTCATTCTGAAGAAGTCTCTTCTTTCCGTCCAAGCTTCACAAGGTGGTAAAGGGACTTCAGATACGATACCCGCTGATCTGGCCCCGTTTATCCATACAGCGTGAAGCCATAACATGCGCCCTTCGCACCCACTTGGCGACAGACCGCGGGAGGGTGACCCCATGTGCCACGGATTCCGAACATCTACATTCATCATGGGTGGTATTCCACCAACGTCTACATATCCTCTACCATCAACATCCAACTTCCCCTTAGTTCCCCTTTTGCCTCGCTGAGATGATCCCTTAGATGTGGGGAGCAGGTAGGCATCGAAAACGTCAAATTCGCGGAGGGCTTTAACGGCTTTGAATGCGACAGCACGTTTGGCTTCCTTCTTGGAAAGCTTTACTGGACCGGCGAAAGTAAGATGTGTTGGCGGAAGCGGAAGAGATGGTGGCAAACGCAGGGTGCACGCATATCCGCAGGCGTCAACAGGCAAAGGAGCGTCGGATACAGGTTGTTCTGCTGTTGCGATAGGTTCGTACTTCGGTATATGGGTGGGCGTGAAGGCATCACAGGGTATGAGTGCGCATAGGTGGTTGAGAAGATTAATTGCGTTGTCGTAATTTAGAGTTGCCCCAGTTTCAGGAACTACGTATCTCTCCCTATTGTGGAGATTAAGCTCGTAGACGGCGTCGTCATCTTCGTCGTCATCTTCGTCGTCGTCAGTGGGGGTGTCTCGAATTCGCTTCGAGTTCAGCAGCTTCTTGACCTCGGGTTCTCCATCTAGGAACCTCCGATATTTTTCAAGTTGTACCGTGTCGTCTTCCTGGATCATAATCACGAAGGTGGAGGCAATCATGTTTCGGGCTCGGCCTCGCGATTGGACGTAGCCTACCAAGTGTTGCAAAGGGTCATATCGGATGACGAGAGAGCAATCCTGGGTATCATTGATATAAGCATAGCTTGTACACATGAAGAACGGTACTCGTCACTCACAGGAAAGTGAAGACCTTCTTCGGCCACAGAAGTTGCTACGACTGCTGAGAGCTCAATACCGGGAGGGTGTGGTATGCTTTACGGCGATCTCGACTCACGTATGTTTATTTCTCCCCTTCGAAACTGGGCAAGGGTCTCTTCTCTCTTCTTCGCTGTCCATTCGCCACCCATGAAACTTGACATCGCCTTAGAGGACCCATTAAGCCCTGTCCCCTCCCCAAGAAGCAAGCCTGGATTGAACCGCCCACCAAGCTCATCTATGCATGGCAATATGTGGGCCAGGCAAGACGCTACATGCCGCTGCTCGACGAACACGATGGCTTGAAACGCCGTGGAAGCTCCCGTTGCATGGGATAAAAGGATTTCGATAAGTTTGGACAGTTTGGGCGTGCACTCGTTTAGTGGAACGCGTGACGGCGAGACCTCTGATGCACTGAAAAAGGGTCGATAATCATCGAGTATGGACCGCACGTGAAGCATGTCTGGGTGTAGAGATTTCGGCTCCAATCCTGGAAGCGATATGTAGTCAGCGCAGATATCTGACCCGATGGTTGATTCGCCAATAACTTGTGCTACTCGAAAATCCATCTCATGGAAGAGAAACAGCTCCGCGCAATAGTGCCCGAGGTTACTTAGAGCCGAATGATAACGGCCTTGTACTTTAAACCATTCTACGCTCTCTTGGGATGACAGCAGATCGGAGAAGACATTTAGTGTGTGATATAGATCGTGCGTGTCGAGGTGCGTTTTAGGTGCAGGGCGAAATACTTCAATGACCTATGTAGTTGATTAGATTCAACTTGCGGTACCACTTCAATCAGAGTTACAGACAGACCCGGTCGAAGCGATACAACGATGGTTGAGACTATACCTCATTTGGTTTCGGAACGCTGAGTTCCAGCTCGGTTATATGTTCCTTGACGCCAATGACTACTGCGTCCAGATTCCGCTCCAAGGTGGCGAGTGACCCAGTAGCGTCCTTCGTGTCCCATATGGGTGATGCAGTCATACCGAATATCTTAGGTCGTTGCTCTACAGAAGTGTGGAAGTAGAAACCATTCATGATCTGGTTATACGCGTGTTTCTTCCTGGCATGGTGGCATTCGTCGAAAATTATAATGGATGTCTAGAAAGAACGCGAGTTGATTCTACTCATCCCACGGAAGCTGTTCGAATACCTTGTCGATGCTCCATATGGAATGGGCCAGAAAGTTAAGAAATATCTGTGCTGTGTTCAAGGCCATTAAACAAAGAACTCTGAAAGGAATGGCACTCACCTGTCATCACGAAAAGCTCATGCTGGTCGAAGCAAGCTTGCCAACCCTGGCGATCCGCAAGATCTATATCCATGCTCCCGTAGAGCAGCTTGACCTTGAAGGGCGTATGGTCTTTGAGGTACTTGCCCTGTTGCTCAACCAGCGCGACCTTCGGAACGAGGAAAATCATGGTTCTCGGCCGCGTATCCTTCAATGCCATCCATTTCAGCAGGAGGGCGCCGATGAGTGTCTTGCCGCTCCCTGTACCCAGAGCAGCTATAACATTGCGACCTTGAGCTTGGATGAATATTTCTTCCTGGTATTTTCGAGGGATGAGATTTGACTGCAAATCCGATTCCATGTTCAAGGTGGTGGTTCCATAGGGAAGCTCGCTAAAAGCACTCCGAGGGCGTGATCGTAACTTCTTCGTGTGAGTCAGGGGCCACGCGGCATACAACAGGGAATATAATCCAAAACGTAGAGTGTAAATACTATACAAGCTGATTGTGTTACATCCAAGAGTTATTTTTGCCAATGCTGTGGATGCGGATACATAGGATTTGGTGGACTAAAGAATGGGGAATTGGGTGTGGAGGAACGACTACCGCCGCCACCGGGGTACATGCTCTGCAGCAGTGCCGTCTGCAGCATATTCGTTGGATTCGCGAATGTGAAGTCCGGTATTGGAGACGGAACAGTAGCTGGCGCCGGTGTAGGAGACGATGCAGACTCGGGTGGTTTCCAGCCCTTGAACAAACACATTTAGTTTGCGGCAATTCAACGCACGGGATGACTCACATATTGTCGCCCTTCGCGGTACAACTCCTCTAGCTTCTGGTCGAATGTCCCTTGACCCTCAAATTCATGGTAAGCTTTGTATAGATTGAGTGCCGACCGGGCATCCTCTATCGAATCATGCACATCTTGCTGGATATTTTCATGCAGAACAAACCAAGAGAGGAAGCGAAGGGACAGGCGTCGCTGTCGAGTCCTCAGGAAGTATAAATCCACGGTATCGATGACTTGCTCAGGAGGGACGAAGATATCTGAATGTAGATCTGAATCAGCGCTGAGCATTGCGACGAGGCGGAGGGCACGAACTGATGATACGGAAGTCTGAAGACAGCCCGTGACCTATGAATATGCACCCACGGTCGACAAGGACCCGAAGCTTCTTGTACACCAGTTTGAGAGGTGTAAGTGTATACGGTGAATATCGAGGATCAAGATCGCCGTCTAGCAATAGTGAAGTCTGTAAAGGTGAGGCAATGTCGAAGGACACTTACATTTGACACCCGAATGCTTGGTCAAGTAGTCGACAATGGCCTCGCTGGTGTGTATATGATCATCAATGAAGGGGACACCCTCTTTGAGTCCACTTCCGCGAAGAACAGAGACTCGAGCCAGGCTATGCCTAGCAGGTCGCAAGATCTTCTTCGTTCCGTCAGACCTGAACTCAGTCTCTTCCTATAACGTATATATATGTTTATTGAAAATACATAGACTAGAACCGATGGAACGTACTAGTTGCATCTGCACGAACTCAGCATCGATGGCCACCAGTGTCCCTGGCCGGGGCAACTCCTCAAACCGAAGGCACTCATGTTTGATCAAGTTTTTATCCCGATTCCTAACACATCCAAAAATCAGTACACAAAGGACCTAGCTTGTAGGACGGAACATACGAACAAGGAGATGGATGTATCCCGACACAATATAGAAGTATCAATTTCCATAGGTAGGCCGCTGTAGTCGAATTTATCCCTCACGTCCACTCGCTCGAGATATATGACAGTGGGAACCTATTCACATTCGTTTCCTGTGCCCCCTTAGGGTTGGGAAACGCGACATACCTTCCATTTATCCGGGAAGCTCAATGCCTCGTTCTCAGAGATATTCTTAACCAGGAAATCGTTGAACAAGAACCAGGGACTAGGAAGGTCTTTCCTTCGCTCGGCCTCTGGAACTGGGTACCGAAATCAGATACCATGTTTGTCTACAAGTATGGCGGACCTACCTTTGACGATGGCCACTAGATGGTTGTGCTTGTCTTTTAGTATGACTTGAGCAACAATCGCCTAGCCAGTTCGATCAACATCAACAACGACGACAGCGTAAGCAGGATATAAACCTCACCCTCAGCTCGTACCTCGTCGCTTGTGGATCTTCCTCGGTTTCTAGCTGACCGTGTAAGTCAATGTGTGGCTGTAGGAAGGTCCCATTCCGAGAGTCCAGCCAGATCTTGAGATTCTCTTCATTGCTGACACACGCGTTGATAGCAAGCACCGCCGGTAGATCCTTCGTAGCAATAGACCGCCACGAAGAAAATGTCGCGAAGTGTTTACAAGTCTGACATGTAGCCTTGTGGGACATGTGTCGCATCAGGGAATTCCTGATGACGTTCGTGAAATCGGCTGCCGGCGGTGGTTCGTTCGATAAGTTCTAGGGTGGTATGAGAGGATAGCCTAAAATGTGAGCGAGAGCACGGCGCACCTTACGCGGGTATACCATGTCGACGATATGGCTCATGTTCTCCTTTGATCTAACGGCCTTGCAGCTCATGCAGGTTATCACGTTCTTCGCGTCGATCCCCAGGAGCTGAGTGATGGGCGCTGCCGCAGGGGACAGTGGACTGGGGATAAATGAAGGATCGTTGATTAGAACAGGATTGTGAGGGAAGTTGTTCCCTTCCGAACTTAGGTGGTCGATGAGGAATCTATGAAAAGACTGTATCTTGTGCGCATAATCAATCTCATTGGAATCGCGGCCATAATCGATAAGTTCGATTGCGTTTGCGCCTGGAAAATACCGGGTTCTGTCACTCCTGGGGATGACTTGGAGGCGGGAAACGAACCTTGAGCGAGCATGCCGACGGTCTTGCAGAAGTTACTCGCTTGGCAGTTGGTCCCGTGCGCGTCCTCTAACATACGAACGACGAAGCCGAGTTCACACAGCAAGCAATGCTCTCTCTGACAATTGGTCGTGATATGCGACTTGGCGAGCTGGCGTATTGGCTCTATGTAATGCATGGCTTGAAGAAGGGCGTTTGTATAAGAGTGCAGAATGTGAGTCTCTAGGCCGCTATACTCGGTCTTATTGAAGAATCTAGTGGGTAATGCGTGATTAGGAGGGACTTAAGGTGGAATACGGTAGTGAGATTACCCAAAGTCAAAGTCTTCCACGCCGAATTTGCTATACTCAATTTCCACATGACGGTACATCCTAGGTATCTCATCTCCCGACGGGTCGAACATGGGGCTCTCCGAGTCCGACTAAGCAAACCAATAAGCATCCGCCGAAAGGGCTTCAGTTGAGTGCTTACTTGACTTCCCTTCTTCCCACTCCGGAAACGTCCATGTTGACCTTGGGTAGCTACAACAACCGTATTGCGCCTGCCCTTGAGTTCCTTAGGCAAAGACGCATACGCAATGTTGTTAGTAGTCTTCATTGTATGCAAGATCTGAGGGGGGATTTTCTGTGGGGGCGGGTAGTACACCGGCGTCGTCTGCAACCCGCGGGTCCAGGCGGAGAAAAGGCGCGTGTTGTAGTAGGGCATTCCTATCGAGTTGAGCGGGCTATGGAAGATACATTCAGGGCTCATCATTCATCCATCGACGCTGTGCCAGTCTTACGTCGAGTCAGTCCATTGGATATCCGGGGGTGCGTCTGGAGGATCTGCCCATTCCACCGGCTGACCATCAAAACCGTTGAAGGGGAGGTCCTCCGCTTCCGAGGACGTCTGAAGGTGAATCGCGCCGGTGGCATCGCCGAAAGCCATATAGGCCCCGGTAGGGGATACAGCAGCCGCAGTAACATAAGTCGACAGATCCATATCGAGCTGAGAGCCGCGGTTGGTCACGACGTGAGGGGTGAATCAGAATAGAGTACCTGAAAGAATTCACTGGCGCTCCCTGCGTGGGGATTTGACGCATCGACAATGTGGACCAGGCCTTGCTTGGAGGTTATGGCGATCGTGGATGAGCGATTGGGTATCACAGAGATGAAGGCGGGGCCATTCTGGAAAGCAATGGGCGCGAGCGATCGAAGCGTGCGTAGGTCGTAGATTTTGACTAACGGGTCGGGAATGGGACGGGATTGTCTGGGGAAGGTTCAGTGCATGCACGCTGCGTAGGAGAAGCAACGCGCACCTCATACCCAAGCCAATGGTGAACACCAGGTTCCCAATAGACTGGAGTCCCTCGATTCCGCCGTGGTGTGCTTTGACGATGTGTTCCGCGCCCTCGTCCCTGCGTAGACCTGTTCGGTGATCGTGTGTACGCAGAAATCCGTCCATTGAGCCCGATATTAGGCAAGAATGAGAGAAATGGAGATGGTTCGCGATGGACGCGCAAGGAACATTGCGAACGACGTCCCCCGTCAGCGAATTTAGCAACACCAACTCTGAAGCACTCGTGGAAATAGCCACCAGCGGCGAAGCACTCGATGTATTTGAGAATTCCATCACATTGTTCGGTTGCCTGTATGATTGTCAGCGATACAGTACGAGTCTTGTGGGTCGGGCTGGTGTACCTGAAATACCACTTATTCATTCCACCTTTTGTCCAGGTGCCTACTCCTTCACCCGACAAGCTGGCCGCTCGTATATAGCTGTCTTCAGCTACGATTTTCTTCACAGGCGTTCCAGGTGTGCCACCGACCGGGAAGGAAACACCTTGCAAGCCATGTCGTCCATGGTAGGCAACAATCTGTCCAAGGTTAGAGCCCGTCCAAAGTGTATCCGAAACAGGGTCAAATGAGAGAGATGTGATGGCCTGTGTGTAAAGGTGTTGATGCAGCGACTCCAGGCGACGATAAGGCATCAGATATTGCCTGCTCAGCCACTCCAATGGTGTACCGCGATCGAATCCGTCACTCGGCGCGAAAGGTCGTTGAGGCGGAACAACTACTCGGCGCTAAAATTGTTCAAACAGAACATTCACCGACACCACATCCACGAATTCACGAACTTCGATTCAAAAGCGACCCTGCGGTAGACGACTTTGTATCTAAGGCGCCGATCTGAGACCATATTATCTCCCTCTGATTATTCCCCTTGCTTCAGAATTATTCATTGTCAAATTCCTCAGTAACTTCTGACTGAAGCCTTTTTTGCTTCAAGTCGCAATTACGAAGGGGAAGTTATAGATCTTTGTCGCAGGCAGGGTGATCCGTGGAAGAATGCACTCAACAATAACATCAAGGTTGAAGACCTGGGAACGAACTTCGCGCCCACTGCCCTAATACGTGTGCACGGTAGTCAAAGCAGTGACAAAAGTAGCGTATTCGAGGTTTGTGGTCGTTTCGCATTCTATGAGCTCTACAGAGCACGTCTGACTTATATCTGTTAATCATAGATCCTACAAATAACCCACAGTGCAGCTGAGGGGCGGCCAAACGGAGGGTCATGTATCTCAGCCTCATCCAGCCTCGTCCAGCACTGATGTTTCCTCCAGCTGGGGTCAATGGCACTGACAAGAACGACATCGACGGAGCGATCGTGGACAACTCCCTCATCTTCCGAGATAAAAGCTACAATCCGTGATAATAATATGCGCGACGCGGAAACCGGGCGCAACGCTGGAGTCTTCCCTGAACCCATCAGTCCACGAATATACTCCTCCATTGTCCTTACTCTTGCGCTTGTCGATCTCCCAGGTCTCCCCCAATGTCAAGCTCCCAGTGGGCTCCCAACTACGAGACATTGAGAAGCAGATCCGTGATATGTTGCTCAAGTATATATCCAAACCGCCTTACATAGAGAAGTCTACTCGCCACCTTCCGCGCATCCATCCCCTTGAGGATCTTCGTCGTGTGCAGCAAGCCTCGTCCCATCTCCTCCTGCATCACGTCTCTTCTTTTCCAAGATGATGAACGACAGAACAATCATGTCCACATTCACTTTGTACACGCTAGCGTGGATTGTCAGCCGCAACTTCTTCTCTCCCGCGAAGACCCCATGCGTAACAAGAGCAACGGTACAGCGTGCGATCTCGGTCTTGGTGAGTTTGTGTAGGAGCTGGAGGAATAACATCAGCGAGGGGGTACATTGCAGCATCAAGGAAAGTCGACTCACTAGGAAGCCATTTGCTACATGCTTCCAGCAATATGTTTCTCCCCCATCCCGAAAACAGCGGCTCCTATGTTACTCGCCATCCTCGATAGGGGTTGCATGTGAGAGTCGACTCGAGAACTCACCTGCTGAAACGCTTCTGCTTGAAGAGAAATTCCGCTGCCTTCATACTACCACTCTCATCACGGCTTCTTGTCTTTCCGCCAGCTCGCATAATAGGACTTCGAACGATCGTGGGACTGGACCATGACTTCCAGTCAACCTCGGCTACAACCATGAAACGCTCTTCCTCCTCGTCCTCGTCACCGTCATCATGCTCTGGGTCGCCTGCAGCTATGATGCGCTGAAGCTCGGATGTCATTAGGTCACCTTCGCCCCGCGACCTCTTGGATGTGATGATCTCGTAGCATGGATCCCCGGAAGATGAGACGAATACGGCGTTTTCAACGTTGTTGGGTACTAGGAAGAGGTCCATGGTAGTTTAACCTAGATGGATCGTTCCTTTTACGCACTTCGACGAAGTGAGATGTGGTAGTGGTGAAAGGTGTGACAAGACGACCAGCCATCTCGTAACTGCGCTCACCCAACAGTCAGCCTCATACCAGTCAGCCTCACTCAGAAGTAGACAGTCTTTCTCCAGATGATAATGTAGTTGGTACTAAACTAATTTCTAGCATTATATGTACATATATATTTACGAGATGCTAATAATGATACAGTGCTCCAAAGCTAACAAACTCAACAGCGAAACGATGAGAAATCAAGTAAACCGAGCGTATTGCCGAAGCCAGCTAGGCCGTACGAACGGATAGATATGAACGGTGATACCCTAGTAAACGGCAAACGAGGTGCTTGCCCTGGACTTCGGGGTGAATCTGGTGATTTTATAGGCGTTGCAAGCGCCACCAGTGGGGAGGATCGCATGTTGGAATGCGAGGGGTCTAACACCCATACCTCCCACCGTTCAAGGGTGGCCGCCGACAGCCCTGTGAGGGACGGCGTCAAAGATGTGTTTGTCGAGACATTCCCAAGTCTTGCTCTCCTTCGAATACCAGCGATTCGGCCGTCCAGGACGTCCCATCCGCCTCTCTCGCACATAATATCTGCGAATGCTCGCACTAGAGTAGCACCGTGCCATGAAAATGCGGGGGGAGTTGTGCATGGGGATACGCTGTCGCCAGTGCCCTGGCTGTCGAAGTTATCGAAGGGGATGGGGACCGTTAATATGTCAGATAGTCGTCTCGACGAGTCCCTATCCTTTTCTGATGCTCTTCTTGAGTGAATGCCATGACCCGAGACAGGGAAAGGGGCGGCTTCATACGATGTCGCTAATCTCGCGCGAGACGCTAGCGGAGACCCGCCATTCGATTTTAAACCACTGTTGCCCACTAAGCTGCCGGGCAAGGATGACACACTGCTGCTCCTCGACCGACGCCCGAGTAATGTGTTGTCCCAAGCAGAGACACCCCGGGTCCGGGAACAAGAACAACGATGGTTAGCATCCCCTGGGAGATATATGCGGAAGAATTGGACAACCTGACCGACGGAAAAAGTGACGGAGAAGCTTTCTGGTGCGACTTCGGTGCAGAGCTCACATCGTTCGGGGTTCACTGGCGAGATCTTGAGGTTATTGATGCTCCCACATAAGTCGTCGAAGGTCGTTATGCATGTACCCAAGGTGGCATCCCATAGTGATATCGAGCCGGAGGACGTGGCGATCCCTAAGACAAGACGTGATGACCCGCCTAACTCGACCCGACTGGCATGGGCGACGACGATCTGATCTGAAGTGTCCCCTAGGCTAAGAACAACAGAAGTAGGGAGGAGTGGATATGAAGTGCCAACTTCGGCCAACTCGACCCGACCTTGGTCCATGCAAAAAATCACCAGTATACGATCATCGGGGTAGACGTGCGTAAACATTGACTTGAGGAGCAAGCCATCGCTTCTTGGTCTGATGGGAAGGGGTTGCGAGGATGAGCCTATACGCCATTCATCAACTTGGTGATCGCTGTAGACGACCAGTAACGAGGGAAGCGGTGTGTTCCTGCCGGGGGACAGTGCACTGTGTACAAACGTTGTTTTGACAACAGCGGGGGTGCCCTGAGACGGTGACAAGTGCGATAGCGGCTGGGTATTGACGGTGGTCCCATCCGTTGACCAGCCAACCTCCCATACGCCGATGACCCCAACTGAGGTCCCAAGAGCAAAGAGGCTTGCGTCTGCAGTAACGGCCACAGTGACTATTGCAACTTGAGGACGACTTCCAGAAAAGCCTGAAGTCGCTTTGGCCCTCAGCAGCAAATCTCCAGTGTCGATAGTTGAGTATAGCCATTCATCTTCGTGGTCTGTTTCCATTTCGCCCACACCTGTTGAAGCCCTTGGTTTCCACCATAAAGCCACCTCATTCTGCACACTGACACAGACGATAAGCCTTCCATCTTTTGTGGCGGCAACAAGATCGATATCTCCCTCCACGCCCCTGGGTAATGTGTCGAAGCTGATCTGGCCGTCCAACGATTTCGGTGCCTCTTTGGTGGTTTTATTCGAGGAAGCCTCGTCGCGGTGTCTTTGGGCCTCGAGGAGTTCTGCGTCTTTAAGCAGATAAAGAAGCAGCAGGTACAAGGCCCCTGTGGTGGCCGAGATAGGCAGCAGAACGATCTTCAAAAACCAAAACAAAGACTTGGTATTTAATCGCGACCTTGTTCTTCGCACACTGTCGGCGGAGACGGTGCGCCTGGGTCCAGTTCCGGGCTCAGGACCGACGTCCGACACAAAAGGCTTGATAGACATGATTGTTGGACTCTCGATTCGCAGGTGGAGTAGCTGATCTCCGTTTGGGCTGAGAACATGCCACAGATCATGCGCCGGACTATGCGAAGTTTGAGATTGCGAGGGAGCGTCCCTGTTTCGTGCCAATGCCTGTGATCGACGAGGTTTGGGGTTCCCGACGGATGAAGGGGTCGACGACGAATAAGTCGCGGAGTACAGCGCAGCCGTGATTGCAAGGAGCTTGGGAGGATACGTGAAGGACATCGATTGATGTAGGAAGGAGATGAACATACCAGGAACAAACTGAGATTTGTGCGGGCACGCCCTTTAAGGGCATTCTGAATGTGAGTGACAAGAGTCTGCCACTTTGTTCGACGGATAACCGCTCTCCGCTCGTCTGAGGGGCTGACAGTTGCGGGCGTCGAGCCCGTTCCTTGTTTCAGGAGTTCATCGAGCTGGGTAGATGGGCCTTAATAAGTGTTTATCCTGTAGTGATTAGCGAGATTATCCTTACACCTAGCCTCTGGATATCAATGGAGAGGACTGCGAGGAAGAATGTGTGCGCCAAAAACCAATGTGCAACAAGAACTACGATGGCGAAGACACAGAATTGTCGAATGGCACCAAAGGAGAAGACGGCAATGACTCCGAGGATCGCGTTGTACGAAACGACTTTCAATGTGTTAGAAGTACCGGCGAGAGCCAGACCTTCAGCGATGCGATCCTTCACGGCTAGGGTAATCGATGTTTTCGTTACGGCATCGACCTATGGGAATGTTAAGAAAAAGGAAAAGAAGAATAAAAGTTGGCTTACGAGGTTAAACATGTTCTCCGCCCCAAGGAATACAATAACGATGGGCAATAGTTCCCTGATAGATGCGCGATATAAGATATTGTAAGAAACATCGTCATCCCATGCTTACCATGGGACCATTGTCACCTTGAAACCAACCAACGCACAGACGCTCAAACTCGTTATGGTACTCACTGTGATTTCTACAAGTGCAGTAAAAGTCAAACCAATCCTTGAATGGACACGATGCATCCGTCTCATCGACCATGTCACGTAAGTGAAAAAGAAGGCGTATGCGAGGTATGTAAACGTGGAGATGATGGAGAAAGTTTTTGCTGTTGGCTCGTGCGAGGGCTGATATTGTAAAGCGAGTAATTCAGGTTCAGCATCCTGAAAAGTGATATCTGCAAGGTCCGTGGTGGCAGCGCTGAGGAGGTCTTTCCAAGAGGCGTGCTCCGTATTGCCAAGGCAGTCTGACTCCGGGAAGAGGTATGTGACGACTAAATAATCCGCAAAGTCGAAGTCGTAACTGTCTTCCTCCGTAGACTCGTCCAAGGTTCCGCGGCCAGCTAAGATCATACGAGGAGTCACAAGCACACCGGATACAGTAACATTTTGAGACGTGCTGAGTGCTTGAATGATATCCATTTCAGATTCCAGAGACGAAAGGTCGTAGTCCCAAAACAGCAAAGGGCTAATGACAAGGCATTCACCACGCTCTTGCTTTAGACAGTTCATCCCTTGCTCGGAAAGTCTCTTGCCTAATCTTGCTTCGATGTCGAAAGTTTCGAGAAGTATCTTGTTATTCAGATGGGAATCGATGTTTTCATTGGATGCCGTCCCGCCTTGGATTAGAATACGCTCAACCCGAATCGACGAGCCTGATCGACACTGTGCTCGGGAGACGGCGTCGTCCTGAGTACGTAGTGATGGGTGAGGCGTCCATATACTGTCCAAGTCCGTTACGTGGCTAGCCAGTGGTGTAGTGGTCCGAGAGTCGGTCGGCAACGTAAATGGTGATAGAGATGGTACATAGGAGAGATATGAGAGATAGGGAACGTGAGAGGAGGAGCTATAGTATAGGTCGAGGGCCGGGTAGAAGAGGGATGTAATAACCACGCAGGACACGAGGATTATTCTGATTTGGTGAGTCGCACAATGCCTAAGAGCAAAGGTTAAATCGGAAGTAAACCGCGCTGAAACCACGTACAATCCAAAGTGATGAAAAAATACAGCACCGATAGTCCGTATACGCTGCAGAGCTCGAGAAAACATTTGCAAACCAACGCAAAAGCCTACACCCCCGCCAATGCTATATGTGCGCGGTGTGAGTGCCAACCGGAGAGCGTGGACGACTTCAGCACATACGAAACTGGGCCAATAGATGGACTCTCTTGATCCGTGTGCGATGCTACTGCGACCCCAGGAAATCAGTATCGCTTGACACTGACGAAAACAGGGAGCTCACCAAGGATTCCGGACGTCTGCTGCTATTCCGACCACTCCTGGTGTATTCTGAGTCTCGCGATCAAGCCTTGAGGGTATTCAGAGTCCTGAGGTCGGCGTCAACGTAGCATATTAATGGAAAACAGTATCTGAAGTGGAGATTTGGCCAGCTGCGAGCTGGTCGAGACGAAGGACGGAATTCCGGACTACAGGTGGTATACAATTGTCTTATGTAATTGAGGTGACACGGTCGCCCACTAAACTCCCGCGACATCTCTTCAAAGTTCAAACGTTCACTACAGCGTCTTCAGGTCAAGATGAGCCTCGCAAAATCTACGTCATCTGCTTCAAGGACGCTGTACAGCGCGGCCCGCGGACACACTCGCAGTACGTTGCGTTCAGACTGCACCAAGAACCAGTGCGTCGTTAACGGACAAAATACAGGAATCCACCAGTCATCAGCCCGACGTGCGGTCACTTCCATGCAGATGCCCGCAATGTCGCCGACAATGACCGAAGGCGGCATTGCGCAGTGGAAGAAGCAGGCGGGCGAGGCCTTCAGCGCCGGCGACGTGCTCCTGGAAGTTGTGAGTGCGCACCCTTGTTTCCCCGCCTGCGTGCCTGCTGAACAGCGCCCCCAGGAAACGGACAAGGCGACAATCGACGTAGAGGCGCAGGAAGACGGGATAATGGGCAGAATTCTGGTGTGTTCACAGACGACTGTATGTACTTGCCAGCCAATTAAACTAATCGCGCGCACAATAGCTTCCAGACGGAACGAAAAATGTGCCCGTTGGCAAGGTCATTGCGCTGCTCGCTGAGGAGGGGGACGACATCTCGAACCTTGAGGCGCCGAAGGAAGCGGCCGCACTGTCCCCACCAAGCTCTGCGCCCGAGTCGAAAGTCCCAGCCTCTCCCTCGCCGTCATCATCGCATCACGATGGCGGACACGTGAGCATCTCTGGTCCCCTCTTCCCCTCGGTGCAGCGCCTGCTCTGGGAGCACGCTGCCTCCATACGCGACGCGTCGCAGATCACGGGCACAGGGGTGCGCGGGATGCTCACGAAAGGCGACGTGCTCGCATTCCTGGGCCTTGCGTCGCACCCGCTCGGAAGCGCCAAGAACGCGTTAGTGAGGAAGCAAGAGGGGGCGGTGGCGCAGAAAGCGGTGAAGGAGGAGGGGGCACTGGACGGAGGGGCGCTGCGGCGTCTGATCGTGTCGACGATGCTGCAGTCATCACTGCGTGCGCACAATGGGCGGGGCACGACGCAGGCGGACTTCGACTCGGTGATAGCGGACTATCTGCCGCCCCCCGCGAGCACAGCGCGGGCACCTCCGCAGGGCAAGGCGGAGGAGTTTCTTGAGGGGCTGTATTGATGGCTGCTTTTGCATGGAATATATAGATTAATTGACAGCACTTGGAGCCGTGGCCAGGCCTGGGGTACATATAATACGGCTATGCTAACAGATGTCTGCCTTCAATCCACCTTTTCGCGGTCCGGCATTAGGTGCTCTCCTGCAGCACAGATGGCCATAGACCAGAGAAGGAGCAGGGACGTGACACAGAAGCGACCGACTGGCTGGTCGATTTCCATCCAGGATCCTAGAGGTGATCGGTGGGGCAATGTCCCAGATGGTAAGTACTCACCAACGTCCGAAACTTGGTAAAAGAATGTCAAGGTAACCACTTTCGACAGCATTAATCACTGCGAAGCGGTGTGCGTCGTAGATGCACGCACCATCGGTCAAGGGCAACGCAACAAGCAGGATTGAGAAGGGCGGTAGGTGAAGTCGCGCGTTCAACGTCGCGAGCGAGACTGACAGGATCACGTAGGGTATGACAGCCTTCCCCATCTGATGGAAGACTATTTAGTCCACCACACAGTACTCGAACAGGATCTTTACCAGAAGCCCGAATACAAGGAAAGGCTTGAAAGTGATTACCAGTCGATATACTGGTTCGAGGTAGAACGACCTAACAACGAATGAGACGACGGACTGAACTTCAGGCGAAATGACCTGCACTATGGATGCGACGCTGTTCAAACAAGCATCAGCTCCATCCCTATGTATGCAGCAAAGTGACTCACTTCCCCGCACCGAAGAAAGCAAATTGAACAAAGAACACGAAGAAAACAGCAATCCGCAGATCCTCTAGCCTCAACGAACGGTACGCGCCACTATTTGCGACGGGTTGTTCATTTCGCAAGGAGGTCTCCAGTTCTATCCAGATCTGAAGGGTCACGGCGTAGGCGAGGTAGAACAGGCCCTCTGCGTTGACGGAGAGCACGACAAGCCACACGCCAAACCCGATGAGGTAGGCTGTCGTCTTCGCCCAAGCGCTGCGAAACTTGGCGCCGAGGATTACCGCGAGCAGAGGCGAAGCGACTAATGCGCTGTCAGTTTGGCGAAGCCGTATCGCAGAAGCCAGTGCACTTGCGCAGTACGAGCCATCCGAGATACTGGTTGAGGATGGGAAGGCCTGTTTTGGCTTGAAGAGATTGGACAGAACCATAGGTGACCCGCATCGCTAGAGCCATCATCGCCAACTAGAACATGTGGTCAGCGCATGGATCGTTTGAGAAACGAGTGCAACGGACCAGTGTTATCAATGCCCTCGATTGTCCCGCCCCCTCTGTAAAGCGGTAGTACCAGGAGAATAGACCAAACGCAATCATCAACACACCCCCTGACATACTAATCTAGTCTGTCAGATTTACTCGGCTGATTGACGACGACACTCACATTTTGGGCAGACTCTCTTTAGCATCGACTGGCAGCGTGTGGAAGAGGGCTATCATGCTACAGGAACTAGCCCATGCTAGATAAAGCCCAACCCGCTTTTTCAGAAAATTCGGAGGCCAGGCGAGAGGGGGCCATATAACGCCAGCTGTTATCAAAGCATACACCCATATCTCCCTATGGGCGTAGGCTAACTGGGCAGGATGTCAGCACCTCTTCGCCAGCGGACGAGATAGAGCGACAGACCGTGATACCTTGGAGGGCAGCGAAGACGAGTAGTGCAGTTATTATGCATTGTGAGTAGCAGAAGGCAGGCGGAATAAATCTCCAGGGCATTTGAACGAGAAACTGATGCCAAAAGAAGCAGGGGAAGGTAATATACATGTAGTAAGTCCAAGGCGAGTGTTGTAAAGCGAATACCGTCCACGAGCAGCAGAGAACCAGAGTAACAAGAACCGTGACGGTGGTCGATGCACGAGGAGTAGCTCTTTGAGAGGTCGATTGGTCCAGGGGCCGGGAAATGTATAACGAAGAATACGCTGCCCAGCCGACATATCCGGCGGTGACGATAACATGAATTAGAAAGCTATCGTAACTATGAGTCCATAGATTGTCAATTTAATTCTAAATACCACAATAAAGGAGCTTTGGAAGACGTACGTCTGAAGATAGCGAAGGCCCTCAAGCGCTGCTTGAATTAGAACAAGAGACTCGTTGTGAACGCCTTTCCAATCATTTGCGTCCATCACAGTTTGGACACGCTGTAGCATAGAGGCTCTGGCAGCGATATTGGCATCAGCCCTCCCCTCAAGCCGTTCGAATGGTTTATAAAACAGTCGTCGTCCTTGATTAGTTTCTACTCGTGCTTTTTAGCATGGAGTGTAAGATGAGATCGGATCTCGTACCATGCTTGACGCGGTAATGCTCCAACAGAGCCTATTCTTCAATCAACTCAGATTCCTCAAGATATGTCGACGAACCTACATTAGCATTGGTGAGCGAGGCTCGAGCAACCGTCTCTTCCCCAGCGCTAAGAGCCAAGTATCCAGGGCGACTGGAATCAGCATCAGGTAGAATACCCACCGAGTGGGCTGGCCACTGTAGGCCTAGCAGTGTGGCCATCAATGCCGTGATATCCGCTTGCTCGATGTCCCGCCTAAGTAGATGGTTTAATCCCCAAGGTTGAGAGTATTCATCGTGAGATGAAGGAGATGAATCAGGGAGCGGGCCACGAATTCCAGCGCCCCATGCAATGAGAGGAGTCCGTGTATTATCTGGGTCTATAAACGGTGGGGATGACTATTTTGCACATATAGGCGGTGAGGCGGGGAACATACGTCCGTCGCCGTGAACACCAGTCACCGACATGCCGTGATCAGCAGTGAAGATGAAGCTCGTCTGGCTATCTTGAAAATATTCATTGAACAGGCTCTGACTCCTCTCAACGATGCGATCAACAGCTTGGATGTTGTTCATATATTCCTGAGAGATGTCTGAGGAAGCATTCGACATAACGAAACGGTGCTTACTTTCGAGTGAGGTCGGTAAGAGTGCCCTGTAACATCTAGACCGCCCAGGCGCAGGAAGAACACGGTCTTGTCAGCGTTGAGCTGGCTGGAGAGGATGGGGTCGTCGGTTGAATTTTTAAATAATCTCTCCAAATTCTCCAAGACCCAAAAGTCTAGTGCTGAAGCATCTAAGGGCGCAAAGTGACATTATTATTATCACAGATACCCAGGTTAACGGCGCTTACCCTTGGTATAATCTTGCTCTCCGTCTTCATAGCACCAGTCGCGGATTTTACCTGGAGCAGCCCTTCGAGAAAACATGGACTGGACGCCAGGGAAGCCCAAGGAAAATGTAGTACTAGATTGATTGAAAATGGAGTCAAACTCGACCTATGACACGACGTTAGGGTTTTCTAGCTCTTCGAATGGGCGGCGATCATTACCGGCTCCGACGTCCATCCCTAGCGACGATTAGCTCGCTCAATACGGGCTTTCGATGATGGATCTAGACTTACCTTGCTTATCGTAGACATATCCTCGTACATCCCAGCTACTCGCTATCATCAGAACCCTACAGCTACTAACCGTCAAATCGCTCACCGATGATGGCAACATGGCCAGGTCGAGTCAAAGTAGGCACCCTAGTATGTGAGATCCCAAATGCACCACTATGTTCCATCACACTGCGTAGATAGGGCGCGACGATCCTCGGTGAGCCAGGAATGTTATCAAAGGGATTCAACGAGAAGAGTAGGTCGGCTCGTAGCCCATCACCTGCGATGTGCTAGTGTCACGATGATCAAGAGGACGGAAGTCTGGCCGTACCAATAATAAGTACCAATCTCTTAGCGAGGTTGCTAGGCACAGTCACAGGGCTCATGCCATTGGACACCGTGCTCGAAAAATAGCAGTCGAAGATTGATGACATATACACCTAAACTTTCAAAATCCTGACTGCGGGCGAGGAAGCGTCGCTCGCTTACATAGTGAAAGGCCAGTCCGACGGCTATAAGGAATCCGACATTGTACCGCGACCGTGGCGGCGATTTCATTGAAAACTGGTGTTCCTAAGACTGGAAAGTGGAGGGAATGGAAACTACTGATGAAGTGATAAATTCGACGAACGTTCCTCTAATAGTCCTCAGTAACCTCTGGCTTCCCACGAAGGCGCGCCGCGTTGCATGAGGAGGAACGTCCGGATATCCTCCGTTGAATTACCAGTCTAGTGATCATATCGGTACTGTGGGAAGGAGTCTATCCAAAGCCATGAAGATGGTTGATTGCGGGATGCGTCCATCAACAGAGATCGATTGGACTAGAACCTGACGAAAGATGGTGAGAGTGTGGCAGTGGTGTTCCCTCAACTCGGGGTGTGCGCCTTGAATCGGTCCTCCAGCTCTCGTCGCGCGTGGTTGAGCTAGAACCCGTCTGACGGCGAACAGACGGACCTTGAGGGCACAAGAAGAATTGATACAGCTGTTGTCGCGAAGTCATCATCGGGGATCAAGAAGCGCTGCTCTACACCATTGTAGAGACATAACGTTTGGTAGCTTCTTTCCTCGCGAATTAGGTATCTAGTCGAGGTGATTGGAGCAGGAACGACCCAGTATAGATAGCAGCAAGAACAAGTCGTCGGAACGTAGAGGATATTCCGGTGGCAGCGAGATCCAGTACGGCTTGTTTACGCTATGCTAATCGCAGGTCGTATTACAGATTCTTTAGCCTATAGTTTGGCCTACATCCCGTTGATTGGTGAAAGATAGGATGCCCGGCTGAAGGTTCGCTCTCGCTTCGTGCGCTTCGTGCGTCGCGCGTGAGATACTTGCCCGTGAGTGAGATTGAGATTGCTGAGGAGGCATGCTGAGGAGGCTGCACTTGTCATTGAGACGCGACGCGAACGACGATCGGAGTTTGTGGGACGTATTACGTGAGTATATTATGAGGGGACTCACTGGACAAAATTATTGGCCAACTCAACTTCGTGATTGGTCAATTGAAACTCAGCTAATGAGCAATTGTATCTCCGAAAGGGTAACAAACAACTGATAACTGTTTAATTGAAACCCCGAAGACTCGAATCACAACTGACATCTGACCAATTGAGACTCCGAAAGTATAAGCGCAACTTGATCAAATGAAACTCCGAAAGCAAAAACCTCGATGACAGTCGTGTGATTGAAACTCCGAAACCTTCGTAACCTCACTATCAGTCCCAAGTACGATGTAAACGCAATATTGTGACTACTTATTACACATAAATATAAGTTGATACCAACCAAGCCTCACTTAGTCTCCATAGTAGCCTCCTAGACAAGCAGCCCAAGAGCCAGCTGTTTATCTGCTGAGAGACATTGCCGCTTTGCTGGGTTTGGCTCTGTGGGGGGTACATTCTCCTCCACTTCCTTCTTATGCTTAAAGCCTTTGGGATTGGCCACCTTTTGCTTACCCTTTTGGATATGCTGTTGACGGCAAATACCTTGCTCAAGGCGGTCACAGATGTATGAATCTACTTGAGGATCATTCCGGCAAAGAATTGTTCTGTGTAGTAAATTAGAAGCAAATATATATGTAGGTGTTGAAAAGCCTACCAGTTATGCCTTATATGAGCAATCCAACAATAGTCCAAAGGACCTACTGCATAGTCAATTGTGAAGTTAACGATGCACTCAAACAGCTGCTGTTGTTTCTCTTCTCGTGGTGCAGGCGAGACCTGAGGTAAGCCTGTTGCTTTACGCTTTCCTTTGCATGTCTCACTTCATATAAAGTGAGTGATCATGGAATACAGTGAGTGGGGAAATACCTACGTCAAGAATCCTACTGGGAATGTATTGGATGGGAGTTGGGGAACAATGCTCCAGAGAGGCTTGTCCGATGTGTAATACAAAGAAGTGTTATAGGCGCATCTAGGAGGCCCCTTAGGGGCTACTAACGGGTGTTCCGGCTACACGGACATGTCACAGACTTTGGACTTGTACATATTCGAGCATGCTGTACTTATTCCTACCAGACTCATTGCTGTTCCGTGAATGCGCGGACGCCACGTGTTCCTGTAAGGGGACACTCCTATTTTCTCTCCTTTCCTTCATCCCATGGACTCTTACCTACATTCCCTTCGTTCCCCTTCGTTCCTTTTCGCTCCCTTTCCTTTCCATTTCCTTTCCACCCACTCCTTTTGCATCCGAGCCGCATCCGGTGACTCCGGAGTCTTCCCACACTTCGGACACTTCAGACTCGCTCGGACTTGTTTCGGACACCTCGGACTCGTTTCGGACACTTTGGACTCGCTCGGACTCGTCTATACTCTTTGGGGCTTGTCCGGGCTACCTCTATCCTTTTCCCCCACTTCATTACTCTTCGCCCTTACTCCCCCAAGTCGCTGGCACGACTCCTGTGCATTTACCCTCCACTTCATTATCACATGTTCCCTTGTACCTTGTGATATTCGCTCGGACTTGTGGCTGGTGTACTGTACAGTTATCCTGCATTTCTCTCATGCTACTACAGTATATACTGTTGAGAGTAGGATCAATCTACACACGGTACATATCGTACGAACACTTATTTCTTTCAATATCTATTTCCATATTAGGCGCCCTCCTATGAGAGGCGCTTATCCCATTCCACGTACCTCAGCTTCGACCATATACTTGGATCGACTGAGGTACGCTAATCCCTTGTTATGCCTGGTAATAACTTAGCGATACTCACGCGTATCATCGTAGAACCTCAGTAACTAACTCGGTTCTACAGGTACTTATATTCTTAACAATATATTGAGCTTCGACCATATACTTGGATCGACTGAGAACCTCAGTAACTAACTCGGTTCTACATATACTTCACCCTAGCATGGAGAATCCTTATCCTGTTCTCTTTGGATTCTCCCTCTGCTAGGTGAGCAGCCCTCTCATGTATTGTAGTTAGTCTTATTCATTATCTTTGGATTCTCCCTCTGCTAGGATTCTCCCTCTGCTAGGCCTGCACTGCCGGCCATCTTGAGGTTGCCCTTACACTCTCACCTTGCTCTCTTTGAAATCGGGACACTGCAGAGCTAGGAGGGCGCAGCATCAAAGCTGAAGCCAAGTCCCGTGCGCTCCGCTCGTCCGCGCGTCCGCGCTCCCGCGCTCCCCGCGCGTTCCCGCGCCCCTGTACGGACGAGTCAGGAGGCCCCTTGACACGGTCCTTAACAACAGAAAGGGGTACACTGTTCATCGCAGGACAGGTAAGTGGCAGCAGGCCAAGTGGGCAGACTTACTGAGGCGATGAATTGATGCAGTATACTGTGAGACCTGGCTAAACTAGGATACAGATATGGGGCTGGAGCTGCAGCTGCAGGTATAATGATAATAATAGACTATATGGCACGTACGGTTCATCAGTCCCTGAATATCTAATAAATAGGAGAAACCACTTATTGGGCACAAGCTATACTGCTAGCTAAGGGAAGTGTCAATTTTCTGGGGCTTCGGAATTTAGCAAGGGCTCGCAGCTTGTACTCACATTTCGCGGCAATGTGTAAGGCATCGGAGTCTCAATTGCTGATCTTCGGAGTTTCAATTGCACAAGTGTAACTTCACGTTTCGCAAGTTGAGTTTAATGTTCTCATTCCCACAGTCACAAAGTCCTGCTTTCGGAGTTTCAATTGCTCAAGTGCAGGTTCATGTTTCGCAAGTTGAGTTTACTATTCTCGTTCTCACAGTTACAACAGTTAGGTATGGGTTTAGTAATTGATGATATATCGTTTACATCTAATTGTGTCCAGCACGGCCCGTCATAGTATATGTATATTCCCAGCAGCGAGAGATGATGGTGGTAGTCAAATTGTTCACCAAATCGTGCTGAGATATCGAGCAGTTGCGCAAGGATACATAGGATGTGTTCAATCTTGAGATTTTGATTGAGTTGAGCGGATTACTTGTTCAATGGCTTATTAGGGGAGTATTAGGAGTACCTAAGGGGCCCCAGCTCGGGCTTGGCAGCCGCAGTATCCCTGATGGCGCCCGCCTTTTAGGCTCAGGGTTTTGTTGATTGGGACAAATTCGTTCCGTTTTGCAAATGCACATTATGACCATACACACATCGGGGATGCAGCGGACTACGTGTCCATCGCACATTGCACATCTCGTATGGAAGACAGGATTCGGTCTCAACCACTCGGAGTTGATATGCTAAATGATCGATGACTGATATTAATGGAAGTGCATGGAAGAATAGGGTATGTTTAAAAAAGAGAGCCATATTCAGGCCATTCTGGTAGACAGATGGAAGAAAGGGATCAAGTGCGCAGCATCAACTCTTAAAGCGGGAGGTGAAACGGTCAAGCAATGCAGCCCTGGGCTTCGAGGGAGCTGAAAGGGTTTCCGTCCCACGGTTGGCCTCACGACGAGCTGATAACACGATGATAACACAAGATGGAGTTCCCTAGGCGCCTGAATGACCATCAACGATAATCATCATAGATGGATAGATGCGTTCGTCACATGGCCCGTGTGCGATGGAGATTGCGAGCTAAATTAGGGCCATTGTGCGGACATGGGAAAGAATACCCACACGAGCCGGCAAGCTCCGATTCACGAAATACGATATCCTGGCAGAACTGGAGGCATTGAAGGCATAGAACCGTGAAAAGATAGGCGGTGGGTGCGAGGCGGATGTCGGGGAGGCAGGGAGTCAATGAAAAAAGGGAGGAGAAAAACATTTTGTCTGTTTAGTCGCCAAGTGGATGGGCGTAGTCAGGGCGGTGCAAGTACGTGGTGGGTTCCCTGGTCCTCAGACGCCAAAAGTACGTTAAAAAGGCCACCAATTCCAGGAGTTTTGACGTTGTGGGCACTCTGGTGGCCGTCTGTGGCAACGATGAGGGTGTTCCGGCCGCTGTGGTCCTCGTCGACCAGGCAGGGGACTGGGGAACAAAGACAGGAAAGGGACAAAGGAAGGAGCATGTTACGTAAGTCGTGACTGACTCGATGTCGGAGTTTGAATTGATGGGGTATATAAGAAGCTCGTTTGCCCGGGAGCCCATTCTTTCCCCCCCGCCAGTGTGAATTTTCCCACGCCCCTTATTTTTTTCAACGATGTCTTTTGCTCTGCCCGCACGCCAAGTCAATTTCGCGTCGAGGACGCACATTACTCCTCAACAGCAGCAACAGTATCAGCAGTACCAGGCCCAGCAGCAGGCCCAGCAGCAGGCAAATGCGCTCGCACTTCCGTCGGGTAGCTCATATCTAGCGTCGGCAAACGCGAACGCGCCGTCGCGTCCTTCCCCGCTCTCCAATCCCCCATATCAACCTCAGCAATCTCAGGTCCAGGCTCAGCCACCCGCATTGAAGTCACAAACACCACCGACCACGAACAATGCTATCGCTGGCCCATCCACTCCCGCTGCCACCCCTGCCACCCCCGCGCCGCTCACTCTTGAACAGCAGCACATCACTGCCGTCGAGGGCATCGTCCCTACGCTGCAAAATATCGTCGCCACCGTCAACCTCGACTGTCGTCTTGACCTGAAGACGATAGCCCTCCATGCGCGAAATGCTGAATATAATCCTAAGGTTTGTAGATAATGATTTGCTGATGCCGAACTGTTGCTACACTGTTCGTGCTTGTTGTATAGCGTTTTGCAGCCGTCATCATGCGTATCCGAGACCCAAAGACGACTGCCCTCATTTTCGCATCCGGCAAGATGGTCGTCACCGGTGCGAAGTCGGAGGACGACTCTCGGCTTGCATCGCGGAAATACGCCCGAATCGTACAGAAACTCGGCTTCGACGCCAAGTTCTCCGAGTTCAAGATTCAGAACATCGTCGGCAGTTGTGACGTCAAGTTTCCCATCCGTCTAGAGGGTCTTGCGTACAGTCACGGACAGTTCAGCAGTTATGAGCCGGAGGTGAGTAGTTCGTGCCCTCTCCATTATCTGGTTGCTGACTTGCGTCTAGTTGTTCCCGGGTCTCATCTACCGCATGATCAAGCCGAAAGTCGTCCTTCTCATCTTCGTATCGGGGAAGATCGTTCTTACTGGTGCCAAGGTCAGTACTGTTACATCATATCCCTTTCTAAGCCGCCGTCCCTGCCGCGAAGGCTACCACTGGCCTTTGGGGTACACGGTGTGGCGGAGGCGGTGACTCCCTTCTTGCGAGTTTCAGTGGAATCGGTTTGAACCCCATCCGCTGACACTCTTGCCTTGCATGACATTAGGTCAGAGAAGAGATCTATACGGCTTTCAACACCATATACACCGTGTTGTGCGAGTTCCGAAAGCCGTGATCCTCGCACTTCCAGTTGGAGGCTGGGTTGGCAGGATTTGGACTGCCTTGTATCTCGCTGCCCGACGTTCACCAAAACGCTTGCGACATATTTTTATATTTCTTTTTTTCGTTCTTGCAATCATCATCATTCCCCACCCATCCAAGTAGCAATTTACATATACAGACATACAATACATCGTACAGACATAGCAATGCAATGCAGTTTTACATCAGACATGTTTCGAGCCCTTGTCTCCGAAGTACATTAGCTCAGACACTTGAGTTTCTTAGATTGCTTCAAACCTGCGAACTCCGGGTCGCCCTTATTAAGTAATGCCAGAGAAAGGGGTCAGGGTGGCTCCCCTACCTCACGTATTTATCTCTTATGTCGAGCAACTGTTGCTCAACTTAGACGTATCACGTCAAGTGCAGAGTATATGTTATCGAGGTATGCGGAAGTCCCTGGGAGTAACTAATATAAACCTTTCACAATGACTGTGAAGCTTGGATGCTTGGATGTTTTGCAACTTGTGCAAGCCGTTCGCCATGGTGCGATTCGAACAAATCCCTGGAAGGTATCACTATGAATACTCAGGCGTTCTTTATGCTATTCGACTGAGAAACGCACACCCTGAAACAACCAAGGTCTGATCTGATACGATCTGCAATGATCAACGGGCGGTCGAACAGGCGAGTCCCTCTGGTGGGCTCCAGTGCTCTTTTGTCTCCCCGGAAGAAGCAACAACCATGGGTAGCACAAGTCCAATAGTTCATGTATACTACTTGAAGATGGATCAATAAAGCAGCGAAGATCACTAGACTTGAACGATGCGCAAATGTCCTAACACATCCACGGAAGTTCTTTCGATCACGCGTATATCTCCACACCTACGACTTTCGTTCTCAAGTATGAGCATCTTCCTTTTTCTTATCTTATCTTATCTCACCATTCCTGACTCGATCGATTGATAAATCCTGCCAGTTGAATCTCTATTTATCCGAACGTTTCTTTGCTGGCAGCGATGACCACCCCATCGAGCAACATTCTACCTGAAGAGCTTTCGACGGACCCCACGGCAGCCGCCACTGTGAACACATTAGCATCGACTCTTGCGGAGAGCTCCTTGAGGTGAGCTTTCAGTCTATATCGCGCGAAGGGTTGCAGTCAACGAAGAGGCCCGTTCAGTACCACGTCGAATAAGCCTACAGTAACACCCGCAGCCGCCCCTCAGGCCACCGAGGCTCCAACCCCGTCAGCTGCAGAAGTCAAGCCGGCGTCTTCAGATGCTCAACCACACGAGCAGGTCGTGACACCCTGGGACGTGCAAGGAGGTGTATCCTCGGACGGCAAACAACAGGCGATCAACTACGATAAGTTGATAGACCAGTTCGGGACTAAACGGATCGATCCGGCCATGCTGGAGCGGTTCGAGAGACTTACGGGCAAGCGCCCCCATGTCTTGCTGAGACGGGGAATGTTCTTTTCGCATAGGTATGTTTACTGTTGACGGAAAGGCTGCGTGCTGACTGGCACAGAGAGTTTGATAAGATATTGGACCGATACGAGCAGGGAAAGCCCTTCTTCCTGTACACTGGTCGAGGGCCGAGTAGCGATAGTATGCATCTTGGCCATATGATCCCCTTTGTCTTCACGAAGTACGTTCCGTGTATGTGTATGTCTGGTACATGCCTAATCCATTATAGATGGCTACAAGAGACTTTCAACGTTCCCCTGGTCGTCCAGCTCACAGGTGAGCTTGAAGCCGGTCTCCCCTGAGCGCCCCTAAGCCCTCCTAGACGACGAAAAGTTCCTCTTCAAACACGAACTCAAACCCGAACAGACCAGAAAGTTCGCTACCCAAAATGCCCGCGATATCATTGCTGTGGGGCTCGACCTTGAGAAGACATTTATTTTCAGCGATTTTGATTTCGTTGGGGGACCGTTCTATCAGAATGTGTCGAGGATCTCTCGGCAGATTACTTGCAGTCAAGCCAAGTCTACGTTCGGGTTTACAGACTCGTATGTCCTTTGATATATTTCAGTTACGTCTTCTGATGGACCATAATAGAGACAACATCGGAAAGATCCACTTCGCTGCCATCCAAGCTGCTCCTTCGTTCTCGAACTCGTTCCCCAACATCTTTGGAACAGTCTCCAACATCCCCTCCCTGATTCCCTGCGCAATCGATCAAGACCCATACTTCCGCCTAACTCGCGACGTTGCCGTCAAGTTGAAATACCCCAAACCGTCCCTGATTCACTCCATCTTCTTCCCCGCCCTCCAAGGACCGCAAACAAAGATGAGCGCCAGTGATCCGAATAGCAGCATATTCATGAGCGATCCGCCGAACCAGATAAAGAACAAGATCAACAGACACGGGTTCTCTGGCGGGAAGGAGACGGAAGAAGAGCATAGACGGCTAGGCGGTGATACGGAGGTTGATGTTGCATATCAATATCTAACATTCTTCTTGGACGACGACGAGGAGCTGGCCAAAATCGGGGAGGTAGGATTGCAACATAGCCTTTGGTGGGGTGGCGGTCGATCTGACTTTGGTTTGCAGGAGTACCGTGCTGGACGCATGTTGACCGGCCAACTCAAGGCCAAGTGCATCTCGGTGTTGCAAGCGTTTGTGAAGGATTTCCAAGAGGTAACGTACACCGGTCATTTCATCTTACCATACCGCTTGAATCGTTTTTATTTTAGCGCAAGGCCAAAGTCACAGACGAAGAAATTACAAGGTTCATGGACCCAACTAGGAAAATAGTTCCGGTCTTCGGGAAAAGTGAAGCAGCACCAGTATCAACCCCTTCGGCATAAAGGAGTAATAGTTTTCCAGCTATCCATTAGCAAAGCTCAAGGTAGCGTAAGATGGCGTCAGATATAAGTATCTATGGAGGTAAATGGTCAAATTTAGATGGCGTCAAGCTCGTCCTTCTCTCCCCCAGATCTACTGGCCGTCCAATCATACGGGCATTCGCCGGGGTCTCGCTTCCAATTCTCTATCACCTTGATCGCAGCTCTTCCCCAGTCGAAATTTTCGTGCTCCTCCGTAGAGGCATCGGGACCAGGGCCGTTAACGAATGATACAAGTGCTGCATTGTGGGGCTGAACGAATCCCTCGTCGACTGCCGTTTGTATCATGGACCGAATAGGCTCCCAATAAGAGTGAACGTTGAGTAAAATGACGGCTGTCAGAGTTGAGATGGACGTTAGGACTGTAAGAGAGAAATGGAGCGAAATCGACTTACGTTTGTTGTGGATGCCTAATTGGGTCCAGGTTGTAACTTCCATGATCTAACGCGTGGTGAGTCGAAGTCAGTAAAGGACCCGCGTGTGCCCCATGCGTCCGGCTTACTTCTTCAAAAGTGCCGAAGCCACCAGGCAGTCCGATGAAGGCGCACGAGCGCCTTGCCATCTCGACTTTGCGCTCGTGCATCGTATCGACTATGATCTAGACAACACGGCTCAATACACCGAGAGAGCCGTTCGAGCAAGTTCTCAGGACTAACCGTTTCGATCTGGTCATGATCCACCATCAGACAATTTACTCCAGGTGGACGGGGGATATCATCAAGCTCACCTTCTCTCTTCCTTTCTCGTTGAGTCGGATTTTTGATGGGGATGTTTTATCTTGTTCGCCTCCCGCGACGAGCATGGGGTACGGTACGACGCCTGTTACTCTGCCACCTTTTTCCAAGGCTGCGCCAGACACTACACCCATGATGCCTTTCGATCCCCCTCCATATACGAGGGGTCGATTGGCTTCTGCGAGGGCATGTCCGACAGCTAGTCACCGTATTAGTCGAGCACCATCATTGTCACTGGCAAAGTTGACTCACACACAGCTGCCAACCTGTACGCATCTTTGCGCCCCATGGATGATGCGCAGTAGACCGCGACGGGTTCCGATAATGTCGATGGCACAGTCATTGTAAAGGGAGATCTAACGTTGAAACTGGGTAGTATCTACTGATCCTGACTCCTATATATACTCCAGCTGGAAGGTGATTTTTCAGGGTAAGGGAAATGAGAGAAAATAGCGGTTGGAAATTTGGGTCACTCGTGGGTGCTGAAACGTTGACTAAGTACTTTGTTGATGTGATGATAGCTGTCCAGAAGGTGCCAGGAGGCATTACGTTGAGCTAAAGGGAGGGTCAACACTGCGACTGCACTCAGGAGGCCGAGGGGGGAGCGTCTCCCATGCCATGCCGTTGCCTTCATTTGAGGAGTTGATATTTTACCCAATCACCAGCGCACAGATTGGGGTTCAGGCTTTCTTCGATGGTCCCTGATCCTCAGAACATAATGTCACTTCCGAGGTACCTCGTACATGCCATTATGAACATAATCGCGCCCTGATCGTGCGTTAATGAAATCGGAGTGCTTGGAAAAGAACAGTGAAGTTCGTCAAGGTGAACTAGCAAGAAGACTGGCGTTCTTCGAATAACCGGAAGCCAGCCGTGCAGGAACTTGAACTCAATCACCCACTGGTTTGTGTATTTGAGCCATTGTAAGCAAGCAGAGACAAATCAATCACAAATAACGCGCTCAGCGCCAAGCTCGATATCAAGGTTCTCACTGTCGACCCACTAACGTTATTGGGTCTGCCTCAGCTGACACAAAACAAATGGCAGCGTGGACGACAAGCTCGAACGAGGCACTTACGATATCGCTCGGTAAATCCCATTCTTTCGCTTCCTTGATTCGACGCGCTGAGTGGCTTTTGGGACAGTGCGACCAACTGAGGACAAAGCCTCCCTGGGGGAGGAGGAATCCTACGAGAATTTTCACCCAACATTCACATATCCAGTCAGTCTCCTGATTATCCATAATTCCCTAATTTATCACCGTGTACTTTAGATTTATGGCGAAGAAGAGAAGATATATGGTTACGAAGGCCTGACTATTGATGTGAGCCACAGCGCTCACAATATGTGAACTGACCTTTACTGATGGCGTTATTAGCTGCGGTTTGCCTCGGGCTCCTTGGTTCCTTATCTTTCTGTAAACTATTCCGCGAAACTACCTTCAACCTCGACCGTTGATGATGTTGAGGGTACATTGAGCCAGTTCATCCCTTCTGGTACGGCCTGCGTTGCTCTATCGTCACCTAAAAACTCAACGCTATGTAGACTACCTTACAGACGAAACTGCCTTTCTTGCGCAGGTGGAACAAGATGGGACAACATTCAAACCCTCAGGACAGCTTATACATTCATATGTCCGTCTTTCCCCTCTAGCTGCTGCGAATGGCAAGGGGAAAGCTGCTGCAAACACACAACAAACTCTAGACTCGGAGGACGCAAATGCCGTTGTCTACGAAGTGTACCATGTCAGTCCTGGGATTATCCTACGGCCCTTATACCCTTTAATCTCAATCTACCCACCCTTTGCGTCATCTACATTCTCTGGCTTTCCTTGCACATTCCATTGTGTGATGGCCAGACGACATGGGATACCCCTGGGTTTAGAGAATATCATCGCAGAATGCAGCTGTTCATTCTATTATACATCGAGGGTGGGTCATACATCAACGAGGAAGAAGATTCTTGGGAATTTGCTGTACTGTAAGTCCATCTGCTCAGGTTTCATAAATACGCTAGAAGGTGACTCTTGTTGTAGTTACGAAAAACGCAAACGGCAATCAACGCCGGGCACGTCGACGTACCATTTCGTCGGTTACTCGTCTTTGTATCCTTTCTTTCATTTCCCTGAAAGTGTACGCCTGAGACTAAGGTAAGCTCACAATGTTCTAACTAACCTTTCAGATCTCATGATACCCTTTATTCATAAGCCAATTCGTGATTCTCCCACCATACCAACGGCAAGGGCATGGTTGTAAGTGCACACTTTCCTTCTTTACCCTTATTCGCCAAAGCGCTTATTCGACTGGATACAGCCGAACTGTATGACGCTATATACAACTACGTCCTCTCCCAGCCAACCATCACGGAGCTAACCGTTGAGGACCCCGCAGAGGCATTCGAAGACCTCCGTGATCGTAATGACCTGAAAATGTTGTTATCGCACGAGGTATTCATTTCCGAGGCCTTTGGTGCCGATACGCTATCACATGGAGGTGGGCGAGTGGGAGGTGTGGGGCGCGCAGGGAGAAGTGGAAAGGGTGGCGTATCGAAGAGTGCACCAGGGAAAATGGGCCCACCGGTGGATAAGTTATGGGCTGAGAATTGGAGGAAGAAGCTCAAAATTGCTGGCGTAAGCGTTGAGCTTTGGTTCATCAGGATAATGATTTACGCTAATGGGTTTACGCGTTATGATAGCGTCAATTCCAGCGGCTCATAGAGATTCTAATTTTGTCAAAACTGGATCCTATAGATCCAAGACCTATGCGAGCATATCGATTGCAAGTCAAAGAGCGGCTGTATCGCTTCAACTTCGTGGGTCCCCTTTTGAATCGGGCGTGCCGTTTAACTAGCTAAGTCTCTGGACGTACAGGAAACACTTGCGCAGCTGGAGAAGTCGGAAAGATTAGAGAAGCTCGAAGAAACGTTCCAGAACGTTTGCGAAGATTATCAGCGTATTCTCTCGATGGTCCAATGATTTACCAGATCCAGAACCATGTATAAAGATTCGAATCTATTACTAGGTACCAGCCTCGATGAGACAAACTGTAAGTTAGCAAGATGTGAGTCCTAGCTCCTTGAGCTCATTACCAGCCCGGATAAAATAGTGGTCTCCTGTGAGAAGTATACACCAGTGGTTCCTCACACGACCCAAAGGTTGTACGCACCATAGACGATTCCAGTCAGTTTATTGTTTGCCGGTAAGTGCATCGTTCCATTTGAGAGCAAACTCTCCCACTCTGGGCGCCAAGCCAGGTTAGTGATGTCACGGAGGATCTATTAAAGTCTTAGAGTCAGTTTCCGACTAACATGAAGTCAACTACGGATGGTAACTTACTGATAAAGCGGACTTCTGCCAGAACCGGGCACCCGTGGAATTTCCTATTGTCGATTCCCGTTGCGACAGTAGCAGCAACGCGTTGACGGCAATCGTTGCGGCGGATGAGTCGGCAGGGCGAGCAGGGATCGCAGGGACATTGAAATCCCTTGAAGTACGTCGAATCGATCAATGCATATCCGTTGAAAGGATGGTCGTGTTGGCTTACCATGGTACAATGCCGTCAGAAGGGATGTTGAAGACGAAATAGGTTGCCAGTCGTCTCGCTGTTTTGAGGTACCTAGGAAAGTTTGTGCGCAGATGCACTAGACACATTGGTGAGTCAGGACGACTCAAAATAACCCAGATCAGGGTGTGTGCGTACTGTTAGCATAGCCGTATATACCCCAGGCCTGGCCACGGCTCCAAGTGCTATACAAAACTGGGATGAGCACAGTGATATTGTTGAGAGAACTCTGAGATTCTGTGCCTGTCATCAGAGAATCCTTGGGCAGTCCGTTTCTTTGTCACTGACCCCGTGTTAGAGTCGTATTCGATGACATGCCAAGTGCTACCTTAAGACAAAGTCGACGGTGATTCCCTTTGTTGTAAGATAATGCCTCCTACCATCGGGTCTAATGTGATTTGCCATGGTAGTGTCGGCATGCTTGATGGCTATGTCGCGAAGTGTGTGGTTACCAGTGATTTTTTCCGCGACGAACAGCACCTAATGATGAAAGTCAATTCAGTACGATGCGTTGATGGGAACCAAATATTTACCTCTAGGTCCATCATGTAGTCAATACTAACCTACGGTTTTGACTGTGCATTGAGCTTTCCCGTATGCGAATCGTTCAGCATGAGCATACCTGAAAGTTAGGATCAGGCGAGTCCTCGTTCCGAGTGCATCCAACCATGGCGTTGAAGCGTTTGGCCAGCGCCGTCGCGAAGATTTTGACAGCTGTTCTAGCAGTCTCATTGCGAGGGTTTCTATGGAATTCGAGTCAGGTCATGCTCAAGAGGAAGAAGTACGCGCTTGTGGCGCGTTCACATTTTCAGCTCTTCGATAAAAGGAAACCCCACATCATGACTAGCACCTATCGTCCTTTCCGATGGAATCTCTCCCGTACTCCAAGTGCGACCGAGCTTCAGCCAATCTACGCCACCCACTCCGTGCTTGTGTCCACACAGTTTCTGGCGCCGGTGCATCTCATACAGCGTAGCAGGGAAGAACCCGGTCGCCCAGGCATCGGAATTGAACCACAGCCAGTTGCCCGTGGTAGTGTCAGTGTACTGGGGATATTGGATCGGGATGGGAGGCATTTTGGCAGTCGCTAGGACCTTTCGAGCGACCAAAGGCGAGAAGAGCTCTGAGGCCACCGTCGCTAGTGCGAGCGGCAAAGCAAGGACGGCAACGATGAGACTGCACATGTCGATGGAAAGGAAGGATCATCAGAGACGGGTGAGGTAGTTAAGTGACTGCCACCATGCCTGGACTCGATCCCACCTATCAAAACTAACAAGGACGCTGAGATCGAGCCTACAGCAAGCCAAACCGCTGTGTGAAGGATTGAACTACTGACTGACGCCCAAGCGATGGGCAGAGCTCACTTGGGATCGAACACTTTAAGTTGCCAGGTTTGACAGATGCCCCGATGGGGGGTAAATGCGGGGTAGAGGGTGTTCAAAGAGGGGATGTTTCATATTAAGCTCATCGCGAACCTCAAGAACGAAGTTCGCGCTCACTGCCCCCCAGGTCGGCGGGCAACGCAGAGAGCATGGGGCCGCTCATGGTCACTGTATGGGTGCACCGGTGTCCCTAGTAATATCATGCATTCGTTCAATCATACTTACGCAGAATTAGTTGGCCAATCTGGGTCCCTGAGTTTGATTCATCAAGCCGACAAAGCCCATTTCGGCCATAGATACACGCCGTGCTCGGCGCGTAGTATGTATTAATGGTATTCCCAAAATTCCTTGGAAATACCAAATAAATCAGTTCAAAGCATAGAGTACAACGCTGAAACGACTGACTTCGTGAGCTAAGGTCCTCGATATGTTCCCTCGTGGGATCAAGGGGCAAACTATTTAGTTGATGCCGTCGACTGTGATCTGTAGAATCGTGCACCACACATGGGTGAACGTTGTCAGGAGCAAGGTGGAACTTTGGCGTAGTTTGGTTACGCGCACTGCACATCTTAATAAATTGCTCGACTATTCCGATAGCTTTGCCTCAGATATGTGCGTTCGATAGTCGAAGCAGTGACAAAAGTAGCATACCCGAGGTGCGTGGTCGTTTCGCGTTGCATGTTGCATACTCAAGCAATCCACAGAATATCGTTGGATGAGATTCCTTGCCTTGTGGTCCTGGAATTGTGACGCGGAGACCCTTAATACGAGGTCTACAACGCGCGGCACTCGTTAATCATGGGTTCTACAAGTAACCGATAGAGTAGTTGGGAGGGGAGGGGCAATAAGATGGAGGTCGTGTATATCAACCTCACCCAGCCTTGTCCGGCACTGATGTTCACTCTAGCCTAGGTCAATCGAAGGCATTGATAACAAGTTTGGCAACGCTTTGGCGAAGACAGCCTACCTCATTAGGTTTGGCGTGTGGTTTGTCGTGCTCTCGGTCAACGCAGAAGGCCTGTTCTACCTTGCCTACGCTGTGACCCTTCAGATCTGGATAGAAGTGGAGACCTCCTTACGAAATGAACAACCCGTCGCAAATAGTGGCGAGTACCGTTCGTTGAGGCTAGATGATCTACGGATTGCCATTTTCTTCTTGTTCTTCGCTCAATTTGGTTTCTTCGGTGCGGGAAAGTGAGTCAATTCACTGCATCCATAGGTCTGGAGCTGATGCTTGTTTGTACAGCGTCGCATCCATAGTGTAGGTCATTTTGCCTGAAGTTCAGTCCGTTATCTCATCTGTTCTTAGGTCGTTCTATCTCGAACCAGTAGATCGACTGGTAATTACATTCAAGCCTTTCCTTGTATTCGGGCTTCTGGTAAAGATCCTGTTCGAGTACTGTGCGGTGGACTCAATGGTCCTTCATCAGATGGGGAAGGCTGTCATACCCTACGTGATCCTGTCAGTGTCGCTCGCGACGTTGAACGCGCGACTTCATCTACCGCCCTTCTCAATCCTGCTTGTCGCGTTGCCCTTGACCGATGGTGCGTACATCTACGACACACATTGCTTCGCAATGATTAATGCTGTCGAAAGTGGTAACCTTAACATTCTTTTACCAAGTTTCGGACGTTGGTAAAAACTTACCATCTGGGACATTACCGCATCGATCACACATCTTCACCTCTAGGATCGTGGACAGAAATTGACCAGCCAATCGGTCGCTTCTGTGTCATGTCTCTCCTCCTTCTCTGGTCTATGGGAATTTGTGCTGGAGGAGAGTACCTAATGGCAGACTCGTTTCGTCTGCATCGTGAAAAGGTGGATTGAAAGTACGGTCATTTGGTTCCCTACTTCTCGCCACATTTTGGGGGAGAGGCTTTGGATATTTGCCAGTGGTACCCTGAACGGCGTAGATCTAACTTCGCTAACTTACCCATATTACTTGTCGTGATATAATCTCGTAAGTCGCTGGTCCCAAAGTCAAAGGCTCCAGATGACGATGCATCTGGGGGACCGAAAGACCGAGCGTAAAGCCCATAGTTGAGTCCAAAGGGAAGTTCCTGGTATATCAAGATAGCATTAAATGTGTGATCCATCAACATCCGAGCAGGATTATGAGGGCTATATGTCGAAATCATCATCAAAGTCTTTCCTTCGTTGATACTACAAGTGATATGAGATATATAAGGTCAGATACCAAGTTTAAACATACCAATATCTTGCTTTGCTTGGCCGACGTCTTCCCCTGAGCCTCCTCCATCTACGCATCGAAGGTAAGAAATAGGACATAGTGCGAGCGCAACATAGATCTCGCCTGTTCTAGCAGATCAATTAGCTGTGCCTCCGTGACGCGGCCGCGAATCTGCCCTGATTGGGCCATTCTCAAGAGAATGGCTTCAATTTGCCGTGACCTCTCAGCGCTGACCAGGGCGATTCGGGATACTGATGATGACAGGAAATAACCAATGGGCGTTCCGATCCATAACAATCGTGGTGGTGTAATGGCCGTTAATTGAAGTCCCTTGAAGGTTAAGACTAAACGTACATCGTTCTCGAGCCTCCGTATCCAATATCGTAGCCAGAAGTCCCCGTCGCATCTCTTCCTCTTGCTTCCGCTTGGCCTCATCCTCGGGAGAGGGCTGCCCACCCCCAGGAATAGAGCCAGCCTGTTGCAGTGAGTTGAGATTGTCCATAGAGTAGTTGATATGAGTACGGAGTCGCTTGGTGCCAGTGACTGGGAAACTTGAAGCAATACATATCTTAAAGTCACGTGCAATATATCAAGTAGTAGATGATTATTGGTACGGTACGCATTAGTACGTGTAGATGCTACATCTATGGGCTATAATCTACAAGAACCCCAAGTCCGAACGAATGCAAGAATACAAATGATTGCGATGTGAAGTGCTAGTTGCTACAAACCCCAAAGGGAGGCTCCGAAGTCATAACGTGTCCATGCACATCCGTGAAAGTTCGTAAACAAGGATCAGATACTGGTCCTTACAGCAAGACGCCAGCAATGAGAGCGACCAATGCTGTTGCGATGCCTGCACCGCGAACTTTGTTCGAACCCAAAGAGATTGCGCCATTGCCAGCCGCAGTCTGACCTTTCGCTTTGGCTTGGAAGGCAGCGAAGTTGTTGGGTCCAGACTCGACGGCGTTGACAGAGAACACCATTCCTTGAGAGCAATGGTTGCCCTGGCGGCAGTAAGCCCAAATTGGCTTCGTCTGGATAGAAAGGTCAGTCGGTGTTCCTCAGCGGTGAACAGTGTAAACACATACGTCGTTGACTCGGATCGTCCAGGTGCTGAACGTAGTGGCGTTGTCTGCAACAGGGATGAATCCCGAATCAAAGCCAACTTCCCCAGTCGTAGTGGTCTGCGAAAGCGGGGAGCAGGGCTGGGCGAAGGAACTGGCGGTCACAGTGTGGTTCTTCTGGCGGAACTCAAAGGTAACTGTGTCGCCAACTTGAGCGGTGATGTTTGCAGGCTCGTAGAATAGACGACCGGTGCCGCCAACGATGACACGATGGTCATTGGCCGTGGATGTAGACGAGGCAGAGGGTGCCGGAACGGTGACGGTCGCAGTGACAGTGACGAACCCGGAGGGTGCTGCTGAAGACGAAGTGGGAGGCGTAGAAGCTGCGCCACCCGTGGCAGCAGACTGGAAGGCAGAGAACCTGTCTCCTGGGTTGACGGCGAACACCATTCCCTGTTGGCAATGGTTGCCTTGTTTGCAGTACACCCATGTGGGGTCAGTGTTCTGAATAGTGAGTTCTGCTACCGGGAAGCCATCGACAACTGAGTCGGCGACGGGGACACTGAGTGACTAATAAGTTCTCATTCATGCAATACCGCAATCGATCAACTTACAATCCTGAATCAAAGCCACCCGTAGCAGGCTGGCACGGATTTGCAAAAGTGGATTGGGTTGCAGTATGATTTTTCTGCTTGAAAATGAAGCGAACGACGTCCCCTTGGGCAGCAGTCTATGAAAGTGAGCTCAGCTAGGTCGCACGACAGATGAACCACGGCACTTACAACAAACTCGGGGTTGTACTTCAGTATTCCAGGGCCACCGACTACAACGTCAAATGTTGCAGCGTAGGCGGCTGCAGGTAGAAGTGCAAGGGCAGCAAGATTGGTGAATGATCGCATTGTAGAGATTCAACGTTCAACGAAGTGAAGTATTAAGTGGAAGTGGTGCGATAGGTTCTGGGAGGGAAATAAGGGTCGTAACGTCAACGTTAGAGGGAAATTGAAGAGAAATCGATGAAGTCCGTCGCCATTGAAGCGACGCGCACTTTATAGTCGAGCAGCAGCTGGAGAACAAAGAAATTTAGGAGAACAAAGAGTTGTTCCATATTTGGACAGTGCCCCTGAGTCTTATTGTTCACACGTACATTCCCAGAACAATAACGGTTTTACATGACTAGAACAATAAGTAGTTGTACAGAGAGATCGAGGTAAGATGTTGTACGGGAAGCATAGGTTTGCTGGACGACACAGATACTACAGATATTTGGCCGTAAATTGGCCCCACTTACGTATGACTGGAAGAACAATCATTTCCCATTCTTTATTTCGGTATTTGCCTTGTTTGACGCGTACGAAATCAAATATCTCGCGGTGGGACTCACCACCTAGATGAATTGTGTCATTTGACGTGAACCGGGGGTACGGAAGACAGAAACGTACAGTCTGGGCACTGCACGGCGGAGCTTCGTTGGTTGCTGGTTGACAAGGGCGCAACCACTGGCCAATCAGGATCAAGATATGCAGACCTAGTAGCCAGATCCCCAAGCTCAAGGTGAATAAGTCGCTCTGGTAGAATTGAATCGGCTGCCTTTATGTTAACACTAAATAATATCTTACCGAGGCGATGGCACCATGCTGCCGGGTCACCAACTTTAACCAATCCTTTGAGGTGGCTAGGTGATTTGGACTTCGATGTGTTTTCAGGCTCGGGATACCAGCCGCGTACAACGTGCTCGTGTGTACGACATTGCCGGTCCCACTGGTCGATACGCTTGACTACATTGGTGGCACGTCCGACTTTGAGTCTGAGTCTATCGCTTGATCGGTCTATAGGTAGAGTATAAGCTGAGTAAACGACGGTGAATAATTCTTACCTCTGACTTCAAAGACGTAGATATGACCAGGGCTGTCTGACGGGGATGGGAGTTTTTCCATCTCCACTCTCAAGGCGGCCTGTGTATCTGGATGCAAGTAACTTGGGATCCAATCTGACGACGAAGATCATCAGCGCGTACAAATGTTAAGACGTAGTGGATTTACCGACCGTTGAAGCTCACCCACTCGCTTCCTTTACTGGCGTAGAATCCAGTCGGCTGGAGGAGTCGCGAGCGGTGCTGGTAGCAGAATATTTCGGTGGCTGCACCTTCAACCGCCAGCCCAGGACTAGATCGAACGTTGCGTTTACATTGAACACCAGACTTTGTCCAGCCATTGCAACGGATGACGACAGACTGAGCGCCTTTTGACGGCGGTGGCTCCTCATCCGCCTCGACTACCGTGAGGGAGGATCCAGCCGATGATTCGGCGCTGATGGCCAATCTCTGAAAGGCCCGAGATTGGTTGGGACTCGCAATGCGATTCGAGTTCAACTGAATCGCCTTATCTATCACCATGCTGCGGACCTCTCTGCCATGGTCGCTTGGGGATCTATCATCCAACTCCAATTTCGCTAGTTTAAGGACTGCATCAATGTAGAGAGCGGCTGCGTCCTGATATTCGACTTCCCATGATTTGTTGCGGTTACCAATGGGACTTGAAGTGGGCTTCACATCAATCGGCTTCTTGCTAGGGTGAGCGCGCTGACTGATACTTTCTACTTGCGCCTGGGGAACGTCTGACAGGGCCTTGTACTTCTCGGCCCGTGGAGGTAACTTGGTCACGACGCTGGGTCTCTCGATGGGCATGAAGGATGCTGAAGTGAATAGTTCAATATTGTTTCGAACTATTATATCTGCCAGTAATGCGTGAGTATAGGCTGTTCCCAGGAGGTGAGTGCAAGAGTCATACACGGTCATACACGCCATTCCCATGCAACACTGCCAGACTTGTTCAGGTTTGGTTCGGACTGCCTCCGTTGCCTTCATTGAACTGGCGCTGGCACTGCACGTGTGAGCACGGTCACGTGGTATCCAATATGGAAACTCACTTCAATTTTGGGTTCACTTCCACTTTGCTTCAAGCTCGCGACGCGCAGAAATCCCGAGTCGTTCGTTCTCTATCCCTTAGCGACGACTTCATCCCGAGGCACACACGGGACAGTCCTCAGTGCTTGCCGAATCTGGAAAGCATTACCTTATCAATGGCCGACTCTGATAACGATCATGCCCACGCCCAGCCGGTAGGTCGTCCATGTCCATCCGTTGGATCCTCGCCGGTCTTAACTCTTCAACTTCATCGTAGGTGCTGAAAGCATCAGTGCATGATATCAGTTATCTCACAACGTTGTTGCGTGGAGTCAATTTTGCCAATGTGAGCTAGGCTTTGTAACCGATACCAAAGCTGACCACCTGGCAGCGCGCTACGATAACTGCAACGGAGAGCGGCTTCACCGTGACCGTGGAGGAAGCAAGGACGCTGCTAGGTAAGAGGTCATGTACTCGTTCAGTTTCAAACCTATTCAACGGTTTCTAGCAACTGCATATATCTTTGCAGATATATTTGATGAATATGCTTATCATTCAGAAGTTGCGCCGTCTCAACAATCCCAGGACGATGGTGTGGATAATATAGCGTTCGAAATCCCCTTGAACACTCTTATCGAGTGCCTTAACATCTTCGGCACCGCTGGTGCACACTCCTTATCTACAGCATCGGGTGCCAAACGGTGGAAGAAGCAGGGAGAAGATAAGGGAAGCGATGAGGAGGAGGGGGAAGGTGCAACCAACAAGAGAGGAGGGATCGCCCAGTATTTTGGCGCTGGGTCGGAGAAGAGCACGGGGATGAGACTGACCTACGAGGGTGCTGGGTTCCCATTGACGCTCCTGATGTCAGGAAATTGCGTACATGATGATGCTATAATTTCGATTGACCTCCTCTGATAGTGCAGAAGATGCAGACGGCCCCACCACAGCCTGCGAGATCGTGACATACGATCCCGAGCCTCATCTCGACTTGCAATTCAAGCCAGATAAGATGTGAGTGTCAGGACGATGGATTTGGGACGAAGTTGACAGGCTTTCGCGGTCTTGAAGGACACTGAAGATAATTCTCAAGGTTGTCTCCGCTCGACTCCTTGGGAATACGTTCGGCTGATATAGGTTGATAGTCTTCGTGGCTTAGAGACGCCCTCTCTGAGCTGGATCCCTCTTGTGATAAACTGACATTTATCGGGAATCCACCTCCAGACGGCGCTCCGCTCGCAGCGTCTGGGAGACCCTCGCGGAATGCGGAGGTTAGTCGTGGAACTTCGACAGGCAAACCCATGCTTCGCATTCATGCTGATGGGACCTTTGGGAGTACGGAGGTTTGTTGGCGCAAAGTGCCTTCTTCCTGCCATCCGATAGGCTGAGACATAGCTATAGATGGATTATCCGAACGACAGGGATGTTCTCGAAACATTCGAGTGCGAACAGAGTGTATGCTTCAGGCGAGTGGATCTATATGCTTTCTCGTTTGTGAGCAAGCGATGACAATGCTAAAATATAGTTACCGTACCTCCCATATCACACGAGCAATTCGCGCTCTACAAAACTCTACTAAAACCTCCCTTCGTATAGACTCTGAGGGACTTATGTCGATGCAATTTCTAATGCCCTCTCCGTCAGTCAGGAGCAGGGCTGGCGCGGATGCTTTTATTGAGTTTAGAGTGAGTAGAGAATATTCGTTGGAGTGGATCGAAGATAACGAAGATTCTCAGTGCTTGCCCCTTGAAGAAGCCCTCTGAACACGGTGGGAAGTCCGAGATGCAGCCAAGACTTTGTAACAATGCTTGTCTTGTTGATGTCGTTTACGCGTTCTGTCATTCCAAAGGCCTTGGCGCATTCTCGAGGATACGATGATACGCAAGTTTCGTCGCCGTCGCGCAAGTCCATTGCATTTGATCGGGAATCACGAGCGCCATAAAGTTGTTGCACCGGCTGCGTCGGCCGGTGCTTTCCGGCTATTCACGTCATGGCCTTCCTTTCTGGTACTGACTCATTAGCACGCCTGAAAAGACAGAACACGCTGGGCCAACTCGAGACGAACCTGGCTTTCTGCATGATCACCAGACTCAAACCTCTAACTATAGAACGGAACATCCAGAACAGCCTCGTTTCCTAGCTCATCCTCTTTAGAGTGCAGCGACTTGATCACTACCCTCATCGCCTCCGCCTCCGCGATTCCCTAGACAACGCTAACGCTCGCATCGTCGCCTACACAGCGTCAGGGATATAAAGTATTCGTGCTAACCAACGAATTCCCCAGACGCATCGTTGCTGGCCGACCTTGTGCTCCATTGCTCAATTACCCCACTCATCGATACTTGTTGTGAAGAAAGGCGGGAAACTAGGCTACCGAAGTCGATCTATTCAACAACCACACATTCAGCTGAAGAGACAAGACCGATCCTTCGCAATCGTATCTGCACCTGATTCTCACCACCATCTTTGAAGACTTCGAATTCTAACGACCTGTCATGACTGCCCTATCTATAAGGACCGCCTCGATTTCCCGCTCTATCAGCGTTAGTAGCCCCACTGCTAGCTCCAGCGTTCCGGCAATGCTGCATACCACAAAGAGATGTACGTTCGCCTCTTATATCGCTAGGCTCTGTCACTCACAAGACCACGATCATGCTAGCCTTCCACACATCGCGCGTTATTCGTAACGCTATAATGATGCCGGCTATGTCGCCTCTCATGACTGAAGGCGCGATCACTCGATGGTTCAAGAGGGAGGGTGAAGCTTTCAAGGCTGGAGAGGCTATCCTGGAGATTGTACGTGCTGGATGTCGAACTTCATCTTCTTCGCTGTTAATTCGCCGTTTCCCAGGAGTCTGACATCTATCGCATCAGCGTCGAAGCTGAGAACCCTGGCATAATGGGGAGAATCCTGGTATGTTGTCACATAATTATCGTGTCCCCCCACCATGCTGATAATATCAGGTTCCTGCAGGGACAGAACATGTTCCCGTCGAACAGGTGCTCGCGTTGGTGAATAAAGGCGAAGATACGCAAAGTCTACAATCGAGGCGTCACGATGCCCATATTGAGCGTGCTCAATCCCTGCACCTTGCTTCCCAAGTTCGGTCACACATTCGCTCCGCGTCTGGTCCCCAGGCCGGAACATCATCTCCACAAACTCAAACTACTAGCTCAAGAAGCACGCCTCGACGCTCGCACACCATCCCTCAAACAAGCTCTCACACCCCTCAAACCCCCACATTCCTTGCCAATGGCAATCCCCCTCGCCCACGATCACCTACCCTCCCCTCCGTCCACATGCTGCACAATGCATCCACCACCCCTTCTGGCATGAAGCATTCACGCGACATGCACAGCTCCTCGACATCTGCGCGTTCTCCGCCTGGTCCTCCAGAGCAAGCCAAGGACGTCCAGAACACTGCTGCTGATGTTCGGAGGACAATTGTGTCGAACTTGATGAGCACTGGAGCCACCGCTCGGGGTAACTACTTTGATTCCTTACTGTGATCTGTCCCACCCCCTTTGCCTCTTGCTGATTGTCTGACGGGCTTTGTGTATAACAATTTTGGATTTCTATGTTCCCGTTATCTCTTTTGTAACCACCTGATATATTTTTGCCGTACCTACTTGCCACATCGAAACATTCATATGTACTTCTTTCCTGCATGGAGTCAAAAGAACACCGTCTGCATGCAAGGAACAAACCTATAAGCGATCATCATGGAATCTAATCTTAGAATAATTTCACTTGACGGCAACAGCACGAATGGGTATGTTAGATATATCAAAAATGGTATCTACAGTTACAACGGAACTACTTGTTACAATCCAGACAATATGCTTACATGACATCGAACTCGTAGGGTTCCCGCCCCACAGAACTACCGCTTCGGAGCAGAGGATCGAGCGACGCCAACTCATCTTGAATTTCGCTCCGCGCTAGATCATCCAGCTCTTTCAGAAGCGTCGTTATTATTTTCTACGCGAAACCCACGTCCAATTATCATTTCCAACGGGCACAATAAGGAGATCACTCACTTTAAATTTCCCGTCGATCTTGAGGATGGTATCGCTTAGCGACTGGCTCCATCCAGCTGGCGGACTACTCAGTCCGCCACCGTACATAAACGCCCCTGCCTGTCCTCCAGTTCCTGCATTGGCATTCGCGATCCCCCACAAGCTCCCGTCATCAGCTACGGACTGATTCTCGGGCGGAAAGAGGTACGAGACGCCAGGATGCGGAGACAGAAGCCCTAATGGGCCCATCATTTGCGCTGAATGGGGAAACGGCGACGGTCCAAGGATTTTTAACATCTTGTTGTAAACTTCGGAGAGAACGTCAAGTAGAGAGAGGAGCGTCTGATGGTAGTCGAGTGGAAACGGCTGGGTGGTTGCTTGAGCACGAGTCGTGTTATGCAAGTCAAACTGACCATGTGCGGTGTCATAAGATACGATGCGTCTGAAGCATCGGTGTACGATACGGCGTATTCAGTGAAACCACCACCGGTTTGTCGTTTGAGTTTGGACCTGAATAACCGCTGCAATGAAGCGAATTGACATAGGTAAGAAAGGGAAGGTGCGTTGGAGAAAACACACCATTTTCGACTTGTCGCCGTCTTCCGTTTCGTATTCAGCGAGCGTGTTAAGCAGGCCGCGTAGGAGATCCGGTGCTTGTTGAATGTCAAGTAGATTCGCTAGTGACATCCCTAGGACCGCAAAACGAAATGTCCTAGTTGAAGAATTTCAATGACAGCTGCATCATGTTCGCACCAAACGTACCGCTTCTTCATCGCGTTGTTGTTGAATTCGTGATCCAATTCAGCTCGCGACATCAGGATCGTATGAAACCAATGGCTTCGGCTAGTAGAAATGATAAGTAGCCAGCTACAGAGGATGATAAAGGCGCGCACCCTTCATGTATATTCCGTATGTAAGTCAACGTGATAATTCGCTTCTGAACCAAATCCCGCAAGTATTCCACTGACGTGCCAGGGCCTAGTGCAGGACTCCCAGCGCCCATTCCCGCGACCGTGTCAGAGTGTAACGATTGCACATCCATGTCCCTTCCACCCATCGGGCCTGTGGCCGTAGGAGTCGATGCACCTGTATAAGGAAGACCATTGGTTGCTGATGTAGCACCCGTGCCTGGCGTAGAGCCTTTAAACGAAGATAACAAGTTCTGCGCTGAAGACTTCCTCCGCATCGTCGGGCGGGAGACGAGGGGTTGCTGCTGCTGCGCCTCCTGCATAATGGTAGAGAAATGAGACATAACCTAGCGGAACGAGGGCGTTGTCACCGTCGTCGCTGACGCCGACCCATTGCCATATTTGGGGTGCCAATAAGGCGGGAACAATTCCCGCGATCACGTTCCAGATTGGCGGGCGTTTATCTCTGAATCACTTTCAGAGTGCTGTTCCAGCAATCAACTTCAACTTCGTTCTTTGCATCCCGTTCGCGATTTCCTGAAAAATGGCAGACATCAACACCATTGCGACCCAATTTACCGATTTCTACTACAGCACCTTCGATACCGACCGTTCGGGATTGAAAGCTCTCTATGTGCGTCCACATCTCGACTTTGGTGAACAAAACTGATATCTCCTTGGGATCCCGCAGCGAGATACTTCGATGCTCTCCTTCGAAGGCGCAGCATTCCAGGGTGCATCTGCGATCGTTGAGAAGCTGACGGTATATCAGACTTACTGGTTGTCTTGTGTACAGTAGCCTAATCCTTTGAACAGAGTCTGCCTTTCCAAACGGTTCAGCATAAAGTCACGACAAGAGACGCACAACCATCCTCCACCAGCATCGCAAGCTTGATCGTCAATGTGACTGGGCTCTTGGTTGTGAGTTTATCGGTCTCTGGCGGTATTATCTCAATTGTTGACTTGGCGTTTATAGGTTGACGGCGGCGAGAATCCAATGCAATTCAGTCAGGTATTCCATCTGATTCCTGAGGGCGGCAGCTACTATGTGTATGTCAATTATATCCCTAACGTGCTGCAGAGATTGACGCGATGCGGCCTTAGATTCAACGATATCTTCCGTCTCAACTATGGTTGATCGGTCGACTAGCTATATTTCTTGCGCCACTAATATTCTTGGATGTTTACGGTGTTGCTAATGGGCGACTATCAGAGCCATGTAGGAAGTTTTCAAATATATTACTAGGTACAATCATCAATGAGACAAATCGTATTGCAATGAGCGTTAGCAAAAAGTGAGCCCCAGCTCCTTGAGTTCATTACCAGCCCGAATGAAATAATAGTCCCCTGCGAGAAGAAGTAAACACTGGTTCCTCACGCGATCCAAAATCGGACATACCATAGACGATTCCAGTCAATTTATTATTCGCCGGCAAATTCACGGTTCCATTTGAAAGCAAGCTCTTCCACTCCGGGCGCCAAGCTAGGTTAGTGATGTCACGGAGGATCTACAAGATTTTTGAGTTAGTTTCCGAGTAAAGTCAGCTATGGACGGAAACTTACAGAGAATGCGTGATCTCGCCAGAATTGGGCACCCGTGGAATTTCCTACTGTCAATTCACGCTGCGATAATAAGAGAAGTGCATTGACAGCAAGAGTTGCGGCGGATGAGTCGGCAGGACGGGGGGCAGGGATCGTAGGCGCGTTGAAATCCCTTGAGTAATTTTGGGTCAATGGATACATAGTGGTTGGAAGGATGGTCATGTCGGCATACCATGGTACAATGCCGTCAGAAGGAATGTTAGAAACGAAATAGGTTGCCAGCCGCCTCGCTGTCTCGAGGTATCTAGGAAAGTTTGTGCGCAAATGCACTAGACACATTGGCTAGTCAGGACGACTCAACATAACTGAGATGAGGGAGGATGTATGCATACTGTTAGCATAGCCGTATATACCCCAGGCCTGGCCACGGCTCCAAGTACTATACAAGACTAGGATGAGCACACTAATATATCGTCAGGAGAACTCTGAGATTCTGTACCTGTCATCAGAGAATCCTTGGGCCGTTCGTTTCTTCGTGACCAACCCAGTGTTGGAATCGTATTCGATGACATGCCAGGTACCACCTTGTTTGAAAGTCACTGGTGGTTCCCTTTGTTGTCGTATAATGCCTCTCACCATCGGGTCTGATGTGGTTTGCGATAGTAGTATCGGCATGCTTGATAGCGATGTCGCGAAGAGTGTGATTACCGGTGATTTCTTCCGCAACAAAGAGCACCTGGAGAGGTGAAGTCGATTGGTACAGTGAGGGGCTGGTGAGAGGCAAAGATCTACCTCAAGGTTCATCATATTGTCAATAATAACCTAGAGTTTCGCATCACATTAATGATAACCTTCTATGCATATGAATCGTTCAGCACGAGCTTACCTGGAAGTTAGGATCAGGTGAGTCCCAGCTCCGGGTACACCCAACCTTCGCGTTGAAGCGTTTAGCAAGGGCCGTCGCAAAGGCTTTAACGGCTGTGATAGCGGTCCCATTGCCAGGATTTCTGTACAATCCAAGTCAGACTACACATAGGGGAAAGAAGTACGCGCTTATGGCACATTTTCAGTTCTTCGACAAAAGGGAAGCTCAAGAACCCCACATCATGACCAACACCAGTCTTCGTTTCCAATGGAATCTCTCCCGTACTCCAAGTCCGGCCAAGCTTCAACCAATCTACGTCACCCACACCGTGCTTGGCTCCACACAGCTTCTGGCGTCGATTCATCTCATACAGTGTGGCGGGAAAGAAACCAGTGGTCCATGTATCTGGGTTGAACAACAGCCAGTTGCCTGCGGTAGCGTCGGTGTACTGGGGAAATTGGATAGGGCTAGGAGGCGTTTTGGCAGTTGCGAGAACCTTCTGGGCGACCAGAGGCGAGAAAAGCTCGGGGGGCACCGTTGCCAATGCAAGCGGCAACACGAGGACGGTGATAAATTTACGCATGTCGATGGAAAGGAAGGAACAGGAGAAACAGACGAGGTATTTATGTGATTGCCAGCACACCGGACCGCTGTGTGAAGGTTCCACATGAATTGTTTACTGACAACCAAGCGATGGGTAGGGCTTACCGAGGATCGAACGCTTAAAGTTGCGAGTTCTGACCAGCTGCCTCGGCGGACACCACGAATCAGGAGAGAACTACAGAAGTTGGTGTCAAGTGATCGGTGTTCTTGCACGTGGGTGTATTCGAAAAATGCACACAAGGTCGTCGAAGACAGATGAGAGGCACAGGCGGGGTAGAAGGTGCTCGAGGGTGACAACGAGTGGGGGGGAGTGCGTCGTGCTCTGTATTCTAGTGTGAGGATATTCCGTAAGATCGAGGACCCCGAGAGCTGGAAACGGACCTCGCGCTCGCCGTCCACTCGGTCTGGGGGTAACGCGGGGAGCATGAGGCTGCTCGTGGTAGACTGGCGAGTCGAATATTGTACTTCTGCAGACAGATTCGTTCGGTCAATCTTTCAAGTCCGAATTCTTGCATCGACGATTCTTGCATCAAGGCGATAAGATGTATATGCATGGATATACACTATACTTGTAGCTGGATATGTATTACAGTAAAGCTGCAATGATATCCCCTGGATATCCCCGAAATACGCATTCCTGACTCAGAAATCAGTTCAAAGCATAAAATACGACGACAAAACGACTGACTTTCTTAGCTAGCATCCTTGACATATTACTCAAGGGATATAGGGTCAAATTATCTTGCTGATAGCGTCGGCTGTGATCTGTAGAACTGTGCACTGCGCATGGAGTGAACGTGGTCAGGAGCAAGGCGGGACTTTGGCGCAGTTTGGTTACGCGCAGTGCGCACACAGCATAAACTGCGTCTTTCTTTCTGCCATCACGAACGGTCTCCTTCATCGACACTCATGGCGACAACAACAGGACCATCGGGCCTTGGCCTCGAAATCGTTTCCGTTATCAACAAACTACAGGATGTTTTCACGGCAGTCGGTTCTTCGGCTGCTCAAATAGACTTGCCTCAGATATGTGTGCTTGGGAGTCAAAGCAGTGGCAAAAGTAGCGTACTAGAGGTGCGTGGTCGCCTCAGATAACATGCAGCATACTCAAGGCATTCGTAGAATATCGTTGGAAGAGATTTCCTGCCTCGTGGTACTGGTATTGTGACGCGGCGACCCTTGGTACGAGCTCTACAACGGGCGGCAGGCTCTGAGTCTCATATTTGTTGAATGTCTAGGTCCTACAACTAATCAATAGAGCGGCTGGGGGTCAACCCAACGGAGGTCGGGTCTCTCAGCTCCACCCGGCCTCGCCAGACACTGATGCTTCACTCTAGCCCAGGTCAATGGCACCGACAAGAACAACGACAAAGCAGCGAACGTCGACGAATGGGGAGAATTCCTTCACCTTCCAGGAGAGAAGTTCTACGATTTCAATAAAATCCGTGACGAAATTGTGCGCGATACGGAGGCTAAGACCGGACGAAACGCTGGAATCTCCCCCCAACCCATCAATCTGCGGATATACTCCCCCAATGTCCTCACTCTTACGCTTGTTGATCTCCCAGGTCTTACCAAGGTCCCTGTGGGCGACCAACCACGAGACATCGAGAAGCAGATCCGTGATATGTTGCTCAAGTATATCTCCAAACCAGCCTGTATAATCCTCGCTGTGACCGCAGCAAACACAGATTTGGCCAACTCTGATGGGCTAAAGCTGGCTAGAGAGGTTGATCCAGAGGGGACACGGACGATTGGTGTCCTTACAAAGGTTGATCTAATGTAAGTTTGCTCATCATTGCCGAGAAATGTCTTGACTCGTTTGCAGGGATAAAGGGACGGACGTTGTGGATATCCTAGCTGGACGCGTCATCCCTCTTCGCCTCGGTTACGTCCCAGTCGTCAACCGTGGACAACGCGATATCGAGAACTCAAAGCCAATCAGCGCCGCTCTAGACTTCGAACGCGAGTACTTCGAGAACCATGCTTCCTACAAGGGCAAAGCGCAGTACTGCGGGACGCCGTTCCTCGCTCGTAAACTGAACATGGCTAGTGACTTCGCGCATAGCTTAGCTGGGTGATGCGCTGACCGCAATCTTCATTAGATTCTGATGCATCACATCCGCGCGACACTGCCTGATATCAAGGCTCGAATAAGTCAACAGCTCCAGAAATACAGCGCAGAGCTGCAGCAGCTAGGTGGACCCATGGGCGATGGCAACTCAGGAAATGTCGTTCTTTCAGTCATAACCGAGTTCACTTCGGAATTCCGAACGGTTATTGACGGAAACACTAACGATCTATCATTAAACGAGCTGTCTGGTGGTGCTCGTATCAGCTTCGTCTTCCATGAATTATTCAACAACGGTATCAAGAGCATCGATCCATTTGACCAAGTCAAAGATGGTGACATCCGTACGATCTTATACAATTCATCGGTGAGTTTTCATGTTGCTGAATCGGAGTCTGTACTCATGATACCCTAGGGTTCAACTCCGGCATTATTTGTTGGCACCACTGCGTTTGAGGTTATTGTGAAGCAACAGATCAAGCGGCTGGAAGACCCTAGTTTGAAGTGTTGCCAACTGGTCTATGACGAACTCATCCGTATATTGGGCCAGCTTCTTGCCAAGATCGCAAGTCTAGATTCTCTTCCTAACTTTCAATGAACTGACTCCGTCCTATCTATAGCAAGCTTTCAAGCGTTATCCAGCTCTCCGAGAAAGATTCAACTCCGTCGTGGTCAACTTCTTCAAGCAGGCCATGAATCCAACAACGAAACTAGTATCGGACATGTCTTCGTACGTTCATCTAGCCTCACATGTATTCCTCTGCATGCTAACAATTCGTTCGCCAGTATGCAAGCCTGCTACGTTAACACCACCCATCCCGATTTCATTGGCGGACACAAGGCATGTTATTTGCCTCAGTTAACGGCATCCATCTTATATCATCTAGGCCATGGCCCTTGTAACTGAGAGGCTCAACGCGAACAAACCGCCTCCACCTCAAGCTGACCCGAAGACAGGCAAATTGGCCCCAGGTCAAATCAACAACAACAAGGATTTGGACGTCGAGTTCAAGAAAGAGGAAACGAGTTTCTTTGGATCGTTCTTCGCGAAGCAACCTGTGAAGCGGAAGCAAGGTGCACCTGTTATGGAGGCTGTAAGTCATAATCGTGCACATCTTATGTGATTCACGTTCGATGTTAGTCCCCATCCTCATCTTCATCTTCCTCGCATATGCAGCCCCCGACCGTTATTAAGCCCCAAGCTGCATTGAATGAGCGCGAGACTATGGAAACGGAGGTCATCAGTACGTCCTTCCTTTCCAGTAGTTAATATGATGGTACGATTCTGACTTGACTCGCTTTCATTTCTTTCTCGCAGAGCTTCTCATTCACTCCTACTTCAATATTGTGAAACGCGAGATGATTGACATGGTCCCGAAGGCAATCACGCTTACCCTCGTCAACTTCTCGAAAGAGAACTTGCAACGAGAGCTATTGCAAGAACTGTACAAGCCCGAAGTCTTGGACGATCTTCTGAAGGAAAGTGAGTTCGTTGTGAACAGGCGGAAGGAAGTGGTCTCGATGGTGCAAGCCCTGAATAAGGCTGAAGAGTACGTACTTTCCTTTTTGCTGCCCTCCTTGATACAAGAGTACTGATGAATTATTTCAATAGGATTGTGGCTGGTGTTTAGATGACGACGAGCATGACGCTAGCAGATGTGTGGTGCACTGTCCTCTCTTTAGTATAATGTCGATCCACTTTGGCGGACTAGGATTAGGAGTAGGAGCTGCAACCTTGCATTTGTTCGATTTTCCTTTGTATATCATACACTTCGCAGCTAATTTTCATACCCTTACATGACGATTGGAGATTATATGGTCTATTTCCTTACGCTGATGGCGAAATGCGAAACTGATTAGGCATTCTACCTACGGGGATGACATGCGCCAACGAGCCCAATACGTAAACAAATTATTAAACTGTAGAAGACAACAAAGTAGCTACTAGCTGAGAACAGCTTAAGATAAGGCCTGGATAACAGCGTTGTAGGCGGCCTTTGGCCTGTAGTTGCCATCGAACAAGAGAGGGGTGGAGCTGGCCCTCCATGAGTTCTGCGGGTGAATGAGGAATCAGTACAGGATCTAACTCAGATGCCACGGGATATACATACCGTGTCCGATACACCCCAGGAGGTGATTGCAACACAAGCGGGGGTAGAGAGGCAGGCTTGCACGACGGTGGTGTAATCGTTGGGAGCAGCACCTTGGATATCTAACTCGGTGATACCGACTTCAGTCCCGGCTGCAGCGAGAGCGGTAAGGGCAGCGAGGGCACCACCAGCGCCACCAGGCTACGGATCGAGGATTCAGACATTGTATTGAAGATAGAGCGGGGATGGGATACGTACGCCGAGATGCATCTGGGTACCAATACCGTCGATCAACTTGTTGGCAGAGTTAACACGGTTGACCAATGCGACCAGGCCTGTGTTCCATATTTATGAGATGCAGAAAAGACTTGCGCTGAGGGTGGGGAGCGTACCTCTGACTTTGGCGTTGTTGGAGTCCAAGTTGTAGTCGTTGATGTACAGCCTGAAAGTACAAGGCTCAGTCTGAGAATGATAGGTTGGGCAAAAATATTCACTTAGCGGTGCTGTCAGTTGCCCTAGCAGCCTGGAAGGCGATAGTGACGAAGGACTGGGGAACATTAGTCAGTGTATGTCGGAAATCATAGACAGTCCTCGGCACACCTCTCCCAAGACGTTAGAGAAGACGCTTGAACGCAAGCTACCATCTTCGTTGAATATCTCGCTGTGTAGCAATCAACAGAAATCCTAGCGAGGAGTTTAGATCGGACTTACTTGCAGACATCCCACTATACGCATTGTGAAGAAGTTGTGTCAGTCAAAGGGCAAATAGCGTTGTTCCATTTGCTTACAGCTAGAGGAGTTGAACGTTAATATACATGATCATATGACGGCGAAGATGACTAACCGTAAAGTTTGCCTTTGTAGCGGCCAGCAACGTTGGTGATGTGGTTCTGGATCACAGACGTCTACAGAAGAAATCATGAGTCAGGAACTTCGTCCGCTTCGGGGTTGCTCACAAGCGTGGCCTTGTCGTTGATAGAGGAGACCCAGCCTGGGAGTTGCGAGTGCCAGACTGTAAGTGAAAGTGAGTGACGAATTCGAAGGTTCGCGTCTTGGCAACTCGCCGAGAGTGTGGCCACGAATCTGCTTGCCGTTAGTCGTAGCCCAGTTGACGAGCGTGTCGGATCCACCGAACGTGAAGGAGTTACGAGTGTCTAGAAGCTTCGAGGTTAGCAACTCGGGTAGAACTCATGCTCCTAGCGTACTTTCTGTGGCATCCCACTATTCTCCGTATTTAGTATTTAGGCCATAGTCTGTGATAAAGAGCACAAACTTTCATGGAGTTTTCGGGAGTGACTTGACCAAAGTCGGACTTCAAGACCGCAACGTTTGCTACAGAAATGTTCAGCAAACATGCCCTCCCTTGAGAGAAAGAACTTGCGGACCGGCGATGTTCAAAGTGTTGGCGTCTGCGCACGAACCCCAGAACTTCTTGCCCTTGGCCTTGAATTTACCATCTAGCCCGCTGCCTGCGCCACCGGTAGGTGCGGGTCCAGGGACGGAGGTCGGTGAAGAGGGCGGGTTCGATGTCGGAGCGGGTGGTGCTGCACCCGGTAGGCATCTGTAGTGCTGAATAAGTATCTGACAGCATGAGCAGCCGACATTGACATACTGAGAGTAATAATCATTTGAGTAAGTACACGTCGAGCCCGCGTCGCCTATAGCATACGAATATGAGATGGTGATGACAATCTATTGAGCGATACAATACGCACACGTTCCCTAGCACCGCACCAAATGTCAGTAACGTCTCTACAATGATAATGATGATGCAGACGTACGCTTCCCGTCCAGCCAATACCACCGCCTTACGAAGATGAGCCTGCGAAGTACCGTCATTCTCGGAGAATACTTACATTGTCCCCAGACCGGGATAGCTGAGACGCGCCCAGCGACGATGGCGAGAGATACAATTGAAAGAAGCTTGAACATTTGTTGCCACTCTTTTGATCGTGCACCATTCGACCTCAACGTCTACTGTCTTTATACCTCGGGGTATCAGCATACGCCAGCGGACACTGGGGGCCGTATTGAATTAGAAGCCTTCGAAGTCGTCATGCGTTCTGCGTTCCGTAATGTGGATATGCCATTTAACGGGTCAACCTCGCCTCCAGCACTCGGATGTATCAGTGGGGAAGGAAGGTCAGTGCTACGGAATAACTATCGGTTATGGGGGATACAAAACTAGAAGTCCAAAGTTTATGGGTGACCTCCCCCTCGATGATATCCTATCGAAACCCATGACAGTGGTTCAACAGTGGTTCCCCGCCGGTGGTGATGATCATGGTTCAGTAATCGCACAATTTATTGCACTTAGCAGTTAGCATGATAGTGGGTGTAAGAAAATGGTAGCGATTCCGAATGACAGAGAACCAGCAACGTTCCGAGATATATCCTGTTGCAGATGGTGCAGATGGTCAGGAGGACAAGAGGCAGAGTGCTTCAAGTTATAACGCAGTCAGATGACGTGACATAGTGTGACCCTGTCACGCACGCGTCCAGTCATCAGTGGCGCGTTCGGCTTGGTTCTCTCACAACGACGACCATGCTCTCATCTCACAATAACGCGTTGAAGATGGCTGCTGAAATAACGGATCCATTTGATCTGCCTGGTCCATCAGAAAGACCTGGTCTTCGCGATATGGATGCCTCAATGCGCTGTACCATCTGCCAGGAATTCTATGATGCACCAGTGACCCTATCCTGTGGACACTGCTTCTGCTCTCTGGTGAGTACCAAAAGAAATGGAGAGGTCCCTTCTTAAACTCTATGCCTAGTAGTGCATCCGTAACTCGTTAGCAGAGAAGCCAGAGTGCCCTCAATGTCGCAAGTCGAGCAGTGACGTCCACTTCCGACCAAACCCAACTGTAGAACAGGCTGTTGAAGCTTGGAAAGCCGCAAGGTATATCTCCAATGATGTATCATTCTCGGGCTGCCATATGATTGAACGCGGAATTTCCTCTCGACAGGCCGTGTATACTTAAGCTCCTAAAAGAAACGGCAGATTTGTTGAGCCGCGCCAATGCGGCCCCCGTCGAAGCACGTAGCTCAAAGCCCGTCAAAAAGCGTAAACGTACCCAAAGCGTGGATTCCGTGGCAAGCATAGAGCTGGTGGAGCCACAAACGGCTATCAAGTCATCTGAGGGGGAGAGCGTTCGAGAAGGTGCGTCAGACTCTCTCTCTTCATCTCAACTCAATCCATTGACGACATACGTAGCTGTAGGTTGTCCAATATGTAATAAACAAGTTCTCTACTGTAACATCAATACCCACATGGATAGCGGCTGCTCTAAGCATGTCGTATCTCGGCGTTCTAGCCAAACTACTCAAGCTACTCGATGGCAAGGGATATTCACTGGGGATAACAATTCCAAAGGAAAGCAAAAGTAAGGACTATTTGCGGCTCGAGGAGGTAGAACCTCTTATGGACAAGCCTCTCAGATCAAGCGGCAGCGAGGACTCTGACGCACCTCTGCCCAAACTAGCGTATGGCACCATGAAGGAGAAGGCAATTCGCGAACGTCTAGTTGAACACGGCTTAAGCACTCATGGGGACAAGGCGGCTCTTGTAGCTCGGCACAGGCAGTAAGTCGGTAACCCTGCGCTGAAAGTAGCTGACCGTCAATCGTCTTTAGATGGGTTATGATGTATAATGCCAACCTTGATAAGTCAGAGAAGAATAGAAAACCGTTGAAAGAATTGCGTAAAGAACTCAAGACCTGGGAGGATGGTAGCAAATCGAAGAAAGTTATTGTTGAAGACACTGTCGCTCACGAGGTGCATAGTTTGCCTGGTCATATCTCGTGTCCTCATTTTTCATTGATACAGAGGAAGTACCGAAGCGAGTTCACGGATCTTGTAGAGAAAGCGAAGGCCTCTTCCAGTGCTCACAAGCCCCCAAGCGTTCCGATATCATCGCCACCATTAGAGACCACGTCGGATGACGCTGATGTAGTCCCTGACTCAGAAGACGAAGCACCTAAGTAGTGAGACTCTGGCGCGACGTTCGTCCGTTCGTTCATGTACAGTTGACTTTGATCTATTACCTGCAACTTAATTACTCAGCAATTCATGGGATACCCTGTGGAAGACCTCGAGGCACTTACTGACATTGGGTCTATGCGTCAAGTGATGCAATGAGGCAGATATAAGCTGGTACGTTTCCTTTTAACGCTGCCTTATTACGAGTTACCCTCAGAACGTGACCCTTGACTTTGTTTTGGGTCCACGATGCCGAAGGCTGGCCTTCGGTGTGGCCCAAAGGGTCCCATAAAAACAGCAACTTGCATCGCGCGTCCTACTACCCCAACCGTCTGTATTCAGTATGATGTTAAGCCAGCGCCGAAGATCCACGGTGCGCACTACTTCCATTTTCAACAGGATTGATCATTGATGTTGATGTAGGTGAGCGGTGGCGCCAGCAGCCCCATCCGTGACCGAACAAAGAGGACAAATAGTATGGACAAGGTACTTCCGATGGACGCTCACATGCTTTCGTGCAATGATGGGCAGGAATGTTTTTATAGCACACAAGCGCGCGCAACATGATTACGGAACAGCTTCTTCCAAACCCAACTGGGATTGCTCGTGAACGGAGCGCCGGAATTCTCAAGGGCGAAATTGACGACATCAATCTCCGAGCATTGCTCTTACCTCCGTGGCCGGGCGATGCCCCGCCTTTTGCCAAGTCGTTGATAGACCTTCGGAGCCGGACAGGGAGTATCTACGTCGAGTTGGTAAGCCTAGATACTCGCTGGCGGCGCTCAGCTGTATGATATCGACTGACGTGCTGTAACTGACAGAATCGGCTACCAGGAGCTGCGCATCATTTCTTTCAATTATCTGCCATTTCAGAAGAATCAAATGTGAGCATCGTGCTGCCTTCCGACTTCCAGGGCGCCGTATCCATTAACCAGGGGGAATCGAGGCGGGGCCGCGTTAGATGGAGCAGTAATTTTGACGATCGGTTGCGCTCTGGTGCCATCAGGATGGAACCATCGCAGGTCCATGAGAACGAAGATGAGGTCTTTGTGCTTGCGCCTGGCTATGTCGAACTTTGCATGATGGACGAGCTGTGTTCGTCTGCCAGTGGTGGCAAGACGTCTGTATGGAAGTCGATCGATACTCCACATAGCAGTGTTCAACGTCTGAAGCGACTGCTCAGCTTTGCCTGATCGAGGGGGCGGACACTTGTGTCAAGGATGATTTGGTTCCGGGGTCCTATCGCGTGACATCGTCAAGTTGACAGTGACGCCGACGGAGAAGAGGGCCATTGTGTCTGACGGGTCGCATGTTGTCAGGAAAGGGATCTACTCCGTTCCACTGTACATGTACACCGATAGTCTGTAAACTTACGTATCTTCTTACAGATAGAAGGTTACCTTGACGGTATCCGTCACCTTGAAGCTGTAAGATCATGATGGGATACTAGGTGAGGATCCAGATGTTCAATACCTAATGATTGGATGTCCATCCAGGGCAACATACAACCACCGGTGCATATCGAAGCAAAACCTTCATAACCTGCCATCGGTCCGTCAATTATTATGATGGGAAAGCGGACAATCAACTGCGTGGCCGACCGACCTTGCTCCGTTCGGTGCATTCTTCCGTGATACTATTGCTCCCTTGCGCCGCCCCTTGCGTACAAACAACATCGTTAGGTGACAGCTTGGCTCAGTTTGTATTCACAAGCGTGCTTCAAGCGTGTAAGAGGATTTGCGAAACCCCACGCGAGGGCCATTGTACCTGCGTGGGGCCAATGCGAGTAGGAGCCGACAATGATGGCGCTTCTGAAGTGGGCATTATGCTTCCAGCAGTACATGTCCGCGCGCTAACATTTGTTCTCTGAAGGGCATTGTTCTATACGGTCCATTCGGGAAATGCAAGAAGAACATGGGGAATTCTCTTCACGCATTTGGCGATTATCGAGCAGCTCTTATTGTTTGTCTTCTGGACGGCCTGCTGGGAAGCTGCAGGAAAAAACAACGGCTTCCATATCAGGAGCACACGTGAGGCTATGCTTCCCCGAACGGGACAAGGTCAGAATCATATTCCCCTGACGATGGGACCCCTTATAATGCTGCTGCAGGCGTGCAAACCGTTTCTAGGTATCCTGGTACTCTGATTCCGTCCTATAAATCTACTCCTTCCAGTCACCCTCCTTCACCCAATGATCATGTCTTCCGCTGGCTGCTCCAGTTCTGTAAGTCTTGCTTCTCGCGTGGAGGGCGATTCAGTTCTCATTCTTGGCCCTGGTAGACATCACTCCTCGAAAAAGACAGTCTGGTGAGCATCCAATACGCCTCGGGATTTATTGTCCGATGTACTCATATTTTCTCCCAGCTACGAGAGCTCCCAGCCTCTGGCACGTATAAAGTGAAATACAACCCCGATCAGGATTGGGATTTCCACCTCGACACCGCGCAAAGCCCGGTAGATGTCGAGCTCGTCCTCCCGCACTATCGCGCGCGAAATCAACCAGTAGATCATCGCATGAGCATGATGGTCTGCAATGACGCGGGGTCGCTCAAAGTTAAAGTTGTACGTCTTGCACCACCATTGTCCTCCGCCATCACGTATTCACGCTCCATCTTAGTGCCGCCCCTCACATCGATCAAAGTTCTATCTCGAGGTGCAGTCGGAGAGTTCGGATGTCACGGTGTGGCTACCCTCCGACTTTCGAGGGCAGATACATCACTCCGGTCGCGCAAAATATTCCGCCGGTTTCGTAAATCGGATATTGCAGAATGTCCGTCTCAACGAGGGCGTTTATGATGACGTTATGGAGGAAGACGAGGTGGTCGTGTATACGCATGGCACAATAGCCTTCCGCATGTGGGACACGCAGACGCGGGCACCGGAAAACTCGCGCAAGGAGAACCTGAAGCGACTGTTCGGCTGTGGGCGAAAAGCTCCGGAGACAGCCATCGATTGGGATTTCCTTCTTGACTAGTCCCTCGTTTCGCTCTTCTCTCCTCTTTCTCTGGTCTTCTCTCCTCGTCGCTGGATCACTTCACACTAGACTCACATCACATTCGGTCTCCCCCAAGCATCACCACTGTATCATCTAACCGCAATCTACTGTTGTAGCCTCATACCTTCATTAAATATTCCCCCAATGTAGTTATACCACATGCAATACTCTAAGTAATCCATAAATACGAATACAAACCTATGCTATACCAGGCTATACCCTTCACTATTAGGCCCCCCATGACTCGGCCTTCTCCAAGCACTTTTCGACAGTATCCACTAACGCAGGATTCTCCAACGCCGCTGCTACACGCTCCTTATCATTCAGTTGCTTATTAACTATGTTCGATCAGCGGCGATTCATGCGGGCGGTGCTTCATAGATTAACTCACCAGCGTGCTCGCTCTGATGCGAACCGGGTTTCACGAAGATATCTACCTTGAATCGAGGTGGTAGGCTTTGCATGAGCCGGACGCGGATCGAGAGACCTGATCGAGGTAATTACTGTAGGCACAGGAACGACCATGATATCAGCTCACCGATGAGAGTGGACATCCCGCAGTGAGGAACAGTCGGTGTAAACTCGACTATCACGCGGTTCTCTGAAACGCTGATTTGCGGCGCAGAGACTACTCGCAGCTCCTCAAGTGAATTTGGATGCTCGGGGTCAGATATATGGCGTATCAGATCTTCATTACGGTGCTTAGCAACGCTATGCAGCGACATGAAATGGATAATCACCGAATATTTCATCCTGGTCGATGGGCTCGACTGTGTTTTCATCAACTTCTACGTCCGCCTCCTCATCGTCCCAGAAAGACTCCGGTTTGCTCGGCTTGGAGCGACGGCCAGTCGCTTTCGCGGGCGCAAAGATCACAGGATTCGGATTGAACACCTCCATCGCAGTTCAGGTGCAAGGTACGATCTCCTGAAAATGGCCTCGAAACGAGTCAGCATAGGGGTCAGGGGCTGGAATTCTACTACTTAGGCTTCAAATTTCAGAGTCAAGACTTCAGTATTTTCAATCTCTTGTATGTATCCCAACAACCCCTACAGTATTCTCGACAGCAATCACCATTGCTTTTCTCAGCTGTGCTTTATCAAGGGTGATGGTGATAGTGATATCAATCAAGTCTTGCAGAGAATAAATGGTTGAAAGCTTCGCCGCCGCCGTGCGTATCGCAGCAACTCGGAATAGCATTTACACTGGCACTCGGAGTACCGCACAGGAGCCGCCGCACGTGTCACATCACGTTACATGCATCACGCAGCGCGCTTGTCACAGGCCACTGAATTATTGGTCGACCTTTTCCTTGTGGCTGGTGGCTTGAAACCTCTTTCTTTCGTTCCTCTCACTTAAATCGCGGTCGTCTGCGAATATCGAGCTCACCGCATCTCCCATCGCGGCCACTGCCTACAAAAATACCAAATGCCTCCAAAGGTGCGTTTCCATCGGCTCCGTGTCACTGTCGTCCTCATGCAGGCTTCGCGTTGCATCCATTAGCGCAAGAGAGCTGAACCGACCGTCGCCTCGACATCTACACGCTCGACACGAAGTAGCACTCGGAAAGCGGGTACCACTAGTGCGTCTGCAGCGAGTTACTTACTCCTATGTTCTACTGACCTACGGTCGCAGGCGCCACCCAGATCTCCAATGCAGCCGAGTCAGTACAACTGATATCCTCCTTTTCCTAACTTCCTTGACCATATTTGGCCAGGGCAAATTCGCAAGATCTAGACGTGAGTTATTGTTATATCTCATTCACAATTGGGGGGTGAAGTCTTCCTCGGTATACAGCCAGAGCCTCCGGTGAAGAAACCTCGAGCCAAGGCCGCAACATCTAAGGCCGCAACAACCAAGACGAAAGCAGCTCCAAAAGTCAAGGGGAAGACCGCAGAGGCAAACGTAAGGTATGTAACGTCTAGATCCATCTATTACACGCGTTTTAGGCACCGTTTTGTATTCTCGCGACTTATCGCCTCGCTGCTCGCATTTACACACCGCCCCAAGCCGTGTTCCTCTTCGGTGCGGCTTATAACTGACTGATAATTGCAGTGCTCGTTCATTATACTCACGTGGCCACGTGGTGATTGTATTTCCGAAATAGAAAGATCAAGTCGCTCCCCCGCTGACCCAGCGCTTGAAACCGTGAGTCTCGTTCATCTATCACACAGCTTAACTGCACCCTTTCCCGGCCTTCCATATATAAATATCGCCAGCTGTGGAATGTTTCTTTCATGACCTTTCTCTCCTGGTTGTTGTGTTGCAATTCTCAACATATTCGGACTGTTCACAGTGAAGACCTGCCATCCGTAAATGGCACGGCGACGCCTAAGGTGCGTGTGGATGTCGTCACATTTCCCAGCAACTATAATTACTCGTCGTTCTAGTCGACTTTGTCTGGTTCCATTGCAGCAAACGAGTACAGTCCAGCCCTAGCGCTTGCAACCTTCGGAAAGTACGCGGATGAAGACAGTCCCGAAGTTATCGGACCAGAGGGCTTTTCGCGCCTATGTGAAGACGCCGACGCATCCTTGGAGGGGCCTCTGCCATTGATCATTGCATGGCTCATGGATGCGGGAGAAATGGCAAAGATAACAAAGGAGGAGTGGACGAAGGGCACCTCGAAGCTACAGTACGTTCCCTGGTTGGCGTCCCTGTGCTCGAAACCATATCGTCATATTATAGAATTGCTTCAATATCCCAACTTGCTGTCGCGGCTTCGGACCTTGACAAGCTCTTGATACAAAATCTACCTCCATTGAAGAAATCAGCCACTGCTAGCCCTTCTAAAAGGAACCTCACAGATGAACCTTATGACCGGACTGCATACTGGAATCATGCCGCAGACTCTAAGGCTGCTTTCAAGAGTCTCTATTCCTACTGCTTCACACTTGCCAAATCTAGGTGAGCCTGACTTCTGCGTATATTACGCCTGTCCTCAAAATTCCATGTGAAGTCCGGCAAGTCGTAGCATCGAAAAGGATGTGCGTTATCTTACTATGTATCTTATTATGTCGACTCTGACGTTTTGAGCCTTTCCGTAGACTGCGACTGCATTTTGGACGGTTCTCCTAGCACCTCAATATCCTATAGTGACTGACATTGTCGAATTTGTTAACGTTTGTGGACATCTTTTCGTGGTATCGACGCGTATTGATATCCTCCAAGGAGAAACCAAATTATAAGGGCATAAACAAGGATGTCTGGAGCATGGTAGGTTCCTCCAGTTGATGCTACTTGTCCTACGTCCTCACTATGTTTTGTCAGATCCTTGACTTCTGCCATACCGTCAAACCGGACCTCTCTGGGTACGAAGCCGATGGGGTAAGTCCATATGACCTGTTCCTGTTCCTTTCCACCCATTTAAGTCATGTTCTCTAGGCATGGCCGTCAATGCTCGACGAATTCGTCCAATGGAAGAAGGAGAAATCGGCGTAATCTCACTTCCGCACTAACGATCTCATGTTTTCACGTACATGCATTATCATTTTACCTCAATCCAGCAGTAATACGGACTGCCATCATTCTTACATCCTGTTCCTGATACTTCACAACATTTACCTGCATTACCTGCCTGCACTTTCACGTCCACCGTATAGCACCTAAATGAGCGGTTCTCACGCCTATACTACTTAAGACTCCATCACCATGATCGTCAGTTACCTTACTTCGGTTGCTGCGTGCCACCACCATGCACTTCCAAATCCACAACCTGACCAGCGAGAGCATTGCCTGCATACATGACAAGCAGCGGAGCGAGAAGCCGTTGGTGCTGCCTGCCCAAGCGCGTCGAGAAACGGACTCAGCGCTCTTCGGCCGTTCCAAGCTTCTGCTTGCGCCTTACGATGAAACAGGCGATTTATCGACCATGAATTGGGGCATTGACCCAGAGACGTTTGTCTTGCATATGAGCATGGCGCTCAGCGCGTCGTGGCAACCTCTGAGAGTCACAGAGAATTGCCCGTGGCGCGTGTACTGCTCGAAGGTGTGTACGCACAATTTGCGCCGAGTGATGGCTAACAGGAGTATGCTAGGTCTCGAGCAAGCTGAAGCGTATACTCATATTCCCGCGCCGTGACTTAGCCAAGTTCCTTGCTGAGATGCCGGACGAAGCTCGGTTGTCTTCCTTGACGTTGCCAGGTGCGCTTAGCGGCCACTGGGTATATATGCGGCCTCCTACTGACTACCCGCAATAGGCACGCATGATTCGTGAGTCCCAATGGTGTTCCCAAGAGTTTGCGAGACTGAACACTATCGCAAGGATGGCATTCTACGGATGGCCTGTCTCACAATGCCAGTCCCTTTCCACACCACTGAAGGTCCAGCTCGAATCCGGTATTAGAGTGATAGATGTCCGGCTGGCAATAGTAGACGGACGTTTGATTTCCTACCACGGCATCTACCCACAGAAGACACCCTTCCAGGACATACTCACAACAATACACAGTTTCTTCGCCACCTCTCCCAAGGAAACCATCGTCATGTCTATCAAGCAAGAGGATTACGCACATACGCCAGCTCCGGAGTTCTCTGCCTTGGTGCACAAAGAGATATTCGATGGCCCTGGAGGCAAGGAGATGTGGTTCTTTGAGAATCGGGTGCCGAAGTTGGGCGAAGTGCGAGGGAAAGTAGTTTTACTGAGTCGCTTCGGTGGGAATGGCGATGGATGGGAGAATGGACTAGAAGGACTGGGGATCCATCCAACTACTTGGCCAGACAGCGACAAATCTGGGTTTACGTGGAACTGCAAGGACACGCTCGTTCGTACGCATGACTGGTGATTTGTTTCCTTACATGGGCTATTCAGGCTGTGCACTTACGCATGATGGTTGTAGGTACAACATCCCGTCATTCCTCGCGATACCCGAGAAGGTTACATTGTCCACTCAAGTTCTACTTCCTCCCGCCAACAATCCTCCTATGCCCGTCCTCAACGTCACTTACCTCTCCGCGGCCTCTTTCCCTCTTGCGTTCCCCCCAACTGTCGCCCTTGGCTTTGGGTGGCCCAAATGGGGCCTTGGTGTGGAAGGCGTGAACAGCCGCGTTGGTAAGTGGTTGCTAGATCAACTTGGCGGGCAGGTCGTCGAAGTCGATACTCTTCATGAGAAGGGGAAACCTCAAGTCGACGGGCAGCTCGATGAACCACGCATTCGAGGGTGGGTGTTCATGGATTATTACTCAGAACCGGAGCATGCAGTCGTGCCGTTGCTGGTGGAGTGTAATTACAGAGGACGGCGCGAGGGTGAGGAGGGTTGGTAGAGTGTGTATATCCCTTGTAAGGACTGTCGGCCTTTCTATATGGATTCTGTATTGTATGGGAGACCACCTATGGTGTCCGACTGTTGATACCACTACTAATGCAATTCCTTCAGCGACCCATCCTCTTGAACAACCTTCACATTCCATGGTCCAGGTATCGTCCCTGTAACCTTCACTTCCTTGTTCGTCCCCTCTACTTTCAAAGTCCCCTTGACATCTCCAGGATCATCAGCGTCGGGAATAACTATCTCGAAGTCCATTATTTCACCGTCCTTGACCAGACCATTGACCAGTACGCTTATGTCTTTGGAGTAATCGTAGGTCGACAGTTTCCTCTTTCCCTCGATATCGTGTTGTCCAAACACGACTGCAGTGCCGGGTCTCAAGAGCAACGGAATGCTCATAAAATCGTGAACCTCTTCGACGTAGCCTGGGCCGACTCTGATCTTACCATCTACCAAACCGTACCACTTCCCTTCGGGAACGTAATACTGCACCGACCCGTCCTCCGTGAAGACAGGTGCGACCAGGAGGTTCTTGCCCAACATGTATTGGGTATCGAGATACCAAGACACAGGGTCGTCGGGGAACTCGACGAACATGGGTCGCATCATTGGAATGCCGGTTCGGTGGGTGGCAAGGGCGGTGGCGTAGATGTAGGGCATCAAAGAGAGTTTGAGGTTGATGAACTTGGAAAGAACTTTGTCGGCTTCGCCTGATGTATCGATGAGCCATGGGACCTTCACGCATGTTTCAGTGGTTAGACTGGTGGTGGCGGGAGCGATGAACAAAACGTCGTTACCCGGTAGCTTCCACTTCCATGCAGACGTGAATGACTCGAGAGGGCTCCGAATGCGAACCAACGTTTGTAAAGTGCTGGATCTGGTTTGCCCTCGAATCCACCTTTGAGGTTTAGTCTTTTCGTATTGTCAGAACACGGATGAAAAAGCTATTCACCGATATCATGAGCCCAATACCCGAACCCGCATACGCCCAAACTCAGTCCTCCGCGCAGTGTCTCAGCCATCGCCTCGAACGTGCTCATCGGGTCTCCACCCCAATGGACAGGGAACCTCTGCCCACCAGCAGTAGCCGACCGAGCAAACACGATAGCTTGATTCTTCCCCAGCTGCTTCTCCAACACACCGAACACTGCCTTGTTGTACAAATGAGCATAGTAGTTGTGCATCTTTTCTGCGTTCACTGAAGTATCGTGGTAGACAACGTCGCCTGTTGGGATGCGCTCGCCAAAGTCGGTTTTGAAACAATCGACTCCGAGGTCGATGAGAGCTTTGAGCTTGGATTGGTACCATTCACAGGCCGCGGGGTTGGTGAAGTCGACAAATCCCATGCCGGCTTGCTATGGTGAACGTCGGTTAGCACCGTTGCATTTTGATTGTGAGGGCGCCTTCTACTCACCCACCAATCCCATTGCCACACACTGCCGTCTGTCTTCTTGATGAAGTAGCCGTTCCGCGCACCCTCGTCGAAAAGTTTGCTTTCTTGGGCAATATACGGGTTGATCCAGACACAAATCTAGATCCCATGTTCGACGGTGCATCTTACCTCTGAGAATGCCAATTTGTAGCATACCTTATATCCCTTGTCCTTCATCCTCTTCAGCTGCACCCCCGCGTCAGGAAAGAACTCTTCATCAAACTCGAAGTCACACCACTGAAATCCCTTCATCCAGAAGCAATCAAAGTGGAATACCCCGACCGGGATATCTCGTTCCTCCATTCCTTCTAAGAAGTGATTCACAGTTTTCTCGTCGTAGTCGGTAGTGAACGAGGTGGTGAGGAAGAGGGAGAACGTCCAAGGTGGCGGGAGAGCGGGGCGACCAGTGAGGAGGGTGTAGCGGGAGATGATATCGGAGGGAGAAGGGCCGTGGATGATGTAGGCTGAAAGGGATTCCGAGCGTACGGATATATTGACACGCGTTGTACCTGCATATGTTCATCAGAGTTTGATTTTGGGTAGCAATGGGATTGGGAGTATATACGTTCGCTTTGAACTTCGAAACTAACGAAACCAGAGTGGGGGATGAAAATCTCGTAGCCTCTCGAGCTGAGATAGAAAGGGATATTCTTGTAAGTAAGTTCGGAAGATGTGCCTCCGTCTTCATTCCACATTTCTACCGTCTATCATTGTGCATTAGTTCAGTCTACGAGAGGTCCACGAATATAAAGACGAACCTGTCCATTCTTGATGAACGGCCCAAACCTCTCACCGAGGCCATATATTTTCTCTCCTACGGACAACTGGAATTGATAAGTGAACCATCTTTCACCTCTATCTGGGTCGACCATAGCAGCGTTCGCGTGACCTAGAGTAGAGTTGATCTTCACGTATCCAGTGGAACGCCAACCGAGCTTCGTCAGTAATCGGTTCGAGCCATGGAAATCAATTCCAAAAGAGGAGGGATCGATATTGATTGTCGCTGAGACCGTGCTCGTGGATAATTTGAGCAAGTTATTGGTCTTGCTGGTTTGAACATTATCCTGCCGCGTTGTATTCTAGTCTGGCCGTTTAACAATGCGAGGTGGCCGAGTAAACATATTCGTTACCAGTTCATTGATGTCGATGTCTGGGAATAGCTCGTATTCTGGGCCAGCATTGGAGCCGACCTGCTCCTTCCAGTGGTACCCTTTGAGGAGTAGAACATCAGGGGCGGGCGAAGAACATTCCAGAGTGATTGTGGGGTTATTTAGTGTATCTCCTCTGTGGTTTATACGCCTGGTTGACTGTACGAACCACACGATATCAACGTATGGCCAAAACAATGCCCGAGATAGATCCATACCGCCACGCAGCGAATGCTATCTTCCTTGGCTTCTGCTTTGACAGCCTCTGTCGCCCAGTCAGCAACGGTGTCCGGTGCCAGACACCACATCCCTTTAGAGAATTTGACCATTATTGCGAGTCACGGCGGCCAGGTCGAGAGTGTTATTGGTGAATGCCTGCTATACAAGCCCCATATTTATATCTTTGAAGATAGTATATCGATGAGTTTGATCAGGTGTAAACCTCTCCCACACGGTCGACATGCAGTGTATGTCACAGACGACAAGCCGGCCCGTTGATATGATTCCAGCAATATTACTTCAGGCAAAGGAATAATGTCGGCGGATATTGCACTACAGCCTTGTTGAGAAGTTAATTGTGCCTTCTATAGTGTTTTAGGGAACGCCATTTCATTCGTTGGAGGTGTCGTACGACTGTCGCTATCCGAGCATGCTCTAGTGGGTTCTGTAAGTTGAACCGACCCCATTGCACCCCAGGTAGCAATGCGACTTGGGAGAAATCAGCGTCGGCGATAGCACCTTGACAGAATTAACCACATGCCTGTCTGGTAAAGCTTCCAGGACACGATTCGGACTTGGGCGTTTCTTTTCAAGGCTCAAGGCAGAGCTTACGGAGTTCGGTGACTAACTAGGTTTGGGCACGTGCTGGAGCTTAGTGATCGTCGATCGAATGCACCATCCGCGCGCGACTTGGGCAAGTCAGAATTAGCTGAGTAGACAGTAAGCTATTCGCGATCGATATAAAAGGCCTCCACTCGCTCTGACTCTCTTTCTTTCCCTCCAAGAACTGGCCGCCCTCTCCTCCCTTCCCCGATTCGCCGGAATCCTGTCTCGTTCAGCCCCGTCACTGTCGCGGCCAACTAGCAGGCTCTCCCAGGTATGCCGCCTAAGCCCGCTTATCTATATCTGATACAAGAGTTATAGCGCTGACGCTTTTACTCGTTAGATAACTCGCGCCTTCTCCTCAACATCTACGACAATGGCACCAGTGAACAGACCCGCCCATGACAAGTATGACTATGTCGTTATCGGTGGTGGAAGTGGAGGTGTTGCTGGCTCGGTGAGTTGCTAAGAACGCGTTGGAATCACTTGGATCACTGACTTGTCACAGCGGCGAGCAGCTTCGTACGGAGCCAAAGTCGCGTTGATTGAGGTCACCCCAAACCTAGGCGGAACCTGTGTTAACGTTGGTGCGCCCTATGCGCCATACACGATGGCCAATTGCTGATAGTAGTTTCGCAGGTTGTGTTCCGAAGAAGGTAGATGCGGTCAACCCGCTCAATGGGAAAGTCGCTGATGGCATTCGCAGATAATGTGGCATGCAGCCGACCTCCGTGACAAGATCATGCATCATGCACCAGGGTACAACTTCACCAATCTCCCCGAGACACCCACATTCAACTGGGCTACCTTTAAACCGCAACGAGACGCGTATATCCGTAAATTAAACGGCATATATTCAAACAATCTGGCCAAAGAAGCTGTCGAGGAGCACCACGGCCACGCCAAACTCCTCTCGCCTACTCAGGTTGAGGTCACCCGCCCAGATGGTCAGAAATACACGCTAAACACGGACAAGGTTCTTGTCGCGACAGGCGGCAGACCGACCATCCCCAGCGACGAGAAAATCCCTGGTGCATCTTTGGGCATTAACAGCGACGGCTTCTTTGACCTCGAAGAGCAACCCAGGCGCGTGGCCGTGGTAGGAGCAGGGTATATCGCTGTCGAGCTTGCGGGAGTATTTAACTCACTCGGGACGGAAACTCACTTGATCATCCGCAAGGACAAGGTGTTACGTACGTTCGACCCGTCACTCCAGGATGTCATCACGCCTTGGATGGAAAAGACTGGCATTCATATTCACAAGACGACCAACGTAACCAAAGTCACTGGTACCAAGGGCCAGCCACTCACTGTCCATACCGACACTGGCGAAGCGATCGAAGTTGACTGCCTTTTGTGGGCTATTGGCCGGCATGCAAACACGGAAAACCTTGGATTAGAGGAACTTGGGGTGAAGCTCGACAAGAAGGGCGATGTCATCGTGGACGAGTACCAGAACTCGTCGGTCCCAGGAATATACGCTGTTGGTGATGTGCAAGGCAAGGCCTTGCTGACACCCGTGGCTATCGCTGCTGGTAGAAGACTCGGGAATAGGCTATTTGGACCGGAGAAATACAAGCAGGAGAAACTCAGCTATGAGGACATCCCCACCGTCGTATTCTCGTGCGTTTCTTTCCTCACTTCCCCCGCCGTTCTGTATCATATTGACAACGCCACCAGACATCCGACTATCGGGACCGTCGGTTTGACAGAACCAGAAGCACGGAAAAAGTATGGTGATGATCAGGTTAAGATATGTACGTATTACTTCTACTCTCCTTCGCTTGGTGTGGCTAAAACGGCGCAAAGACAAATCGAACTTCCGTTCGCTCTACTTCTCCATGGTGCCCGAAGAGCACAAGGAACCGTCGATGTACAAGCTCGTTTGCGTTGGAGAGGAGGAACGGGTGGTTGGTGTGCATATCATCGGGATCGGCAGCGACGAAGTGATGCAAGGATTTGCCGTCGCTGTGAAGATGAAGGCGACGAAGCAAGATCTGGATGATACGGTCGCTATCCACCCTACGAGCTCTGAAGGTGAGTTAGTCCTTCTGTGGATGAGATATGGAACTGATGAATCTGTTTCAGAATTGGTTACGTTGCGATAGACTTGAAGTGAAGTGAACCCGAACGTTGCATTGCCTTTGTATAACAAGTGCTGAATTCTACTCTGTTGTTTTCTGTTGACTAATAATACATCAACAAAGTACCATCTCCTTCACATACATATGTTAGGTTCACCAACGATCAAATTCTTCTACTCTTTTGAGTGTCGACTCGCTTAGCCGACGTACACTTTCCCTTCTCGAAGAACTCTGGATGAGAAGTTGTTCATTTCCGATGACACTACGAGCGTCGATCCGAATGCAACCCATGGCCCTGCCTCACCGTGCATCTCTTGTTCCCCTCCCTTGCTTCGTCTTCTTCCGGATCTATTCACTGTGTTACAAGCTTTGAGTATTTCCACCGAGTCCGAAATGTTTGAAGACAGCCGATATAATGCCTGTTGGCCGACATCCCCGCCGCTCTTCACCCGATGGAACACTTCTAAATAGTTGGTGTTCCAGCTCCTGCGACCGAACTCGGGTTGTGCGGGAGGAGGATGCGAATTCGAAGGGGTCGCAGAGGTCTTGCTGTCTTGGTAAAACTCCCGAAGCCACTTAATACCAATTCCTCCCCGAATGCTGAGCCACTGCGTCTGGACAACCCAAGGACGACCTGTATCACAACACGATGTTAGGGCTCATCGTTTAAGACGCAAAGCTACATTCGGGTTTTCTGTCCTTGAGTTTTTAGCTGTAACTTCTGTTATTATTCAAAGGTCTTGCATCATAGATATGCAGGCCATTCCCACCATCGAGTTGGGCCGTTTCAGCGGCACTCCGTTACAGCTCCGTCGACCCCTCTTTGGTAGGTATGACCGAATTGTGTGTAAGCAAGGGCTTCACGGTTGAATCAGCAACGGCGGCAGCCAGCAGCCTTTCCCATCTACCATCACCACAATGCCTACCCTCACTTTGCTAACTAACGTTAAGGTAATGTGGCCCGAAACGCTGCGGGCCTCCGATTTGGCCAAAGTCTAACTTGGTGGTTCGGATAGCTTGCCGATCCCAAGGCATTCGCGCTCGAATTCTCCAAGGTGGGCATGCTTCTATAGTTTGTGCACCCGTCCCGATACGATGACGCGGAGATAACAGCTCGGCGCAGAGACCTTAGGGAAGCCTGAGCTCTACATCTCCGTCAGCTACACCTACAACGAAACCCTAACGTTCAACGGATCCTTCGCGCCGGCGTTCAACTTGTCAATTGTACGTTTCAACTCCTGTCAGGCCGCTCAAGTAGATCTGATCGATTAACAATAATCGGGATCGTGGGGTGCGTGGGGCGATTTAATTTCGGGTCGTTTTGGGCGTTGGTGCAGAAATCGCTTGATAATATCAACCACGAAGTAAATGAGCAGTACAGTAAGGTGCTGTTCAAGTTCTTGGAGGATAAGTTGGGCGTACCAGGAGATAGGGGCTACATGTGCGTACCAAAGGCTCATCGTGCATCATCCATTTCTCTGGCTCCCAATTTTTTCTCACTGCCAATGACCCTGCGCGCTGATGAATTCACCTATTGATTGCGCTCTGGCGGCTTTAACAAAAAAACGGACGGCGAACAAAAGTGAATTCGTTGATCCTGGACGGGTGAACATGGGGTACAAGGGAACGACCTTTGGAACCATTTTCGGGAAGAAGTGAGACTGCGGAGAAGGGCGCGGCATAACATAATGATATAGGGACGAGCCGAGAGAGGACATAATGCGATGCAATTGATTGGTCTCCTGTAGTTGTATATGGAAGCCGAATGATGGATGCGATAAATTTACTGTTCAGCACATTGCTGGGCTACGGATGCTCGAGCAGTCAGTTGCTCGCAGCAGATTTCGGGAATCGGGACGGTGGAGAAGCCTGTTTCATCGGATATTAATGGGGTCGTACAAACTGCAAGGGCGAGAGGAGGCCCATCACAAGGAATATGACCGCCCACAGGACTGGAGGCACTAGTGACAACAGGCTATTCATGCTGAAAGTCATGTACCTCGGATAAGAGCCGGAATGAAGATTGCGCAGCGAGAGAATGTGGACGTTCCAATGCCCGTACGAGGAAAGGTTGACTGCTGAATTGAGTTCAATCGATTCATCATCATTTGGAGATACCACAGATACTCATTCCCATAACTATGCGAATGTCGCTCTTGGAAAGAAGCACGGGGCGCCAAGACTCTCCATGAGAGAAGGATTTGTGTCACTGCGGGGTAGAAGTGTGTCATCAACACGATAGTAGCGTATCACCTTTATCAATGTGAGCTATTTGCCATTTGGAGACACCGTTGTTGTTGGTGTGATGGGGCATATTCAGCGACACTTTCGCCATTCGACGCGCCGACAACCTGCGGGTTGCGACGTTTGCTGTCGTTGGGCTTCGTGGGCATATACTAGGACAGCCTTGGGAGGTCGCGTGACGGTCGAATTAAGCACAGTCGGGACCTTGGTCACCGTTTCATTACCTTGTTCGCAGACTAGAAGATGTTGTCCTGCTGTATCGATCCACGACGGATATGGTATGTACGAACCCTATTGTTTAGAGTTCGTTGGCGATGCTTGGCGGTAAGAAAATATTGATGCAGTGATTGGATAGAAATTGTCAGACCTTTCGAGATTCATGTTATAGACATGAACTTGTACCCGTGAGGTGTGCCTTGACTTCTGTGACTTCTACGTACGCAGAAACATAGCTGCCGGTGATCTTCTGTAACTTCTTTGTAGGTACATAGCTTCCGCTGATAAGGGGATGTCGGTAAGCCTATGCGCAGGAGAGGTATAAGTGGATGAGGTACTCGTGAGTCGTGGAGGCTACGGTAGCCCGGATGGTGTGAAAGCTGGAGTTATTTATGCGATGCACTCGTGCCTCAGCTACATCATCTTAGGGCCACTGCGCGGGATAGAAGGTGTCAATCACGAGCACTCTTCATGACCGTTGCTGTTGAGCAGCAGCAGTCTTCTGTCTTGAAGTGAGAACTTGGAAGTTGCACCCCGTATACGACGCGATCGAGAGGCACGTGATAATTGGCACTGAGTCAATGAGAGATGAGTGCTGCAATTTTGCTCTATCCTTGCTATCAGAGTTTCACCTCGGAATGGGGTCAAATGACGGCCTAACTATCGTGCGGCAGCGTGTCAAATGCTCCAGGCAGTTGGTGCACCCAGGGCTGTAGACAAAGAACGGTCGTCACTGCGACTTTTCTTGTGAACTCTTCAGCTTCTAGGCCACAAAACCGCTGTATCGCATGCTTTCTCATAGCCTTGTGAGTTACTGATTTAGAGACTTCATTCCCACCACGTATCAATCCCATCTACCAGGAATCAGGGATGAACGAAGTTGACGCAAGTTTATGCCTCGAGGTGAGGATTTGCGTGAATGTCGCCGAGGACTTCGAGAGATGCTCACTTACCAGACGTTCTGGCCCTCCCGCCATCATACAACGAAACTCACCCATCTATTTTCTATGTGTGAAACGGTAGCGAGGCCCCCAGAAACTGCAGGACGTTGGAACATCACAGCGCTGATGAAACAAAACTTTCATCAACCAGATTATTCCTGATCGCCGTCAAACGCGCGTCGAGACGAAGATACGGCACCTACGGGCTTACGGGCAATCAAAACCATCCAAGAAGCCTACTTGATGAAGACGAATGGGCTTTTTGTCATCGCTGCTTACTGTAATTGCTGCTTCCATCCAAGAACTGTGTTGGATGTTGCTTAATTTTGATATGTAGTAAATTTTTACTCTTCTAGTGCCCTTGTGGATCCCCATGAACACTTTGGCCCATCGTGTGGCTCACTCGTTCGGTGTCTTATCCACCTATGAGCGTGCAGTTCAATTTGGATTTGGATTTGACTGATGAAGATTATGGACGCGTTGATAAGTTCTTCGTGTCCGAGGCGTTGTTGAGCAAGCCGTAAGTGATTGGTCAAGGATGATGCTCTCCGATCCCCAATGGTTCGCTCGACGGTTGCGCGGCCTTACGGCAGACCCAACGTCAATGTATACCATGGCGTTGATGATGCGACCCCATCAGCGTCCTCTGCCAAACTTCGTTCGAGCTGGCTCTCTCAATTGGACGCCACTGCAGCTTCCCACATGGGGAACACACCGTCTCACGGTAGCTCATAGCACACATGAGTCGCTGTCTACTGTCTTTCGCCACAGGGGTCGCCCTAGATCCTTACGGAGGTGCAGCAGCGGGAGAAGCCCCATTCAGCATCATCCAGCTCAAGTGCTACCGCCACATCCTCGGGAGGCCACACGAACACATGAGGCATTGCGAGAATTCAGCAGTTGATATCTTTCGGCTAGTGATAATACACTCCCACTTGGGCGCGTCGGTCTCTCCCGTTCACCGCTGAACATGTGCTAGCTAAGTATATTATTAGGAAAAGGTGAGATACGTTAGGTTCTAGTGGAAGAATTTAACGTTCGAGAAACGCTGTGAACCATTCCAGCGGTAACCGTCATATTAGCGAACGCAGGCGAACGTGCGTCTCCGGTTAACATGTACGTGCGTACCTATTTATGTCTAGCACTTGCTTCCGTTAGATCGTAGCTGATGATTGATCTTGATCATGCACGCATGCGTGCTCAGTCGCACACACGGACGAGGCACGCACTTTGGAGGGAGCGGAATCAAATTCAATGTTGTTGATCATATGTACCCCGTGAGTTTTGTTTCCGGCGAAGTAGTGTTAAAGTACGAGATTACCTTTCTGCAAAGCGCATTACTGCTGTTCATTAATCATTCACAGTGATATGCGCCCTATGTTGCCTGTTCCACGAGTGGGCTCCAGGTTAGTCCGATGGGAATTTCTTCAATTACTACATGCTGACATTGAGACATCTCTTCCACCCAATAATCATATGTTTCGCGCGTTGTCAACCAGTACACACGTTCAACATTCAACCTTTAAACTTCTTCGTCGCATCACACATGCCGTCAGCGTTGCGACAGGTCGCGACTCGCATAAACGAGATCTTAAGCTATAGCAAGGGGGTAAGTATTCGGAAAAACCCAGCAATATCGAGAAATTTTCACTTCCCTGCGTGGATGCGACACGGAAAATTTCTCACTGTGGCGGTTTACGCGTTGCACATCGCCTGGCGGGATGTATATACGGCCAGCCACGTTATGACAGTGGATATATCCCGGCTGCCTCCGTGTCTTCGCGGCTACTTGGAGACTCTCCGGTTATCCAAGACCCCAAGTCGACTTGGGATGCGCCGATCCTTCTACATGAAATCGATTAGTCGGCGACGTCATTCAGGTACTCAATCATAGGCTTATCTACTCGCAGATAAACGGCCATGTAATCGCCAGTCGGAATGGACGAGGGTACTGGCGGGAGGTTGCCAAGAAGTGCATGCTGCAGGTCCTAGCCCGAAGATATCCGAAGGTGTTCTGTAGAAAGTCTGCGGCGCTCCAGCTGGCATGAATTAATGGGTAAATCTAGGCCCTAGAACAATGAACGGAGAATTCACATAACCTTCCTTGGATTTGACACCCATTTACACTCACCTTGCTGTTCAAGGCCATCACCCTCGAATTCTAATTCCCGACAACAACATGCGCACTAGTTCAAAGAGACTAAAACATATTCGCCTACACACCCTATAGCATATCTCTTGATCAATCCATATCGGATTCTGTATCGTATGTCATCAGATATGAACGACAGACAGAAGGAACCTTTTGCCTCCATTTGTCCCCGTTTAGCCGTTTACTTCCGCACCTACCAACCCTTTGCAGGCTCAGCGTCCCACCCTTCATCTATCCGCTTCGATTCATCCATAAATCCATTCCCCTGCATACGGCTTCAACCACGGGTACCCATGTCTAGTGCTACACATTCAGGTTCGTCGTCGGCATCTTGCACATCACCTTTGTGTGTTAGACAATCATGCAGCATGGATGGCCTCGAGCTTGTTTATCATCGCGATATGATAAGCGCCACTGATCTATTGGTCCATCGGCGAACATTACGAACCAATAGAGTTACAAACAGCGCTGCAAAGCCTACGCTTAGGTCGATGGTGCGAATCGTAGGTAAATCGGATTCTATAACAGGTTGACCTACGCATCATAGGGCTCCAACTCAAGGTACTGGGGATCTGGGCTCGCATAGGCGGTGCCAGAGGTATCACCATCGAGATGGAACCGTGGTGGTGCAGAAGTGGAAGCCGCCTGGAGGCGTTCCAGCGTGATGAGAAGAGAGGGTGAGGGTGGAGTGAGGTCGTTAAGGAGATAGGGGTACACAGGGAAGTGAAGGCATGTTTCTCGTTCTCGCGATTGCCTTCGTCTCGCTTCACAGACGCTATCTGCGAGCCACAGTCAGATCAACAACTCGTTGCTTTGTTCCCCCAAAGTGGTCCCGAGGGCGCTTTCTCCATTGGACTCGCCCCGTCGATGACTCGTCCGTTCTAGGGTGCGATGTAGGTTCCGGTGAGAGGGGGTGTCAGAGGGGTGCGTATTTCGTGATGCACTGGTTAAAGCCCTAGAATTTAAATCTCTCATGAGTACGAGTACGGTTAGGGCTTGCTTTATCGACGAAATGAAGGGTTCCTTAGATAAGCACAATAGTCGGTCCAAGAACCCCTAATCGAAGCTCATGAGAATGCTAAGTCGGAGGGCGGGACTCGAGAATGCGTGTAGTGGACCTGGGCATTTCGAGGTACGCAATAGGCAAACACGATGCATCGCCTAGCCAGAGAGCGACGATAATAGGCCATGCATACAAATAGATCGGGCATGCTCAGCACCATCTAGCAAGCACCGAGGCCCACTTCGACCGAGCTTACGTGCATTGTAACTGTGCGAAGAAATTAACAGGCAGAGAGGAATCGCCAGCCGCTGTTACGCGTGTGCGCAAGGCCGCCGTTTCTGACCATGTTACCACACACTCGGCGTCTTGCCCGCGGTGGGAATGCGCCGAGGAAGTTTTGATTAATAAATGGATTACAGGCAAGGAGTTGACCGATGTCCATCAACAGTTGATGCATCGCCGAAGGCAAGCACTTCGCTAGGCATTAACAGCTCCGAATGACTGAGCACTACTTACGAATCTGGGTGCTTCTGCTATGATATATGATATATGAGCACTGACAACTACTTGGACATAGAGCCAGAAACGAGCGCTGAGATACTAATGCGTCACACAAATCGCCTCACCCCCTCCGGTGCTCTTGAGTCTTGAGCTTGGTGAGCGTCATGAAGCGATGTAGCGATGCTGATGGAGTTACACGATACAGCCGTTGGCGGTCGAGACTTCATTTCGCTTGAAAGTTCAAGTTGGTACCTGTACAACGGTAAACTACATTCTTGGCCCTACCGGGGACTTCTATTGCTTAGTCGACCACGCTTTGGGCACACATGACGGCGCTCAGTACATAATATATAGCCGAAAGAAAGATGTAGAACATACGAAGCGAGGGTATGATGCGAGTGGGGAAACATACCTCGAGTCAATGGTATGTCGGCGGCCCTGCAGCAACGTTCATCCGTCGTCAATGCAGCTAGTTACTCACACAACTGCTTTGTGATTTATTGGTCAACGTCCACGCTTGAACCGGGGGATCAGTGCAAGTTTATTTGGGTGCTTGTTTCCGAATGTATGTAGAGACGGGGATAATGGAAATCTACCTCTAGAACAGGAGGGTTCATGTATCTGTAATTGTCAGGCTGTCTATCACTGCTTTGAAGGTGTGCCACAGTCGAGACATTGCGGCACGATGAGATGCTAAGTATACGTTACTATCCGAAGTTAGGGTACTGCATTAAAACGAATTTGAGTCGTCGGCGTTGAGGTGATGATGAGTGGGGTATGCTGCACGGATTAGATCAAAAAGGAGAGATCGTGTAGCTCTTGAATCTGAGACAAGGTGAATGCTGTGCGCGGTAGCATAGCCTAGCTGACAGAATATCGAATTGGCGGATGAGGACCGTGACGGGAATCTTGTAGTATAGGTCCTAGTGGGACCCGCTGATTACCGAAAGTGAATGTAAGCGCGATTCAGGATACGCAGGGTAGAGGACGGTCGAGGAACAGGCAGCGATTAGATATACCAAATCGGGTAATAAGGGGTGAGCTGCGCAGCAAAGGGTGAAGACAAAGATCCGTATCGACAGGAGAAGTAAATTATTAACCGTGGGAAGAGGACCCCGGGGACGGCGTGCATGATGCCAAGTAATATAGCCAAGGAATTTATGACATGTATCGACCTGAAAAAAGGACTCATAGAGACAAACTCCATCGCTGGCTAATTTCATCGCCTCTACCTTCTTTGACCGTTACAGCCATCTCCCCTTCTCCTCGATGGCCGCAACAGCGACAAACGGCATTTTGCTCTACCCGTCGTCGTTGTACCCGTTCCCCACGACGTCCTCCTCAAACTCTGTGGCGTCCTCCTCGTCCTCCGGCGCGTCGTCGTCGTCGAGGCATCCAAACAACAACGCCAACGCCAACGCCAGTACCCCTCCAACTCCACAGCGAAAGATTCGCTTTGCTCCTCTCCCTGACCCTCGCAGGAGCTTCGTCGACGATGGCGACGAGTTCCCCATGTCAGACGGGGTGACCATATCCTGCCCCCCCATGCTCGCCGAGCGCGACGCTATCCCCAGCATATCCTCTCTCGCCATCGACTCCCTTTCCAGCGAAATTGACACCGAGTCGGATTCTACTTCCAGGTCATCTTCGAGGGCGTCCAAGGGCGCTGATTCGTCTGCAACAACACCGACAGCATCGGCGTCAGATTCGGTATCGTCTTTCACACAAGATTCACCATCATACCAGACCAAGATAGCTCTCCCACCCATACCAAACCCTCTCCTTGCAGCAAAACTCAAGCAGTTTGAGGATAACTCCTCTTCCCACACTTCATGGGCCAAACCGAAATCATTATTCCGCCCCTTCCTGCGCCGCCCACATTCATCATCAGGCGCGACACCCACACTGTCCTCCTCGTCCCACTCGGCAAACTTGCCATCTGCTTCCTCGTCAACTTCGACGCTTCATCCTCATCCCAAGCACGCACCATTCCCTCGGATCAACCTTTCTTCACCTTCGCTAGGACTTTTTCGCGTCAGTTCCAGACATCGCCATGATGACGATGATTACAGCGATGACGGCAAAAGTAAAGGTTTCATGAAACTCGCTAAATGGACAAGCTCTTCATCTTCCGTCAACAAGCAGCACAGTCACAACCATTTCCATAACACGGGGTCCCCTCTAAGCCCTCTCACACGTACCCAAAGCAGGGGAAGTGTGCAGTCCGTCCAGACTAATAGTAACCAGACACCTTTTGGTTCCACTGCTTCCCTTCCCCTCACTCGCGTAGACTCTAGTCGAATAAATAACTATGTTCGACCAGCTAGCTCACTGCCAGGACGTCGCCCATCTACAGCGTCAGGTGCCATCTCCGCCCCGACATCGCCGGCACGGAAGGGCAAGGGCACTCGTATGCTGAATGGTCGCGTCTACGGACATCGCCGCAACTCATCTAACCCCAATGGCAATCCATTCGCTAACGCGAGAGATGAAGCTGACCCTGAATTTGTTGAATGGGGTTATGGTGGAATGGGGAGTGTACGCAATGGTTCGGGAGTCGGACATGGTGTTTGGGGACGGTTGCAGAGTGAGGGTACTGCTTTGGGAGGCGGTGGTAAAACTGATGACGAGGAGCTGGATGACGGAAGTGGGATGGGATGGGTTAGGAAACGAAGAGAACAGAAGGAGAAGAAGGAACGCGAAGAGAAAGAACGCCTAGCTAAGGAAGCGCAGGCAAAGTTGGAGGCAATCACCGAGGCTGGTGATGCAAAGGCGGAGGAGGCGGAGGCGGAGGTAGACGAGAAGGAGAAGGAGTTTGTACGATCGGACGAAATTGAACAAGTCAAGGATAGGCCAGACACGGCTGCCACCATCACCCTCTCCTCTGTAGCATCGCCCACCCTCTCCAGTGCCTTATCTACACCTACAATCCGCAACGATGTCGATACGCCCAAGCCATCTGACGACCAAGATGAGCACGACACACGTGTCGTCAATGTGTCCGCACACTCTCCATCGCTTGCTCGCCGTCATAGCCATGGACGCAGTCGTAGTAGGGACAGCATCCCCCTCCTCGAGAAAGCCCAGGCTGAGGACACAACACAAACTGTAATCAGCGTCGATGTGAAGGAGGATGAGACGGACGAAAGCGAAGAAGAGGAAGACGAGGGTACCCGTCCGAATGAAGATGATGAAGATAGCGAAGAAGATAGCGAGAATGTGGAGGACGCGGAAAAGAGGAAACTTGCTCTCGGTGCTGGCGTCGAAAAGATTTCACGACACAAGTAATGTCTTCATGTCCTTTGACGTCGCCCTGCATGCCCTCCACTACCCCGGCTACCTCCAACTCCTCAACACCACATCGCATCAAAACGATGAGAGGCTCTCCTCCGTTTTGAATCCCTCTCATCCACCCCGCCGTGTACACAAATAGCGTCCTAGTTCCAGGTTTTGATACCTTGTTTATTTCTTTTTGCTCTTCCAAGTGTATTTGCATAGTCTCTCCTTCCCTCGTCTCATTTCCCACTGCTCTCAACTACATACAATAATTTTATTATGCTTCTCCCTCATTCCTCATCACACATCTTACCGTCACCCATCATCATTGTTACATCGGTTTTTAGGCATCGTCTTTCTCAAATCTATCTCCACTCATCAATCGTTTACTCTCCAAAGTACATTATAGCCACATCGCACGCATTCACTTTTACCACTGTGCATGCTTACTAGCAGTTTCCCATCGTCTGTATCTACACACAATTATCAGTTCAATTGCAGGCATCTATTGATAACCTTGCGAGCGAGAGCCTTCTCGACTTCCGGAAAATTTATACAAGGATACGCGAAAGTGATTCCGAGCTTCGAAGCTGGCCCTACGGCCTGCCCCGTACCGTAGATCCTTTAGACATACTTACGCACACGCAGGCTTCTAGTCTACAAGTTGAAACCTCGGGAGCGAAGAGTGGAGCTATTAAAGTCTACGAAGGACATATGGATTTAAATAAAGGGATTCAGGTATAATTTGGGCTATGGAATGATTTGTGAGAATGGATGTGCAAAGGTTTTCCGGAGATGGTCCATATGGAGCGTAAGATGGAAGAAATTTCGCCGTCCGGTGATACCTGTACTATCAAGGAGGCGTATTCCATTGGGATCTAGAGGAATGCGTATTGGTGGAACGGCGAATGTGAGAATGGCAATGGGTAAACGAGTGAAATACCAAGTGACGTCCACGGTCCATCTGTACACGCGTTCAAGCGGAATCTGGATTCAGAAGGCGGTGACACCCGTGGGTTCGAGGGCGCGAATGATCCAGGCGCGCAGGCTCGGTACCCGACTTTCGCGTCGTGTCGGCACTGGGCGTTTCTGGAGGCTTGGCGTAGTTGGTATGAAGCCGCAGCCCGAGTATGACTCAGAATTGTCATGGAATTTGTAGGCGTTGGATCTAGAGGCGATGCACACGAAGGAGGACACCTGGCACCTCCAATTCTGCGGCAGGTTGCGCCTCCCGCGCAACTCCAGACATGAGTGAGGGCCGACGTTTGTGGCGCGTATACCTGTCTAGGAGATGCAATGATCTGCAAATTAGTGGGTCAGCTGTAGTGTCATTATTACACCGATAGTGATGATCCCCTCACCAGGTGATCTCGGGGGCTGGGGTACATGGAAACACGATCTTGGATCCATTCTCCAGTGTTCCCCCGCATGGAGTGATCGCAGGTGGATCATGATCCCGCTATGGTACAACAGTGGCGCTGCTGGTTTCCTTCGATCCCTCGCTTATTGGTGTTGGCTGTTGGCTCCTGAATTCGCTAGGGGAGAGAGGGGTTATAGGGTTCGGAGATGCTCCGTGCTGAGATGATCGCACTGCTGTAGAGTGGCCAAGGCATCCTGAAGGCGGTGTAAATGCGATCCATAGTTGTCAGCCAGCTGATCTACCCGCATAAGCTTGATAGTGCAAAGTTTGAGTGCGTTGCACACAGTTCATCAGTTCCAGGTGTTCTAGGCTATATTATGAGTGACTGGGGTGCGGTTAGTGGGCAGGAAGAAACGTATTTACTGATTTATTCGCTTGTTATTACCCCTCCCACTGGCCGCACGTAAAATTATCTATTGGACATGCGGGATACTCGAATTCATGCTATGCGAACATCCGAGTAGCAAGGATGTCCGCGGGGTCAACTTCTCGGGGTATTTTTGTATCATTTCGAAAGTCGAACCACAGATTGGAGGCAAGAATTCGAACCATTTTGTATTCAGGCTGATGGCTGGATGATGGCCTGTTTGAATGGGACGAAGAGAGGAGAGAGGGTCTGTGATGGTCTATTTGCTAGCATCCTCCGAGACGGACACGTGCAATAATTCACTCTTGCTTCTGACTTTACTTCTGAGTTCTGGTCTTCCTTTGACTTATTGCGACATCGATGGCAACTCACATCGTGCGAGCCCCATTCAATTTAGATGATCATTTGAATGCTGGCCCATAAGTTGCAACACCACGAGCAATCAATGGTAGGATAACATGAAAAATTACGCCATCGAGTCCAAACTGACCAGCAGCATGCATCTGTTTCTGCAGGATATCGCTTTATCGACTGAGCACCACCTCTATACGTTGGGAATAATCTCGCTCCGGCCTCGCAACGCGGTCCCCAAACGACTGATCGCGTGCCCCATCCAGGGATGTCCTTGAGTTAGCTACGTTTATAATTAGCCCTCCGAGCAAGCATGCTACTTCGTCCGCTAGGGTTAGGCTGGAAACTCGTGGAACGTAAAGTAGGTGGTTAGATCGTGATCACTGATCGAGGATATACCGTCTGACGCGGTGTGCGGGGGATGTGTTTACTACTTTTATGTACCGGGATTCGGAATCGTCGGATACTCGGAAGGGGAAGAAGAAATGGGTAGGTGTGGGCATGGCTTTGTGAACAATGTGTTTGTGGTGAGGATTTCCTCTTCATCATGCACCACTCGTTTGAGTACTGACAATTGGTGTACAGAAACAATACCTCGCCTTGCCTTTAATTCCGTGGCCGGTGACAGTCTTGCCGAGGTACGATAGGAAACCTTGAAGCGGGTGAAACTTTTGGATTCTACTCGGTCGTGCTTCGCTTCAGCGCCCGTAGTGGAGTGCGGCAGACTAATGGCTTGGTTTCAACTTCCTCCCCTCCAACCAATTCGCATGACCGCTCATCCATCCTATGTAGCAGCAACCCGTTGTTTCCAACGTAACGTGGCTTGTCTAGAACACCCGTGCTTACAGGCCGCCGCCGCGTGCAGAAGTTGTACATTGCACAAGGTATGCGGCTTCTTCTTACCTGCGGCTCCACACAACAATTCAACGGTAGAACTACTAACAGGCCTGGATTAAGTCCACTCTAGGGGCTGCAACCTCGTGCCGAATATTGAACGTTTGCACCCTGATAGTGATTTACCTCCGTGTCGAAGTCGATGCTTTGCCGGTATCCACCCACAGATCCATGGATAGTTTACCGTAATTTTGGTCTAACTCCATCAAGGTCCGGAGCTCTCGATAACCAACGCGCTCGAGGGCTCTTTTATCGTGGCTTTTACATAAAGCTTACAATATGAATGATCGTCTTATCGGACGGATGGATGTCATGCTCATGATTTTGGTGAGTTCTATATTTAAATTCCTACCCCGCATTTCTATTATTACTTCCAATATGCAGAGCCGTATAGCGGCTATTTTTGCACCGTGCTATTATTCGGTGAGAGCAACGTCGTTGCGCTGCTGCTAAGTATTGCGCAGGTGCCATTAATAAAGCTAGGGAACAAAATCGGCTCAGTGGTACAAGCTTGCTCCACGTACCCCCGGATACAGCACCTTTCTCATCTCCATACGTGAGTACTTGAGTGCTTGGTCTTGTGAGTGTGCGTCGGTAATAACTGTGAGTTTTCGGTGAAGTTGGGAAGTTCAGAAAGGGGGCCGATAGGGTGCAATTCACGTACACCCCGAGTTCGTTCTCGTTGGCGGGTGTCCCAACACATCAGACGCACATGAACCTGAATATGTGAAAAAGAAAATGTTGTCGGCAGTCTCGACTTTCACTTAGCAGTACAAGTGGACAATAACCAATTATAGCCTTCGACGGTCGTAATTCATTCTTGCTTTTCACAGAATTCGGGTAACCAAATCATGAATGGAACCACAAGGCCCGGGATATCACCCTCCCGGGCCTTGCAGAGAATGCAGTACGTTGCGTGTGCATTTTCTCCGGCTATGAAAGTCCACGAATCTATCAATAATCATACCACCGCGCTTTCCATTGATGGGTTTTTCCGATCCACTAAACACGGATTGAAATATACTTAGGCTGACATAGATCATAACTGTTGTGGGGAATTATCGGATTTCCCAAGCTGATGTGTGTGTACCGTTTTCCGTGGCAGCGAACATCAGCAATATATCATCAGACGGACCACTCATCGTCGACAGATCACGAATCACGATATACCTGGCAGATACTAATGCATCATATAGATACCTTGTGAGGCCCCCGTGTACCTGTGATTTATCTGGAAGAATGGGGCGGGAAGGGTGTTGCTTTGCTGTGTGTGAAAGGGGCGAAGCAGCTTTGATGGGCTTCGTGCTGATAGTTCTAAGGATTCTTCATAGAAGATTATTTCGCCGATGGAGGTGTTCTGATCGTCTTGGAAGACAGCTGAGAAGAAGGGCTTGTAAGTGCAAACGGTGGTGGCTTGAGCGGCAATAGCTTGTTATAGGAAATCTAAAGGTTATGAGGTGCGTGGTGTAAGTCCAAGTGACGTGGACATGCCAATTGTGCGTTTCTATATGAATCCCGTTGGCCGGTGTAGTCTGTATGACTACAGGACGCATGTACGATGGCCGTGCTTTACAGCGGCGTCAAGCTACGAGCTTCGAGGGGTCTATGCCTCGATTCACTGCCGGTCCGATTCAACAGTTAAACTTGCTTCTTACTGCTCCCATAGGGAGCGATATGACGGGGTAATCGATGGGAGCTATAGCCGGGACGAGAGCGGCGAAAACGACGACTGCGGGATTTCCATTGTTCACATCGACGTCGGCCAACTTTTTCGCTGATCGCATTGCAAGTCCGAGTCGGTATTAATACTGTGACGAAGCCATCGAGCGAATGGTGCATGCACTCAGTACGCTACCCCGTCCCGATTGTCAAACGTTGGAAGACGATTAGGGGGCCCGGACCAACGATCGATTGATCAAGTAGGATCGAGATATCATACTTGCTTTTTTGTAGCTTCCGGGGTCCCGTCCATAAAGGATGGGGTGATAGCCATTGTTCAATTCCAAGTGATGGCTAGTGCCTTGGTGAGTTCGAAGTTTGGTGAATGGGGAAGAAACGTGTACATGGTAGCAGGTTGAAGATTGCAATCGCAAGCCAGATAGAAGAACGTGCATGCTCAACGTGTTGGGGGAAGTAAAGAGCGTGGAGCAGGAATTGCTTTGTATAGGAGCCAGATAGAGTCACACGACTGGGAGGGCGGTGCCAGCCTGGCATGCTTCGTGCTTCTGCATACGATAGATTGCAGATAAAGCATCAAGCCAGGCGAATGGAATGCTGAGGCAAGAACCTGGCGCCCTCGACTAGCCTCGTGGTGGAATTTTGGCGGTAAATGTGATCCTCACTGATTCATTATCGTCATCTGGTTTCGATTAGCTTCACCGCCTGACACGTTCAAAAGTTTGCCTAGATGTGGTGCCCACTACATCAATATATTTTGTGCCTAAGTAAGAGTTAAGAGTCAAAAAAGACGACCAGGTCATGATTCGCAACGTACTGCTGTTACGTTTACAAAGAGTCACGACAAATATAACCGGGGGCTTCGCAGAGCTTTGTGCAATAAATCTTGATGCACCAGAGCGCTTCGAAGGTATGTCTTGAAGCGAAGTGACCGTCGTCGAAGAGAGTCAGGGTCACAAATCGAAGAGCCCGTTAGCTGGTCACGTGGGCGTTATTCGCTCTCACAGAACTCCTCTCTTTCTAGTGGCAATACGCGTTCTACCAGCTTGTAAACATGCCAAAGGAACCATCAATATCCCAGGTAAAAAGAGTGCAGCGAGCATCTATAGATGCCTACTTCGCGAAGAAACCAGGGGCGCGTTCTGTCAGTACAACTGTTAAATCTGCTGTGAAGGAGGAGGCGGACGCATCTTCGAGGTAAAGTGTGGCTTTACATTATATCATAATATCTGACGCGTTCTCTGCTGTAGTAAAGCTGAAGAGGATGTCTCACCCGTACCAGAATGTCCTCCAGCAGCGGCTCTTGCAGAAGCCACCATGGATACTCTTGAAGAGGCTACCATGGGAAGAAGTTGGTACGAAGCCCTGAAGAAAGAGTTCACCAAGCCTTACTTCGTTAAAGTATGTAGCCGCTGTCCTAGACTTGAAAACGCACTCATGCGATGGTCACTAGCTTAAGAAGGACTTAGCGGCTGAGCAAGCTAGCCATACCATATACCCGGCGCGTGAGGATATATTCCCTGAACCCTCTCAAATAAGCTGCTAATTATTCTGCATCCAGTTCCCAACATATATTCCTGGTCGAGATTCACTCCGTTGGACTCGGTCAAAGTTGTAATCTTGGGCCAGGTATGCATAGTCTCCGCACACGATTTCTGAGCTGAGCAAGATATACTCAGGATCCTTACCATAACGTGGGCCAAGCGCACGGTATGCTTGATTACTACGGAATAAATCCTACCATTCTGATGTCGCATCTCCCGAAGGGTTGTCGTTCTCGGTACTTCCTCCAACGGCTTTGCCCGGGTCGTTGCGCAATATATACAAACAAATGGCTGACGATATCCCTGGGTTCAAGCCACCAACTTCTGGGTGTGTATTCGTCGATCAGGACATGTATCTCATCGCTCGCTGAACTACTTGCCGTCAGGGACTTGTCGCCACTAGCGAAACAAGGTGTTCTATGGCTAAATACAAGTCTCACAGTGCGAGCGCATGCAGCTGGCTCTCACTCTAAGCTGGGATGGAGCACTTTTACGGCTGAAGTTATTCGTGCCGTTATATCTAGGAAATCGTGTCAGGGTGTTGTCTTCCTGGCGTGGGGTCTACCTGCGCAGAAGACCTGCCAATCTATCGGAATTGACAAGGTAAGAGTGTCGTAATCTGGATCCCTCATGCCTAACACTATCATCGTCGTTCCCATCGATCTGTCGAAGGTCAAGCATCTCGTGTTGAAGTGCGTTTGCTTCCTTTGCTGTACTGCATGGACTGATTATTGCCATATCCTAGATCCGCGCATCCGTCACCTTTATCTGCGCATCGCGGGTTCCTCGGTAACGGTCATTTCGCGAAGGCCAACAAATGGCTTAGCGAGAGGTACGGCGAAGACGGCGTTGTCGACTGGGCTGTACTTTGCCGATCATGAGGGAATGAAGGCGTGCTTCTGAGTGCATATCCTAAGTCCTTGGAATCCAAATATCTGCTACGCTATCTTTTGTGTATATTGTTATTATATTTTCGTTATAGTTTTGCTCCATTGTTTTGTGAAACAACCGCTTTGACGTGAAAGTGGGTGAAAGGGAGTTTTGTCTTTGAGGCGCCTAATTTGGGCGCCTGATGACAAGCACCTAACATCAAGGAAAAATAATGCCAAAGTAGGCTTTGCTTCCCACTGTACCCGCACCTCGTTGTCGCGTTTCCAAGTCCTTTCTTCCTTATTCTTACCACAACTCTTGAACTGACGCTGCGTTGCCTCTCTCATCCACACCACTACAACCAACACTATGACTGCCCCCAGATTGCAACTCACGCACCCTCTCCCAGCGCCGGTCGTGCATGTCGGGTTTTCGATTCCTCAATCCAAGTCTCACGTATTAGCAGGCGTTCAAGACGCGTACTGGAGCGATGATGATGCGGTAAGAGCTACTGAAACTTTCTGCATGTGCCCATCTGACTCAAAACATTCCATTTCCTTGATAACAGGAAGATCCAGAGTGCCCGCTTTGTATGGATGAATTGGACATTTCCGATATCAACTTCAAGCCGTGTGTATGCGGTTATCAGGTAGAATCCTAGCTGTCATGCTCTGGTCGAACTAGAGCTGAATATATGCGCTAGATTTGCCGGTTCTGTTGGCATCATATCAGGGAAAACTTGAACGGTCGTTGCCCTGCTTGCAGGCGAGAATACACAGACGATGCTGTGGAATTCAAGCCTATCCCAAAGGAAGAGTGAGTTTATCTTCATCTCTTACTTTCTACCGCTGTTAATCTATCGTAACAGCCATAAGCGTCTGACTCAGCAGAAGAAGCAACGGGAGAGAGAGCGCAAGGAACTCGATAACATGGGCCGACGCCACCTTGCCAACTATCGTGTTGTGCAGCGAAATGTCGTCTATGTCGTAGGCATCGGCCCAATGTTCGCCAAAGAAGAAGTACGACATATGTTCTTTGTCTTGATCTACTGATATTGACTGATGTTGCAGCTCATCCCCACATTACGCTCGCATGAGTATTTCGGACAATACGGGAAGATATCCAAGATCGTCATTGTAAAGCGGACACCATCGGGAGGAGCGCCCGTGGTCGGACTGTATATTACTTATCACCGACGTGAAGACGCGGCTCGCTGTATTGCTGCAGTCGATGGCAGCCCTTCACCTGGGAGCGCAAGTAGATCCGACGTGATGAGAGCTAGCTATGGGACAACCAAATATTGCATGGCATTTTTGCGCGGTGGCACCTGCAGCGACAACAGCTGTATGAACCTCCACGAGTGGGGTGATGAGAAGGATTGCTTTACGAAAGAGGATCTGACGACCTTGTATGCATTGCTCTTCCAGCTGACTGGCTATTATCTAAATGACTTCCAGAAAACATACAATGAAGGCCACGGAAAGCAAATCCAGGCCTGGTGAGAAAGGTAGCGAAGGTAAATGCTTCGTCTTCCTCCGGCGTTCGGTTTCTTATGATTCTTTATAGGCCTTCCGAAGGCCGCTTCCTGGGCCCAAAGTTGGACTCAGAAAGGCCCGAGCCAATCATCTAGCCATGGGACTAATTCCAGTGCCTCGACAAGCACTCGGTCAACGCGTCGTCTTGCTGGCAACCCGCGCCCAGCTCGCACTGGACATGTAAGTACGAGCAGCGGCGAATCTCGACCATCAGGCGCACGCTCGGAACGTACAAAGACGAATACAAAGACACCATCTCAGGCATCGTCCTCCCGCCCCGGTACACCAGCACCATCGGGCCTTCCTGCTCGTCCCGCAACGCCGCCCGAAGTCAAAGCTTTGCGACGCAAGGAGTCTACCCCTCCAGAACCGTCAATATCACCAGCACCTTCTACTAACGCGGCCTCTGATGTTGGCTCGCTTGACATTCCTCTTGCATCGCCCGATATACCTTTGTCCGCCGCCCTTTCTCCTACCCTCCCCTCAGCTCCCGCCGTTCCTCCTGGCATTCCTATTGTCCCTCCTGGCCTATCTGTACCTCCTGGCCTGCCCGCGCCAAATAGACTCGCCAAAAGTGATGGCCCTGTGTCACAGACTCCAATACTTGCCGCTCAGACAACGTACCAGATGTCGAACGCCGCACGCGCCTTGCTTGACGACATGCAGACCAGGAGAGAGGCCGCACCTCTTCCCGTTAGCTCCAGTGTCTTCCCCGATCTTGACCATCTCCTTCAAGCATTAAGCGGCGCTGATGACGGAGGTGGATTCAGCTTCAATCTTGATCCTTCCCTTGCGGCCAAGAATGCAGAAGACAACCAGCCCCTTCCAGAAATGGAAGCCGTAGTCAACCTTCCCTTCCAGGGCACCTACTTGGATGCTTTCCCCGCTCTAAGAGGGCCACCAGGCCTCCCACCGATCAACCCTCCGCCTTTGCCTTATGGGCGTCCGATATTCGATGCGTCTACTATGAGTGCTTCGCCCGCTCCATCCGGGGATCCTCCGTCTACTAGTTCCAGTTATACCGGCTCGTTCGACCCTTTTGCGGATGCAAATGATGATATACCCAGTTTCTCATCGTCTGCTCGCCGCCCGCAACTGTCTATGCCAGACGATGAAGGCCGTAAAGTGTCTCGCTTCGGCTTTGCTCGTGGCCGGCAGGGTTCCACCGCTGCTTCCTCGCCTTTGCACGCATCATCGCCCATTAATAGCAATGATACACACTCATTCTTCAATTCCAACGACATGCCGCATCCACAGGATCTAGCAAAACATTTTTGGATGCCTCCAGCCGGATCTTACGGCTTTCCAAGCTCGTCGTCTGCATCTCCACATGTGTTGCACGCTCAAGCTGCTGTCCCCCAGCCATCCGGTCGCTTCCAACCCTTCGACAACAACGCCATTGAAAACCACTTACGAGATTTCGTTCAATCAAGCCAGCAGCGGGCGGACATGAAACAACATGGTTTAGGTGCGTTTGTGTGCCGTCTCTTCTGTGGATACTTACCAATAGATATGAGTAGGCCGCCAGCAACAATTCCATGATCCTGCCATTATGAGTGCCAAATTCTCGGCGCCCATGGCTGACAATGGGTATATGCAGTCGCCTCCACCATCCACATTGCCGCCTCAACTTTCATATGGCCCGCCTCCGGGCCTCGTCTCGACTATGCTTCAACCTACCAACCACAATGTCTCGAATATGATGGAAGCCAATGGTAAGTTGCCATTATTCCTATCTAAGGGGAGGGAGGTCAGCGTACCGAGTGCCGTACTTTCAGTGCGGAAATACTATCATCGACCTTGAGCACCACGCCCTCCTTTCACTTGGCTTTGAAGGAATGAACCCCCCGACTGGCGGTGCACAAACGTTATATCAGCACTTTCTAGGACTTTATCTGTTGCTATCTCTCTCTCCTTTGGTATGGTAATTGCTTTCACAACGCTGACTGGTGTCCCTGTCTCTTGTTGTCACTTTCTTGTGCGACATAGCACCTGCATCTACATCCCCGGTGCTATCCCCTTCCGACTTTCCTGCTCTGACCGCTAGCCCTATCGAGTCTTCTCCCGTCGACAATAAGCCCGTTCCCGATGAGATATCTCCCGTACCCGTAGTTCCCTCCGCTAAACTTGACAAGAAGGCTGCGAAGAAGGCTGCCGCCGCAGAAAAAGCGGCCGAGCGACGGAAGCAGGCCGAAGAGAAGGCTGCTGTCAAGGCGGCGGAGAAGGCTCGGCAAAAGGCCGTCGAACGTGAACAGGCCGCTGCTTTGAAGGTCCAGCAAGAAAAGGATGATGCGGACAGGGAGCAGGAACAGCGAGAGAAGCAACGGGCAGAGAAAGAGAAGGCAGAGAAAGAGAGGATAGAGAAGGAGAAGGTAGAGAAGGAGAAGGATCTCGCGGACAAGTTGAAGGCAGCCCGGTTGAAGGAGAAGATGGACAAAGCTTTGAAGGCAGAGAAGAGCAAGGTCGATAGCGCTGCGGCGATTGACGTCACGAAGGGCGCATCGAAGAAGGCCGGGAAACAAATTGAAGCGCGATCATCCGTCGCGCCTCGCTCGAGCAACGTATCCACAACTTCGCTTCCTCGTCAGACGCAGCTGCAGGCAATATCTCCAGCCGAGCCCACGCAGGTCCCGCTCCTATCGAAGAAACCAAAGAAAACGAAACCCGCAGCGAAGCCGGTCATCAAGGTTCCTAAGGACGAGGATTCTGCTGCTGATGTCGCCTCCAGTCATTCTTCCATCGTACAATCGGAGTCCACCTATATACCTCTCAACAGAGGCGGCCTCCTTGACACGAGTGCTTCGAATTCCAGGGCACAATCTGTGGATCGTGATTCTCGACAACCAGTCTCGCTTAAAGAACTGTTGGAAGAGATCTGTGTGATGAGTCCTTACCTGGATCTTCCGGACCATCCATTCTTCGATACTTCCAAAATTAACCCCGCTGCCAAGATGCCTCTTGAATATGGTCCTCTTGTCCATGCATTGTCGGCGCTCTCGGTTGGTGGTAGTTCCTTTACCAACAACATGCCTTCTGGTTCGATCGACAACGCTGTATCTTCCTTCCAACAACTTCTGGAAACCCTGACTCAGACAATTTCCGACCTCCTTCGACTTCTTCCACGGACGACCTGGGATGACAGTTCTTCATTCGATGGCGTCTTACGTGACATGCTCAAGGGTGATGACTTCCTGGATGAAGGAGGCGACGACGGGACGACCGGGAAAGACGACGAAGTGGCCGCCCTCACTCTGGCACTTGAACGACGCGCCCGATGGATGGAAGTTCAGCTCTCCAAGCTCGAAGAGTTGCACCGTGACATCAACAATGCCGCTGTACGCGCTGTGCTATCTTTCAACGACAGCGGTTGGGACCGTCATGCTGCTCTTCCCAGGTCGGGGAACAGCCTTAAACGTTTCGATTCCATCGGTCTGGTCCACGAAAATGGAACGTCGAGGCCCATGACCGCAGATGAACTACAAGAGAAACTGAAGGTTGCAGAGGAGGCGGCCATCTTTGCGGATACGGAGCTTCGAGAGTCCATGGAGAAGATGCAGAAAATCCGGCCGGAGGACCATGATATATTCTAAGATTGCCATGCATAATTCTACATCCCCTTTTACCTTAGCATACAGTAGACTAGGTTGCCGAAGATGAAGCCAACGTTCAATGCTGTTGATCGTGCTGTTAATCTGGATAAAGCTAGGCGAAACATGAGTGTGGACTGCACGTCGTTGGGTGAGATCGAAGTACCTTTCCTGGGTTCAATAAATTGAGAGGATCGACAGCTCGTTTGATCGTCCTCATTAGTTGTACCGTTCCAGGACCTAATTCGTCTGTAAGATATTCCTTTTTACCCACTCCCACGCCATGCTCGCCAGTACCTAGGGCACAGAGTAAGAGATACAGACGGGAGATAATTACAAGCGTATTAGAGGGCTTACAAGTCCCATCCATGCCAATCGCGCGATGAACGAGCCTATGGACTGCCTCGCTCACTGCTTGCAGCTCTTCAGGTGAATGGAACAGAATCAAAGCGTGAAAGTTGCCATCGCCGACATGTCCAACAATCGTGCTTTTCAAACCAGCTTCAGCAAGATCTTTCTTCGTCTCAAGAACAAGTCTCGGGAGATGTGATACTGGGACACTGAGTCGTCGAAGTCAGTTGCCATGATATCAAGTCGGTTCTCATGCGCATGTATAAATGGCAAAGCTCACCAAACATCCGTAGTCCAACATCTGGATCCCGGATGAGCCGCAAGGCTGGACGTTAATGCATATTTCCTATTCTCCCATAGGTCTTCCGCTTCTTGATCTGTAGCAGCGAATTCGAACCGAGATCCGCTGTGTTTCTTCACGATAGTCTGCACTACCTTGGAAGTTAACCTGACGGCAGGGTCGTCTCCTTGTATTTTGAAGAACAGGCTGTCCTGGACGGGATATGGGTGGTCGACGAGTCCTGCATTATTGATTGCCTTCATCACTGATGTGGGTGAACTACTGGATATACTTATTGAGGGCAAAAAGAGGCTTACTGTGGTCATCGAGTAGTTCGACGCATTCTGGAGAGAAGCATACATCTCGATCAGCACCCACAGTTAGGAACGGTGGAACGTACGGATGTGTGGCCCATAAGGCGAGGCCAGTATTTCCTGAACCGCGCTGACGGCGTGCTGAACATCAGGGAATTGGGCCATAGCAACCTTAGTAGGTAGCAGCGGCGCCAGGCGCAGTGTTGCTAAAATTTCTAGCCGTTGGACAGCATATTCACGGTTGGCCATTGAGAAGCTTACCCTCCGTTACGATACCGAGTGTACCTTCAGCACCGATGAACAGCTTGGTGGTGTCAAAACCAGCGGAGGATTTTCTGGCTCTGCGGCGGGTTTTGATCACCTCGCCGTTGGGAAGGACGACCGTCTACAAGATATTATAACTTTCGCAACGGGTGAAAGAGAGACCAATACAGACCAAGTTGAGGAACCATTCAGCTATGGCGTTGGTGAGAGTATGACCACTTCTCAGGAATCTTCTACGTACCTTTCGCGGTGCCGTAGCGCACGGCGTTGGCTTGAACACGATAATTTACTCCAGTGGAGCGAGTGTAGGTTAGAAGAAATTCACTTACTGCCACTACATCCAGTACCAACCATTCCACCTATTGTCTATTTTTATCAGCAGGCAATACAAGGATGGATAGTAGTCTTACTGCACCAGGCCCTGGGTCTAACTGCCGAAATTCAGCACGGGATTGAATGTGATATGACCTATCATTAGGTTAAACTCACAGGAAAGAACAGAGGAATCCCTTTTTCTTTCAATGCAGCGTTGACGTCTTCCCACCGCGCCCCAGATTGACAGACTAGGTCAGAGTCGGCCTCTACGCGTGTAAGCATACCCCAGATGAGTCTCAGTCCACAGCTAAGCATATAAACACGGCAATTCACCGTGAATCTCCAAAATCTTATCCATTCCGGACAAGTCGATGCATATACTGCCGCTAGGAAACTAGACGTTGTTAGACAGTTCGATTGGGATGGCGCTACGGCAGAACATACCCCAGCGAAATGTCCTTCGAGACTTGTAGCACCACTATATGCCGTGATAGGAACTCTGTACTGCCTGGAAATGTTGACTATCTTAACCACATCTTCCGTAGAACTCGGTCGAACCTGAATAACATAACATCCGTCGTTTAGTTGACTTATTACTTGTTTCTTGAGGCGCATATATGTGCATGTACGTGCATATATATGCGTAAAGGATCGACGCACAATAACGGCATGAGGAGACGTCGGGTGGTACGAGTTCTCGCTGGATCCGTATGTCCGCAAAGCGTCGGGATCTGTGTCGACCTGTCCATGCCCAGGTAAGGCTGTGCGCAGCTCTTCAATGGCTAGCTTGACATCCGCCGTTGAGCCATAGGAATTGGCTAGTGGCGCCCCAGTATCGCTACTGGCATCGTTCGCCTGCAAGGGAGCTTCAGCATGCTGTACAACGAGAGGCTAGGCACGGACGTACCTGGGTGTAGTGTAGCCCATATTCAACCAACCCAGCCAAACCAAGGCCGAGCGTCGTACTCAGGGCGAGGAACTGAGTTCCACTCCAGCCAGCAGGTTTCTGAGGAGCGGTGTCATGGATGAATCGTGTCCCATTGAGTCGCTGGATGTTCGGCACATGATGGTAGTGGTTCAAGCTTCCGAAGCTGGAGGAGGGAGAACGCAACCTGATGGATCGGGTGCAAGCCTTGAGCGTGGTCGACAGGGGCATGGTGCAGATCGTAAATACTTCCTTCCAAGTTCCTTGACAAGCAGCCTCAGCCTCCCAAAAAGCTTATGTAGCCTTTTGACATCGGCTAATCCTTACAGCGAATTCCTCGACAGCGTGCGGAGATATTTCGTATATTGAATTTTCAAGTAGCACACAAACAATACATGTACAAGTAGAAGCAGAAAAGAGATCAATGAATGATTTTGTACGTCCTAAGAGAAAACATCCTCCCATGGATCACTCTCGTCCCGAACAGTATCGGCTCGTCTCCTCAGAAAGTCGGAGCTGAACCCAAAGTAGCCGTTCTCAGAGGGAGGGTCGACGAAGATTGGGCTGTTGCTCCGTCTCGGAGAAGAGACGAGTGACCCAGGATCAGAGTCGGACCACTCCGCAAAGTCAAAGTCAGATCCAATTGAGGATGGGAGGTTTCTGCCAAGTTCGGGAGGAGGGCTGCTCCAACCCGAAGTCTGCGAGAGGTCCAGAGTGGGCATCACGAACGACTGAGAGGGAGGAAAGCCAATGCTATCGTTCCCAGTGTCGCTTGTCATCCCGGATAGAATCGAGTCCGTGTCGTCACGGTCCTCTTCGATGGCAGAGGTGACCTCCTCAAGCACGCACCACCCCGTCCCACTTTCCCCAATCACACTCCTAACCTCCGCTTTAGTCCACCCAACAAACTCCACCTTCAATATCGTGCAGACACCCTCGCCGTCACCCACAGCTGCGCCGTGCGAATATGCTGAGCACGTCACATTCTTCGACCATACATTGCCTGCATCGAGGCGCGTGAACAAGGAAGATACCTTCGTGCGGTGCTGCGTATACGACGTGTGCATTCTCCCAATCTCTCGCAAGGGGAATCGGAAGGGATCTTCGGTGATCGTGGCAGAAAGGGGTATACGGGAAGTCGGCGTAGGTGCCAAGGGAATTAGAAGGTAAGTAGTCACATTAGCAACCTCTGGGAGAGGAAAATACGTGTCGAGCTCGGTGGCAGACGGGGCTTCGTTGACAATGTCGCTAGCGATGATGTTTTGAACGCGAGGCTTGAGCATCGACGTGGTTCTCTTGGCCGCCTTCTTCTCTTTCCTGTGCTTCGCCACCATCATCTCTCGCTCCTCTCTCAATTTAACTTCCCAATCTGCTTCGTAGAACGCTCGTCCGGCAACGGGCACATTCTCCACTAAGTGCTGGAATATCGGCCTGCCAGTAGAGAACTGCCTCGCTGTCCCCAGCCCAACTTGCATCACCGATCGCGGGGTGACGGGTGCGCGAGGCAGGTATGGAGCACCGTGGAGTGGTCGACCAATGCTGACTCTAGCGGGGAAGCTGAATCCTTGTTGTATAGATGCACGAGCGTTGAATCCTGCAGTACGTCCTACAGCAGTGTGCATCCCACGCCCAAACGAAGGCGATACCGTCCCTAATCCCGGGGCGGTGAGATGAGCGACGAAGCTAGTGAGGATGTTGCGTGTCTGAGATAACAAGCGTTGCGCGGCGCCAGCATTCAGGACTTTGGGAGATGGTGCGTGATTTAAGAACGAGGGTATGTGGATTGAACGGTGCGCTTTGGCTGTGGTATTGCCACCCAATGGTAGTGGTGGGCCAAAGCCGATATTTGGCTTCCGGGCAAAGCCCCAGAGGCCATGAGATGCTGCCTGCATCTCAAGGAGAGTGACGAGTCGAGGTCGATGGAGCTAAGGTTGTCTCTTGTCGCTGAACTGAATGAGATGGTGGTGGTTGGAGTAGAAGGGGTCGAATGAATGGACTGCGTACGGAGTTTTCATAATCCTGCCGTTGCCGAAGGGGCGCGTTGCCTGCCTTGCCGATCGCGATCGGTGACCGAAATGCGTGACAAGGATCACTTACCCCTGTCCTACCCCTGATAGCCTGGATGCTCACTGCAGTTCTCAGTCATGCCCATCGTCGGTGGCGAAGTCTGCAGCAACCCCTTCACCACGAAGGTGATCTACCAAGCTGGTCAAACTATTACTTGAGAAATCATTGTCCTGGAAGCAGAGTGCTAAGACATCCATATCATTGGTGGACACGTACGGGATGCAAACAAGCTGGAAATTAGGTCGTTGGACCCAATCAAACTTTAGAACGTCCAGTGGTAGAAGGATATTATAGACTGAGGAGCATTAGTTACATATAGTTTCACAAATCATCGTTCATCATACCGCACCCATAACGCTAGAGAAGCTCCCGACCGCGAGAGTAGCGCGTTCGTTGAAAGTCTCGCTGGGTGATGGCTAGTGGGATCAGCGACTACGAGTCAGATTGAGCTCACTCACGAACATTCCACTAAGCATGTCCATGCAGGAGGAAAGCGGAAGTCGATTCATTTGGCTAGAAGTTTTACGTTGACCCGCAACGCTAGCATATCGCTGATATGGTCAAAGGGAATATGGGTCAATCATTCTCTTCCGTTCGAGAGTGCCATGGGAAGTGCGCTTGCCGGGATATTGAATCTACCCTGCGCTCGCGATCCTTTATATTTCGTGGTGTTGGCACACTAGATTGGAGGGCGTTGAACGACAAAAGGACATCCTTAGTTATGCTTCCCTCGAGTTGACAAGACCACTCTTGCGGATACTCCAACTGTTTGATTACTTCAGAATCTAGGCTGGCCTTTAAGGCAGGCAGCCCTCAACTTCAAGACCGTGATGTTTGCCGTAGAGTGTCTCAGTCCGCACAAGAATGCCGTGGATTCTTTCATTTGGCCTTGAGCCCACCATTCTGCCCACTGACATCTCCCCCGCCGGGTGGTGTCGCTGGGGTTATACCAGAGATAGGTCTTCATCGCTGCAGCGTGCGGTGCGGCGTCATCTGGAGTACTGCGTCAGTATATGGGCAGAAGTAGTCGGCGTTAACGTCCTGAGAAAGGATTAGACGTTCGAGTCGATACCAGTCGCACCCCAAGAGGTAGTATGATTTTTCAAAGAACTGCGAGCGATTGGACGCGAGCAAAGTTCGAACGCGACGGTCAAGACTTCGAGAAAGCCGCGCTCTCTGCTCCTATGTCACCTGATCCGACGGGAGCGCAACACAACATATCGCCACCTCCTCATTCCCGACGGTCATGTCCACCAGCGAAGTCCCTCTTGCGCGCACTCGGAGCCCGAACTCTGCAAAGTTTCTGGTCGAGCAGCCTTCCAGGTCGTCTTCACCCCCCGATGTCAACGACATCTTTACAGGCCCGCAGTCCTTCGACGACGCGACGCTGGACGCTATCGAACCGGCATGGCGGCGGGACCTCTTCGCACTCATGGAACTGGCAAACTCCTCGCCTCAGGCGTTTCTCATGCACATACTTATCACATCACTCATAATAGTGTCTGCCCTGGTGACGGTGCTGGAGACTGTGCCAGCATTCCATTATATATCCACTCGCTTCTGGTTCGGCCTCGAAACTAGTCTGGTCGCGCTTTTCACCGTGGAGTATGTGGCTAGATGTCTTGCCTGGAGCACGACATGGAGGAGTCTATTCAAGTGGTCAACTTGTATGTCACCCTCTTTCGCGTCTGGGCCCACGATTTATCAGTTCCCTATAGCGTTTTACGGCATCATAGATTTGCTATCCATTCTTCCATATTATGTTGAGATACTGCTACAGCAAGACACCGTGAGTCTCCCATGCGTCACCAAAGTCGTGAATTTCGTTAATGAACACTTGCGGCGGATTAGTCTGTTCTATTCAGATTCTCAATACTTCGTATGTTCCGGCTGTTACGCGTCTTCAAGCCATTCCGCTACAATAATACAATCCTACTGTGAGCCCGAATCCGTGTCAAAGACACTGACGGCGAGAATTTATTTTTAGCACCATAGAAGTAATGTACCTTTCCGTCCGCCGATCACAACATGCACTTCTCGCTATCGGCTTCTTCGTGGTCATGGTGCTCACAGTGTTCAGTACCCTTCTGTGTGTCTCTATACCTGTTTTGTGCTGGGTGTGCTTATATCGTTGCGCATCAGATACTTTGCTGAAAGGGGGACTTGGGACAACACCCTTGAAACCTTCGTCAATATTGATGGAGATCCTACTCAGTTCGCTGTAGGTCATCGTTGTTCTCTCCTTGGTTTTTGCTCAGCCAGATATCTTAGTCCATCCCAGCCGCAGCCTGGTTTGTCATCGTTAGTACGTATACATGCAGCCTACTGGAGGCACAAAACAGGACTAAGCAACCCCGCAGCAATTACCACCGTCGGTTATGGCGAAATCACTCCTAGATCGTTCTTGGGCCGCTTGGTCACCCTCCCATTACTGGTCTTCGGGCTGCTTCTGATTGCTTTGCCCAGTTTCGTGCTGGGAAGAGAGTTCAGTATAGTCTGGGAGAAAATGACGCGACATGGGGTTCGTTTGTCATTTAGCCATACTGAGATGCTGTTTCTGACTTCCATTACAGCGGTTAGACGAAGATAGGATGCAAGGCATCGAAATGTCCTCGCTAACGGGCGAACATCGCCTCTTCGACGATGTGGATACTGGGAAGCCGCAGGATTTGTCGAACTACAAGCTAGCGCAAAACCAAACCGAGCTGAGCAATCAGATATCGGACTTACGTGCCGTCGTAGAGATGCAAGGCAAACTCATACAACGCATGACCTTGGCCTTGGAGAACAGCTCGAAGGGAAAGGAGCGAGCCGTCTGGGACGATTGATGCGTATCTTCTGTTATTTGTATGTAATAGCTGAAATAATTTGTGGATAATGGGACTAGCGGAAGTTGGGGTTTTCGGGGAAGCAATTGGATTGTTGGATCGACGTCAGACTTTCTGGAGCCCGGATGTCCAATCGGCAGAGTGCTTAGTGAGGCGGTGAAGTTCAGTGGTCAAACACACCATGCACCTGATCCGCTGACGAATATCGCTGTGATTTTTGCTTAATTCTTACCAAGCACCTTCCCATCATCTAGTGACTTCACCATAAAGCCGGCTTTTGGTTCTGTAACTATAATCAAATTTCGTGAAATGGCGCAACCATCCATCATATTCTACGATATCCCGTCCTCTTTGGACCCTCAACCATGGTCGCCCAATACATGGAGGACGCGGTGAGATCTCTTACTCCGGCCAGGAACACCTTGCTAATTATGCCCCAGCTACGCTCTGAACTACAAAGGCCTTGCATACCAGACGGTATGGGTTGAATACCCCGACATTGAGGAGGTTTGCAAGAAGATCGGGGCAGCGCCCACCCGCACGGTTGCACCTCTCTACACGCTTCCGGTCATCCATGACACTTCAACTGGGGTTATCTTGTCTGACGGGCCCGCAATAGCCGAGTATCTCGACAAGCATTACCCGGACACCCCCAAACTATTCCCATCGGGTACCGTCGCGCTGCAATACGGATTCATCGCCGCCCATGCCGACGCCATAACGTCTCTATTCGTCTTCGCGTTGCCGAAAGCCAACAGCATCCTTAACCCGCGAAGTGAGGAGTACTTCCGGCGCACGCGGGAGCAGATGTTTGGAAAGAAGATGGAAGAGCTCACGCCCGTGGGGGATGCGCGTGTGGCTGAGTGGGGCAAATATAGGGACGGGCTTGGGAAGATCGATGGGTGGATCAAGAAGAGCGGGGGTCCCTTCGTCATGGGTGATACTATTTCGTTCGCGGACGTGACGATTGCTTCTTTCCTCGTGTGGCTGAAGATCATGTTCGGGGAGGACAGTCAGGAGTGGAAGGACATCGCGAGCTGGCACGATGGTCGTTGGGATGCTCTGATCAAAGCTTTTGCAAAGTATCAACATTAAGGCGGGCGCGTCGAGCAGTTTAGATACAAAGATACCTATCCTGAACTCTGGTCCTTGGATGTATATTGGTGCATTAAAAGCACATTCCAACCCTGAATAAGCGTTTGCAGTAAAGAAGAATCGACAGGCCCCTGTATCTACAGGGGCTCTCCTGACGTCGAATACTGGCTGACCGAGCTGGATGACTGAGGCTGAGCACTGGGCTTTACCTGAATTTCCATGAGGGGACGAGGAAGGAAATTGGTCCCATGATGCTTGGCATGTGCACAATGTGGCCCAGCCACGCTCAAAATGTTATAAGTAATTGGCTTCAACATTAACCATCATTTATGGCTCAAGCACACATCATATTCTACGATATCATTTCCTCTCTCGACCCTCCAGCATGGTCGCCCAACACCTGGAGGGTTCGGTGAGATCTTTTCTTTGTCTATACTCGTACATGTCGGACTCAACCAAGTACTACCATTTCAGCTATGCCCTCAACATTAAGGGTATTCCCTACGAAACAGTGTGGGTAGAATACCCTGACATCGAGGACGTTTGCAAGGAGATAGGTGCAGCGCCCACCAGTACGATTGCACCCCATTATACTCTCCCGGTCATTCAAGACAAATCAACTGGTGTTGTCATATCCGACGGGCCATTGATCGTTGAATATCTCGACAAGCAGTATCCCGACACCACGCAACTCTTTCCCCCTGGAACCATAGCTTTGCAAGCCGGGTTCACTTCTGCTCATGGTAGCGCGATATCACCAATCAACCATTTATCATTGCGGAGGACCAACGCCATTCTGAACCCTCGCAGTCAGGAATACATCAGGCGCACCCGTGAGCAAGCTGCTGGTAAGAAGATCGAAGAAATAACACCCGTTGGGGAAGCCCGTGCAGTGGGGTGGGAGAAATACAGGGGAGGTCTTGGGAAGGTCGATAGTTGGTATCAGAAGAGCGAAGGCCCTTTTGTGATGGGAGAGTCCATCACGTTTGCAGACATCACGGTGGTTTCGTGGCTCGTCTTTCTGAAGATCATCTTTGGAGAGGATAGTCAAGAATGGAAGGACATCGCGGGTTGGCACAACGGCCGATGGGAGAGGCTGGTCAACACATTTGCAAAGTATCAATATTGATGTCTGGGACATTGAAACCTGTAGACTAGTCAAATACCGGTAACCTAAATCGGAAGGTCAATCAAAACGAGGCTTTGGTGGTGGCCGCTGAGCTCAGCTAAAGAAGTACAGCAGCTTCAAGTTCCCGTACCGTCTGCAAGTCCGTTCACAATGAACGGTAGTCAGCAAAAGGGGCCCCTGTTGTGCCCCTTTCTGGACCGCAATCAGTGTGCAGGTACTCACCTGCCTGGTCTTTATTCTCGAGCGGCAGCACCATCACAGGTTCATTTACCATAGCAAGGCGCCACTAGCAAAATAGCCAATACTCAGTTGCAAGTACAGTTTATCAAGTAGTAAGGCGGGGGATGAAATGAAAGATAGAAATCATAGCTTCCATCCATTTCGATAAGAACCATATTGTGGCCGTTACTTATACTCAAAGCAACCACAATATACGGAGCGTGATGGTATTTGGTTTGTTTTCTGATGCGTCAAACCTGGGTCTCATTATTACCCTGTGTCGGCAAAGTTGGGCGTCTGGATGACTGAGCCTGAGCTTCCTCTGTCAATGTCATCATTCGTGTCTCGAAGAAAGTGGGTTCCATCAGTACAGCATGCTCCAAATTGCTCCTTATGAGAAAGTTTAAGCATGCATGAAATCGTATAAAGAGCTTAGCTAGTGAAGGCCCGAAACCCAATCACTGTCATCTATGGCGCAACCAGGCATTATATTCTACGATATCCCTTCCTCTAGCGTAATCGGTCACCAACCATGGTCTCCCAATACGTGGAGGGTTCGGTAAGAAGTTCCTTCTGCTTTATTTTCTGCATGATAAACATAAAGTTCAAGGTACGCCCTGAACATCAAGGGGATTCCATTCCAGACAGTGTGGGTCGAATATCCAGACATCGAGGACGTCTGCAAGAAGATAGGCGCAGCGCCCACCAGCCCGATTGCACCCCATTACACTCTTCCGGTCATTCAAGACACATCGACTGGTGCCGTCGTATCTGACGGGCCCTTGATCGTTGAATACCTCGACAAGCAGTATCCCAATACCCCGACGTTGTTCCCATCCGGGACCATCGCGCTGCAATACGCTTTCGTTGATGCCCATATCGCCGCAATATCACCGATCTTCCCTTTCTCGATCCCGAGGGTGAACGAGATCATCAACCCCCACAGTGAGCCATACTTCAGGCGAACGCGCGAGGCGAGCTTTGGAAAGAAGATCGAAGAAATAACGCCGGTCGGGGAAGCTTATGCGGAGGGGTGGGAGAAGTATAAGGATGGGTTGGGGAAGGTTGACGGTTGGTTCAAGAAGAGCGGAGGTCCTTTCATCTCGGGGGATTCCATCACATTCGCGGACGTCACGGTGGCTTCGTGGATGGTCTGCCTGAAGATCATCTACGGAGAGAACAGCCAGCAGTGGCGAGACATTGCAAGTTGGCACGACGGTCGTTGGGATGGACTGGTTAATGCGTTTGCCAAGTATCAGTAGTTATTCGAGACCTGTTGCGCATACGTGAATGAATAGAAGCAATACGAGACGAGACTTTGGGATAATCTCGCACGGGGGTGGGAGCGAGAGCAAAGCAGCACACATAATTATAGATAGGTACAACATGGCAAGAAAGCAAATCGGTACGTGGTTCCACCGTTCATCAACCTACAACAGCCCACGCACTCTCTTCAACGACCTGTCAACGGCATTCAGCGAAACGCTGAGTCCTGATACACTCACAGGACTCACGTAACAATATGATCCACTAGAAGAAACGACGCGTAAAGCCAAGTCCGCCAATACATAACCCCCGCCTTCCACCTGAATCGAAAGGTTATAACTTTATCAAGAAAAACAGGGAGATGAATCTACTGACCTCCTACCCCCCGCCCCACCCGACGTACCCTGGTCGGAGGGGCTCCGTAGAGCCAACAGTACCGTCAGATATCATCGTCATCTGAGTAGAATTCGTCCTCGTCTTCCTCAGGTCCCAACGTAGTGAAGTCGACTTTGTAGCGCAGAAGCCCACCGATGCCGCCAAAGCCCTTCACGAACTGTGCTCCTTCCTGCGATCGGTTGGTAACGAACTCGAGGTTGGCACCGAATTCCTTATACTTGTCCGCGAACCATTCGAGAAGGGGTTGGGGCTCAATCGACTGTTCCATCTCAAGGCCAGTCGATTTGTCGAGGAACTTTTCGCGATCCTTTTCCTGCTCTTTGCTTGCGTGGACGATGATTTCCTCTGCAAAGGCATCAGCAGAAAATTCGAGTAACGGGCAAAGTGAATGTACCTCCGGCAGCATTACGAAGGACGTATCTAGTGATATCCAAGTTCTCCCATACAATGAGAGTTTCGACTGCACCCAACTCCAGCGCCTTGAGAGTGTCATCTATACCGAAACAGTATTTGCCAGTGTCCTGGCTGATCTCGTCGAAGTACTTTTGAATCAGTCGCTTCTCTTGAACGAACTTGACGTTGGCTAGTGATTCTGCAGCAAGTTCGATAGCCTAATGACAGCAATCAATAAAGATACTAAGAATATGAACGAGAAAAACGCACCTGATTGAAACCGTTCTCTCCACCATAACTGACGTCAACCACTTTAATGATTTTAGCGGCAAGTCGAGGGTCGAACATGTCACTCTGACTGAGCTCCGTCTTAAAATCGGCGCTACCAGCAAGGACGAGACCAGTGCAATTGACTTTGTCGGCCGTGACGAAGTGTTGTACGGCCAATTCGGCGACCTTACGAACGTAGTTATGTCGTTTTTCGTCTCGTAGACGTGAGAAACGAAGCGCAGATTGACCACCACGGCCGTGCTTTTTTGGGAGATCGACGGTGAATTTGTGGATGACTTCACGGGTATTGCCAGCTAGCGTGCCAAACAATGTGCCGTTTCCATCCATGACGATGAAGCCAAAGCGTGAGTCGGATTCGAGGAGCTCTGACAGAGCCTCTGTGTGGAATTTGTTGTCACAAAGGTATAGCGAGCTGTGGGTGACCATAAATAAAGCCTCAAAATGAAAAAGAATTGGTGACTCACGTATTTATGGGCTTGTGAGGCTCGAAATCGAACGAAACTTTCTTTTCCTTCCCTTCGTCAGTCAAGATGGTCCCCACGAACAGCACGAGACCGTTCGGAGGTACTCGATTATACAACTTCAAACGTTGTTGTGTACTCGTGATAGCGGACAATACCGACAAACGATTAACCCGAGACTTGATGTTCGATGCAGTGCCATATTCCTGCGTCAACATAGCTGATGCTCGAGATATTTGATCCTGAGAGGTTGATCAGCGTCAGAAACATGATTAAGAACAAACTATGGTACCTTGGGAGGAATGATCAAACTGATCATGGATGTCCCCGCCCTTCGGGATCGTTAATCTCCTGGTCACACAATGAACGATCCGAGAGACGCACCCTCGGGCGGAGTCAAGGCTCTTGATGAGCTTCTTGACCTTCCACATCTGGATATTCTGCTCAGCGATATCCGTGCTCATCGACGCCATCGCGGCTGGCCAGATTACAGGCGATGGGTATGGGCGTAAGCTGGGGCCTTCTGTAAATTTGAGATTTGTTTAAAACACTGTTGACCACGTGCTGAGAAGCTTAGGGCCGGCTCCAGGCGGCCCCTGAACTCCTGCCGACTCCCACTCAAGTGACTTCGCAATGGAACCGTCGAAGAAACGGAAACGCGACCCAAAGGCCGATGATTCGAATGCGGAACTGAGGAGCAGAACCAAAGTCAGAGTAATGTCCCCCGAGTCAAAGAACGATGCAGGCCCCAGCAAAGCCGCCGACCCTCGTAAAGTTGACTCGAAACCGAAAGTTCAGAGACGCAAACTCGTGCCGCCGCGACCGTTTCCGACGGTAGCTAGAGGAGACTCCGCGGCGGGACCTCGGTCTGCGCATAAGGAGGGGAAGAACAAGATATGTATAACGCGCAAGACGCCTTTGGGCGCGTACATGAGGAGGTGCAAGGATATCATTCTCAAAGATGGGTATGTACTTCGTTGAAGTTGCAGCTGGTGACTCAGTTTGCTTGCTTGAAGGTACAAGTCACTGCATCTCTCAGCAATGGGTGCTGCGATACCCCATCTCTTACGTCTGTCTTGCGCGCTACCGTCAATACTACCACACGCCAAGGAGGAAATTCACACCACGATCACAACGGGCACGGTCGAGGTACAAGATGAAATCACGCCAGAAGACGAGGACGAAGATATCTCCTACGAGACTCGGTCAAAGTCAAATCTATTGATAGTTATCACAATAGGTGATGGAGAAAACGAACATACCTCTGTACCCGCTAAGAACGCGGGAAAGCGTGCCAATAACCACAGCAAGAAGGCCAAGTCCTCAAAGCAGAAGCAGCCAGTTCAGCTCGTTTTCCAAGAGCCGGAGCAGTGAGTTGACACCGATTGTGAGTAATTCCCTGGTGGAGTGGTATCCCGTTCCTCATGGCATCACTGTCAGCTTAGCGGCTCTTATCAGCCGTCCTGATGTGTGCATGCCTCCGACAGCCCGGGTTGAGCATAGTCTCATTCTTCCCGGAACCCCACGTCGCCTTCGCGCTCCCAAAACCCGGAAACTCTGGCAGTAGCCGCATTTTCTGGATGCGTAGCTGGCTTTATGGGGTACTACCTGGGACGACACGTAACATTTGGTACGACCCTTGTTGTAACGCCGCCGAGAATGTCAGCAAGAAAGTAAATTACTGCTCTGATACCTCACGAAATAGTTAATTGGGGGTATGGCCTTGCGGTAGTGGGTCAAGCGAGCCACGGTAGACATGTCTAATCAGATAACAGAGCTGATTTATAGCCTCCGATTAATTTTGGGTGTGTATGGCGAGCTGTCCTTCCCACAGTACCCCCTATCGAGGTTGCAGCATGGTTAAGTGACGGCTGGCGGGGCTGACGCGGGTTTCCAGACCACTAATATTTCAGTTCACCCGGGGATCGGGGCCCCTTCATTCTCACCGTGCCAGTTTATAAGGGACATGGACTGATAATCGACAATGCACCTCTGTACTTGTCACCGAGATAATCTCCGATTCATTGTAATCTAGAGACTGTAGACTTTAGTCACTATGCAGACTCAACCCGATATCGACTACCACCCCGACGAAGCCAAGTATCGCGCTCGAACGGCGCGCCAGCTTGCTGCGAACCCGGATCGTGTTCGACAGCCGCTGCCAGAAGGGTTCCCTGCCAAGGTTGAAGGCCCTATTGTTTGGGAAGGCAAGGATTGGAAGGGCGAGCATCAATGGGTGTATCGGCTTAGTGCATCGGAGCTCCAGGAGGTCGACGGTGCACTTGCTAATTTCAAAGGTACGCTAGAAAGGTTGTCTAATCGTCACTACTTTGACATTGGCATCCGTCTTTTTGCATATCTGACAGCCCTGAATACGCCTTTGGGATTCATCGGCAGAGACACGTTCCCACTTCCAACGCTTAGCCCAAAACTCTGGGAACTGGCACAAGAACTGTACTCCGGGAGAGGTTTCTTCGTGCTACGAGAGATACCCGTGGACAAATACACGCGCGAGGAACTTGCCATTGTCTATGCAGGTACGTGTATACCTATCTCCCATTCCAGCATCAGCTCACGTGTAGCTACCATCGACATTTAAAGGCGTGTCGTCGCACGTCGGCTCGGCGCGCGGAAAGCAGGATTCCACGGGCGCGGTGCTTTCTCATATCAAGGATCTCAGCGTCAGCCACGCAGCTGACGGCGCATCGGGAAACTCTGCGTACACTACGGACAAGCAGGTTTTCCACACCGATGTCGGTGACCTGATCGCGCTTCTGGCCATCCAGTCCGCTGCGGAAGGTGGGACTTCCCGTATCAGCAGTGGTGGCCGTGTATATAACGAACTCGCCGCAACCCGCCCCGATCTCGTACACACATTATCTGAACCGTGGGTTTTGGATCGGTATGTTTTCCGGCTATTGCTTATACAGTACACTGCGGGATTAACCAGCGACAATCTACAGCTTTGGTGGGACACCAGCTTTTACGATGCGGCCTTTGTTATACTTCGAAGACGGTGAACACGTTGTCATCCAATACTCCCGACGCCACTTCACCGGCTATGGGTCTCAAAAACGCAACCCCAACATCCCACCCATCACCGAAGCTCAAGCCGAAGCATTGGACGCGGTTCACTTCTTGGCTGAGAAGTACTCGCTCGGGCTGAACTTCCAGAAGGGTGATATCCAGTATATCAACAGTATGGGACTGCTGCATGCTCGAGATGCATTCCGCGACGATGCAGAACACACGTGAGTACTCAAGTTCTGATCTTGTTCTATGTTGTTGATAATCATGTCCGGGATAGTCGCCATCTTGTTCGCCTCTGGCTTCGAAATGATGAGCTAGCATGGAAAACGCCCAAGCCATTGGAACAGATCTGGAAGACGCTCTACTCGGTCACGCCTGAGGAACAACGTTTCCCCCTCGAGCCGGAGGTCAGGAAAAGAGAGGGCGGCGGTACGAAATAATTGTTGATTATACAACACTAACTGTGTCACCCCACAATATAACATCTTTCTGGCTAACTATATCGTGCTTTAAGGAGCAGGCATCCCCTCGAATTTATACTTTATCGCCAATGCCTGAGCATCAAACCCCTGCTGCAATCCTTGTTGGAACAACAGCCCCACGACGATCGACAGAAGGCTCTGAAAGACCTCCCTCGATTCATACAATGTCCGCGGACCGTCCGGAGTATCCACGACACTGACGGCTGTCCATCTTTCGGCAACCATCAACAAGCTGGGGAGCATGACTTGCTTCCACGCCGCCCGATGATTGTCATGATCGATGTGAGTGACTACTTCGAGTGATTGCTGGGTTTGGAAGGGGTTCGCGGTTGAGTTGGCGTCGACTGGGAGCTCGAGGGGCGGAATGGCCGCTGTGATTTGGATGTGACTGCCGACTTGGGGCGTCTGATCTTCCAGCGGATTCTTTGTCCACACACTGTCGATCAACACCATTGCTCTATTGAATTTTCTGGTTAGGGGCCGTCAAGGCTTGCCAACAACCTCAACGCTTACCGGGCAAACGGGTTCCAATCGGGGTACGACTCGAAGTCAAGGATCGCGTCCCAAACGTCCTCGATTGGTGCATTGATCAAGCTGCTGCCTTGCGCCGTGAAGATGCCAGGCTCGGCAGGTGGCAGGTTCGTTTGCGATGCCACCTGCAATGGTAAGGCAAGGAGGCATAGAAAAGCTGCAGCGGTATAGCAGAACATCGTCTTGGTTCTGAGGGGACGATGGTGGGTACAAGATTACTGTCCATCTGCTTTTATCCCACCAGTCAAATCCATCCTCTTGACAGGGCACCAAGGTATTGTCGCATTCGTGCACACATAATCGCCCCGTTGACCTCGCTTGAACCCCAACTTGGAAAACACACACTATCCGCACGAGCACGTACTCAATTAGCCGTCCTTCGCCTACACACCGTGCCTCGTGTGTGAGAAATACGTCTCTCGGAATCTTGCCATTGGTGTTTTCCGTTGCGTCCTTCATTCACATTGCCTCGACTTGGCTTGAGTCCTTCACAGCGTTCCGTCGGTATGATGGAGCTGAAGTACGTTGATGATTAGTGAACCCGGGGCATATGCTGTTAAACCCACCAATCCACGACTGATATGCAGCCTCGGGGTGGAATTTGGTTCCGCAAGAGGGTTTAGACACTCAGGGGTAACAACTGGTCGCCATATGCAGCATATGGATCAGTATTCATCCCGCCGGAAAGAAGTGAGTGATGGTAAATTAATTCATTGAAGTGGCTAACTGCGCACCGGATATCAGTGCGAAAGTGAGCGAACAGGGGCACTCCATACTTCGGCTGCTCCAAATCCTCGACAATCAGTACAAACTTGACAACAAGCACTATCATGCCAGAATATCAGCCAGAATAAGTCAATCGGCAGTGATTTGAAGCGATCAAGAATACCTGATCCGCCGAAGTGCATATATGGCGTTATGATAGTGGTTGCGGGGTTCACATGGGCCCTTTCTGAGATGCAGAGGTGCGATTCACATATTCAGGCTACTTTCTTTGCGCATTTGACGTTGCAGTGCGAACTTCTTCAGAACCCCGTCGATCAATGATCGCGCATCACGTGTTTCAGGTGCTTTTACCCCTAGAAAAGCCTGGAAACCCCTGAAGGGCAACCATTGTGAGTCCTCGCATAATCTAACGTCGCCGGTCTCGTAGAGAAACTGTATCACCTTCGACTGATGAACTCTCACCACCTCTGAGATCCGCAGGTAATGCCACCATTGTTTGAACAATAACCTCCACCGCAATATCCTAAGGAGCTTCCTGACGTCTATGTTACCCCATCCCCGTCGCCTCCCGAATCGAATTTTGGGGAATACAACGGTGCACCCGCACTATCGCTACTTGGAAGCAACGAACCAACGTTTGGACAGTGCCCAGGTGATTCTGGGTTGCATATTTGATTCTATGGAGCCGTAAGGAAGTGCGATATCTGCGACATCAACCATCTAGTCCTGATGGCTTTGGAATTTGGAATTGGGGTCACCTGGTGTTCTTAGGTGTTCCTCTGGCGAGTAACATCCGCTCTTAGGTCGCTGCTAAGCACAACTGAGGTTGACCATGGCGTGCGCTCCAATTGATTTTCTTGTTACTTACGACCAATAGACTGGGACGATAAATATATCATCTTGCGGTCGTATTCGAATCACCGTGAACACGTTGCACTGAAGCATTCCATACAGGTCGAGCAAAATACCAAACCCTCACCCACACAATCACATCATAAACATTGCAAATATCTATTACCCCGCCAGTCGAGTCTTTCTATGTTCGTCCTCGGCGAATATATTTCGCGTCTTCACGTCTTCCAAACCCCATACTGCCCGAACGCCGTGATTAGACCGCGTATCAGGACGGTTAAGATGGAGTTTCTTGACTTCTAGGGTGGTATGAGTGGCGGTATTTCATATAAGCGATGATGACAATGATTAATGGCACCAGGAAGCCGCGAAGAGTAGCTTACACCAGTAACGGGGTGACCGGCGGAGCAGTTTGCCTGGCTTTGCATCAGAACGGCCACAATTGACGGATGTGCGAAGACGCCCGAAAGAGCGAAGCTCAAGAACCGGTGCTTCTGCGACAGAAGAGAAGGGTTAATATAGAAGCCAGATGATTGCGCCGGGTCAGAAGACATAACGGCTTGTTTCATTTCATTCCAAAATAACCCATGTATCGTAAGGGCAAGATAGCGTAATGATATTTCAGTTGACCTACATACTACTATAGTAAGCGACACGGTCGTCTGCGTTAGCAAGATATCAAAGGAAAGGGAAAGCAACGGTGAATCATAGGCGAAGGATGCCCACAACGGCTGCGGCGGTTAAGAACGTGGCTAGAGGAAAGGGAAACGGCGGGGAAGGACCACATACCGTCGCTTCGAGCATAGCGGTAATCCTTGCGGCCGCCACCACACATGAGGAGTCCGCATCTTCACGATGCGCAACAACACAGTCATGAGTACGTGGGCTCGAAGGAGTGAACCGCTAGACAAGAGCGATGGCGCAGTGCCTCACCTAGGACAGTGAGAAGAAAGAAAAGAGTCAGAAAGCCTGATACTTTGAAGCAGAAAATGGCGCACTTTATATACGAAACGACGCCTTTGAAACTCAGAGTAAACCCGACTTGGATATAGGCCAAGTTTGTATCTGGTGGACATACTTGGTTAGTGAATTGATTGGTCCGGTGGAAGGACCCAATCGCAAGAGGAGGTGAGACTGGTGCATTATGGCGTATCTGCGTATCCGTTATCGCCTCCTTCCTACTGGGAGCCGAAGATCGTGGGGTTTTGGGCCGATCTGGATCACGGAGCCTGGGCCGGCCGCCAGAAGGTTTGATTCTGCCATAGTTGTCGACTCCACATCCGTGTGCGCGCCCCCCGAGTCCTACATCTGAGCTCATATACTTTGTCATGGACTCCACCGCAGGAGGCTTTATAGTCGGCGCACCAAGTCTGGCTCGCACCACTAAACCAGCACTTGAACAAATCCAACGATGAGCACAAATCCAAACTCTAAAGGCAGCGGCAGTCGCGGTGGCCTTGGAGACAGAGTCAGGTTCGTTTGCCCACAGATGTGGCCTGTCGCCGAGATTGATGCATAGATCCTTTGCAGAGGCGGCTTCCAAGCGGTTCATGGTAAGTCGTGAGGCCAGTAGCCTCAAAGATAGTTCCGTGGGTGAATTGTCGCATTCTAGGCGTGGGCGACAACATACGTGGCACAGCGCTGGGATTAGTGGACACTGCAACGGGTGATGGGGTTGCAAATGACGAAATCGCTCGCAGGGGTCGGGTAGAGACTTCGGAGGGGTTCGCGAAGCTCATGGGGAGAGGAGGTTCTGTCAGCGGCAATACTACGTCACATCCCCACACTGCTGCTACAGGAACCGGCGGAGGGGTCGGCCATGCGCATGATCCCTTGGCTGGTAATGTGCCTGATCAGACTTCCCGCCCAGTACCTCCCGTTCCCAGCTCCAACCAGCCTACAGATATACCGACAGGCCAGCAGTACAATGAGGGCGCATACGGCGGAGTACCTGCGGCCGGCGGATCACGCACGAATGGTCCTGGGTACGGTATTGTCGCAGGCGCAGGAAGAAGCGGTCCTGTAGAAGGAGCTGGGTCAGCAGGATACGATTCGGAATGGACAGAGTGGACTCACACTCAGAAGAATCACCCAACGGGACCTGGAGAAGTCGTTGAGTCAGGTCGCACGCGTGGAGACCGCGTGGGTGCTGAGGGACCAGTACTGGGGTAGTGGAGCTGCGCGGAGAAGTTACTTTGAAATTCATGTACATTATTCGCACTGAGGCCGCTGATGAGCTACATATACACAGAGAAGCTGTCTCGCACTTACCGATAAGTTATCAAAGACGATATCGCTGACGGCACCTCGCAAGCAGAGTGAGCCTACTCGAGGTTCCCCTGAGTCTCCCGTTATGCCTATCAGGTTACCACCTCCATGTACTCTTGTCAAGCCTCAGATGTCGACATGATCAGATTTAATGTTGATACTTTGCAAAGGCATTAACCATCCCATCCCATCGACCATCGTGCCAACTCGCGATGTCCTTCCACTCCGGGCTATCTTCCCCGAAGATAACCTTCAGCCAGATGAGGCAGGAAACCACCGAAACGTCCGCGAAGGTAACAGACTCTCCCGTGAGGAAAGGGCCTATACTCTTCTTGAACCAGCTATCGACCTTGCCCAGACCATCCCTCCTCGCTGCGGGGGTTCAGACGGCTATTCACCCTTGGGATTACGAACTGCCTGACTGGCGATATGGCATGGGCATGCGCGGCCGTGAATCCAGCTTGCAAGGCTAGCGTCCCAGGTGGGAATAACGCCGGAGTATCGGGGTATTACTTATCAAGGTATTCAACGATTAACGGCCCATCAGATATGACGGCGCCAGTCGATGTGTCTTGATGACCGGAAGGGTGTAGTGAGGTGCTTCTTCGCCGGTGGGCGATGCGCCGATCTTCTTGCAAACGGCCTCGATGTCGGGATACTCTACCCATACCGTCTGGTATGGAATTCCCTTGATGTTCAGTGCGTAGCTTGGTCGTGACGCTTTATTGAGAATACGGTGTACAACTACGCGAAGAAATGACCTTACCGGACCCTCCAGGTGTTGTGCGACCATGCTTGGGGCTCAAGGGAGGAAGGGATATCGTAGAATATGATACCTGCCATAGATGATGGTTACTAATCACGCCAGGTGTCGAGCGCGGTTGCACCATCGCAGTGAAGATGGTTGAGCATATGGTTGGTTCACAGGGGCTGACCTCCTCCTACGATAACTATCTCACGGTCAATAACAGCTCGGGAATATTACCCCTTGTACTTTTCTCCTACACTTACGTGCAGTCAGAACACGTTCAAGGCCGATATACTGCGGTACCTACTACCCGATGTTGAAGGAGGACGTTCTAAGCTTGCGCGAGTTCGGTCTTATGACCGCCTGGTGTTTGCCTCTACGGACGGCGCAGTGTGACGCCGACGATACGCGTACACGGGCATGGCATCCCATCCATGCACGTTTCTCCTTGGTTTGAAATTAATTTGGTGGGCACTCTGCCTTGCAAACTACATATACCAGATTTTACCGTGGAGTGATTATCAACGCTCGAATAGCTGGTTTACATATCCTGGTGCCTGTGTTTCCAAAGTGCATCGTTCATCGATACGTTGGTAAGCACCAGGGTGTTTGATCACCAATCCTGGTAAAACGGATGTACGGCAGGAACGGGTATTCGGCGGAAATTACGTTTAGAAAGAGGGGCATATCCATCGGTGGTTGAATGTCAAGGGTATATAAACTCATAGCAAGCTTTTGAACGCACCACAAACTCGAACAATCCGATCATAGCAATCAACCATGTCCACGAAGATGCAGTACGGTAAGTGATGTTGTTGTCTGATCAACCTCTGATTCTTAACAAGATATTCGCATCAGTTAATCTAGGAAAATCTGGACTCAAAGTGTCCAAAATCATCCTAGGATGCATGTCTTATGGTACGCCTCAGTGGCAAGGTTGGGTTTTGCCCGAAGAAGAGGGGATCAAGCATATCAAATTTGCGTACGTCCCTCCACCCCGATCTTTGTCGCATATGGACAACATATTGACGGCGACACTTCAGCTACGACCATGGCATCCAAACCTTCGACACGGCAAATGTATGGCTACAGCTGACTAGCGTCCGGAGTTTGTTGACAAGAAGAACCTTATAGGTGTACTCGAACGGCGAATCGGAGGTCATTTTAGGCAAGGCGATCAAGCAACACAACCTCCCTCGGGACGAAATTGTTGTTATGACTAAGGTATGACGCCTCCAGAGCCAAGCTATGCCGGTTGATCTCACAAGTAATTGTAGTTATGCGGTGCCGTATCGCGCGATCCGAGCTTCATTGGATTCAACCCCAAAGATTTTGATAAATTGGGCTTCGTGAACCAATACGGCCTAAGCCGCAAGGTACGTCGTCTATCATATTTCCTTCCACCATGCGCATCAATCTCTCGTGCAGCACATCTTCGAAAGCGTAAAGCACAGTCTAGAAAGGCTGCAGCTGGATTACATCGATGTGCTCCAATGTGAGTTAGCTTGACTGCTCGCGTCATTTTCAGTGGTTGTTAATTTGCACAGGCCATCGATTCGACAAGGATACTCCTATAGAAGAGACGGTGCGCAATATGATATTTTATGGACCGTTGGATTCATCATTGATATGTTTCCCAGATGCAAGCGCTTGACGATGTTGTCAAGGCGGGGTATGTTCGATACATCGGCATGAGCTCATGTTATGCATGGCAATGTGAGGAGCACCATTTGTCGACGTACGCGTAACTAATTCCATCCTTCGTTTCAAGTCCACGCAATGCAAAGTAAATCCATTCGCAGCGCTAGTCCCTCGTCAGAATGCTAATGGTTGCATGCCAGATTACGCCATCACGCACAACCTAACCCCGTTCATATCTATGCAGAACCATTACAACCTTCTCTACCGCGAAGAAGAGCGGGAGATGCTCCCGACTTTGAAGGTACGCATCAGTGACAAAACGTACGAAACATTGAGAGCTGACACAATGCACAGCACTTCGGCGTTGGTTCCATCCCCTGGTCGCCGTTGGCTGGGGGGAGACTAACCAGGCCTGTGGCAATTCAAAATGCAACAAAGAGGCAGCAGACGGATCCGTGCGTGAAGCTCTCCCATTTGATTTTCCTATATTGACGTCCAGAACCTCCCTAGTTGGAATGCCATGTACCTTGCAGGTCCAGGATGGGCTGACATCGTGGCAAGGTTAGTGCTGCCCATCTTACATTTTACCGGCCAGTGTTATCATAACACTCAAACTCATTTCTCCAGGGTCGAGGAAATTGCGAAGAAGAAAGGCGTCAGTATGGCTCAGATCTCAATCGCATGGACTCTCTCCAAAGAAGGTTCGTATACCCTAGCACCAATCTGAACTATCTAGTAACTTCTTATCTTCGGCATAGGAGTCAACGCCCCCGTTGTAGGTACCACCAATCTCAAGAATCTAGAGGACATCATCGGTTAGTAAATTTTCTTACTCGTGTTATCTAAATGGCACTGATTTCCACGTCTATCTTGCGTAATAGGTGCTCTCGATGTCAAGTTGACAGAGGAAGAGATCAAGTACCTTGAGGAATCATACAAGGCTCAGCCTATCCTAGGGCATTGATTGGTACGAATGCGATGTATTTACCGGCGAATAGCAATATATACGTATGCTATTATAGATATAGATCTCTGAAAGCGCCTTTATCTTATCGCTTCACGTGAGTTCGGAGAACTCAACCTTCACCCCGCGGCATGCTTATACACAGCATATATGCTAGAGCCTGCCGAAGAAAGATATTCTGAACCTCACCCTTCCTCCACCTTTTAAAAGCTCATACCGTCGTGTTCGCGACCCGTTGTCTTCCCTGAATCCTCCTTTGGTTAAGGCTTGATTTGGCAAATCTTTCGACTTGTATGTAGCTCGGTAACACCATTACATACTAACTTATAGGTTTTTCCGTATCCCCTCCTGGCAAGGACGCATCGAGCTCAGTGTCGATTACAACGCGAATCTGATTTCGGCCGAGGAGGTCCAGGTGTACATGGCCGATTGGAAGAGTCATGTTGTTGGTTGTGGACTTGACAGAGGACGGTTATTAGGGTTTGACCAAGTGCGCGGTGCCGTTTTGTTAGTATGTCGACAATGTTTGCGCAGGGCGCCTTCAAAATACCTACGAAGATAAATCACCGCCTTCACCTTCGGGGTTTGGATATTTTAGCTTCACTTTAGGATCTCGAGCACTCAAATATCGCTCTTCATGCATCATGCTTCGAACAACAGCTCTCAAACCACGAAGATACACGTGCAATATGTCACTCTATTATTCGACGAAGAAAACGCGGGGGCAAATGTATTCAAAACCGCCAGGTGTGGTGAACGAAAGCAAGGACAACGCAGAGGAAGGTGCAGATTGGCGCTAAACATAAGTTTGTCTGAGCCTGAACGCCTTGGTGTATCCACCGTAACCTGCGACCCTAGCAAAGTTACCTGTCACACTCCTTGACCCTGTTACCAGATGTTAGCATGGTGCCAATCTGAACAGAGGGCGACTACGAACCAACAAGGGTTTGAAGGCCTCAAAGCATTGCAAGACAATACGACGGTTCTCTACAGTGGTCATCCCCACCCTAGAATAAAGACGGGGATTAGCGACGGGTGGAACGAACCGGAGAACGATTGTCTCCTCGCTCGGATACTGTAGGGAGCTCAGATTATTGAGGAGGGAGCGTGTGACGGTGGTGCGGTAGAAAATAGGACTCGTTCCGACCATGGTGATGCCCGGAATTACCTGCCGCTCGAGAGGGGGTAAATTGCTTTCATATCTGCGCCGGATGGCATTCAGATGAAAGGCGGCGATGGACTCTGCAATGAGCTGGGCCTCGGGATCGTCGGGGGAGCCGACTCGCTAGAATCATCGTGTCAATGTCAGAGGGGGTGCACTTACAGCTTACCTTGTTCTCTTGCACGACAAGATAACAGTAGCTATCGTCGACAAATGCTCCCACGGTCAGGATCTAGGTTATATAGCGCGTTCCACCACTCATTCACCAACCCACATCCCTTTCTCCTCACCCACTCCGCACGCTGATGTACCATCCAGTGATGCGCATATGCCGTTGATTTTGGGTGATCCTCGTTTTGCCTTGATTAGCTTTGTGGAACAATTGCGCTGATTCGTATTCGGCGTGCAGTTTATAGAGGATATTACACATCACCGTGACCTCTCGGTAACTCCTCCCACAGCGTGCAAGGATCCCTACTGTATCATACTAGTGGCGCAAGTATCATGAAAGTATTTTAAATACTTTCACGATCCTTTGTCCTAAAGTATGGTCCAGTTATGGTCCAAGTATGCGAAAAGTATTGAAGAAAGTTGCCCAAAAAGGCAATTTCTTCAATACTTTCATCATACTTTACACGATACCTTCGGACAAAGGATTGTAAAAGTAGTTAGAATACTTTTATCATACCTTCCCACGCAGTAGAGTAAAAGTAGTGAATATTGAGCGCAGTGTCCAGTGTCTATTGTTTCGTCGATCGCGTATCGATCGGACATTCGTTCTTGTGCTCAATTGCCCAGCGTCTATAGCTTCTACTATTCCACCTGCATTCGATGACTGCAACGAAAGACACAGCAAAAGCGTATATTACGCTCTGAAGAACGGAACAGCAGCTGAGGATCACTCAGTACGCTCTTAAAATCTGTCCACTTGTTAGTTGATACGGTATTCAAAGTGCGGTAAAGACGGCCACAGGAACAGCATAATTCACCGAGGCGACTCATTGTCTTTTGTCGATCATGGGTTTGTTCGACAGAAGTTGTAACTCTGCCACAAACTTACCTTCTTTTCAGCATCTTTCCTTCCATTACCGCCACCCACTGCCTTAGGTGATAAGATGAGGCAGAAACGTCGTGAACTAATGACTTCGGCTCCCTCTCCCGTATCTCAACGGATTCCACCTCGGATCCAAGAGCACAACCAATCCAAACTAACTGAATACATCAGCCAGCCATACACAGTTCCACTAAGGACGAGGCTTCCTTGTACAGCACAAGCGTCCAATTACGCGCCGTTACACCTTTCTGTAGACGATCGTTAAACTTCCTCCTCTTTTCGGTGTACCAGTTGTTGTAGTCCTTGGCCGACCGACCGAGCTTCATCCTCTCAATCTTATCGCTATACATTTCCTCGAACCTCGCATCCGTGTACGTAACCTAGCAACATAACAACATTGGATACGGTCCATATTCCCACATTTGTTAGAAATAACAGTATACGATAAGAATATAGTGGTTGGGAGGGTCCTACGCTGACTCGGTTTTATCCTCAGCCTCGGCTTGATCTGTGAGCTCTGTTTGTTCTGCAGCCTCCGCGTCTTTGGCAGCGTTGGCATCTTCGGCAGCTTGTTCTTCAACTTTGCCATCTTCTGCAGCGGCTTCCTCCTCGCCGTCATGCTTCGCATTCTTGCTCCCCAGGACAGCAGCATTGATCCTGTTCCTAGTCAGCGACGGGACTATATTTACGCGGGATGTCTGGGGGACTCACGTTACCATAACTTGAACTGTCTCTTTCTCTTCCCCGTTCTCTGTGTTTTGAAGCTCGACGGTGATGCGCTTGCTCCCCTTCCAGCCGTAGCTGCCAGTAGAGAAAGTGCTGGGCAAAAGTGTCACCGAGCCCAACGATCCTGGATCCTTTGACGCTGTAGAAACGGTATCTTCGTCAATGCTCGCAGGAGTATGCGTCATGTGGATATGAATGGGCAGGGCCTTCGCCTTGAAATTGGAGGTAGAGGGCGCGGCCTTGGCTCCTTTTCCACCTTTGGCTGCCTTCCCAGGCGACGCCGCCTTCTTGGTCTTCGCGACCTTCGACGAACGCGTCGCTGGCCCTGCAGATTCGTCCGCAGCTCTTTTACGTGTTCCTGGAGTCGCAGTGAACATGGAGGTCGTTGTAGCGGTAGACGTACTCACCGACCATGGTGAAAATTCTTCGGCGGGATGATGAGAGTTCGAATTGAAGAATGTTATGTGAGACATTTGGGCTTGGGTGGCCCGGTGCAGGTCCTTTCTCACACCACTCAGACGCGTGATGTCATCTGATGACCTCTATGCATATCCTCACGTGGGAGATTCACAGGTAGCAGATGAAATGATAAGATAAGATTGAAGTAACTTCTGTTGGAAGCTTGAAGCATTTGGGATGGTGCGTTGAAGCTTGTAATTGGATACACAGACCTGGGGTGTCTAATAAGATGGCTCTCACTAACATTATGTGCTAGACAGGTATCGTACGGAGGCAACCTGTTTCAAAGTGGGCACTGGGTGTACATGAGGATTCGAACAGTATTCATCCACGGGGGCAGCGACTAAATGAGGTAGAGGGGGGATGCTACTGCTAGAATATAAAATCCTCTAAGAAAGAGGGAGGTTCCAAAAATTACGGTCAGGCCAGCATCTCTGTGGCACAAGACCGATTACAACTTCATTCAACCTCGAGCATAAACTCTGCATGCGTGTCTGCCTTTGCAGACGATCTAGTGCCATAGGCAAGATTCGACCACATTAAAATACGTCTGCACCATTTGCATGCAATGGGCGACTTTTGATTTTTATGTATTCTAATGCATCCGGAGAAGATCGGGTGACACATGCACTCTGTGCACCGGCCCCACTGCTACGGAGGGTGCAGCTGGAACGACGACAATGACCATGAACTTAGGTAAAGTCGGTTCATCTTCTACCCGCGAGGATAACGGGGAACGTTGTGCGGGACGGGTGTCGTAGTTGAATATGGCGAGGAAATAGGAGGCGTTGGGACAGTCCTTTTTGAGCCCATCTTTCTTATCTTATCTTATCTCGAGTGCACCCTCTCTGACGACGATCCCCAGTAAGAATACAATACACCGTATACATGATGTTCATCCAGCCCAGAACCTACATAGTCTTCGGTGTCAACAAAGCAAGCATACGACGGGGTAAAAGGAATGAAGCTGTCTCAAGAGCCAAAGCCAAAGTGTTGAGCCACAAGTAAAACAGCATCGGTATGATACCCATGAGAAGATTACCGAGAACTCCTCTACGAGTGATAGTTTCCCATATCTCTGTTTTAACAATGGTAGGTGCCATAGGGGACCGGTGAGGGCCGACCAGGCGATAGAAAGTCGTGAACGCCGCACCGAAGCTAGAAAAAGGCCTACTCAGTACTATTCTTCATCCACGAAAGAATGTGCTGATTATTTACCAGTAGGCGACGAGCACATGGAGTCCATGTTCGCGATATAATTCCCAGAGACCAGGAGCTGCCCCAATATCTTTTGCAAGAGTACTCATGTAGGTTGAGTGGTCGACCCCATACTTGATGCGCGCCGTCTCCTTGACAAGAAGGTGATAATGAGGTGGTGGCAGCGGTTTGCGAACTTGATTCTTGAGTAGGGATATCCACCACAGGCTTTGCATCTCCGCAATGGGAGGTATAGCGCCTTTGACCATCATTGTATCAGTAAGCGGGCCACGTCGTCTGGATACATTCGCGTGCTGCTCACCTACGCCAGGTCTCACGAACCCTATAAACGCTATCGTCTCCTCTCCAGACTTTACGACATTCCGCATGTCCGCCTGGTCTGGCGTCGGGTACCCTTCTTCCAAGAAGGGGAAGTCCTGCCGATACCCCGTCGCAAATATCACAACATCAGGTTTGACTTCGATCCCCTGTATTCGCACCGCATCTTTCCGCTTGGTTAGAGGGAAGACTACACGGCCAGAAGGGAGGATGTGGGACGGGAACGGCGCGAGGTCGACGCCGAAGTTCGTATGTGGTGGTGAGTCTTCTGGAGGGTCGATATATTTAGAGAGGTAGTCCAAGAAGTAGGAGCGCTTCCTCCAGGGACGGTTGATGTAGGGCATGGCTTTGTGGGACTGTGAATCGTCTTAGTCATTCTGCTTATCGTAGCTCGGGGTGCGTGCTACCTTGTTTAAGAATACATATGCCCTTCCTAAACGTTCAGGCTCGAGCTCGCCAACCTAAGGCCATCTTGATTAACGATAGCGGACCCTGCGAACCGAGGGTACTCACCCATTGGTTGCATCCAGCTTGTGTGCCTGTGGACGACAGCTCAGCTTCCTGAAATCAATTCCATCTCGATTACTTACCTGTCAAGAGCCAAAGAACCCTCTTGATGACGAAGTCTGAGACGCTGAGTAGCGAATCAGAGACACGAACATACTGTCGGCGAAACTGAGGGAGAATCAGACGCACAACCAACGGATGTGGGTGGCCGCAACCCAAGGATGCTATCGAGGGTTAAGATTAGATATCATACATGCGGCTGCATAGGGTACTCACAACATATGCCGTTTCAGCGAGGTTGGTTATGAGAGTGTCAATTGGAAGGGGCTTATTGGACTCGAATTTGAAGCCGAATATTTCAAAATCATTCTACAGCCCAGGACGTATTGGCTACGTCGAGAGAAATACTTGCCATAGGACGCACCAATGCCTTTGGAAACGACAGGAATCTGTTCGAATATCAGCGACGTCAAGCAGATAACGGAAGCAAATACTACTTACCCGGACCGGGAGCACAAGACGACTTGTTTGGCATCGGATTTCGCAGCTTCATAAGCTATATCCATGCCAGTCTCCCCAGTGCCCAAGATCATGACGCGCCGCCCGGCCAGTTGATCCCGAGATTTGTATTCATGGGAGTGGAAGGCCTGCGCGATATGCCCTATACCAGGGAGTTCTGGAACTGCGGGGATGACATGCAAGCCTGTGCAAATAGCAACATAATGTGCACGGATTGTCCGAGGAACTGGGTATCGGTGGGTTATTCAATTGCGACTTCACGTCATGGGTAATAATACACACCGTTTTCCCACTCGCCCGTTTGCGACTTGTGTACATAGGCTACGATATGGTCGCCATTCGGATCGCGTGAGATGTTTACGACTTTGGATTGCAAGCGTATCCGGTCAGTGAAGCTGAAGTGCGCGCAATACGCCCGCAAGTAGTTCACGTATTCCTGTACGTGATTGAGTGGGAACGTCTCACACTGAAATTAGTTCGAGGACTCAGGTACCTCCAACGTTAAATGGTCTGGATGCTCCATCGGCATCCGGAAATCAGAGAAGGACGTGAGCTGTTTACTCGAGACCAAATTGGCGTTCTTTGACTCAGGTAAATCATTTTCCGTTAGACAATAGTGGTGTGCTCACATCGTACGAGCGGTACTTAAAGGTGCCGCCAATGTCATCTTCTTGTTCGAGGATAATCGGGTCGAAGGCGAGGTCAGGAGATGAGCTCTCCAGCAGAGATTTGCACATAACGAGGCCTGCAGGGCCTGCACCAACGATAGCCACGGTCTTCATGGCGGTTTGGGAAAGAATGAGGCATCGTGAAGGTTGGGTCCTGTGAACGTGCTCAAGTCAATTCTATAATTACACTCAATCTTATCTGATAAACTTTACATTCAAGTTCCCGAGGTTCTTGAACTTCCACGACTACGATTTGACCACGATGGCGTTGCCGCGGCCTCTACATGTCAAGTATCTGATGGTATGTGAGATATAGATATCGGTCAAATATTTTCTGACTGGCCGGAACCGGCCACATCTGTTCCAGAGCTCCAATGTACTCCTTTCGGATCGCACACCGTTGAAAACTGGCAGAAACAGACGTGAACAGAAGCCACGCTTCTACGTCTATTTCCCAGTCAAAAATTGATGGGAGGTTTAGCCTAATCTTGGGCAGATGCTCCCTCAGACCGGTTCTGTGATGAATTGGTCCGTCCTGGAAAAGAGCGAGTGGCGAAAGTTTGTTCCCAGAGTGCCATTGCGCCACTGCCCTTGCAGCTTGCTGGCTAGAACGATTATCCATAAGTCATAATGCACTCACGCGCTCGCCAGGATCCCTCTGTCGACTCGTTTTTGACACCCACATCGCCTAGTAGGTTCACCTTCGTGTTCTATGACAACACACTGATCCCACCCAACCAGACTCTACGTTGAACATCGCTGGCATAAGTTGATGTACCGTACTATATTGTGGCTGATCCCTGCCCTGCGTGCTGCGCTCTCCGAAGCAAAGCATGGACTGAAGCATGGCGGAAAGGAGGAAGACGATGGTGAAGACGCTATCGAAGAGCCCCCTGCCACTACATCGTTCCCCTCCAACACAACGACTGTAATCTCGACGGTTCAACCGTCTAGCTCGTCGAGTAGCGCTATATCTTCCTTACCCTTCCAATGGGACAACCCTTCCAATACGTCCACATGCCAGTCGACCACTTTTACCTGGCGCGTGTCCGATTCTCGAGCCGCTCCAATGACGATAACTGTTACAAACGAGCGCGTGGCTCAACAAGGGCCAGGCCTCCCTCCTCCTAGCACTCACGATGCCACTCCCCTTATTACACGTACAGTCAACAAAACTGCCTCTCCGAGCGCACAACGGCAGGACTGGCCATTGGTGGATGTCCCCCAAGGGTGGTATGTTGCTATAGCATTCAATCCCAACCAAGCCGTTCCCCAAATATCGCGATCGCCACAATTCTTCGTTAACAATGGCACAGATCTGTCATGCCTGCCAACACCTCCAGTATTTCCACCGTCTTCGCAGTCACCCTCATCGCCTTCCCCATCCGCTGCTGACACCACGTCAGCACCACCTTCTGGAGGATCCCTAGCGACGCCTCAACTCATTGGGACCATCTGCGGGGTTGTAGGGGCCATTGCCTTGCTCGTTATCGTCTTTACTGTCCCATCCATTTGGCACCGGTTTCTTCCCAAGCAAAAGCCAAAGCGACCCGGAGGACCATTGCTTTTATACTAACACATACAACGATTCAGATTGATTTGTGTTTTTCGTTTTGAGGGATATGTTTAGCGACATTACGTACGGTACTAAACGACTTTTGCTCGAAAGATTGCATTGAAATTACAAGTATGTACGGGTTGATGAAATGTATCTAAGTAATAGCTACAAACAGGTGCTAGACAGGCGATGCAAGAATAATAATAATATGGACGAAAAACGACAACATTGCGTGGATTCAAACGTTCATCTCCCAAGAGAGCCCATGAAGCTCCCTACGTCCAAGCCCTGGTACTCATCCTCAGTAGGTAGGTCTTCCAGGCCCTGCAGTACATTCTTTTGGGACACTGGACCAGCGGCCTCCTTCGCCTTCTTCTTCGCCGCGGCAGCGGCATCTTCTTCTTCTGTTGTCCGCCGGAAAAGATCAAGGACGAGGTCGGTATCCATAGACGACAGACCCGAGTTCTGCTGTGTCACAACGGAATTTGCAATGTTGAGTTTGAAGCGTTGCAAACTGAACAAATGTTAGAGGCGGCTGTTGGTAGATAGATACGACATTTACCCCATGATCTTTTCCTCCAGTGTACCCTTCGTGATTAGGCGGTAGACGTTCACCACTTTCTTTTGACCGATACGATGGGCTCGGTCCATGGCTTGTAAATCTTTCATTGGGTTCCAGTCGTGTTCAACAAATATTACGGTGTCCGCGCCAGTCAGAGTCAGACCGAGACCTCCGACATGTGTTGTCAAAAGCAAGCAATCGATACTCGGGTCAGCGTTGAAGGTCTGCACAATCGCATGTCGCTTGCTTGAATCAGTGCCGCCGTCAAGTCGCATGTAGGTAACGGATGGCATGTGTTGCTTGAACAAATCAGTCTCGATGATATCGAGCATCTGTTTCATCTGACAAAAGATAAGAACGCGATGTTGAGAGAAGGCGCCAGTGGACGACTCTGGCACGTCTACGAGCTCGCTCTTGCCGAGATCGGTGGTGCTTTGTGCAGCGCTTGCGCCGATGCCACAATCCGTAAGAAGTTGTCTAAAGTCGGGTATGAGTACAAAACGCATAGGACCAGCATAAAACGTGCGTACTTGAGGGCGAGGAGCTTCGGCGCATTTTGAATGTCGGCCAAGCCTGTGGTCTGGCCCTTGACCTTCTCCATGGCAGTAGATAGCGCCTCAGGGTCTTTGAGTACAAGGGCTGGATGGTTGCATAACTTTCTGAGGTATTGCAATGATTGGAAAACGTGTTGTTGGCCCTTCTCCCCCTTTGCGGTCGTTGACTTGACAGCATCCTCAGCAGATAACCGAGCTTGAGACTGGGCGAAATCGTCGTAAAGGTGTTTCTGAATGTCCGATAATTCACAGTAGTAGTCTTGTATAATTTTCGGTGGAAGGTCATTCAGCACGTCTTCCTTCAACCGGCGAAGCAAGAAAGGCAAAACTTGTTTGTGCAATGCCTCGAGCGCCAAAGCCGCTAAAATAAATCAGGATCTGAACTGTCGTTTCCTACGAAGCACTTACCAGCTTCGCCATTCTTAGCCTTTCCGTCGCGGTTGGAGAGTATAGGCTTCCCAAACCGTTCGTTGAAGGAAGACTCAGTGCCCAGGAAGCCGGGCATCAGGAAATCAAACAAGCTCCACAATTCAAGGACATTGTTCTGAATTGGTGTCCCCGACAAAATCAGGCGATGCTGGGCTCGAATACATTTGACGGCTTTGGTGAGTTTGGTTTTGGCGTTCTTTATGACATGACCTTCGTCGAGGATGCAGTACAGCCAATTCATCTCTTCCAAGCTCGCGATATCGTTACGCACGACTTCGTAAGAAGTGATGACCACGTCAAACGATTTCAGCTTTGAAACGAGACGGTTACGCTCCCTCGCATTCCCGGTATAGAGGACCGGCCTTATGTTATCGACGTATTTGAGGATTTCGTAATACCAATGGCCTGTGAGTGTTGGCGGGCAGATGATAAGCGAGGGAAGGTGGACGGTATCGGGCGTCTTGGTTTCCCGATGACGCTCGGCACGCTCGAAGTGTTTGCTGGCCAGTATACAGATCGATTGCAGTGTTTTCCCAAGACCCATATCTAACGAGAAAAGTTAAAAGATGGCACAAGCGGAATTGTGAATATAGCTTACCATCGCAAAGAATTCCGTGAAGCTGAAACTTAGCCAGAAAGGCCAGCCAATTGACACCCTCTTGTTGGTACTTTCTGAGTTCGGCTTTGACATTGATAGGGATGTTGTATTGTTCAACCTTACTACCATCCAGTAACTGCGTAAGAAACTGTCGTTCGTCTTCTCGTCGCTTCAATAGCTCTTCGGGGAAGCCCGGAGGATCGGGCAAGCCGGCCTCAAGAGGTACCATCTTAACAAGCGACGCGAAGGTGTTCGTGGCCGTTGATCGAATGTCATCGTCCAGATCGCTCATTCGGCCGAGCACCGGGACAACCATAAATATCACATAAGGAAGAGCCTTGATATCGAGCTTCTGAACAGTATCTGTGGAGAAGAGAGTTAAATGAGTTACGTAGCGAAGGTTACGTTACTTACGATAAATAAGTTCGGTAGCGCCCTGTCTGTTGGATAGAACGAGAGGATCCCCAAGTAGCGGTAGGATGGTCTCTACGACGTATTGCATGGCATCTGCGGTCATGACGTCGCAGACAGTTGCAAAACAGCGGGCGGCGCACTGCCGCATGATGGCAAATCGACTACGAAGAGCAAGAGCCACCATCGGGTATATTTCAACCAGCTTCGGCCACAGGTCTTCATGAAGTGCAGGTACTACAGCCTCCAAGACACTGAGAGAGTCGATCACGTCTTGGCCATACTGCTTCTCAATTAGGGCGTCAGACTTGTCAGGAGAATCTGAGAAAACGTCAATAGTGGTGCTGATATCAATAGTAATTTGCATACCAGAGGCGCAGGCACTAAGTAGACCGCCAACCATAGATTGCCACATATTAGGAATGACACTCAACAACCGCGGCCCAAACTTTGTTGAAAGTTCGGCGAATGCTAAACAAGCACCTCGCCGTGATAGACGGGACTTGGATGCCTCGTCCGTCTTGAGCGCGTCGGGTTTCTCTCCCTTCGATCCGAATTTGCCGTTTCGAACTCCGGAATCGGTCGAGGATGCTTGGAAGGAGAGAATGCCCTGCAACGTCTTCCGTGTGTATGCAAATGTCGGCGTCTGTTCAATGTCCTGGCACAAAAAGGTGCATAGATTCTTTACTATCTTGTCGGGTGGCTGGGCAATATTGTGATTGGCACAGAATTCGATGAAAGACGCGACGGCTGCTGCAGAGCGTGTTTGCAAGTCGATGTTTTCTTCGTTCTGCGTCCGCATTAGCTGTTAGTGCTCGTAATGCAGTGAATGAGCTTACCTTGATACCATTCATCAGGCCCTTCACGACGGGACTGACTTTATCTGGTGTACTCTTGAACGCGACGAATGAGGCGGCGAACGCAGCAGCCACTCTGATGTCGTGGAGACCTTTGACCTCAATATACCGCTCAATGCTGGCTACAACTTGGTTCCGCTTCTCAGCGATGATCGATACTTCTCGCTTCTTCGTTCTTCCTAGTCTGTCCTTGAGTTGATTATACATGGGGCCGACTGCCTTGTTCGCAGTCTCTATGGTGAAGCAACCTTCCTTGCTACCAGTGATGTCGATTTCATTGCCAAGGAATGGAATAGACGAGATAGGCAGTTTGCAGTCAGAGGCAAACGAGTGAAGGAGAGCGATACAATCTGCATGGATACGGGAGAGCGTCAACGCCATTTCGTGGTAGGCCGCCGGCGGGTTACTCTGTAACGCAGCTAACGTCTTGGTGCTGAGCTGCTGCGCGAGGACTGATTTCTCAATTAGGAGAGTCTTGGGGAATGACGCCGAGTATAGCTTCGCCCACTCCTCCGAGACGATGGCCGCCAGGAACTTCTGGAGCATGCTCGTAGAATCGACGTAGTGCAACAGGATGGGTTGAAACAGCTCGTCGGTAACTCCTAGCTGGCAATACGAAGTAAATAAGTCTCCGCTACAGAAACGAGTGGAGAGCAGCTTACATCTTCCGACCAGCTAAATATCAAGCGCGACATCGCTGTAGCGGCGGCAACTCGAGCCCTGAGCGTGACCTCCACAGTGATTAACGACTGGTCCTGGGCTAGCATGTTCTTATCAACATTGTGGCGTTCTACGGGCGCGTCTCCTTCGTTGGCGAGTGATGGATGGAAGAAAGCCGATGGGTCGATTGGAACACCCAGAGGTGTCATCATCATTGCGTACCACTCAAGGATGTGCTGTTGGGTGATTGTGTCATTCATGCGACCAGGTGTTTCGGCCAAGATTGATAGCGCTGTTTTCCAAGCAACGAGACTAGCATCTCTGACATCTTGACGTTCCTCGACCACCATATTCTGGAAGAGCAGGCGGAGGAATGAAGAAGATACCCAGTCGCGAGGTAATGTCGGGACATTCATGAAAGAGTCAAGCGTCTTCACCACCGCGAGCCGGACATTGGGAATGGTATGTCGGAAGAAGGGGAAGAGCGAAGGAGCCAGAGTTGATAATGGAAGCCTGTAATGATGGTAAGACTTTGGTCAACATAGTGGTAAAATCTGACTCACGCTACCGTATCACCCCCTAGGCATTCGATTACTCTGTCGTAGGTCACAAGTTTTCCTGATGGCGGGTTAGTACCTGAGAGATGGTATAGCAAACATAGACTGACCCAGAAAGTCCATGACAGCACCGACACTCGAATTGAGATCGTCTTTCATGTCAGATAGGCAATGCCAGAGAACTATCAAGATTTGATCTAGGGACTCAGGAATCTGTTCCACAATGTGCTGCGCGACTGGTAGTAGAGACGTAGCAGCAACAGCTCGGACATCGTCGTCGCGATCACCTAGCCTATTATTTCTTATCAACAAACCATCTCCCTTGATCGTGAAAGCTCACCCTAATATTGCGGCGTCAACCACGTCCCTAAGAATGGATTTTCCAGAAACAGTTGTGTCGTCTTCTTGCTTCATGTCGTTGAAGCTGGCTTCGAAGAGGTCGCTTCGGACAGCCACTTCGTATTTTACACCGAGAAGACCGGCATGGCGAACCTCCCATATGTGACTACTGGCTGCATCAGCTTTCGAACCACGTTCGGACATCTTGGCGCATGGTATAGGAAAATCCTGACGAATCATTTGAAGGAGGATTGAGTGAACATGGACTAGAGAGCGTCGTGGCATATGGAGCAGAAGCGATGCAAGGGTCTGAGAAATGATTTCGCGCACAGGCGCTATGACCTACAATTCCGAGCCTTCAGCAATGTAGGGTAGAGAAGCGATACTAAAAGTACCTGGTCTGAAACGAAGTCGCCGAATCGGTCGAGTACTAGCACACACAATAGCTTGGAGGCGAGACCGTTACACCACCTCTCATGTGCGATGTCGTTTTCTTCAGCGCTTGCCCCATCTTAGATAAAGGATAAGAAACGCATACGACGCTAGAAAGGTCATTTACCTTTCATACCGCCGCATTTCCCTTGGACTTTGAGTACCTCCCGTAGAGCCATGGCAGCGCCATGCCTGACTTCCCATGCTGCACTAAATAAATCTACTTCAAGTACTTTGACAACTCCGTCCCAAACCCATTGTCCAGGATTAACTTCGAGGGCTTTCGACTGTTGAGCAGCTTTCGGGGAAATGGCACCGCCTTTCGTTGGATCGATGACAACTTTCTCAGGTGAGGATCCATTAGTGCCGCTAGGGCTGCTCATACGAGAGTTATTTGTCGACTTGTCTTCCGTGGCCACTAGACGGGCCCTGGGGGATGCAAGGTGAGATACGCATGTGCAACCGAAAGTGAATAGACCAACTTGTTCGCAGCACCACCTACGGGAGCGGCATTATACTTCGTACCGGGACTTTGCGGAGGAGGGGCAGCTACGAATGCAGTATTACCTGGTTTTCTCTTACGCTTGAGTCGATTACGCTCTCGAGCCGATAAAGCAGAGATATCAGCGTCGGGCACCGTGGAAGTCGCAGTTGAAGGGGATGGGACAGGGGTGGCCGACCGCGATGGACTTGGCTCCTTGACTTTCGTATCGACCACGATATCCATCGGCGAAACGGGTGGCATGGGTTCTTCAATTTTGAGAGGGTTCTCCATTTCAACGTCGGCATCTTGCTGCGCACTATCTGCTAGTTCCTTCTCAAGTTCCATTTCGTCGCCGGCTTCGTCGAGAAATTCAAGGCCGAGGCGACCCATGGCCTCCTTGCGGGCCTTCTTGACTTCGGCCGAGCTGGACAAGATACCAGTAGGTTTGATAAACTCCTTGCCGGATGACGCCAGGAGGAGTTTCCCTTGAAGTATGAGTTCTTGCACAGAGAACGAAGGAAACTCCGGTACGGCGCATTGTTCTTCTGATTTTTCTTTGCCGTTTAATGGGCTACTCTGCGACGATGGCTGCCAGACTGGGACCAACGAGAATATTTGCGACAAAGCATTAGATGCAGCGTTTCGCGTTTCGTATGACTTCGAATGCAAATACGGTATAATCTAGAAGCACAAATAAGGGTCATTATTCTACAGCCGTATTATCGTTAATATAAACGGTCCGTACCCGTGCTACAACGGCCATCAGCTCGGCCCAAGAAGAGGGGTCGCCGAGTGACGATTGGTGGCGATTTGTTTTGATATCTTCTTCGACGGCGACATCACTTATCACGCTTTTTGCAGCAAGTTGTGCTAATTGTTTTGCTGCTGTCTTCCTGACCGAGGTCGAAGACCCAGTGTCCAGCAGGAGGAGGAGCCGGTCCAACCTGGTAAGGGATAACGTGTTAGATCAAAGAGATGAAGCCAAACAATGGTCATGTGTACCTTGAAGTCATGGCGGTTGCACCGGGCCGGGGTGTTAACTAAGGCAAGCGTGGTGACGAGAGATCGACTGGGGACGTTCACACGGCGCGTTTCCTCGTTTGCCCTTTTATTCTTTCTGCCCTCTGCAGTCTTGAGCGTGACAGGTGTCACACCAACGCTATTTTCAGCGACACCCTTATTCATTTCTCATCACTTTCCCTTTGCCGCCCCTGTGCTCAAGCCCATTTTTGCTCCCGCACGTCCCAGCATCTTTGCTAGACTCATCATGACCGTGTCCTGGGCGTCAGAATGTATGCAGAATGTCGCTACTGAGCTGCGAGACGACGTAGAAGAGCGTACGTTTGCGCCACATTGACTATGGCTCGCCTCTGAAGAAGCTTTGCAGTTTCTGCCAATTGCGGTTATGAGGATCAGTCCAGGCTCGTAAGGGTTGCAAATCAGCTAGCTGCAGGCGCTTGCGGTGGTGGGCTGTTGCGCGAAGTTGAGGTTCTCATCGATCACGCACACAAAAAGATGGCTAGCTCGTCTGGCAGAGTTTTGACCACTTGGCGAAGATTCTACACCGATGCCTGTATTCTGAGGTCGTTGTCAGACATGGAGCTCTTTACGAAGGCTGCCATTGCCAGACTGGATCGTGCGATCATTATTGCAGGCGCGGCAGGCCACCACAAGCTTGAATTAATCCACGTCCTCATCAGAAAAGCACAAGTTGAATTTTTAGGAGCCTCTTGCGAATGTTATGGGATTCGGCCAACATCAATCACTATATCCCCTTCGACTTCCAAGGTATCTGCTTCTTCTGGCACTATTCCATACTTGAACTCCCCTCCATCGCTCGGCGCCTTTCGCAGTCAACATTCTCATCAACCTTTCATTCTACGGGGATTCGCTCATTCCTGGCCTGCCCTGCAAGAACATTCTTGGTCGTCGTTGGAGTATTTACGGTTTGTGGCAGGGCCAGGTCGCGTGGTTCCCGTTGAAGTTGGACGCGACTATCGCGACAATGATTGGTCCCAAAGGCTAATGGACTGGGAAGAGTTCCTGGCTCACACAGGTCTCGGTGGCACTATTGTTCAGTCAGACGACGAGACGCCCACCTTGTATTTGGCCCAACATAACCTACTCATGCAGTTTCCAGCTCTGAGGGACGACATATGTGTTCCTGATTATGTGTATACCTCTCCTTCTCCCATTCTGTTCCCGTCATACCAACCACCTGGGAACGATGAACAACTCATAATCAACGCGTGGCTTGGGCCTACGGGAACATTCTCACCGGCGCATTTTGTACGTCTCTACATCACCTCGCCCAACGAATGGAGTTGATTGATGTCTATTTCCATCAGGACCCATACTTCAACTTCTATTGTAAGTGTAGAAGGCACCCGTTATTGATGCCATTCATATGACATGTCTATAGCACAGGTTGTTGGTTATAAGACAGTATGGCTTGCCCCTCCCAGTTCGTCCAATTCGATGTATCCCGTCGCGCAGCTGGGAAGCCCGCATGATTCTGGCGGTTCTACTGGTAACACGTCCGCTGTCGACGTCTTTGGAGAGAGTGATGGATCGTTTCCGGCCTTCTGGGCAGATGTCGTACCACACGCCATGTCTGCCACTTTGGAACCCGGAGACGTTCTCTTCTTCCCCCCTGGCTGGTGGCATGCAATGAGGAGCGAGACGCCTAGCTTTTCTGTTTCTATGTGGTTCTGACGAAACGATGGGCCATGTGTTATGTTACTGAAAGGGGAATTGAAATTGATGGAACACTGCTTGAGTGCTTCAAGTGAACTTTTCCCACGGTCAGGACTCGTGAACCAACACTTGTCCTTGGTTGAGCCATTCCGTCTGCCCTTCTCCTTCTTGTCCTTTCCCTGCTTCACGCCTTTCTGTTCATGACTACTAGAGGATCTTGCTGCGACGACCACATTCGCTGATTCTGCTCGCTACTTTTTCTACTCTTTTCCATGGTTGCTTTGTCTTATTCCGATAGTCTTGGGCCTCATTCTCAGCTAAATGCATACACTTTTACGTCGCTCAGCAATTATCACATCTCGGAGGCCGTATTGAAATCTCCGGACAATGGGTCTACGTTGGACTTATCAAGGCAACATATAACGGCGGTAGAGGAATCAGGCGTGGAGGAACTGGCTAGTGTTGGTCGGGACGAGGAGGACCAGGACTCACAAGGCTCAGTGCTGAGGTGCGCCCTACATTTAGTCAGATTACCTGGAAATAGTACTGACAGCGACGACGGCGCTCTCAGAATTGCTCTGGGACATAACAAACTCTCTACGTTACCCCCTGCATTCAGTCTATTGTCTCGTCTGCGATACCTTAACCTGAAAAGTAACTCCTTCGACGAATTCCCCGACGTTGTACGCTGTTTCTCGACTGCTTTACTGGAATATCCGTTAACGAAGCATAGTTGACGAACATGCCGTCTTTGGATACTTTGGACATCAGCCACAACCAAATCAAACGGCTGCCAGTTAAACCCGGAACTCTTGTCAACCTACGCGTGTTTTGCTTGTCGCGGAATAGACTGTCTCGCATACCGACATACCTCAGCCGGTTCAATTCCTTGGAAATATTCAAGGTCGACCGGAACCCCATAGAGTGGCCGCCACGCGAGGTCACTTCATTGTCCCACTCCGTTGACTCTGCCGACGCTATGAAGGATTGGATTATATCACTCCAAAGGTGGCTTGACGACGACGAAATGAAGCTCAATCGTGTTCACGATGATTCGGGTTTCGTGGAGAATGATTTGGAGCATCATATGTACGACATCCATCTGTGATTATCCTGGCTGTTAACAACAATTTCTATAGTGAGGAGGACTTGAACTCCTGGTCGCAGCTGCCCGCCTCTGCAAGCGAATTCGACGCTGGGATAACTCCGCATGCCAGGAACTTCTCCGTTGACTCAGCTTTTTCAATGTCTTCCGCTTCCGAATCCTTCCAGGAGGTCGAACCACCATCACTCAGCGAGTCTATAGCGCTTGAACGTCCCCCGCCACTGCACCTCGGCATTCTCCAAGCATATAGCACAGAGACATCACCAGCACACTCACCTAATGCCTATTTACCTAGCCCAGCCGCCTCGGATGCGTCACCACCTCGCTCAAATGGCATATATGGCGATTCGGCTCAGCAACATGGCCGTACATCATCATACGCTGACCTCAACCGCCCCTTTGCTCGGAGCGACTTGATACCGAAGCAAAGTATGCCCGATCTTCGTACTGCGAAATTGAACTTTACAAAGAAGCGGCCAGATGGCCCTCCACCGACGAAGGAGGAATTTTCCATGCCTTCGCCGTTGTCTTTGCGCCAGGATTCCAACTCGTCCCTCAATTCGAACACCCGCGGCACTTCGGCAGAGGCTTCATCATCCAAGCTTGGACCCGGGCCGTCAATGGCTTTCGAACGTAACTCATACTTTCGGCGCCTATCAACTCTACCCACCGCCGTTTCGACGGTTCTTCCGCAGCCCCTCCTCTGCCTCATTGACTCCGCGCGCAGCATACTCTTTGCTGTTTGTCAAGTGTATTTAGCGCTCGAACACTACACTGTGCAAGCCACAGATGACCGGCTTCCCAACGTTCTCCGCAAAGTATTGGACCCGGCGAACTCGGATATGATGCATTTCATCAACTCGCTGGACCGCTTTGATGCCATGAGTAGAAAGATGCTACCACCTCCAGCAATCTGTCGAGCAGTCGTGGAGAGCTGCAAGGATACTGTCTCTGTTTTTGGTAAAGCTATGGGTGTTTTAGCCTTACAGCTAAAGATGTTAGCCCATGAGGACGTACGGTATCTTAGATCTCTTCTTTTAACACTGTATGGCGCAACCGCAGAGATTTCATGCGCTTGGGCAGGGATGGCTCCACATATAGAGGCCATCAAACCGCTTCTGTATGCGAAACCGCCCTCTTCAAATCATCTAGCTGCTATCAGTAACTCTGAGGCGTATCCACTATCCGCCCCAGTTACAAAGTCAACGCATGGTCATGAAGGTTCGGGCGCATTCCCTCCTCTGCGATCTGCCAACGGGACAACTGGTGTTGTGCGTGCACGGCGACACGCTGGCTCGTTCAGCTCGAAGGATGTCGAAATTGGCAAAGCTCTTCCATCATACGAGGATATGCCGAGTCCCTTTGGTGGTGTTGTCCCTGGGGCGGCGCCACGTACCCCAATTCCACGGAAGAACAAGAGGCAAACCACCGCGCCAAATCCGACACTAACAACTACATCCGTCGTTATCTCATCGCCGTCACCCACTGCACCGCCGGAATCAATGCCTGTTGTGCCCTCGTTCTTAGCGGAAGCACTGAGGCCAAGTCATTCCCGCCAAGGATCACAAGCTTCACTTCAGGGCTCATCAACGTCCTCGTCACCGTTGGTCGCCCCCAAACCGTCCCTCTCCGACCTTGCATCCACTTCAAAGGTACAAGTCGATAATGAAGTCTTGAATGCTATGCAAGAGGCTATCGACGTTGCGCCTTCTGTCTGGGAGATGATGGAAGAAATTCTAGCGGACGTCATCAATACCGACACCGATGTTCGTGAGGGCTTGGCGCGGGCGAAGGCTATTACCACCCGACTGTCACAAACGCTACGTGCGTTTCAGGATGGTGACTTCACCACTGCTGATAAGAGAGCGATGGGTGAAGACGCTCGCATCTTTTGCAACGTGAGTCGCTCTATATTCTATTCTACATCCCAGTTGTCTTACTTGCTCCATATTTCCAGTCCGTTGTCCAACTCTCGAGGGCAATTAAGTATCATGGCGGTGCCCATGCGGTGCCACCGTCGCTTCGACTCAACATGGTCAAGTTGACCAACGCAACGGAAGTGTTTTTGATCCTGTTGCATGTTTCATCGTTTTCGCCTTCGGCCACGCCTCGTTCTTATTCGCCTATGCTAAGCGCGTCTCTGAGCGCTTCGTCGGCTCTTAATCCTCCCCCACCTACCTCGGCACTGAGTTCTGAAGAATCACGACTGGGTTTCAGTCTATCTAGAAGCCGCAGTGCTCAACCCTCCCCGAGTATGCGACATCGATTTCAGGAACCTCCACGAAGTGCCTTACCTACCCAGACTTTCAAAGTGCCTAGTATTCGACGGAGAGGCAGGGACCCTCCCTTTGACACAGCTTTTCGGTAACATCTGTAGAGTACTTACGACTCCTGTACACTAAGGCTTCAGACATATGTGGATGTACACCAGTACAGTTGAAGCAACCACCTTTGGCGCTCTTGCTTACGCTTGATGCCGTGGCACGATGTACTCTCGTAATGACAGGACGAGAGCGCTCTTTTCATTCACCCATTTATATCACGCAACGATTCACAGAGAAACACGAAAGTCATGCCATATTCATATTCATTCTTGGTACAATATTAACTATTTAACATCTTCAGTTCTTCTTGCCCTTCTTCGGATTCTTTCCTTTGGCTTTCGTAGACTTCGGGGTATATTTGATGTTATCCTTGGGGCATGAGCCTTTCTTGCCCTCCGGCGCATCTACGTCACGATCAGCAATGGCCTAGGCATGGATTCAGAAGTAATTACGTACCAATGGGTATAAACTCTCCAGCCATAGCTGAGCCTTTGACATTGAAATACCACACGACCTCCTTGAGGGTTTGATCCTTGCAATCAATGCGGGGGCTTACACCCTAGGTTTAACTTGAGTGCCAGAACGAAACCGGTAAATGCGAGTAATCTATTTACCTTGCCCTTCTTCAAGGCCTCGGCCAACGCATCATAAGTGAATGTCTGGTTGTCGGTTGGTAGAATGCCTGCATCCGCCAGCCATTTGTGGGTTGGTAAGTCCTAGAGCGACTATATTAGTTCGTTTTTATTGAGAGGGGGGTTATCATATCCACCTTGAATAGCTTGACCGTTGTATCGAAATACGCAGCAGCCTGATTTCGTATCTCTTGTAACCAGAGCAAAGAAGTGTAAAGGCAAACCACTTACGTCGGCACCGTGCTCAGTATCGGACAGGCATGTAGGCTTGATCGTGCTACATTTGATGTTAAACATTCGGACAATGAATGGGGCAGAACCACATACCTCATGCATGTGCCATGCTTAGACCACTCGTGCTGGTAGACCACGATTAAGAAGAATAGCTCTGCGTTCTACGGAGTAGACAAACCTTCCAGAACTTATCGTGATCACCATCTCTGTCCAGCCAATACTGAGGTGGGCTCAGTATTGGTGCCTCTTAGAGGGAAAAAGTAGGACGGACCTCTTTCATGAAGTTGAGGGTATCACTGGCGTCATTAGAACTGAGGACCTGGGTAGGAAGTCAGGAATCATTATACGGGCGGATAGAATGTAACGGCATACTTGGGAGATATCCTTATAATCTCGTGAAGGATCGCAGAATGAGTCGTATGTTCCATCACATCTATCAGAGTTCAGGGGGATAGGAGGGAATCATCAAGAGCAACACACTTGTCAGGCCACAAGCCTACAGAGAGAATGAAGGAGTCAGACCGCTACCAACCTTACACGTATACCATGGAAGTGTCCTACCGTGGATAGTCCAGCTATCAGCAGGACCATTGGCTGGCTCCGTATCCCAGAACTACAGAGAAAGTGGTAAGTACCGTCCCTGAATCTAGTAGGGGATCGATCCCTGACTTGAGTCTGTAGCAAGAGACCCTAAATCACCCTATTTTTAGTGATCACGTATATGAGGATACCGTCCTATACATACCCCAGGGTGTTCGAAACAGCACAGATTTTCGACAGCGGTGGTGTTTCCACAGGATGTTGGCAAGTTTCCAGAGGCACTGCATCCGTTTCCTCTGGGGAACAACGCGGGCGAGTCAACGAGGCCACTGAGGGATCGACCAGCGTCAGAGATTGGACCAGCCAGAGAGCTTGTCGTAAGCAGCGATGCCGCAAAGAGTACAGTGAGCATTGCGCTACAGCACTGATGTGTGTGGACAATGGAAGGTGGGGTTTGAGACAGCTTCTGCGTTGAGAGGCCGGTGCATACCTCCCTTCGCCTATCATCCCATTTTATAGTTTACAGATCAACAGCCAGACGGCCGTTGAGGGTAGGAGAAGTCAATTGACTATCGCACCACCCTGAAGTCGTAGCAAGGGAGGCCTTGGGGAAGGCATTTATCCCCGGGTACTTGACAATATGACCACCTTAGCGAGCGATTGCCTACATGTCGGTGGAGTCCGTTGCTACGCCCAGCATCCGGTAGAGCAGCCGTGCACATAGAAAACCTACCTAAAGTCTCCACAAAATGGTGCAAAGGACGAGCGACTGAGCCCCGAAATAGGTTTTCTGGATGATGGGAGGGCCTATAGTGGTATTGCGATTTGTCGTCGACCTCATGGCTTCGGTCAAGGGTAACTGGAACGTTCTTCGTGCACCGTCTGGTCACCCGGATCGGAGCAGAGCATGTCCTTCGACACCATGCCGTTCTCCGCCCCGCCCACGCTACAGTGGGACCTCGAGGTAGATTCCAGGAGCGCGAACACGATAATCGGACGCAGCGTCATGCGTCATGCCCCATGTGTTTCACCGTTAACGTTTTCCATGCCGTGTTGTATGGCTCATAAACTCGTGCTCATCGCTCCGAGAGGAGGAGCGGCGGGAGCGTGCTTTTCGCCTGGAAGAGCATATATAGATAACAGAGAGCGGAAATCAATTAGATACATGTTCGTAAATTGGCATCGCTAACACGTAACTCGAGAAAATAGAAGGCAGTCCCATAGAGGAATACAACCATAACATCGTTATCATTTCCTTGCGGCCCTCCATAGTGTAATAAGTCCTTGCACTCTGGTGCGCCAACTATCAGCGTATACGAAGCGTACGAGGCCGGATGTGAAGTCCCTACAAGCATGATTCGTCAGTGATTAGATAGCAGAGATAGCAGGGGAAGCGCATACCAGCTTGAGGATAATGACCGCAAGGGATAATCAAGGACCTTGGGTATGCTCGTCTGTATGAATGATGGCCAACGATCCACCATTATAGCCTTGGGATTTGTTAGAGCGCGGAGACCCTCGGGACCACCTACGGAATCGCAATCAGCGACGTGCTATACTATTTTGGTCCCGTACATACCGAACCGTCCATAGCCACTAGCCTTCGTGCCGCCGAAAGGTAAATCTTGACTATTATTGATGTGAGTACTGAGCGAAAACAACGAGTTCAGAACTTACTTCAACTATAGGATATATGTGAGCAGATGATGACGATTGAAGGTAAGAGACTCACATAGAATACACCAAAGTCGTTGATAGACACCATGCCGCATTGAAGCTCCTTCGCAACTTGAAGGCATTGCCTCTGGTCGGGACCAAACACGCTTGCGCCCAAACCATACTTGGTACCGTTGGCAATGTCAATGGCTTCCTCAACATCCTCGTAAATCATCAGAAGGGCAATGGGAGCGAACACTGGGAAGGAAATAATCAACATCGCGCACTGGTAGTGGTTCTCTTCACTTACGTTCCGTATGAGCAATTTCCTCTTCCGGAGAAACTGGTCCGACAATAGTAGGGGAGAAATAGGTTCCTTGGTTGAGATAGACGTGCTCGAACTTCTTCCCTCCCTCGACATAGGCACCGTTCTCCTCTGCTGATGTGATAAGACGTTCGAGCGAGTAAAAGCGGTCCCCATCAATCATGGCACCACAGTCGACGGTGTACACGTATCCCTCTTGTGTGGGTGTAAGGACCGAACCGAGACGCAATTTCGAGACACGCTCGGATAAGAGTTCCCTCAGATCGTCGTACTGGCTCGAATGAACGATCAGTCGCTCTATTCCAATGCAGTTTTGCCCAGCGTTTTGGCTTTTGGTCGTTTCTTCGTTCAGTATTTCTCAATAAGAGAGACACGGAGACACGCACTAAATTCCGCGCATCCATAGGCTCAACCATTTCTTCAAGTCGGTGTCTGGGAGTATAATGGCTGGGTCCTTGCCGCCAAGTTCCAATGTTACTGGGGTAAGGTTCTCCGCAGCAGCAATAGCGACCTAGATCAAGGAATTGATAATCCGAATGTGCAAGGCGCGTGCATTCACCGACCTTTTTCCCGACCGTATCAGAACCGATGAACGTGATGTGCTTAATCTCAGGGGACTTAGTCAGTGCCTCGGCTTCCTCTGGGTAGCAACAGACGAGCTGTAGCATATTGTTACATGGAATTCACTGAGAGGAACTAATCAACTTGCCTGAACTAACTCCGGGTCATGACCACATGCCCGTAAACATTCAGTGATGGCACCCACGAACCAGCCAGTAGACCACACAACTTTCTCTGAGCACTTGAGTACGATTCCGTTGCCTGCGAACAGAGCTGCGATGATAGGTGACCACGAGTTGTGAAGGGCTAAGAGGTATCAATTCAGAATGTTGGTTATAACGAGTATACCATTGGCTGTTGGTCACTCACGATAATTCCACGAGACAATCCCTGCAACGACACCAAGAGGTTCGTAATGGACCTCTGATTTCTTGTATGACAGAATAAGATTCGATGACCGAGATTCGGGACGCAAAGCTTTCTCTCCGTGAGCAATCAGCCATTCCAGTTTTGAGCATGTCGTCAAGATTTCGCCCAAGGCCGCGTCGATTACTATAGAAAGAATTTAATCAGGTACTACAGGCCGTTCTTGTTGAGCGGACGTACATGTCTTTCCAGTGTCACGACATGCAACTTGAGCACACGCCTCTTGGTTGTCTACAAGCCACTTCAGAAGACTACGCATAAATCGTCTTCGTTGGGTAAACGTGGTGTCCTTCCACGATGCCTGCGCCTCCGAAGCCCTTCTAATTTTCATCCCAATTTCTTGCGCATTGTCCGCAATAACGGTAGCAATGTGAAACGACGTCGCTGGGTCAAAGCTCGTGATGTATTTCCTGTCGCGAGCCGCAAATGTGGGCATGATTTCCTCTTTTTCCAAATGGGATGTTATGTTAGCATCTTTAATTGGAATTGATTCCCAAGCAGGTTCCGCTTCCTATGTTCAAGATGAGCAATAGTGAAACCAGCCCACATCTCCTGCTCACCAATGGTTTATGCCATTCAAATGGTTTTGGACTATTGTGGATTTTATGATACCGTCTGATGACTTGGTATATACCAAAGCCCCAGAATAAGCTCAGCGGCACAACAAAGCCGAATCCAGGTGGTGCGTCGAGATCATTGTCGTCGGTGCTCCGTAATTTCAAGAATGGGTATATGAGGATGTCGAGCAGCACGCTCATCGTGCCGAGCAGCGAGAAAGGGTTGAAGTTGAAGTTGAGCCACGCGCCGGCTTTGTTTACGCGTGAGGATCACGCCACCCTGGCATGTTTGCACCTGTTGCCTGGCGGCTTCTAAATTCCCTCGATCATGTCGCCTCCTCACAAGAAACGGAGAATTACCTCGGACGAGGTCCAGGATGTTGCTGCACAGTTTGATTTCGAAATTTCTGTCCGGGAAAGGATTCGGCAAGTCACTGCGCAAAGGATTCAATGGGCTCAAGCGTTACTGAATGAAATTCCTGATTCATGTGGTAAGTACTGGCTCTTCGGTAATGAGCATCTTTTCAAAGCCTTGATAAGATGCAGACGCAGACAGTGCGCCAACCGTATACAAGAATATCGCTCTGGGCGCATGGGACGCCGTGAACTGTCCCACTTTTGTCCTTCTGGACAGAGTGATTCCCCCAAGCCCAATTCAGCATGCTGCCCTTCCCGATCCCGCTCTGGGTGCTCCTCGGGTTCGGAAGCAGAAGTTTTTGTATATCAAGCCCTCTGAGGCTGGCGAAGCTGGTCTACTTATCTTGAAGTGCCCTGCATGCCTTCGTACATCATTTACATCGTTACAAGGCCTGCTAAACCATGCACGTCTGGCACACAAGATTGAATGGGGGACGCATGATGATTGCATCAGTGCTTGTGCAGTCGTAAACGACCAAGAAGACCTCGTGGTAGAAGATGGCCTCGAGGTTGGAGGCACTCTATCCGTTCTACCGAGTTTGCAGCGTTTGTTCCAGAGTGCTCTTCGTGGTCAAGTCGCTCCACAGGACATCCTACCTGCCGGTGCTACCACTACTCCCACACTGGAGGACAGAACCGCCGAAAGCAACCAGAATGTTTCCCATCAAGACTCGGTCTCGACACACATATCCAGGACCCTTGGATTCCATGCTGAGACGCCTGCACTAGCACCTTTCTTAGGCAAGACCGCGACTCGGCGGGGGATCAAGGCATGGAATGAGCTTGAAGACATCGATGTCTACGGCGGGATACAATCCCCGAAGAAGACCCACAGAACTGGCCGTGTTCTTACTGCACGCAACAAAGCTTCGTTGGTTGAGGACGCGGACTCTACCGCGAGCCCTCCTACAGATCGTACCCCGCCTTCTGAGGTTGGGCCTGCACCTGCCGGAGTCAATGTCAAACAAGACGACCTTTTCTCCGGACTAGATCCCTTACGAATTCAATCAAGCCGTTTCTATTTCTCCACCCGTATAATCATCACTGACAGGAGTTGGTATCAGCCTCCACGTAAGCACGTAATTTCCCTTGCGCTTTCCTGCACAACAACTTTCCGTAGAACGTCGAGGCAAGAGCAAACATACTCACAAATGGATGATATCTGTGGAAGCTCCCTCATATGTTTGTATTCTCCTTCTGGAACCCACTTGATGCTTACCCACTCACAGAGCATCAACATTACCTCTATCTTGAAAACCCTCCGCGTATCGTTAGCTGACCATCAGCCCCTTGACGACAACGCTCCCGAAATCTCGTCGCTCGGTTGCTCAAATCCACCGTATGTCGTTGTTGGTTGGACCTCCCAGCCTTTCCTGGCCAACGTGGAGCTCGAGTTCAACGATGCTGGAGATGGTTCAAGTAAAGGACAAACTATCACTTTCGAACATTGGGTCGAGGTTTGTTTACTTCTAGACATTGATATTCCAATATGACTGACCACAGTTGGAACTCATATTGTAGCTCGACCAATTAGGCGTCTCTCATCCCGTGATGGGCGCTGAACAAGTCGTCGATGTTGAGCTCGAAAAGAGGATGCGGGTGCTACCTCCAAGAAAGGATGTCGTCAGTATAAACAACAAATCACTATGGGCTACAGATTCCGCAAAAGTGGAAACGGACAACTCCAAAATGTCGCTTGGAGAACAGACGAAGAAGGATACATCCGGTTGGTTTCTCTCAACCATTATCTTCAGTGGTGCATTCTCATTCTATCACTAGATATTGATAAACTGCTGAATGACTTGGTGTCTAAGTTCCCCATGACTCACAAAGGTAACATTTCGCTCATCACGTCTGTCAATTCATCTAAGTCTTTCACTGTCAGACATCAAGTCTCGGGGACGTGTAAATCTTTCTCAACTGCCATACATGCTGGTCCTATCTCCTAATCAATTCAAGGCACTGAATCTAGGGCGACGAAAGGCCATCGAGGTGTGATTGCTTGTTCATGATGATATTTTGACAATCTAAAGCAAAGTTTCACTCAGTGGGGGCGTGCAAGGGCTATCCGGGACGCTTACAACCAGGACGTGCACACGAAACGCCCAGGAGACCCGCGCTTTAAGCTACTGAAGACGGTCGATGTATTCGACTGGCTCGAGAGCAAATGTCTTTTCATTCGTGCCAGACCCCCTCCTCCCGTCACTCAAACTAAAATGATCGGGGGCGAGGCTCTCGATGCCTGGTGTGGGTACTGCGGCTTGCGACTTGACGACGATGTCTCTGTGCATGCTTCTGGGTCGTGTATCTTCACTGGAGCGGCGACACAGCCCGTTTCCCTGAATTCAATTCCCCCACTCGACAGCCTTTCCATACTTCGAAACCCCACGACTAGCGTCGCGCCGGCTATCGTTCCCACTGCGTCACTTTCATCGCCACACTTCAAGCCTCGCTCTCTAGTTGCGATTGCTGATCCTAAGCTAACAATCGGTGTCATGAACACCGTATCCCTACTCAAGTTACCCACTTTGCAGACTCCCCATAACCAAGGGCCTTTCCCCCTTGATAGATTGGGTAACACTGTTAGCGCGGTTGATGCTCAGCTCGCCCCATACGCTACCATCGGCCTCGCTTTACGGTCACTCATAAAGGTTCTCGTTGGCAGCGCCTTGGATGTCGCAAAGGAGGACAAGCACAATAGGGAACAATCCTCTGGGATTGTTGCGAGCCGGAGAGTTTTAACGGCAAGCCACTTAATGCGAGGGATTGCGCGCGGTCAACAGGAGAGCAGCACCCTCGAGGCAAAGCTGTTGTATTTAAGCCTTGCGACCATGAGAATTGATGTACATGAATGAATCGAGTAGAGGGTAACGTTTTGATTATAATTGTGGAGCTTGCTCCCCTATTGTGACCTCCTTCAGTTAGTTGCGCGCGATGGTACTTATTATTCAACGTCTACCCACAGTGCCCCTACCGGTCTCCCGGGCCCGGCCCCCTCTTTCGCCCCCCTGATGTATATCTGCAATTCTGATGGGTTTCTGACCGGCGAAGGACTACAGCTAGCAAATTTCAGATTTGCACGTCAGATTCACTTCTGTTTCACTGTTCTACTTTCAGTCTGCATGATGAGGAGAGGCGGCCGCCTTCGAACCCCCTATTCGGAAAGCGCCCGTTGGCGCGTTACATAAGCAGAGTTACCGCCCACATCACCATGTCACGGGCTTGAAGGCCATTCTCTGCGTCGATCTTAACTAGGTGACCTGCGTCGCCCTTGCCCTCCCCTCCCGCTCGTTCCTGCGCTGATATGGGTTGGTTCACGTCGCTCTTCTTCCCAGCTGCGGCAACAAACTCAAGAAAAGGCCAAGCAATGTCCTCGACGCATGAAGCCTTCTCCCTGCCAACATCCTCCCCCGTCTTCTCCTCGCACCCTCATGCTTTCAGCGCAGAAACTCTGGGCACTCCGGATCCTGAAGGCTCCTTGAGCCCTTCTTACACATACCCACCGCCGAACTCAAGCTCATATGGGTATTTCCCGACATCGTGAGTCTTGGCTGTTCTTTGAAAGTGATATCATTGCCCATTAGATTCGTTTTCACAGCAGTGGTTCTTCGCGACCGCCGTCGCTGCTGCCTACACATTACGACTCTCTACACACACCAGCTTCACCATCAATTCCTTACCCACCATTAGAGAAGACCTGGAACCGTCTACGTTTGTGGCTGAATCGCGAATACCCTGAGCTCGGCGACACCCTCAACTATGGCATCCTACCGCAAGACCTCGCCCAAATAGAAATGCAGTTCGGCTTCGCGTTGCCAGCGGTTGTCCGGGAGTCGTATCTCCTTGTAGACGGACAAGAAGCGGAGTCCTCGGCAGGGTGCGCGGAGGGTCTGTTCTACGGTCTGACCCTGCTGCCGCTGGAGGACGTATACGAAGAATGGAGATTTTGGCGGGAGGTGGATAGCGACCCAACTACGGGCGCGAATGTCCAGCTAAGGGAGGTCATGCAGTCGCTGCCACCGGGCTGGGTCAGGAAGGAGTATTCTCAACGAGGCTGGATTCCACTTATATCCGATAAGACGGGGAACTACGTTGGAATCGATCTAAACCCAGCTGAAAATGGCTCCGTCGGACAAGTAATCGTATTTGGACGCGACTTTGACACGAAGGTGGTTTTATGGAATGGCGACGGGCCAGTCGGTTGGGCAAAGTGGTTGGCTAGTTTCGTGGACGACCTCGAAGCTGGTGAAGGATTCGAAATTGGGACATCGAATGAAGCTAGCAGCGACAGTGAGGACAGTCTAGGTTATGAAAGCTACTTCTACGATGGTCATGGGCGCGGGCAGGGTGACGGTGGAGGAGATGCTGGACATTCTGGGTTGCGTTTAACCGGGGAATACAAGGGTTGGAACGTGTTGGAGGCGCTGGCGGATCGCAGTGTACGGAAATGGTACGACGTCCGAGTGATCACTGATGCAGCCATATTACCAGACGGGGATTTGAAGAATAAGGTGAGTGGTTACGCTTGCTGTAACGACAGTTTCTTTAAGAGTCTACGCTAGCCCGTGGAAAATGTTGGTCTAGGAGTATTAGAGACTACGCCAACTTCTGCTCAAACGCCCGTACCTGTACTCGCTGATGTGGTTGACCCCGACGAAACCCTCCCCGACTTGCCAGATTCTCCCACCACCTCAAAACCCAAAACAGGTTTGAAACCGCCTGCTCTGGTGGTCACAAAAGTCCCTGCTCCTCGGCCAATAGAACTTCCAACCCCACGAGAAATCGCCGCCCTTCCATCTCCCCCTGAGTCTCTACGTTCATCATCATCTGCAGATGATCTCGAGTCTGGCCGCAACATTAGCCTGGGGGATAGCCGAGACGTTGAAACAGGATTGGTCTCGCATAAACGAGACTCACCGAACCAGGACATGCCCTCCCTCTCCACACCACACGTCGATCCTCCATCACCAACCTTGTCCAAGCGCATGTCTCCACCACCAGAGGTTCCTGATCTTCTTACCGAGTCAAATCCTATTCTAGAAACGACTCTAATCCAACCATCGCCCATTGAAGCACCACCGCCACTCCCCGTTACTCAAGAATTAGCTCCTCCGCTTGAGCCTGAGGCCCAGCCTGCAGACCTTGTTGACACTAAGTTGCCCGATTCTGATGCAGGTGCTCCCACTACTGTTCGCTTGATTGGCGGCGGAGGAAAGGCCGGCGTTGTGACTGAGGAGCCATCCACTATTGAGCCCCCAGTATCCTCCTCTCCCGACCTCACAGACGTTGCCTCTGTATCCTCTATGGACTCTGCTGCCGTTACACCCCAACCCTTTGTTGACGGTGCTGCAAAGAAGCACAAGAAAACGAAGAGCGGACTCTCTGGTTTGAAGAAACTTGTTGGCCGAAGAAAGGACTCAACTAGTAGCACGAAAGAAGTGGTTCCATCAAGTTAAATCTAGATTCGCTCGCAGCTCCCTCAGCTCGTATCGCTCTTGTGACATCTACACTTAACGTGTTGTTAGTCTTTCCTCCTACAGATGTCTGCGAACTTGCGCCGACAGATGTGGAACATTAATCATCATCATTATTCTATTAACGTCTCCCCACAGTACCGCCCCCTTGCATATCCTCGCATTCATCATCATCAGTCAATCATCGAGTACTTTCTTTGTTATTTTGGTTTTGGAGTCGTAGCGCTTTAAATACATTTCTATTCTGCTTTTTTTCTCTATCCTTTGTTCTCCTTTTCGTTGGACATAACATTCAGCTCTTATTCTCAGCGTAACGATCTTGCTAATACTCTCGACGATGTTAACGGCAAATGTTGTGTGATGTAGATCATTGAATGAGACACTCTAAGCGCCGATAGACGCCCAGAATGTGGTTTGTCAACGTGGCACCCGCAATTCCTTCCTCCCGACCGACATGGAACAACAGGCCAAGTCACCGCCAGAGATAAAGAAAGTCGCGCAATTCCTGCGTAGTGGAGGCGCAGGAGTCAAAGTGCGGGTGGGGGCAATGAATGGGAAGCGGCTGGACTACTTCAAAGGTACGCCGAGTGGGTTGGGTCACGGAATGACCAGTATGGCTGACTGTCACCAGGAAAATCAGCTCTGAAGGCGCTGCTGTCGCCGGCTTACCAGAAGCTGAAGGGCGTACCAAAGGTCACCAACGAGGACGAGGCGCGAACGGTGTTGCATGCCGCCAACGCTTTCGCGTTTTACTTGCGTGTCGCCCGAGGTGACCCTTCGGGCTCATCGTCCTCGTCACCCAGACATCTGCAGATTATCCAGGAGCAGATGTTCGCGCCGGATGAATACTATGCTTGGTTCTACGAGGGCTCACAATGGACGACGTACGCTGGCGGTATCGGAATGGTTGCACTACTCTTCGCCGGCGTCATGTTCCCGTTATGGCCCCCGACTATGCGTCTTGGTGTCTGGTATCTGAGTATGGCGATGCTCGCATTCCTTGCTCTGTTCTTTGCCATCGCCATCGTTCGCCTTATCTTCTATATTATCACCATCGTCGTCGCTTCCCCCGGAATCTGGATATTCCCTCAACTATTCGCTGACGTCGGATTTGTGAGTCCATGTCTCTGCGTAACAGGGTGCCCACTTGACCAGATATATCCAGGTCGACTCTTTCATACCGCTATACGAGTGGGACATGCCGAAGAAGAAAGGAAAGAAGAAGGCCGAGAAGAAGGCGGACAAGGGTAAAGGGAAGGCAAAGGAAGTCTCTACAAATGGTGCCGGCGCATCGATTGTTGAGGCGGACTCTGACGACGTGAAACCCAAAAGTAGGCGAGTGATGGTGGAAGAGGTTGAGGATGATGAGGAGCCTTCTTCATAAATGTACTCGCCGTACCACCCTTAATTTATCGCCCATATATTGTCTCTTTTCAGTGATTAGAGTTACTAGCTACATAACCATACCCAGCAGCTAATGCAGATTCGTGGGAAGCGCAAACAGTATTCTCGTTTCGACATACTTGAGACTAAATGACATTGCTGATTACTTACCCATACAAAGTAGGCAACATAGTCTCGGAAATCTTGGACTGTCAAAAGAAAGCTCACAAACATTGGGGTGAATGCAGACATAAATCAATTCAACGATATAGCGATAACATCCTTGCTAATCCTTCTAGTATGCCGCCGTGGAGAGAACTACTGATGGCCTGCAACAGCCTGGGCTTTGTACGGCTCCTCCAGCGACTTGATTTCTTCCTCCGTTAACTTCACGTCAATAGCCCCTGCGGACCCAATGAGTAAATCATTCCCCAAGCCCTCAAGCCTCAAGTTTACTAACCGAGAATATCTTCCAGATTCTTGAGACTTGTAGTTCCAACGATGGGAGCGGTGACTCCTAGAGCATCCACCAAGTAAAACAACTGTGCTCAACACAAAACCAAAAACATACACACCTTCTTTAGAGAGAGCCCATGCGATGGCAATTTGGGCCATACTTACGCCCTTCTTGTTTGCTAACGCCTCGACGCTTGATGGAGTGTCAGTATCTCAGGCACATCGACTTCACCGTTACTCACTTCGTCACGATATCTTTTGTTCCCAAGGCGCCGTCGTACAGAGACAGCCAGCTAGATGGATACTGTTGATTAGCGTTCATTGCCGTGCATGGTAAACGAGATGACTAACAGGTCACTCTGCGACCTCTCTGTCTGAACTTGGGAAGAAATAGGTCTAGTCAACTTGCCCCGGGCCAGCGGAGACCAGGGAATAGATCCAACGCCGAAGTGCTGACAGGGCTAATTAACATCTACAATTGTTACCCTCACAATGATTACTCACCTTCAACGTAGGGAACATCTCCCTCTCTTCCTCGCGGTAGAGAAGGTTGTAGTGGTTCTGCATAGAGATGAACGGCGTCAAGCCATTGTTTATCGCGTAGTCTAGCAGATATCGAAAGTGAGCACTCTGCCGATGCAATATTCTGGCCATATAAACATGACTTACTTTGCATCGCGTGGACTTGTCATTGATTGATAAGTTAGCATTGTGCCACCAAGATCACAAAGTAAAGTAACGCTTACATTGCCACGCGTAGCACGAGCTCATGCCAACGTATCGCACATAGCCTGCCTTGACGACATCATGAAGCGCTTGCATCTAGAGGCAATGGCATCAGTCGAGAAAATTCAAGTAATCATTGGTCAAGTCGTTGATTCACCGTTTCTTCAAAGGGGGTGTTGGGATCGCATCTGTGGCCTGGTGAAGTCAGTGTTATGGCCGGGAGGCTCAAAGGAACCAGACTTACATTGGAGTACATCGATGTAATCAAGCTGAAGCCTTTCGAGGCTGTGCTTCACGCTCTCGAATATGTGCTATATGAACAATCAGAATATGGATCAGAGAAGTTGAGGGCGGAGCGTACCTTCCGACTGAGGCCATATTGATTGACATAGCCCAAGTTATCCAAATCGGACTTTCCAAATCCCATGAAGCCAGGCTCTCGACCTACAACACCGTATACCTTGTAGTATTCTTGTGAGATCGTGGGGCTGAGCCTTGCAAAGCTTGCATACCTTCGTCATAACTACAATTTCGTCTCGGGGGAGGTTAAGCTGCTTGATCGCCTTGCCTAGCACGATTTCTGATTGGCCGTTGGAGTAGACCTGTGTCTTTGATGAGCAATTGTCCCAGTCACTGGGTGCCCGACATGTAGCGTACATTCGCGGTATCAAAAGTTTGGATGCCATGTTCGTATCTGGGAGTCGATATCAACAGTGAGCAATCCCGATAAGCAAAAGATCGAGCGAACATACGCAAACTTGATTTGTTTGATGCCTTCTTCTTCATTCAGCACCCACTTTTGCCACTCGGGTGTACCATAGGACATGCACCCAAGGATGATCTTGGACACTTTGAGTCCGGATTTACCTAGCCTAACTATACCAAACGGTGCAGTTAGAAACAATCCTTAAAGAAGATAAGAATTGCCAACCATATTGCATTTTGTTGGTAGACATTATTTCGAAGGTGTGATTGAATATCCGTAAATGCGAAGTAGCTGGTTAGGGAGGTCTAACCACTGGTGCGTTATATACCCCTCGTATTGAACCCCTGACTTCCATGCCGCAGATCAACGCGTACATACCATATCGTTCGGCGCGGGGCATGTGCATGGGGAAGGTACGGTAATTGCCTTACTACTACGCGCTGTTAGTAATAATCCGATAGTACAGCTGACCAACGGCCATCGTACTTTTACACGTCGACTCTAATGGCAAGAGATACCTAACTGGGGTATGCTCCTTCGCAGCGTGTGTGGTTCGGCTTCTTGTGCTCAGAGGTGTAGGTTCACAGACAATTTGCTCTATCTCACGATAACCGGTCACCGTGTTGGGCTTGACGGAACCTTTCGTGAGGAATGTGGGGATTTGTGAATGAGGAGAATAAGACGCACCTTCATCGATCATCATGGATTTGTAGGGGCGCCAGTACTAAGTAGTATCAGACCGCACCAAGGTTTATGTGCCTGACGGATCAAGTTTCACGCAACCGGCATGTACGCGTAAAGTTGGTGTCGGATCCCCTTTCCATAGTGATTATCTAATACTTGCACACTGATAGTGATTGCAACAGTCCATCATACATAGGGCCACTCACTCAATCGTGCCCAAGTTATCCCTCACCTTGAAGTCGCACCCAGTCTTGGACTTAACTTCATCAACGCTCACACCTTTCGCAACATCGATCAAGGTTAACTCCCCGTTACCGCGATCAACGTCGAACACCGCGAGCTCAGTGATGATCTGGCTGACTGTGCGTGCACCGGTGAGAGGAAGGGAGCATTCTTTCAGGATCTTAGGGCTGCCGTCTTTGGCGCAGTGCTCCATGACTACGATGACCTTGGTTTTGTCGGGGTTGGAGACGAGGTCCATAGCACCGCCAATGCCCTTCAGCATCTTGCCTGGGATCATGAAGTTGGCAATGTCACCCGCCTGCGAGACTTGCATCGCCTGGATGAAGGGTCGGTCAAACAGAGTTACGAAGTTAAGAGTAGGTGAAGAATTAACTTACGCCAAGAATAGCCACATCGATATGTCCTCCCCGAATCATCGCGAAGGAGTCGCTAGAATCTGAGGGAGCAGTTTGCCACCGTTCTAGATCTCGGGGAAACCAACTAACCGAAGACAGATGCACCAGGGAGGAGGGTGACGGTTTCCTTTCCAGCATTGATAAGATCCCTGTCGCCGGAAATCAGCATCTTGAAATCCCCTAAGAAATGCCTCCACTTACGCGTCAAGTTGCTTCTCTGTTGGATAAGGCCCCATACCCAAGATACCGTTCTCGCTTTGGAGCCAAACCTTTACACTTGGTTCCAGATGCTCTGGGACGAGCGTAGGCATGCCGATGCCTAAGTTGACATGGAATCCATCTTTAATCTCCTTCGCAGCGCGTCTGGCGATTCTGTGGCGCGTGGCTTGAGCGGCAGCCTTTTCCGGGGAAAATGCTGGTTGGGAGGAGGAGGATTGCGAGAGGGTGGCGAATTCGATTCTCTTTTCGACGGTGGCGGGGACTATTCTGTCGACGTAGATACCTGGGAGGTGAATTGAATTTGGCGAGATTTCGCCCACTGAGACTATGTTTTCTGCCTAATGATGATCGGTTAGTTAGGTCGTAGGTGGGAGTTGCAAGAGGCTTACTTCGACAATAGTAAGCTTCGCGTTTCGTGCCATGACCGTATTGAAATTGTTTGATGCGTATCTAGTAATTACAGTACCAGTCAACCTATGATCCATCAAACCTCCATATCTCCTCACTCACCTGAACACGCAGTTGCCAATCTCATCAACCTTCCACGCTCTAATGAACGCGACATCGCCAGGAATTCCAGGTTCCAGCACGTATCTCTTCCCATTGATAATTTTATGCTCCTTCTTTATACCCGGAATCTGCACCCCGGCCGACATGCCGCCCTCGTTGTACCGCACGGGAATGGCACCTTCCTCCACGGCCGTCGACGCGCCGGTTGGCGTGAAGAAGGCAGGAATGCCTGCCGCGTGTGCGCGTATACGCTCAGCGAGTGTGCCCTGGGGAACGAGTTCAAGGGAGATTTGGCCCTTGAGGTATGCTTGTTCGAATTGCTTGTTTCTAAAGTAATATCATCAGCAAATGCTACAAGAAAGACCCGGGGTAGAACTCACCCTCCAGGGTATGAAGCAATCAACTTGCTCATTTGCTTGCTGATCAGCAACTTCCCTATGAATCAGCGACCTCCATCAGCGTATATGTAACAGTTTGACTGGTTTCTGAACTCACCCAAACCCGAAGTCTCTGCACCACAGTTGTTCGATACACCCGTAAGGTCCTTGACTTCATCTTTCCGCTTCGTAAGGGCAGTGATAAGAGTATCTACCAGCTCGCCGTTAGCATCCTGCGCGATAGCGACGCGTGTAGTACCTACCAGGTATCCCGGCGAATCCAAACCCTACATTTCGGTCGCATATCATTTCGTGTTACCGAACTGTATAGAATCGCATATTACGCACCTCCAACCATTAGCGTGTCCCCCGACTTGACATCCTTGACTGCTTCATCAGCTGAGGCCCATACTTTTGGCTGTTTCGATTGTTGGGCTGGAATTGAGTAGCATCGTTTCTGAAGAACCGGGGCGAGCGCGTAAACTCGGCCAACGTGGAAATGCTTTCGAGGGACTTGCAATCTTATGTTGAGCATCGTTTGTAACGTTAACCCTCGCTGAAGGCCCCGATTTACGTTGCAGACTGGAGGGGAAAGCGTGTATGACTGCCAGACTTCGTGTGAAGGTAATGTACGTCCTGCGGAACCTTATGAGAATTCGGCAGTATACACAACCGGAACATGGATCTTGCAAGCACACGGTGATGGAAAATCTGATGATCCGTCCATAGAAAGTCCAATCATTCTAGTACGATTACATTCGCAACACACAAGTTCATTATCTTTGTCATCATCGACGCCCGGGGCCTTTTGGACGTGCAAATGGTTTCTTCTCACCAGTATCGATTTGGCCGGGGTTGCTGCTTGCAGCAGGAGTAGCGGCATCCAAGTCAAGGTACGAGACAAGGAAAGCTTCATCAAGCTCTTGAGGATCGGAGGTCTCGATTTTCCTGCTCGCCACGGCGGACGTAGAATAGGACGACAGAATCGCCTTCGCAGCGAGGAACGTAGCGAGCGAGCAGGAGGAGTATAGCATGCGGTTCTTGACAGGTGAGTTCGAAGGACAAGAGTAGATCCAGTCTGCGCAAGTTGAACTACAGCGAAGTTACGAACTACGTCGCACTCACAGATTTCACGTTGGGTGCGGGGCCAAGCGAACAGAGCAAAGCAGGGGTCGGAAGGAAGGAGACTCGCGCGTAGTCGATCGACTGTGATGTCGGCAGAGGAGTGAAGATGAAGCATTTCTGAGCTACTGGTTACGTTGATAGTCTATGCGATGTATGAGTAGAGGTAGTAGACAGAGGCAAAGGCCCACGCACGAAGACGAGCACCGAGCAGGTTTCTCCTGCGCCGAAAGCCTTGATAGCTTCTGTAACTCCGTCCTCCCATTTCATGCCAACGTTGTCGTTCCCGAGATGATTCTTCCTTGCACGACTGCCCTCGTAGATCCCCCCGCTTGCCTCGCGTTCGGCGGCTTTGATGTCCTCCATTTCTTGCTCACGCGCACTGAGAGGCTTTGGTGCGTTGACGTGTCTTCTATGCGCGGCGTAAGCATCCGCAGTCAGGTCGTCCTTGGACGTGGCGAAGATCGAGTCGGTGAAGAGTGTCGATCCCAGTGATTTCATCAGCGACGCCCTCGTCGACGCGTATAACATCTGCACTCGACCAAGCTCGTATATAGAAGCTTTTGAGTGCCCGCGATACTCACCTTGTCGCGAACCTTGGCCGAATCGGGGACATAAGAGATGGCAATCCATTCAGCAGGAGGCTCGTCCAAGCGTCCTAGAATATAGGCTGGTGTGTTGTCTTCCACAACATGCTGGAGCTTCGCGAGATCGTCTTGGAAAGTGCCTGCACCCGGTATCGATTCGTCGTGAACCAAGGACTCTGGGCGACGAAGAGATGAGACTTCAGGGATGTGCCGCCATCAGCGTGAAGCCAAACCGTTTTGGATGGAGACCTTGATAAATCTAGTTGCTTTCGTGTCAACTGCGTTGGAGAACTCGTCAACGAGTTCTTGAGATATCCCGATTCCTGATGTTGCGGACATGTTGGCAACGAGCAAGATGTGATTTCGTGAAGTGCAGAGCCTTAGCGTTTTAGCGCCCAACCCAAGCTGCGGTTTCCTCTATCCTTGCTGTTTCCTCGCTGTTTCCCGCATCGCGGGTTGATGATCATCTGTTTCGTTGCATAAATTGAAATCCAGCAGGCCACCGCCACTATTCGCAATCCCCCGCCCCAAATGCCAGAGAAACTGCTTTCAGACTCGCAGCAGGTCCCATACCAGGCTTACAAGGTCTTTCTGGCTAGCTTCTTGAGTAGTTCACTGATTGATGGTGTCGAACTCTTCTTGATAGTCGAAGAGACACTCCAGAAACCTTTCGAATCCCACCCATGTGCTGAATGGCTTTGCGAGCAACGGCGTTGCGCTTGCAGTTCCACGACCACGGCCGTCAAGCTTCATGGGGACGCCTTCGAGCTTCGGGTCGGCGGAATTTGGCACGGAGGACAAAGTAGAGATTGCAGTCATTGAACCAAAGGACGATGCTCTGGAGCTGCCTGAACCGACGAACGGCACTGCGACCCCGCCAGTCAAGGACAACGAAGTACCGCCTATCTCTCCGACGGGACCCCTGCCATTAGCTTTGAACGTGGATAGAAGCAAGGGAATAGTAGTAGAGACGACGCTGAAGGAACAAGGGATGCCGCCGACTGACGATACGACGCCTCCAACCTCACCGCTTCCCATCCCGCAGACGCCGACATCGACGCCATCGTCTCTGGCTTCGTCTCCTTCGAACGAGTCCTCCACTGCGAGCTCATCGACCCCTACAAAGTCGCCCCAGCCCCCGGGCAAGCGGATATCCACGTTTCGGCGTGTCCCTCTTCGTCCGTCTCGAGCACCTTTACCTTCGTCCCCTTTGCGCCCAGCCGGGGCCTTGCCTTCGGCGGGCCGAGTCCTATCGTCCTCGTCGTCCCGAACGGCCGTCGATCATGGTGCACCCTCAGCAGAACCCCGCAGTCGCGTCACTTCGCCTACCCCAGGCCCGCCCATCCCTGCCAAAGACGAAGTCGCCCCATCTCTGTCACAAGCGGCCTCGACGCCAAGTTCGAGTTCACATCCCGTCGGGCCCAACCTTCATGTGCAAACCAACATCGCCCGACCCGCCTCCGATGCTACAGCACCTATAGTCCCGCCCACGAGAGGATCGTCTCTCAACCAGACTTCTTCAACACCTCCGCCTCCGCCTCCGCCTCCAGCACAACTCCAATCTCGTCCGTCTTCCTCCTCAACGCCCATTTCCTCCGCCCCGACATCGCCGCGCCCGGTCATGTCCTCGCTGCCTTCGCGTATCCAAGCCCCCTACCGACCGGGATTCCAGCCTAAAGGCGTGTATCGACCGCGGACGGATGAATTCTTCGACGCACGTCGCGAAGCACACAACAGCGGCTCGCTTCGTATTGAGAGAACCAAGTTAGAGCGTCGTCTGGAGAAGTTGATTGCGTTGCATTTTCCTGAGAAGGAGGAACAGCACGCTCTGCAGAGACCTTCCGCGGGCAATCATAGACGGTCCTCATTCTTTGACTTGGATCTATCAGATTTGAAGAGTATGGACCCTAGTGGGTTGTGGAAAAACATGATGATGCAAGGGACGAGTAGTATCGGAGGCAAGGGTGATATCAGAGGTACGTCGACGTCGTAATGTGATAATTTATCGTGTTCAGGTAAATTGTCTGTACAGCCGCTGAGCAACGGATCACTCCTTGGGAAGATGATTCCGCTGTGAACAAGTGCCCTCTATGCAGGTTCGTACAACCACGGTCGGTGCTCTACACATGATCCTGATGGTTCTCCTTGGCCTAGAGCTTCCTTCCACCCTTTAACGAACAGAAAACACCACTGTCGACTGTGCGGACAGATCGTGTGCGCTCTGCCCGTGAAGAACCCCCAGCGGCCCGTGACCTGCTCCCTCCTCTTCGTCGTAGACAAGAACACGCGGATGATAGAGGAGGTCAGCGAGGGCGTCGATTACGGGGTACGGAAGAGGCGCACTTCGACGGTTGATGCGAAAGGGAGTAAAGGTGGTAGTTTGCAGGATGAAGAGGAGAAGTTCCTGAAGGGCGTGAGGATGTGTCGGACGTGTAGGCCTATATTGACGTGAGTTCGCTTCGCAGAGTGGCGTATGTTGGGTGTTATTATCTATGTTCTACAGGAGACAGCAGTATCAACAAGAATCGACGCATGTGCCTGCTTTTGTTCGCCTCTACGATGTACGTGGGAGCACGAAGTCCTCCATCGTACTGCATCTGACATTTCATGCAGATGTTCATAACCCTGGAGAAAGAGATAGAAGCCTCGCTACCCCAATTTGAAGAGCTCTTGCTTAGTCTCACGTAGGTCGCGTCTCCAGTAATAGCCCCCCACTGCGAAACTGAGGGCTGAGGGTTCTTGTTGTACAGCACGGACGATCACCCCACGAAAGAGGCTATGGCAGCGCGGAAACGACTGCTCGAGGCATTCGCACAGTACGATGCGCTGTCGAAGCGGATACGAAACCTGCCATGTCCGTCAGGCCCAGGTAGCTCACAGGACCGTGTTCAGATGGCTGTGATGACTCGCGCGAATCTATTCCTGCAGAAACATATGTTCCCGCTGCAGGTGAGGCTTATCGTATTTCTCAGCGGTTCATGATGGGTGCTAAATCTGGATGTCCCAAGACGATACCCAAGAAGTCCAAACCCTCATCATCTACACCAACACCGACGCGAGAGAACGGCGCCGCAATCGATCCTGATTCGAAGCTCGCGCTGGCTCTCCAACCACTACTTGAGCAAGAGGCCCTGCTCGAATCCTTCATTGAAGAGGCGAACGCCCACCGCAAATTCGAAGATGTGAAGACATTGCAGGCGAACTTGAAGGAGATTAGAACAGAGATCGACAGGATAGTTGCTAATTCTGGAGACCACCCTCGTTGAGGATATCTCAACGAGTGACTAGTGACTATACACCATCTTGCTTGATAACGACGTCTACATGCGATTCTGAGTGACTCGAATGCGCATTCGATTATGAAGATATACAAGTAAATACAGCGGAGATTGCCTAGAACCCACCGCCAGCATCGTTGGCTGCGCGATGGGATGCCATTTGTCGCCTTTGGGTATCCTCCAGCTTCGGACAATTGGATATACCGTGCCCGAGACCTCCACAGACAGGACAACCTTTGAGAGAACCACCTTGTACGGCGCGAGGGTCGTCGATTGAAGCGAGGAACGGCGGAACTCTAGGAAAGAAGATTCAGCAACACTCTGGCGAGACATACAGAGGCGAGACATACTTCTGACCAGCTTCCATCAAGAGATATTTGAGATCCAGAAGCGTTTGTTCCGGCGTGTTCATGTTGACGAAAGTGGTCGCAATGCCAGTTTTGCCACTTCGACCCGTGCGACCGATTTGATGCACGTAGTCTTCGATTTCCTTGGGCATGGAGAAGATGATGACGTGCTGGATATCGTTGAAATCGAGACCTTTTGAGGCGACTCCCGACGCGACCATTACATCTTTAGCACCCGACTTGAATGACTTGATGGCGTATTGCCGCTCCTCCTGACCTTGATAGGGAAGATGCATAAGAGCGACGTCTGGTGTGGATCAACACGACTTACTCTTGGATCCATGGATGGCAACGGCCTCGACACCCTTCAGTAGAAGATACTCCTGAATATCTAGAAAGCATCAATACGCGCGCGCGCTATGTTGCCAACAATCATCACCACTGACCATCGACTTCGTTTTTATTCTCGCTGAAAACGATAACGGGAGGAGCCGTTTTCTGCAGGCACTCCAACAGATACACCATCTTCGCCTCCTGCTTCACGTATTCGACCACTTGAAGAACGTCCAGATTCGCCGCACCTGCACGGCCGACATTGACTAATATCGGTTTTATGAGTGATTGTTGAGCGAAATCTTGGATCTTCTTGGGCATAGTGGCAGAGAAGAGCAATGTCTGGCGCTGCCGCTGAAACAAACGAGGTTCAGAGATAGAAACACAGCGCGAACGGCTCCATACCCTACCTTGAAGAAGCTCATGATGTTACGGACATCGTCCTCGAAGCCAAGGTCAATCATTCTGTCCGCTTCGTCCATGCACAAGTATTTGCAGTTGTTGAAAGTGAATTTCTTCTTCTCCAACATATCGATAAGACGACCGGGCGTAGCCACCACGATGTGAAGGCCCTTATTGAGAACATGGCTCTGTTCGCCCATTGAAATGCCTCCCATGCATAAAAGAGTGTTCAGATGCGGATACCTTCCGTCCTTGGCGAGAGCTTCGCACCAAGCGAGAACGTTCTCGTAAGTCTGGTTGGCTAGCTCACGAGATGGACAAAGGATGACACCAACAGGGCCTTCGCCACGAACGAGAGGAAGTTTGGCCTCTTCTTCCAAAGCCATCATGATCAGGGGTAGACAGAATGCGAGGGTCTTGCCTGAACCTGTGAAAGCAATACCTATGAGGTCACGCCCTGCAAAACTGAGAGATAGGTCATAACGGTTGATGCAATGAAGCTTGTGTCCTTACGCAGTGGGTATTCCTTGCAGCTGGATAGGTGTTGGGTCAGTAATCCGCTTCGTCTTCAGAAAGTCGAGAATAGATCCCGGTATTTTCATATCCTGCGTCCATGTGAGTACTTGAACTAGGTCTCAAAGGTTTGGCGGTACCTGGAAGTGCTCGATGGGGGGCGGGATGTTTTCTCCATCAACGAGAATGTGGTGCTTCTCGCGTATTTTTTTGTGCTGCTCTTCGGTCCGTTCGCGAATATACCGGGGCGGTCGCCACCTTATCTGAAGCATTGGTCCAACATTGGCAATTATAAAGACGGGGTAACTCACGATGATTTCAAGGGCTCTGTATATTGCACGCCTGTTGCTAACTCCAAATCAGAGGCGAGCTTTCTCCGACTGGCTATTGCAGCGAGAATCTCAGCATCCGCTTCTTCGGCTTTCTGATAATCTGTCTTTTTGGAGTCTGCGAGTCTGGTCAGCTATTCCCTCTGTTGGGTAGACATGCCTGGCGGACACGCGCCTTCTATGTCCTTCTTGGTGTGGACCTCTTGAGCCTCCATGAGTAACGTCCTTTCCTTCCGAGCTTTCTCTCTTCGGCGCTCCTCTTCCTTCTCGGCATCTTCTTGTTCCTCCATTTCCTCCTTCTGGCGTCGAGCACGGTCTCTGTCGGAATTAGCGGTCCATGAAGTGATTTTGGCTAGCTTCTCCTGACGTCGCTGAGCGACCGGTACGTATGGAACATAGTTGTCGTCGTCGTCTAGCTTGTATCCAGGACTTGGTGAACGTTGGACGCGCCGTCTCTTCTGAGGTGCTTCGGACATATTGTTGAAGGTAAGTGTAGTGCTTACGATACTTACCACGAAGTGCGAAGTCACTGACTGTGGGAGTCCTTTACTGACCGTGGTGCCCAGCAGGAATTCTCGATCACAACCCGTTTTGGAAGCAACACCTTCCTCCTAAATACCACAATGGCTGAAGAACCTTCCGACAATTGGTTGGTGGAACAACGCGTCGCACAGCTCGAGTAAGGGTACACCGAGCTTACTTTAATCTAAAGTGCTGATTTACTTGTTCCAGAGAAATCTCGCAGCGCAGAAATGTCCTCCTACGCCAAATGTACCGCATGCTTCAAAGGAAACATGACATTGGAACACTTCTTCCTGCTGACGACGACGACGTTGATCCTGATGGAGTTGACGCGTTCTTGGAGAGATTTGATTTTGCTACACAGTGCGTAATGGCTTTCGTGGAAATGATATAACCCATTTCCAATGTACATGAAGTCCAGAGACTAGTAGCATTGTAACACTCTCACAAGAAGAACTGGATGTCCCTATTCCCACCGTCGAGGATCCCGCCGACGATGCTGATCCCGAATCAGATGACTTGCTAGCACTTCAGCCCACTGAAGATCCTGACGTCGGTGCACACGACGCTCAAAGGACCAAACCGCCACCGAATCCCTACCGACTGCGACCTGCTCAGCCAGAAGACCAGGACAGTGATAGAGACGAGCTGGACTTTCTGTCTACCCCACCTCGCTCCCGTCATCGTACTCCGTCTCAACCCCTCGTTCGTTCTCGTTCTCCGTCACATCCAACTTCCCGCTCTCCACCTCCCGGCTCTCCGGTAGCGATAGACATTTCTGACTCATCCCCTCCCCCTCCGGAAGTCATAGATGTCGATGCCGACGAAGTCGAGAAACGCGAGGATTCTCCCATGGAAGTATTTGAGGTTGACGTCCAAGAACGAGATGTGAGTGAAACGCACGTCCAGGTCACTAATGCAGACACGCCCGAAAATGAAGTTGTGACGGAGGATATTGAGGAGGGCACAAATCCTCATGTTGTTCAACCTTCGGAAATGCAACCCGACGATTCCCCGGCCTTGCAAGATGTGGGACGCGATACCGCGCAAGCTCAACCCCTCCCTCCACTCCTTCAGCCTACTACTTCGCCCAATAATGAGGCCCCAGATGATGTTGCCTCCACGGTTGCAATGCCCGTCGAAAATATGGCTTACCATCCCGGTCCTGCAGTCGTCTTTGCCGAAGGTTCTTCGGCTGGTGGACCATTGGTGGCAGAGCACCAGGCCGATCATATACAGCCACCGCCCACCGACGTCGTAGCGGAACCCCCCGCTCTCCAAACTGATATCACTGACACGAAAGACTCTCACTCCAATCACGAAGATGTAGAGATGGAAGATGCCCCAGAAGCGCCGACTGATCCGGCTTCGGTCACTGTAACATCGCAACCAGCACCACCAGTTGCTGCCGATCCGTCTAACGTCGTGCTGCCGACCGAGTCCAGAACTGCAGAAGTATCGCCGCAGGTTGCGACCATCTCTCCAGCTACTTTATTCATGCCGCCCATCATCGAACGTCGGCGCCCTCCTCATATACTACGTGGCATACGTTCTCCTGCACTAGAAAACATCGGATATGTTTTTGAGCCCCCGCAAGATGTCGACATGGAGACATCTGATGCACCGGCGTCGGACCCAACTCAATATCACACATTCGACCCTCATTATACACTCCCTCCTTTGAAGAGTTTACCTGCCGAGTATCAGCGGAAAGGTAAGTTGACTAAAGCTCAAAGAAAGAGGGAGAAGGAGAAGCGAGAGAGAGAAAAGGACGGGTCTGTTCCAAAGGATGTTCTATCGAAGGAAGACAACTGGACACCATTGGGTTTGAATCGGTGGGCTGCCGTACTGAATGCCAATCCGTTGTACACCAAAGTCAGCAGGGCCACGAAATGTTTGCTGACGAAAGACTGGGGGGTATGTTTCTTGAACCCAAATGGCGTTGAGTGTACGACGTTAAATGTCATTTAGACGGCATTCACGGAACTTCGCCTCATTAAGACTTTCAATCACATAGAAAATCTCAAAGATGCTGGGAGGTGGAGCTTTCGCCAGCCTAAAAAGCAACGCGGAGTCGGTGGATTGCAGAAGACTCATTGGGATTACCTCATGGACGAAATGGTGGGTGTTCTCGTTTGAATACTCTTGACATATCTCGACGGTCCGATTCTATAGAAATGGATGCGGACCGATTTCCGTGAGGAAAGGCGATGGAAGCTGGCATTGGCCTATAATCTTTCTACCGCTGTCTTGGAGTGGCACGCTGCAGGAGATACTGCAACCAGAATAACGAACGGTATATGTATGAAGTGGAGGCCACCTAGGTCCCACGACCGCGTTCCGGAAGAAGAAGAAGATACAGGGATGATTGTCGACGAGGGTCATCCTTTGCCTGGGTTTACCGAAGAGTCCGCCCCGGGGGGTGACATAGATCCCCCAGAAGACCACGATGAAGACGCACAATTGAAGCCGATGAACCCGCTTTCTATCCTCAACTACAACTCTGATGATGACGATGACGACGATCAGGATCCAGATCAAGGCCAAGAACGGGAACAAAGTGTCGCTGATGCACTAGAGACCTCTGCGATGATAGATGATGCTCTGGACGCTCACGACTCCGGTGTTCCATCTGTGGAAATGGGTGCCAACACCATCCAGCCAAAAACGGAGGAGGTTGACGATCCATCCGCCTTACAGAATAAAGATGCTATGGCTGTCGATTCGCAAGATTCACCTGAACAACCAGTTGAGCAGAAACCGAAGGACCAAAGCCACGAAACGACGCCGACAGGACTCAAGACGGACTCTGCTAATCCCACATTGATGTCTGCAACGACTTCCCGCTCTAGCGATGAGCTTTCTGCTGCGAATAGCGCTGCTTCGAAAGCGATGTTGAAGAGTATCTATGCGCCCATCAGAGAGAGGATAGCGTATTCGGAACTGGATAAACTATTTCTTGACTTCGACGACCTGGACATTGCGAGAGATGAGACGAAGGACCCTGCTATTGACGAACTCGACCCATTGTTCCCCCCATCTGATTTGGCTTCTGTCTTTCCCGATTTCCAACCGTATGGTTTGTTCGACGTTCCGTCGCCGATCTTCACGTCCGATGGCAAGAAGAAGTCGGAAAAGAAGTCGGATAGGGATGATCCAAATAAACGAGCAGAGGATACTACCTACTCGAAGTTAGTCCCCATTGGCAAGTTTATGCACTGCAAACCAACTTTGCTCGGCCCTCTACAACCGTCAAAGAAGTGGAAGAACGGAGAATGGGTTAGGCTCGACGATTATGCTATAAGCGCCGAAGAAAACCCTGCGAGCAAACCAGTCGACATCTTCTCAGGTAAGGGCTATGTCAAATCCATGAGTTGTCATCATGTCAACCGATGCTTTAGGTCTCTTCGGGAGCAACAAACCTGTTGGCACTCAAACTATCCAATTGTCGAAGGACCGCCGCGCTACCGAAATCGTTTGGAATTCCAACGAGGACGCTTTGCTGAAGTCTCTTACTGAGCGGTACCCCAACAACTGGTCCCTCATCGCAGAATGCTTCAATTCCGCTCGGATTACTCTTTCTACAGACAAGCGAACCGCTCGGGACTGTCTTCAGAGATATGACGCCTTGCTTGGCCCAGGGAGTCAGGCGTCCTTGGACGGTACTGGTGTCCCAATGACGCCAACCACGCAGATGACCACCCGCGGTGTTAAACGTCTGGCTAGCGTCAGTGCTGCCGGTTCCAGCATGATCCCGAACGCTAGTGAGCCAAGAAAACGGCGCCGCCATGCCTTGGTTCATGACGCCATGCGTAAGCTTACTCGGCAACGACTCGCCACCGCACAAAAGAATGCTAGTAAGTCCTTACATTGCAATTCTGACGGTACACCATCATTAACATGGTTGGGCGTAGTGGCACAACGAAAGCCGCTGGTTGTACACGACACTCATACAGAGTACAACAAATTGCCCAAGATGTCGCCAGCAGAGTTAGGACGACTGAAGGCAGAAAAGGAAGCGAGATTGAACGCCGACCAGGCCATCGTGAAAAGAAAGCAAGAGGAACTTCGCTTGCAGCAGATGCAACGAATGCAGATGGCAACGGCGAATGGGGTGAGTGGTTTCGTTAACGGTCACCGAACACCGCTGATAGAGTTGAAACTGGACAGCAACAAGCGGCGGTACCACACCAGCAACAAGTAAGTCCAGCCTTTCGTCATGTTCCGAGGTTGAACCTTTTCGAAAGGTGGGGATTGCTCAACATCAACGCATCTCTACCCCTGTTTCTGCGAATTCTCGCCTTTCTCCCCAACAGGTGGCACAGGCCCAAGCCCATTTACAGCAGCGCAATATATTGCAAACTCAACAAACTCAACCAATACCCACCCCACAGGTGCCAGCGCAAGTCAGTCAGGTTGCAGTCCAAGGTCAGCCGGCGATTCAAGCCCCGACGCAGAACGGTGTGCAGGCGGCAAACGGCGCTGGAACCCCGCCTCAGCTTCCTCAGAATGGGACGGCGGCGACTACCCATGCGACTTACGTTTCTCCACCAAGAAATGCTGGCACGCCCGTCAATTCTGTCTCAAGTGCTACTTCGCCCCGTCCACCCTCAGCTCAGGCCCAAGCAGCTTTGTTGCATGCGACACAAATGCAGCAAGCTGTTCAGATGCACCAGCAAGCCACCGCCCGAACGGGATCGAATATAGCCTATTATATGACGCCGTCTGGTACTCCATATACGGCCGAGCAGATAAACGCTATGAGGGTGCAACTTATGCAGCATCAGGTCAGTTATAGTACATATGTTTTGATCGATTCACTGAACTCAGATGTAAAAATTGGCCCAGGCTGTGGTACAAGCACAAGCACAAGCACAGCAGCAGCAGCAAGGTGCTGGCCAGGGATCGTAAATGTGTTTTTAATGCACCGTTGAGTACAGCGAATTGTTCTCTCGTTGTAATGTTGTAATTGCAATAATCGTTCGGACCATGATCCCGTAGTTCAGTCTGGAACTGAGAGCGCTAGTGATGCGGTTTGGTCCGCCATGCTCGCCCACTGATGACGGATTTGTTAGTGCCATCAAGGCGTGAAGGGGTATGAGGTTTGGTGTAGTCTCTCGGCGAGCGCCCATCAGTGAACCCTGCCCCAATCTACGACAAAGTCTGTGATCTATATTGACTGAGATTCCCCTTGAGACTTGCGCTGGATAATTCTGGCTAGGACTGGTTGAAGGCGAGGGCGTTCTTCCACCCCACCGCCGTCATTATCCACTTGGTTGCACTTTTGGTGTGTGACAAAACCTTTCTATCCTTCTAGCCCCTGGCTTAGGTACTTCAGGGTCTGTTCGTGCCAGGTCTATGCCCAGTCCGCTCAAGTCCCATTCCAGAAAATGCGTAGAATTCATTGATTTTGCGGGGTTGCTATATAACATTTTTTCACATATCATGCTAACTCATAGATACCGTCAGAGTTTGGCACATGTCGCACCGCCTTGAGGATGGGCGGTGCGCTGTAGATTAAGAGGGCAGCAAAGGCAATCTTGACAAACGGGCGAAGAGCTTTCGAACTCTTTGCGGGCAAACAAACTGACTGCACAGCCTGAAGGTGCTTCCATCAAAGTCAATACAGAGTTAACGGCAAGTCGACGGGACCAGAAAGAATCGGGCGCTGATTTGCCTTGTGGCAAAGTCAAGCCGCTCAGCTCGCTCGGCAACAGTGGCAAAGATGCTCGGGCAGACTTTGATTGGTCCGAGTTTATTTGTACATGTTGTATTGCGGGGAAGCTCAGCCGTTTGAATTTGGCCGTCGAGGGCTATCGCCAAGGCGCCGGTCTGTCTGTGTAAAACTTGAGCCTGATCAACCTTTCTTTTCTACCTTCACTTTCTCCACCTTTCTTCTCACCTCCTTTTCCTCATCGTCCCCGCCACTGGCCTCCCAGTCTTCGTCGTCGTTGCCAACGGTGTGCACACCTTGTCGTTCGCCGTAAGTGCCACCCAGCCTGCTAAAAGACACGCCCCAATCGGTTCTTCTCAGGTTCAACGCCGACCAACATGTCTAACCCACAACAACCCTCCGCCAACATATCGTACGACCCGCTACCGCTGACGACCGATGCCGACCAGTACCAGAACGCCCTTTATAATGCCCCCGGTTCACCAGGACCGGCCTCGCCTAGTTTCCAGAACATGCGCGAACTGGGATCAACCTCGAGCCTACCGCCCGGTGCCAGTGCAGCGCAACCACGCTTCATGGGCACTTACGATGGCCACGCGGGCCCACGAGAGTCATACGCATCGTCTCAATATCCATCTGGGGGTTCTGACTTCAATGGCTCCGTCGTAGCCCTCAACGACACTTCTATGGGGGGTCGAACTTTGACCGGGTCACCATATCGTGACGAGCCCGACAGTTTCAACGAACAGGGTCACGCGATGTCACCTATGGGACAGAGCAGTAGCCCTCGTTATCTTGGAGAGAAGCAAAACCTCTACGCCGCACCGCGCGCCAAATCCAGCAGGAAGGTCCTCATACTAGCGGTTCTCGCTTCTCTCATTCTCTTGATTCTCGCCGTCGTCATCCCAGTATACTTCGCTGTGATCAAGCCTAGAATGCGAAATAGCGACAACGATAGCAGCAATGATTCTGATTCATCAAACTCGGACAATAATAACAGCCACAGTCCTCAGGCCACGGGCAAGCCTCAAGTTAAGATTGTCACTGGAAGAGACGGAAGCGAGATAACTACAGAAGACGGATCTAAGTTCACATACGAGAACAAGCTCGGAGGTTATTGGTATTGGGACGAGGACGATGTGTTCAACAATGGCGCCAAGGCTCAATCGTGGACCCCCGCTTTGAACGAGACATTCAGATATGGCATTGACAAGATCAGAGGGTGAGCATAGTGTGGATTCATTGCATCTTTAGCTATTACTCACCAATGACGCTGTTACCATTTTCAGTGTCAATCTCGGTGGATGGCTAGTCACGGAACCTGTAAGCCAACGTTCTGTCAATCAATGACATCGTCAATGGACTAACTTATCCCCTTCGTAGTTTATGCAAGTCGAGCTTCTTCGTAACTGTGCCTTGATGTGTTGATAACCTTCTTTAATTCAGTACTCCCGCTCTTTTTGAGCCATACGCTGATACGGCGACACCTGCTGTTGACGAATGGACACTCACCGAGAATCTGCGAAGGGACAACAAGATGGACGTTCTGGAAAATCATTACAAGACATTCATTGTACGTGGTGGTATCATTAACACTGATCTCACACGATGCTTATTTCGACCTTCAGACAGAAAAGGATTTCGCTGACATCGCTGGAGCTGGGCTAAACTACCTTCGCGTCCCCATTCCCTTCTGGGCTGTGGAGACGAAGCCTGGGGAACCCTTCTTGCAAGGCACAGCTTGGACGTAAGCTTCTTCGTGCATGCTCCTATTCTGTACCTTATTGTTGACTATGAATCTTCCATAGTTACTTCCTCAAGGCTATTCAATGGGCTCGCAAGTACGGTCTTCGTATCAACCTCGATCTCCACGCTGTTCCTGGGTCACAAAATGGTTGGAACCACTCTGGTCGCCTCGGGCAGACGAACTTCCTCAACGGTCCTATGGGCATTGCGAACGCTGAGCGTACACTTGATGTCATTCGGGTGATGACTCAGTTCATCAGCCAGCCTCAGTACAAGGATGTTGTCACGATGTTCGGTATACTGAACGAACCCCAAGGCACGCAAGTTGGACAGGAGCAGCTCTCGCGATTGTGAGTTTTACTTGATGTATTTACTCCCTTGCAAGTAGCTCAATCGTATGTCTAGCTACATGGAAGCTTACAACGTGATCCGTGAGGTCACTGGTGTTGGCGAAGGAAAGGGACCTTACATCTCTTACCACGATGGCTTCTTCCCTCGTAGCACGTGGCCTGGCGTTTTCGGACAGGCTGATCGCATTGCTCTCGACTCGCATCCCTACCTTTGCTTTGGTGGACAATCCGACAATCCCATGTCTTCCTATGCCAACGTACCTTGTCAACAGTGGGGTGCAAGCATGAATTCTTCCCTGGCTCAGTTCGGTGTCACGACTGCCGGTGAATTCAGTAATGCTGTCACGGATTGTGGTCTGTACCTTAACGGCGTTAATCTTGGGACACGTTACGAAGGAAACTATCCCGGAGCTCCCAATCGTGTTGGTAGCTGTACAGAGTGGACCGACTGGACGAAGTACACCCCAAAAATGAGGGCAGACATTAAACAGTTCGCTCTGGCTAGCATGGACGCTCTCCAGGTATGCCTGGAAACCCTTCTTCATCTGTTTACCATCCTCATTCAACTTTGAACGTTTAGAATTACTTCTTCTGGACATGGAAGATTGGTAACTCGAGTGTTTCTGGAAAGGTCGAAACGCCAGCTTGGTCGTACTCTCTTGGTCTCCAAGAGGGATGGATGCCTAAGAACACTCGCGAGGCCGATGGAACGTGTGGCAACACTGATCCCTTCCAACCTCCTCTTGCGGCCTGGCAGACTGGTGGTGCAGGTGCAGGTAACATCCCCGCCGCAACCGCTTCTGGTCTTTCTTGGCCTCCCCCAACTATCTCCAACGCTGGTGCAGCATCTCTGCTTCCCAGCTATACCAGAACTGGCCCGATTCCTACTCTTCATGGCCCAACTTTCACCGGCTCATCAATGACTGCCACACCTAGTGTCGGCAACGGATGGGCCAACCCGAGTGATTCTGCTGGTTATTATACGGAGGTCGCTGGATGTAGTTACTTGGATCCATGGGTAGGGCCCACTGCCGCACCGCCGTCACCCCTCTGCCCTGGCGCCCCAGCCGCTCGTCGTGCTGCCCCAACGCCTGCACCATGACATGGAATGATGAACGACCGTTTCTGATCATTCATCCCAGTTATCCTACGCTTTGCGCATTCATCATTGTAGATTGACTTTGCATTCACCACTGCCCTCTCGGTGAACCCATTACATGACTCTTATATATCTTAGCATTATCCTCTACAAACGGACCTCTGATCATATATATCGCTTTGTAGCTGCCTTGTGGCTCCCTTATCCTCTCTCTGTCTCTAACATATTTCGATGCTCAAGGCTTCGGAGCTTCACGAGCTATCGGGCTCTTCACGACACGTAGTTGAACTTTGTGGATACTCTACGGACCTTTCGGCATGGGATAGTAGTCGTTCGTTTTCAAGATTATCAGTCTTTACCTACCTATTTCTCGGTTATACAACATAAAAGATAATTGAAACTCTGACATGCGTCTTGTATTTGGTTGCTCCTTGTCAACGACTCAATTTCCGACTGGATTTCGCTGATGATCATGATGCGTCCCACGCCAACCGACCTACTCGTCGTGAATGGAAACTGATTGACCACTGCTTCAGGTTTTGTTCCCAGCATCGAGGCTGTGACGCAACATTGTGTTATTACTATGCTGCAACAATCAATGAGCTTCGTTTCCATATCCTGCCTCAATGGCTACTAACTCTGACTTAGACCTTGCGGGCAAGGAAGAGAGGGAGCAATTTGGCCAAGAACTTGCTGATGACGCGAAAATCTGGCGCGAATATGTGAAGGAATCCTCACAATATGATGCCCAGATGGTTGGCGAATGGAACCGGACCGTGGATAGCAGCCTCATATTTGTGAGTAGGAGGACCCTTTGTGTTCAGTGCTCTGTGAGCTGACCATTGTTGGGAATATTCACAGGCAGCACTGTTTTCGGCTGTGGTGGCCTCCTTCGTAGTCGAATCGTATCAAATGCTCAGTGTTGACCCTCAAGATGTGACAAATTCCCTCCTGGAAAGCATCCTGGCCGCACAGACATTATCGGCCGCAAACATGACCTCCCCCATTTCAGAGGATACTGCCTTCACGCCATCGTCGTCTGCAATATGGGTGAATGCATTGTGGTTCACCTCCTTGACCTGCAGCCTTGGCATAGCAGCTGTAGGCATGCTCGTGAAGCAATGGTTGAGCGCGTACCTAGCGGGGCTGCCAGCTGCACCACACCTTCGAGCACAAATCCGGCAGCATCGGTTCGACACACTCCACGCCTGGCAGACACACCATATAATCAACTGCCTACCATTAGCTTTGTCTTTGTGCTTGATCCTTTTCCTTTCCGGCTTGGTTATCTTGCTTCTCGACGTAAGCCCTCCTATCGGTATAGCAAGCGTTGTCCTGGTCGCCGTTACAATCACTTTTCAAGCGATGAACTTCTTGCTCCCGGCTTTCTGTAACTGTCCATGGAAAACTGCCGTTTCGCCAATCTTCTTCCACCTCCTGGGCCCCCTTCGACGCGGTATTCCATACATTCGGTCGTCGCCGCGTCGACTCAAACCCCTGCTCAGACTCGGCCATCATCTCATGGAATCTTCCATACGTGTCTTGAAAACTATGGGCCGTTACCTCGTACTTCCTTTCGTGCTCATTTTCTTTCTCGGCCACTCAGTTACACTGCTGCTTATGCCACGCTCAGTAAAGTCTTGGCTATCTCGTATGGCGTCCTATATGCCAGAATTGCGTCGTGTCGCCAAAGGCTTCGTTATCCTTCTCAAGGAACGGATTCCTGCTGTCAGGCTCAACATCCACTTGAATATGACACTCGTCAGTGAGTCAGAGGCAGACAAAGAGGAATCCAGGGTTGGTATCAATCGTCCAGCTCTGGATTCTCACTGCATCCTCTGGCTTATCCACACATCGACGAATCCGCCAGTAACAAGTTGTGCTCTGCAGTCTGTATCAGGGTTTCAGCTCGGCGCAGAGGCCGCTAGGCTATTAGCGCAGAGCCCAATCCCTGATCTGATATCGCAAAAGCTACGTACCAGCTGCGCTAACAACGGGTATCCAATGGACTCAATATCGATTGAGCGATACATCCGAGGATTGCATGTCATTCGTCACGCTTTTCGTACCGACAAACCATCGAAACCAGGCGTCAACTTCGGAGCACTTGAGAGCATTATACCAAAGCCTGGTACCTACGCATATTTGACGACAATATGCGCTAAAGTTATGCTCAACGACATCGTCGATTGTTTGGAACAAATTCAAGACGGTTCGATGATCTGCCCTGCAGCTCAAACACAGCTCCTAGTGGATACATTAATCCAGGAGCTCAAATCACGGAAGGGCCCAAAAGAGGATCACTGGGTGTCTGCGCAATCCGGTGGATGGGCCCGCATTTCTGCCAGAGTCATCCCTATTTTCGTTAAACTTGTCGACGTGCCGCCCTCCTCACCTGATCCAGGCATCCCACTTGACATCCCACCGTTGGATGTAGCGATTGCTGCAGGCATAGCGGCGTTGACTAAATCTCAGGCAGAACCATACGAACCCGTTGGCTCTGATCTGCCTGAGTTTATACGATTTTACGACCTCTTATTGTATGGTCTATCGACGATCATGCGGTATCCCTCTTCATATGGATGTAACGACACAGAGACGTTGATGATCGTTCGCCAAAAATTCTTCACGGTGGTGCAGCGTTGCCCTGAGCAGTTGACCTCGAACGATACTGTTTCTACCGTATTCGCTATGTTGCTCCGCCATATATTTCGCCAACCGCCAGATGAATGGGATACTAGGGGTCTCATGATATGGACCTCCCAGGCTGATATAAGGATCCTTAGTAAAGTCGACTGTTCGCCATTGCTCCTTGCTTTTCGCAATCTTGTCACCCTTCCTAATCCACCTGCCATGACCGCACACCTCTACCTCGATTGCATGGAACGTATCCTTATAGAGGGCAATGGGATCAATCGGTTTCCTAGTACCTCCCCCATCGTGTCATATCTTTCTGATTTCATCTCAAATTACGGGCGATCTGTTTTTATGTCTTCGGCTAGGTCACAGGCTTTCCGTCTCCTAGGCAAATACGCCCATGCGACATGCTTGCGAGCAACCCCCAACAAAGAGACTCGCCTTATCAGCGACGGCCTCCTCATCGCCGTACGGGATTTCTTCGAAAACCCCGGTTCCATAATTCAAGAAGACCTCGATATATGGATATCGGCACTTCTCCATCTTTCGAAGGGCCACAAGAAGCTCTTGTTGGAAAGTCGCTCCGTTGAAGCGATTGTTACTTGGTCAATCAAGAATTGGAGGGGACATGAACTATCTGTTCTATATCGAGACAGGTTGATGGCGCTAGCCGCTCAGATTGGGCTTTCCGTCGATTTCCATGAAGACCCAACTTGGTTCAGAGAGCTAAGTATGTGCACTGGCTGGTGGTTGAAATTTATGAACTGACATTACCATTCCCCATTTCTCCGTAGTATCCCATAGAACCGCTCCTCAACACCTCGCTGCCCGATGATAGTCCTCGCTTTGTCGTGTTTGTAGCCTTACAGTATTTTATTTTCCAGTAGTACAATATGTGACATCGTAACATTATTCTTAAGACAATCAATATTCGCCGTTTCGGACTCATTTCCGCTTGTTCATACAGCCTGGGTTGTAACAGTGCGTCAATGCTCCCCACTGGTGGTAGCATACCGATCCTCAAGATCTTCTTGACCCCCAAATCCTCCCTCGAAGTCATGATCCACCTTACTAGTAGTGGTCGAGGCGTCGCTCTCCTTATTCTTCGATAGCTCGTCTCGTATAGTGGCTAGCTGTGCCTGTTCCTGTGCACGAAGAGTTAGCATAGCTTCAATAGGTCTATTGGCGCTCAAAGCCATAGTAAATCACCTTCTCGTGTATGTATCGGGCTTCTTCAGCCTGTTCTTTTGATTTCCACACACCGTCCTGTTGATCGCCATCAGAACTTGAGTCGAATACGTGGTGTGTATATGTGACATGCCTGTGATGTTGACATTCTAGGTTATCTGTGTTCTCAAGGTCGTTCCGTATCGTTGTGGAGAGAGAGGGTATGACGGATCTCGGCAGTGGGCATTGGAGACCGGCCTCCTATTTAGGCATACAAGTCAGGGGCCCCTATTCGACTCAGAGGTACAAACAAATCCATCCATGAGCCTCCCACCGTCGGTCTTGCATGTCCATCTTAACTGTGCAAGTCACAATTCTTCCAGACCCTTCATAATAACCTCTGCCTCTATGCCTATTAATTTCTTCCCCCTCGTCAAATTGAGGAAATACTTCCGTAGTGTTTGGGCTGGCCACCTTTTCAGTGTCCACAGACACTTCAGGTCTTTGATCTCGAGGTCATTCACAAATTTGCTGAGCAAGTGGGTCATGGGAGGGACACATCTGCTCAGAAATCTGTGAACATCCGGTGACTCCCAGGTCTGAACTTCCAAAGATGGGAGATGGTAGAGACTTCTTTTTCGGTGGGATTGGGGAGCCGCCCCAGTTAATGGAATAGGTGATGATGGGTATGCTTGGCCCCAAGGGGTAGATGGTTGATGGGTCGACACACAATGGTTCCATGAAGTAGCTTGTGGTGGCGTAGGTATAGCTGGGATAATTGATATCTCGTACATTTGTGGTTCTGTGGGTAGGGCCAATGGAATGAGGCATGTAGCTGGGCGTCGGAACTTAGGCAGATCCTATGAGTAGTTGTCACTCTTGAAATCAAACCTCTTGTTGATGTATACAATGCATACCTTATCCCAAAGGACAATCGTGGGATTGCGAAGTTTGATATCCGGCGAAAAGTGACTATGCTTATGTTGCGAAGGAAGTAGTTACAGCATTGTATTGGCTTACTCGCACTTACAAGAATTGTGGTGCTTTTCTCCCGTTGAAGTTCATGGCGATGAGTGCATCGGGTAGTGCGTATATGATTTCGCACTTGGTTGACTATCGCTGGTTCCATGTCTGGATCAAGAAGCGTCGGACATATCCTCTGTATCTAGAATGCCTTGGGTTCAACACAATTAGCACGGGGCGTGTATGTGCTCACTCTTTCCCAGAACTTGTCCCAATTTGACTTTGGCTGGTGCTTGGCTGTGTAGTGTTTCCAATCAAAAGTAACTCTTATCATTTGGTTGACTCTTTGCTGTTCGAATTGTGCAACTTATATGAGGTTAAATTGCTCGAGATTACTCGGCCGAAGCTCACCGAGAGAGATCTGTTCTTCTTCCCATCCCGGTCCTGGAGGAAATGCTTTGCGGGAAACGATTAGATTACTACCAAGCTACTCATCCTAAAGGAATAAGAATATTTACCTCTATGCCATATTCTGGCTTGCGCAGCGTATTTCTGCGCGGTCCATAGCTTTTGCGCGTAGTATGCATTCCTGAAGACATTCACAAACAGGAGCAGAACAGGGGTAGTAGGCATGGGAATTTCAACACCCCGTGATCCCATGCAAATCGCGTCGCGTCGCGATTGAATTGATTCTACCCAGTTTCCAGCCATCATGGTGTACATCCCTCCTCCCCAATCTGCGGGCCCTTCGACGACCTCTTACGCAGAGGCGTACCAAAAGATTTTGGCGTCGTATCGCCAGTCGCCCCTGACCACCGCCTCGTCCGTTGTACTACTTGTGGCCACCGACGTAGACGCCCTATGCGCCGCAAGAATGCTCGCCGATCTGTTCAAACAGGACGACCTGAGCTACAGTATTATACCTGTGTCAGGGATGTCAGAGTTTGGCCAGCGGGTCAATGAGCTTCGTGCTTACCCAATGGTGAGATTTGGAGCCCGTCTTAGCAAGATATCGTTGCGACGCTCTGACAGCTTCATACAATCGTCCTGTTGAACATGGGCGGCGTGATAGATTTGACGCAAGAAGCCTTTTTTGGTTCGTTTGAAACATCGGTCACGATTCATGTCATCGACTCCATGCGGCCTCTGAATCTGCACAACCTCTTCTCGGGGGGCGAGAATGCTGAAAGGGTAATAATTTGGGATGATGGCGAAGCGGATAAACTTGTGGAGGAACGCAAGGCTCTCCAGGTTATTACTGTGAGTTGATATATATACAGTGGTGGTAAGGGATTTACTAATGTATATAGTACACTCCAATTCCTGACTCAGATGACGAGGAAGAGGACGACTTCTCTGGAGACGAAGAGCAGTCTGGGGACGAGGATGAGGGGGATGATTACGAAGAGGACAGCGAGCGGCCACGCAAACGTCGGTCAATAGGCGATGGCGAGCGACGTTCAGGGAAGCGACGGCAGATCTCGCAAGTGCGTTCCATACTTCTTCTACGTCACCAAAATCTCGTTCTCATTGGACTCGCAGGGTGTAGACCGTGATGAATACGAACGACACGTATCGCGCGTGGATAAATATGGGCTTTCCGGTTTATCGCACGGCCAAAGTGCTGCTTGCACGATATACATCCTGGCGAATGTACTTGAACGTGTCGATAACGATATCCTTTGGTAAGTTCCACATTTCATATCATCTCTATCTTACCTACGTCTTTCAGGTTCGCCATATTAGGTCTCACTTTCCAGTACACAACTTCCCGAATATCCCGCGAATACTACGAAAGCTACCACTCGATCTATAACGACGAAGTATCCCGTCTGAACCGGCCGCAGGCGGGGGATGTTAGCCATCACGCACTGAACACAATCAACCCAGATGATTTAGACGTTCGCGCTACGGATGAGCTGAGATTCACCCTGTTCCGCCACTGGAATCTCTACGACGCGATGTTCCATTCCAGTTATGTAGCGAGCAAACTGGGGATATGGAAGGAACGTGGACGGAAACGGTTAACTGGGCTGCTTGCTAAGATGGGGTACGTTTTCTGTGTCCAAGCCCTTGACACATTGATCAAGAAACCCTTCGATTGCAGATTCTCTATACCCCAGACACAGCAACCGTACTACCATATGGATATGGACCTCAAGAAACAACTCATTTCTCAACTCAACACTGTTGCTCCGGAGTACGGCCTCGTCGAATTATCATATCCGTCCTTCATGCGTTGTTACGGATACAGGTCACAACCGTTATCAGCGGCGGACGCAGTGGAGGGCATTGGCGCCCTTCTAGATGTGGCGGGTGGGATAAGAATCGAGGTTGAGGTGGAAGGCGCCCGAAATGGAGGGGAATGGTTTGGTGGAGGAAGGGTTTGGGAGACGAATGGAGCGAAGGAAAATGCCAGACGGAGGAAAGTTGAAGAGAGAGAGAATGTGCCTCCAGGAGGACAAGCGAGGAATGGGGTCGAGAAGCCGAAGGCGAATGACGATGGTCAAGATGACTCGGATGAACAAGCCGGGGCATTGGATGAAGAGTGGTGGGTAAAGAACTTCTGGACGGCGTACGATGCGTTGACAGAGTAAGCCTTTACGCTTGTCTTCAAATGCTGTCCTTACTCCGTTTATTCGCTGGACAGCATATCGGCACTTCGGGAAGCGCTATTACTGTCAATGTCTCTTCATCGGGCAATTATCCGTCAAGGTACTTCGATCATTGACAAACAAGACATACGGACCATGCGCAACTATCGCATCGTTACCCTGACGCAAGGACCCGACCTCGCTCTGTTTGCTCATCCAGGTGTCCTTACGCGGCTGGCACTTTGGTTAATCGATGCACTGCGAGATCGCCTACCAGCGACTACGCTCAGTGGCCGCTCCAAAAGAAAGGGCCTACCCCTAGTAGTGGCTTGTTTGAACGAGGCAACAGAAAGTTACATTGTGGTGGGTATGATGGCTGCTCTTGATTACGGTAACATACGGAAGAAGTGAGCGTTTCCTCTACCAGTAAAATGGTCTTCTAACCCCTGCCTTTCAGCCAATTCGGTTTGGCCTTCATTGATGCTGTGGAACGGACAAATGCGAGGGGCCAATACGCGACATTCCACTCCAATGTATTTGAAATCGCTCAGACGGACCTGCAAATTTTCCTAGAGGCACTCTGCGAGGCGGAATGAGCGTTCCGATGGAGTGGGTATTTATTGAGTAGCCCGTTGTGTAATTGCTTTGCTTCTGAGATTATCTAACTATGTACGCTATACCTATTGTATTTCTAGGATTATTAAACTGCTTGCACCCCTCGGGTATGTGAAAGCAGGGTCAAGGTGGCACTGCTGGCCCTACCAAATTCTTTGGAGGTCCCTCTGAATGAATGACCAAGAGGTGGCCGCTAAAGCTTGAAGCTTGAAGGTCCGACTACATGGCCTTCTGTGGCTTCATGGATTTGGTTATAAGGAATCGCGATAGCCTCGTACAACGTTAACTCCCCCCAACCTTCCATTAGCAACTTTCGATCAGCACTGGATGTCCACGATTCTTTGCCCCGGAACTAGTGGACTTCATTACTCAGGTGTCGCAATCGCACCCTCTCCGATTTCGAGGCTGCCGGCAGAGGTTCTTCGAGAGATCTTTAGGTTATCGATACTTGAAGACGACATACAATTTAACACTCCTCGATGTGCGATTCTCTCGCACGTAAACCGCCTCTGGAGGACGGTGGCGTTGTTTGACCCCTCCTTGTGGACATTTATCACAACCGATTGTGGCCGCTGGATAGAAGCACATATAAAACGATCAGGAAATCGTCCACTTTCAGTTCGAATGGACATCGAGGTCCTCACAGAAGCTACCTTAGAAAACATCGACCAGGTATTTTCGCAGGCCTCTAGGCTTCAGAAAATTGACATCTACCACGCAATCCGAAGCGAGACCTCTGGAGGGCTGGAGCCAAAAGAAAGGGACAAACTGTGCGCCAGATTCTTCGCTAGCCTACAACGATGCTTCCTCCTCCCGATGCCCATGCTCCAGACCTTCGACCTGCTCGCCAGCGAGCTTTCTGGAAGATTGATTACACTTGGAGAAACACCTAACATTCAGTCTATGAAAATAGCCGGCGCTGGCCTATCCTCGTCGCCTTCACTGGGGCAACTGGTCTCTTTGGAAATTCGGCTGTACGTCCGCCTACCTTTGGACAAATTTGCAGCGGTGCTTGCTACAATGAAGAATTTGTCGGACTTACGTATCATGTATCCCAACATCTGCGAACACACCGTCTTCCCCGCTAGCCCTCGCGCAATCACCCTCCCTAGGCTAAAGATCTTCAGATTTGTAGGCTGCGCTCTTGGATACGCGATTCTGAAATACTTCACCATCGATTCTCCGGTCTTGGATTGCCTCGAACTGGGCGTCATGGAAGAGGACTCTACAAGCTGCGCCGAACCTTGCGATCCGTCAGAGATTCTTCCAAATTTCCTGGCGATGATCCAGTTCTTTCCTTCCTCTTGTTTTGAGAGACAAAGCCTTACAATACACTCCACCACTGCCGGTCTTTTCACCCTCTCTTTGGCCTGCCGACCGCAGGACGCGAAAATACGAAAGATGGTATACCAGGCATACTATGTGGATATTGCTGGCCTCTACAAACTACTCCCAATCGGTGGTATACGTTGCCTCACTCTTAAAGAGGAGGACGACTGCGAAGAGAGCGATGACGAAGATACGAATCATATATGTGTTTTCGATCTTCTCGATGGCCTCGACTCACTAGAAGAAATACGACTTTTCGATCCGAAACATTTGCATGCCCTATCAGTCTTGCTCGACAAGCACCCAAAAATATTACCCTCCCTCAAAAACCTCGTTCTAAGATTTCGCCAATGCGAGGAGCACTTCACATGGCTTCAGCAAATTATGACGAGGAGGCCTTTGAGGCGGCTGACTCTGCTTGACTCAGATATTTCGTGGACTAAAGTTACATTGATGCACCATCAACACCGCGAAATGGAAATCCGCATATGGCCCCCGATGAATAGCAGCCTCTACGCTCACGAAGTGCTCAGTAATGGTCAGACCCAGACTTATTATGACTCGCCTACAAACATGCTCCCAATTCAGTTTATTTTGGGACATGCTTATGACGAACCAGTATCACGTCTTCTCAACGAATCGCAGGATTAGTACTACTACTAGATTACGAGCCTAGATTCCAAAGCAATGTACAGACGCCTGATAGGGAACAAAGGATGCTAAATTACACGCAGTTGGAATCCTCCTTCTCGCAAGTATAGAACCAATCGATTCGTAGTAATAGTACAGTTTGCACTTCTGAGTAGTATGCCTTAAATTACGTTGATCTCTTCTATTTCCTCATGAACTCCACGAAGTAACCGTGGAAGCGAAGCCGTCACGGTTAGCACCTTGATTGATGACCCCGTTTTGGCTGACGCTCAGCTGGAAAGTCGATGCAACGGTGGAAAGCGAGTAAATGAAGATGTTTGAGGACGCGTCGACATTTGCCATCTGGTTCTGGCAGTTAAAACTGTCTAAGCAAGCCTGCGCGTAGTTTTGGAAGAAACTGTAAAGGCCAGCACCTGAACGACGATATCAGGTAAGGTTCGTCGCTAGAGGAGAGGTTACAAACCGAAGACAATGATATTAGAGGACGATTGTATCCTCAAGCCCCATGCCGACGTTATGCTGCTGGTAAATGTGGGATCATGGAATGCAGTGTTGGAAGTGAACGGCGCCGGAGCCGCGGGGGCTGGTTGATAATAGGGCTGAAGGATATACGTTAGCGTCCAAGTGCGCGGTGTTACCAAACTGCTCGTCGCACCGTCTCTGTCTGGATGAGCCCCATATAATGGTTCTGGGCGTTGACGAGGTTGTATTGGTAGAGAACATGATGCTCCGCTTCAATGGTCATTATTCAGACTCTGAACTCACCCAGGAGCTGGGGGGACGACGACTTACAAGCTAAGACCAAATACGTTAGTCAGATATACAAGGAAGGATACCGATTGATGGGGCATACCTGTTCCAATCATCCATACAGGTCCAGCAGACTCAGAAAAAATGCCACGTCCGGAGAAGATAGAGATTTGTGAGGAGCCATCACCATCAAGATCATGATCAGCGAGCCAAACCCAGGTGCCCTGAAGAATATCCCTCAGATCAATACATTTTCAACCTAACGCGAGCCAAACTTGCCTCCAAATATGCGGTAGCTTGAGGAGTAATGTGCAATGCCAAGAATGCCGCAAAGCAGTTGTTGAAGTTGAGGCTTCCAGACGGGCAGGAAGCTCTTTCGAGGTTTGTGCCGGCAGCTAATCCCCGGATGTGTCAATGGGCGCCTTACACTTGCTGTTACACAAGACACTGACCTCCGCCAAGTCTGTAAAGATCGTGTTAGCTATTTTCTTTGAATATCATTAACATTATTAACACTAACCTGATATGCGAGTCCCACATTCCAGCACCACCCTGTTGGTTGGCGGGCTGCTTGACGTTCCATTCGACAACAATTGCGCCAGGGGCTGAAAAGTACACAGGTTGAATGAGACAGGGAGAGTGTAGAACGGGAATGACTAACCGGGCCCCACAGTCGAGAATACGATGTCCGAAATTTCCGTCAAGCCTTGAGAGTTGGTTTCTCCGACTCGCACCACAGGGACGGGGTTATTTATATTGTTAAAGGTAGCTCCTTTGCCCGCAATAACAGTCCAAGCTTCTCCGGTCATCTGGGTACCAGCCGGGATCGTCAGAGTGGATGTAACGATGTAAGTACCAGCGTCAAAGAAGATAATCTTGCAACCCGAGAACTAGATGTTCCGTGTTAGCCAGATACAACGGGCGTGAGTGGATGAGGTTCGCACCTGATTGAATATTGCCTGAAGCGCAGCCGTATCATCTGTTGTGCCATCACCCCTTGCACCGTGGTCCTTCACGCTCACGATTTGGCTGAGGGAATACGCAGCGTATTGTGGGTGAGTCTTTCCAAAGATTTTCCCTGAAGAGTCCAGCAATGGAGCAGGCTTGTTAGGCGTAGGAATATTTCCCTGTGTGAATGCGCCATTCGCATTGACTCCGGAATACACGTTTCCTTGGCCCCAGGACGTGATCGTAGTAGTCCCGCCACTGAGAACGGTTGCACCACCAGCGACACCGACGGCGACGGGCACGTTGTTCAACTTTATGTTATTTAGCACCAAGGATCCCCCTAGCCTTCCGTTGCTTGGTTGAGATGTTCTAACGAAGATGGGAGTATTCGTCACAACGGCGTCGATTATAGCCTCCGCACCAACAGTCTTCATTTTCCATCAGTCGGTGTCTTCGGTAATATAGACAACGTCGTACCTGTGTTTCCTGTGTGACGCCTCCAGTGGAAAGGTCGAAGCCAACCTTAGAAGACATGGTTAATGAAACTGTAACGAATTATAGTCGATCCAACTCACTTGACAGTTGTTGATGGTAACTCCCTGGAAGGTCCATCCTGATGCCGAATTGGTGAGCGTGATTCCCAAGAAGAGGAAAGAGAACCAAACCCCAGTTCCAAAGGCCAAATATAGCTGAAGAAGAATAGATGTAAGACTACGATTGTCAACATCTCATGGGGGAGTTGCTACTCACCCGTATCAGCGTTGTTCATGGTCACATTGCGTACGGTAAATCTAGTAGGAGATGAACTCCGCGAAAAGGGAAAGTCTTGCGGCCCGAATGTCTACTTACTGTTGATTCCCAACCCACATACCAAATTTGCCTATAGGAGTTTAGCAATGGGACGTGGGGTCGCGCGCGGGGAAGTACTTACCTCCATTGAAGACCATGTCACCCATGTATCCTCCGCTGATCCGAAGTGAGCATCACCGGGTTGGTCGAGGAGGAGGATCGACATACCTGCCATTTTCCATCCAGATACCTGTAAAGAATCATCAGTACATGCCTTCTTCGATCAACCGCCGGCCGAAACTTACCCTGATGGGCGTTGCCAGCAGCCGTGCTCAGCTGGAATACAATGTTCATCAAGGAAGTAGCCTGTGCTACTTGCCAGTGAATACCAGTCCCTGTAGCACCGGCGGGCATCCTGCGAAATACTGCATTTGTTTCTTTTCAAACGTGACATTGGGTAAGGCAAATACCTGCGGGTGTCGATCACGAAGTTTCGGACAGATCGGAAGCTGCCAGGGGAAGTCATCGTTAGCAGAAGGAGATCACGAGAAGACCATATACTCACAAGTTATTCTGATTGGTGTACCATTGGGCACCATTACCTCCTGGAATGTACGGGTCGGCGTCTATCGGTAGATTTGAGTAAAGTTACATACGTGTAAGTTGTCAAAATGAAGCGGGACAGCTCACTCACCAATGACGGCCATCCCTACGAAGTTCGCTGCAGCGAGAAGAGTAGGTAGGTTTCGGGCATCGCCAATTAACTGGGTGTAGTAGTAAGGCACAATAGGCGAAGTAACCAGGTATGTGCTGTAACGAGCAAGTTAATTAGCTCTGGCATTTAGTTATATCACCTACCCGGCGGGGAAATAAACTAAGGCCGGGGTAACACTAAATGGAAGAGACTCAGCCGAAGCCCAGGAGAACAGCTGTAAAGCCCATACGTTGACGAATGGCAAGAGCCACCCCCACAGCGACCTCCAGAAGATATAGCATTGCTATAATGAATCTTTCAGTAAAGCACTAGACGGTCCTGGTCTATAACTCACTTGATCGCTGCTGTATCATCAGTTACACCATCACCTCTGGCGCCGAAGTCTTTCACATTGCGAAAGACCTGGTATCCAGCAGGATTAGGGTTAAAGGCTGCAGTTCCCTGATGCTTGATAGTTTGTAGCCAAAAAGGTTCACCCGGAGCGGCAGTCCCAGCCCCAAGCGGTACACTGCATGACGTGCCAAGGGCAGTCACCGACGAAGTGAAGGATAGGATGAGAGCTAATAGGGCGAAAAGCATTGGTATAGGTTTGGTAGGCATCCCGGGGGTAGCTTGAGCAGTTCCTCTGGCTAACCAATGCACTTTATACTGGTGAATTATATATTCACTTGCGACCAATGGCTTCGCCGGATCCGTTGATGTAGAAAGGCGAATGCGACCGCATGGTCAACGTACAAGATCAATGTATCGGGCACTCTCATTCGGTCCTTGCGTGCCATACTCATCCCAGAAACCCACCCATACATGGCGATGAGCTGGCATATGAGGTCACCTGTATAAACCGTGGGGCCAAAAGGCGTTAGCGATGAGGCGTTCCGCAAGGTCATTTGAAAGAAGCAGGTATTCCGGAAAGGTGAATCCAGTCGGGTTTCGCGAGCTAATCACTCACAACAGGCCATCATTGCCGGATTTAAAGCTGGGTATGTGGGGGTAGCCAGGAGTGGCCATGTCGGAAGCCCTTTTCTGGGACATTTTTCCGAGAGTCCGCGACGATGGCAACGGATTGCTCGAAGTTCATCAACGAATGTCTCGCGCAATCTGACTACGTCGCGTGGTTGTAGCGCGGGTCCTTCGAAACCTGTGACCTCCGTGCTTACTTCCTGGTACCATCCTTTATCGGTCAGTATCCGCTCATATTCTGCCACGAAGGACAATCACCTTCTCGCGTAGAGTATAATGTGGGAGGTCCGAGGCCGCCTTGGCGTGCGCTTGTTAATATCGGTGCTTTGGGCTTCTCCGCCAGTATGGTATCATAATGAGCATTCTGAATCTACTCAGTCACCTGCTATGTTGGCCTCGGGTCATGCGCAATGGACGCTCCCGTTCTCGCAAGACCAGATGCTCTTTTGACGCCCGTAGAAGAACAACCTCGGCTGGAGACTTGCCCATTGTGGACGGATCTCTCGCCGTGGGCTGGGAACCAGCGACTACGGCTAACCCCTCGAGAAGTCCCCGGATGCAGATCCGGGGAAACGGACCTACACGTCCCCATCTTTGCGTATACGAGCATGCGTCTGCCGCGTCGCCTACGACGGCGTGATGCGGCGAATCATGCTGTTGACCGTTTAATGAGAAGCACTATCATAGATGCATACCTCGTGCCACGACGATGGGATACATCACGATCTGTTGCCGTCTTGCAATGCTGCAAAGTTCTGCCACGTCCTAGGCTAATCTTTCTCAAAGACTTAGTATAGCAAAGTATAGCAATGATTGAATTGGGTGTCTCTAGGAAGGCGAGCGCTCCACAATCGTGCGTGTCAGTGTCTTCCCGGGCATAGAGATCAAGAACCGTACTCACAACTCAAATTCCGAACCTCGCTTCCTGCCTCTAAACCCGACTCAAATCCGACACGACTACACCACGGCCCATGGGAAACGGAAGCACAGAGTGTTGGGAATGAAAGAAGAAAGCGGGGGAACAGTAGATTTGTCACGAATACCGGTGTTATACATCCTGTCCTATTCAGGGGAACTACTCTTACATGTACGGGGCATTGCAAATTGGCCAGAAAGGTTGCGCAGGGGGTTGGGGGTTGGGTCCGGGGTCATACAGTTTGCAATCCAGCAGCGCGAAGCTTACTGAGCATTGCCACGTCCCGAGGGTTCCGCTTTACGTCCAAACGGGGATTCATGAATTTCGGACGAGCAAATTCTGAGACCTCTGCCGAGTACCATCTTGACTCCAGCATTTGTGCTAGCACCCCGTCTGTAGAGGAAAGGCATGTCCCGAACCTGATCGTTTCTAGCCTTGGGCACAGGCTAGGCGTTTGGGGATTGGGTGGGTGAATCGTCAGAAGCTGCAGCACTCTGTCCGTGATAGGAAATGTGACCCCACGCAAGTCCGAGACCTGCAGCTCCTTCAACGAGTGACTTGTTGAGCGGAGACACGAAATGAGAGCATCGTCGGACTCCAAAACTTGGGTAAAGCGTAGGCTAGTGATGTTGCATTGTGATCGGCCAACAAAGTTGATAAATGAAGAAGGCTGCCACACAATTGAACTGGTGCTGCTCTCGAGATCGGTAGAAGCATCAGCTACCATCAGATACAGGAGGTTCGGGAGTATCAAGTGATCGAGGAAAGAGCCTAATGACACCATCGAGTGAATTTCGAGCGAGTTCAGGTGATGATGAGTGACGCATTTAGACCCGCTGGCTTCCAAAATCGGCGTGTTCACTACTTGTAGCTGTGCCTTCTTCAGATACGGACACCCAGCTAACAGTTGAAGGCACTGGTCAGCAGTAAGCGTTGTTTGGACGATGTTGAGGTCCAAGATGTGTGTCGTATTGAAGGAGTACGACTGCATGACCTGATCACGAAAGCAAAGCCAGAGTGACCGTAGTCGAGTTGCCGATTTCGAGGTAATACGCAGTGGATGTGTAGGATGTCCTGCTGTCCCGCCCTTGCTCAGGGTGATCACCACTGACTCGAGGAGTGGGGCATTCCCATTGATTATGCCGTTGACAGATGAGAGGTGCGTAGAGGGGATGGTCAAGGAAAGATGGTTCAGGCGGTGAATATTAGCGGCTAGCAGACCAAGCAGAGGATGAAGTTGCAAGTCAACGGTTGGAGCGTAGACATTGAAACACAACGCTCCTTGGCCTGAGCGCCCTAGCCATAGCTTCACGTGACGCGTACGTTCATTGGCGTTGAAGGGACTAAGCACGACGAACAACGAGCTCCAAAGCATGGGTGTGGATATTGCTAGGTTTCTCCAAGAGGAGCAGACTTGCGTCAGCAACAGGGGTGCCTTCGTGGACGCTGGACTGATATACCGATCGGCCGGCAAACAGTGAAAGAATATTTCCTGCATAATGTACACAGGAACTTTCCAGATGGGAGCGAGCAGGGAGAGTCGAGTCTGCGCGTCGTCGCATTCCTGCCGGAGCTTGGCAGCGGCAGAGAGAGCTGCTGCAAGATCCGAAGCCACTTGTTGGAGGCGAGTCTCGCTCTCCACTAGACACTGTCGAAGCCGACTCGCTTCGTCGATAATTGGGAGATAGTGGTGAGTCCCAAGAGAAGTGATATGCGTCGACATGCGTGATACGCCTAGTAGGCTATAACAACATCCAGTAGATTGACACCGCGCAAAAACAAGCCCTCACCTTCTCGGACACGATTGTGAACTGCAGCTCGTTGCCTCCGATGAGATTGTGCGATATAGGGCACACGACAATGGCAACGCTTGGAGCTGATATATATACGAGATCCACGTTCAGCGCCTGAGTGTTACGTTACGAAAACGCATCAAATCTAGGACCTGCGTTAACCGTGCCAGCCAATGCAGACTCGTAGATTTCGCCAAGGGAATCTCTCCAACCCTCCGAGAGTCCGACGAAGGAGCAAGAGAAGAGACTTGAAGCCACAAAAGAATCCGGGACTTGTGGGCTTTCTAATTCCGAAAATCAAGATGTGTACATATGCGGCTGAAAATGACAGAACGACATGTTGCACGCAAAAAACTCACGCCTGGCAAGTAACAGGGGCTGCATAGGAGACAGGAGGTGTCCTCAAAATCTTTCGGAGGTCCACATTCGCACATGGCTCGCCACCACCGAAGGTGGTGAGAATATTCTTCCAATTGCCTAGCAGCGACCTTACGCTCACGGAGTCTTTGGAAACGGGTCAGCCACGCATATGACATGGTTACCTGCACTCGAATATTCGTTGCTTTGCGTCAGCGCTAAGGCCGACCGATACCAGCGACTCACGAACCATAATTCCGTAATTGAAGCTTGAACGCTTGAAAAGACTTGCGCTATTAATATTTCACGTCCAATAAGTTAGGGTCGCCGGCCCCGGAAAGTGCTATGTTCAACCTTAATTTCTTCCTTCAACTTCAACTCGGACCCTCACAACTTCTTACGGACTCGCCACTGGACTTTTGGATTGCTTCATGTTGGCAACAACCAGTAGAACCTTCAACTTGATCTTCTGATTCTGAGAAATGGCCCCACAAGCGATTAATTGCCAGGAAGTCATTAAAGTAAGAAGGTTCTAGTCCTCGTAATGATATCAGTGGATCCAATTCAAAGCTAACGTACGTAAAGCGAGCAGGGTAAAACGGTTGGATTCGTGCTCGAGGAAAATTTACTGAACTCCAAATCCCCCAATTCGATTTCAGGATGGTCACATTGATTAGCGCCATCCTAGTGTGGTTCTTGGCTTTGAGGGCGACTTTCGGTGTGCGCTTTACCATGGCCGGCGCAAATGCTACAGATTCCCTGGGGTTGAGTCGGACTAGGAAAGACCCGTTCTGGTTGGAGGCAATCAAGCATCAGGGCATCGCGCCATTCCATCCAAATGCGTCCCAATATCCAGTTTTTCGCAATGTGAAAGACTATGGCGCTAAAGGGGATGGCGTGGCAGACGATACTGAGGCTATCAAGTAGGTAAGTTTGCCCTTGACGGGAGTCCTTTCTAACGCGACGATGGTTCATCCAGCTTGGCGCTTTCAAGTGGGGACCGCTGTGGCGAGGGAACATGCCCGTCCTCCACGTACGGATGTTAACTGCTGTAATCATCCCAGGCACTGACACGAACACCTAGTGTCTCTCCCGCGCTTGTGTACTTCCCCGCCGGGTGAGTGAGCCATGAATCTGGACTTACCACGTCCATCTCAGTGAGGATATCAGGAAATACGTTATTTCTCGACCCATCATCGCTTGGTACTATTCCCAGCTCATCGGTGATGCCAAACAACCACCGACATTACTCGCAGCTGCTTCATTTGAAGGAATGGCGGTTATAGGTACTTTTAACCCTCGGAGCGCCATCAGCCACTGATGGATTATTGTGCAGACGCCGATCCTTACATCCCTGGTGGGGGAGGTCGGCAATGGTACATAAATCAAAATAACTTGTCAGTCAGAAGTCTGTCCAAGTGGACGATGTACTGACAGAGCGAAAACTCGATTGTAGTTTCCGATCTGTTCGAAATTTCATCATTGACCTGCGTCGGATGCCATCTTCTGCTTCCGCAACTGGTCTTCATTGGCAAGTGTCTCAAGCCACTTCTCTGATGAACATCGTCGTGCAGATGTCCACGAAAAGAAACACTGGTCATCAGGGTATGCGAGCATATGTGTTCGGAATCCCCATATTCATCATCTTATTCTAGGTATTTGGATGGAAAACGGAAGGTTCTCCCCGGTTTAAATCTGTAAAGAGTAACCGGTTGATGTTGTACATAGTGGTGGGTACATGGGCGACCTAACATTCAACGGGGGTGAGACAGACATTCTCTACAACGCCCCACCATCGCTAAACCCATTGCCCTAGGTAAATATGGAATTTGGGGAGGCAATCAACAGTATGCCTGCCATATAACTCGGACGCTCCGACCTGACGAATAAATGAGCAGATTCACTGTTCGTAATGTTGTTTTCAACGACGTTCAGACAGGTGGGTTTCTTTGATCTATTAATACTCGCAGAACTCACACCAAATCCTAGCTGTATACGGTGTTTGGAATTGGGGTCAGTCATGCCTTTACTCTGGGTTGCAGACCGCTTCTTACACACTACATCATATATAGGTTGGACATTCCAGGGAGTTTCTATCAATAACTGCCAGGTACGGACAATACGTGCATTGTCAGCGTACCGAGCCTAAGGAATTACTAGATCGGCTTCGACCTACAAATCGGGGGGACAACAGCTGCCGCACAGGTGAGAGTGAAACGTTACTCTACGGTATGTCGCGACTTACGCCACACAGGGTGTAGGGTCTGAGGCGATCATCGACGTTGAAGTCAGGGATACGCCAATATTCATTCGCACGTCTGTGTCCAGCCAAGGACAACTTCGAGGCTCTCTGGTTCTGAATAACATCGAACTCAACAATGTCAAGACGGCAGTAGGCGTCGCTAGTGGAGAGGTGCTCCTTCAAGGCGGGAAGCATAAGATCATCGATACGTGGGCGCAAGGCAACATATACTCCACGTCCGTTTACCACAAGTTCGTACAGGCAGAGGTCGCGTCGCCATACAAACCCGCCTCGTTGCTGGATAAACACGGTAGAATAGTCTCGAAGATGCATCCTCAATACGAAGATATCAGCGCCGACAGGTTCTTGAGCGCCCGAGATCACGGTTGCAAAGGGGATGGCCATACTGATGAGACCCAAGCCCTCCAAACCTTGCTCAATAAAGTTAGTTGGCTCGCACTGCTGTATAGCATGCTTCTTACAATCTTATTAGGCCGCAAACGAGAACAAGCTCGTATTTATAGATGCTGGTGTTTACGTTATCACGGACACACTGAAGGTCCCCGCTGGAAGTCGTGTCGTTGGTGAGGCCTGGTCAGTCATTTCGGGGAAAGGAAAAAATTTCCAAGATCCGAATGAGCCTCGAGTAATGGTGCAAGTTGGTGGAAAAGGATCAATAGGTACTGTGGAGATCACGGACATCATGTTCTCCACGATTGGGCCAGGTAAGACTGCATTTCCGGTGTATCGGGTTGTACTAAGACGCAGCACGGGCAGCGGGTGGCGCTATCGTGATAGAGTGGAACATACGCGATCCTGTGGGCCGACCTGCAAGTTGCGGGATGTGGGACTCCCACATAAGGTGAGTAATACGTTCTTCCGCCGCTCCAAACAACTTCTACGAGATTCTCAGATTGGGTGGCGGTACGCTTGTTCGCAGTAGAAGCTGGAGTAAATTTGACCTAACTTGAATGCGTCCAGCTGCTGGCACTGATCTTGATTTTGCCCACTGCCCGAAAGGCTCAGCAGACGATGCATGCATGGCGGCTTTCCTGGCACTCCACCTGACGAGGCACTGTTCGGCGTATCTCGAGGTTTTTACACGTCCTTCCTTGGATTACCTTGTGTTGATCTCTGACGGCATTTATCCGTCAGGGAACGTGGGTATGGCTTGCAGACCACGACCTTGATGTACTAGAAGAAGATCAGATCACTCTTTTCTCCGGGAGAGGTATCCTGTCAGAATCTCAAGGTCCAGTTTGGATGATTGGTACAGGTGAGCAAGCTGAGAACTGAACGCGTCCGTATTTGTCTCACACCGACACATTGGTTAGGATGTCAGTTCCGTGTTGATTTAACTGCCAGGTAGAAGCTGACACTGCATCATATAGCTGAACACCACGTTCTCTATCAATATAATCTATACGAGGCCAAAGATCATTATATGGGTTTGATACAGACTGAATCGGTGAGTGCGCTCTATACTAAGGCCAATAATTACATGTCTCACTGCTCAATCATCTGTTAGCCATATTTTCAGCCCACGCCTGCCGCGCCCCACCCGTTTCCGCCGTCCGAAAAATATAATGATCCATCCTTTGAATCACTGACCTCTTCCTGGGCGTTGTACGTTCAAAAATCTCAACGTATCACCATCTTTGGTTCGCTGCTTTTATGTTTCACTCAATTGTATTTCTTCCACGGCTAATTTACTTCTACCAGGCGCCGGGTTGTACAGTTTTTTCAACAACTATAGTCAGGCTTGCCTTGACACGAAGACGTGTCAGTCCCAGATCGCCAATATCGACACGAGCACCAGTGTTCGTATCTACGGCTTGTCAACCGTCGGGGCCACCTTCCAGCTCAGCATCAATCATGTCGGTCTCATTAATCAAGCGGATAATCAAAATGGATTCCAAGAGACCGCTACGGCATTCTTGACTGAGCCATAAATCCACCGTGTTCATGTAATATCTGACGGACATCATTTCTTGCACTTGTATTATATAACTTGATAAAGAGCACTCCTGCTATTGTACAGCTCTCACCGCCAGTTGTTACAATTTTTCACACATGGGTGGCTGAACAAGATATGTGAAATGTGCCAATCGTCATGGGTTGGCGATTGTGTGATATGATTGTCTCCGTTCTTGTCCTTCTCCAACCAGCCATGCCTGCAGAGTTCTTCATGAATCGGGTTAACCACCGAGATTACTGGATACCAGCCACTAGCAGAAATACGCATTTCGAGCGGCTCCGAGCTGTATGGTAACTTTGCGGTAGGTGCTGATCGGACCGCACGTCAACATCACTGCGTTAAAGTTGAAGCCGTTCTGTGCTCAGTCGACGGGTACCTTCGAACTGACACTGGCCACGGAGACAGGGTTTGGAGCACGGAGGTTCTACACTCGGAATGTCGCACCAAGCCAAGTGCTAGACCGGGTTCTGGAGCCAGCTGAAGCAAAGTTTGGCTTCTTATCGCAGCATAGGTGACTAGACTAAGAACACACGTTCACTGTGTGCTCATCTCTTGGCAAGAAATACAACACAGATGCGAGAGCAGCAGCGAGACCTGTGGGTGCGCAACTTGGCATTGATGGGGCGTTGAGCCCTCCGAGTGGCTTGCAATTAGACGCCCGTATCCAGCGCTTCGTTCTCGACATCATACACTGGCCGTGACTCACTCATGGTGAACATGCTGGAGCACTAGAAGCTTCCCTTCCTCTGTCTCACAATCCTCGGAGTGTGCTCCCACTGTATACCGAACCGTTAACAACCCTCGGTCTAGACAGAACTTCCTTGGAGGTTGTTGCGCCAATCGCTTGGAATATTTATTTACATTCCGCCTCGAGGAAACCTCATTCCGAACGACGACGCCACGAAAAAACTTTCCCATTCACCTTGGTGTCATCGAGCTGTGCCACCGTCGAGGATAAATGCCCGTTATATCGGACCAATCATCTTCTCTGGACATTTCATCAAACGATTCTATTCTGAACGACTGCTGCAGCGACTCTTCGAGGCACAGCTACGCTTCTGTCCAATATCGACTTACATACTCGAGGCATCCTTCGCGGAGATCGCCAGAGACTGAGAAACGTGGTGAAGGGGGATCATTACCAGAGCGTGGGGTGCATGCTCGTAAACAGTCTTCTGCTCGGCGGAAGGAGACATACGATCGTCCAGGACCGGTTCCCATCTGTGAGTGTGATGTTTCCGTTAGCAAAACTGCAAGCAACGAGGCTTACCGTGGTGTATTCGAAGCCAAAGACTTCATATTCTTGATTACCCTTTGCTTCATTCTAGCCTGCTTCCTGGTTATCGTTATTCGCCAGGTCGCGATACCGATCGTCGACGAATATGAATATGTACCATAACATAAGGTCTTTATACAGTTGGAAGCATTCGATACATCATTAGATGGTCATGCATGACCTACATTCATTCCTCGTATATACGGACCCCATTACCGCCCCAACTTCGCATAACGGCATTCCCATCTCCAGTCGGCTGGGTGAAGGCCACGTCGCCCTTCGACGGGTCCAGAGGACATCCATGAATAAACGTCGAAGCCGCGGCAGATAGCAATTTGCTCGCGATTCCCTGACGGCGATGTGTAGAAGGAACGAAGATTCGCGGAATCCCTAGAGGGGTTGGTAGAGGCGCGGGATCACAGAAAAGCCCCGAAGTTGTGTCAACAGCGATCAACCTTGAGGTCTCCTCTGGTCCCAAATCATGGGAGGCTGTTGCATTGGTCGGCGTCGCGATAGCCATGGCTGTCGAAATGCGTTGGGCTATCACACACCCCACTATCTTCTCTCTGAATGATCCCGCAATCGCAGACGGCAGCAGAAATAGATAAACTTTCGATGCACGAAGAGCTTCGGAGGTGAGAGGCGGGGAGGAAAGGGCGAGGTTAATGGTATCGTAGAGAGTAGCCAGCTGAAGTTTCATAAATCAGTCAGCACTGCACTAGGACGTAGCAACCACCGTACCTTGGAGCCAATCTTCCCCCCAACATCTGCTCTGACATGTAGTATCCGGCCCCGCTTGCCGTTCTTTATTCGGACGCTGTCCTCTACAGTGACTACGCCAGCCTTTATGGCTTCCCTTTCCTCTTCTTTCCCCCACTCCAAACCACGTTGGACTCTCGAGCAATGTGCTCTATGAAGCGCTTCGTCATCCGGTGCCCCCTTCGTGTATGAGAGATCACAAGTTGGGCATGTCTTTAATATGGAGGTGTCGATACAGAAATGTAGCTGTGTAAGAGTTCGTTGCTTGTTTTGCGTTTTATTCCTTGTGTTACTGTTTGCGCTCTGCGATGCAGTCCCTTTGAGCTTCAAGCGTTTCGTTGGATGTGGATTGGTAATGTTCACGACGGAGGATTGGTCTGTCAATGGCCGCTTTCTCTTGCTCTCTGGGAGCGGTGGAGACGACAGGTCAGACACGGGAGAAGAAGGGTATCCCGCTCTGCTGTTGCGAGACCCGTATGTTCTGGTGATTGCGGGGGTCATTGGTGAAGGGACTCAACAAAGCGGCGATCGCGAGTCATGGCGCGTTGTTTGTAATTATTACGGTACGCGTGAGTCACCTGATCCGATAATAGGCGCACTTTCAATAGGCGCTGATCTTTTGGGATTATCCGGCTTCGGGACGGAAACGAATCCTTACAACTTTTCATGCATCGTCGTCAGGCCATTGAAGCGGTTCGGACGACATGTATCCAGTCTAGGAACTCTGCTACGGCGGCGAGGGCAAAGGTGCGTTGTCGCGACGCTAACTGCTTGGTCGCTGCTGATGCCACGTTCTCATACAGCCAGCTTCATGGGAAACTGACTCTGCGGTTTCACCCCCTTCTCTGAATAAATGGAGTCGACAACTACCAAGTTTCTCGACTCGAGGGGAAGGGCTCAATGGCACAGGCAAATGGACTCGTCCGACCACGGAAGCGCCGGGTACCCCCAGGAGCACACCTCATCCTACCGTATTTACGCCTAATTCTTTTCAAGGACGCACTCCAAATCATGCCTCTAGCTCAAGGCATCCTTTACCACCAAAATTCTCACTGAGTGGGCAGCGGAATCCCCCCGGCACCTCCTCGAATACTAGATCTAATCTGTCGCAACGTACCACCACCCCGAAGGTGACGAGACTGAACCAAGGGCCTTCTAATGGTTCAATGTCTAAGTGGACCCGAGAAGCACCTCCTCATCCTACGCAACGGAATCAGCAACCTGGACAAGGCTCTTCGCCCTCCGACTTCTCGTCCTCTACTTCGACAACGAGGCCAACTCCTTCGCAAAATGCCATTCCTTACAATCACTCCGATACTAATCTTGCAATTGGTTCCAAGAGAGATAAGCTAGCCGCTCTAGTCAAGCTGCCCCGTGTAGATGGGGCGTCTAACGCGGATGCGAATAACGAAGGAAGACAACATAGCCGCGTCGTTCGCAAAGATCGTACATCGATTCTTGCGCGTCGAGGCGACAACGTCGCAATTCCTAGCCACTCGCGGGTATCTCAGAAACACGGCGATCATACTCTCAAAGTCAAGCGGAATAAAACCAGTTTGCCGAAGGAGAAGCAGGTCGCTGCGGACGTGTATATCCCATCTACTGTCTCCGTGGGGACATTATCTCGGCTTCTGGGTGTAAAGTTAGGTCAGTCGGCTCTACAATTTACTCTTACCCGTTTTACGATGGCCTATCACCCTCAGAGACCCTTCAGCGGAGAATGTTTCGAGCAGGAATGGGAGATGAATCTTCGTACGATCATGGTAGGCCCACTTCATTAATGCACCTGCACCCTGTTGACTATATACCGGCGTAAGTCCTGACGTCTGACTACGCTGTTTTATTGGCTGAGGAATTTGGCCGCAACCCGATCGTCAACGATGAGGCTGCTTTCGACATCTATGCCCCGTACGCATGCTAGTCTCCTACTTTTTCACTTGCAAATTCCTAACATCACTGATTTGAAGACCCGCGCACTCTGATCCCTCGAAGTTACCATCCCGGCCGCCCATCGTCACCATTATGGGGCATGTTGATCACGGGAAAACAACCCTTCTTGATACTCTACGCTCAGCCTCCGTAGCCAAAAGTGAGGCAGGTGGCATTACTCAACACATAGGTGCCTTCTCTGTTCCCGTCCCCGATTCTGGGGGTTCTTCTGGTTCCCCAGATTCCATCACCTTCTTGGATACACCCGGGCATGCGGCATTCTCAGCCATGCGTGCCCGTGGGGCTCGAGTAACAGATATCGTAGTCTTGGTCGTGGCGGCAGATGACGGCATCATGCCACAAACCAAGGAAGTGATCAATCTCATCAAACAAGATGAGGGTAAGGTCGGGGTAGTAGTCGCAATCAACAAGGTTGATAAACCCGACGTCAATGTCGTAAGTATCTTGTATCCGGTTAAATGACGATTCCCTCACTATCTCCAAAGGACTTCGTCCAGAAGGCTTTACTAGCAGAAGGAGTGCAACTCGAGGTCTTCGGCGGTGATGTCCCCTCGGTCGAAGTCTCTGGTTTGACGGGACATGGGCTCCCCAATCTCGTAGAAACCTTGTCTGCGATGGCTGAGATGCAGGACTTGCGTGCTGAACGAGAGGGCCCTGTTCAAGGTTACGTGTTGGAATCGAGAGTCCAAAAGGGCCTCGGGTAATTCGCTTTCATTTCCTACCATGAACTCCGCGCTGAAGTCTTCCCTTTATCAGCCCAGTGGCCACCGTCCTGGTGCTTCGAGGATGTCTCAAAACAGGCTCACACATCATTAGCGGAGTTACCCACGCCAAAGTGCGTGCGATGAACAACTCCTCAAACAAATCCGTAAAGGCTGCGTATCCTGGAACTGCAGTCACTGTTTCGGGGTGGAAGTCTCTTCCTGATGCAGGCGACGAAGTGCTTCAAGCCTCGGAGGGCGATATTAAAAAGGCAGTGATTAATAGGATGAGGCAACGAGACTTAGAAGCGTCTCTTGCGGATGTTGGAGCCATTAATGCCAACAGAAAGCTAGAACGCGAACGTCGTGAACTCGAGCTAGCATCCCCTGAAACACACGCAGCACCGATTCCCGTTCACGACTCCTCGGAAGATCAAAAGGTTCTGAGGCTCATCGTGAAAGGGGACGTTAGTGGGAGTGTTGAGGCCGTTGTAGGGGCCCTGGAAGGCATTGGGAACCACCTTGCATCTGTGAAGGTTGTGTCCTCTGGTGTCGGCGACATCACTGAATCAGATGTCACTATGGCTAAAGCCGTCGATGGTGCGTAAGAGTCATGATTTAGCTCTTGCTATAAGCAGTATATTTATCCGATTTAGGGATTGTCGTCGGGTTTTCGGTGACCACGCCTCGTGCCATGGAGATGCTCGCTGCTCAAAATCAAGTTTCTATCCTCTCATCGGGGATCATATACCGGTTAATGGACGAAGTAAAGAGTCGTCTTGTCGCTCTCCTTCCGCCTGTCTTAGAATCCAAAGTTACTGGCGAAGCGACAGTCCTACAATTATTCGACATCCATCTCAAGGCAAAGACGATTAAGAAAGTCGCCGGATGTCGAGTTGTCAATGGTATCATAGAAAAATCTAGAAACGCCAGGGTAATTAGAGATGGGGTGACGATTCACGATGGTGAGCCGCCTGGCCTTTAGGTCCCCTTTGCGCTAAACTCACCCTGTGAACACGCTAGGGACACTGGACACGATGCGTTATCTGAAGAAAGATGTGACTGAGGTTCGCAAAGGCTCCGAATGTGGTGTTAGCTTTGGTGATTTTTCCGAGCTTCAAGAGGGAGACTTGATACAGATCTATCAAGTTGTAGAGAAGCCAGCTACATTATAGACCTAGACAGCAGTTTTACTAATTGACCCTCCATTCAACGTTAATTATTATGTTTTTCAGCCGCGAGCCTTGTTGGACCCATCCAAAACCACCTCCTTCCCTCCAATCGTGCCTGTTCTTCCACCCACACCAAACGTTAGACTGATGTTTCCAAGGCTTTGGGTTGGTTTCTCCAAGACGGTCCAACTCCGAGTATCTTGCTTGTGCAAGTGCAATTCAACCTAGGAGAATGAGACGTTATGATCATGTGTGGCATATAGACACATCACTCCGACCTTCGATCCCAATACGCTGTAAGTCGAAAGAGTAGGGTCGATTGGGCCAAAAAGATCGAGTTTTCGAGAAAATCGTTTAGACTGGGGTAGATATAAATCTATCGATACCTGGGGGGACCCTGATGAGCCGAATGTCGCAGACAAAATGCGGTCATGGGCGGTACGTACCTGGGAAGCTTCGAATGCAATATTGCTTTTATCTTTGTCAACTGCTTTCGCGAAGACAGATACGTGAACTTTGTCAACGGTTTGATAGTGATCGATTCGACAAGAGACTTTTTCTTCGGTCTAGTGTGTTAGGATAAATAAGAGTACGGGTCTATGTCTATGAGCTTTGATAAATGCTCACCGTGATGTCGGAGACTTTGGGTGTGAACACATGTCGTCCCTTCGTGCAACCCTCGATTTTCAGAAACTCTTCAAATTCAAGGACTTTGCGCTTGCAGCACAGGTACCCCTATAGATGGACCGATCGTCCAGCTGATCGGTTTTGCTCATCCCATCGGGAAACTTACCTTACTACCTTCTCGAAAGAGTGGCTGCAAAGGGTAGGGTCAGTGAGCGGGATTCAGCCTCTCGACCGATGGATAACTGCTCACTGGTAAAGGGTGATACATGCAAACCGAACCCTCACCATCCTCACTTCTATTCAGAGCGTCACTAACAAAGGCAACCCCGCAGCCCTTGCGTCTGCACCGCGTACCGGGACTTACGGGGACACTTGGATCGTCTTCCTCTTGGATAACGGGAGTCGGCGCGATCACGGCGTCCTGTGACGCAGTTCGTGTCTGCTTTGAAGACCCATAAACCTCTTTACCGTCTGGTGTCTCTGTCATGTGCAAACTGGTGTTGGGGGTCGACTTTACGGCCTCCACAGGTGCTGCATTTGCGTCGTGTTGATCTGCTGTAGAACATCCCTGTATCAAGCTGGTGAGCACAATACTCAAAGCTGTATCGACGAACTCAAGTACAGGTATTTTCAGAAAATCGTCGAAGTCTGTCACAGGCTTGTTTACATCCTGACAGCAAGACCATGACTTGAGTCCTTCGTGGAATACCTGTCCACACAGAAATCTTCAATGTCCTGACCCAGTGAAGAAGTTACGGCTTCGCGTCGAGTAAGCTCACCGGAGCACCAGGGTGATGGATGCAAGGCTCGCTGGTACCCTCTTCGAAGTCCTTCTTGCATCCATTCCGTGAGCAAATAGGCATGTTTGTATATCGCGCGAAATAGGACGATGTGTACTTGTTCTTGCAAAGAAGAGTTACGCAACAATCATATCGATCCTCCTAGTAGTACTCTGCTTACGTAAATAATCGAACTTTCCAGTGAATTCAATAGCGATTCAGCGTCTATGTCGAAGTCCATCATAGAATACATGACGTCTGGGGGTCGCTACGACGGGAATAACCATGCAAGGGAATTTCATGTCCGGCAGGTGTACGGCAAATTTGAAATACAAGACCCATAAGTTGCCCATAAGCAGATTAATGCGACATATTTTGAGACATAGATGCATCGGAAACACGCGAAGCGGCGAAGGCCTCTGGCAGGACAGTACTTAGCCGAGAGCTTAGGATCGTTTCGCAGGGATTGAGGGAGTGAAGTGACTCAAAGCTCTCGCAGTGAATTTCCATCTTGTAAGAACCCACCGGCATCAGTGGAATGGGTAATTACTGTCACGCTGCAAGTGGACCGATGCAGACGATTGTCTCCAGACACTGACTACGGGGCTTCAGTTAGCTTGCTTCGCGGGACGAAAGATTCCGCTTGAACATGTCAAGCAACATACTCGACGGAAATGAAACGGCTCCAGTCTCCAATCAGCGCACAGGTCAAATTTATCGAAGCCACTCTATCCTCCGAAAGCCGCTCGCAAAATCAAACGAGCGATCGAGGGACGAGGAAGGTGTCCAAGTAGTATAAGTAAGTATCAAGGGATGTTTAGGCGATTTTACCTTGAGTACTAGGCTGCAGTGAAAGCATGATCGATTTCTTTTAGGGACGAAGTCCGTCGCCACAGAGGCCATCCTCATGTACGGCGCGTGTAAATTGGCAGCAACGCATTCTCCAGATCGGAACGACAGACGCAGTACCTCAACCACATAGTAAGTTCCAGGTAACCTGAAAGTAGACGTCTGTTAAAGGAGCAGACTTGAACGCCAAAGGAACACGACATACTGGGCGCACGAGAACGATTTAGCTCGTGTATCATGCTTATCGGTGACCCCAAATTCTGGCCACTGTCATATGCCACACCTGCAAGCCAGTCTTACGTTTGACAGGAATAATGCTCCGCGGGCCTGCTGTATGAAATTCTTATCGTCCCAGGAAAGCGGCGCGAATGGATGGACGGAACGGTGATTCTGTTGTAATGAGGCTTCCAGTACTACACCAAAGCCCTCATTTCATTGGCTGAGAAAACAAGTCGCGATGGGGATGTAACGCGAGGAGAGTTGACGGTCATATTCAATCTATGATCTTTTCGTGTCCGTTGCGAGCGCTTTGTGCGATGAGAAGACCTCATTAAATTGGAGGAAAATATAAGCTTTTCTGGGATTCTCCTTTCAGAAACGTGGAGCTCACCCGCTTTTGCGACTACCCAATGTCAGAAGAAGGAACTTAATTGCGGACATCCTTAATGTTACGGACTGTTTCTGACACAACCTGTTATCGATGCAAATGAAGGCTTCATTGGATAAGAGCCGAGCCGGCAGTTGGTCTATCAAGTAACGATCAATGAGCTCTGAGTTTCATGAGTGACTGGGCGAAGCCACGGACTCAACTTGGAGATGGCTTGCCCAGAGACTTACTGGTATAGGCGACTAGAATTGATAGTACGAAACGCGCTGCTGTGTGACGATGTAGTGCCAGGAGAAGCGGTTTGCCGCTGTTTCGAATTGTTCACGACAAGGGTACGAGTGTTAGGTGACCATCATTCATACGTGGTAGGGGCGCCAAGACAAAGGGAGTTTGAGCCTCGGAGAGCATTTTCGGTCGCGTGACACTCTGTGTGGAAGAGTACGAGACATCACAACACAACGTCTCGTAGATATCTGCTGCGCTGGGAGTGAATGGCCTAAATGCTTCGAGCAGTAGCATATTTCAGCTCACGGTTTCCACGAATAGCTTTAGAGCTTCGACGCCGAGGTGCTCGATGCGTTGATACATTGAGGTATACCTTCTCGGGCGGGTAAGGTGAAATGAGAATTCAATTAGTTGCGTTGAGATATGTACGTACGTGGTGTATAAAAGCACCGGTTCATAGGAAATACGCATGCATTGTCATGATGTTATGCTCGGTCCGTATGCCTCCCACACCAAGAACCCAACCCCCCATGGACCAACACGACCGAGAATTCTGAGCATGGAGGCGAGGCGTTTGTATTTGTGATGAGTGCCGCTATTATGTTCGAAATGACTTGCTGCTGGATCACGAAAAAAATACGGGAGTCCGTCGTCCCGGAATTTACGTATGAGAGCCTGCCATGGGGAATACCTTTCGCCCGGGTGGATTACACCCTCTATTTTAACTGCCTTTCTGGCAGCATCGAAAGGACGACTGACGTATTCATACGCAAGTCCAGCCAAAGCGCCGCCTGTGACCAGAGTGACCCCATGGAGTATTCGGGGAATGTGGTGGACGAAAGAAGCGCGGGGCTTATCAGATATATCGTCCCATCGTGCCGCAAAATCCCGAGACTTGTTCTCGACCTGGGTAGCTGTGCGTCGTGTTATTTCGAACATTGTAAAGAACGCTGCGAAGCCTGTTGTCAATAGTAAATACCTCTCAGAAGGAGCAAACGATGAGCAAACGTCACCACAAGCGTCTTTAGCGCAACCCCAACCCCAGCCATCCCAGCCTCTACCAGCCATATCGCCGACTTCTTTCATCCAATACCTTACTTGGCGTATATCTTCTATTTGCCGACGCTTCGTGTGTCCTACAACCTGTGTGCCTCTGAATACCTCCTTCCAGGCGTGAGACCACCCATGCCCACCAGCACCCCCTTCAATAACGAGTCTCACATTCTCAGCTGGAGCGGCGATCAAAGCCTGTGTAGCCCCAGAAATGGCGCCTGCCGTAGCAGCCAGAGTCGTGGGGTGTGTATTTAAGTACGGTGAAAGAACGGCGGATGCTTCGGAATAAGTCGACCAGAGCACCGCACCTAGGAGTGCGTTCACCACCATTGGTGGAACAAGGTGTTTCGGTATTACCATAATCTAATGGGCTATCAGTGGGATTTGGGCACACACGCACACAGGCCACGTACACCATGGTCTTTGACCAACAACCGTATGTATCCCAGATTCAACGAAGAACCATGTTGCAAGGCGAGACCTTTCAGAGAGTGCCATCCGCTTACTACGAGTGTCGCATCGTCACCATGACCTTAGGTTGAACCACCGAACGCTACCTTTCGAAGGCCGGAAGAGGCGAACAGGCCTAGAAAAATATAGCGCCAGACTCCGGGTGGCTGTCCGTGCAAGAGCGGCATAGACGTTTCCAATTCGGTCTTCTAACACGATGTCAGAGGTATAAGAAACTTCAACAGCAAACGTACTGCTCGATGTATCCTCATGGTCAGTGGATATGGTAGCAATCATACGAGACCATGCAATTGTTCCACTGGTCGCGACGATCCTACGTGAGAACTTCGGCGACGCGAATCACTGAAGCCACAAACTGTGGCAAACACGATCTTCCACATCCAAGAAAGAAACTTTAATTTGTACGCTATGTAGGCACTTTTTATGTGAATTACTATCTGTTAGCCATCAGGGCTGAGTAATATATACTTCTAGTATAAGATACAGTCGCCAGGTAGATAACATCGCCGACAGAGTCTTGAATCTCCTGCTTTGGTACTCCCCATAGTGACCAAGACCTTAGTCTTCCTGAAATAGCGACATGTATCTCAGTAAATGCGGCCATCGAGATATGAGTGCTTTCGTATGTGGATAACTCCCAATCAATCGAGTCCTGGCTGATGATCTACTAAAGCGTTAGCGTGAATTCTGCGAAGAGCTTGAAAATGAGACATACTTCTCGCATATAATACTTTCGACACACGAAATGTAGTCCTCTTGCGTGATATAAAATGAGTCAAGAAGCCACTGGAAGGCTACACGAGGACTCCCTTCGACAGAATCAGATTGGCGACATGACAAAAGATGTAACTGACCAGCACGGGCCCAGAGTTGACTTAGAGAACCGAATGTTGATTTACTTGCAGATTATTATTACAGGATTTTATTTGCTGAGATGAACTGCTCACCTTTTCACTCGTGCTCGTGCTCTGGGTCCGCTTACTACAGACGTTACTTCTATCCCAAGTAAAGATAGCTCGTCATGCATGCTGCAAGCTGCTGCCTGTCGATATCGCGAAGACACTGCAGACCCAGCCGAATTTGTGTACGGAAAGGAGAGGATCGGGATGAGCTCACCATCATACGTATCTTCTTCTGAGATCATAATTATATTTCCTGAAGATGTGGCAAGTTGAGGAAAGAAGTCGGTTAGACTTAGATAAGGATCCATGATGTCGGCAAGGATCGATTTGCGCAAGCCGTCAATATCTTTCTGATTACCGCTATAGAATCCAGGCCGTAGGCTTGTAGGAAGCAGTGCTTTGTGCCCCTTCACTGAAGGATTCTGGTGGAGATAGATGACGCTAACCAAGTTTAAGGAGTGGTGAACGCAGTAGGACTTGATGGTCCCGCATACCCTCCCCCTATCTTCTTGGTAAGTTAGGTTCGCTGTTATTGGGGCGACTAGTCCCCACGATACACGCGGCAGCATGACTTGACGGTGATGCCAGAGACGCAGGATCTGTATATTCGCGAGCTTTAGGTTCTTCTCGAAGGCCGTTTTGCTGCGAATAAACTCACTTCAGAAACTTCCATCGAATCTTCAGAGTCGCAGTCCGGTTTGAATACAGCAAATACAGTGTAGCCCAGGTTTGACAGCCTCAGTATCAGTTCGTCATCTAGATCGAAGTCGATGAGTCTATCGTCAACAACAGGAATGGCCAAGCATACGACCGTGAGCCCCTGTGATCAAGATAGCACTTTCACTCGGTTTCCTAGGCAACCTTCGGGTGCATCCCAGGACCATGAGCACCTGGAGCCACAATCTGCTCGAGCTTTGAAGCAGAATGCCTGCGGCGTATAACAACCCGCAAACGACCCAAGCCTGTATACCCTCAATCATCGCGATCATTTGCCTGTAGACGGTTTGATCGATTGGTGAGCTCTGCAATCAGAATCCGCCGGGGAATAAGTGTGCTCTACTCCGCGAGTTCCCGCTGGTTGGAACTTAGGTTCAGCCCCGGAACGTGTCGAAAGGTAGTATTAGGCAGTATGTTTTTCAAATGTTGTAGACGGCATGATCACGTGGAACCATTTGCTTCCGCGGCACCATTGCACGCGCGGAGTTGAAACTTCTCTCTCTCTCTTTGCTTCCGAGGATGGACTGCAATTCTGTTTATGTGTAGGCTGGGTTAATCGTACCGCTTGATCACTCATTTCACGGCAAGAGAATTATACATATCGGCAAAGATTGACAGAACCCCTCATCTATGATTGACATACACTCACTGACACCGGCGCAGGGGTAGAAGTGGCGTCGAGGCATGGTTCTGGAGTCGAGTCATCATTATGCTCGTTGTCCTGATCGCCTGATGTCTATACCCGAGTACATATTGATTGCACGAGGCGCGTGGGATAAGCAGCCACGACCTTAATCTTGCTTCAGGGATGTGCACAACCTTCTCATAGAAGAGTGACGAAAAGTGGATCCAGATCCATCGACAGTAGCTAAGGACAGGAAGCGCTCAGAGACCAAGGTTAAGAAATGCGACAAGAGTTCAAGAAGAAACGAAAAAGGTCCATCAACGATGCTTGGGGCACCCACTCGTGCCGGGATTTGCGACGGAATGTGGGTTTACACTTTAGTAACTCCGCCCGCGCTGCATGAAGTCTCTCAGTCAATTAGGGCAGGGGAGGAGAATGCACGACTGACGGGAGACTATGGGTGTGTCCGCTGTCGTCTTTGATTTGCAGAACCTGGGTACCCTGGACCTAGACATAAGCACGTAGGTAGAGTATAACACTTAACAACTCACATCTGCCTGGACAGAGACGGAGACCACAGTGCCGTAAACGACTTGGGAGTTGGTCCCCCAGAAGAATACGCGTGATCCTGCCTAAACGAGTACTTGAGTGTCAATGTATATATCCATAGGAATAAACATACAGGAAATGCGTTCATAGCCAAAATAGTGCGAGGTGTAGTACTACAGAGGTTTGCGAGACCACAGGAGTACTTGGGTTCCTTTATACGATGTCGATAAACGAGCAGTTGCGTCCACAGTAGAGCGTGTGTAGCTAGTGGGAGACAGTCTCGAAGGCCGGCGATAGGAAATCATCTCGTTTGTATTAATGCTTCTTGATTAAGTCACAGAAAATAATAAGCAAGCATCCATGGAGAGATGCGTGAGCTGAAGCAACACGCGAGAGAATTACGGACGGCACCACTAGTGAAATGGGGGGAAGGGGTTGGTAGGGGCCATGAGATCGGAGAAGCGTACGGGTCAGCATGAAGTTATGGCATAGAGGTAATCTCAAGCCTTCACGGAATCAGAATTGATGACAGATCGCAGATGTCCTAGAACGTCCAGGATCATCGATCCTTGGTAGTCGAACAGCAAAATTGGGAAGTGAAGAGGCGACCACGAGTCGATCGACAGTTTCACGTAATGAGCACCAGAAAGGCCAGTGCGCTGTGCTGCTCGAGAAACCAGTGCCGGGACATGTAGAACCCACATTGTGCAGTGATGCATGCGCATTTCATACTCGAGTCCAAGAATATCATTGCTGAAGCCAGTCGACAGTTTCGTCGCATGTCCCTCTGGTCCTCGGATATTGGAACCCTTCAGCAGCAAGATGCTGAACCGACGTGCCATTGTGGCGAGAATATTTTGGGCAAAAACAGTCACTCAGGGGCGCTTGCTGCACGTGGTGTTTGTTCTAGTTTGTCAGGCTGGCATTGTCTCCAACCACCACCATGCCTGCACCGTCGTTCAGCTCAAGAAGCGGGTCGGCTCGCCATGATATGTCGGTCATTTTGGTAACAGGATCCTATGACCATGAGGTTCGGTTCTGGGAGGCCTGGAGTGGTATTTGCTCGCGAACCATATCGCGGTCCGGGGAATCAGGAGTGCGTGTTCCAGATACACTGCAGCTTAATTATGATTTTCATGCAACTTTAGCAAGTGAACAGATTGGCAATATCTCCGGAGTTGGTTCATCCTTGCATAGTTGATTGATTAAACCCCTCTGATTGCCCTGGAATAGCAAACGACTGCTTGCTGCAGCAATCCACAAGAAAGTACTCATTTACGAAATCGCCAGTACGTCCTCCTCACCGGTAGAATGCAATCTCAATATCGCACAGGAATCACACCTGATGCCTCTTATTAGATTCTCACATTCGAAGGGCATACTGGGAACGTGACATCGGTGTCCTTTCACAGCGAAGGAAAATGGCTCGTCACAGGCAGCGAAGATGGAACTATTAAAATCTGGGACCTCCGGTCAGCCGATATGGCTCTAATGTCTTACTTGGATCTGATCTTACAACAGAAGCTCCCAACTGCATCGAACATACGACAACTCGGCCGCCGGTTGTGTCCCTTTCTTCCTTCGTGTCGATTATCCCGCTAATGAACACGCAGTTAACGACGTATGTGTGCATCCCAATCAGGGGGAGCTCATTTCGTGTGATCAAGCCGGCAGTATCAAACAATGGGACCTGTCTGAGAATCTCTGCTCCCATGAACTGGTAAGTCGAGGGTGAAATAGCGGTGCCAATCATGTAATTATGTATGTGCTTTAAACCTCAGACGCCCGCAGGAGATATTCCAATTCGATCGGTCAGTCTCGCTTCCGACGGGTCCTTCTTAGTGGCCGGCAACAACAAGGTATATAAATCTCCAAAGCCTCCTCTCGTTGATACACATTACTTGTAGGGGAATTGTTTCGTTTGGAAAGTCAACGATGAGCTGTCAGGTCTTCCGCGTTTCCAAGCCGTTACGAAATTTCACGCACACAACAAGTACCTCACGCGCTGCCTCCTTAGCCCAGATGCAAAGTACGTCTTATTTGGCGTGGTTGTGTGCAACCGCTGAGAGATTTAGGCACTTGGCCACATGTTCCGCGGACACGACGGTGAAGGTTTGGTCGATCTCACACAACTATGAATTCAAGCATGAGAAGACTCTCATTGGACACCAACGCTGGGTTTGGGACTGCGCGTTTAGTGCTGATTCTGCTTACCTTGTAACAGGTGACAGATTAATGATTGATCCACGTTCTCTAATTCATAAAGTATTTGCATTTACAGCATCTTCCGATCACACAGCACGACTTTGGGAGATGGCATCTGGCGAAACCGTTCGACAGTACAATGGACACCATAAAGGTCAGTTTTGATCCTTCTTCCTTAGTTAAATCTGATGTCTTATATGCTGTGTTCAGCGGCTGTATGTTGTGCCCTCCACGATGGTGCTGGATGAGAAACTCATCCATCGCGCTTCGAGATTTTCCACGAACTGTTTCTTAGTCGATCGACGAAGACACTTGTAATCGAACCTTGACTTGAATTATAAGCCTGACTTGGGCCTGACGTACCTTTGACTCTCTGAAACAGATATTCATTCCCTGGATCTCAGATATCGTCGGGTGCAGAGTCTCCGAAAATAGTTCTCAGCAAGCCTCGGACGTGGACGTTCGTAGTGGTGGGAGTAATCATGTATGTTGCTTTCAATTCACCCGCTGGCCTGATGCTTCTGAATAGCAAGTAGGGGTTGGATGGGGTCGGATCTTGCTCCTTTCTGCTAACGAAATTTCACGAACCATCGAAAAGGGTGCTTCCATTGGCCTCTCTTTGGAAATTCGCGTGTACCAGTGATTGACTAAGTGATTGGACGATCTGTTGATCCCAAGTATGTTATCAGACATCGATGAAGATGCACGACGCATGATGCCGGATCGTATTCGGAAGCAAAACCAGCCCCACTGTGGCGCAACCGGAGAGTGCCTGGCAATGTTCTGCATTGACTTCGGGCTGCTACTGGGGGATAGATCCTCCAGGGACGTGATGTTTCTCCGCATTCGGGAGTTCATTCGCTTGGGCAGAAGGCCAATGTAATGTAGAAAGTCCTGGTGCGCTCCCACTCCAAACTCCTGCCTAAACGCTGCCCTGTTTCCTTGCTATTCGTTTCAGCGGGCCCTTCGTCATGAATTGTAGACTTGTATTATAATCCGTGTAAACACGCCGCCGGTACAAAGTGTTCATTATAGGAGACGCCCAGGTTACTTCTCAGATCCGAAGCCTCGCTTAATTTTGGGGCGTCAATGCTGTTGTCAGTGACCGGTTGACCTGTGGAAGCCTATGGACTATGTACACGATGACGCATCCGGAAGGTCGCAGATCCCAAGGCATGATCATCATCACATTGATGGAGATAGAACTCAGCAGGTCATCTCTATCCTCACCGCCACCGAGGCCAGCAAAATCTTGGGTTGTGGGCGAGTCGAATCGTGCTCCATCGATGTACCCTCGTTCTGGATGCTGCATTATTAACCGACAAACGATTCATGCACACAAAACTCCTTGAAGTATTTCGACTCGCTCCGGAGGCTTTTACTACAGCCGGACCGTTTCACCGAAATAAACACAACCCAACTTTTTCATTCTATTTCTGTTGCATTTGATCTTTGCCAGCATGCTCTTACGTGCATATGTTCATAGTTTGTCCGCCGGTAAGATATTTGTTCATGCGATTGCACGTGAACTAACTGACGTTAAGTTGAGTGACAGTCGGTCCGATGTTCTCGAGAACGGCAGCGTGGACAACACCAAGCTTTGATGTAACTACTCGCCCTTGTGGTTGCAAACTATGCTATTAAGGGCCTTGGCAGCATGCGTTGATTAATTTGTATACCTGGTGTACAATGTACTTGAAAGCCGGTCCAGTGGGTAATTCGCTGTAATTCGACGCCAATACTATGCCCCGTAAATGTCGGGTTGTACACTGAGAACATGTCCATGTTTTCCAACAACGCCGACCCAAGGGACGGAATCCCGCTTCGGGACGTGCCTTGCTTTGGGGGCCGATGGGGCCTTACCAAAGCTTGTCTGTTGATTGGCCTAGATATTCGGCCTAGCACATCGGGGACTTTCGGGAAAGGACCCAATGGATCGCCCCTAAACTCCATCCAATCGTCCCTGAGGCCATATCTATCCGCTGGACCAGTTCTCTTTCTTGAACCACTTCCTTCCTCCCGTGCCCATCCCCCAGATTTGAACTTCGACGCATATTACCAGCTTTCCAATTCATTATATGGCCAACGGTGTTAGTGACAGCACTCTATTGCCTGATCTACCCCTTGTATCCGATTTTGCGTCCGAAGAGAGTATCAATGGCTTCAACGCTGTTGAGCGCGATCCAAACTCTTGGGCGGGGTCACTGCCCGCTGATCAGGGGCTCTACCTAAACGAAAACGAAAAAGACTCCTGCGGTGTTGGCTTCATATGCCACATCAAAGGTGAACAAACTCACAAAATCGTTTCCGATGCCCGACAACTTCTGTGTGCTATGACCCATCGAGGCGCTACGGGTGCTGATAGCAGGGACGGAGATGGTGCGGGTGTAATGACAGCCATCCCTCATCATTTCTTCAAGAGAGAAGCTGAGCAAGACATTGGTTGCACTCTGCCTGAGCCTGGCGAGTATGCTGTGGGCAACTTCTTCTTTAAACCGAACGATCCGGTACAATTGCAAAGTCACCAAGCACTCTTTTCGAAACTTGCGATCGATCTGGGCTTGCGTGTGTTGGGTTGGAGAAAGGTCCCTACGGACGGCACTATTCTCGGTCCGGCAGCGAGCAGCAAGGAACCCGTTATCTTACAACCATTTGTCGTGCTCCGCGCGCATTACGGTGATGGCAACGTTAGCCAAGGCGGTACATTCGACTCAAAGCATTTCGAGCGTCAGTTGTATGTTCTGCGTAAGCACGCAACCCACAGCATGTTTGTGAATTTCTGCTCCTCCGTTGTAATGCCTGAGACTGAAAGACACTTGAATCCTATTTATTTGAAAGAACACTTGCAAAGGGATTCTACGTGTGCTCATTGTCCGCCAAAACCATCATCTATAAGGGCCAACTTTCTCCTCCACAAGTCTACAATTATTACCATGATCTCAATCATGTTTTATATTGCTCCCACTTCACGCTCGTTCATTCGCGCTTTTCGACTAACACTTTCCCAAGTTGGGACCGTGCCCAGCCGATGAGACTTGCTGCCCACAATGGTACGTCATACGAAGCAACCTCTTGCCTTTGTCTAACGCTCCCTAGGTGAGATAAATACCGTGCGTGGTAATAAGAACTGGATGCGTGCACGCGAAGGCGTACTTTCGTCACAAAACTTTGGCGATCAACTCGACCTCCTTTATCCCATCATCGAAACCGGCGGTTCTGATTCCGCTGCCTTCGACAATGTCCTCGAGCTCCTTGTAGTGAACGGTGTCGTCACGCTCCCCGAAGCGATTATGATGCTCATCCCCGAGGCTTGGCAAGGGAACGAATATATGGAGCCGCAGAAGAAGGCATTTTACAGTTGGGCAGCGTGCCTTCAGGAGCCTTGGGACGGACCAGCTCTTTTCACTTTCAGCGACGGTCGCTTCTGTGGCGCGAATCTCGATCGCAACGGTCTGAGACCATGTCGGTTCATCGTCACCAGCGAAGATATCATGATTTGTGCTTCGGAGGTTGGGGCCTTGTACGTCGCACCCGACAAGGTTGTTCAGAAGGGTAGATTGAAGCCGGGGCGCATGCTTCTTGTGGACACTGTAGAAGGGAGGATAGTCGATGACAAGGAGTTGAAACGGGATACGGCGTCCAAACAAAACTTTGCTTCTTGGGTAGAGGCGCATGTTCTGCATATGCCTAACATAGTAAAGCGCGCTCTACGCGGCAATACGCGTCTCGGACCTCAGCTCGACGACGCACCCCTCAGCACCGACCCGAAATTACTTGCATTCGGGTATACTGTCGAGCAACTCAGTTTGCTCCTCCTGCCGATGGTCTCGGAAGGAAAGGAAGCTTTGGGGTCCATGGGTAACGACGCACCAATAGCACCTATGGCCACCCAGCCACGTCTTATCTACGATTACTTTCGCCAGCTCTTTGCTCAGGTCACCAATCCCCCAATTGATCCCATTCGTGAGAGCATCGTCATGTCGCTCGAAGCTTACGTTGGCCCTGAGGGTAATCTTCTCGAAATGAAGCCTCAGCAATGTCACCGAATTCTCCTTCCTTCACCCCTGATTTCCATCGAGGAAATGAACGCCATAAAGAACCTTAAGGTTGCTTATGCTGGATGGCCTTCTCGAACCATCGATATCACTTTCCCGAAGGAACATGGCCTTCCCGGCTACCAATTAGCTCTCGAACGCGTATGCAGTGAGGCTGCCCAGGCTATCGACGATGGGATCAAGGTAGTGATCCTCAGCGATCGAGCAACCGCTTCGGACAGGGTGCCGCTTTCTGCACTCGTCGCTTGTGGTGGTGTCCACCATCATCTTGTTTTACAAAAGAAGCGCGCGAAGATTGCCCTCATGATCGACACTGGCGAGGCTCGCGAAGTTCATCACCTTTGTGTCCTTGTCGGTTACGGTGCCGACGCTGTATGTCCCTGGTTGATGATGGAGGCCATTCACAAAGTCGGCCGGGAAGGATTGTCAGTTCATCTTTTCAACCTTGCGATTGACTACACTAAGCCTATATCTTTATCAGAATCAAAGGAGATATGAACGTCGAGCAACTTATAGATAATTATAGACACTCCATCGACAATGGCATCCTCAAGGTCATGTCCAAGATGGGCATCTCCACCCTTCAATCCTACAAGGGCGCTCAGATTTTCGAGATTCTTGGGCTTCACAGGGAAGTCGTTGAGCGCTGCTTCATCGGCACTGCAAGCAGAGTGCAAGGCGCTACATTCGATCTTCTCGCCATGGACGCCTTCGAGTTGCACGAACGCGGATGGCCCAGCCGTGAGACTATCATCCCTCCTGGTATGCCCGAGTCCGGCGAATATCATTGGCGAGATGGTGGTGAAGCCCACATCAACGACCCCACTGGTATTGCCAATCTTCAGGACGCTGTTCGCGAAAAGAATCAGTCAGCGTACGAGGCTTATGCGCGCAATGCAAATGAACAAGCTCAGCGTATCCACCTTCGCGGGCTACTTGATTTCCGATATGAAGACGCTACCGCCATACCAGTCGATCAGGTCGAACCCTGGAACGAGATAGTACGACGTTTCGTCACGGGCGCTATGTCTTATGGTTCTATCTCCATGGAAGCCCACACGACACTGGCTATTGCTATGAATCGTCTGGGTGGAAAATCCAACACGGGTGAAGGTGGTGAAGACGCAGAGCGTTCTACTGTGCTTAACAATGGCGATACAATGCGGTCGGCAATCAAGCAGGTCGCTTCAGGTCGTTTCGGCGTCACATCTAATTACCTATCAGATGCCAACGAGCTCCAGATCAAGATGGCACAAGGAGCCAAACCTGGCGAGGGCGGAGAACTACCCGGTCACAAGGTATCCATGTCAATTGCACGCACGCGCCACTCGACGGCTGGCGTCGGGCTTATTTCCCCACCTCCTCATCACGACATTTACTCGATCGAGGACCTGAAGCAGCTTATATACGATCTAAAGTGCTCTAATCCTCGTGCCCGTATATCCGTCAAGCTCGTGTCTGAAGTCGGTGTCGGTATTGTTGCTAGTGGTGTCGCCAAAGCCAAAGCCGACCATATATTGATCTCTGGCCATGATGGTGGAACCGGTGCTTCTCGCTGGACCGGTATTAAATATGCTGGTCTGCCATGGGAACTCGGTCTGGCCGAAACCCACCAGACGCTCGTGCTGAATGATCTTCGTGGTCGCGTCACCGTGCAAACTGACGGGCAACTGCGCACTGGACGTGATATCGCCATTGCCTGTCTTCTTGGTGCGGAAGAGTGGGGTTTCGCTACGACGCCCTTGATTGCTATGGGTTGTATCATGATGAGGAAGTGCCACCGTATGCATATCCACCTTGTTATCGCTTCTCTTACTTATTGACGGTCATCATCCAGTGAACACATGCCCCGTTGGCATTGCTACCCAAGATCCACAACTCCGAGCTAAATTCGCAGGCCAACCCGAGCAAGTCATCAACTTCTTCTACTATCTTGCGGAGGACCTTCGCAGCTACATGGCCAAGCTGGGCTTCCGTACGATCAACGAAATGGTTGGGCGAGCCGATATGTTGAAAGTAAACGAGAAGCTGCGCACTGTCAAGACGGCTCACTTGGACCTGTCTGCGGTATTGAAACCTGCCTGGCAGATGCGCCCCGGTGCAGCGACTTACCGCGTCCGCTCTCAAGACCACAAACTCTACATTCGTTTGGACAACAAATTCATTGACGAAGCCGAACCTGCGCTCACCAAAGGTCTTCCCGTCCATATCGACTGCGACGTCGTCAACACGGATCGCGCACTTGGAACATCCCTTTCCTACCGAATCTCGAAACTTTACGGCGAGGAGGGACTCCCGAAGGATACCATCCACATCAGTATGAGAGGTTCTGCTGGCCAGTCGTGCGGCGCTTTCCTTGCGCCTGGAATCACCATCGATTTGGAAGGTGACGCCAACGATTATGTCGGGAAGGGTCTATCTGGTGGTCGTCTCATTGTATATCCTCCAAAGGAATCCAAATTCAAGGCCGAAGAGAATATTATCGTTGGAAACGTCTGCCTGTATGGCGCAACGTCAGGCGAGGCCTTCATTCGTGGTATTGCTGCTGAACGCTTCGCTGTTCGTAACTCTGGTGCGAACGCCGTAGTCGAGGGGATGGGCGACCATGGATGCGAGTACATGACAGGTGGCCGAGTTGTTGTGCTAGGGACGACCGGTCGCAACTTCGCTGCAGGCATGAGCGGAGGCATTGCTTACGTCCTCGACACAGCGCACACCTTTGCCTCGAAGGTTAACATGGAGATGGTAGAGCTGGGCAAGGTTAACGACCCGCGTGAAATCGCCGCTCTCCGGAGCCTCATCGAAGACCACAGGCACTACACTGGCTCTGAAGTTGCCGACCGCGTACTACATGACTTCCACCATCTACTGCCCCTCTTCGTTCGCGTTATGCCCCTCGATTACAAGCGAGTCCTCGAGGAACAAACTGCAAAGGAAAAGGAGGATAAGATTCGACAAAGTGTTATCGATCTCATCCCCTCCAGAACAGCCAGTCAGGTGGATCTCGCTTCCGAAGGTTTGGAAGACATTCTGTTGCCTAAGACCCCTACTCCCAATACTCTCATGCCGCCGCTTGCAAAGCGTTCTGAACCATCTGTGACCGACATGGAGGACTCGTTAATCGACGATGGCAGTGCGAAGCAACGATCCCTCAAGCTTGACAAAGTCAAAGGGTTCATGAAATATCAACGTCTCAGTGAAGCCTATCGCCCACCCCGCAAGCGCGTCAAGGACTGGAAGGAGATCTCCACGAGATTGACCGTCAGTGAACTCAAGTACCAATCTGCTCGATGCATGGACTGTGGCGTTCCTTTCTGCCAATCCGATTCAGGCTGTCCCATCTCCAACGTTATTCCGAAGTGGAACGACCTTGTTTTCAAGGGTCAATGGAGGGATGCTCTGAATCGTCTGCTTTTGACCAATAACTTCCCGGAGTTTACTGGACGTGTTTGCCCTGCTCCTTGCGAGGGTGCTTGTGTCCTGGGTATCAACGAACAGCCCGTGGGTATCAAGAGTATCGAATGTGCCATCATTGACAAGGTTCGTCATTTGACATCAATTCATGCAGTAGACATCTTAACATCACGGTTATAGGGTTTCGAAATGGGCTGGATGGCTCCCAATCCTCCCACCTTCCGCACTGGCAAACGCATAGCCATCATCGGTTCAGGACCTGCTGGACTGGCATGCGCAGACCAATTGAACAAAGCTGGTCATTTTGTTACTGTGTTCGACCGTAACGATCGCTTCGGAGGACTCCTCATGTATGGTATCCCTAAGTAAGTCATTCACCACATTGTTTGGAGTAGGGTGTTCATAATATTTCTAGCATGAAGCTTGACAAGTCTGTGGTTCAACGGCGCATCGACCTAATGGCTGCCGAAGGAATCGTGAGTTTATGACATTGTCTGGTTTAAGAATGCTGACGAGCTTTGTTGCTAGACTTTTGTCCCCAACGCTCACGTCGGGGTCGACGTAGATGTTGCACACATTCGTGCCGAGAGCGATGCCGTCGTTGTGTGTACAGGAGCTACTTGGCCTCGAGACTTGAAGATTCCCAACCGCGACGCCGATGGCATTCATTTCGCCATGGAGTTCCTACAGGTAAGATCAACTACATGATACGACACCCAATCCTATGCTTATTTCTCATCTCCTAGCTCAACACGAAGTCTCTTCTGGACTCCGAGCTGCAAGATGGGGGTTACATCAACGCTAGGGGTAAGGATGTCATTGTCATCGGCGGAGGTGACACTGGCAACGACTGCATCGGGACTGCTATGCGCCATGGCGCGAAGTCGGTTACCAACTTCGAGCTTCTTCCCCGCCCGCCTGGTGCCAGAGGCAGAGACAACCCGTGGCCCCAGTGGCCCAGGTAAGGGTTTCATGGTATATCGATGACGCCTACTTACTGATACTCTCTAGAATCTTCCGAACTGACTACGGCCACACTGAGGTCGCCGCCCACTTCGGTAATGGTGAGTCACCTTCTCACCACATTCACACCTTGTAAGTCTTGTCGCTGACATTGGTATTTGCAGACCCACGAGAGTACTGTATCTCCACGAAGGACTTCGTGCTCAACGACGAGGGCAAGCTCAAAGGTCTCAACACTGTTCGCGTCGAGTGGACGAAGGACAGCGGTGGGCGCTGGAAGATGGAAGAAGTCCCCGGTTCGGAGAAGTTCTTCCCCGCGCAGCTTGTGTTCTTGGCGCTAGGATTCCTGGGTCCGCAAGTCGAGCTCGTCAAAGCGCTGTCGCTGAAGCAGGATGGGCGATCAAATATCCAGACACCACCCAAGGTTAGTTCGCCTTGGTGTTGTCTTATGTTTCTTGATGGATTTTTTATTGACTCTGAACCGTTAAGAAATACTCCACGAACGTCGAAGGTGTTTTCAGTGCTGGTGATTGTCGCCGCGGTCAGTCGTTGATTGTGTGGGGCATCCAGTAAGGCTACCTTCATCTCACCCCCGTTACTCATCATGATCTAACTTTACCGTAACAGGGAGGGACGCAGTGCCGCCGCCGAAGTAGACGCCTGGCTTTCCAGCGGTACGACCAGACTGCCTAGCGCTGGTGGCATCAAAACCCGGGTAAGTACCAGAACGCAGTGCTGAATTCCATAAGCTAATGTGCCTCTCGCAGACGTTCATCCCGCCGCCCAGCAACCTTCCGCGTATTGTCGAAACTGCGGCGTAAGGATTCAGCTTAAGGACCGTTTCTTGTCCTTGTCTGTTGGGCTGTTGCTTAGAGTTGGTTGTGCTTGTATATTGCACGTGTTTCGTTTCGTCTCTTATGATATGGGCATACCGTCGATTCATCCCTTGTATACTGTAACACGAACGTCGGATTTGTATATACTGTAAATGACAATATTGTCGACGCACTATCATGATCATGATGTAACTGAGCGGGACGCCGTGCTGCGTTTGAAACTTCAGGTCATGAATCATGATTCCTGCCTGTCACGTATCGTTGAAACCACGGCTTGAGGATGGGGATTCAGGATTCCGGCTTGAGAGTCAAGGACCGTGTCTCGTCTGTTGCGTAGGATTGCTTGTATATTGCACGTATTGTGTTTCGTTTCACATGAGGGTGAGCTGTCGATTCATTGTTCGGTATATTCGCAGATGCCTATCGTAAATGACAAGATATCGTGGACGTACATACGGCTATACGGCTCTACCAAGGAGAGCAATAGTTTGGCAGTAGTGGTGATTCGACGATAAACTGTTTAACCGAGGGCACGTTTACGGCTCCCATGGGCTCAGAGCAGCGCCCCCCACGCCCGCGGTCAGGAACGTCGCGTAGGGCGCGCCCTCCTCCACAACCATGCAATCTTCCAACCGCACGCCGACCTTGCCTTCGATATACACGCCCGGCTCGTCGGAGAACGTGTGTCCCGTCTGGATGAGCGTCGCCTGGGCTGCGGGGACGCCGCGGAGGTAGGGCGATTCGTGGACGTCGAGGCCGATTCCTTGGGAGGGCAAGATGAAGGGTCAGCACAACGAAATATGAAATGCATCATGTGTGTATACGAGGTAGGAGGTGTAGTATGGGAGATGGAGGAAGGTACGCACCATGGCCCAACCTATGTGTGAAATACGGTGCGTACCCGTCGAGCATGAGCCGCGCACGCGCGACGATGTCGGGGTGGTTCGTTAGGGCGCCGGGGTAGGTGGCGACGCGGGCGAGGGACTGCGCGGCGTGGACGTGGTGCCAGATCTCGAGGTGGTCGTCGGGGATGGAGGAGTCTGGGAGGGCGACGGTCTGGTAGTGGTGAATATTATATTAGGTGCAAAGTGTTGATAGTTTCTTTGTTATGTGTTAAGTAGTAGGGGAGGTTGGGAAGGGCGTACCCGAGTGACATCACTCCAGTATCCGTGCAGCTGACCCGTGCAGTCGAAGAGGGCGAAGTCTTCTTTTTGGAGGACGCGGTTCGTGCCCGAGCCATGGGGGAGCGCCGCATTTTCTTCGATAGGTTTGCGTTATACACGGAGGCGAGGGACATAGGATGAACTCACCTCCGAACAACGTCAGACACCCAGCGCGTTCCAGTCCAACAGCAGCCAGAGCCCCCGCGACCAGCTCCCGCGCATCGGATTCGTGCATCCCGATGCGCATGCGCTTGTGCGTGGCGCGTATAGCGAGTAAGGTCGCTTCGTTCGCGCATTTGAGGATATTGATCTCCTCGGATGTCTTGCGCTCCCGGATTTCGACAACCTGCGGTGGTGCGTTCTGCACTCGACCGTGAGGCAGGGCGCGCTGGAGGCCATCCGCGACGAATAAACGGGCGTTTCCATCTATGAATACCGTTGAATTCGATGGAAGGCGGAGCGCGTCGAAGAGAACTGCGAAGGGATCTTGCTCCTCGGCCCACTGGATGTACGCAGACGGGGAAAGAGGGAGCAACTTTGCGCGCGTCGCCTCGAATTTGGGAGTCAAGATCGACACATTCGCCGAGATGTCCCCGTCCCTGTCCGCAGTTGCTGACACAGAAGAGGTAACGACGAACAACAACGGCCTCTCGCTCAGCCTCCAGTGTGCATCGGAGACATTAAAGTAGTACGCCGCAGACGAGCTCGGTTCCGCGATATACGCCGCCGCGCCTAGCTGGCGGAGGCGCTTTGCGAGGGTGTTGCGCCGCGCTTCGAAGGTGGAGGGGGAGATGGCGGGGATGGCGGCGCAGTGCCGGGGCAGGTCTGGGAATGCGGGTTCCGGGGATGGGTGTGAGCTGCGTTGCGTTTCTTCCCCGAGCCCCACGAGCCCGAGCCTTGGGGTGGATATGGATAAGAAGCAGAGGAGCGGGATGAGGAGGAGCCAGAGATGCGTGCGTTTCTTGCTGCTAGGTTTGAGCTGAGACGGTCGCGCTGATATTCGCGCTGGTTGACCCATGGCTGTTGGTGGAGAGAAAGCAAGGACGACCAAGTTCGCGCATGCTTCCGCCAGAAGCTCAACTAGCGGGAATAATGAATGCTTTTATCTTATCTTACCTCCTTATCGGATTCAAGTATGTGACAGCCCTGTCAGAGGGTCATGAAGAGTGCCCTGTCACTCTTCATGACCCTCTGATACTGGCAGGCAGTGCAGTGCACCTTGCCTGTCAGTGAGCTCATAAGAAGCCTTGAATTCAACTGCAGGAACACAGGCACAAACTTCACCATCACCATCAATTTGCTCATTAACTCAAGAACTGATACTGATGCTATCTTTTGAATGTTTGAACCTGAACATTCAGCAGACCATGGTGGACTTAATCTTTCCATAGTCTGTGTCTGTGATGTAGGAGAGGACACTAGATACAAGTTCTCAGTGTCACAACAATAGAGTTGAAACTCATGTATTGTATACAATTGTCATATACCAATCCTCAAGCCCCCTTAGGAGTCCCCCTACGCCCCTTTTGGACACTCGGACCTTCGGAATCCCTCGGGCTCCGCCCTCAAGGCTTATGCATGGTGCGCAGTACTAGGATTACTTTGTTACATGTTTCATGTGTATGTGTGTACTTACATACTAGCCTCACTACATACATGTGTTAGTTAGTATTTATAGTAGCACTAGTACACATCTATTCTCTACTCTGAATCTTGGTTCCTTTTCCGTCACCTCTTGTCTTCTAAGTTTCTGCTGCAGGCTCCTCCGTGCTCCATGGAGCCTGCCTCTCACCTATGCTCTCCTCCGAAATCGGGACACTGCAGGGCTAGGAGGGTGCAGCATCAAAGCTGAAGCCAAGTCCCGTATGCTTCACTTGTCCGCTTGTCCGCGCTCTCACGCTCCCTGCGCATTCCCGCGCCCCTGTAGGGACGAGTCAGGAGGCCCCTTAACATGGTCCTTAACAGCAAACTTCCTTGGGATGATCCTGTTCATGGCCAACATGAGCCATCTCATTTATAGTGTTCTCAGCCAGTTCAGCATTGTTGTTAGGGCAACACTATACACAATGATGCGTACACAGACCCGACAAGAATTAGAGTAAGCAAGTGGTAATGAAAGAGAAGATGCGGGAATGATGAAGACACTGACTTAGGCACTAGTGCTAGTGGGATCCCCAAGAGAACGAGTTAATGTCTCTGGGTATGATATTCAGTCTTATATACTATGGTACATGCATAATCCTCATGTCTATCTACACACTGTAGCCTGTCAGCTTTCCATGGAATGCTTAGCACGGCATGATGTCATGTACTGTGTCCATGCATCTACAGCAAGGTTCTGACTAAGGTGTTTAATAATATGGGCTGAAGGGCATAAGCATAATCTCGTAAGGCGCCACATGTCCTGGTCATGTGATATATAGGGGCAAAGAAAAAGGGAAAGAAAGGAAAGAAAAAGTCAGACCATAACATCACCCCCTTTTACAGCTTGTCAACTCCGTTTGACAACATCACCTCCTTGATATGAGCACTACTATCCCCTACTTTGCCACCTGGGATAGTCTCAGCACCAACGAATGTAACGGAATCATTGCTATGGTGGTAATCATGGTGCTGGCTGGGTTCTTTGTGGCTGGTTTCCGCCTCCATACCTAGTTTGTATATTTTGGTTTTCATGGTATATGTGGATGATGTAAATATATATTTGGGTTTCCAGGCGAGCTGTTCGAAGAGAGCTTGAGAGATCCGCTGTGGAGCTCCAGAATGTTGGGAGCAGAATGCCTTGATTTGCCCCGGCTGTTAAGGACTGTGTCAAGGGGCCTCCTGACTCGTCCGCACAGGGGCACGGGAGCGCGGGCGGAGCACGGGAGCGCGGACGCGCAGACGAGCGGAGCACACGGGACTTGGCTTCAGCTTTGATGCTGCGCCCTCCTAGCCCTGCAGTGTCCCGATTTCGGAGAGAGCAAGGTGAGAGGCGGGCTCTGCGGAGGAGCCCGGAGCGAAGACTTAGAAGGACAAGTGACGGAGAAGGAACTAAGATTCAGAGTGAGGAATACATGTCTACTAGTGCTACTATAAATACTAACTAACACATGTATGTAGTGAGGCTTAGTATGTAAGTACACATGTAGGTGAAACATGTAACAAGTGAATCCAAGTGCTGCGCACCATGCATAGGCCGCGAGGGCGGAGCCTGAGGGGCTCCGAGGGTCCGAGTATCCGAAAGGGGCGTAGGGGGGAACCCCTAAGGGGGCGTGAGGACTGGTATATGACACTGGCACGTTCTCGAGATTCTTCTCCAGCTCCCACAAGTCGTGCTCTGTTGTGTAGCCCTTCCACCTGACTAAATATTTGAGGTGCCCCCACCTCATCTGGCTATCCAACACCTCCTCGACTTTGTACTCTTCCTCTCCTCTTATTTGCACTGGCAGAGGTGGCAGTACCTGTCGCCCCAGGATGGTGGGTTGGTTTGCTTTCTCGGTGCGATGGGTGGAGATGGTGGGATGGATAGATATTTTTTTTGGAAGTTTTAATGTTATTGCATTTTTTGTTGGCACCACAATCACCTCGCATGGTCTGATTTTCTTTTGCTCCAATTTGCGTGACAGGCTGGTTGTGTTGAAGTTATCTGTGAGGATGAATGCCTTGTCCCCGACTCGGTATTCTGGTGCTTCTCCTACTCAATGGTCCACATATCTTTTCATCTCTTCTCCTGCTTTTACTAATGTGGACCGTGCCTCCTCCCATGTCTGCTTTATCCATTTCACAAATTCGTCCACTGCTTCTATCTTGGACTCTTTTCACAGCTCAACTCCCATCTGGGGGTGTTTTCCATAGTTAAAGTAAAACGGGCTCTGCCTGGAGCTCGTCTGGGTTTTATGATTTAATGAGAATTTGCAGATGGCCAACCACTCTGCCCAGTTGTCCTGCCTATGGTTGATGAACATTTGGAGGTACATTTCGATTTCTCAATTTGCTCGTTCCGTCTGTCCATCCGTTTGGGGGTGGAAGGCCGTGGACAACTTAGTCTGAATTCCCAATAAGTTGTTTAGTTCTCTCATTACTTGTGACACGAACTGAGGTCCTCGGTCTGATATAATGGTATTGGGGAGTCCGTGGATTTTCCAGACGTTGTCCCGGTATAACTTAGCGAGTCCAAGGGCTGACAATTCCTCAGTCATTGGTACGAGGCGAACCATCTTGGTAAATCAGTCAACGACTACTAGGATTGCATCATATCCTGACGATTTGGGAAGTTTAATGATAAAGTCCGCAGATATGTCTGTCCATGGTTCAGATGGAATGGGGTTCGGCTGGAGCTTGCCTTGTGGTTGTTGGGAGTAGGCCTTGCTTCGTTGGCACTGGTTGCATCCCTTGACATATTCCGCAATGAATTTGTTCATTCCCGGCCACCAATAATTACGCGAGATCAGCTCAATGGTTTTCCACCTTCCTGGGTGTCCTGTGATGGTTGAATCATGGTGTAGTTTTACGATTTCCCTTCTGACATCAACATCTTTGGGTACGTACACCTTTCCATGGTATAATACAAGGTCCTGCTCTTCTGACCACTCCGCTTCTTTCAGCACCTTGGTCGGCAACCTTTTCAGTTCAGTCACTGCCTTGACTACTGATTCATTGTAGTTTTTTGATTTTCTGATTTTAGATAAAATAGGCGACTCTGCACTGCCGATTAGGACATGACCTTGCTGCATGGCCTTGATTCAAAAATACTCTGGCTTCAAAAGGACCATCATATTGTTGTCTTCCCCCCTATCAAGATCTGGTTGTCTCGACAGGACATCTGCCTTCATATTTGAAGCTCCTGGCTTGTGCTTTAGAATAAAGTTAAACCTCAACAAATATAACGCCCAGCGTGCCTGGCATCTGTTTAGCTTTTTTGGTTGTCATGAAGTACTTCAAGTTTTTATGGTCTGTCCAAATGGTGAACTGACGTCTGTTTCCTTCTAGGTCTCCATGCCTCCAGGGCATGAATGATGGCTAGCATCTCTTTCTCATGAATATCGTAATTCCTCTCCGTCTCTGAGAACCCTTTTGAAAGGAAAGTGCAGGGTCTCCACTTTTCGTCCTTGCATAGCATGGAGAGCACTGCTCCCGATGTGTAATTGGATGAATCTGCCTCTATCTTCATTTCTCAATCCGTGTCTGGTAGCACCAGGATCGGTTCTTCCGTAAATAGTGTTTTGAGCTTCTCAAGAGCTCCTTGCCTCTCCTCGTTCCATACAAACTTTTCCTCCTTTATAGTGAGTTCGTGCAATGGTTTAGCGGCGGTGGCAAAGTCCTTAATGAACCGTCAATAGTAGTTGCTAAATCCTAGGAACTGCTGTACATACTTGTTGCACGTGTAAGGGCAACCTCAAGATAGCCGCACAGTGCAAGCCTAGCAGAGGGAGAATCCAAAGAAATGAATAAGACTAACTACAATACATGAGAGAGCTGCTCACCTAGCAGAGGGAGAATCCAAAGAGAACAGGATGGGGATTCTCCATGCTAGGAAGCGAAGTATATACTGTAGTAGCGTGGGAGGAATGAAGGGTAACTGTACAGTACACCAGCCACAGGTACGAACGAATATCACAAGGTACGAGGGGGCATGTGATAATGAAGTGGAAGGGGAATGTACAGGAGTCGTGCCAGCGACCTGGGGAAGTGGGGACAAGGAGTAATGAAGTGGGAAAGGAGGATAGAGGTAGCCCGGACGAGCCCCGAAGTGTATCTACGAGTCCGAGCGAGTCCGAATTCCGAGCGAGTCCGAGGCGAGTCCGAAGTGCGGGAAGACTTCGGAGTCACCGGACGGGGCTCGGATGCGAAGGGAGTGAACGGAAGGGAAGCAGAAAGGTAAGGGGACAAAAGGAAAGGAAAGGGAATGAAGGAAAGGGGAAAGGAACGAGGAGGAAGGGGGCGGGACAGGGGGAGTAGGAGAAAATAGGAGTGTCCCCTTACATCACCTCCCCTTCAAGGTTGCGGCGACCCGACGCGAAGATTCCTGCCTGCCGCGCCATGAATTCACCAACCCCGAAACTCCGGATTGCTGCGAGAAGATGTCGAAGTACGACTGCGCGGAGCCCGGAGCCTTCCGACTGCGCCAGCGCTCCCAGGACTGGTCCAGTGCCGCAGGAGTCATCCGGAGAGGTAGAGCGGTCGTCGGATTCATCGGACTCGTCCGGAGTACGCGTACTGCGTCCGGGTGACGATCATGGAAGTCCTTGACCTTCCGGGCGGCATGCTGGAGGTTGCTCGCAGGCTCCCAGGAGTCGTGCTCGATACCATAGCCTCGCCAGCGCACCAGATACTTCAGGACCCGACCGAACCGTCTGCTATTTCGGACCTCTTCTACCTCATGCTCCTCTTCTCCGTCACCGAGCTGCGGAGGTGGCGGAGCGACAGGGCGTCTACCCGGGATGGGGTCCGGAACGAAGGGAGAGAGTTTGACCACGGGGAAGACGGGATGGAGACGGGATAAGCCCGGAGGGAGCTGGAGCCGGTACGCTGCCTTGCCAACCTTCCGGACGACCTTGTAAGGACCAAGTCGTGCGTGTCCGAGTTTCCGGGAGGGTCAGGCAAGGTTGATGTCTGACGAGTCCAGCCAAACCTTGTCACCCGGTTGGTACTCCAGAGCGGGAGTCCGACACTGATCATAGTAGCGCTTCATGTCGTCCTGAGCCTTGACCAATGCGGACTGAGCCTCGTCGACTGCGGATTTCATCCGGTCTACGAACTCGTTTGCGGACTCCATCCGAGACGGTGGCTGATGAGGTTCGAACCCGAGACGAGGATGACGGCCGGTATCCAGGAGGAAGGGTGACTGCTGAGTGGACGCATGGACCCGGTTGTTGTACGCAAACTCCGCCATAGGTAGGAGGCAAGCCCAGTCGTCCTGACGTTCTCCGACGAAGATCCGGAGATAGGACTCGAGTTCCTGGTTGGTCCGTTCCGTCTGTCCATCGGACTGAGGGTGGTACGCAGTGGAGGCAGCCAGCTTGATTCCGAGCATCCGGTAGACTTCTCGGGTGAACTCTGCGACGAATTGTGGACCCCGGTCGGACACGACGGACCGAGGGAGTCCGTGCAGCTTCCAGACGTTCTGCAGGTACAAGTTTGCAGATCCGAGGGCAGACACTGTGGTGTGAGTCGGAATGAAGTTGTGAAGCGTCCGTGTGAGAGAGAGGTCGCGCCGTCGGGGAGACGAGGCGCTCGCACGACTCCTGCGAGGGAGGGAGGGCCAGTTCCAGGCCGGGGAGGACTTAGGCCTTAAGTCTAAGGGCTGTTGACCCGAGCAGGGGAGGGCGTCGATGCCTCGTACGACGAGGGGCGCGGGCGCGCGTCAGGCAGATGGGAGTACGGGAGTGCAATAATAATATTACGTCATCTGATATACTGATAAGATGAGTAGTCTACGCGTCGTGATAGCTATGTCTGTGCGGAGGACCGTTGACAGGTACTACTACGAACTGCCGCATCACAGTGCCCCCCAGCTATCACGAGGGGTGATGCAAGGTTACAAGGTTGATAAGGAAGTACAGAATGGATGAGGAAAGGGGGTAGGCATAAGGTGGGGAAAGAAATAAATGCGGTAGAGTGGCAGCATTACGAAGAAAAGGGGAACAAAAAACGGTCGTGTAGAGTCCCAGTTTGCTTTCGAGCGCGGTTACGGGTCTATCGTGCTATGGCGACGTCATCTGTTCTAGTAGCGTCGCATGTTTGATGCGTTCGTATAAGGGTTTGTTTGGGCTAGCGCGAGATTCGTCACGCGCAGACACTACGTTCGTTTCGCGGTTGTCGTTGTAGTGCTGCGAGGCCGTTGTGGCCTTATTAGGTGAATTGTGTGGTTTATGCTCGCTGAGAGTGGGAGGGATGTATACTCGGAGCGGGTCGTCCCAACAATTTGGCTCAATTGGCGCGACGGCGTGAGGGTTCCTTTCTTCTTCTTCCGCTAGATGAAATAGTTCCAAGGGTACGAGTGCTCCGGAGACCTTCACGCTACGGCTTCCTTCCGCGTTGGCGGCGAATCCGCGGGCGGCCAGTGCCTGCATGGTGTTTCCGAATAGTACCCAGTACACGGGAGTGTGTTCGTCCCATGTTCGTACTACTGATAGCACGTGTATTGCGACGTGTCGTTTGATGAGGTAGAGCAGCGCGATAACGTCGTTATGTGAAGTTTCTCGGATGTCAAGAAAGTGTAGTCGCCAGACGGGGGATAGTGAGGGAGGCGAGGCTTGGTACAGCGTCGTTGGGGTGTACGAGTCGTCGAACACTTGGTCGTCAGTGGAGGGATCCATGACAGTGGGGTTTTGTCCTTCAATACTCGGTTGTCAACGTTCCTGTTTTAAGAGAATCCTTGTCCTTCTTTTTACCGTCACAGTGAGAGTGTGTGTTGTCAGCGGAATCTTTTGTCGATTAGTTCGTCGTATTCTCGCTTTAACTCCGGGGCATTGCGTAGGTCCGCTTCGTTTAGCCAGGAATCTTCTGCTGCATCCAACCCCTTCCAGCGAATAAGATACTGCCGGGCCCTTCCTGATCGTTTAGCCGTGGTACGGTGTCCGATTATCCTATCAATTTCCCATTCTTCGGTGGCTGGGAGTAAATCGCGTGTAGGGGGAAGGGATTCACGGGGGCCGAAACGTGGGTCAGAGGGGGTGTAACGCTTGAGATGGCTGAGGTTGACAACGGGGTGCATCGGATAATTGGTGGGCAAACGCAGTCGATATACCAAGGGATTGATTTTTTCTAAGACCTCAAACGGGCCGATCATTCGTTGAACCAGTTTGCGGCCCGTTCCCGAAGCTTCAACTAGTTGAAGGGTATGAGGGTTTACTAACACCAGATCGCCAGGTTCTATGGGGTCTATCGGTCGTCGATTGCGGTTGAACGCCTTCGCTTGTTTCTCTTGGGCGAGTGTGAGTGCATCGCGTGCAAGTTGCCGGTGATGTTGCAATTCAGCGACGAAATTGAGGGCTCGTTGGCTAGCAAGAGGACGTTGTACGAACTGCGAGTCGGGGACTAGTCCCGTAGCGTCGATACGAGGTTCGTAGCCAAGGAGGAGATAATCGGGACGAAACCCTGTGGATGAGTGGACTGATGAGTTGTATGATCGAGCGAGGACGCCCAACCATTGGGCCCAGGAGGAACGATCCTTCGCAACGTATGCTCGAAGCATGGCCTCTATTTGTGCATTCAGAATCTCCGTCTGTCCGTCTGTTTGAGGGTGATGTGCCGACGAGAGAACGAGGTGAGACCCGTAGTACGCAGTGACGGATCTCCAGAAGGAGGAGGTCCAGCGTTTGTCTCTATCGCATATTACTCGCGTAGGCAGGCCGTACACATTCACGATATGTGCAATAAAATGAAGCGCGAATCCGACTTGATCTAGCGAGTTGAACGTAGGGATTAATATTGCGAATTTAGTGAGTTTATCGACGAAAGCCAGTATGGCTGTGAACCGTTGTGGTCCTGATTCGGGGAGGCCTGTGATCATGTCCATCGAGATTGTGGCAAAGGGACGCTGCGGTATGTGTGACGGTCGAAGACCGCCTTGTTTGCCGCGTCGGTCTACCTTGATTTTTTGGCAGATGTCGCAGGACGCAACGAAGTCGGTAGCGTCCTTAGCAAGGTGGGGCCAGAAGTATAATTCCCGTAATCGAGCGATGAAGCGCTTTTCGCCGCTGTGCGCACCTTCGTGAGGGGAGTTATGGATTAAGTTGAGGACTTCGTTAATCTTCCCATTGGGAACGCATAAACGGTAGCGCCAGTCCGCGTCGATGAAGTAGACGAGTCCATTGTCACTTCTTTGAAATCTCGAAGGGGTAAGGGATACACTCGCATTCTCGTCGTCCATCCCTTTATCTAGGTAATATCGATCGTTCTCATAGGCTTTCTTCCAGGATGTCAGTTCGTGCGGACTAAGTGAAACGAGTAGGTGCGGGCGCATAGTGTCATCGTCCAGAATGGAAGAGTAAGGGTCACCCAAGGCTCCCTCAGAAGGTTCGGGGCGCGTCCAGTGATCTTCTGGCAAGGGATGAGAGGCGAATGGGAATTTGGCCTCTTGTGGTTTGTTGGCGATGACGTCGTGAGTGGACGGAGCCGTAGATTTCTTGCCTTCGTTCTTTAGTCGACGTTGATTTCGAGTTTCAACGGCGAGTGCTTCCGAACGGTGTTCTTCTATGACTGCTTCTTCGTACCACCACCATACAGAGAACGCGGAGCGTGTTGCTTCTTGACGTCTGTTTTCAACGTCAGTGGCTAAACGTCGTTTCTCGTCGTCAGGGATAATAGCTTCAATGTGGTCCTGCGTAGGAGATTGATGGGGAGGTCGTCGGGGTAGTCTCGATAAAGGGTCAACGTTTGAATGAACGCGGCCAGGGCGGTGAATGATCCTCAAGCCAGGGTACGCTGCGAACACTGCTCCCCAGGCAGCCAGTCGTCGGTTCGAATTTTCATACGCCTTCGCCCAGGTTAAGGCGGAATGATCCGTGATGAGGGTGATATTCTCCCCTTCGATGAATGGTTGGAACTTAACTAAGGCTTCCTTTGCTCCCAGAGCTTCGCGTTCGGTCGCGCTATAGTTACGTTCGGCTGGCTTTAGTGTCCGACTCCAGTAAGCTATGACTCGTTCGACTCGAACGAGGGAATCATCCAGCGAGGACAGCCATGACATTGGAGGACCGCAATCATCGTGCCCCCCGGGATATGATCTAACTAGATTGGGGATGGGGGCTTTGGCGCGAAAAGCCTTTGACAACCTATCATACGTCTGGGTGCCCTTTAAATCGCCGACGAGAATCGTTTGAACTTGTTGTAGACTGGCTCCTAGAGCATAGTCGGAGGCGTCCGTGTATAATCGATACGGGGAGCCTTGTGTGGGGTGTCCGAGTACAGGGGCCTGAGCTAGCGCATCCCGAGTATGTATGAAGGCGGTTTCGTGCTCCGCTGTCCATGTCCATCGTACGCCTTTCTTTAAGAGGGAGAATAGTGGCGACGCAATGTGGGCGTAATGGGGGATATAGGCGGAGAAGTATACAACCATACCGAGGAAACGTTGTAGTTCGAGAACCGAAGTGGGACGGGCTAATTCTGTGACGGCGGCGACCTTTTCCTTATGGGTGGACAGGCCTAATCGCGAGACCTTTTGACCCAGTAGTAATATTGACGAAAATCCTATGAAGCATTTCGGGGGGGATAACGTAAGGCCGACGTCTTCTATGGCGGTGAGGACAGCGTCGAGATGTACGAGGTGTTCGTCCCAAGAGCGCGAGTACACCACGATGTCGTCTATATATACAAGAGCGAATATCCATAAGAATGGAGCAAGGACTTCTTGCATGAGTCGTTGGAAGATAGAGGGACCATTGCGTAGTCCTAGAGGCATTCGGCGGAATTGGAACAGTCCGCGGTGACAACGGAAGGCCGTTATGGGTTTGGATTCTTCGTCCATTTCTAGCTGTTGGAACCCTGCCAGCGCGTCGAATGACGAAATAACTTGAGATCCAGAAAGGGATTGAATGATTTCGGATTGTCGTGGAATGGGGAACTCATCTGGTATGGTTTGAGCGTTGAGTTTACGATAGTCGATGACAAGGCGAGGTTTCCCGTTACGATAGACGATCATGCAGGGGGAGCCCCAAGGGCTTTTAGAGGGTTCAATCACTTCTTGTTCAAACCATTTGTTGAGTTGCGCGTCGAGTACTTCTCGCTTGGCTGGGGAGGTTCCATACATGGGCAATGAAATCGGCTGGACGCCAGGTTTAAGTGGGATTGTAGCCTTACGATCCACTCGTCCTAGTCGTCCTTTTAGTCCAAAGGCGTTGGCTCGTTTTCTCAGGACCGCCTCTAGTGCTGGGCGGATTTCTGAAGGAATATCGGGACCTAGATGGACCGCATTGACTACGTCATCTGGGGAGTCGTCCTCGGGCGTAGCCGTGGTTTTCGGGCCCCAACGTTCCGACGAAGAGGAAGGAGTAGGAGAAGAGGGGGCTGCGAGAGATGTAGTATGACAGATATTTATTAACTTGTGAACAGCAAGCGCATGGGTGTGAAGCTGCTCCCAACGCTCTGGAGAAGAGGGTGTTTCAAAGTGAGTTGCTGGGTTGAATGCGTAGCCTACGATATCGCCTTTGAGAATTCGTAGGGGTCGCGAAGAGGGATTGGCGACTGGGAGAAAGGGCATGGTCGGGGACAGTAGCGTTGACGGCGCTGCGAGGATGTCCTGTCCATCTTCGGTTATTACTGCGCTCTCTATGAACCACGATTCCCTTGAGTCATCGGGGAGGACGATGGGTAGGTTGGAACAGTGTCCGGGGGCGACGGTGAGGGACTTGGATGCGGTCACCGCAGTAGGCGAGTCTGTCAAATAAACAAGAGGCGAACGGAGTCGCGCTCTTTTTGCTTGTTTGCGTTGAAGGGCTTTCGACCCTATATATGCCTTGCGGATATAGACTCCTAGGCGATAGCTGGTGGAAGTCGAAGCAGGGATTGGAATGGCGCCTCCAGAGATGAAGACGGTGCAATGTCCGTTCGCCTTGCGTAAGACGCCCATTTCATATGTGGTCATGAAGTCTTCTCCTAGTAGCAGAGGAACTTGCATATCCTTTACGATGTATGCTTCTATATCGAATTGAATCAGCTGTTCGGATTCCGATCGTACGTATATGCACGTGTTCACGTATCCAAGGATGGTGGCGGAGCAGGTGAGTTGTTGTAGGTGAACCTTGGATCCAGATCGGAGAGGGGGTCGGACATTTGTAGGCAATGAATTCCAATACTTTTGCGACATGAGCGTGATGTCTGCTCCCGAATCGAGACGAGCGGTGATAACAGGTTCGGACGGTGTAACTACTGACGCTTGGATGTGAAGCGAACGTATGCCTTGCGCGTTGAGTCCGGGAGTCTTTGTTCGATTCTTCGTAGCGATTACTATAGCCGACGGGTCTTCTCTTGCTTCGCTATTTGTTTGCGAGAGTTGAACTATGTGGTTGCCTGCGTTTTCTAATCCCAATGAGGGGCTCCCCCCTGCGGACTGAGTCTGATTGAGACTAGTCAACGGCGATGGAGGATCCGACACTGCATGGCTGGAATCCGCAGGGTTCCTTATAGTGCTTTTACCCTTGTTTTTGTCTTTCCTTTCGAAACGACGGCGATAGGCATGATTTATTGAGACGGGGGCGTCGGCGTGGAAAGCCTTGGCTGTGTTGAATGAACTGCGGAGGAGTTGACAGTACTCATTTAGCTCAGTCGTAGAATAGTTTGAACTGTCGCTATCGGATTCTTCAATTTGCGTGGACGC